TTCTTGTAAACCCTTTTTTCTTTCTAATCAAGAGTTTTATTTTACCTGAAGAAGGCAATGAGCAGATTGTGAATGGATGCCATTGACCTAAGCTAATTGAATTTATATTGAGCATAATGTATTGACCAGCTTTCCAGGTGCCAAATTGAGGAATGATGTAAGACCACCAAGCCTCGCATTCTCTCTCCTTTGTTATATGCATTGGAATAGTGACCATGACTGTTTCCTCATCAAATACCTCAACTTTAGATATCATCATGGATGGGGATTTTGCTTTCTGAATCATTCCTAATACCATGCTAACTATTTTGTCTAAGACCAATAAATGTACCGAAATAATGGCACCCAATCTACTGGAACTGTTGTGGAAAATCAAAAATAACATCATCAATGCAGAAAGCACTCTATGTTGAATCAAAAAAAATTCAAAAGATAGTTTTCTGATAAATCTAAATGAAGCCCAAGTTAATAATGAGCATGAGGCATAGGAAATCATTCCAAAGTATTGAGGCGGGATATAGATCATGATTGTGATACCCATGTCAAGCCAATATGAAGCACAAAGATAAAGGTGCATTGTAGCCAACAACCAACAGGTCCTACCGACCCAAATGTGGAATCTAATTAATCTTTCAGGCTGCACAGCAGTAATGGAAGAAAGAAAATCGTTCTTGACTAAAAATAGGAACAAAGATGTTGTTTGGCCGGTCGCCAATTTCCCCAATCTTTTGCCAATCACATAATGGCGAGGAATGTAAGTAATGTCTGCAGTTTGTGCAAATGAGAATATGACCAACAACAAAAAATAAATCCAGTATCCTAAGTGCAAGGATGGCTGAATATAAATATTTTTTATATTCTTCCTCCACGGAGTTGGAATAGCGATACTAGAACCCAAGAACTTCAGGAATTTAAGGAATTTGAAATATCCCTTGTTGGTGAGACCATTATTATCCCTTTTGTTTCTCAAGTAATATGGTATCCAATGAATTATAATACCATGAAAGATTAATATTATAAAAGGAATAGCAAAGCTCAACCATTCAAATTTAGAATTTCTCTTTTGCTCAACATAGTACTGCTCTTTATATGGAATGGTCATTTTGAATGTTTTTCTGAATGCTTTTTTTTTTTTCCTTTTTTTTTTTTTAGCTGTTCCCATATTTTGAAGATTGAAATACATGGGACAAAATTCATATAATATATTCTCTCATACTGAGAGGCAGTGACTGAGAAATTAAAAAAAAAAGAAAATTTTAAATCTTAAATTTTCTTTTATTGAATTGTGGGTGCTATGCATCTTTAAGTTCTAATGCATCGATCTATAGCATGCATTTGCAGATCTATGTATATTATAAGATTAACTGTCTAATTTCTGTTAAAGCACACCCTCGGGTGTATTAATTTTACTGTTATTCATTAACTATTCGTAGTTCTCTTTGAAAGATTATTTATATAATATTGGGTTAAAATTTCGGTAGAATCAATATATTATTTTCAATCCCGTATTTTCGTTCAATATTTATTATTATTAACGATTTCAGGATCCATAACAAAACAAAAAATACACAGATTATTTAAATATGCTCTCCCTATTTCTCATTACTATAATTTTGACGCTTGTCAGTGCTGACAATTGGTCCACTTATCCACTGATTTCGAAAACGGCTTCCATTAACGGTTTTGCTGACCCAATTTACTCAAACTTACCGGATTGCGCCAAAGAGTGTGTAAAATTTGATACAGATAATACTCCATGTCCTTACTGGGATACAGGATGTTTCTGCGTTATGCCTCAATGGTCAGGTGAAGTTGCTGATTGCTTTGCTTCAAAATGTTCAGGTAGTGATGTTGTGTCTGCTACTTCATTGGCTATTTCCTTGTGTAACTCTGCTGGTGCGAAAACTTGGATGATACCAGCATCTGCCTCCACTCAAATATTATTGGCTAAAGGTACTGCTAATGCTGCTATAACTGCTGATATCACTAGCAGTTCTTCAGCCAGTACTATCCCCAGTACTATCCCCAGCACTATCACCAATACTTATGAGGCTTCATCCACTATATCATCTGCCTTAAGCCACAACTCTTCAACTATTAGTTCTGCTGTGCTGGCTTCTGCTTCTGATTCCACCAGTACGAATAGTAAACCTACAGAAAATAACGGTGCTTCATCAGGGTTTACTAGCACTCCTTGTGTTTTGGGCTATCTCCTCTTGATTTTTATTTCATATCTTTGTTAATTATTAATCATCACCATACCCCCTTTCTTTTTCTTAACACAGTTTTATTTTTGCTTAATAACGTTTTCCTTTTTCCTGAAAAAATCTCTATATTTTCTTATTATTTGATACTTATGAAAAAAAGTATTTTACCTTTATTTTCTATAAAATTATCTATACGACATTATATTATTTTTCAGATAAAATTATATATTTTTGCTCAGCATTCTCTCCAGATTCCAACACCATCTTTACTAGCCATTTCCACCAAATATTCATCATTTAAAAATGTCTCCTGGTTGTGCTGCGATGTATGGCATTTCTCCAGATTGCGCGACCGTATAGCTAGGTATTTATTACAAAATAATACTTCCTCAAAAAAATATAATATTACTGAACGATTTTCTAAAATTAATAGATACAAACAACACCCTTCAAATATTCCTTATGGCACTCACATAACAAAATTCACGCACTGAAATATCTGACAATCACATCGATCGCATGCCAAACTTCTCGCGTTCATCGCTCTACAATATTCCAAATTACACATCAATTTAGATAGACATCTTGAATATTATTAGACATATATTTTTCAAATATTCTGCTCTAAATAACTGTATACCTCTCAAAAAATAATAATCAAAATTCATGAAATAAATCGTACATTATCACCTATTTCACTAGTGCCATCTCAAACTTCATCAAATCTGAAATTTACATGATTTCTCGACAAATTTGGAATTCTTTTTTCCACAAGCTCCGTTTCCACAACCAATATCAAAAATATACACTTTCCTGAACACAATAACATCAAAAATATATCCCTCACCCAAAATTTGCATGAATTAAATGCCTATATTACTTGCTCGACCATACAGCGCACCAACTGCACGGGCTATTGCCGCAGGTAATTCCAAGGAATGCACATCGCACCGCCAAAGAAACGCCGCTATGGCACATATTTTCACGGGGTGCTCGCACCCTCCGATATCCGCTCCTTGGATTGCACATCAGAAAATCCTCGCAACGCACAAGTCGAAATCTTCAAGCCAAAATTATGGGCACCAGCACCACGAATTAACCTATTTTTGATACCAAATACTTCACCAACGCCCGCTATTTACATATACATACTTTTTGCAGTCGATTCCCGCACTTTTCTTTTTTTTTGCAGATTCACCCAAACGCACACCTTTGTATGGTGGATCCAGTGAACGCACAACGCTCCAGCAGGTGTATTCCACTTCTCAGATCTCAAATACTCCTTCATTAGCTGCTCATATTGACCATTGCGCTCTCGCTGCACTCTGCTAACAACCATTTTTTTGCCCCTTACAAACTCGCTGCATTTATCTAGCTATATGTGTAGATCAGCGGTCATGAAAGGGTCGTTATACATTGAATTCGGGGGGTCTTGAAGATTGACCGGTGGTGCTCCTAGGGCAAATTATAGCAGCATTTTCTGGGTAGCTGTCGCAACATCTTCATTGCCCGCCACCGCGTGGCGCAACTTCTTGTGGGCAATTTTACCTTTCTCACTCAGGAAAATAGGAAAATCTTCAATTTGTGGCTGTTGGAAGTTTTCTTCAACTAATTTAACAAAAAATGTCCATCTTGTAAAGTAAAGTATTGGCAATAATAAAATAGGAAAATTTTTATACCGAGCCTTGAGGTATATGTTTTCAAGGTTCCTGTTTTGATCTGCTTTCTAATGTTAACCCGAAACATAAGAAGGGGATATCATTTATAGTTAGCAACAATAATTATTATATAGAAAAGTATATAGAAAAGTATATAGAGATAAGTATCTTACCGAAAGGTGTAAGGGGAGATAAGTATCTTACCGAAAGGTCTAAGGGGAGCTATGAATATAATAAGTCAATAACGACTATATAGCCCCTAGTCTGAATATTGTAACAATAATCATAAAACTATTGAATTAAGATGTCCAGAAATAATCCAGTTAATGATAACATAAGCGAGACCTCTCCGGATTCACTATCTACTAATGTTTCCCTGTCGAATAATACGAAAATTGTTTGTTGAAATGTAGCTTTAAGTAAAGTGCAAGCTCCAATAGCTTGATTTTCAAGGGGTCTGTAGGTCTTATACTAGGAACCAGATCATTAGATCTCTGCTAATAAATATTTGTAGTCGTTGCTATCAAGATTATATTTACAGCCATTATTGGTTTAAGGTTACTAGGTGTCGTGCTGTTTGTCCTTACTACTGTCCTGTAATATTAACTTAATTTTTTATTAAAATAATATATAGGGAATGATGGGTTTAGTACCTCTTTAAATAGATAAGTAGTCAAGAATCGTAGTTATGAGATAAGGAATAAGATAAGGAATAAGATAAGGCAATTGATTAGGTAATGAATGAACAATACTGGTGGTATATGGTACAAAATGCAATAACGTTACATATATGGATATTTCATGCCACATTGTACCCACACAAAGAGGCCCGATTAATTTAGTTTTTAAGTAAAACAGTTTCATACTACATATATCTACATCTCTGTTTTGTGGATGCCTATTTCTAAAAAAACAGCTCATCGTAGAATGAAGTCAAATGGCGTCGTTACTAACACCACTCCGGTCACTGAATATAGTCACGTTTCCTTCCCGGTAATCTTTTTCGCTCTCTCACACAACATTTTGCCTTCGAATAAATTTGTTGGATTTTTGGATCAGTAAACGTTGATCTCATCACATCTAATCACATATTGCAAACTTACAAAGTACCTAGTAAAATCAAAAAGAAAAAAATATGGTGTCCGCCGAATTCAATGAAAAAGTATGTTTCATTTCATATTCGTGAAGTGACTTTTCACAATCTGTATTGTGTTTACTAGTATTGGGAATTACATTTAAATGAGTTTTACTCAAGTTTTGGAGAAATGTAATATAACTAACCCCAAATAGGCTGAAGCTGTCAAGAACTTGACTCAAAAGCCAACTGATGATGAATTATTGGAATTGTATGGTTTGTTCAAGCAAGCTACTGTTGGGGACAACACTACCACCAAGCCAGGTGCTTTTGATTTCAAAGGTAAATACAAGTGGGCTTCATGGGACAAATTAAAGGGTACCAGCCAAGAAGATGCTGAAAAGCAATACATTGAATTGGTCACAAACTTGATTGCTAAATACAATTAGGTTTACCCTTATTTTAATGAAGAGAGATGTGATGGATTTTATTTTCTTTATTTATTTGTGTTGCTTTAATTTTAGTTCTTCTCTTCCCAAGATATTTTTCACAATATGGTAGTAAATGTACACCTTAGAGGATTGTTTCCTTTATATTTTTGATCTTTTGCTTTTTTTTTGTTTTATTTTGGTAAATTTTGTAAATTGTGTTTGTAGTAGGCATAGTTTTGTTGATTTTGCTAAAGTTCAATTTTCTTTCTTCTGGGATTGCAATTCTTGATAATTGGATAACATTTTGGTAATTCTAATCGTGAGATCAATGAACATAACCAATGGAATAAGAAATGTTGGGAAATAAACCCAGAATAACTTTAATCTATCCGATTGAGTAATGGTGAATCCCAAGAGATCACTTGATCCATTATTGTAAATATAGATATCATAAAGACAAAATAGGGTGGTTAAAGACGCATTAAAGCCGTAGGTCATCAACAATGGATAGAATTTCTTGATGTCTATTTATTTTTGATAAATGTTAGGAAACTTATCATCGTAGTTTTATTGGGCGCATTATATATGAAGACTTACCATTCCACAAAGCATAAATGCCTATGAAAAACACCGGAAGTTGGAAAATTAGCTCGACAAAACCGGCAACCTTCAACCATGAAGGAGCCAATAACAAGATGAAATCCTTGTTCTCACTGATATGAAAGTTCAACACCTTTGTTTGGATAGCCAAACGATAAGCCGGAGGAATTACTAAGGCACTATCAACGAGAACTGTTATTGGAATGTGTATAAGGAAATACAAGAGATAGAAGGTGTCCAATTTGGGGTTACTCGAGACAGTCATGATGTGTTTGACAGTTAGAAGTTGTGTTCAGTTCCAGGATACAGGGGGATTTGTGAGAAATAAAGAAATAGAGAACAATAATCACGTGTGACTGTTACACATCCGGGTAATACAATATAGTTTGTAGTGGGAGGCACTTTGTATCACCAAGAAAAAAAAAGAGACAAAAGACAAAAATAAAACCAACATCAAACACCTCATCGATAATCCCACATCATCATCTCTCACAAGTAGATTCTTCAATTATAACACCACCCATTATATTTAAGGACTGAACTGTTTTTTCATATTAAGGTTCTTACATTTCCTTCAATACCGTCGCTTATTATACTCGTTTTATCTGAAGATTCACTCCTATCATCCGAGCATCATTAGCTGTGTGTTTTTTTGTTTTTTATAATATCACCAAGGAAAGACCTCGTCAACGAAGAAGAAAGAAAAAGGACTTTTGCATTTTGAAATCTAAAGTTCAGATCATCACATATTACCCATAGATATTCTCATCTTACAAAAACGGAAATAATCAGGATAATACAAAATATCTAATAATGTCTGGCGCAAGAACCCCATCTAGATCATATGATATGATCATGAAATTATTATTAGTTGGAGACTCCGGTGTTGGAAAATCTTGTTTATTGCTTAGATTTGTTGAAGATAAATTCAATCCAAGTTTTATCACTACCATTGGTATTGATTTCAAAATTAGAACTATCGAAGTTAACGGTAAAAGAATTAAGTTACAAGTTTGGGACACTGCTGGTCAAGAACGTTTCAGAACCATTACAACTGCCTATTATAGAGGTGCTATGGGTATTATTTTGGTTTACGATGTTACTGATGAAAGAACTTTTGCCAATGTCAGAACTTGGTTTTCAACCGTTAACCAACATGCCAATGACGACGCCCAATTAATGTTGGTTGGTAACAAGTCCGATGAAACTGATAATAGAGCTATTACTAAACAACAAGGTGAAAGCTTGGCTAAAGAATTGAACATTCCATTTATAGAAGCTAGTGCCAAAACTAACGAAAATGTTGATGAAATCTTTTTCCAATTAGCCACATTAATCCAAGATAAGGTGTCTCAAGATCAATTGAACAATGATGGTAGAGGATCTCTTAACGTCAATAAGGCTGCTGGTGCCAAGGCTGGATGTTGTTAAAGAACAAAGAAGAAAAGAAAAGATAACCTAGAAAAGAACAAAAAAAAATCTGAAAAACGGGCAAAGTAAAGCATGTGGTTGGAGTTGCTTTGCTGGATTTATTATTTTCGTGTCCGTCTTTCAATGTGTCCAATTATATATATATGTTTATATATATATATATATATAATTATCTCTATCTAACCAACAGTTTGTATAATTTATTTATTTATTTTTATTTTTACCGCAAGGTTGTTTTTCTCTATTATTTATTAGTATGTTTCAAGAATATTAATGATGTCGACAGTTTGTATGTATGTCCACATTATTATTATAATCATATTTTTTTTTTTTTTCGAGGTACCTCATTTTCTTTTTAATTTATTGACTTTTGCTTATTTATCTTTTTCTTTGTTATTATTATTATTATTTTTATAATTCATTATTTATTGAAATCTAGAACGTTTACTGTTATTGTAAGCTATGTAGTCAGGAAGTGAATACAACAATAACCAAAAAAGTTAGCACGTCAACCAAAAATTGATTATTGAGGTGACAAATGACAGACTTTGAATATACAGCCACAAATACGGTGGTTGACTATCTTACTCGGTAAATATGGATCCACGAAGAAAAACATTTCTGCTCCGTGTAAGCAAATGCGGACAAATGTAAATAAAAATAAACACACTTACACGAACAAATTCAACCCGAGACGCGCGCGCTCCACCCCCTTGTGTCCCTGTACCTTTTTGTGCCAAAATAACAATGAAATAAAAATAGAAAATTCACCCTCCGAATCCCCCGTATATATATCTTATTAATTTTATTATAAATAAAGCTCTCCCCCTCCCCTTAACTTTGAAATTGAATTAGATGTCCTAATCATCACTCTCTAAAATAATTCTTTTACCAACTCCCTACTCTCCACTATACAAATAATCTAAAATGGCCAGTACTACCAGTGTCTCTCTTGTTCAAACCCAAAACGTTGCCGGTTCAAACTCCACCTCTGCTTCCAACTCCACTTCCTCTTCTAGTGCTAATGCTGTTAAAATTAATGGTCAAGACAACTGGAAAATCATCGCGATCTTTGCCGGTTTCCTCGGTGTTACCACCATCTTGTCATCTATGTAATTGCGAATTGCTTTTATGATGATAAGCTGCTGCTATTCTATTCTCGGGGATCATGCATTTCATCTGATTCAGCACTCTGCTTTTATGACCTGTTTAATGTTTTTTCTTTAATGTTTTTTATTTTCGCTTGTGGATTCTGGAATCCATGCTCACTCAAAGATTTTTTTTTCTAAGCATATAGTCTGGTTTTATTTTTTTTATCATAGCATCTAATTTATACAATTTATTTAAACTAGTGTCCGTGTTCCATATCATGTGTAGCTGTTCTAAAAAGCTTTGGGATATTGAACTAAAGATCCTATCAACACTTTCTATATAAGCGATAGAAAAATCTCATATTTTCCAACTTCATGCTATAATTTAAATGCTTTTCAATTCTAAACCAACAACTATCATCACGGTTTATGAGTTCCCAGCTTCCATCTTCACCAGGTTTACCTGTCAAGATTGTGTCAATAAGAAACTGTATTGGAAATGTTTTGGATCCGATATCAATATGGGAAAATGATCCTGCTGACTCAACTATCAAAAAATAACATCCTTTGATGCAATATTTATTCAATTTTTGTAAAAAGCGAATTGCCTCAACTTTGTTCTCTCTGAAAAGTTCATTGGTGGTGAACAACAGGGTTATAAAGTTTTGACTAGCCAATCCCAATTCCTCAACACCCATTTGCAAAATATCTCTTTTATCAAATGTATAACTCAAATCAGAACTTCCAACCAACCAATTTGTATCAATATATCCAAAGATATCCTTTAAACCGTCATGCCAATCAGAAATATCCACGATATTTACCTTTACCTTCTTAGAACCAATGTTTGCCAGGTTTTCCATCATTCGCGAAAAAACAGAAGCTATTCCAACAAACTCCCCCCCTGCTCCACCTCCAATACTCAAACAATTCACCAAATTATCCTCACTGGTTTTGATACTTGTCAATAAGTGATAAACTTCTTCAAGATATGAAAAAATCGACGCATAAGCTAACGCCCGACTAGGTGACCACCTAGCCATGTAAAATTTGTTTCTTGTACCATCTCCAAATGCCTCCAAATAATTTCTCTCATATAGCTGCTGCTTTATAAGCTGAATTTGATCATATAACTGTTCTGATTGTAACTGGTCTTTGAAAACCACTTCGAATAAATCGAGAATTTCTTGACCTGTTTTTGTTTTGATATCATCAAAAGGAACAATGCTTGATTTTCCTTCTTCTTTTCCACCCTTGCCCTGTTGGTTCATTTTACTTTTATTACCTGACATATTATTCACCTCCAGAAGCTGAACAGTATCATAATCTTAGGAGTTTGAAATTCCACTGTGCAATTTGTAAAATTATCTTCTCGAAAGCCATAAAAAAAAAAAAAACAATGCTACACCAACAATACGGATCTATTCAGATTAGACTTTTTTTTCTGTAATGTTTTTGTTATCTTTTCTAGATGCCATCTGACAGAAGCAACCAAAAACAATAAGATACTTATGATTTCTAATGTCTCCTCAACAGAGAATAGAAGAGTACAGTGCTCTTACATCAGTTTTGTATGGAACTTGACTCATCGTCATTGCCCACTATCCATATTGGTTACTAACATTGCAACAGATCATCATTCAATGACTATGGAAAATGGGCGATAAATGACTTGATTCTCCCAAAAAGAAGTAAATTCGCCACCTTATTACCCGAACAGCAGAAAATGCTTCCGTGGTTTGAAAACCATCTCGATAAAGTTTCTGAATGTATTGAATTAAATAGCATTTTCTTCCAGCAACTCGGCCAACAAGTTGCGGGTGATTGGAATGCTCCACTAGACCCAAAATATTGGTATGTTTGCAAACCCTCCGATACACAAAAAACAAGGTCTTTATTGACCCAAATCTCACGAGAATGGAGTACTGAATGCCGTGAAGAGAGACATATTAGTTTTGGGAGGATCATAGAAAGTTTAGAGGAATTGTATCAGGATTTAACCATTGAACAGAAATCACAATTAAGGATTTTGGTTCCTGGAGCTGGATTAGGGCGATTAATATTAGAGATAATTTTAAAAGGATATCTGTGCCAAGGTAACGAGGTTTCATTTCACATGCTATTGGCGTCTAATTTTTTTCTCAATAAGATACCCTTCCAAACAAATAATAATCAAACCAAGCTCATAAAGCTCTACCCTTTTATTCATAAATTCTCTCTTTCACCTTCAAGATCAAAACAAGTGAGGAGTATCACTGTTCCCGACATCAATCCCATCAACGAGTTGATTATATTACATCAAGAAAACCCCCAATTGAATGTCGAAAATTTGATGTCCATCACCACTGGGTCGTTTGTTGATATTTACGGGCCGAACACCAAAATTCAACAATCAAACTTCTATTCCATATCCAACGATTCTATAAGAATCAGGGAGGAAAATAAATCTAGATTTGATTCAGTAGTCACATGCTTTTTCCTTGATACTGCTATAAACATTATCGAATACTTATATTCCATTCACAATACCCTTAAGCCCGGGGGTCATTGGATAAATTTTGGACCGTTGTTATGGCATTTTGAAGATGATGGTGATTCGACCAATGTTATTGTGGAGGATGAGGAGGTGCATGTGCCCATGGAAGGTTTAGAATTATCATTAGAAGACTTGATAGACCTAATCAAGGAAATTGGATTCAAGTTTGTAAAGAGAGAATCGGGGATCAAATCTACATATGGCGCAAATCCCCAATCTTTAGGGAAGTGGGTATATGATTGCGAGTTTTGGGTAGCCCAGAAACTATGATGCTTTAGGCGACCTCTTTATGTTTTGTAGGGTCATGATGAATCCTTTTATCAATTTGCATCAAAATTAATTCCACGGAACGCCTTCAAACTAACACTGTTTCATGATGGCTCAAGTTCCTAATTTGCCAGTGTGAAAGTATTTATTGTTTTGAAGCCACATCACCACTGCCTACAGTAATTATTGATTAGAGTAACAGGAACAAAATAGCAGATAAAACAAAAGATAATAATATACATTTCCAATGATCACTGATGAAGTATGTAGTAGAATGACATATGCTAGAATAAGGAACAGGCTAGTTATAAAACTAAAAAAAAAAAAAAAAAAAAGAGTAGAGAACGTCAAAAACCACTTCTCTTACCAAATTGAAAAGTCATATCAATTACCATCGTGGTTTTAGTTTAAGTTGTCTAGAAAGAGTATGCGCGATACCTCTGCAAGCCAAATAAAAATAACAATGTCCATTTTCAATAGAATTTTATTCAGTATATTTAGTAATAACAAAATGATAGATGACAAATCATGAGAAAATAGTTGCACTGGTTTCAATTATGTTGTATTTAGATCTTTTTCCCGAAATAAGTCCATTGGTCTTCAAGTGGTTTTTCTTCCAATTCCTCCCAACTAGTACCATATAGTTAGTAATCTTATACTCTCCATAATAAAGTATCAATTTGAAACTTCTCTTAAAGTGAAAAAAAGAAAAAAAGAAAATGAAAAAGAAACAATACCTACCATTTCCATTCAGCCAATTTATTAGCCAATTCCAATTCCTCGTTGGCTTGAACAATCAATTCTTCGATCAAGCCACCCCCAATCTTCTTTTCAATATCTTCAACAACCTCATTGCTTTCAACCACAGCCAATCTTTGTTTGGTGAAACCTTCAGTGGCTTGTCTGTAAACCGAGTATTCAGGGAACTTGGTATTTAGGGTATCTAATGTGACATTGTAAAGAGTAATAAGGGCTGGTCTAGGATTTGGATGTTGCAACAACCCTGCCAAACCGGTTGGATTTCCTTTAGCGGATTTCACCAACACTTTTTGAGCATTTCTTAAATAAGGATAGTATCTCATATTTCTTGTGATTATTTGGTGTTTCTCTTTATATAACAATACGTTGACACACTACTTTTTTTTTTTTTAAGTACGCCTTTTGCATTATTAAAATTTGGATTATTTGAATTTTCAATTATTGGTCCATCACTAAAGCATACCCGGCCATATACCCCGAGCATCGATCACTTGCAGACTTTAGGGGGTGCATACGTCTCCTACAACATTTTATTATAGAGAAAATGTAACTCAAACTCTTAGTTGATAAAGTGTACATATAGAAACAAATACAATGTGAAATGATGTCATGGTGTAAGGAATCGTAAGTGTCAACATACGTGAGAAGCACATATAATGACACGAAAAAAAAAGTAGAATGAAATGAAATCGTTCATCAAACATATCATGAAAAAAGAGTGAATGATCTTATTATTAAACCACCTCATAGTAACTTAGCATGCTTGATATCACTTCTGAGACGGTAAATAAAGGTACCCAAGACACAAATCAATACCAATAACAAATAAATGAATGTCTTAATAGTTTTGAACAATTTTTCGGTAGAGTCTTTATTAAGTTCGTCTTTCTGCAAAGTTGCAAGTCTGAAAGTTTCCTTTTCTTGTTTTTTGTTTTCCTCGCCCATAACAAGAGAGTGTAATTTACGGTCGACTTCTTTCAAGTACTTTTCCAAAATATCGTTTTGTGAAGTCAATTGTTCAATTTGTCTGTGCAAATTAGAATTCTCAGTATTCTGTTTGTCCATAGTGTCAGATAATTTTTTAGATATCTGAGCATCAAAGGCAGTGAGTTTATTAAGAATTCTGTTGATTGATTCTTGGTTGACATTATCTGGAACTGTGTTGTCAGGTTGTTCTTGTGATGCTTTAGGAACTCCTGTAGTTCTACTGGTCACCACACCATCCACGTTCTTAGTGATAATTATTGGCTGTGCTGCTAACTCGACATGGTCATACTCTTGTTCAGTTGGTATAATCGTATCGTATACATTGAGTTTGAAAATTTCAAAAGCCTCTTGTTTATCGTATTTCCCACTGGCAGCACTAGCACCAATGATAAAATCTAAATCTGACTCAGATACTTTAAATTGATTAGTTTCAAAACAGATCTTATTATCAATCGAAACTTTGAATTGGCTGAAGATATCGTCGTAACTAATTCTAAGAGTGGCGGGAACTTGGGAGTCTTGATATCCGATAATACATTTCCCAAACTCCTGTTTGAAAAATTCTGGGTTTGTAACATCAAACTCTTTAGAGTTATCGTTAGCATAACCACGTAGTGTTGATCCCAATGGGCCATTACTATCAACAACTATTGCTAACCCATCGAACTTTGAAGGTCCCCCGTACATTGTTGTATCAGTACGGACCAATTTATCAACATTACCTTGAGAATCATTTAAAATCCAAAAGACAAACCCATTACCAGTCTTTCCATCCGAACCAGTGGCTCTAAAAGTCAAGTCTATGGAAAATGATTTCTTGGACAATCTGTAATTCTTATTCCAAATAGAACCTTCATATCTCCCAGAGGAAGATTCTGGAGTTAAAAGTAATCTCCCACCATCTAGAGAGGTGCTACCTCTTGATTCCCAGTCTAAAAAAATTTGGTTAATAGCTTATTTTCATTATGTAACGCAATATTCGATGGTCACTTACTTGACAACTGTTTAGTATTGGTCAACTCTACCAACTTTGGAAGAGACAAGCCAGTATCAACAGGCACTTCATCAGCCTCGTGTGCCAATGACAGTGTAAGAAGCACGAGCGTGGAAACTATTTTGGAAAGCAACATGCTGTTTAGGGTGTTCCTTGAATTAAGTCAAGCAAAACTACTCTACTACCTAATATTGGTTGGATTTTTTTTGAGATGCTTTTTTTTGTGTGTGATCTGTTCAGAATTTTGTTTGCACGTTCACGTGAGGTATCACGTGGATACAATTTACCTCCTATATCTGATAACAGGTCCCATAAGACATAATATTACAGTGAATGTATTTACGTACATACATATGTACATCACAAATAGAATAGATCTATAGCTTCGAGGAATATTGATGGCAATACTAACCGGATATTTTTGTTGATCTCGGAGAAGTAATAGCGCCCTCTTCAATGCCATATAATGCAAACCACAAATCGATAACTTCCGCGGAAGCAGCCACACCTCCCGTTTTAGGAATGGCAAATCGACCAGTTCGGGATATTACCTCATAATTTAAATCATGAAGATAACAGATCTCCCCTCCAGTGCCCTTCTTTGTCTTGCCTGTGCTGGGAGCATGAAAATGATCGTATCTTCTTGATTCGATAAAAGCTGTCTCACTTGCTTATCATACCCCAGCAAGCTGAATGATTGCAACGGTGCAGTTAATGTGTTGAATAAATCTTTTAAGTTATATATACATACTATCTCTTACTGCCGACAATTGCCTGCTCGCTATGGACAGGAAGGGTGTCCCAATTTGGTCTATCTTTGGGTGTATGGCTATCGACTCACAATCTGTTTTTGGTTTTGCTACCCCCCAAAAGGGGGTAGAAACCCCAAAAGGGGTTTGTAGACAAGCCCTTTCTGGTCTGGGCTTGAGATTTTCGCTGTTATCAGCAGCCAAAAAGATTTTTACCGGGAAACCTGGGGTTCACAAAGAGAATTAAACAATATTCATCAGTAAATCAAAATATCTACTAACTATCCCCCAGTAAAAACATACATAAGGAAAAACAGAAAAAGAATAAACTCTGTATCTTAACTGAAAAGAAAAAAAAATTTCTTTTCCTGCAGCATGCTTTTGTTCTACATTTCCGTCATGCAGGATCCTGCCTTTAGAGTCTTATATGTTTATCTTACAAAAAAAATAATACAAATATACCCTGTTCTACCAGTTATTCAGTAATGTCAATAGATTCCTCAGTCTACCATTGTCGTTTAGATATCTCTTATTTCCAAAATGAAGTTCGCCTACTTTTTGTTGGCTGCGATTGCCTCCGCCAATCCAGTTGAAAACGTTTTGCAATTGAACAGAAGAGATTCTTTCAACTTCACAAACGCTACAACTGAAAGTCTCACTACCATCAGTCTCACTACCACCGTCTCTAAATTGACTACCATTTACCCTACAGCTGGTTCCGTTTCTAAAGCTAGCTCAGAATCTTCTGCTTCTGCCGCTGGTTCTAGCTCTGTTTCTGCTGCTGATGTGACCTCTGCTGCAATCTCTGCTGTCAGCCCAGCTCCTCCAATCTCCATCTCAGCTTCCAGTAGTGCTTCCGAATGTTCATCAACTGATTCACCTATTAATGAATACGGTTTATACAAGAACCCAAATGCCATTAAGCCAAAGGCGTTCATCATTTCTATGTTTCACTATGAAACTATCTGGTACGAAAAGTTGGATTTTGCCCACAACATTACCGTTCCAGGTCTTTCTCCACTTTTCCCACACGTACATTGTGTTACCAACTACAGTATTTGTCAATTCATCACCGGTGAATCAGAAATTAATGCTGCTGCCTCTGTTACCGCTTTGATGTTGTCCCCTCTCTTTGACCTCTCCGAAACTTACTTCTTGATTGCTGGTATCGCTGGTGGTGACCCTTCACAAGTCACTTTGGGTTCAGCCACTTTTGCTGAATACGTTGTTCAAGTTGGCCTTGAATATGAAGTTGATTCACGTGAAATTCCAGAGAAGTACAACTGGACCACCGGTTACTTCCCATACGACTCCTATGAACCAGATGCATACCCAGGAAGTTGGTACGGTACCGAAGTTTTCCGTGTTAACGGTAAATTAAGAGACAGAGCCTTTGAATTGGCTTCTAATGTTACTCTTAGCGTCGGCACTGCAAAGAACGTTGCCTTCAGAGAATTATACGACTACGCTCCAGCCAACCAAGCTCCTGCTGTTGTTAAGTGTGATGGTGTTACCTCCGATACTTACTGGTTTGGTGACATTTTGACTTCCTACTTCAGCAACTTGACTCACACCATGACCAATGGTTCTGCTACTTTCTGTGCCACTGCTCAAGAAGATAACGCCAGTATGGAAGCCATTATGAGAGCTCACTTATTCGGTCTTGCTGATTTTTCAAGAGTTGTTGTTATGAGAACTATCTCTGATTTCGCCAGAGCTCCACCAAAATATGACGATGATGCCATCAACTTCTTCAACAATGTTTCCCAGGGTGGTTCTTATGTCTCAATCGAAAACATTTACAGAGCCGGTTTGCCATTCATTGAGGATGTTTTGGAAAACTGGGACACTTTGTATAGCGTCGGTGCTTTTAAAACTGATGAGTACTTGGGCGACGTTTTTGGTACTTTGGGTGGTACTCCAAACTTTGGTCCAGGTGCCATTACTGAACCAGAAGCTTGAGCATTTTTTTTTTCTTCGTTATTTTTATCTTAATATCTTGTTGTTTGTATAATATCATAATACCCTTTCTTCTTTTTTGGCTCCGCATTTATTGCTAGAGTGTTATTTCTCTTGATAGCCTTCAATATTCATGAAGCCATCCATTTAATTATGTTTACCCATTATTAATACTACTTTGGTCAGCACGACCACATTTTCTAATACTAAAGTTAATCCTAATCACTGCCATTATATCGTATTTAGATTATGTAGATATATCTTCACAGGCTTTTTCAGGTTCTTCAAAGGACTATTGTTGGAATTTACCCACATTTGATAACGTCCCGTGCAAATGGTGTCTCTCGGAGAAAAAATATATATATATATATGTACAAGTTTGATACATTTGTATCGTTAAGCATTTCAGAGTAGTAGATCACTTGCAAGGAACAAATGATTCTTCATAGAGCCAGAAACAGGCTTATAAGTACCGCGCTACTAGGTGCAAAGCCTGTGAGATACTTCAGTGTTAGTCTTGAGAAGGTTACCTTGCTATCAGACAACTTAACACCATCACAAATTCAAAATAAATCGCTGCAAGACTCATCAGATATTGGAAAAGAAGTATCCAAATATTCAAAGCAGCAGGAGCTTTCATTGCCCCAGGAGATGCTTGATAATTCTCTTCAACAAATCGATAAAAAGCTTGCATTCTACAGTGCTATCAAAAAGACGTATAACAAAGATCAATATCAAAAATTAAAAGCTTGGTTGAATTGGCTTCATAATCGCCAAACAGTTTTTATTGCCATAGACTTGGAAGCTTTTGAACATGGGAATGATATTCCACTTGAAGTTGGTATATCCATTCTTGATTTCAATAAGCAGAAAAACGCTATCATTCCTGACTTTTTAAATTTGCATTTCATCGTTAAAGAGTATGAAAACAAGACAAATGGTAGATTTGTGCCAAACAACAAAAATAGACACATTAATGGGGCTTCATATATAGTACCTAAACATTCGATCCCCAAGCTTTTGAATGAAATATTCCATCGTTATGGGGACCCACTGGCTACATCAAAGACTTATGATTTTGATAATCCTCCACCTTTCGCTATTGTGGGCCAATCGTTTTATTCTGATGAATTGTTTCTATCTCAATTTTTTGGGTATACAATTCCATCCAATATTCCAGTTATTGATATTGGAAAAATCTGGAAAATGACATTTGAAACCCTGATAATGAAAAAATCTAACTTGACTTACATGTTAAAGAAATTGAATATTCCTGGTCTTTACTTGCATAATGGTGCCAATGATAGTTATTATACGTTATTGATTTTGCTCAAGTTGTTGAACCCGGAGGCTAGATTGAATTTTTACTGCAAGAACTATGATTTGATTTACGATTTTGAGGAATGGAAAAGATTAAATCTGAATTTGGGCTCAACCACAGAGCAGATTCAAAAGGCAGCTGCAACAAATGGCAAACATGATTTTGTGCAGGAAGTAGAAAATGTAACTTTCAAGAACGGTAAATACAAGTTCACCATTGATGATGACCTTATCGAACATTTTTACTCACCAGCAAAGAAGCAGAAGAAGAAGTGGAATCCTCTGAATAACTGTTTTATCGGTAGTATTGAACTCTCTGAGGAACAGGTATTAGACAGGCTTTCCGAGTTTTGGAAAAAAACTTGACACACTACCTCTACAAAAGGGTGAGTTGAAAACTTGATTCAAACACTACCCCCCTCAAAAAAAAAAAGAAAAAAAAATCTATCCATGAAAAATTGAAGGCAATTTGTAGTTATATACTAATAAAATTCGGTTGGATCGTACTCATCATTATTTTCATTTTTAACTTCTGTTTTTGCAGATTTTGAATCATTGATTTCATTATAGTCATCAATAAAACTTGGGCTATAGTCATCGTCACCATCTTCATCATCAGCACCGTGGCCTGTATTGCCTTGTCCTTCTGTTTTTTTGACTCTGGTGTGTTGTTGCAACGGTGTGAATTTTACCTTTTTCTTATTATTCTTCCTGGTGTAGTTGGCGTTACTTTTTTTGGATATTTTAAAGTCTTCCTTGATATTCGCAGCTATTCTCTTGTAATTTCCTTTTCCGTAAGAGTTCACAGTAGCGCCATTAATGGTATTATAATTTTTAGGAACACCATCTGTAATAACGTTTTCCTGTATCTGGGGGAATTTTTCCGCTTTTTCCATAATATCAACATATCTATCCCCGATTGAGTCTAATTTATGAATTAATTCAGAAGTACCAGCTCTATCTAAGGAAAGCAAAACTAAATTGACAAGAATATTATTCGGGATGGTCGACAAATCAAACTTAAATTTCGGATTATCATTAACACTTTCAAACAATGAGCTGTACGAATCGATTAACTCTGTTTCGGGCTCTACCACGTAGTCATCATCTTGTTCGTGTGATTTCAGCTGTTTCTGCTGAACTTTATGAATTATGTGTTTGAAGTAATCATGGGGAAGGTCTGTTAAGAGATTCTTGTTGGTTCTTTCTTCATTTTGAATCATTAATAAGTGATTAATTTTATCCAAATACCTCAGTGATAGCTTTTCAAATTCGTTCATTTCGGATAGCATTTTCTCTTTTTGAACGTAAGGATTCAAATGGTTATTTTTAAATAAATAATCGATCAAAATCTTGAGGGCTCTATTGGAAAATCTTTTGTGAAGCTTGAACTTCAATCGATAGAAATTATCTTTGGCATTTCCAGAATTCAATGTAAACATTTCCTTTTCCACGGGAAAATTATCATCAAATGACACATCTATTAATGCCGGTGTAACTAAACGGACGTAGTTAGATCTTTTCTGAAGCAACTTAATTAGTAGGAATGATATTGCAGAGAGGATTTGACAACTAATATTCTTCTTATACACCACCAAACCCATTACGAATTTTAACATATCCTCTGATTCCTGTGTCATGTCGAATAGCTGTTCACCTGCAAAAGTGCCATCTTGTATCAAAGCAGTGGAAAGCTTCTGTAAATCGTTGCAAACCTTAGGAATAGTTCGCTGTCTACGTTTACGAGGATCCTGGGGCATTTCTGCTTGAATTTCGATAATTTTGAAAAAAAACTTCAATAGTGACAACTTTGTACTGATATTCTTCACCATCAGCTCGTCATCCTCATCAATTTCTGTAAGGGGAGCTAAAGGAACTTTCTGATTCCATTGGAACATTAAAAACAGCTTGATCTTCCCCATATTAATCCACAAGTCCTTTGATTTTTCATCATCAATATCTTCATCCACAACATTGGAGAAAGAAAGTTCCAATAAATCGATAGAAATATTAATAAATTTCTTGAGAAGCATTGGATGCTGTGTTATTAGTAACTTGTTTTTCAAGTACTGTGAATCAGATACCAAGACCACGAATGTATCACAAATTGTTATCGAAGTTTGTTTCCTCAAAGCAATATCAAACGCACACCCAAAGCATAATAGGTTTGAAATGAATCCAAGGCACCAGTTCAATAACTTTATTTCTTGATTATTTAGTAGAATTGATAGTATTTGCGGTAATATCTGTGGCAACAACTCCGTATTGGATACGAGAAGCGCATTTGCGTTATCCAAGGATTTAATTTGGGAATCGACGTCTTCCATGATTCACTATCTCTCTGCTGTTTTACGAAAATTTTGGGAGACAATTATACCAAGTACACCTGGTGTCCCAGAGATTATTGATGATGGTAAATATCTGCAAAATAGAGAAGGAGACAAATAACGCAGTATAAAAAAAAAAAAAAAAAGTCAGGAAAAAAGAGTGTGCCAGGGCCGCATGTCCATACTGGAAATTATAGAACGCAAAATGAAAATATATTATTGTCAGAACTGTTGTTCTATAGAGAAAAACGAGGAACTTAACTATAAAATAAAAATAGGAAAATATGTCATCTACAATATTCTACCGGTTTAAATCACAGAACAAGAATTCCAAAATTGCTTTCGATGGAACAGGGCTTACAGTGTTTGATTTGAAGAAGGAAATCATCAACATCAATAAGATGGCACCAGCAACAGACTTCAACTTGAGTTTGTCAAATCCTGATACAGATGAAGAGTACAAAGATGATAACCAAGTGATACCCCGCTCCTCTTTTGTCATTGCTAGAAGATACCCGTCATCTAGGGTAGGGAAAGGCAATGCCTCTAGATATATTGCTGGGAAACCAAGAGTATCAAAAACTGGCAGAGGAAATCTTGCCTGGGACAACCATAATAAGAATAGTACGAGTGCAAGCGGCGGTATTCCCGGAAGTACCAGTGCTGCTGGAAATATGATAACTATAAGTGAAGACAAGAATATCTCTGAAGAAGATAAGATCAAAGCTATGTTCCAAAATCAGGATATGGCCTGGCAAGAGACGCAGGAAATGATGGAAAATGCTACACCGGTGTACGTGAAAAGAGGGGATAATGCTGCTAGTAAGAATGAGCCTCCTCCACCAGGCTATATTTGCTACAGATGTGGTAGTAAAGATCATTTTATTAAGAACTGTCCTACTAATGGGGATGTCAGCTTTGATGGTAAAAGAATTAAAAGAACTGCGGGCATTCCTAAGTCATCTTTGAAGGTTGTTGATAAACCTCCAACTGATAATGCTGGTGGTTTTATGTTGACAGAAGATGGTCAATTTGTGGTGGCAATGGCGGATAAAAAGGCTTGGGAAACTTATCAAAAGAAGCAAAATTTGTTCAATAACTTGAACACTGAAAGTATCACTGACAAATCTCTCATTGATCCGATAACTAAGAAATTGTTCCAAAAACCAGTCAAAACACCATGCTGTGGTAAAACTTACTCGTTGGATACTCTTGAAGGACTACTTATTGAGAGTGATTTTATATGTCCTAATTGTGACAAGTCAGATATATTTTTGGACCAGTTAGTTGAGGATAAAGAAATGAATGATAAAATTAAAACCTATCTTGAAAATGAGGCGGAGAAAAACGGTCTCAAACGTTCAGATATTGATTCCGCCGATCCTACCGGTAATGCTGGCTTGCCTGATTTGAAAAGGATCAAGGTCGACGATGGTATTGACTTGCCTTCAAGACCTCAGCTTCCAGCTATTCCAAATGTTCACATGCCGATGGTTGCACCACCAGGTTTCCCAATGATGCCAGTGAACGGATTACCATTCATGCCAATGCCCTCACCGAATGGATTCCCTTTTAACGGCATGAACAACGGGAATAATCAATAGAATGTTGTGTATACCTTCCTTTCTTTTCTAGCATGCTTGTGCTGTGCCTTATGAATGTTACGAAAATCTTCTTATATAATATAATGTATCTACAAGCTAAATGTAAAGTTTTCATGAAAAAAAACAAGTCTTGCTACTTAATAAAGCAAAAACATCTAAAATAGCAAAATAAATAAAAAGTTTAATTATAGTACTCGCCCAAATTATCTCACAAGAAAAATTCAGCGTTAATTTCAACACTAGAAGCAGCATATGGGATTTCAAAGCTGTTACAAACACTTGGGTGCAAGACACCAATTTCACCAATCTTTACGGCCTTTTCACCATCCTTAGCTCTGAAGAAAATATCAGCACCTCTTCCTGGGAAGTAAGTTTTTGACACGGCATTTTCTTCAATCCAGTAGCCTCTCTTTAATGGAGCCTTCAATTGAGCACCATCTTCAATCCATGGAGTTCTGAAAGTTTGCATAATCTTAGCCAACAAACCTTGAATAAATTCGAAACCAGAGGCCTTACCTGCATAAATAGCAGCCCAGTTCTTTTGATTGAAGGCCTTTCTTTCCAATTTATCATCTTTCAAAACAATGTCACCAGCTTCAAAGACCTTAATTGGCAAAGAATGCTTTTGGTTTTCTCTAACGGTCTTCAACAAACCTGGCAACAAAGAGGTTCTAACGACTTGATATTCTGCAGTCTTTGGGTTTTCCAACTTGACCACAATATCATTATTGTCAACTTTATTCAAGAATTTGAAGTTTTCATCATGGGAGCACAAAGTCAATGGCATAACTTCTAACCATCCTGATTGGGAGGAGGCCAATCTTAAAATATCACTAACCTTGTTGATTGGCAATGGTTTAGCAACCAAAGCAGAAGATTGGACCTTTGTCTTGGTCAAGTTGTTGTAACCATATGCAATAGCAGCATCTTCCATAACATCACAAGCGTGCAAAATATCAGTTCTGGTAGGTGGAACAAGAACGGTCAAGTTGCCTTCCGAATGATCAACAACGTGCAAGGACATCTTGCTCAAAAGTTTGGAAATTTCTTCAACACTTAATTCTAACCCGAGACAAGAATTGATATATTCCTGTTTGACAACAAACTTCTTGGATTCCAAGTTTGGAGTGATTCTGGATTCGCCATTGTGTTCGGAAATGACCTTAATAGGTTCAATTTCAAATGGCTTGTCACAATATCTGGAGAACATACAAACCAAGGTATTAACAACAATCTCAACCTTGGTTCTATCGGTACCAGTAACATCAATGAAAACATTCTTGGTATCCAAACTAATCTTGGTGAGATCAGAGTTAATGATTGGAGGCATTGATCCCACATTGTCATTGGAGTCCAAGATTAATGGGAAAACTGGTTTATCTTTGATGATGTGTAAATACTTACCCAAATTCTTGTCCTTTTCATAGAAATCCATTTGTTCAAGACCAGTCATTTTCTTGGTTTGATTCAATGGGGTGAAAGAAAAAGATTTTGGATCTCTGGCATCGTAAGTAAAAGGTGGAGCCATCTTATCCAAATCGTGGGTACCCATGGCAACCAAAGTTCTGTGTCTACATAAGTTAGTGTGAAGCTTATCCTGCAAGGCGATGAAAGAGTTGTAACTTCTTTGGTTGAATGAAACGTTCCTTAAAATTGCACCCGCGGCATAAGGTCTGACTTCACTTGTGGATTCCTTGATGGTCAAAGTGTATTTTGGTTCTAAAGTCTTGTACACTGGGGTTTTGGCATTACCTAAGAACTCGTTCAATGATTGGGCAATACCTTCTATACACAACATATCGTAACGGTTGGCGCCAATTTCAATTTTTAATTCAGGTCTTTCACCAGGTTGACAATCTTCTGTGGTGTCTTCATCTAATTCGATACCGAATTCGAAACAAAGTTCGTCAAACTCTTCGGTGGTGTAGGAGCGACCTAAGAGGTCGAACAAATCCTGCTTGTCAACAGCAATGGTAGGCATTTTTAGTGACTGTTAGAGGGGTATTATTATCAGTGATAGCCTAATACATCACCTAATTTTTGGGAATTTGAAGTTGAAAAAAAAAAAAAAAAAAAAATCGCTGAGTGGAAGTGACCGATTACCCGGTACGCGATCCAAAATGATTCACCGTTAGTGCTTGTTCACTACAATTATATATATGGAGAGGTTCTATTGGACCTTTATTTAAAATGGTAAAAGTGAAAGGAGAAAAAAGAAAAGATATATTGAATACATTTATATATTGATATATATTTATATATCATTTAAGAAGCATTCTATTCATCTTTCCAGCCCAAAGCCCGCAAGTCACTTCTAACTTTTTCTTCAGTTTTTATCTTCAACACTTGGGTGTCTTCTAAGTTATCTCCAGCAGCCTGTTTCATCTTTAAAGTTTCAATAGCTCTCAACTTTTTCAACAAACTTCTAATCTTCTTCTCCTCCAAACTCACCACTCCACCAACAATACTTCCACCTGTAATTGGAGCTGAACTATTAGAGCTTTCTGAATTATCGGCAGAAGAAGGTTGTGTAGGCTCTTCTTTTTCCTTTGCAGCCTTTTTGGCTTCCTTCTTTTTACGATTTTTTGCAGCAGCCTTGCTTTCTTGCACAACAGCAGGAGCAGCGCCTGGAATACTCTTTGGTTTAGTTGGTGGTTTGTAAGTAGCTCCAATCTTAGATGATAATTCTTTTTCATAAAGAGTCTTTGCTGGACCATTACTAGAACTATTTCTCGCATGTGGAGGTCTATACGCACCGGTAGCCTTTGGTTTATCAGATACACTACTAGCAATCTTTGTCGCTTTCTGTAATTCGTGCTCTTGTGCGCTTTGATGAGCAACAACATCATTTTCGAGATTTTTCAATGGCGGGAAAGACGAAACTGGTTGTGGTCTCCAATCAACCGCAAATAATTCTTTGAACTCAGTCAAATAAACCAATTTACCACTGGCGTGCCAAACTTTAATACCATTATCCACTCTTAATCTTGGAGATGTGGTAGCAGTCAAGATGAATCTTCCGCAAGGGGACCAGTGACATACAGAGGTATTAGAAGCTTCAAAAGAGGTGATCTTGCTGAATTTCTTGGTTCTATCATAAATATCAACTGTGCCTTGTAGATTACCGAAACCTGCAACTAACACAAATTTCGCGTGAGGAGAAAATAATAAAGTGTTACGTGGAGATGGTGGTAAAGAATATATCAAGTTACCTCTGGCATCAAAGAATGAAGTTTGGGAAGGCATGTAACCATAAATTACCCCAAATTCCCTGGAAGATGGAGACCAGTTGATATCGTGGATTGGTCCTTCTTTATCTAAGGTAATCCTAGGATTGTAGGCTCCAGCAATACCCAAAAGATACAAAGCAGTTTCACCATAATAGGACTTATTTGAGGAGTCCACATCAGTAGAAGCCAATGCTAAGATGGCAGTACCTAAGCTATTCCATTTCAACACACATCTTTCAGCTTTAAAAAACGATTTGAAGCAGAGGGGCTGATTGAAACCATTTGCTGAGACATTGAAGACTTTCACAAAGGCAGGTTTACCTTTCTTTTCGGCAACAAAAACTGCGATAGCAGGGTTTTTACCAGGGGACAAAGCATACGCAGATATATCTTCGATTTGCAAAATGAAAGAAGGTTTATCAAAATTGATTGAGACAACACCGTCAAGTTCGTAAAAACGGACTTGGTTTGGATATAGTTTGGTCATAATTTTCTCATCGGCAGTGAACTGAGGTTTCCAGCCACCTTGAGCCTTAGCAGTATATTCCGCAATCTGAAGGTTTTTCTGGATATCAAAAATTTTGACATTCTTCGACCAAATAACATTATTACTACCATCGTCAGCAACTGATCTTATAGGTTTCGCCCATACCGCTAAGTAGGAGCCGCTTGGAGAAAAATGTAGGTCAAATACATCTTTGAGAGACAAGCTAACAACAACGGCACCAGTATCTGGATTAGTGATCGTGACACAATCAGGTTGGGTGTACGCAAACAACGAGCCATCAGGGCTATAACAGGCAGCTCTCACAATATCCGAAGGAGAGGCAAACGCCTTGAGCTGTTCATAAGAAGGGTTACCAGAAGATAAACCAACGCTCTTTGGGTTTCTATCTATACAGGTGTTAGTAGGTCGATGGCTGAGGAATAAAAAAAATCCAAAAAAAAAAAAAAAAAATCGTCACCACATTGCGGCTAAACACTTCAAAGTCTTTTGATTAAAGAAAAGTAGAGATTTTTATCGAGGGACTCTCATAATTATTGACCCATTGAAAATCGTCGATCACATACAATAAAATTGGGTGGTAACAGACATCGCAATAAGGAATAGTCAATGCTGTTGCTGTCAAGGTTGCTTGCTCTATGTACTTTGTACGAAAAGTTCAAAAGAACGTCAGTTTTGCTGCTGTTATCAGTATTCAGTCACCTTGGTGTCCATATCTGAGCTGCTAAAAGGGAAAGAAATCTTTCAGAAAATCATCGCTGAAAAACCCCCAGTGTATGGTTGCGCAGCCCTTGTGGGGGAAATCACCCTTTTTTTTTTTTTTTTTCCTCTTAGATTGAAAAATTTATTAAATTGACAGCGATTTTTCATATTATTTTATACCACATTATATCATGCCTGAATTGGAAGATCTATTTGAGCAGCTTAGGGAAGCTCACTCATCACAGCTTATTAATGACAACGAAGAACTACTGCTTGAAGAGAAAAAAGAAGATAAAGGATTCATCAAGGACACAAAGACATACAACCAATTGAAAACCAATATAAATAGACTTTCAAAGATAGAAGGAGAAGTAACATCTTCTATAAGGCAGAAACACAGTAACGATTTAATTTCAGACATACCTTTGGAAGGTGAAAAGCTCTCAAAGAAGGAAGCCAAGGCTCAAAAGGAAGAGACATCCGGTTCTAAATGGTTTAATATGCCAAAAGGTGATTTGCTGGATCCTAAAAACAAGAAAGATATTATGATTATTCAGCAGAGAGCGGTGTTGGACCCGAAGAGACACTATAAGAAGGATAAATGGAAGGTTTCAAAGTATTTCCAGGTCGGTACGATTGTTGAAGATAAATCCGAATTCTACAGCGCCAGATTGAAGAACAAGGAAAGACAACAGACATTGTTACAAGAAGTGTTGCATGATAAGGAAAGTACCAAATATTTCAAGAAAAAATACAGCGAAATCCAAGAACAAAAATCAAAGGTCATCACCTACAAGTCGAAAAAACGGTTCAGACGTTGATTTAGGCCCGCTCCCTGACCTGTTATTTCTGTACACTATTCGGCATTTTATTATTTTATAGTATATTTTTACATTGACATTCATTATTGCGTTTATTCATTATTGCGCTCATTCATAATTGTAAGTTTATGTTGATGGGTTCACGTGAATTCCGATCCCCGGAATTGGAAAACACGCGAAAATCGCCAAAACATCGCGGCCATCTTAACGTCGATTGGTGTTGTGTGTATCGATAAGCTGGATCAAGAAAGCGAGATAAGATGTCGGGCTCTCGGGTATACAATAATGATGCTATAGATGAGAATATTTTGGATAACCAGGACGAAGAGGAGGAAGAGGAGGATGAGGATAACAATATCCCTACCAGTCAACCAGATGACATAGATGTCGATGATGACGGTGATGATGATGAACCTGAAGATGATGCTGTTGAAGGTGATGATGATGATGATGATGATGATGATGATGACGACGATAATGACGAGGACGAAGATGACGAGGATGAAGGTGATGATAATTATTATGAAAGTGGAGACTTGAACACGGTAGGAAATAGAGCTGATGGTGGTGCAGAGACCGAGGTACGTTACGAATACTTAGAAGATAAGACTAAGAAAGACCTGGTGAAAGTAACGATGGACCAGATGAAAGAATTTCTTGAAGAAGGTATGGATAATGAAAACGGCAACGAAAGCGATAATAAGAGAAAAAATGAAGACCAGTCGGATAATCAGATGAAAAAATTAAAGGCCGATGACTATTCCCAACCCACAATAGCTTCTGATAACTCAACCAGAGTAGAAAATGGTCCACCAGAAAAGCTAGCACCATTGGAGATACGTGAAAACATAATAAGACGAGGAAAGGCTGCTGCAAACTATGATATAATACCTAACGTCGCCATACCGTACTCATGCCAAATTCAGTCTCTATCACTAAGTGGTGGCTGCAAATGGTTGTTCACGGGTGGTGATGATGGTTTTGTTAGAAGATACGATTTCCTTGCTTCTTTTGAAGGCCAGACTCCTTTGACAGTTGCACAAAAGCATTCACTTGTCGATTCAATTACAAATGCCGGTGTTATTATTTCATACTGGGAAAACGAACAGCCAGTGAAAAAATCAAGCTTGAAATTGAAGAAGAGCGTTGCTAATGGTAGTAGTTTGTCAGCAATCAATAACGAGACATATGAGCCAAAAATTTCACCGGTTTATTCTCTTGCGGCTCAATCACAAGCTTTGTGGTTGGTTTCCGGTTTGAAGCTGGGTGGGATATCTTTGCAATCAGTTAGGCATCAAGAAGGTACTATCCAAGCATATTTGAAAAAACACACCGATACAGTTAGTGTTTTAAAATTAAATAATGAGGAGAATAAATTACTCAGTGGAGGCTGGGATAAAAAATTATATGAATGGGATTTGAATTCTGGGAAAGTTATTAATGATTATAAATCTTTAATGGGCCAGGTTTCAAGTATAGAATACCGTCCCGAAAGCTCCTTTGAAATTGATCTGGCTAAATACTTAGATAATGACGATATTATCAAAGATGATGACTATGATTCATTATTTGGCTCTGATGATGAAGACGAGCAGAAGGATGAGTCAAAGGATCATCAAAAGGAAATGAAGCCGCTAAAAGTTGAATCGGAAGATGCGACTGTGAGTATTACGGAAGCAGTACCGACCTCTAAAAAGAAGAATAATTCGCCGTTTTCTTCCGTTCCTTCCCTCGATAATAATATTTTCATGTCGTCGACAATCAATGGTATAATCAATGTTTGGGACAAGCGTATCAACAAGAGTGTTATTGATTTTAAAGTCCCTCAGAACACCCCGCCGTGGTGTATGTCTAGCAGTTGGTCATTTGATGGTAATAAGATTTTTGTGGGAAGAAGAAATAACTGTGTTGAAGAATTTGATTTAAAGATGCCTTACGGCAATTTCAATAATAAAGACCCCAAGGTTTCAAAAGTCCTCAAATTCCCAAACTTATCTGGACCTGTTTACACTGTGAAATCTTTGCATAATAATCACCATCTCCTTTGTGGGTCCAATGACAATATCAGATTGTATGATTTGAGCTTACACTCACAGGACCAAGATAAACATAGTGCTATTCCATTTCAGATCATTCCTGGTCATCATGGCGGTGTGTTGAGCACTGTTTATGTTGACCCAACTTGTAGGTTTATGATTAGTGCTAGTGGTGACAGAGGTTGGCAAGGTCAAAGTACAGAAATGGTGTTGATGTATGAGATCAAATCTTTGACTAAGTAATGATCCCTATGAGTATCTTTTTAGAATTCTTTGGGCCGACCGGTAATACGGTCGGTTGCATTCTTGTTTCTGCTTTTATATATGGACCGTCGCCTAGTTTGCATCTTATATTTTGTTAAATTCAACACTAGTTTATTGGTTTATTCACATAATAAATATCTTCCGAAACTCTTACGCTTTCAATTGACCATTAATATACAAATCAGACACATAGTAAAGACGCTGATAAGAAAAAAAGAAAAAAGAAATTAAAAAAAAAGGTATCTTAAACACATCAAAGCAAGGCAAATCAAGAGAACACTTTTTCACTGAGATGACTCAAGCTATCAACAACCCCATTAATATTAAAGCTATTATGGCTATTAAGAACCGTTCTGATTCCAAAATATGAACTTTTTCCCAAACTATAAAGTTCATTTTGCATCGCTTGGATATTGTGATTTTTGGGAAAATATAAACCTTGAAAGAATTTAAATTCTGAGTTTTCGGATAAGTAAATATTAAGGAATACCGAAATAACACCGACGAGAAAGCTGATCTTGAGAAATCTGTGGTTTTTGAAAAATCTGGCGACCACGGAGTTGTTGTTGTTCAATGGATAAAGTATGAGGTTCAAGTAATTCATTGGAGTTTGTTTGGATTGTTTCAATTTATTTCTCTTAGTTGCTTTTTCTTTCATCATCAATTTAAATTGACGCTCTTGTTCTTCTCGTTCGCGCCGCTGCTCCTCGAGAGCTTCTTCAACTTGCTTATTCATTATTTCGGCAGCCAAACTTAGATCATTATTTTTAGCACAATTTCGTTCTGAATTTTTAAGAAGCGACAGTGATTGGTGGTCAAATGAGTGGTTACCTTCGGTGCCTCTTCCTCCGGGAATAACCTTTGAAGTATTTTTAAGGACACAGTAGGAACTGAGGGAGATTTTTAATTGAGATTTTGCATCAGTAGTCTTCTGGAATACTTTTGATCCTTCAATTTCGAGAATTTCTGTGAATATCGGAGAATCTTTCATCAATTCATTAGTCTTCTTGAAAACCTCTAATAATATTGATTTGTTTTCTGTGGTTAGTCGACTATTTGTGATAAAATCACTAACCAAATTGGACAAAATGTTGTGCAAGTAATCAAAATTAATCAACTCAATATCACTGTCAGCATATCCAATAAAATCGCTGCCAGATAATGAAGAAGTATTTCTATATTGACTTTCAGTAACCGCTGTATAAGTTTCCGCGCTGGCCATCAAATCCTTATGGTATTTAGCTTCATCGATTCCTTGGTTTAAGGTACCCTCACTGATAGCAGTACTATGGTTACTCAAAATACTATCAGTCAAAGTGTCGTTTTCACTAATATAAGAATTAGTATAACTAGGCAACACGTCCTCGGTACTTTCACTTATCTTGCTGAAAATGTTTTCGAAAATCAAATTTAAAATCTGGCTCTTATTGCACAAAAGAATCTCTGAATAGAGATAAATAGCACTATATATAACACTTCCGCTGCTGGCTGAAGATGAGAGCAAGAAATCAAAAATATAGCAAATATCGTTATAGCTACCGACGTCATGAGTGAATAAAGTAATGATAGAGGACAACGAATAATACGGTTTGAGATTGTTCAAAATTTTGAAAAAATTATAATCCCTATTGTAGATGATGAGCAAAATCAAATTTAAATGATTCACCGATGAGTTAATTGTCGGCACCATATAATCCCGGAGGTGCATAAGGGTCAACTTTTCTAAAAACATAAATGATTTATCCACATTATTATTGAACACAAGTAATATCAACTGGGCGATATCATGATATCCTTGGTAGTATGATAGATTGGGGTATTTTCTCAAAATTTTGAATATAAGCAACTCCAAGTTGACTCTCAACAGCGGAAGTTGAGTTCTATCTTTAGGATAATTTGTAAAAGATCTATTAATATCCAATAGTACCTGGCTTTCATCTTTATGAGCCGGAGCATTTTCATGGGCAAATGTATACAATTTAGCATCATCGATGTTTGTAATTCCCAAGAACAAAGGCCATGCTTGGGATCTAAGTTCATTGGAAAGCAAGCCTTCACGAGAAATTGATAGATTGATCAATAAATTTAAATCATTTAAAGTTATTGCTGTTTTGATACTCGAAACTTTCAAGTCTTTTCTATCCTTGGATAACGGATAATCTAAAAATACCGATTTGCCGATATCTGTAAACTCCAAATTGACCCATTCGGGGTTAGCATTAGTAAGCCCTCCGCCATTCCCAAGTTGATCAGGTCGAGTGAGTTTTCCCAATTTTTCACCTGATGGGCTTTGCGATATAATGTTTAAGAACAGTGACTGTGGTTTACTTGCCCCTATATTATTTTTTGCATAATGTTGGCTTTCAGACGACCCGGTCTTGACGTGATTATCATCGTGAAAACCGCTTACTTCATTGTTATCGATGGCTAGTAAATTAAAAGAGTTGGCGTGCAAACTTGATGTGCCAGCTACCATTATTTCAGAAGCAATTTTAATCAGTGAGTCAGGCAATAGGATTTCTTGAAAGTAAAGGTCTGCTATAGTGTTAGCAAGTATCGTAAATCCGTGCCCAAATTCTCCGAGAATTCCTTTTATTTTTATTCTATCAAATATCAATTTGTCGGCAAAAGTGCTTGTAACCAAGTCATCGCATAATTTCCACCATTTTGGTATAACCTCTACAAAAAAAAAAAAGAAAAAAAAATTCCTTTTACCCTAGATATATAGACTGCCTAAGATTATATTATATTATGAATGAACTATATTATATCAGAAAACCACCCGTGAAATAAATGCAAAAGATATGAAAAAATGAATCGAACAAAAACATCAGTAAGAAAAATTTTGTTTGTAGACAAAATAGTGATCAAAGGTCCACAGCCATCTCTTGTGAAGCAGCTTCTGCTTGTGGTTTCTCCGCTTCAATAGTAGTGGATTTTTGGTCTCCGTCTTTTTTCTTGAGGTGAGAGGACCCTTTTTCTAACAGGATTAAAGGAGAGATATGGGTATTGACAACATTATTTATTATGGTCTTCTTTTTGATAAATTGTTCCAAATTGTTCCCTGCAGCAGCATCAGCTTCTAATTGGGTGTAAGGGCCCTCTTTTATAAGCTTCAATCTTCTCTTGTGAACCTTCCCTTTTCTGTGGGAAGCCAAAGCTGTTGAGTTTTGAAAATATTTCGCACATTCCACACAGTAATGTTGGCCCAAGCCCGGTTTATCTTCTTGTAATGGCTGGTTTTTTAACTGGTTTATTGACTCTGGGGTTGACAAGTCACCGTAGACCTGGTCGATGTTCTTGACACGACGTTTGGTCTTAAATCTCATGGTAGTAAGTTTCCCCATATTGCACGATTAGGTCTTGGTATTTATATTTCTTCTATTGTCCTGTATATTACGTCCAGTGTAATACAGCGCTCGAATGAAAAATATTTTTTTCTCAATTCTATGCAACTTGATACTTCCGCGCCCTGTTATATTATGTAATATATTATTTATATTCTCATGATGTTACTTTAGGGCTTTTTATGTCAAAAAATCTTTATCATTAACAGTCACTTATTGCTTTTCTCTATGTACACGTGATACATAGTGAAAAACTATTAATTTGTAATCACCGTTAATCGTTACCCGTCGGTAAAGCCTCTGAGAGTATGTGGGTACTCTGAACAAAAAAAAAAAATCTCTTAACTTCACCGCCATCACTGACGCCTGTTGAAAGACATTAAAGTATTAAATTAAATTAGTTCAAGATGGCCAGAAGAGTATGTTTTATTGCTTTATGATATGTATTGAAGGTCCGGCTTTCCACTGATTACTCTCATCTCTCATGTTTATTTTTTCAATAATTTCCGGCCAATATCATTCGTATGGGGTATTGTCATTGTATGAAGATCGATTAGCAAAATACTCTTGAATATGAACACCAATTATTAAGATTCCTCAACTACCATATTCAAAAGACTTCAATTATATATTTCAAAAGGCAACATTTGAAGAACTGGTGAACGAGCTTGTCAAAATTTGTGAATATTTGCCTCCCATGAGTGATTAGTAATGTGGATTTTTGATCCTTCAAAGTGATTATATTCTAAATAAGAGAGGTCTTGAATACTAACAATATTAATAGCCAGCTAGATGTTACAGATACTGTAAGAACAAGCCTTACCCAAAGTCCAGATACAACAGAGGTGTCCCAGATGCCAAGATCAGAATTTATGATTTGGGTAGAAAGAAGGCCACTGTCGATGAATTCCCATTGTGTATTCACTTGGTTTCTAACGAATTAGAACAATTGTCTTCTGAAGCTTTGGAAGCTGCTCGTATTTGTGCTAACAAGTACATTACCAAGGTTTCTGGTAGAGATTCTTTCCACTTGAGAGTCAGAGTCCACCCATTCCACGTTTTGAGAATCAACAAGATGTTGTCTTGTGCTGGTGCCGATAGATTGCAACAAGGTATGAGAGGTGCTTGGGGTAAGCCACACGGTTTGGCCGCCAGAGTTGACATCGGTCAAATTATCTTCTCTGTTAGATGTAAGGACTCTAACAAGGAAGTTGCTATTGAAGCTTTGAGAAGAGCCAGATACAAGTTCCCAGGTCAACAAAGAATCATTATCTCTAAGAAGTGGGGTTTCACCAACTTGAACAGAGCTGATTACTTGGTCAAGAGAAACGCTAACGAAGTCAAGGATGATGGTTCTTTCGTCAAGTTCTTGCCAAAGAGAGGTTCTTTGGAAAAGAACTTCAAGGAATTCCCAGACTACTTCTTGGCTTCCGCCTAAATGGTTTAGTAGCATCTTTATAATTTGGATTTAAATTTTTTAGTTTAATAAAAAGTGCTCACTGAATTAAATTTTAAAAAATCTTCTACAATTGTAGGTATTTGTTTCCAGTGGTTAATGCTCTACGATAATAGCTTTACTTTATAGATATCAGAATAACTGTCCTCAAATATTCGATATTGTAGGTGAAATAGCCCCTCATAAATTACTATAAACAGAATAAGCAAATGATCACACTACCAAACGAACGTATGCCAAAATCAAGGCAAAGGTACCAGTACACACCCCAATTAACCATTGCATCACCTGGGTTTTCATACTGTCTATTTGCATTTTCATGTTACTGATTTCCTGGTCGATTCTTGTATCTGTTTCTTTAATATGTAAGTGATGCATCGAACTTTCTTCCTTTAATCTACCCTTCTCTAAACTCAAGTCAAGTCTAACGCCCGCCTGTGATTTGCTGATTTCTTCTCTGATCTTTTGCCTCAACTTTTCAAGCTCTAGTTTAACTCTTTCATACTCATTGTTCATCTTCGTGAATTCACTTGTATCAAGGGATTGTAATTCACCTTTCAACTTCACGAAGTCAACCTTCTGCTTATAAGAAACTGTGGATAGCGTTTCTTTGGATATGAAATCATTAGTGATGGTCTTTATTCCTTTCCCCATAGATTGCGATACTATTCTTATTATTGCCTCTGACTGTTTTTCGTTGAAGTCATTGCTCATAAGATCATCATTAAACTTTTTGGTGTCAAATGGGATTTTGTTTACTTGGAAGTACTTCGGCGTAGTGGAAAACCTCGATGTTAACAAAGGCCTTACATTGAAATTCCAGGGTATATGGCACAAGCGGCCAGGTCCAGTAGTGAAAAGCATTGTTGTTGTTGTTGTTGTTGTTGTTTTTGTTGTTGTCAGTAGTGGCGATAGTGTTGATGATAGATGGCACACATATCACTCGCTCTCTCATAATGATTTCTCCCTGAGAAAAAAGTTGGGGGTGAATTTAAGACAGGGTAATTCCCTCTCTTCCTTTCTCCTTTCTCGTTCTCCTCCTTTATGCCTCCACTCACTCAACATCCAAAGAAAATTAATATAAAGTTACCTGATGGGATGCTTTTATATGTGTGTGATTGACAATGGTTATATTGATATCATTCTATTCATCTCACCTTTTGAAATCATACCATTTTTGTTGTTTTGTTGACGCTTTGAGTACTGTTTCACGTGATCGCAATTTGTTTGACACGAAAACTGGGAAGAATCAGAAGAAAGCTTTCAGCGACTGCGAGTATTTAGAGATAGCGCAAATATCATAAGCCACTTATCACTCCTCATCAAAAAGTGTTACTATAATCACTGAATTGCTCCTTTTACGAAGCAATCTTGATAGGGCTTTTACTGGTACAACTTTGCTTGAATATTCATCCTTCACTGAATTTTGCCTCGCTCCAAAAGGAAGGTACGAAGGAAGGAAGTTCTTATTATTTTTGATCGTTAAGCGTTCACCAAGAACATCTTACGAATCGGCTGAAACGTCTGGCTCTGTTAGTTTTACTAATACGCTAGTTGTGCCCTTTTGTGTTCCTTCTTTACTATTTTTAAGTTGAAAAGGTTGCTGAGGTATCAAAATGAAGGCTAATCGTGGTGCTAGTGGGAATGGCAATTCTTTTAATGGAGGAACCAACACTCAAAAACGCTCCAATCTACGCTCAAACTATAGAGGTAACAACGGCCGTAACTCTACTGGTAATGGTAAGAATGATGTGATTTCCCCGGCTAATGGGAAAAATGATCCCAAAATCTCTGCTGTTGAAAAGAACTTGGTGTCTTTGTTCAATTTGAACGACCAGCAAATAAATCAACACATGAAGGACCGTTTCAACTTCCTTTTAATCAATGCTATTGGTTCCAAGGCCATTGCTACAGTTAGCTCTGGCTCCAGATTCAAAGGTATTGTCACTGCAGTTGACAATACAACTTTATCTGTGGTTTTGACTAACCCTGAATTATTTGAAAGTGTTTTGGGAGAAGATTCCGGCAATGAGGAACTACCAAAGGAATTGATTATCGAATCAAAAGATCTTATGGATTTGGAGTTGCTTAGTGTAGATTTTTCTACTACTCTATCTAAGAAATCCCAAAGCTTGGCCCCAATTGGCCACACCAATGCCAAGATAGGCTTCAAAACTGATACTGATATTTCTGGTAATTTGCAAGTGAAGGAAAGGGATTTACAACGTTGGACTCCTGAAGGTGCTGAAAGTAATACCACTGCATTGTTAAGTGGTGGTTTAGAAGATGATATTGATCACAATGGTAGTTGGGATCAGTTTGCAGTAAATGAAAAGAAATTCGGGGTTCAGTCTACTTGGGATGAAAATTTATACACTACCAGATTGAATAAAGATTCTCCAGACTACCAAGCCAAATTGAAAGAAGCAGACAGGATTGCCAAAGAAATCGAAAACCAAGGATTCAATGGTAACATTCACTTGGCTGAAGAAAGAGGTATATTTGTTGATGATTCTGGCATGGATGAAGAAGATAAGTACTCTGGGGTTGATAGATCCGGTGCTGATAAGAGAGGTAATGAATTAATGGCTGCTTTGAGAAGTGGAGTTTCCAGTGGAAGCACAATGGAAATCACTAAAAACAATTATTTGCCATCTGCTGTTAATGGTAAATACATTCCTCCAAAACAAAGAAACGAAGTTCATAACTTGGATCCTGCAATCATTTCTAGTATGAAGCAAAGTGGAGCATCACCTTCTCCTGTTTCGGCATCTTCTTCTAAGAAAAGCGCCCAAGTTATTTCTCCTCCTCAAGTAAAGCATCATCATGGCCACCAATCCCATCTTCATCATTCTCATCAAGAACTGAAATTGGCGGGACTCAAGTCAAAGACTTCAAATGAAGATAATAGATTGAATGCCCAGCGGGAGATTAACTCTCTCAAAGAGTTTTCCCAAAACTTCAAGATTCCTCAAAAATTCCCAAAAGATTTGTTGCCTATATTATCAAAGGATAAGCAGAAGCAACAGGAAATTATTAAACGAGCCAATGCTAATGCATCTGAACTGCCAAGTAAAGAAGCGCAAAGCTCTAGGGAAAATACCACTGCTTCTTCCAAAGCAACTGTTTCAAAAGATAAACCTACTGGTTTACCTAAGGCATCCACATCTTCACCAGCTGTTAAACCATCTGGATCAACATCACTTACAGGCTCAATTTCACCTGCTGATAAAGCTGGATTGCCTCCTAAGCCTCCTGCTTCTCGTAGCTCTAATCATTCATCAACTGTTAACTCTCCAAAATCTGCTGCAGCCACGGTCTCATCAGCAGCGCCAAATGTTGCATCGCCATTAGCCGCACAGACTTCTGCTGTTCCTCCTAAGAAAAAAATGGATCCAAGGGCTCAATCCTTCAAACTCAATCCAACCGCTAGGTCGTTCACTCCGGCTAATGGTTCTCCTATGAAGAACTTTTCTAAGATAAATAACAGTCCTTCGAGGCAAAATGTTCACATGGAAGAGTCATATATGAACCCTCAACATAACCATCAGCATCATAATCATCATAACCAAACACACAGTCCGCGTCCATCTAAGCGTAACTACTCTCCGCAAGTGTTCTCGGTTAAGATTCCTCGTGTTGGTGAACGAAGAACCCTCAACGATGGAGATTTCAATTTCATTCTACAATCGAGTGATGTGATTGAAAAAGCTTACCAAACACAACCAACCTGGGGAGCTACAACGACTGAATCTCACAAGAAGCTTTATCCATCAGAAATGCCTCAGCATTTCGCTGGTGGTAATGGTCTTCGTGGTCCAGGTATAAATATGTCGATTCCTAGGAATGCTATGGGCAATGGCATGATGGGAGGTATGGGCAATGGAATGGGCGGATATGGTTTCTATAATGGCGGTGGTGCTCCAATGATAGCAGGCGGTCAATTTATGAACCCAATGGCTGGAAGTCCGTTCAACTTATCAGCTGGTGGATTTGTATCTTCAATGCCAAATCCGATGATGAACCAAATGCCTGGTGCTGATCCGGCATTTTTTGCCCAAATGAACCCAGTTATGGGTGCTGGTAATATGGGATTCCCATATGGCGCTGGCGCTGGTGTACCACCTCAATTTATGGCTGCTGCTCAAGGCAGACATATGGGAATGATGCCAGGGCAACCAGGTCCGGTGGATCCAATGAGTATGTTGTATCCACAATTTCAGAATGGGGGTGGTAGAGGACCTAACATTGGGAGACATGCTGGAGGTGGTGGTCCAAACATGTCACCACAAATTAACTATGGAAATTTTTAGGCTTCTGTTCTTTTATTGATGACCTCTTCTTTTGAATTTTCCTTAAAGGATAGTTATTTCTAATGAAGTTAAAAGTTTTTCTTGAATTCATCAAGATCTAATAAAAAAAAAAAAAAAAATTGTAAGTATCTTTACATATTAAATTCCGCGATGCCAATAATCAAAAATATCATTGAGAAAAGATATTTGTTGACGTTTTGTTAAGGCCCATGGTTTTTAACAAGTGTTTTCGGATAGGCGGTATAGGGAATGCAGTTTGATTCTCTGGTTAGAGTAGATTGATTCATTTGGATATAAAGTAAAAAAATTCTTTGGGTATGTTCTAGTTTACCAAGTTCTCTGTATTTTCAGTTCTGTTGGGTACTATAGACATTATTTAGGCTTGAGACACCTTATTTTCTTTAACTTAACTTCTGTGATGTATATTGCATCTTCCCTGAACATCCCCGTAGTGTCACCCACAATCAATTTAATTTTCATCAAATTTGTTCATTCTTCTACGTATTGACATATTATTACTACTACTGTCATTATGTAAGATCAAATTTTTTCTATAAAACTGGTGAGTTACAAACAATGGATGAATTATCTAATAATCCTCAACGATGTATAGGGTACAAAGAAGTATAAAATGGTTTACGAAGATGATGAAAAATAATTATTTTACAGAAATGCGTTTTCTTTTTCCCGTAAGCAAATATCAAATTTGTTGTTAATGGTTATAAATCTGAATCAAAACACGTTTCTCAGGTTGAAAAAATATGAAAAATAGTCTGTTTCAAGAGGCATATTAAATGGCAAGGACGATCAATTTGATAAGAAAATTTTTTCGCAACATCTGAGAACTTAGATACCAAGAATCATTCTTGATACGATAAATAGAAGCTTGGAGTCTTCTCACCCCAGTAGCATAGTGGCAAATCCTATAGAGTTCCTCAAGAACATCTTGAAAAGAATTTTCAAGTTTCAAGCCTTGTAAGAAATCAAATTTAGCATATGACAGATGGTCCAGGGTGTTTTTTATTTCAGAGCCGTTAGTCTTTAAATCTACTTTAACATAAGGAAGGATTAGCCCTTTTGCTATGCGGAAAACAGCTTATAGCATTACATAAATTGTTGACATCCCCATTAATGAGGATATGGTTTGATTAACACCGTGGTGAAGGACAATCCAACTCTATGTATGTAAGAGAGGGAGGCAGGAGAACTATATATTGGTGACCCGGATGAAAATGGGAACAGGCACCCCCACGGCCGTCGAGGCACGCCCCATGGTCAAACTTCAACTTCATCATCTCCACCCTTGACCTGATCTGGTATTCCTATAAAACTAAAGTATAATGCTCTTTGTCGTTATATTTGCCTATTTATTTATTATCATTCTGCGTGGCTAAATATTTTATTCTAGAAATTCAGTTAACTCTTGTTGTTAATCAAATAACCACAGGGTGGGTGAAAATTTTTTTTAGTACGCGTCTGTATACATGGCCAACCCTTTTAACAATGTAACACCCTAGAATCTTGAGGGAACTAGACTTTTGCCCGAGTTTTCAGGGATGCCCTTCCAAAAAAAATTTTATATTAGACATACACATCAAGTTTACTTTGTTGGTTGTGCAAGACCAGCTTCTAGGACTACAACCAATATGAGAACTGAAATGGAGGTTAAGATATAAAATATATAAATGTTTTAACCAAGAAAATAGTTTAACATTTTCCTAGCTTCTAGAAACACATGTATCAAAGAACAAAATAATAAGAAAAGTGAAAATCATAAAGCAAAAAGTGTCATTATATGGTGAACCTATAAATACAACATAATTAAAGAAAATCAAGCTGGAGAGTCGCCGTAGATACCCCAACTTTGTTCAACGTTGTAAGCACCTGGGCTCTTCCATTTGTCATTGTAAACAGTGAATAAGAATACAGAGGCACCGGCTTCCTTCTTAATAGAAGTAAGAGCAGCTTCTTGGTTGGCAACACTTGGGACAGCATCACCATTAGCATCACCAGAGTGTGGCCAGCCAGTTTCGGTGATCAAGACATTCTTACTGGAACCACAAGTAGTATAAACATCTTCAATTTGTTTAAGCAACCAAGTACCAGCATCAGCAGCAGCAACACCACCATCGAAAAATGGGTGACAGTTAACGGCAACATAATCAGAGTATTTACACAAGTCTGGGTTAGCAGTGACAGCAACCAAAGTATCAACGGAAACGATTTGACCAGTGTAGCCCTTGCTAGACAAGGCAGACTTGGCAGTGCTAATGGCAGCTTCGATTTGAGCTGGGGTAGCTTCGCCAGAGTTAACCAATTCGTTACCAACACTAACAGTGTCAACAACACTCCAGTCCTTACCAGCAGCTTGAATTTGAGTCCACATAGAACTGACGTCAGCTTCGATGGTAGACAAGGTGTACAAACCAGCGAACAATTTTTGGTCAGAAGACATAGCACTCAAAACATTTTCAACACCTGAACAATCAACAGCATAAAGTCTGATGATGTCGTAACCAGACAACTTGGAAATATCGGTCTTGACTTCCGCAGCACTCTTACAACTACCTGAATCGGAATAAGGAGAATAGGTAATACCTAAAGCACCAGCAGATCCAATACCGGATGAGGCGGCACTACTAGAAGAAGATGAAGAAGAGGCGCTAGAACTGGCAGCAGATGAACTGGCAACAGATGAAGTGGCAGCAGAACTGGCAGCAGCAGAACTGGCAGATGAGGTGGCAGCCAAAGAAGAAGAAGTAGTACCTTCAACAACAGCTTCCTTAACAGCTGCAAGAGTTGGGACTACGGTGGTGGTAGCTGCTGGAGTGCTGGTGGCTTCACCATCGTCATAAACAGTCACGACTTCATTGACGGTTTGGATGTTGTAATCAGTCTCATAGACAGTTTGGACATTTGGCTTGGCTTCTCTTTTGTGAATGTGTCTCTTGTTGACATCAGCAGAGACCATGGAAGGCACTAAGGCCATAAGAATAACGGAAGCAAACTTCATTTGGTTGAGGGTAGTGAAAATCAAGTTAAGAACAATAGAAATATACGCTGGGTGAAAAAAGAGTATGAGGTAAAGAGTGTACGTAAAGATTGAATAGTTTGACTAATAGTGGGTTTGGTTGAAGGAATGAATCACTATTGGTGGGTAAACTGGTTGACAAAAAAAAAAAAAAGATTTAGAAGATTTTTTGACTACGCGGGTGGCATAATCTGCTTTATATAGAAATATTCGCTAGTGCCTCGAATTTCTGTGGTATGTTCGAAACCACAACGCGCGGCAAGTGGGCATGCGCCGTGGTGCAGGAGCGCGCCTTCCAACAACCGCCCCTTGGAGCCCTGGGGGTTACAAACTACCATGCGTCAGAAGCATCTACCATGGATCATGCTATTGTGCCAGTGGATATCTTCTCAAAACCCCAGCAACATACTGTATTTGGACACCAGACACAATGCTGGCAAAAATTGTCAACAAACCACAAAACATGGCTGAACAGACAGTTACAGGAAGAAAAAAAAAAAAAAAAAAGAAAGTATATATATATAAATGTATATATATGTAAACTGTATAATTAGAGATGTAACTTGATTAATTCGAGATACTTGTGAAAAATTGACATAAAAGAGGGGGAAAAAAAAATTAAATATATAGATTGATGAAGTCTCTAATGGTGGAATAAACGAATTGGATTTTCAACGTAAACCAATCCATAAGAATCAGCTGCATCAAACACAGCTTGATCCATAACACTACCGGTTGGAGCAGCAATGTACTTCACACCAGATCTCACAGCACGGTGGACATTATCTGGGAATGGGAAAAAAGCATCAGAAGACAAAGCAACATTGTTCAACTTGCCCAACCATTCTTCTCTTTCCTCTTGGGTCAAAATAGCTGGAATTTCTTCAAACTTAGATTCCCATTCAGACTTTTCTGGTTCAATCTTTGGAACTTGGTTAGAAACATACAAGTCAATAGCATTGGCCTTGTCTGGTCTCTTAGCACCCTTCTTCCACTTGAAACCCAAAACCTTTGGATGTTGTCTCAACCACCAGTTGTTGGCTTTGTCTCCAGCCAATCTGGTACAGTGGATACGAGATTGTTGACCAGCACCCAAACCAATAAGCATACCATTGATAGCGTAAGCAACAGAGTTCGATTGGGTGTACTTAAGAGCAATGGTGGCAACAGTCAAATCAATGATAGCTTGTTGATTTAAAGACTTGTTCTTGGAAACAACCTCCTTAAAAGAGGAAGAGTTGATGATAGCATCATTTCTCTTTTGTTCCAAAGTGATGCCATAGACTTCTCTTTTTTCAACGGCTTCTGGCTTGTAATTTGGATCAATCTTCAAAAGACAATATTTACCATTCTTCTTCTTTTTCAATAATTCCAAAGCTTCTGGTTCATAACCTGGAGCAATAACACCATCACTAACTTCTCTAGAAATGATCTTGGCAGTTGGCAAATCGACAATGTTAGACAAAGCAATAAAATCACCAAAGGATGACATTCTGTCAGCACCTCTAGCTCTAGCATAGGCATTGGCTAAAGGAGACAAGTTTTCAATGTCTTGAACAAAGTAAATTTTCTTCTCAATGTCGCTCAATGGCAAACCAACAGCAGCACCGGCTGGAGAGACGTGCTTGAACGAGGCAGCAGCTGGCAAGTTCAAAGAAGCACTCAATTCTTTAACCAATGGCCAAGAGTTCAAGGCGTCTAACAAATTAATGTAGCCTGGAGAACCATTGAGAACTTCAAATGGCAATTTACCTTCTTTAACATAACATTGAGCTGGTTTTTGATGTGGGTTAGCACCGTATCTCAAAGGCAATTGAGAAACACCTTCACTGTACTTCTTTCTGAAGAAGTCGCTGATGGCAGTATCGTAGTCAGCAGTGTGTTCAAAAGCCTTGAGTGCGTATCTGTTTCTGGATGATTCGGAAATTTCACCATCGTCAAGCTCCTTAAGGAAACCAGCGTAATCCTTTGGATCACTCAAAATTGTGACCCTGGCATGGTTTTTGGCGGCAGCTCTCAACAAAGTGACACCACCAATATCGATTTCCTCAACAGCTTCGCTGATACTAACCAAAACTTTTTTCACAGTTTCCTTGAATGGGTACAAGTTGCAAACAACGAAATCAATTTTCTCAATACCTTGAGCAGCTAAGTCAGCTTCATCACTTGCAATGTCTCTGGACAAGATACCACCATGAACAGCTGGATGCAAAGTCTTGACTCTACCACCCAAAATTTCTGGAGCATGAGTGACAGAGCTAACATCTTCAACTGGGAATCCAGATTCACGGATCAAATTAGCAGTACCACCAGAGGCAAGAATTCTAACGTTGTTCTTGACAAGGCCTTTCACCAAGTCCAAGAGACCAGTCTTATCGTAGACGGAAACAATAGCAGTCTTTCTATCAGACATTATGAATTGTTATTATGAGCACCTTAAAACTAAGTGGGAAAAACAAATTTTACTTTGTGCAAAGAGTATTGGCTCCCAGGAGAGTGAAGAAAATAGAGACTGATCGGCCAAGGGAAAGGTTGTTTTTGAGATTGGAGCAATGGCTGACTCTTTTTTTCCCATAGGAAAATTTTTGATACGATCAGCAGCATCCCCGCGTGATAGTTGCAGAATGTCGAGTCAACAATAAATTAATTCAACAATTATTAGTATCAGAAATTTCAGGCTCACAGTAAAAGGTTTTCAAGCTGCATAGACTTGACACACTTTATATAATGACGCTAGGCTTATTGTTTTCACTATTCTATCCATCGTGGAAGCTTACTAATCTGTCACTTCTATCGAATTAAACTGCTACAACTTTACATATAACAATGTTGCGATGGTAAAATAGATTTATATTAGTCGGCAAACTTGATCCTTCAATAGCATATTTGCTTTCAAAATACCAAAAAGCTTCAAAAATTCAAAACACACCTCACCAAAAACAAAGAATGCAAATATTTTTGAATAGAGTCCGTAGTGGATTTCATCAAAACATTTACTTTCTGTATCTCCACAAAGACAAGGTGTTGTGCTTCTTCCAAGTGTGACGACGACCAGCCTTGGTGTTGTTGTACAAGTGACCCTTGTTGATACCTCTGGACTTCTTACCGGTAGCAGTAAGACCTCTAGATTCTCTGTGTTTGTGGACTGGGTTGACGATCCAGTTGTATTTGGCATCTCTTCTGATAGCCTTGTGTTGTGGATCGACCAAGATAACTTCGAAGTACTTGTAAGTAGAATCTTGGTTAACCCAGTAAGAGTTCAAGACTCTCAAGTTAGCAGCTCTTCTGCCGACTCTTTCTTCAGCAGTTTGTCTCAAAGACTTTTGGTACTTCAATTGGTTGACACCCTGGTTGGTTGGCTTACCGTAAGTAGCACCCTTTGGAACTGGTCTCTTTCTACCACCTCTTCTAACTCTGATTCTGTAAACAACAAAACCTTGCTTAGCCTTGTAACCCAATCTTCTAGCCTTGTCTGGTCTAGATGGTCTAGAAGCTCTGTGGATGACATTCTTTTGTCTGTATTCCCAACATCTGACTCTGTGCAAGAATCTCAAGACATCGGATTGTTTCTTTCTTTGAAGTTCTTCAAGGTATTTGTAAGCACCCATTGTTAATGTGTTTGTATATTACGAGAATAGTGTTGTCAGATGTTAAAGAGGTAGAAAACTGGTCGGCGATTTTTGTTTTTTATTTATTTTTTCAATCCTCTAGAAAAAACTTTTCACACTGAAAATCAAGGGCGCAAAGTTGTGCGTGATTTGCACGTGCATAAGTGACTGTCCTATTGTCACGAAGATCTGATCTCAGAAAGCGCGTATCACTCCTGTAACCCGGTTTTGTATGGAATATTATTGGTTTTTTTCTGTACATGACAGGGTGCAAAGTGCAATTCGTCGGTTGCTCCGTGGTGAACCGTTACTCATCTAATGAGCACAACACACGGGATACACTGGAAGTGTTGATGAAACTAAAATAAAAAACAGCATGTAGATTATAATAGCAACCCCAGAACCACAATTTTGTTGTTGTTGTTGTTGTTGTTGTTGTTGTTGTTGTTGTTGTTGTTGTTGTTGTTGTTGTTGTTGTTGTTGCTGTTGCTGTTGTTTTTGTTTGTTTGTTTGTTTGTTTGTTTGTTTGTTTGTTTGTTTGTTTGTTTACATAATTGGTACATATCTTGTTGAGTCTATTTTTGGTGTATTTGTTAATAATACATTTATTTACACATTATGCTTATTTGTGCAGACCTTTTATAATTTTCGGTGAGTATTCTACCGGATATTCATCCAATGAATTAATTGAGCCACACTTTTCTACAATACTTTGGTCGTACTGTTCTCGTCGTTCACTTTGGTTAAAAACTTCAGCATTATGGTAGTATATGTAAATATATGACGTGGTAAGGGTATTCTCTGAAGTTCAGCCTAATTAGTACCGTTCCCCATTGGTAGACTGGTGCGTCCGCCACATTCGCAATTTGTTTCTGGACAATTTCCCTGACGCCAAATTTTGTTTCTCATACAAGAAACAAAACATAGAAAACTTTGCCTCCTCGCCATAAATGGGCGCATTTATTTTTATTTTATTTTTTTTGGAGCGTAACAAACAAACCGGAGTTGACATTGAGGGATATTACATCCGGGATTTCTTGTTGGATAACAATGAAACTTGTTGTTCGAATAGAAAAACAAACAAAAATATGTACCCCTGAATCAAATTTGTTTTGGAACTTAATTGCATAATAGGTCTGTTGGTACCTTGCGCTATTATGCATGTGAATAAACAACATATATGATGTCACTGCACCAAAGTAGCTGGGTTAGCTCCAAATATGGTAGGTGCTAATGTGCGGTGCCTGAGTCGTGATTATTCAAATACGTACCTTAAACTTAAATCTTAGAAGAACCCTTTGTTAAGGGTTTTATATATTCATAGCCTAGAATGCATGCTCTAAATTATATAAATACTTCAGCAGGTCCCGATTTCCCCATCTGAAGTTTCCTGGGTTATTCATATATATATAATTGCTAACACCAAAGATATTTAGAATTCCACAAAAAAAAAAAAAAAAATATATCATAAATATCATAAATATATTATCATGTCTTTGACCCCACATTATTATTCCGATCTTCATCAATTTGAAGGTTCTATTAATCCTTATACTTCCGTGTCGTCAGGGTCGTCAGCTACTCTGTCAGAAATTTACGACATTACAATTGGACCTTCATCTATTACCAGTGCCTCCAGTTATGCTTCAGAGTCTATCGAAACTGATTCTGTTAACAAAGCTGTCTCGGCTGTCTCATCGCTCTCTACTTCAGTGGCAACTTCCACATCCACTTCAACTGTCTCGAGCAGTACATCTTCGTCTTCATCGTCCTCTTCATCCTCTTCTAACGGTTCCTTAGATAACTCGACATCGGGAGCTTCCAAATTACTGGTAAAGATATTGGGCTTACTTATGGTTTCTAGTGCAGTTGGTTCTACCATTAATCTCTAAATCTTCATTCATCATCCATAACTTCTAAAGAATGTGGTTGGGCTTTGACAATTCCAGTTATGGTTTCATTCTTTTGGTTCTCTTCATATGTTGTACCATCCATGTATTATAAACGCGTTACTATTTACGAACTTTTTCTTTTCATATCATTCCCCTTTTTCTTTCTTTCTGTTACAGGTGCGGTTTTTCTTTCTCATTCAAATATAAACTTTATTAGAATAAAAACTGGAGTTCGTAAAATAAGTAGGTTTCAAAGAAGATCATTCAGTAATTATAACTATAAAAAAAATAATATACAGAAAATAACATAGAAAAGGCAAACTTACAACTCATTTCAATGCCAATTTTCCGATCCCAGTACCACCCAATACGACTGCATTGAAGTCCACTTCTTTGTCACTTTTCAAATAGTATTTTGAGAACCATTTTAACTGTCCAATGCTCTCCAAAATATCAGATTTGGCAGTATGACAGTTTTTCTTTCTAGGTTGATATTTAGTTAATTCTGGGTTTAACCTTTTGCAGATTTCACTAATAGAACTGACATCAATAACTCTATAATGCAAGTGATCCACGACCTTTGGAAATTCCCTGATCATAAAAAATTTATCCATATGAATGGTGTTGCCTCCTAGAACTGCTGACCCCATCAATGGAACGTACTTCTTTATATATTCGAGCAAAGCTTCTTCAACTTTCTCGAGGGATTTGGATTCTGAGGAAGCATTCAAAACTTTTTTGGTAAGACCAGATTTACCGTGGTGTTCAATGCACCAGTTATTCATACTATCAAGCACCGATTTTGGCTTATAAATAACCGATTCGAATCCCTGAGCATCAAGTATATTGAGTTTGCTGTCAGTAATTATGCAACAAATTTCAATTATTGTGTCTTTAAACACATCGAGTCCGGTCATCTGAAAAATGTTAGTCAAGTTGCACATAAAGTGAAATCATCAAACGAGAACCACCACCTGAAATGTTTATAAAGGTGATTTAAAACCTACCTCACAATCGATCCAGACAATTGGGTCTCTGCATGCATTTTTCATCTCTTCGAAGCTTGATTTCTTAGTATCTGTCGCACAGCTATAATATCTTGAGAAAATCCTTTGCTGTTTGTAAAAAGTAGTTGGTCTTAGCTTAGAAATATTAGCTCCCGATTCCAAGCGTTTTATACTCTGACAAAATTGACGAAGCATCCACTCAATGATGTTTAAAAGTTGCTAATTCTGCTACTCTTGTAATTAAAAATTACTGTTTATGAAAAAGTAATAAAAAAAAAAATCATCGTGGACCAGTAACCCTGCTTGTGTAACTGTTGAGCTCATTTTTGACACATTCTGGACTCAGAACACAACAAAAAAAAAGACTTCCTAATAAGTTGACTTATATATGTGGCTGCTTTATAATGTTTACTCTTTTTGTATTTTTTTTTTTGCAAATCGCAGGAAATTTTTATTTGAGGGCAATCGCTAAGTTATCTCATCACGCGCCCTCATTAACCGGACATAACAGCAGCTTTGTAACCTAACTTAAGAAATATAATTGTTCTAGTGTTAAAAACAAGGAAGCTATATCACAACAATTAGGAACTAGTATTTTCACTTAGTGGTAGTATTCCGACTGGTATATATCGGAGTATGCTACTGCAGAGGTATGTGCAATGGCCACTCATTTGCGAATTTTACATGCAATGGGGTCTTTAGGTACCAATGGGGCAAGAATATGAAGTATATTTTGGGCTTTCAATGAACCTACCCTTAGTAGAAATATTCTTAAGCTAAATTGGAAGCAATATGGCTGGATTATTAAAAAGAACAGTACTAGTAGTAAATGGGAATAAGTTATTACCTGTAGAATGTAAGTCATGGACCATGAATCTACCACAAATAGTAGAAAGTGCTCTTCTCATGAAGACCCAGAAGGAGTGACGTAAATATAAATAATGAGCAGTTGTGTTGATCTTAGATGCTCATATTGAAAAAAAAAGTAGCGAACTATCAAGTGCTTTATGAATTCTGCAGATAGAAAAGAAATTTTAACAGTATGAATCAATGAATGAATGAAATTAAAATGTATATTAACGACTCCTAGGGGTTCTAAATACCATTTGAGCCGGGCTTGTGATCTAGTCTGTAAAAATAATTATTAATAATAAAAACTGTAAATTACTCTTCTATCATATTCCTTTTGCAAAAATTAGTCACATCACCGGTAAAAAACTTATTAATTATGAAGGAAAAAGGTGCAATGTGATTTTTTGATTTAGACTTGCTAAATTGTAACAGTATCTATGGTGATCCAATTGCAGCGAAAAAACCAAATACATATTTAAGAGTAATAGAAAATCAATATTATTAAGGAAAAAAGGTGCAACGTGGAAATATGATCACGTTAGAAGCTTATGGATGGTTTAGAATATCCAATTGTCTATTTTTAACAACTAAATGCAACAAAATAAGCTCCAAATTCCAGGTGGTGAAATCTCGATACTATTTACAACAAAATAAAACTACTAATGTGTTTATATATGATTATTTAATTGCACAATTATATAATTTATGATAATTTGGTTGCGAGCCCTGTTTCAATATATATATTGACAGGGTATATATTTCCTGATATTCAATTTGATACGGAGTCCCTGTGGCGAAATCGGTATCGCTTCCGAGTCCGGGTAATTTTTTGAAAGAAATTTTCGACGCCAGATTCATCGGAGGATTGTGGGTTCGAGTCCCATCAGGGACTTCTTTGTCTCCTTTTTTTTGGTTTTCTCTTCTTCCTTTTTGATTGATCATTAGCAGAAAGAACTCTGACAGTTTCCTATTTTTTTTTTTTAGAGAAAAGAAACCTAAGAAGTTTTAAAATTATCTACAATAAAAATTTTATATCGAAAAGATCTTTTTATTTTTCTATGAACATAACCACTATCACTACTGTACGCCCAGAATTTAATTAGTTTATTCATTTTGCTGTTCCAATGCTTTCAAAAATTCATCGTCATCCATGTCATCAAATTCATCAACTTCCATTTCTTGAATTTCACCACCACCTTCTCCATTGTGACCTGATTGAACATATCCTTGCTGCTTTTGGAACTCCGTTAGCTGATCCAAAGTCCAAACCGAGTTTTCTTGATCTTTTTCGTTGAGTGGTTGGGCCAAGGTTCGAAGAAATTGCTTTGCACTAGCAATCGCGATATCAATTGATAAATTTAAATCTGATTTGGCAACATTTTGAGCAATCCATTTAGGTAATTGATCAATCTTGAATTGAAAACGACGATCTGCCAAAACCATAATACCGTAATCCTCTTTACCTCTCAATACCCGTCCCAAACATTGGGCAGCATGACGCATGGCATCGAAGGAAAGAAAATCATTTTCACGAACAAGATAATTATCACGTAAAAATTCAAGACGGGCTTTAAGAATTCTTGATTCTGTGTATTGATATGGAATACCAATCATTAGAACTGTACGCCCATAATGATGATCAAAATCAATACCTTCAGAAACTTTACCACGAGCAACAGAAAATAATACCGCTCCACGGCCGTTTGAGCAAGCAGTACGATATGTTTCAAGAGCAAGAGCAGTTTCCTGGGCATCGGGGGTCTCCACAAGAATAAGCTTATATCCCCAAATTTCATCAAGGATCCCCATGGTTTGCCACATCGAAATAATACCTTCCATATAAAGATATGAAGGAAAGAAAACAACCAACCCATCAGGAGAAACTTTAGAAAATTCAAGCACCAAGGAACCATAATTTCGTACCACTGAAGGATCATTACGGATTTCAAATTTGGAAGAAATGGCCACCTGATCACTACCTTTGGTAACAATCATTGGTAAGAATGAACGACGAGGCAAGGTCATTGCATACGATTTTTCAATCACTGTGTCAAAATTCAACATTTTAGGGTACATGTCTAAAGGGGAAATAGTCCCAGAAGTAACAATCACAGAACTGAATTTTTCAAAAATTGGTTTCATTGCTATTGATGCATCAAGACAGCTGAAATGAAGAATTGGATTTGGGACTTGTGAATTATCTGTTTCAAAAGGTTCAAGAATAAGTTGGAACCCATCTTCGTAAGTAGAAACAAGTGAGGCAAACATGGCAATATCCTTCAAAGCATTGAAATCTTCAATTTCCGAAATTTCAAGGGTTCTTACAAGAATGGCCAATCGTTCACTTACGTAACGTAAAGGTTTCTTGTCAATGAAGGTCAATTCCTTTAAATGTTGTAAAAAGGATGCAGGGGTTTCAGAAATCACGTATAACACCTTCATTCTGGTTTTCAAATATTCGATAAAGCGCTTAAGAAACGACACAAAATGCTCAGCTCTTCGGATATTACCTGGAATAGCTTCTTTTAGTAAATCTTCGCTCAACACAGGATTTTCAACAAACATTTCTTCCGGCTCGTTTGAATATTGATTTACAAAATCGGCTTCACGAAGCCCACTGACCAACGCTTCATATTCATCTTGCAATTTCTTCGCATCCTTTTGCTTCATTTCTTTGATAGCTTTAGATAGGTTGCCAGCTCCCTTTCCGGCTTTCTTCAAAACATCGGTGGTCAAATCAATGGATAAAGATTCGATACAGACATTATCAATATTGTGCGCTTCATCGAATATGACAATAGCATCTTTGGAGAGTTCTTTGGAAACCCTTTCGGAAATTTTCGGATCCAACAAATAATGATATGAATAAATAATAATATTACAATGTGGGATCATTCTTCTAACGGCAAAATAAGGACAAACATTCCGTTCAGTACAATTCTGGATCAAATCATCGAAACTCCAAACACCTGGCTCAATATAGTTTGTAGGGTCATATTGATATAAATTTTCATGAAACTGACAAAGTTCAATATCTGTTTCACCATTTTCAATCCTCTGTTTATTTTGACCATTGGTCAATCGACGACATTTTTCATCAACAATAGTCCCTTTTCTTTCTTTTGAAATTGTTGGATGAAGACATAAATTTTTACGTGACGACAAACCGAGCCCGCGGAAGTCCTCAACATAACCCAATTCTTTTGCTCTAAATTTCATCAAATTCTGCAATTCAATAAGTGCCTTTTCAATTTCTGACATAGTACGGGAACAATATACAACCTTTCGGTGTTCCGGATAAAACATTTGGTACGATACTGTCAACGATAGAAGTGAAACAGTTTTTCCTGTTCCAGAAGGCATTTCAAGAATACAATTTCCCCCGACATCTAGGGTTTTTTTGATATCACACATATACTCATACTGCTCAGGGTAGATTTTTGGATAAGGGAAGAGGACGGGGAGATCATCGATGAAGAACCTGTTTGTGTTAGCGTTTCATTTCTTTATAAACTTAGTTATATATTTATGAGAAAAAAAAAGCAATATATATAATTCTTACTTCATTATGAATATACCTTCAGCCTTCACTTGTCAGAGCACCTAGCCGATTGATGATGATCATCACGCCTTTTGTTTTGTGGGCATTTTTCATTTGGGGCGGACGATTACCCGCAAATCGGGGGATCTTCAGCTCTATGAATGAATGTATAATGGGGTTTATCTAGGACTTACCAGTAAATGATAGTAATGTGTGCAATTGAGGGATCTACTGCATTATTATTTAAGTTATTAGTAGGGTAGTACACATGTAGGAGCATGTACTGTGGTACAATATAATATAGCTGAAGTCTAGTTACAAAATGTACAATCTTTCGCTGGCCTCAGAGACGATCCAATCCAATATTCTGTCAATGTTTTTACCAGTGATGGCACTGACTGGCAAAATTCCCACGTTATGATTAGTAATTTCATCAATTTTCAAGGTTTTTCTGATCAACTGTACGGTTGTCTCAATTTCATTAGTGGGTACCAAATCTATTTTGTTGACCAAGATTAATAGCCCACTGCCGACCAATCTTTCCTCATCCATTAATTTTCTGAATTCGGAAAAAGATTCTTGCAATCTTTCTAACGAGTTAGCATCGATACACCATACAAGACAGTCACAGTTCATGAAATAGTTATCCCAGAAGGCCCTGATGGTCGATTGGCCACCGATATCCCATACATTGAGAGTGAAATTACTATGATGGATGGTACTGATGTTGAATCCCATAGTTGGGGCGATCTGGGATGTGTCTTCGTGCAATATTTTGGTGACAACACTGGTCTTACCACCACCATCAAGACCAAGAACCAACACCCTGAGTTCGTGTTCTTTTAATTTTTGTTTTCTGATGATGGATAGAAGACCCATTTTTTCTTTTTTGCGTGTGTGTGTCAATCGCCTTGGAGTGTGAGTTTGAATATTCCAGCTAAATAGTAAATGTCAAGATTGGAAAGTATCAGGAAAGAAATGTATGAAGATCAGCAGTGTAAGCGATCATAACCATATTGAGTCAGGACTTTGTAAATATCATCACTTTGAAGGGCTCCTCTTAATTCAACAACTAGATAAATTGAGGAAAATATATATTAGGCGACGACATCACCCGAAACAACACAATAATCAACTTTTGCAGAAGATTCCTGGGAAATCATGTTAACAACAATTAGGCTACGAGGCGTCGCCAAAATGGCAGGGTAAAGTCATGAATTTGCTATGGTGTGCACATTATATTACATCAACGACACCGCTGCCACCATACAAATGGTCATCTGATAAAGAGTACAATATTTTACTAGCTATTGTCAGATAGCTGTGTCTGGGGGATGAGGATGATAATGATCATGAAATGGTAACTAACAAATAACATCATCATAATAGTTATACATGGGGTGTGCCGGCAGTAGTCTATTTTGCGACTGTCGGAGTCCACCAACCGCTGGTGATAGAAGGCATTACCCTCCCTCTGTCGTCCATCAGTCTCAACAAAAAAAACCCCTTAACGTCAGCCATCTGACTAAAATATCACCAACATTTCACACGTTCTTCCTGTTTCTCTTCTTCTTCTTCTTCTTCTTTTCTTTTTTCTTGTTTCATTTCCCTTGCAATCGATTGTATATACACCAACATAATGTCTGACATCGACAACCTCGCTATCTCCACCATCAGATTGTTGGCAGTAAGTATTGACATTTGTCTTCATTTATTTCATCATTATGCGGACAAATTAGCGATTATTGCTTCCCATGTTCCAAAGTCCTTTTTTTCTAACGCCACCACCCTTTAGGTCGACCAAGTCGCCGCCGCCAACTCTGGTCACCCAGGTGCCCCATTGGGTCTTGCCCAAGTTGCTCACATCATCTTCAAAAACATGATCCAAAACCCTGCCAGCCCAGATTGGTTGAACAAGGATAGATTTGTGCTCTCCAACGGTCACTCTGTTGCTTTGCTCTACTCTCTTCTCCACTTGGCCGGTTACCCATTGTCCATTGAAGACCTCAAGCAATTCAGACACATCAACTCCAAGACTCCAGGTCACCCAGAAGCCGAAACCCCAGGTATCGATGTCACCACCGGTCCTTTGGGTCAAGGTATCTGTAACGCTGTTGGTTTGGCTCTTGCTCAGGAACACATTGCCGCTAGATTCAACAAGCCAGGTTTTGAAATCTCTAACAACTACACCTACTGTATCTTGGGTGATGGTTGTATGATGGAAGGTGTTGCCAGTGAAGCTTGCTCTCTTGCCGGTCACTTGAAATTGTCCAAGTTGATTGCCTTCTACGATGACAACCATATCTCTATTGATGGTGACACTAACGTCGCTTTCACCGAAGATGTCAACAAGAGATACGAAGCTTACGGCTGGGAAGTCTTGTGGGTTAAGGACGGTATGCACGATTACGAAGGTATCACCAAGGCCATCGAACAAGCTAAGAAGTCCGACAAGCCAACTTTGATTAGAGTCACCACCATCATTGGTTACGGTTCTAAGATGCAAGGTACCCACTCTGTTCACGGTGCTCCATTGAAGGCCGATGATATCGTGCAATTGAAGACTCACTTAGGTTTTGACCCATCAAAGTCTTTTGTTGTCCCAGAAGAAGTTTACTCTTACTACAAGTCATTTGCTGACTCCGGTGCCGCCGCTGAAGCTAAATGGTCTGCTATGCTCAAAGAATATTCCTCTCAATACCCAGAATTGGGCGCTGAATTGAAGCGTAGAATTGCTGGTGAATTGCCAGCTGACTTGGAATCAATCTTGCCAACTTTCACTGCTGCTGACAAGGCCGTTGCCACCAGAAAATTATCTGAAGGTGTCATTTCTAAGCTTTACGATGCTGTTCCAGAACTTATTGGTGGTTCTGCCGATTTGACTGGTTCTAACTTGACCCGTGCCCCAGATGCCGTTGACTTCCAACCTCCATCTACTGGCCTCGGTGACTACTCTGGTCGTTACATCAGATTTGGTGTTAGAGAACACGGTATGGCTGCCATCTGTAACGGTATTTCTGCTTATGGTGCCAACTTCATCTCTTTTGGTGCCACTTTCATGAACTTTGTTTCTTATGCCGTTGGTGCTGTCAGATTGTCTGCTTTGTCTGGTCACCACGTTCTTTATGTTGCCACCCACGACTCCATTGGTCTTGGTGAAGATGGTCCAACCCATCAACCTATTGAAACCTTGACTCACTTGAGATCTATTCCAAACTTGTCAGTGTGGAGACCAGCCGATGGTAACGAAACCTCTGCTGCGTACCTCGTTGCCTTGAAGAACAAGCACACTCCATCTGTTCTTGCCTTCTCTCGTCAAAACTTGCCCCAATTGGCTGGTTCTTCCATTGCCAAGGCCAGCAAGGGTGGTTACGTTGTCCACGGTTCCGAAGCCCCAGTTGCTGCTGTTGTCGCCACCGGTTCTGAAGTCGGTATTGCTGTCGAAGCCGCTGAATTGTTGGCTAAGGAAGGTGTTAACATCAATGTTATCTCCTTGCCAGACTGGTTCACCTTCGACGCTCAACCAAAGGACTACAAGCTCAGTATTTTCCCAGATGGCTTGCCAGTCATGTCCTTCGAAGTCTTGTCTACCAACGGTTGGTCCAAGTATGCTCACGAACACTTTGGTTTGGACAGATTTGGTATCAGTGGTAAGGGTCCAGATGTGTACAAGTACTTTGAATTCACTGGTGAAGGTGTTGCTAAGAGAGTTAAGAAGGTTGTTGACTTCTACAAGGGTACTGAAGTTAAGAGTAGATTGAATACTGCTTTGTAATCGGCTTATTCATTTTGATGTTGAGTTTATATAAGTTATATAAGATATTATAAGAGTCCATATGATGAACTTGGTTTTGTAATTATGCTTGATTGATTGTAAGATTGTTTTGGTGGAAATTTCTGATTTTCATAAATGTCTCAATGCGAGTGTTCAGTATTTGATGTTTGGTGCCACCATTAGAAAATATGTCATTGAAGTTGGTTGTTTCTGCTTAATTTTTGATTGCCTTTTTATTTCGGGAAAAAACCTCATTCTCAAAAGTTAGAACTGTTGTTGGACATACGCTCGATCTTTTTTTCTTTTTTTTTTTTTTCTTCATCACAGTCTAAGAAATATTCATTAATTGTTTGGAACATTACAAAATGAATCAGTCACGGTCAAAACATAAACATTAGCAAGTATAGTACAAAATCAGTAAGAATAAGAGTAATAGTAATAAAAAGAAACTAATACATAACGACAGCTCTCGCTCCATTATCCCTCCACCTCTAAGATCAAATCATAATCATAATCATAATCATAATCATTATCATTATCATTATCTTCTCGGTGGTCTTCCCCCACGTCCTGGTGGCGGCGGTTTTACGTGATTAGGGTTGAACATTGGGGCATTTCTTAACATATCCGGCACTTGCAACAACCGGATATTCGAACCTCTAATAAATACCTGGTCCAAATGATTACTCTTACCATCCCTTGCAGTCACTGTGATATCCTTCAATTGGATATTCATATTATCTTCGGATTCAATCAATTTTCCTCTGTAAATATCACCGCAGTTTAATTCCACGGAAATTACATGGCCCTGTATGGAGGTGATAGGTTAGTACAATTTCCCTTAATAAAAATTGAATCATAGAGAAAAAAAAAAGAAAAAAAAAAGAAGACTCACCTGTGCCTCACTAAGTAGTTTAACTGGAATACCCACTGACATCTTTATTATTTTATTATTTCTTTAACCCTTAACTGTTGAGGACGATTTGGTAAACTGTCTTTCCCTTTCACAAATTCTTTCTTCACAAGAAAAAAAAAAAAAAAAATAGAGTAGGTCACGTTATCATAAAGTGTTACAGGTATTACCAATAGAATAGAATACACCTTTTATTAACTCCAATTAATAGACAAGAAAATAAATAAATAACTAAATTTAAAAACAACAATAACAAATAAACTAATAAATTAAATTATAATTCCCATTCATCCATCATCTGTCTATCAATATTGCTGCTATTATTGATGAACGTTTCATCAATGCTGTCAATATTCAAGTCGCTGCACATTACACACTTCTCACTAACCAAATCTTCCAATTCTTTGGAAATCTTTGCGTTATTATTGATCTTCACTTTATTACCCTTATTCGCTCCAGGTAAAAGAGAGTTTGATGGTAATCCAATTTGGTTCTTCTTGAGTACCGCCAATAAATGTTTCTTCAATTTATAATTCTTGTTACTCGAATCTAAAATAAAATTAATTAGACAATCAACGTGGAAAACATGTTGACATGGGAATACTAAGAATTTCTTCAAAAAAATTGAGTTTTCACAAATTTGGCAACTTGAATTATTTCCAACAATTTTGCCAGCACCATCCTTAGCTTTACCAGAATCTTGGATAGCTCCATTTTCCACTTCGATTATGTAATATCTGGAAATTTTCAATTGCTTCAAATTGTCTACCAAGTCATTATTAAACTTAATAGAATTGGCAATCAAGTGGTTTAACTGATTGATATTTAGCCCATAAGACTCCAAGTTCTTGATGATTTCTAGCTTGAAATTATTAATACTTTGGAAATTAGGGAACAATGGCAATAAATCTTTGATAGTAAACAATTCACATTTACTCAACAAAAACTTGAGTAAATTCTTGATATCATCATCATCCTCATTTATTAGTTCAATCACTTGTTTGTTTTTCAACACATCTTTGATTTCCTCAGCATTTATGATATCCATGATTCGATCATCCTCAGTATTGAGACCATCACTTTTAATCAGATCATCAACTTTGATGTCTTTTAAAAGGTCAGCATTAGATTTAAGTACCTTCTCAACAATCAACTTGGTAACCATCTTTTCCCCAATTTTCAACCACAATTTTTTCCTCAATTCGCCGTTACTATCATAACCTGACAGAGAATATGGATCATCCTCAGTATCAAAAGAACGGTCAGCAATCAAACATGCCAATTTTAAATAATTATATCTCAAACATAACTCAATAGCCGCTTCATACTGCTTGGTCATCGAATATACATGGACTGCTGCCTTCCATTTCTTGAATTTTAAAAACAATCTCAAAATAAACTCGACGTCGAAATGAGCTTCATCATCTCCATTATGACTATAGTCTCCCTTAGTATAAACTTCCAAATACTTCAAAATCATGGTATCAGATTTCTTGGAATTGGCATCCATGACTAAGATACTCAAATACATGTTATGGATGATTGGGTCAATAGCGTTAACTTCAAAGATCAAAAAGTTGAGATAATTCAACATCAAGTTCTTATTAGCAGATACCACAGATTTATTTTTCCTAATGTTTTTATTGTATGATAATATCGCCGGCACGAATTTCTTATAATTTAAGTCACGATATAATCTCATCCACACAGCAAAAGTTGCTTCAGGTGAATTCATCAATAAAACGTTGGCATACTTATACACAAGCCCAGGGTTATTAATTTTTTCCAAGATTTTCAAAGATTCACCCCAATTTTCCAAGTTAATCCAATAATCTAAAATGAAGTCATAATCATGAATCAAATTTCCATAGAAAAGCAAAAATTTCTGTGAGTTATGCGCTTGAAATATTTGATAGACCGTTTCCTTATGAATAACTGATTTGAAGTTCACCAAAAATTCTTCAAATTGAGATTCAATTTCCTGCAACGATTTGGTTTGATTCAGTTGATTGTTAGTTAACTCATTGAATTTTTCCATGTATAATTCCACAATCCAACTACTCAACAATGTCTTTTGAATATAATATTCATCTTCCTCAATATTATTGGTTTTATCCACTGGCAAGAGCTGCAACTTTATAGTTAAATACTTCAATAATCCATCAACCTCGTTCAATTCCAATAACTTTAATGCCACAGATTCAAAAGGCCTAGAAGTATAAGCATATGTAGTAGCGGCTTCCAAAGAACAATTTTTCTCATTAATTAGATAATCAGATTTCTTGGATAGGATCAAATCTTTGATAAAATCATTGGCTTGCTTTGAAGCATTTGCCTTAAAATTATCAACCAACTCCAAAGCCTTATCAAATTTCTTTGCTTTCAAATAAATTTTCCAAATATCCTTCGATTCATCATTGATGACGATTTCATAGATGTTGAAGTTTGAATATATCCAGAAAGTGTTCTCATGATAATCGGCACATAATCCCAAAAACTTTTCATTATTAATGAAAAGTGGAAGAAACTTATGAAGTACCACTTGTTGATTGATTTTATTGATAACTAGCAACTCATTGTTATTTCTAAGATATATTATGTGGTACTTAGTCAATAAGATACCATAAGTGCTTGCCGGAACTCCTTCATTGTCATGAGTAGAATCTGGCAATTGTATGTTGAGCAAATAGTTCAATTGGGTCAACAACTTCTCATTATTACTACTGTCACCAACATCACCCAATGATGTGAATATGATCCCACTTTTCGTGATCCAGGCGAAATCTTCCTGATTTGCAATGTACTTGTTACCATGAATAATCGCTCCTATATCATCTAGTTTTTCATAATCTGTGTAATTATTATTGAATACCGACGATCCATTGCGAGTGATAAACATTGGATAATTCTTTTGGTATTTTAAAGTAAGGTCCGTTAGCTTATAATAGAATATATCATCGCTTTGAATGAATACCATCATTAAACTACCTTTATCATTATTGACCACATGTTTTAGGTATATTCCATCGATCGCTGTTTGGTTTCCATTATTAATTGGATTTTTCCACACCAATTTCAAGAATCCAACACCCAATTTATTACTACCAGTTTTGAATTCAATAGAAGATTCAAAAACTTGCCCCAAATTCGTACCGATCAAGAAATTCCTCACTGATGTTTCCGTGATCCCTTCACCATCCAAATTACTCCAATTAATATAAGAAATATTCATATTTTTGAACTTTGATAGCACTACAGGTACCTTTGACGCCTTATTTAAATAATAAGAGACATTTTTGACAGTGGTAATGATCAAATGGTTCCCTGTTGGATCCAAATATAAGTTCTTGATCCTGTTATTCACACTACTCCCGCTAGCGCCTGCGGAGCCATTCAAATTGCCATTCGCCCCACCAATTGAGCCAAATAAATCAATCTTATCAATATATTCAGGACTGGATAAATCTATCCGATATATCAAATTATTCTTAATAGCTAGAACCAAGATATTATTGCTCACTTTCAATGATATCAAATTGACCAAGCTAAATTGTAATTGTACTGGTTCAATAGAAAATATATCATTATCTTGAAGATTCGAATTTTCAGGGGCAGAAGATTGTCCTTGAACGGAACCTTCTATTAGTCCATCTAAGTATTGTGAGCTCATTCTCACGGTTAATCCTTGGTGGTTGTCAGATTTACCGTCCGTATCAACAATGTTGCCTTCAAAGTCCAATGTGTCAGTTTTTGTTTTTTTCTTACTACATACAATATAGAGGGTCGGAAACCCCATATATTTTATGAAATATAAATTTGAATACTTCAGTTTTGCACCAGAAATAGCAGAGAAGATGAAGAATAATAATGCCACATTCATGATAAAATACGTTAATAATAAAAGAAATAAAAAAAAGACAGCCGAAAATAAATAAATAAATAAATCCAATATTAAAGCAAACAAGCATCTTCATCACTAAAAAAAGCTGTGAAGAAAAGTCTCCCGGAAAAAAAAGGGAATATATATCTATATATATATCTATATATATATATATATATATATACGTTTATAGTATCAGGTTCTCTTTTCAGTTATCTTTATTCTTGAAGAGGTGTTAGCGTACGCGTTGTATTGAACTTCAACGATTTCTTCTGGTGGGAATTTCAAGTATGGGATATCATTAGAGCTGCAATTTAATAAGTAACCGTACAAAACTCTCAAAACGCTCTCATGTCCAATGATTAAAATATTCTTGGTATTCCTCTCCATTTCTAATATAAGAGGCTCTAATCTAACCGCTAAATCATGATAACTTTCAGCTCTTGGGAACCTAACATGGTAAGGATCTTTCTTAAATAGATCATATTCAATAGGGAACTTATATTTTATTTCTTCACGAGTCAAAGTCTCAATATTTCCCGGATTCAATTGATTCATTTCCGATCTTTGTGTTACCTGGATATCATATGTTTCCTGAAATACTGAACCTGTCTCAATGGTTCTTGTTCTCGTTGACGTCCAGACCATCAATTTCTTATTAATTTCGCTCTCTTTAATATTACGATTATTCATTAGAAGCTTGACTAAAGTGTTCATCATTACCTTAGAATGGGCTTTCCCTTTCTCAGTTAGCGATGGGTCCAGCTTAAACAACAAATTCTTATGATTTCCTGTGTCACCACATCTGGCAAAGAAAATCGACCCCTTTTTAATTCTGGTATTCAAAAGGAAGAAAGTCATCCTATTGAGCAAATATCCGTACTGTGATCTGTTCAAAACCAATCTTTCCCCGAAATTAATACTTTTGATATAGCTCAATACCATGCTTTCAGTGGGATCAACTTCATTTATTACCTCATAAGAATCGGATGCGGACTCGACTCTCTTGTCAAAATCTTTTCTTGCCTCATCCGAATCATATCCTTCATAATCTGGTGATTTAATTGCATCCTTTAAGCTATTTGCCAACAAATTATCATTTTCAATAAGCGATTCAATGAAAACAACCTTCACACTCAATTTGTTGAACCTTTCTTGTAGTTCAATACGATTCTTGGCAATGCCATTGATCGCATCATATATTGCTACTTGGCCATTATTTTTGAGCAAAAAATCTTCAATATTATTCAAACATGTTTCAACAACAGTCTCTTTAATCTTTGAGATTTCCAAATCACTAGGCTTTTGACTGAAGAATGATGGAGAAATTTCATTGCTTTTTAAAGCTTGCCGCCTGAAATCATCAAAATGGAAAACTTGCGCACTTACACCTAACCATCTCAAATATCTCGTCAATGAAACAGACATGTGGGTTTTACCTCTACCCGGAAGACCAGTGAGGCATATTAACAATTTGCCAGCATGAAATAGGCTACCGCTATCTGTGGAATACAATTGACCAGGCGAAACTTTAAAAGGAGAAACTTTTGAATGAATTTCATCTTTTTGCAAAGAAGAAACCTTTTCACCAGTTTCACCACGCCCAAGCGAGTCCAGGCTCACGGTAGTGCTGTCATTGATCATCCATTTATTGGAAGTTCTGGCACTATAATTGCCTGGCAAGTGGGGGGCTTCGATTGCCACCTCTTGGGAGCCATAATTATTGTTGATGGGATCATTATCTTTCACCATTGTCACGGCCGTATTAGGAGTAGGTTCTTTGGACATTTCGGGTGCGATACTGAATTTCTCTTGTGACTTGGGGAAAGTGTGTATTTAATCTCCGCGTTTTCAGCTTTGTGTAATTGATGGGTCCAGTGAAAAGGGGTGTTGTCACGTGTACATACAGAAAAGGGGGTGAAAAACTCTCTGAGACCCCCAGCTTCGGGATGTGTCAAAAAGCATAACAGTTCATTAAATCTATTGTACAAAAGAGGTCCTATATACAGGATAAAATAACAATACATATATCTAAATGCTCAAAATCAACTTCCCTTCTACTGAATTCAAATATTCAATGTTTGAACAAATAATTTGGTCACCAATTACCAACTCCTCCTCTCTTTCCGCTATATCAATATTAACAAATATGCCCAAGTCCAAGCAATAAGCAGTTGCCAAATTTGGATGACTGGCGCCTTGTGATACCAAGCACTTGAAGAAAAACATGGGCGAGCTATCACCACTATTTCTGGTTGTCAAATCTCTTTCTAAGTACTTTAAAGTCCAAAAGTGGGTAGTTTTATATAACAACTCATCATTAACAATATCCTTGGATAGAATGTATTTGTTATAAATGTTTTCTAGTCTTCCAACATCAAGTGGTTTACCGTACCCTTTTTGTGATAATTCATTGGCTATCTTCATAGCTCTAGGCAAACTACTCTCTTTAACCTTGGGGCCATTTACTTTTTGAATATGCAAAATGAATTGCCATTGATTTATGAGTTGTTCTAATTCACTGAATGGCGAGTCGACCTTAACATACCCAAATTCAAGTCCGAATTTACGGTGTGAGACCCCGTTTGATGAGTCAGAATAGTCATTGTATCTCATCACATCATCATAATCATCTGCAGGATACCATACGTTTTGACTTGGATTAAAGGAAATTTTTGGTTTAGCAAGATAGTTCAATCCACAGAAATAGGCCTTTGGCAATACTTTACCATTGATTTTTCGGAAGACAAAATGGTCATACAAATATGCTCGATATTCTGGCAATAGGTAGCTTTGAGGTTTGATAAGCACATTATCGGAAGAGTTCTCTTCCTCTTTTTCTTGGGCGAATGTGTCGATAATTGTTTGAGAATGGTGATAAATTGGAATTTTATGCTTGATGGCAAACCTTGCGGCAATTTCATTTGCGAGCATTCTTAATTCTTTTTCTAGAAACCTGATAGTTCGTGTTTCGTTATCATGTCCATATGCAAACATCTCTACTTCAGTTTCATCATTAACCTGGCAGACTGTTAATTCTGGCACGTTATCATCAATTTCACATTGAAGTGATTCGTTACTAGTTCTGAAGTTATATCTTTTTTGACAAGCGTTGAGAAGGTGGCGAAAGAAATATTTCTCTGATCTATCAAGATCTAACTGGTCATGGGTACCTGTATGGAATAATCCCTGGAAAAACCCAATTTTATCAGAGAAAACCTTAGATAATTGATCATCAGTTAAGATTTTGATATTTTCCAAACGTTCTAATTTCACACTTATTTTCATTTTTTCAAAATTCTTGACATGATCAGCCATTGGGAAATATCTGAAGGAGAATGTCAAACAATTGAACTTCCTTCCTTTTTTAACAGTAGAATCTTTAAACGCCAAGTTTTCAATCAAGCTATCTGGAACAAAACCAAGCTTTCCATTTGGAAAATTCAAGTCCCGACCTCTCAATACCAAATGCTTTAATAAAGGCGAATTAGGATAAATTGAAGAGCCGAGGTCAGGTACATGTATTCTAAATACATAGGAGCCATCAGGTTGCCCAACCCTTGATACTGCCAACTCAGAAACAAGTTCACCATTAACCTCCCTGGGGAATAAACCAAAGGCATGAATTTCTAATTTTCGTTTCAAATGATCAAGACTATCTTGATATTCCGGCTCGAAAGACCAGAATCTATAGAAATCTATGTCTTTGCTGCTAATACTGGGATCGTTGAACAATTGAGAGATGGTACTGACCGACTGAGTCATTGAGGTAACCTTCGGAATTCTTGATGCTAGAAAATTATTGGAGAGGAAAATGTCCGTGTCGTCTTTGTAAATCCCAAAATATTTCAAGAAGTTAAACGCTTTGCTTTGTGTTAATGATTCCGTGCTTTCAGGGTTCACTAAAAAATCAACTTCTTCATTAGTATTTGGCTTGATCTGACTAATGATCCCGTGAAGCTGAGCCTGTAATCGCTGATGTGGATATACAATATAGTATTTGAATAAATTAATAATAATTTCATAAATCTGACGATCTTTGTTAGTGATGAACATGGAGCCATTAGCCCATTTATAGAACTTATTTGTGTCATCAATGCTATCATTATTCAAAATATCATTCACTTCATTGATGAAATTCGAGAAGTGCTTTTCCGATAACAGTTCATCCCCAGTAATCTCTGAACTAGCGACTGGATTTAAGCCTTCCAGTAATAACATGGAATTGTAAACCGAGTTAGCAATAAATGACACATTAGGTTGGAAAGAAGAAAACCTTTTCAGTTCTTCATAGACTAGATTATTTCCATTATGCTGAATCATCATATAGTTAGCTGGTTTATTGGTAAGTGTCAAGTAAGAAGATAGGAACACAAGTATTCGATTGAATTTGTTTTTGGCAATCAAAGAAGAACTCTCATTGAAAAGTCTAATATCTTTTGAAAAAATTGGCATTTCTTGAATGTAGTTGTCAACGGTTAGTCCATTGATTGAATTGTTTCTTGATAGCTTGGAAAACACAACATCATCCATCTTTCTATGTTCCATAATTTTCATGAAATTGATGCTAACATTTAATAAATAAATCATCAGATTTCTTAATAATTCTTGGTTCTCTTCATTATCAAGATATCTCTGTTTCACTTGATCATAAAACACTTTTTCCTCCTTCACACCGAACACTCGAGCAATCTTCTCACTGTGAAACATATTGTATAGATGGAAGCTAATGTCACCAATTTTAAATTTCTTTTTTTTGCCCTCGATAGTAAATACTTCAACTTTGGCAAGCTCACTATGAAATTTTCCTTTCTGTTCTCCAATTACGATACCAAAATGGATACTGCCGCCATCATCACTGTCTCGAATTTCAACCAAAGACCCAATCACAGGAATCTGAGAGAACATCTCATCATATGAGTATTTTTGATTAACCATATCATGAACAGTTTTTCCTCTAAAGAAATAAATGAGTTTTTTGAAGTATGGCTGGGGTTCGTAAAGCTTCGGTTGATTAATTATTTTGGTATAGTAATGCAATGATGATCTGATTGTATTAGATAGCTTGTGTTTATAGGAAGTCGTGGAATTTGAATTTTCAGAATTTTCAGAAACTATAATTGAATTTTTGGGGTTTCCCACGATCACTGGAGACGACGGTATGGTTCTTTCTTCATCAAAATTTTTAGTTGGTGATATATCAGCAGAAGTCTTATTATTACAGAAGAAGCCATTCAACTTTTGATTCGACTCTTCATTAACTAATTCGTTCTCGGCAGGTTGACTTTTAAATGAGTTATTTTTGGAACTAATTGCGTAGCATCTCACTTGGTTTCTATATACATGAGTTTTAATCTTTATCATCATCCGCGGTCGTCTTCCAATCGGAAGCGTTCGCTGAACCATCAAGGCATGCGCAGATGTTCGTTGGGGTATCATTGATATACTATATTATCATGAGATCACTAATGATATTGATCTTGCTAATAGAAAAAAAAGACTATTGGTTGGGTTGTGTGATTGTGATGGGCTCGATGCTAAGATGAGTATGTGACAGTAGCTGTAAAAATTTTTTGGGGTTTTTCTGTTTTCCTATTTTTTTTCACCTTTATCGATGCGCAGAAATGTTAGGGATCGCAACGAGATCTTACACTTCCAGAATTCGTTACTTAAAGAACACATAGCTAATAGTGTTAGTACGCTATTTAATATAACAATCCTGTTTAAAACTTAAAAGGCTTTTAAAATTTCAGAAAATCTCTCCTCTAAGTTGCTTATCACCCATCATTACAAAAGGAAACGAAAAAATGGCAATTACTTTTATCACCAACTAATTTATATAGCACTACATACTAAAAACCGAAACTAGAAAAAAAAAATAAAAAAAAAAAAAGATAGCGTAGTTAGCATTATATCCAAACATGGTTCCTCTCATCACAAAACACTAGATTGTATCAACAATTCTCACTTCCATCTTTGAATCACAACCGAATGAACGAGCTTTGCGTCCAGTATGGTTTGCACTTTGTCATTAATTGGCTTTACTGGATAACTCAATGACAAGAAATAGCTTCTAGTTTCTCCATCGGCTAGAAAAATGGCATCGACAAAATCATAAACTTGTTGAACAGGACCGTGCTTATCCACAACCACCTTCAATTTACGGCCGTCAGCCAAACGAACTTGGATTGTTGTTTTATTTTCATTTTCCACGTTTGGGTCCTTATTACTTTCTGATGATGATGATGATGATGATGATTCAGGAACAAGTTTCTCCTTTCCAGATGACCGAGAAGAATCTGTAATAACATCACCTGGCACTGGTGAGCCTAGTCTGAAACCTTCTCCACTGAATTTATCTTGCTTAGATTTTGGAGGCTTATAATTTTGATCCGAATTATGTTTAAGATTGATGTCAACACTTTGACCTGGCATGACCCTGAACAAATCTAATGGAGCATTCCCTTGCCTCATTTGCTCCATATAACTTTTGTTTTTTGGGTCATCAAAGCGATACAATGGGCCATCATCGATGGAAAACCCATCTTTCCAGAAAGTACATGTACGTGTGACTTTTTCTAAGCTTTGTGATGGTTGTTGGCCTGGAATCACTTCACTTGTTGCATTTTCGGTCCCCAAACGGTACCCGCTACCTGCAAAGCTCCCAGATGTCGAGGGTTCTTGACCAGCACCTGGACGTGTATCTGGGAGGTTTGCAGATCGAGCTGCCTGATTGAGAAGTTGTTGGACAAGCGATCTAGCTTGATCTTCAGGAGGTTTTTCAACTTCAAGGCCCGATCTTTCGCCACCAGTGAACAAGTTCTTTTCATCTTCATTGTCACTGCTGTCGTCCCCACGATTCAAGTCGCGGAATGTTTTGAACTTTTTATCTGTGTTTCTAGACATATTTTCTTATACCAATGGCTAGAGACCTGCTTTTTTCAGCCGAATATCCAAATGTATTGGCCATCACCACCTTCTGTGTGTTTGTTTGATGATAATTGAATATTTTTCCTCGTGGCCACGTGAACTGGGCTCTACAGGCACTCTGCCCCCCTCCCCCACCACCACTTAACATGCAAAATAGTGGATGATAAATTGGTAATAATAACTACTGAATAGTATTGGCTGATACTCTAAAATTTCCAATTAATTATTCTTATGTGATAAGTCCACTTTAAGAATGACTGGAAAGACAATCAACGGCAGTTTATCTCAGGTTTCTACTACCTCCCAATAATCATGTATGGTGTATATCTCTCAAGACTTGAGCATCCAGAAAAGGTTACTCGAGAATTTATCCACACAGATCATCAATAATGGAACGGGATATAATTAAATGAAGTGGAGTCCTGAATATGGAAAACCGAATAAATTAATGCCCACTGTGAGACGCAAATAATTCTTAATCATTATGCTTAATTACCAGCTTATTTATTATTAGTTATACTATTATTTCTGAAAACTTTGACGTCAGTTAACTATCATAAATGCCAGATAAATTTTGTGACTGAAAGGGTTAAGTTCAACAGCAGCGATCTTCTTATCAATCTTCGCCAAGCGGTGTTCGATGATTCAATTGCCGGAGCCCACTTTACAACAGCACAGTGCTTGTGTCTGCTTGTTATACATTTTGGTTCCACATATCTAATTTATAGAACGTAGGCCAAAAACAACAAGTATCCAGCAATTGTCAACAAGAATATGATTTATACGTGTGTGTATGGTGAGCCCCATCGGTGTCCTGCACTACACAGGGCTCCATAACCCCGCGATGACTCACCGCTCTGCAGCCCTGGCAAAACCTGGAGGTGAGTGACACATTTTTTTTATCTCGGTCTCTCTGTATGAGTAACAAATCATCATGCTTTTTTTCACCCTTTTTTTTTTTCCTTTATATATGTGAAATTTTTTTTCTTCTTCTTCTTTCATTCAATCTTTCTAAAGTCCGATTCATTCAATTAGGAAAGAACAATAATTATCATGGCTTCTGTTGGATCTGCTATCTTGAGTGTACCAACCACTCACCAAGACCTCGATAACTACTTTGTGTTGTTGTCGACATACGTCTCCATCTTATACCGTTTTACCAACGTTGACGACATTGTCTTTGCCTTGTCGAATTATACCACTAAATCACACTCATATATCAGATATAATGTCCCAGAAACACCGTTGTCTTTCAGTGAATTGTACAAAGCCCTACAATCTCTGATTAAAGAATCACAATCTTTCCAGGATTCTGAAGCATTGACTCATCATTTGAAGAAAAACGTCGAATTATCCTTCAGTCAGTTGCGTGACTTCAACAATTATTCCTTCAACATTGTTGACTCTGATGACACTGCTATTACCGCCACAGAATTGTTTGAATTTGCCATCAACTACAACAAATCTTCTGGTAAATTCATTATGGTTTACAACAAAGCTAAATATTCCGAGGAAAGAGTTTCCAGTTTGATAGAACAATTTTCTCAATTCCTTAATATCGTCATTGAAGACTCAACCTCCATTATAACCAGAGTCCCTCTTTTGACCTCATCACAGATTAGTCACTTACCAGATCCAACCATTGATCTTGATTGGTCCGGCTATGTTGGTGGTATTCATGAAATTTTCGAAAGAAACGCCAAACAATGGCCAGAAAGAACATGTGTTATTGAAACCAGTGATCTACAAGGCTCAAATAATAGAGTGTTCACCTACCAGCAGATTAATGAATCTTCAAACATGATTGCCCATTATCTTGTTGATAACGGTATCAAAGTCGGCGATATCATCGCTATTTACTCGTATAGATCTGTCGAGTTATTGATCTGTGTCCTTGGTATTTTGAAGGCTGGGGGTACCTTCTGCGTCATTGATCCAGCATATCCACCATTTAGACAAAACATTTACCTTGATGTTGCTCAACCAGCCGGTTTAATTGTTATTGGCAGAGCTGGAGAACTTGACAATGAAGTTGAATCATTTATCGATGATAAACTAGATTTGAAAGCAAGATTATCAAAGGTCGCTTTACAAAATACTGGGGTTCCAACTGGTGGTGTGGTCCCTGGTACATCTACCGATTGCTTGGACCAGTATCTCAAAGTTAAAGATCAAGGTACTGGAGTTAAGGTTGGTCCTGATTCTAACCCAACTTTGGCATTCACTTCTGGTTCTGAAGGTTTGCCAAAGGGTGTTCTTGGTCGTCACTTTTCTTTGGCCTATTATTTCTCATGGATGGCTGAACGTTTCGAAATGTCGGACAAAGATAACTTCACAATGTTATCTGGTATTGCACATGATCCAATCCAACGTGATATGTTCACTCCAATTTTCTTGGGTGCTAAATTAATTGTCCCTACTGCTGATGATATTGGAACTCCAGGGAGATTGGCCAAGTGGATGCAAGTCAATGATATTACTGTGACTCATTTGACGCCTGCTATGGGTCAAGTTTTGGCTTCGCAAGCAGTGGATGAAGTTCCAACTTTGAGAAACGCCTTTTTTGTTGGTGATTTGTTGACTAGAAAGGATTGTTTGAGATTACAGAGTTTGGCTAAAAATGTTCATATTATTAATATGTACGGTACCACTGAGACTCAAAGAGCCGTTTCCTATTTCTTGGTGAAGAGTTACAATGAAGACAAAGACTATTTGTATACTTTAAAAGATATTGTTCCTGCTGGTCAAGGGATGAAGAATGTTCAATTATTGGTGGTCAACCGTTATGACCCTACCCAAACTTGTGGTATTGGTGAAGTCGGGGAATTGTTTGTTAGAGCTGGTGGTTTAGCCGAAGGATATTGCAAATTGCCAGAAATGAATGCTAAGAAATTCTTGAATAACTGGTTTATTGGACCTGAAGCTTGGGAAGCCGCCGATAAGGCTTTAGATAAAGGTGAAGAATGGAGATCGGTTAACTGGAAGGGCCCAAGAGATAGATTATACAGAACTGGTGATTTGGGTAGATACTTACCTGATGGTAATGTCGAAGTGACCGGTCGTATTGATGATCAGATCAAAATTCGTGGTTTCAGAATTGAATTAGGAGAGATCGATACTCACGTTTCTAAGTTCCCTGTGGTTCGTGAAAACAGAACTATTGTCAAGAAGGATGAAAATGGTGAAAATTACCTTCTCAGTTTCTTGGTTTTGAAATCCGAAAATGCTTCAATCGAGGAAGAATATTTATCTAATAAGTTTGATTCCCTTGACTTCAGCGCTGTTAAAGCGAACGAAGATCTCAGAACAGACTTGGTTAAGTCTTTAGCCAAGTATCATAAATTGGCCACCGGATTGAAGAAATTTTTGGCTACCAGATTGGCCAATTATGCCTTGCCTTCAATTGTTGTTGTTTTACCAAAGTTTCCATTGAATCCTAATGGTAAAATTGACAAAAATAAACTCCCAGTGCCAACTTCTGAAGAATTGGCCAGTGCCGCTAAATTCCTTTACGAATTGGACGACGGTGCTTCTTCTGCTTCTGCTGACCAATTCAACGAAACCCAATCAAAGATTAAACAAATCTGGTATGATATATTGCCTACCAAGCCAATCATTAATCATCTCAATGATTCTTTCTTTGACTTGGGTGGTCATTCCATCTTGGCCACAAGAATGATTTTCCAAATTAGAAAAGAGTTCAATGTTGATTTGCCTTTGGGGACTATTTTCAAACACCCTACTATTGAAGCCTTTGCTGCCCAAGTTGAAAACAATGGTGCCACTGAGGAAGCCTCTGCTGTTTCTCAGCCTGCAAACGGAGAATCAGAATACTTCAAGGATGCCAAGTATTTGTCTACCTCTAGAATCGCCGGCAATTACCCAACTCCAGCACCTTTTACTCCGGGCTCCACGGTCAATGCATTCATTACTGGTACTACTGGTTTCTTAGGATCATTCTTGATCAAACAATTCCTTAATTTTAAATCTTTGGACTTTACCGTGTATGCCCATGTTCGTGCAAGCTCTGAACAAGCTGGCTTCGAAAGATTGGTCAAATCACTTAAGTCTTATGGTAATTATGATCCATCATTTGAATCACGTATCAAGATTGTTGTTGGTGACTTAGCTACCGATAAATTTGGATTGGAAGATTCAGCATGGAAAAAGCTCAATGATGCGGTCGACGTTATAGTTCATAATGGTGCCATGGTCCATTGGGTGTATCCTTATGAAAAGCTCAGAGATTCCAATGTCATTAGTACTATCAATGTTTTCAACATGGCTCTAGTTGGTAAACCAAAGGTTTTTGAGTTTGTCTCATCTACTTCTACCATTGACACAGACCATTATTTCAATTTATCCGATAAATTGGCCAGCGAAGGTAAGCCTGGTCTTCCAGAATCCAATGATTTGATGGGATCCAGTAGTGGATTGGGTACTGGTTATGGTCAAACCAAATGGGCTGCTGAATACATTATCCGTAAAGCAGGTGCCAATGGTCTCAAGGGTCACATTGTTAGGCCGGGGTATGTTACCGGTGCCTCTAATAATGGCGCCAGTAACACCGATGATTTCTTATTGAGAATTTTGAAGGGATGTATCGAAATTGGTGCTTTACCAGAAGATGTGGATAATACCACTAATGCAGTTCCAGTTGACCATGTTGCAAAAATTATCTTATCTACCACCGTCACCTCATTGCTTGGTGAAGACAAGGGCATCAAGGTTGCCCATGTTACTGGTCATCCAAGAATCAAACTTAATGATTATTTGGATACTGTGAACCACTATGGCTACTCTGTTGATAAAGTCAATTATGAATCTTGGAAGACCAAATTGGAACAATATGTTAGTGATTCTAGTAATCCAGAATCTGCGTTGTTCCCATTGTTGCACATGGTGTTGGGTGATTTGAAGGCTGACACAAGAGCTCCAGAATTGGATGATGCTAATACAATTGAAGCTTTGAAATACACTGCCAAACTCAGTGGTACTGAATTCTCAGTAAATGCTGCCGGACAAGGACTCGATTTGAAACAGTTGGGCGTTTACATTAGCTACTTGGTGCAAATTGGGTTCTTACCAAAACCCTCTGCAACCAATAACTTGCCAGCGGTGGAAATAAATCCAGAAACTCTTAAACTTGTTTTAGCCGGTGCTGGTGGTAGAGGTAGTGCTGCCAAATAAAGCTGTTAATCATAAATACTTTTTTTTAACATTGCATTTTTTTTTTTCACGTCTTGTTTTTGCTTACTTATTCTTTTTTTTTTTTTTACATATTCAAACTAATAGAGAACTAAATTTAATTATATCAATATTATTGGGAATAATTTTATGATATTTCAGCACTATCATAATGCTGTAATCAAGAGACTATTAGAAAACCTTACCACTGTGTACAAATTCGCGTCACAATTATGATGAAAATCTTCAATCACCAATCTGAAATTTGGCTACATTGAGACTGCTTAACCAAACATCTAGCTGACTCTCGCATGCGTGCATTAGAATCTAACTTTTTTTTTTTTTTAATTTTATTATAAACTTGATAAATATCTTCCAATCTGGCTCTATCCACGTTATTTCTTTTTATTATCAAGTGGTAAATCACAGAGACCCCAAAATGTCACAACGGTTTGACACAAGTCACGTGGGGAACTTAGAAATAGCAACAAAGGAAAAAACAACAACAATAGAGAGTGTTGGGATTATATTTGGTGAGTAGCAATAATTAATATTTTTCCGTTTCTACAAACATGCTCTTTTTCTGGTTCCTTGTGGTTACTTTATAAAATTCTTGCCTATAGTATTGAACTTGGCCTTGGGATTTTCAGGTTTTCTATTCATTATTATTCAATTCTGCTGTGGAGAGGAAACCCCCCTTCACAATGAAATTCTTCCAATTAAAAAAACATAGTGCTCCTCCTGCCACCAGCCAGCTCAGGAATGGCTCTTCTTTGCCCCCAATTGATCAATACACTCCTAGAGGATCATCTATTTTGCCCAGCTATGCAATTGAAGAAGATGACTTGGAAGAAGATGACGACGAAACCAGAGCAAATACCATGAGAAATAGCTTTCTAGCACAGAATCAGAATTTCACATTGCGAAACAAAAACTCTCGGCATTCGTTTACAACCAATTATAATAATTCCAGAGATATCGGTTATAAAAGAGGGACCAATGCCAATGCCAACGCTGCCGCTGCTGCTGCTTTGAGCAGATCGAATTCTTTGAGAAGCGTATCAGCATCACAGCGACCAAGACCTTCGCAACCACGTTTGAACTCTTTGACAAACCGAGCCTCCAGCAGCCAGAAAAGAGAGTCTCAAGGAGCCCGAACGCTTTCTTTATCGAGAATTGATGAGCAACCTCTATCTCGAAGCAATTCCCATAGGCATAGAATCAACAATAGGGATATCAACAACACCCCTCAACCAATCCGAAATCAAGAAAAATACAGTCATTTCACCTCACCACCCAACAAAAAGTTTAATGAAGGGTTGTCTCAACGTCGATCAAACTCTTTATTGAGTAATACTGGCAGAACCTCTTCCTTTTCTTCGCTACCTCCTATCCTGAATAGAAGGTACTCGATGGCCAGTATGCTTACTAATAACTCTTTGGATATGAATGACATAACAATACAATCGACCACAACAAAACGCGGAAATTCTGTTGTTAAACAAACAAAACTCATTGATTCTCAGGGAGTAACGAGAAGAATTATCACCAAGACAATAAAGAAAATTGGGGCGTATGAGGTTGTCAAGTCTAACATTATCAATCTATCTAATGATGATCCAAACTCCAGCATTCTCGAAAATGGCGGGTACTCTGACATTGATGAACTCGGAGACTTGGAGGAGTTAGATGATAATTACGAAGATGTCTTTTTGCCCCAAGATGAGAAATTCGTGACAGCCTTAGATTTAAATCGCCATTTTGAGGATTTTGATGACGCATTGGCCCCGGATGATGACGAGCCGCAGTATGCAAACTCTATCAATAGAGACACTAGGGTAGACATTGAAAGGGCTTCTAGAGGTGTCACCGGGAATGGGCAGTTGAATGGAGAAGAAAAAACTGAATCTCAAATAAAGGATGTTTCCAAAGAATTCAAGACTCTCGGAATGAGTGATAAGAATGTTATAAAGAAAAGTGATAATACTACAGTTTCCGCACCACTAACTAAACCCATTAGTCAGCCAACAGATAATGAATCCCAGTATTCTGATGCGATGTCTCATACTAGAAGTTCAAGTGATGTTAAGCTTCCTTTTATTGCTTCTAAAACCGACGACATAGAAATATCACCTTTTCAATCTCCTTCGAAACAAGGTAGGTCTTCTCAAAACATAACACAAAAGAATAAGTCATCAATTCTCAGACGTTCTCCCAGCGAAGAATTCGATATATTATCAACTAGGAGTATGAGGAGTAATAGAAGCAGGGTGAGTTTCCGAGGAGTGGATATCATTAATGCCGATGATGGCCAAAGGACTGCTTCGCGTCTGCTGAAAAAGCTCTCCGAAAAAGAAATGTATGACGCCGCTCTTAACGCAGCCACTGCAAAGATTTATGGATCCCCCGACCATGCCAACAGCAAGTCCTCGTTTGAAAGAAATTTGAACCAAGAAAATCATGTTCGTAGTGATAGACGATACTCCATGAGATCGGAGAACCGATCCAATTATAATCCTCCTAAATTGAGAAAGAAATTATCAATATCAGATTCCCTAAAGAGTATATCATTAAATTCTAAAAGTGCATTTCAGAGAACAGAGCCAAAACATAAGAAGCCAACAGGTGTTGTCCCTACATCTCCTCTGGTAAATTCCATCTCAGCAAATAATGGAACATTGAGAAATTCTGAGAAGAAAAAGAAGTTGTCCAGGAAAGAGAAACGGTATCTCAAAGAGAAAGTTAAATTGGAGAACATGGATTTATCTGCAGAGATCAGAGCAGCCCAAAATAGTTACAATAAAAAGCACAAGGATGATCCATATGTTACGCCCGAAGCTCTAGATCAGACACAATTGATTAGGGAAGAGACTCCAGAAGCACTAAATAACACAAACATTGAAAATTCTTCATTGGTAGACAGTACTGGTAATGATCCTAACAAGGTAGGTGAGCAGGTGAAGAAGAAAAGAAAATTCAACTTATTAAAGCTCAAGTGGAACTGACTTAAAATATATGTACCACTTAATATATATCTTGTACCATATTTATTGGAGCGATCTCCGGCCAAGCAGACTTTGATAGAGCTCTGTCCCTATTATTTTAAGATTTTTTTTTTTCTTGATTTGTTTCACTGTCCTAATAATTGTAATATAATTGTCACTTCTTATTATTTAAAATGATTAAGATTGTGAAAATGGGAGATTTATTTAACAGTGAGATAACTGTTTGATCATTTCTTCGAGGCCTGCAGCGGTTAGGCGCCACCGGTCTTTGTTTACTTACAAAAACAAAACAAAAAAAGTTTGAGTAAACAGTGCAGGAGACAACAACAACAGGGAGAACCATAGATATCTCCAGGATGTCCCAGCAGTTGCTTTATGATTCTTTTGTACAAATAGTGGACAGTATTTTGCCATTAGACATTTCGCCAGACCAACGAACAATTATCTTAGAACAGTTTCTCTCATACATTGACCAGACGACCAATGCTGGAATCAACTATGATCTTCATCTAGTGGTCAGCCAATTGAAAAGATTATTCACAAGTGATGCTCAATGGAATCTGTTTCAGCAGGCCGTGAAAATATTGCTACGATATAAAAAAGATAATGATGTAGCAAGATATTTATCGTTTTTTAACTCCATTAATATCGAGAATATAGATGAGACCCGTGGACAGCGACGGCATTTTATTCTGGCGTCACATACTAGAAGTATGACCACTACAAATAATGGGCTTATAAGAAATAATGCTTCTCAAAGCTCGTCTCTCAATAATATCAATGAGTTTGGGGTTAATAACAAAAGGCAAAGATCAAACTTTACTGGTAGGGCATATGATAGCCAATCAATTAATGATCTTGTTAACGATATCCTCCTTGAATTCCAGCCCGACCATATCAAAGAATCCGAGATGATTCAATTCATTTTTTATACCTTATTGTCATCAACTTCGGACTTGTTCCCAGTTGATAAAGTTAGCGGGAAGATTGCGATTCCAGAATCTATTGGGAATAGTACAAGTGGAATACTACATTTGATATTTGAAGCCAGCGTCTTATTCAAGTACTTGATGACAGCAACCAAGAAAAACCACTACAAATCACAAATCAAGGTGGCATTTTTGAGTAATGTCCTGGTATATCTACAACAGTATACCCAATTAATCAATGAGTTGTCTGTATCAAATGCCAATGATATGGGGAAGACTTTGACTGACGTTTATCGCCATTTAGTGGGAGAAATTGACAAATTCAGATTCTTGTATTTCTTAACAGATAAACTCGAAAAAATTCCTGGCAATGAGTTTTTGTCCTTGGTTTTTGGCTATTCCAATTTCGGTGATTTATTGATAAAAGAAGTTGCTATGACGCTATTCAAAGTATCTTCTGAACCATATTACAAAGTGTTGGAGAATTGGATAATAAATGGAGAGTTATCAGATAGTGATGAGGAATTTTTCATTTACAATGACCTAGAAGAAAAAAGTAATGGGATATCGGCGATTAAATTTGATGATGAGAAGTATCCTAAATTTTTATCTGCCAAGATAAAGCATAAAATCTACCAAATCGGAAAAATGATTAAGTTTTTAAGGGATGTTTGCAAAGAATATAATTTCTTAAATGGATACAATCAGAAATTCAGGTCTTTTTTGTCGAAAAGAGAATTGAGATCATTCAATGAAAATCAATTTTCAATTTTGATAGACTCACAATTCAAAGAATTATCAAATTATTCGACTTATTTGTTGTATAATACATACCATTTGGATTATCATATACTCAACCTCAAGAAGTTCTTGTTATTATCTAAAGGCGATTTTATTTATACCTTAATTGAAAATTCATTAGCTGTTCTTGGTGAGCCATCCCAATCTTTGTCGGTAGTTCAATTATCACAGATTTTATCTAATTCCATTGAAAATTCTTCGATAAAATCATCCCCAAGAGATATGCTTCTTCGACTCGATGCAAGAATATTGTCTCTCAATTCATCTGCTAATTTGGGTTGGGATGTATTTACGTTGGATTATAAACTTGATGAAGCTTTGCGGGTGATCATTTATGACAATAATATGGGATTGAGAAATTATTTGAAGTTGTTTAATTTTTTATGGAGGATAAAGAGGATCAGCTTCATGTTGGATCAGTCGTGGCATGGATCTAATATAATATACAAGAGGAATATTAAAGATTTGAAACACCAACCGCAGAATTTTTGGGTTGTGAAACTGTTTAATAAAGTGAATATTATTAAGAATGGGTTAATCAAGTTCATTACTAAACTTTTGGGGTACTTAAGTTTTGATATGATTGATGTGGCTTTCGAGGAGCTTCTTGAGAAGCTCAATAAATCCAAGAATTTATATCTTACCAACTCTGTCAGGGAAAGCTCTATCAAGAACAACAAGCTAGATAGCTACTTGGTTAAGTTTCGTCAAGTGCTTCTTCCAAATAAAGAATATGTCAACGCGTATAATGATAGTATTGTTGATGATGGCACTCCGATGCCTGATACATTTGAAGTGGATCATGAAATTTATTCTATTGATGAGTTCATCAACCTTCATTGTCAATACCTTGAGAAAATTGGAAGCCACAAATTGATCGATTCATCACTGAAACGTTCTGTTGGTTTGTTTTCGGGAAAGTTTTTTGTTCATCAGATTAATGGACTTGTGGGGATCGTTTCTAAGTTTTTGCAAGCTGAGGAAGAGTTCCACAACTTGATATTGGAAATTGTTTCTCAATTGAAGCTCGGAGATAACCATGATGACGGTGATGACACAATGGAAAGCTTATATGGTCATAACAGTATTAGTAAAATGAAAAAAGTGGTGAAATACATTTCCAGAGAAGTTAACGGTGAATTCATTGAAAAGAAACGGGTATTTGTAAAGGATTTGATAAATGATAGAGAATTACAGAACTTTGGATTGGACTTGGGAACATGATGACACAGGATTTAATGATAAATGACGTTTTTTAAGTTTTTACTATTCTGTAATGTTGAAAAATCTTTCTCTTTATGCAGGAACAGGAAAAAATTTTCTTTTTTTATGTGTACTGCTTGTTGTCCAAGAATGCATGTTATTCTAAAAATACCCAAGCAAAGAGGGTGTGGCGCCCTGCATATTACGCAATGATATTCCCATGAGTAGAGCAAATCATGAGAAACAAAGTTTCCAGACGTCATTAAGAAAATTATAAATAACTTCCAGTTGGAGCTCTGAGGTATAAATATTGGACCCCATTCCCAGAAATCATACATTCCCATTTACTCTCCCTTATTGATATCACTAACAACCTTCTACATTACTTTATTTCCATCAACTCATCATACCAACCATGCAATTCTCTATCGCTTCCGCTGCTTTGTCTGCGACCTTCGCTTCATTGGCCATGGCTTTGCCAATCAAAACTGCCGATGATTCAAATTTCAACCTTATGGTGCTTCGCTCTGGTAGTCCAGTCCATTTTGCTCCAGTCAATTATGATGAAACACACGCTCAAGTGTTCTCCATTGGCAGGGCTGCTGGGGGATCACCAGCCAACTTGACTTTGCAATCTGATTCTTCTATTGTGGATGAAACCGGCAGAGGAGTGTACATCAACCCTAACACCGGGGATGTTGGGCTTGTTGGTGAAGGTCAAAAAGCTTCTACTGGTTTCAGTTTCGACGGGTACGAATTCTTGTATCAAGGTAACAGTAGCTTCTTCGCTTGTCCTTCCGGTGAGGATGTCTACTCATTGACCTTTGATTATTCCTACGAGGGGTGTCTTGGTATCACTTTGTATCACATCTAAAAGCTCTAAAGAAATATTAGGGAGCTTGGCCTTTAACCACTAGATATCAATTTTTTTTTTTTTTCAATAGCATTTCGTTCTCTTCGGCCTTTTATAATTTTTCATCTTTTATTCCCATCACTTGAATGGTTTTGGGTCTTAAGTCTTGGCATTTTTCATGAAATATTTTATCTTCTACCACTTTAATGATACTATCATCCATAATAAATAATATAATACAATTTCTTCTAAATATTGATATACCTTGCACTTTCTGTGCTTGCGCTGATCTTGCACTTTCGTCTTATAATTATAAGATCGAAAGATCCATGATTTGGGCACCGTAGATATTCACGTGAGTTTTTTTTTTTTTTTTTTCTTCTTTTCTTTTTTTTTTATCACAGAGGTTTTTTGGTATCAGAAAGCTCAATAATATCGGTCAAATAATAATAATAATAATAATAATAAATGACAAATGAAACCTTAGAAACACATTTCAAGTTCATGCGAATGGCACTTGATCAAGCCGAAGCGGCGCATCGTGCAAGAGAAGTTCCTGTCGGGTGCTTGTTTGTCTACAACAACACCGAGGTAGTTTCCACCGGCAGTAATTTGACTAACGATACCCTTTCAGGTATAAGACATGCTGAGCTCGTGGGGATTGATGAGATATTGGAACGGTTCAACTTGACTTCGTCAGAGAACAAATACGATGCGGAGCGCCAGCACAAGATCTATGAACTTTTCTCTAAGATCGATTTATACGTGACAATCGAGCCTTGCGTGATGTGTGGATCAGCATTACGACAAATTGGGATCAACCGAGTATTTTTCGGGGCCGCAAATGATAGATTCGGGGGAAATGGAAGTATCTTTACCATCAACCATGACGACTTGGGAATAGAGCATGTAAGTGGTAATAATTCGTGCTTTGACAAAACTTATGAAAGCTATCCTGATTTCGGAAGAGAAGAGGCGATCATACTATTGAGGAAGTTTTATGTGGGTCAGAATAAGAAGGCCCCGAACCCTCAGACAAAAGAAGAGGATAGTAGACTACTAAGGTTTGATCAATTCCCGTTGATGAAGTATTCAAAGTATATAACGAAGAAAGAGTTTTTGAAAATGTATGGAGAAAGTAATGTCCATAGATGGATAAGATCTGAACTGGGTGAAGATCTCACGGAGGCTGAGGGAATGTTTATTGAAAACTGGATTGATCCATTGATGCCTCTCAAGAAGGAAGTAAAGCTTGAAATGGATGAATGGCAAAGGAAAATCCAAGAAGGAGTTATAAATGAGAATCGTGATCATGACAGGGGAAATGATGTCAAGAGAATCAAGATAAGTGGTGATTGATCTTTAAACTACTTAATTATATTGTATTAGATTTGTCATATATGGATTTTGTTGTATAGAATAGATAGATTACTAAGACTTTTTCAGGGACAGTTAGATTGTTACTATTTAAAATGAGTAAGACTATGATATGTTAACAGCCACATGCTACAGAGAAAATATTAAGAGAGCATCACATTTACAAATGTTATTATTATGTAATGGGAAAACACCATGAATTGTATGAAGAGTTATAATCTTGAGGATTTTCAACAGAAATACACAGCAGACAGTTTCCTGGGCTTTATAGGGATCGAAACAATAGTGGGAATGATCAAGCAATGCAAGTCAAAATAAAAGCTACACAGTATATACCAAAAGAAATGACCGAAAGATACGATGGTAAAAGAAACACCCTGAGAGTGGCAGACTGTTGATCCCTCGTTGGTGTGATTAATGTGTGTTGCTACGCATTCTCCGTCCATCCTTGAGCAGTTTGGCGACGTTTTCCTCTCACGTCATTTATTGCCATGACCCTCCATCCGGGGCGGCGGGCGGAGGACGGTATATAAGCAATGCTTTGTCAGATGCTTTAATATACTGGGACAATATAATATATAAAAAATAGAGTATATATATATATAATATCAATTATAATAAATCCCGCCCAATAGACAACATGCCAGAAACCACCTTTCAGTTCCAAGACGCCCTTTCCAAGCTACCGATCCCTGATTTGCCCTACACCTGTGCCAAATACTTGGAAATCCTCCAGCCGTTGCAGACAGAACGCGAGCACGCCCAAACACAGATAGCCGTGAAAGACTTTCTTAACAACCCTCTTAGTAAGAAATTAGACCAACAACTACGAGAGTATTCCCGGCGTCGTGCCTCTTATATCGAGGACTTTTGGTACGAGTCATATCTCAACTACGACTCCCCTGTGGTGCTTAATTTGAATCCGTTCTTCCTCATCGAAGATGACCCAAACCCTATCCGCCCATCTCAAGTGAAAAGAGCCGCATCAATCACGATTTCTGCCCTTAGATTTGTTAGAGCCATTCGTCGTAATGAATTAGTCCCAGATAAAATCCGTGGACAACCTTTGGATATGTATCAATACACAAAGCTCTTTGGTTCTGCCAGAGTGCCGACCCTCAATGGTTGCGTTATGCAAACAGATTCCGAATCTCGACACTTAGTAGTGGTATGTCGGTCGCAATTTTACTGGTTCAATGTATTGGATAATAATGATGACTTGTTGCTTGATCAGGAGGCTTTGCTTGCCAATTTCAAAGCCATTGTTCGTGACTCTCAGAAATCGGCGGTCACCGACATTGCCAAATCTTCATTTGGCTTATTGACCACCGAGAACCGTCGAGTTTGGGCAAAAATCCGTCAAAAAATGACCAACAGTATCAATAACGACATTCTCAAAATCATTGACAGTGCCCTCTTTGTTGTATGCCTTGACGACGTGGAAATTGAATCCCAAGAAGAATTATCTATTAATTTCTTATGTGGACTCTCCAATATTGAAAATGGGGTACAAATCGGCACTTGCACCAATCGTTGGTATGACAAGCTTCAAATAATTATCACCAAAAATTCGAAAGTCGGGATCAATTTTGAACATACTGGGGTTGATGGCCACACGGTATTGCGGTTTGTGTCAGATATTTATACTGATTCCATTCTTTCATTTGCTAAATCCATCAATGCCAGCGCTCCTTCTATTTGGAATAACTCTTCCCCGGAAATGAGTTCTACTAATGATCGCTCGAATATAACACCAACAAAACTCAATTGGGACTTATCCCCCGATCTTTCTTTGTCGTTACGTTTTGCAGAAACCAGACTCTCTGATCTCATCCAACAAACTGAGTTTGCAGTGCTTGAGTTCAAAGGTTATGGATCCAACATGATCAAGAAATTTGGATGTTCCCCAGATGCATTTGTGCAAATGAGTTTCCAGGCCACTTATTATGCTCTTTATGGGAAAGTTGAGTGCACTTATGAACCAGCAATGACGAAAAAATTCTTTCACGGCCGTACTGAAGCTATCAGAACGGTTTCTAATGAATCTAACTTGTATGTTCGAAAGTTTTTCGAGAACATTCCAGCAATTACAAAGTTAAGCTTACTCAGAGCAGCATGCCAGAAACATAGTGCAAGAACTAAGGACTCGTCTAATGGCCTTGGAGTGGACCGTCATTTATATGCCTTGTTTTGTATTTGGAAAAAATGGGCTAACTCAAGTGATTCAGAAGAAGAGCTGATCAATGATGACGATTCCGATACCACCGTTCACCTGAATCATGAAGATGATGAATTTTCTGCTTATTCCAAAGAATTACCATCGATATTTGCAAATTCCGGCTGGGACAAACTCAATAACTCGGTGATTTCTACCTCCAATTGTGGAAATCCATCTCTACGTCTTTTTGGTTTTGGCCCGGTTACTCAAAATGGATTTGGGTTGGCATATATCATAAAGGAGGAATCAGTTACTATTGTTGCCTGTTCCAAGCATAGACAAACCAGAAGATTTGTGAATACTTTGAATTCCTATTTTGTCGAGGTGAGTAATTTATACAGGGAGACTCAGACTCAAGGAGTTATGGTTGACAATATTCCAGAACATCAATTTGATGAAAGAAATAACCGGTTTAAATCTTTACAAAACTCCATTAGCGTGAAGAAAGACCAGCAAGTAAATAATCCTTCTGCTGGGAATTCTTCTGTCGCCCTCAATTATTTATTAGGCGGATATGGATACTTTGATGTTGGCGAAGATGAAATTAAGCTGAGAGATCAAAGTCCAGAACCTCCTTTCAAGACTGAAGGCAAAGAGATTAAAATATTTCGGGCCAAGAAAATCGAGAAGAAGTTAAAATTGGCTGAATATTGAAGAGCTATGGGTTTCCTGTGAATTTGCATCTGTTCTTTTTTATTCTTCTTTCTCTGTTTTCGTCATTTTTTGCGCATAGTATTTTTTTTTTTTGTCATGGAATGTTTGTTATTCTTCATTTATTTTCTTATTTAATAGTATATTTTTATCCCCAATGTTTCGATTATTGTCTTGTGTATTTCATCAACAAATAGAATCGTAAGCTTTTACAAATTGACAGGGGGTAATGAAGATCATTGATTTTTTTTTTCTTTACGCATTCTTGTTTGAAATTCACATGTGAGCGGTTTCTACATTCCAAAGATAGTCAACATTTTTAATATTTCGTTTAATCCCACAATAGTTTAACAACAATAATGATGACAGGAGAATGACACAGAGTGCGCATAGCTTCTGGATTTTTTTTTTTTTTTTTTTGGGGGGAAAATAAAATTTTCAGGATGAGCAGAGGCTCTCATCGTTACCAAGTTGGAAAGAATATAATTCAAAATTTGGGAAATATCTATAAATTGCTCGGGTTTCCCTCAATTTACTTTGCTTTCCAATAATATTTCTAATGTCTGATCAGAAACGCCAAAAAACTAATCCTACTGAAAAAATGTCTAGTCCTCTTAAGATTTGTGTTCACTCTGGCTCTTTCCACGCCGATGAAGCCCTTGGTTACTACCTTCTTAAACTTCTTCCTAGATTCAAGGATGCCACCCTCATACGTTCTCGTGACCAAGCTCAATGGGAAGCCAGCGATATTGTCATTGATGTCAGTGGTAAATACGATGGTGTCAAATTCTTTGACCATCACCAACGTGGTTTTGAAGAAACTTTTAGCGACGATTACTCTACCAAACTTTCATCTGCCGGGTTGGTTTACAAACATTTTGGCCGTGAAATCATCAGTGAGGTTTTGAAATTAAACAGCGCAGATGAAAATGTTGACCTTCTCTATTTGAAGATGTACAAAGAATTTGTCGAGTCCCTCGATGCCAATGATAACGGTATTGAAGCCTATCCAAAAGAAGTGAAACCAGCTTTCCACTACCGTAACATTACTTTGCCTTCCATCGTTGCCAATTTCAACCCATCATGGAACGAGGACCACTCAGACGAGGTTTACTACCGTCAATTCCTCGTGGCCAGTGATTTCATTGGTAATTGTTTCTTGAGAATGCTCAAATCATTGGGTAACTCTTGGTTGCCAGCTAAAAAGGTTGTTTCCGATGCTTTCGTAAAGCGCTTTGACGTCGATAAGTCTGGTAGAATCCTCATTCTTGATCAATTTGCTCCTTGGAAAGAACATCTCTATGATATTGAATTCAAGAATGACGCCAAGGGAGAAATCACATACGTGCTCTTTGAAGATACTTCTGGATCTTGGAGAATTTCTACCGTGCCAATTACCAGCTCATCATTCAGCAACAGAAGACCATTGCCAGAAAAATGGAGAGGGGTCAGAGATCAAGCTCTTAGTGACTTGACTGGCGTCGAAGGATGTGTCTTTGTTCATGCTGCTGGTTTTATTGGTGGTGCAAAGACCAAGGATGCAGTTTTGAAGTTGGCCAGAATGAGTTTAACTATGGATTAAATTTGATGTGGAAAAAAAAGGGGAGTATTATTATTATTATTACAGCACCATGTTTTCTTTTAGGGTGGGTTCTTTATAGTATAAATTGTAACGTTTTTATTTGATAATTTTTTGTTGGAGAACTGGTAAAGATGAATTAATTTAAAAAAAACATACAAGTAAATTTTTTTTTTTTTTTAATGTATTCGGCCATTTTTAATTTCACCCCAAAGAAAAATATCCTGAACAGTTTTCACAAAATACGGGGAGAAAAAAGGTAATAACAATAGGGAAATGGGAAATGCTGTTGAAGTACTGATTGACATATATGGTTCTGCTATTTGTGTTTTTCCTTATGGAGACATAAAAAGTCAGCTTATTGCTTGCTGCTCTTGTAATCTTCACTCAACCAATGTAATGCCAACGGATGAACACTTGGAACCATACATATTTTCATCTTCTTTCTAGTATGTTGATCTTCAATTGTCTTATTGCCATCTGATTTCCCTCTTAGGATCTGTTCAATATCATTGTACTTCACTTCACTTTCATCCTCTGTACCTTGACCTGCGGCCACGAACTCAATATCATCATTGAAGTTTATGCTCTTTGTAATTTTTCCCTTGTTTAAATGGATCAAATGGGTTGGGAAATCCAAAGTCGCCAACCCATCAAATATGTGAGTGGCATAAATGATACACGATTTACGGGTCAAGGTCTCTTGTTTCAACCAATTGAGAAGTCTGAGACGCACCAACACATCGAGATCAACGGTGACTTCATCTAATAATAACACTTGCCAAAGAGGGAACAATTTGATGAGCAATTGCACTCTTCGGCGTTGACCATCACTAATATGGTTCATGTTCCACGATAAGTCAATGTCCAAAATCTCCAACAATACATCACGACGATCTGGTAAATTATTGATGCCCACCGATTCAATGAGGGTCTTCACTGGCATATCGCGTCGTATCACGGAGTTCAATATCCATTCGGTTCCAAGAAATGTGGCGACATTGTTAGATGCTCTACTAAATGGGTCTTGGCCAGCAAGTTTGATTGCCTGAGGGGTACTTGTGAGTCGTTGTCCGGAAACAAGTTTGAGAAGGGTTGACTTGCCAGCACCATTAGGACCAACGATGACGAGACGTGACCCCCAAGCTAGGGATAAAGAAATGTCTTGTAACCCAATCAGGCCAGTTGGGTAGGTGTAATTAAGATTTTTCACTTCAATGGCAAGATCGGTCATCGCAATAAAAGAATTGAAATTATTATTATTGGTATATGGTAGAATCTCTAAATGAATAAAAAGAACAAGAAATAAAAATATGAAAAGAAATGCAATGTAGCTGCTTTGTCTTTTGTTTCCTTTTCCAGTGGTAATTAGAAATCTTTGCAATTTGTATAATATATAGTAGTATAGTATAAAGGGGTATTTCGTCAGAAAGAAGAAAGAAAAAAAAACATCATTACTGTCGTCAGCACGTGAGCATCTTGCCTTCACTGACTCCGGTATAAATCATTTAGGAACCTGACGGCCACCGCATGGACTCTGATGTAGATCTGCTCGTCATCCAAGATTTCCAGAAGGTTTCTAAGAATGATAGTTTGGGTTCTGAGCGATTCCAATGGCGGTGATGTATCTTCATCTTCTGATGCAGATGAACTTTTCAGCGATGATCTGGCGCGCTGAGAGTCCCGTCGGACTGATCCACGATAGATTGATACTGTGGGGTCATGCGAATCATTGATAGAACTGTTGAATGAGTTGATGGTATTGGTTGAATAGTTTTCGTGGTAGTTCTTATTATTAGTATTATTAGGGGATTGGTAATTTAAACTTGCACTGGCATCCGTTAGCAGGAGTCTTTTTTTCTTCAATGATCTGATAAGGTAATGGAAGAACATGCAAATTTGATTTGAATGTTTAAGTAAAGTGCTCTGGTCATCACTGGTGAGAATTAGGGAGTATTTGCGAAGCTTGCCTCTTGCTGAAGAATCCAGTACACTAAAGGTTCTAGATATAGAGTACAACAAATTTGAGTCACCAAACACCGTGATTTTCGAACTTGCCTCCTCCGATAACGATCGCGCGACAATGGATTTAAGTTTTTCATTGACCACTTGGTCGTTGAAGCCTTGGGACGATATATAAGTGCTCCTGTCAATATCCAGGACCATGCAGTGTCGAGGAACCGAGGATGGCAAAGTGTCGGGAAGATTCAACTTGCAAGATGCACATTGTAAGCGGTCAGGAATTTTCATTGGGAGAGGGGCAAGGCGAGCCCGACGCCGTCGCGAAGATAAAAGAGTGACGGGCCCGTGGGTCTCGCAAAAATGAGCGAGGGTAAAGTAGTAATAGGGCATTAAATATATATGTATATATATTTATATGTAGAAGTTCTATGATTATTTTTCCAACACCGAATTTGCTTTCTTGTGTAACTTGTTGTTTATTCGGTATTTTTCTATTGGGTGTGTGCAAAAAAGTTTTTCCTTCCTTCCCTGCCCCCGGGAGCCGGTGCGGTGGGCTGCGGTTGGCCGGTAACGGGCTGCGGTTATGACCTTTGGATACCACCCCCTGGTATTAATGATCATGTGATCTACACCCCTTGTATCCATCCGCTACGGTGGGCGAGAAAGACAACCGGCAGGGCAGCACCGGAAGACTAGTCTCCACGCACCTGGAGCCAATTTTGAAAGAAAAAAAAACACTGCCTATTCGCACTCCCGCCAATAGCGTGTGTTGAATAGCTAAAAAGTTTTTTTCCCTAATTGAAAAAAAAAAACATCAAACCACTAATTGTGATAAAATCTTAACTAGTTCGACAAACACCAACACCAAGGAATATTCTCGACTTCACACAAATCAAACATTAGCCATGTTCAGACAAATCATCAGAACCCCAGCCCTTAGAGTTGCCGTTCCAGCCATCCGTGCTAGACCAGCCTTTGGTTCTTTCAACAAGTTCGTCAGAAACTACTCCGACCACCACGAAGAAACTTATGAAGAATTCACCACCAGGTAAGTGCATACACTGCCTTTTTAGCATAAGATTATGTTTAAATATATATTGGGAATTCAGGTATACTAACAACTATATTAAATAGATTCGAAAAAGAATTTGAACAAGCTTACGATCTTTTCGAAGTCCAAAGAGTCCTCAATAACGCTTTCTCCTATGATTTGGTCCCAGCTCCATCAGTGATTGAAAAGGCTTTGTTGGCTTGTAGAAGAGTCAATGACTACGCCACTGCCGTCAGAGTTTTCGAAGGTTTGAAGGTCAAGGTTGACAACAACGAACAATACGAAGCTTACCTTGAAGAATTGAAGGATGTTAGAAAGGAATTGGGTGTTGACCTTAAGGAAGACTTGTTCCCAGAATCTGCCTAAGAAGATAATTATTGTACCTGAAAAATTATCGCCAAAAAAAAAATATAAAGCAGAACAATAATATCAAAAAAAAAAAATTCAAAAAAGAGATATAATGAAGAAAGTAAAAAACAGGGCAACAATATGACCAAAGAAAAAAAGTATTTAAAAAAAAATTAATTGAATAAAAAGATATTAAAGAAACCTTTTTTTTCTATTCTTTTTTTTGTGATTTTTATTTTTCTATATTTTTGTGAAATTTGGTGTTCTGGAGTATTATTAAATGATTTATTGAATATGGTGAAGGAGTTGCTACTTTTTTTTTTGTGGTATTGGACGTGCTGTGGTTAGAAATGACATCTACTATAATTCTTTTTTTTTTCTGTGTTTTGTTTGTGAAGTCACTAGTTATTTTCAGTTTTAAAAATTGAAGTTTTACATAAACATTACTACTGTCATTTGGTATTACTATTACTATTATTCCTATGATTTGTCATATCTATTGCTACTGTTATGAGGGGAATGTGCATTTCAGTATTATCTACTCACAATTTATCTATCTATTCCCACAATACATTATTATTATTATTATTATTATCATCATTGTTATCATTATTTTTTTCATCATTATCATTCTTCTCATAATCGTCATTATTATTATTATTGTCATCATATCTGTAAGGCTGGAAAGAGATCTAAAAATATATGCAGTGAGAAAATAAAAATCGTACCACCAAAGCAAACAGGGGGTCTTCCACATACTTTACCATTTGTCCTTCTCTTTTCCGGACCCCTTTCTAATTGCCATATAAACTTTGAGATATTTGAACAGTTATAACCCCATCTTTTTATTCACAAAGCAAGGCTCTCAGTGATTGTTTCAATATACCGAATCACCCCCTACGTACAACCTCCCAGAGATATTTATACAGGGTGCGGAACCCCTCAAATAGATTTCTGTGTCACGTGCGCTTATCTTTCCCTTGGCCGACTATCACCAGAAAAACGTAAGAAAACGTCAAAAATCCTCATCTCATCTCATCTCGCATTTAGAAGTTAAACGTTGCCCAGAAAAAAAAAAATAGAAAAGAAGAAAAAATAAAGGAAAAACAAAAAAAAAAAAAAAAAGATTAGAGAACTATCATAAAATAAATACAGCACCCTATAGAAGAATATCCTTCATAATGTACCCAAACACAACTGCCTTCCAAGGGCCCGCGCAAGGTCAATCTCCCCTGCAGCAAACCCTGGTTCAGCTGTGGGCAAAACCTTCTAAAAGTATGTTCTGTGCTTCAATCTTGAATAAACAGGCTTTAATTAATCTTATCTGATTATGAGCTATGAAGAAATGTGTCGAAAAAATAATAATAGCAATGCTATTGCCTAAAAATTCTTGATGAAATCGTTGAGATCAATCTGATGATATCCTTTTACTAACCGCTCTTATTTTCTAGATCTATCTCATGTCCCTTGTAAATTCTTTCGTCAAGGTGCTTGCCAGGCTGGAAACTCCTGTCCATTCTCCCACTCGATGGATCTTCATTCGCCAACCACTATGAATCCTTGCAAGTACTTCCAGAAAGGCAATTGTAAGTTCGGGTTGAAGTGTGCTCTAGTACATGTGATGGCTGACGGAAGAAAAGTTCATACTCGGGCGTTTGCACAATATCAAAAGGACCAGAACCAGCCAGTATCATCAGCAGCACAGATACAGCATCCAGGAATATCTCATGTTGATACTCAACAAATTCAAATCCCATCACAAACAACAAAATTTGGCCATTCTGCTTCTTCCTCAATATCCGCCAACAATAACATTGGATCCAGTAATGTTTCGAGCCCATTGATATCATCTTTTCCACATCAAGCCACTAATCAAAACCATTACTTTAATAATAACCAGCCGCAATCTGGTCCCGCATCCAGTGAGCAACAATTCCTAAGCTATCCTAACACTTGGTCTCAGAATAGCAACCACCAGACTAATGAGGACCATTACCCTTTGAATTCTTCAAATGAGTTGATGGATAAAATAGGGAATACATACGCCGGAAGTAATAATATTGGAAGTTTTGGTACCATTAGGACTTTACAAGAGTCTAATGGCTTTGAAAGCTCATCCCATGGTGTTAATGAAGCTGCCAAAGCAAATGATACTGTGTCTAACTTGGAAACTAAAAACGAAGAAGCAGAGGAAAATGATGACGATGATTTAAAGTTTGAAGAAGATTATGTTCCATCAAGCTTAATGGATTTGCTAAGCTCACAAGAGCTAAAGCGGAAAATTGCCAAAAATGAGAACACTGATGAAGTCAACAATCGTATAAATGGTAGTGCCTTCGAGTCCAATATCATTAGTAATGATAATACGTTTAATACTAATGCTTCTAATATTATTGTTGGTGATGGTGAAAATACTCTTGCTCCGGGAACCCCTTACCCAACCCATACTCATGACAGTGGGTTTAGTAATTTGACGAGACAAATCCATAAAAACGGCTCTGTTTCCTCTACCTCTTTATCAATGGGTTCTGGTTCTGCCAACAATAATAATTATGTCACAACTAGTAACTCTAATAGCATTAGTACAAGCTCTTCTAAAATCCCACTATTTTCTCCTACTTCCAGTACAGGGTTCTCACCAGTGGCAGAATTGAGCTCATTAAGTTTCAATGGTTCAAAGAATGATGTTTGGGGTATTGGCAATGGTGGATTTGGGGGTGCGGCTAATAACTCCAATTCCAGCAATATTGTCTCTAATACAAATGGCCTTGTCAACAATGGTGTTAATATCAACAGTGGAGAGCCCAGATTTTCAACCAGACATGCATCGTTTGGCTCACTTTCTAAAGGAACCCCTCTGGACTCCTCATCTTCTTTCCAACCACTTCCATCGCAGTTTCTGCTGCATCTGTATCTGCTGGGACTTTTGAATAACCCCATCAATTTGAATGGAAATGGTTACAATGTTGATAATAATGAAATTAACATTAGTCGAACGTTGACTAATTCAAGCTTATCGAGGGGCAACAGTTTTGGAAGGGATTCTAGGTTCGGGGTATGGGGAGTGAGTAACAATACTAATAATGGGGGGAATATAAATAGGGGAGCGGATGATTTGGTGGATCGAACATCTAGATGGAGCGTTAGTGAATGAATTACCAGTGATGGGGGTGTTGTACATCTAGCTATCAATTCTACTTTTTTTTCTTATACAAAAATTCCTCTCAGATCTTCTCCTTTTTCTTTTCTTTTTTTTTTCTTTTCTTTTTGGTTTTTAATTATTAATTGATTTTTGGTGATACTTTTACAGTGAAAATATAGAGAATGCAGTTTCCTCTGCAATATTCTTTTTGTTTCTTGATTTTTGGAGTGATTTTTTTTTGTTATCTTTTTCTAGAACACTGTCTAGAATATAAAAAGAAAAAAAAAAAAAACTTTCTTTCTATTATTGTTTTTATTCTTATACTGGGGCCTGGAAATTAATTTTTTTTTTCTTTTAGTATTTGGAAACTTTGTATTTTATTTTATTTGATTTACTGAATTTATTATTTGATTTCCTATTCTATCTATTACCAATTTATTTATTACCCTGGGGACTTTATACTTGGATCACACAAAATCAAAAAAGAAGAACAAAAAAAAAGTATTGTTTTTTAATTTTAAAGTCGATTTTTCATTTCACCAAATGTAAATGGATTGATGTGATGTTCCATATCCTGTTTTTGTCAAGCGCTACCCAAAAAAAAAAAAGTAAGTTTATCTTTATCAATGTAATTTCTGAAAAATGGCAAAAAGATAGGAAATTGTTCCTTATTTGATAAACCATAGCATTCAACTGATAGCCCATAACTTTTAGGTGGCTTATTGAGCTCTCTTATTTGTGATCATTCATTTTCACCTTTATCTTCATCAACAGGCTCCAACCCCCACTTCCCAGCTAAATACTTCCGGTTGACAAGATCATTAGCAAATTTGAGAAGAAATTCTTCAAGCCCCAGAAACAATCTGAACCACATGAAATCGTGATTTACGAACTTGATGATTTGGCCAACTTGATCTTTGTTGGCTGGATTTAAATCAATACATAAGCTGTCGCCGCTGCTATTCAGGGCAAATGCGATCCACTTATCATCAAATCATGTCTGCTTAATCTCCATTTATTCATTTGTGTCATTGTAACTCGGTCTATCATCACCATCCAGGAGATCTGAAGTTTCTAGGTCATTTTTGATTTCATGTAGCTGTTGCCATGCAGCTTGAACATCTTCTGTTGATAGAAGCACTCCATCCACACTAAATACTTCGATATCTTCAGCAGCACCATTATGAATCTCCACTGTTTCGATGTATGATTTTGGTATTTCGATTCCATTCAGTTTCTATTTTTAGCTCTTCAATTTGTTGATCTGTGGCAGGAGGGTTCAATGCGGCCAATATCTTAGTATAATTTTAATCGATTTTGATATTTTCTTTTAGCCACGACTCAATTGTGTCCCAAAATTCATTTGTTTTGTTAATGGTCATTTTACTTCTATTTTTTTTTCCTCTTTTGATATCAAATAATTATTTTCTTGTAAATTATTTTCCCTGCAAAAACAGCTACATCTTTGATTCAAGTAGTTCGAAATGAAAACAGAAACAAAAACAAAACAAAGCATGATCCAAATAATAATGATTTACAATAGAATACCATAATTTAAGAAGGAAGTCTCATCACCCCGACAACAAAATAGTTAGAAATGTATAAAGATATGAGGTATTTTTGATAGTGTAAGAATATCCATATTGGTCAACACATGGTTTTCGGATGATACGTAAGCGACATCAAAAAACGAATCTGTAACCTAAAGTAAATAATAGATGCTGAGATGTTAATGTCAACAATCAAGGATATCTCACCAAGCAAACCCTTTGAAACCAACACAATTTTTCATCAAACTCCTGGAAATATCACTGAAGAAGGAGTGTTAGGAAGTGGCGGTACTAAGGTTATGGGCGCTGATTAGTCATTACAATCCTTTTGATTTGAATTGGTGTTGATCACAGAGGGTGGAGAGAATCAGCATTTTATATATATGTTATATTAGCTGATCAAACAGCTACGAGAAAGGCAAATGTTTTCTTTGATCAGATCTACGATTATCTCGATGTTTGGAGAATAGATCTTCAGCTGAATTTTGTTTAGAAGCAAGTGAAATTGGTTATACCGAGCTAAAGTCCATTTGGAATATTACCGGAAAAACTGAATCTTCACAGAAATCCAAAGTTTTTTTTTTTTTTTTTTTTTTTCAGCTCAATAGTGCTCCCCCACCTTGAATAGATCTTCAGGATTCGGAGAGCTTCCATGTATTTCAGGATATGAAAAAGAAGGCGATCTTGCTGATTGTTGGTGGTGCTATAATAGCTGGAAAATAAGTAGATCCTTTATAAAAATATAATTAATTGCGAGATATATATTTCCATCATTTGTGGTGTAAGCGTAGAACGAACGGACTCCCGGACAATTGAAATTAAAAAGGAGGTCTGAAACCCCCTACAACCTAAATTTCAAACCTGTCGGTTCACTGTTGACACCTTTTCACTGGCTATCTACGGAAGCTAATCAAAGACATGGGTTGGGTACTACAGGAAGCCGACCAAAAGTACGTTCACTTTCTATGTTTGTCACAATATGTTATTGGCCTTTCTCGCAAGAAGATCGGCCGCCATGAATCTCCAGTACCAAGCCAAGATTCGGATGCCTATTTCTTGAAAAAATTTCCAACTCCAAATTTAAGTTCCCATTACACTGGCAAGAACCGTTGGTGCTTTTGTGAGTAAATGAGTTGTATATCAACGAGTAACGGAGATTCTAAATAACATGTAAGCCGGGCACATGGGCCGGTCAGGCACTTTCACCTCCAAGGATCAGCCGGTGGTCTGCCTGTGCGATAATAATAGTAATAACCATTAACAACTACGTAACCTTAACCCTCCCCCCGGTTTGCGCAGCAGTGGGTGGTATGACTCATTGCTGGTTGAAGCCAATTAGTCACCGCCGATACCGCTGGGGGGATTTTTGTGCTAATTGCACCGCATTTTCGCTGCCCCCATCGTGGTTATGCACCGATGGACAGACGTCGGGGGATTCTCCATAAATACTTCACCGGTTGCTCGATATTTTTCACTTTCGAAAGTTTTGTCTTGCTTTCTTCTTCTTTTTCCCCTATCTATTATTCACAAGAAGCTTTGTTCTCCACTATCTTCTTTTAATATTCTATCTTCCCCCCAATAATAAATCACAATGATGTTCAGAAATACCACCGCTGCCCGCCGTTCAGCTTCTGCTGTTGCTAAGAGAGCTTTGTCCACCAAGGTTCTTGGTGCCGCTGCCCGTCCAACTATTGCTAGCCGTGTCGTCACCAAGACCACTGCTCAAATTGCCGCTACCAGAGGTATCAAAAACATCAACTTTGGCGGTGTCGAAGAAGTTGTCCACGAAAGATCCGACTGGCCTCGTGAAAAATTGCTTGAATACTTCAAGAACGATACTTTGGCCCTTATCGGTTACGGTTCCCAAGGTTACGGTCAAGGTCTTAACATGCGTGACAATGGTCTTAACGTCATCATTGGTGTTAGAAAGAATGGTGCTTCTTGGAAGGCCGCCATTGAAGATGGCTGGGTCCCAGGTGAAAACTTGTTCGACGTCAACGAAGCCGTCACCAGAGGTACTTACGTCATGAACTTGTTGTCCGACGCTGCCCAATCCGAAACTTGGGAATCTATCAAGCCATTGATCACCCCAGAAAAGACCCTTTACTTCTCCCACGGTTTCTCCGTCATCTTCAAGGACTTGACCAAGGTTGAAACTCCAAAGGACGTCGACGTCATTTTGGTTGCTCCAAAGGGTTCCGGTAGAACTGTCAGATCTCTTTTCAAGGAAGGTAGAGGTATCAACTCTTCTTTCGCTGTTTTCAACGATGTCACTGGTAAGGCCCAAGAAAAGGCTTTGGCTTTGGCTATTGCCGTTGGTTCTGGTTACGTTTACGAAACCACTTTCGAAAAGGAAGTTGTCTCTGATCTTTATGGTGAAAGAGGTTGTCTTATGGGTGGTATCCACGGTATGTTCTTGGCCCAATACGAAGTTCTTAGAGAAAACGGTCACTCCCCAAGTGAAGCTTTCAATGAAACCGTTGAAGAAGCTACCCAATCTCTTTACCCATTGATTGGTAAGTACGGTATGGACTACATGTACGATGCTTGTTCCACCACTGCCAGAAGAGGTGCTTTGGACTGGTACCCAATCTTCAAGGATGCTTTGAAGCCAGTCTTCCAAGACTTGTACGAATCTGTTAGAAACGGTTCCGAAACTCAAAGATCTTTGGACTTCAACTCTCAACCAGACTACAGATCCAAATTGGCTGAGGAATTGGATATTATCCACGATATGGAAATCTGGAAGGTTGGTAAGGAAGTTAGAAAATTGCGTCCAGAAAACAACTAGATTTGATGTAACATCGTCTCTCTTTGAATGCTCTCCTTTTTTTTAGTTCTTTCCTTTTCCCGATTTTTCTTTTCATGCTTCGTGTTTTTGTAAAATTTACTCTGTGTTTATGATTTGATATGAAATAAAAATTAAAACTTTACGATATATTTTTTAATCCAGGATTATTTGTAAGTGAAATTTTTCAAGGGTTTCCCCGCACCGATGGTACACGCGCTTGTTACGAGCCCGTTGGAAGGTTTTCAAGAAACTAAAATGTGAACTGCCCTCAGCATCTGCTTAGATATCCCCAATCTTTGCCCATAAAAAGGAGCAATAATAGGCTGTTAGCATGGCTCCGATGACTACGCCGGTTTTGAATCATAGGAAGATCAAACACTTGGTATCAATATCCCTAAGAAACATTAAAATCCCAGAAACTCTAACGATATCGGAGATTTCTCATATCGGTAACAACAAATCAAAACTTGATCCGCTGGAATCTTCTTTCCAGAGTTCTACGTCACTTGATAACCATAACCATTCTATGGAGGCACATAATACCCAGGAGTTGGATCACTTTATTTTATCCCGTTGTTCATTCTATGATACCTTTTTTGTGCTTCAACTCCCTAAATCACAAACCCCATTCTATATCAGTGAAATATCCTCAGAATGTATGAACGTTGACTTCCACGATATAAACCTCATGGCCCTTGCATTGAAGGATCCCATTGGATTTGCTCAATTATCAAAACTGAGAAAAGTGAAGCTACGTGTGTTTGTTCGACGTTCGAACCATGACGCTCCCTGGAAAGTGTTGTTATCCCGAACAATATTCATGAGTAATTTGATGTATGTGGGGCCGGAATTGGACCAACTTCAGCACTCCTCCAAAAATAATGAATTATTTATATCCATGACTGATGGGGTATTTAAATTATCCCAGACCACAGTGCAGGAAATTCGACAAAAATTATCAAGCCAAACGACGAAAACAATTAAGCAGGGCCGGCTGAAATTTGTAGCTAATCCCGACGGTGGCGTGCCGATGATGGACTACGAAAGTATCATGAAGCTAGATAATTTAAAACTTTGCATAATGGATATTCAAACCATTAACTATCTGTTAACCATGGGCATCGACAAGGCAATTCGCGGTGGTGAAACTATAGAACCGCCCGCGATGAACAGTGATTTTAATGATAAAAAAGTCCAAATCAGGAATATGAGATGCAAGGTCACGGATTTTCGGAAAGTGATAGAACTTTTGAGGAATAATAATTATCAATTGAAGAAGAAGTTGACAACTAAAAAGAAAATTCTAGATCGCTTGAAATTATTGATTTATGATGATGGGTGTGATGATGATAATGATAATGATAATGATGATTATGATTATGATAATGATGCGATACAGACGAACGGAAGCTCCACCGAAGATGGATTCAACAACGAGGAAGTTTACGAAGGAGTATTAAAGAAAGAGGAACGCCTTGACAAGATCAAGTTCAAATTTGATGATGATCATAACACAGTACACCAACCCAGGGCCACTCCTATCAACCAGCATCACCAAGTTAATTCAATTATTCTGTCGATTGATTCCGAAATTCAGACGTTGAAATTAAAGTACCATGAAAACTCTGAGGACTTACAACTACTTGATCTGCAAATTACAAGTGAGTTGTCCCAAATATTCAAAACCCTTGTTAACATATTCCCTATTATCCCATTAAATTCTAACCCTATTGAATTTTCATTGCTCGGATTAAGACTTAGCAATCTCTGCTATTTTATCAGGTATCCAAACTATAACAAGGGGGCTCAGAATCATCACTCTGCTGACGAGGATGATCTTGTCTTTTTGTCAAAGGACGACCTTCAATTAGAAATTGATGCCTGTTTAGGGTACGTCACTACATTAGTACAACTTCTTTCGTTGTATCTTGGGATTCCTTTAAAGTACCCAGTGATTTCCTGTGGAAGTTACTCGGTGATATGTGATTATGTCAGTGCGTTAAATGATAATAATAAAGTGTTTCCCTTACACTTGAGCAACAGGTATCCAGCAATGGGACTCGCAGGGTCCCTGAAAAAGGTTATATTGTTCAAATTTGAGTATGGGGTGAGTCTATTGAATAAGAATATCCAACAAATCATGGAATCTGAGAGCCTAGTGGGACCTGACCAGAGAAACATTTTAGGAAATTTGAAAATGTTGTTGTTATATTTGGCATCCAAAGATTTAGGGACGCCATGAGGGAATAAAGGAGTAGTTATTTTTGATAATAGCAGGAAGTGTTATTTTGAAAAAGTAATATGATTATCTCCAATTCCAGATGGCATATGTAAAATGGATTGATTTACGTTAGAAATGGTATTGATAAGAATATTCTCTATAGATTTTTGTATTATATTATATGAAATATATGAACTTAACTTCATTTTGTTTACTACAGCAATCTAAAGGCAAAGCGAAGTCGATGGCAAGCCTATTTTAGGGATCAAGATCTAAAAAAAAGGTAAGACTTCCTTTCATCTTGATATCTCGAGAAAACGGGATCCTGAGCAAGAATGAATATTAGTCGAAGAACAGTCGTTCGGCACAATAAGGTGTTACCAGGAAGGTTCATCTTTTATAAGCCTATACTAACCTGATCTGTATCATTGTTTTCCAGGAAGTTCAAAAGTTCAAATTCAATGTTACACACAATAAGAAATCTTACATTTTTATCTCAATTTAGAAAAGCAAAATGGATGCACATCTTCAAGATGTTGTCATTGCAATTAAAAAACTCTTTTGTAATACACACAAAACCTAAAAACTCAAAAACCCATGGAACGAAAAGCGTAACAAAAAAGTATGCAAATTAAAAAAATGATTAATATACCCGTATATCATCAGACCAACAAAAATAAAAAGCATCAACAATCGTTGTGAATAAGCAGAACCGACAAAGCAACTTTAACCCAAAATGAGCTCGTAAAGAATGATGATGACATTCACCAAGATTAATGGAATTCGAAGCAACGTTCTGGTAGCAGATATTAAATTGATCATTCTGCCCTTCACACTAACGTCATTTTGGAATTGCTTGCCACTGCTACCCCAACCAATTCTATTCAAGAAGCGGTCTTCACTTAAGACAGCCACGGCGTTGACAAGAAGAACAACCACTAATATTTGAGTTAATAAAACAAATTATTCACAAAGCTTTGAGTTAAATATCATCAATAAAAACGTCACACAAAGATTGAGTCAAGAAATAATAGGCAATTGCTTAAAACGGCTATTCAGAAGGAAGGCAACTGTTTCCTCGTCTTAGATGTGATCTCAGAGATTGTTCACGCTAGTTAATCATCATAATAGCACGCTCTGTACAATAAGACCCATAAAATCAAACTTCAATCAGACAAACAATAAAGTCAGCACATACCGTATAAAAGCTTCCCAAGCCCCATCATCTTGTATTAGGGGTGTAATGGTTTGAAGAGAGAACTATGAAATTCTTCCTTGGAGAAGAAAGTAAGAAAAGGAAATTAAATGTTCAAGAATATTGAGAGTAAAGGAAATCGAGGTGAATTTATAGTTGATTCTGAGAGGAAAAAAATTTTTTATTCGTTGGCCGACCAACAAACAACCAAGAGCTTGACCGGAGCGTTAGCATATGCACGTGCATACCGGGGGCTCACCCCCTAACCAAGCATCGGAAGAAGCAGAAGAAGCAAGCAACTTGATGAGTGAAAAAAATGGCTGGCAGGTTGTAGTAGTATGCTCAATTTCGGTATCGCTCTAAGTTTCTAGACTTAGATAGTGATTCTAGTACCTATTCTAATATCAGTTGAATAACCTTCTAATTCTATAGCTTTCTAATCAAGGGTCTATACAAAATATTGAAAAACTAAAATAAACATATAGATTTAAAACCATGCCCATTTTTCATTGGCCTCCCAAATCAAGCCCTTATTTTGTTCAATAAGAGATTGGTCTGAGTCATTGAAAGATGTAATCGCACTCAAAGATTCCTCATTTGGGAGATCTAACTTCCCCCTGAGTTCTTCAATGATCCAGTTTCTGAAGGTGTTTCTTTGAAGAACTTCACTGCTGATCGAAGTTTGCCAGATCTTGATCCCTTTCGCAAAACGAACACTATCCAAGGCACCACCAACATATTTCAACATTTCTAAGATCAAAATTTTGTAAACTTGTTCTTCCAAATCTGCATCGTAAATGGCCTTATCATCAGAAGTCTCGGATATAAAACATCCGATTTTCAAAACCTCAATGTCCTGATCATTAAAATTGTAGGTCCAAATGATGAACCCCACAATTTCCTCCTCGCCTTCTTCAGTTTTTCTTGTCAAATTCAATCCGAATTTTAAAGGTTGAGAGTCATTCAAATATTTATTATAGAATGCTGCTCTTTCATGGAGACAATCTACCGAGCTCACATTAAAGTCCAAGAATAACCGAACATTATTGATTCCTTGTTGGGTCTCTTCGGTACACAATTTAATAAATTTCAACTGATCATATTCATTAGATTTCTTGACTAGTTCCTCAAAACCACCTTTATCGATTAAAGCTACCTCAAATGATGATTCTTTGTTAGCATTGTCAAATGATCCATTTAGAGGGATATTTATCCAAGGGACATGCCTGGAGATATAATGATTTTTGGCATAATATTCGCCAATTTCGCTGTACATTGTATTGAAGCTGTAATTATCATCATCTTTATCACAGTGATTTAGAAACTTTCTACTCCAATCGTTCAACAAGTCCACAAGCATTCGAGCATATCCTTTCTTCCTTTGGTTTTCAAATGTGTAGACCGACCCAATACATCCAGTTTTCACCTTTAATAGTTCCACAGTAGCTTTTCCAGTAGCTTTTATTCTATGAGCGTCTCTCACCAACAATTCCAAAGATGATACCACGTTATAGGTTTCTAAGATATCGTTGTTTCTAGAATCAGAGTCCAAACTAATGGACAAATCCCGCAAAATAAATCTCCAACTTCCATTGATTTCATCTGTACCACTTCTCTTGTAAGCCTGGGTGTTTCCCAAGACTTTTTCACGAAGGTAGTATTGGTCGGTGGTCAATGATCCTTTCCAAGCAACCCCATTTTGAGAAAGCACAAACTGCGAGACTTCGGTATCAGGAAGTGCTGGTGATAGTTGAAATCTTCCAGTTGAGTCATGGATTGTCAAATCCTTGAGGGAGAGCTTCCCAAGTAAATGCTGTGGTTCTGCCATTTTCTGCTCAGATAACACGAAAAAAAAAAGAGAAGTTTTCCAGCACAAATCAAGTGTCTTATTTACTTTCTTTCTCTCTTATTATATAACAATAATCCAATATATCGTTGTCCGAAAATGATTGATTAGAAAGTGTCATAGATGATTCTCCGGACCAGCGCCACGTAACCACACCACCCGGACGGTTACCAAAATTGATGAAAATTACTTTATTAAAACTCTGTCGCACCTTTTGCCCCTCCATCTACGATACTATTAAGTGTTACTCTCAGTATTTCTTTTCTATTTCTTGAGTAAAAGTTTTTAATCAAATGACATCTTCCCAATTTGATCCAAAGCAGCCTGTCCAATTGGCGCCTCCAAAAGATGACAAGATTCCACGTTTGGAACTTTTGCAATACGACGGTGTTAAATCTGACTTGATTTATGTGGGGATTAAGGGAACCGTTTTCGACGTGACAAATAACATCAAAGCCTATGGACCAGGCACCTCGTATCATATTTTCACTGGCAAGGACAGTTCTCGTGGCTTGGCCAAATCTTCGTTGAAGCCAGAAGACAATTCATTTGAAAACTCGTATGTCATTGACGATCTCACCCCAAGTGAGCTCAAAGTTTTGGAAGATTGGTTCACTTTCTTCAGCAAGAGATACAATATTGTTGGTAAGGTGGTAGATTAATCAAGTATTTCTGCTTTTTTCTTTCTTTCTGAGTAGGGGGTAGCAATCGAACGAATGTTTTTGTTTGAGACTTTTTGTGGACTGGCTGGTTGTCTGCTTGGTATGATTTATTTTATTGTTTTCCCTTCCCTCCCCATGTACTTGTGGAGCCTAAGAACAAAAAGAAGAAACAAACAAACAAAAAAAAAATCTTTTCTCTGGCGTTAGATACGACAGTTACTATTGATATTTTAATCGATTAGCCAATGGATAAATATGATGTTCATTATTTTTATCTCGCTTAAATAGTTTTCTTGGTCAGTTCTTTTTTGTTGTCGTCAACATGGCTCAGTTTTCATTTCTATTATCTGAGCTCGGATTCAAATCCACCTAAATAATAATATATTTGCTGTTAATCAATTCATCATGCTGATGTACTTTTCTTAATGTTGCGAAAGCTGACAAGTACAGTAAATATTGCTGGGATTGTTGAAATATTGCAATTCACCCTTCAGAGCTTCACAATGATCGCTTCTCTAATCAACTATGTAACCAGTATGGAATTTACATTTTATTTATCTCAATTTATACCGGTTGCCGTGAATAATCGAGAAAATGTAGCATACTAATATTCTGTTGCCCAATTTTGGGGTGTCAAATGATTCAATTTTTCTTTTCAGCTATTGAAAGAAAACTACACAAGCAATTTATCATTTTACTATATTTCCATTACAAAGGTTTTATTTTGTGAATATGGTTTCCCTAATTATACTCAGTATATGTTAGAGTTTTTGCTAGAAAACCGAATACATAATGATTTGCTTGTCAAACTTATATTTGACAGAAGACCAAAAATTTCCCGAAACTGATGGACAAAAAGATAAATTTATTCCACGATTAACCTTTTTTCAATTTACTGAATATCACTAGATCATAGGGAGAGCAGAAATATAAATGCTCTACCGAATTTATAAATAGCTTTGTTTGAATTACTCATATTATTTTACAGCCTAGTGTATTAATATGTTAAGCAATTCTCTTAGATGTGCCTTTTCTTTTCTAGAAAGGTCCATTCGGATACAGTATATCAGCTTGCGGATTCTCATACTGTTTGAGTCATTTCTTTGTCCTATTAATGGCCATGCTTTCACAATGAGCTGACCAAATGATAATTAATAATATCGATTCGTGAAAATAAATAAATTATAATGTATCCTCTTATTGTCATTCTTTTATCTGTAAAACTGGTATATTTCGCTTTAATTCTTCAATATTGTTGTATACTGTCAATGAAAAACAAAATAAACAAAACAAAATGAATGGGTCAAATCCAAAAAATGAGCTCAAAAATGAGCTCAAAAATAAACCACAGTAACTTTCTAAAGAACATTGAATATTTTAGTTATATCAAAAATGGTTGGTGAAGATCTCTTATTTCTCAGAACAATGCATGTTGATGGCCTTATGCAAGTTTATTAAACGCAGTTCTACAAATAAGTACATATTCACGACATTAGAGTACTATAAGAAGAGAAAAAGTGCTTCTTGAAGAATAAAAAAGCCAAAGATTATCTGGTTTTGAATCAACTAATGGCTACTTTATAGAAATTATATGTAGTGCTTTCCAAAGCAAACCCAGCTATCATGAGTGTAATCTCGTTTTAATTTCGCAGCCCAAATATTTTGTGATAGAAGAGCCTGCTTTTAGAACCGAAAGAGAACTCATACAAAAATAATTCAATAGATCAACCAGGCATTGTTATTCCAAGATATTTTGAATAAATAATGATCGAAAAGTATTTATGGAGAGATAAACAATCACAGAACTTTAATTAGATGAGCTCGGGACAGTGAGATATGTGAAACAACTTGAAATGAAGGCACCTGTGGAGCCTGAAAGCAAGTTTCTATCCCGATAGTTACTAAGCAGATAGTTATCAAATGGCTCATCCCTATGTAACTTGATCCATGCTTAATAAGCAGGTACCACAGCAATCACTCTTTCAATGGCTTGTTCAAAGTGCTCAAACTTAATAACTTCAGAATTAGTTCTAGCAGCAATCAACCCACCAGGTCCTGTATAATTAAATTGGAAGCCAATATTCTTCCGAGCCGTGCTATTTTTTCTCCAAGAGTGGATTTAAACGCTATAGTTAAACTGAGGCTTACAAGTTCTTAAATTCAACTTTCCAATTTGTTTTTTTAGTTTTAGGTTATAAAATTACAAAAAAAAAAGGTAACTTATACATTAAGCTCTTTCAACATATCGACAAGCTTCTTTGAATTGAACATCCTTTTATCAAACAGCGCTGAGCTTGGCAAGACACGAAGTAAATTATAGATGTTATCACTAACAAATGGTTTGGAATCATTGGCGACAAAGTTGTTTCCGAAAAAATTATCACCAGCTTTATTGGTGTTAGCGGCTTTTGGTTCTTCTTTAACTGGGAAAGAGGGTGCGGCATAAGATGGTACATAATCATCTTCATTAACCGCGGCCACTGAGTTATTATTGGTAGTTTCGCGAGGTCTTTTCAAAGAAACGTTTTCAGTAGATGCCTTGACCTGCTTCACAATCTTAGCGACTTTCAAAGCTTGGCTTCTAGATTTGAACCCATAGTTTGCCATGTCAAAATCTTCAAGTCCATCATCGTTTGTATCATCTTCAAGATCAGACGAAGAGTCATAACTTTCGATGAGATGTTCTTCTTTTAATTTTTTGCTGACCACTTTAAATTCACCATCCGATAAATAAGATTTGTAGTTGTTTTCATTTTTTGGTAAGTCTTTATAAACAACATTATTTATATTCTGTGAATAATCAGTCCATGATTTGAATAAAACATTGGAGTCAATATCCACCTCAAACTCCCTGAGCAAATTCAATCCGTCGTATTCTCTGTAAATTTGACTGAAAATGCTAAGCTCAGCTTGTTCAGGGAAAATTTCCTTGTAACGATGTTGAAGGTTTTGGATTGCAAGAATATTCCCATTATACAATTCATAACGTAGCAATAACTTGAAAAGTTTCTGAAGAGTTCTGGTCCGCTGATGTTTGACATGAGGATCCTCAGTAGGAGTATTAACAGTATTAGAGTACTGGTAAATTAAGTTTTCTGGTGGCTTGATAGTCAAGTTCTTCACGCAAACTTCAAAGAAAGACTTAATATTAGTGTAATCATTCACCAAAATCAAAAACTTGAAATATTCAACCAAGAATGGAAAATTCTTATGATCTTCTAATTTCAAATTCTTCATACCAGTATCAAAGATCTTCAAAGCAATCTTAATTCCGCTCTGAGAGTTAGAGGAAGTATTGTACTCGAACATCGCTTCTTCAAAATAAATGTGCCAGGTCAAGTTCTTAAATCTTTTTCTGGCATCTTTGAAGACAGTTCTCGACACAGATTTTTTGATTGCTCTTTTAGTGAATTTGATGTAATTGATGTACACCGTGGTGATCAATCTTTCAAGCTTCAATTTATTAGTCTTGATATTCTTCAAGAAATTCTCGTTCTGCGCTTGAACTTCAGGAATGGTATAGTTTTTTGGGTCTTTAAGAGTCTGTCTTGCTTCAACAATTTCTTCAGTTTCCTCGATTTGCTGATTATCATCATCACTTTCCCCATCACTGTCATCTTCGTGGGCGGCAGTATGTTTAGCCTTTAATCTTTCCAATCTGCTTTCTAGCTCACTGCGCAATGGTTTTTCAAGATCCTTCTTAACGTAGTCCTCGTCAGTTGATAATTGATCATATTGATCGACCAATTTATCTATTAGAGAATCAAAAACCGCAGTGATGTTTGAATGGTCATTCTTTAATTCGTAAAGTTCAGCCAATAAGTAAGTGAGAACCGGTGACATTGGGCAGGATAGCAAACCTTCAGTCAAAATACTGATACCAGTATCCAAATTTTCTGTTTTATAATTACCAAAAGAATTAATATCATTACCATTAAATTTACTATCAATAGAGCTGGTACTAATGCTAAGAGGTTTCAAAACTGGTGGAGTATCGACAATTTCTGAAAGTTTGAACTGAGCAAATTCAAACCAAATTTCGGGATAAAATGGGTATTTTTCCAAGGTTTTCACAAATGCAAATTCAATTCTTTTGTTCAATAATCTTCTGTTAGATAATCTTAGTTTGTTTTGTTTTTCCAAATTAATCCATGTCTTATGTGATTGAATCGACATTTTGGCAGGGGTCTTGGAGAAAGAATTCAACATTCTTGTTAAGCCAGTAAATTCTTTGTACCATGTTCTTGCAAGCATATATTGCGGACTTGTATCTGAGATATATTTTCTTGCATTCGATGGATTGACTTCATTTTCAAATGTGGTGTACATTGTCCAAAGATCTTCAATTTTATGGGATGGAATAATCACAGATTGCTTCAATGTTTTTCTTTTCAATTCAGTCTTTTGTTGTTCCTCCCACTTAGAAATAGGATTCCATTCGTTAATGAACTTAATATAATCTTCCCAAATGCTTCCAGCATTTAAATCTATCCCAATATTCCGAAGAGCAATATCAAAACTTTGGTTCACCGTTTGTCTTGCCTCTTGACCGCCAGTGATGATATCATTCTGTTTTCTCACATAATTAATATACGATTTCCAAAGCTCCAAGTTACGACATTTTGTTAAACTTCTTTCGTATAAGCTCTCTGCATTACTATTTTCGTTCTTTGATAGTTCAAAATCAATGTATTTAAGATATATATCACCATTATTTGGAAACACCTTCAAGAACCTCTCATAGAGTTTCCGAGGCTCGTTGGGGCTGAATTTGCCATGCTTGTTTTGAGTTTTTGTAATGAGTTCTTTCCATGACGTAATATCTCTTTCATTGAGCTGAAGGGCATAGTCAAGTTTTCCGAAAGTATCCAAATTCTTCAATTTCTGCCTCTTTATAAATGTTGGAACTTTTGGTTCCTTTGATGGGGAATCTTTTGGCTTTACCTCCGCAGCAGGTGTCGCCGAGGGGCTCAAGGATGCATTTCCAGCAGCAGGGGCCTGTTCTGTCATTTTCTGACAACTAAACTGATATCGATTAGATGGATTGCAATATATTTGGGATTCGGAAAGCGTTTGTGGATTTAGACCTCTTGTGTTTGTTTTCTATCTCAATTTTTTTCAGGTTGTTATTCCGGTCCCATCACGTGCGCGTTACAGTCTATTGGGGGCCACCGTATAACCGGAATTTACAAAGCCATACAAGTGAATAATTACTATTCCTTTTATTTTATATCAATACGTGCAGAAAGAAAGAAAGTGAAAACAGAAAAGGGTCCATGTATAAGCCACATAAAAACAATTAAATTGACACCAACCCTTATAATTCGCTTAATCTATCATCAATTTCTTGGGGAGTTAATCTCTTGAATCTTGGGCCTGTAGCACCTTCCAATCCTTGGAATCCCATCTTAGCATTGTCTGGTTCCCCAATAACCACAATTTCAATAGTTTTACCGTTCATTTCACCCTCAATGGTCTCCTTTAATGTCAAAAGTGCGATATGTATAGCATCTTCTAACTCCAATTCTTCATTATATCTCTTTTCTAAGAAAGTCTTAGCACTACTCGAGTTTTTACCAATAGCAGTGGCTTTCCAAGGGTAGAACGAACCACTAGGATCAACTTGATATAGACTGAAGCCGGAGGCATTTGGGTCACCCTCGTTCTTCTTTTTGGATAAAGTAGCATCATCGTAACCACCAACGAGTAATGAAACACCAAAAGGTCTGACACCACCAGATTGCGTGGCTTCTTGTATGGTTTTAGCAATATCAGAAGTAAGGATCTTTACTGGTGGGTTTTCATTGTAAACTCTTTTATAATTTGTGTGGGCTAGCTTTCTGGATTTATCAACAAGAACACGGAAATCTGGGTTCATACCGGCATATGTCACCCCAATGTCACCGGTTAAAAGTTCAATCTTGTTGAAAGAATCTGACTTGACCAAAGTATTGTGAACGGTCTTTTCAGTGGCAAGAACAATACCATTTGTGGCCTTGATACCTAATGAGGTAACACCTTGTTTAACGGCATTCAAAGCATACTCAATTTGCACAAGCTTACCACTTGAATAGATGTTAGTAAAGGGGTTTTCATCCGATTAATGATGGAAAGTTCACAATCGTCGCTGATTAGAAGACGCAAGGTAGACAAACTTCCACTCGCACTTCACGAAACAGAAAACAGTGAATTGAAACGTAGAACATGAAAAGTAAACAAATGACAGATAGTATAATTTCAACTAGCAACATACCTTGGAGAGAAAGTGGTCAAGGAGAAAGAATAACGGTCAGCCATAGTATATATCGTTTATTATGATCTGAGAATGACTCGACGGTGAATAGGACAATTGACACTACACGGCAAGAGACAAGACAATTTGAAATTCTGAAGACAAAACCAATAAACCAGCCAGTGTAACACTCTCTTCAAAACAAATAAATTTGTCAATTAATAGTAGTTGATGGTAAAATGTCTCTGTCTCTCTTACGCCACCGACCAAATTTCAATTTTTTTCCCCCAAACATTCACCCATGGTCACGGGACCAGCCTGACATGCTCAACTCTTCTACATTTAGATAACCTGAAGTATTTCAATGAAATATTAACACCAATGAGAGTTGTTGTTGTTATTTTTCGATATATTACTCAAATTTATCAATATGCACTCAAATATAAGATATTTTTTGACAACCATCCCCTCTCAGCTAAACATTGGCAGCTTATATATCTATCACCAACGCTTAGTGTCGTTGAAGTTATTACCATCAAAGAAATCAAAGCCTCAACAGCACTTTTATAGAGAGATATCATGTATATTTCTAAGGTTTTGTTGGCCATATGAGCCTTTAAACTTCCATGAAGTGTCAATCTGTTCATATCAAGTATTGTGTCATCGAATCTCTGCTCAAGAGTTTACGATAACAAGGCTTGAAATGCAAAGCAGCAACGGTTCCTTCAATAACTTTTCGAAAATACTTATCTTTAAATGTAACGTTTTATCTTTCTTTCAAAGCGAGAAAGGCTTCTTGTTGATGATCAGCTACAAACATTTGATATACTCATTGGGTTATACCTGGTGAAATTAGTTCTCCCAGTACACGACACAGAGTGCTAAAAACGACAAAAAGGAAGGTTCCGAGACAAAGCAACAACTGGTATAAGTGAATGAAAAAGTAAAAAAATATACTAAGGCTTTGAAGAGCTAACTCAGAAAAATAAGCATAGCGAAATTCAATGAAATCTAAGAACAAAAGATCACCTTCTTTAGATTACCTTACAATCATTTCGTCTCTTTGCTAAAATGAAACGTGAAGCGACAAGTTACCAGGGGAAAAATTCTTACAGCCATGATTCTGAAATGATTATTGAACAAATGAATGATATGTTAGAAGATAAAGTTGTGGAAGCTGTCGCAGTACACGCGTGCCAAAAAAAAAAAAGAAAAAAAAAAAAAAAAAGATAAATAAGGAAAATAAATACATTATGATGATTCATGAGTAATCCGTAGAAAAGAGGAATGAGAATTTCATTATCTAGATCATATCTCCCAAATTTCATTTATTTCTTAAATCATCAAAAAGAAAAGTAAATAAGCACCCAGAACTCAGCCCATTGAAAAAAAAAAGAATTTACTTAAATTGGGAAAACAACAACCTTGCCATCAACCCCAGAAGTTGAGATGTGTGACTGATCAAAGAATTTTAAAGTGGTTACTGTGTTTTGATGAACGGTTGGCAAGTCGGAGGAGCCTTTATTTTGCACTTTACCTTTCAAATCCAATTGTCTAAACATACTCAAGGCATTGGAACCAGTGTTTCCTTCCTCGTCGTCATCTTGTTCTAAACTTTTGAAAGTTTTTGGTTTTTGGGAGGTGGCAGTAGTATCAATACTTCGAGCCTCTTCCCAGCTTTCTTCATCACCTTGAAAAATCACTGGGAAACAATTATGGCCCGCAGTAATCAATTGGTTATCGCTTATAAATTCAAGTGTCTTGAATGATCCATAGTTAGTTTTACTTGATACAACATTGAATTGCTCCTCACCTTTTGGGTAGACTATGGTGATTGTAGAATCATTTGACACAAACCCTAAAACATCACCACTAGGGGAGAAAGCGACATCGTGAACCCACCCACCTGGAGAGCTGATAAATTCTCCGCAGATAGTATTGAATGGTAATTTAGAGCCCCATAATGTTGCTGGTGGTTTTTCGTCGACGCCTTTAACATACCCACTAAGCACGTAACATTTATAATCGGCAGTACCACAACTGAGCAAGACGTTATTAGGGTGCCAGGCCACAGAGAGAATTGTTGATTTAAATGGTTTCTTCAAATGCTTAGAAATCCACCAATCGTTTTCTGGCTCATGATAACAAACAGAAATTACCTTAGCACCAGAACCGACGGCGAACTTATTCCCCAATGGTGACCATTTGACGCAAGTGGCTGATCTGTTAATTCTTAAGAGCACCAAGTCTTTCTTGAATGAGCTGAAGCTGGCATCCAATGGTTTCCAAACGATAGCATTACGATCCTGTGAAGCAGAGGCAATAAGACCTTGGGCAGAAATGTCAATTGCTGTTATAGGTTCGTCATGGCCTGTCAAAACCGTCAATAACTTCTTATTATTATTTGGCAACACTTCATAAATTTGAATCTCTTTTTCTTGGGTAACAGCTAATCGACTGTTATCTGGCCCAAAGAAAATATGGTCGTTGACCACGGACTTGAATTTGAATACGGCAGGACTGGAACCCATCATCTTTTTTATGAACAATTAGCTGAATCAGTTTATTTACAATTCGATTCAGTGATTGCCAGCTAATTTGCCATTTTTTTAGCCCCTATAATTTGCCTTGGTAGAAATTGTCACGTGGATAACTTGATATAGTGTAACCTCCGAAAAGCTCTTAAATCTAGATTTAAAGAACTAAAAAGGTGAATAAATACAACATCAAATGCTTCAAATTAAAAAAACTATATAACTGACATATGCACGACCCAAACAACTTACGATTCATATTCTAGTAGGTTTTTATGATGGTTACGAATACCCATTCCTTTCGAAGCACCGAATGGGCTATACTAAATTAAAATGATATGTTGAACCGTATAAATTTCTATCGTGAATATAAAAGAAACTTTTTTTTTTTTTAATAAAATAAAAGAAGATAGAAGCAAGTAAGAGAAGAAAATAAATAAAAGTCTGGGAAAAAGACAATTTCTAGGAATTCAAAACAAAAAGCATCCTAAACGAAAATATCTAAGAGAGAGGAAAAGGAAAGCATAGAAAGAAATATCATTAAATTTAGAGATTTAATACTCTAATTGATCTTGTTATGAAGATGGTCATGACAAAAAAAAAAAAAGAACCATAATCTAAATTAGGCACCGATGATAATTCTCTTGAAGAACTTAAGGTAGTCAGTGACTGCATAACTGTCAGTTGAGAAAGTCACAGTAGCAGTTAAGCAAGTGATATATTCGTCCTCAGCGGTGAAAGCCCTGGCGTAGACTGTGTAAGTTCCTGGTGGAACTTCATCTGGGATCTCCACGGTTTTGGCTAAACTTTGAGCACCAGCAGCAACAGGACAAGTTAAGTCGACATTTTGAATTTCTTCACAAAGATCAAAAGTCTTTTCAAGCAATTTAATATAACCATAACGGACGTTCACAACAACATAGGCGCCTTCTTCAATGGATTGCTTAAGGGATCCAGAGGCAGCAAAGGACAAATTGGCACCCTTTTGTGGAGGATTTGGGTCAATGGTGACTTTGTCAACAGTAAGAAGCTTTGGCTCATACACGTCACAAATAGAGACTGGGGATCCACCAGGAATAGGCTTTTCTCCAGGATAGGAGACAGAAGTGAATTGATTGGAACTGGTAAGTTCTTCGGCGGATTCCACATCGAAGTTGAGGGTCAATGGGAAGGCAAAAGCCGACGAGACCATCGAAGCAGCAGAAAAGAGTTTTATTAATTGCATTTTGATTGAGTGTAGTGTGAGGGAGTCTTTTTTTTTTTTACTTATACTAACAAGATAGGTTGTTTAATATTACAAAAAAAAAGATAAGGAAAAAGATGGACGATAAGGGGTTTTATAAGTTTTCTCAGCTAAGGGGCCCAAGGTCATCGGGTTGTGCAGCCCGGAGGCCCGACACACACTTGTGAAGGTAAACATGGCCACCCAAACAGTAACAGCACAATTTGTTTATATGACAGGAGTTACAAAAAAAAAATAACCACAACAGTTATTTGATAGAATACAGTTATATTCAAATTGAGACACATTATACATAGAGGTCCAAGAAAATATAAAATATAGATACAATCTTGGGATAGAGAAGGGGGATTAAATGAAGAAAAACGCAAAGCGTAATGAAAAATAAAACACAGTAAAACCAATTAAAGAAAAATTTTAGAAAGATAAAAACGACAAACAATGGCCAGAGACTCAATCACAAGAAGCATTTTGATAGCATAAGCCACAATAAAATCATTCCTTCTTTGGCTTCATATCTTCAGCTTCAGGATTCAAAAACAAGTTGTTTTGTTCTTCAGCCTTGCCAACTTCCTCTTTGACATGTTCTTTTCTCGATCCAAGAGCAGCGTTGGCAAAGTTACTGGCAGCCGCAGATTGCAATTGTTGCACAAGGTTCTCAGTCAAATAATTATGATTATCTTGTTGTTGCTGGTGCTGGTGTTGGGCATTATGCAACTGTTGCTGGTGTTGTTGAGCTTGTTGTTGTCGCTGTTGTTGCTGCATTTGAATAAACTGTTGTTGCACTTCTGGTGTAAATTGCGAAAAATTCAAACCCATGGTAGCTGTTGCTGCAGCATCTGCCACAGCCTGAGCATTGATCTTTTGTTGTTCAGCTTCTGCTTGGGATTGATCACTGTGAGCCGGTCTCTTCTTTCTATTTCTGCAGCGAGAGCAAACTTTATAACTATTGATATCCTCTGGTAACAATGGCTTCGCACATCGATTACATGCCCCCTGCTTTTCTAATTTTGTTCTTCTCATCTTATCATTATCACGACATCTTTGGCAGACCTTGTAGTCACCATTAGAAGAATCGTTAGGGCCAGAACAATGAACACATTTGCCTTGAGCTGCCCGATTGGCTTTTCTTGCCCTAAGAGCCATTCTGCACCCAGGGCATAAGACAAATTCACTATGTTCGGCTGGAATAGCTTGGCCACAACGTCTACACGCACCATCCTTTCTTTTAGTTTTTGTTTGCCATCTTCTAGATCTTTCTCTTTGTAGGTCACGGCAATGTGGACATAATTTATAAACTTTTCCTGTGTCAGGGGTAGCAAATGGCTTTTTACATCTTGTGCAGTCACTAGTGATAATTCTTCCAATGAATTGTGCATCTGGTGTATTTTCATTTTGGTTTATCGAAAGTCTCGCAGCATTATTTATACCAGGAACCACATTGACATTAACGCCGCCCAAAGACATGTTAATATTCAAATCAGGATCAAGGGCAAAAGTACGATGAACTGGTTTAGTTCTCGGTAAGAGACGTGGCTGGCTTTTGCTAACATCATCTTGTGGTTGTTGTTGATGGAGTTGCTGCTGCTGCTGTTGTTGTTGCTGCTGTTGTTGTTGCTGCTGTTGCTGCTGTTGATGATGGTGATGCTGTTGTTGATGTTGGTGCTGTTGTTGTTCCGCGTCTTGAGCGGCAGCAACGGCAGCCTCAGATTGGGCTTCACTGTGCTGCTGGGAAACTGCATGACTTTGAAGGACTTCCTCAAGATTTGCCGGGAGGTTTTGAGTAGCTTGGTGTTCATTTTTCATTTGGCCAATGACTTCTGGGTCAATAGTTATTGCATTGGCTACCGCGACCGCGCTAGCGGCTTGCTCGTTTTCGTTATTCATAAGGAAATTTGGGTGGCCAAAAAGCAACGACTGCGAAATTAAAAAATTTTGCTGAATTAGGGTGATATGTAGTTCAATAAATAATTGTGCTATGTCAATGAGTTCAGGTCCGCTACCACTACTTTGATTGCCCTTTATTTATGTTTGTAAACAACGCGTAAACTGGAAAAATAACAGATTTTTGAGTTAGTTAACCCTGGTCTTTGAAGGTGGTTAGAAGAATTGAAGCGAGAAAAATTGGTTTGCGGCGATGATGCTTTTTTTTCTTTGTTTGTTTTTTTTGAGCGATTGGGGAAATGATTGGTGTATGGATGACCGGGTAGTGGCTTTGCATTGTTGTATGTACAATTATGCAAATATCGTGTGAAGTCTGCCGCTATGCAGGCTTCGACGTTGCAATGTATGTGTAGCGTGACTTTCTGTCGATCGATGATCTTCTTCTTCTCCAAAAATGCCATTTTTGTGTCAAAAAAAAGTCAGTATGATTAAGAGCAGACCGAAAGAGCCTTACTGGATGCTAGAATCTTCAAGATCCCAGTGATGCCAGTCCTTCAGTCTGTATTCTACAAACTCTATGTGCGATGGAGAGAATTGCAAATCCTGCTTCTTAACCAGTTGTTTGGTCTCTGGGCTTCCTTTGATCGGCGTCATCGAGTTAGTGATGATTGGTTCATCATCACTTATTTTGTCAGAGCGGTACTTCATTATGGCTATTTAGTGCTTTCTCATAGATTGAATTATTGGTACACCTTTGAAAAACAAGTTAAAAAGCATCCAAACTCGAAGGCCCTAGTATACGTCTCCCCTGCCATCATCAAGGGTGATCCAAGTGATTTATCAAGCCCTCAATTCAATATCGAGACATATACATACCAAGAACTTTACGATATTGTTCTTCGACTCTCGTATATCCTTGTTAACGAATATAACATCAAGCCAGATGACAGTATTGGGATTGGGATGCACAATAGGCCATTATTTGTATTTTATTGGTTTGCTCTTTGGAACATCGGGGCTAAACCAGCATTTCTCAATTATAACGTTGCCTCACATCCTTTAGCCCATAGTATGAAAGTATCTGAAATTTGTCAGGCCTTCATTGATGAAACAACAAGAAAGGGAGTTTATTTTAATGAAGATGGCTCTGAATCAGCCACTCTAAAGCTCATTAATTCTGAGATTCCAGATCTCAGCATTAACTTTGTTGATGAATCATCAATTCTTGCGCGCATCACTTCCCAAGATTCTTATCAGTTCCGTCTTCCGGACAATCTTCGTAACTATTCCGATAAGTCATGGTCACCTGGCTGTTATATTTTCACTTCAGGCACGACAGGTCTTCCAAAAGCTGCTATTATGAGTTGGCGTAAAATTGACTTGGGAGCCTCTCTATATGGGAGAATTGTGCGAATCAATGACAAATCAACTGTGTTCTCTGCTATGCCATTATATCATTCGACTGCTTCAATTCTAGGCCTCTTGCCGACACTTACTCAAGGTGGATGTATCGCTATTACTGACAAATTTTCAGCTCGCAATTTTTGGTACCAGGCAAAAGTCTCTGGAGCTTCTCACATCCAATATGTTGGCGAAATTTGCCGTTATTTACTAAGTCGCCCTCCTAACCCGGCGATTGAAACAACTCACAACGTGAAAGTCGCCTATGGGAATGGTTTACGAAAAGACATTTGGGGTCTGTTCAAAGAACGATTCCATATTGATGCCGTGGGTGAGTTTTTTGCTTCCACGGAATCTCCGATTGCCACCACTTCATTTCAATATGGTGATTTTGGAATCGGGGCGTGTCGTAATTATGGTACGTTTATCAATTTTATACTTTCTTTCCAACAAAGGCTTGTGAAGATGGATTCAGAAAATCCTGATGAAATTTATCGTGATCCAAAGGATGGGCTCTCTCGTGAGCCGAAGGTTGGCGAACCAGGTCAACTTCTATTCCGTATCATGAATTCTAAATCTACCTACAAAGACTTTCAAGGATATAAAAATGATTCTAGTGAAACGAGCAAGAAAATTGTCACCAATGTTTTCCGCAAAAATGATTGCTGGATGAAAACTGGGGACCTACTACAAAAGGATTCTTATGGATTATTTTATTTTGTGGATAGATTGGGTGACACTTTCCGTTGGAAAAGTGAAAATGTCAGTACCAACGAAGTGGAAATACAATTCAACGAGCTGGGATTAGTTGAAAATGCTGTTGTTGTGGGTCTCAAGGTGCCAGGTTATGAAGGTCGTGCAGGCTACGTGATTTTGAAACCAAATCTTGAACTCATTGAAAAGATTGAAAAGGAGGCCGGAAAGGCAGATGATTTAATCCCTCATAACACATTTACGAGTGAGATGTTGAAAACATTGGCTCACCATGCCCAAACGCATTTACCTAAGTATGCTGTTCCTGTGTTTGTGAAAATTGTGAAACAATACAAAACTACGGATACTCATAAGATCATCAAGAATTACTATAAGAATGAGGAGTTTTATGAAAATGAAACCTGCGGTAAAGATGGCGAGGAAGTATATTGGTTGACCAAGAATGAGTATAAGAGACTAACCAAGGCAGACTGGCAAGCTATTGTGAAAGCTGATATTAAGCTATGATCTGATATTTTTATTAAGCTATGATCTGATATTTTTATTAAGCTATGATCTGATATTTTTATTTATCCGTAGAGTAAGATTATATTTATATATAAATAAACACATATATATTTCTGTTGTTGTTTTTCTGTTGTTGTTTTTTTACCATTTACAGCATAGCACATCAAGATTTGAAAAGAAAACCTATGTCTAAACTGAATATTAGATATCAGATAAACATGCAAAGTAGATTTTAAAGTGGCTGTGAGAGTAAGAGCAGTCTGAAGAACCTAAACTTTCTGAACTTCCTATTGTGAGTTTTCTGGTTTTATTCCTTGCGTTCATCAAGTGCCCAGTTTCTGCTAATTGTCATTTCCTGTTTCCATTTTTTTCCATTTGACGCAGCGTCATGCTTGTGCATAAGCAATTGACAATTTTCCATGAATAGAAATTAAAAATAAATTGAGCACTTGTGGACAAAACTATGCTATCTACTTACGGGAAATATGTTGTAACAACAAATTCTGAAAGATGTCTGAGCCTCCTGTGAAGAAACAAAAGATTGAAAGCCCCAACAATTCTCTTGGAACCTTCTCCAGCCCCTATTATCCCCGATCATCGACGTTGAAACTCGCCAAACGCTACGACAATGATGGCGATAAGCCGTACTACATTCTTCAGAAACGGTTGGATTCCACCGAGTCATCCAGAAACTCCATGTTGAACAAGATATCTTCAGATGGGAAACTTGTTGCTCATATGTTTCTTCGTGACCTAAGAATGAAGGATAATGTCGCCCTTCATAAAGCCAGTATGACGGCCCGCAAGTTAAAAGTTCCATTGGTGACATTTTGGGTGATTTGCTTAGAATCCTGGAAAACGCATTCAATGAGCCCATTTCAGGCGACTTATCGTCTTGAAAGTTTGAAGTTGTTACAGAAAAAATTAAAAAAACAGAAAATTCCACTATATATAGTGGAGGCTGAGAAAAAGCTGGAGATCGCCAGTTGTATTGAAAGTTTCTGCAAACTGAGGAATATTGGCGCAGTTTTCACTAATATGGAATATGAAGTCGATGAACTTAGGTTATTGTCCTCGTTAAATGATCAGCTTGCAAAGAACAATATCGCATTTAACCTGTACAACGACACATGCTTGGTGAAACCAGGTACTTTATCCACAAAGCAAGGCGGACAGTTCAAAGTCTTCAAACCTTGGTTCAATTGTTGGTTGCAATATTTGAAAGACAGAAATGAGGAATCCAAAGAGGACGAATATCCTTTCTTTGATTATGAATTAGTGGGCGACATTAATGAAAATTTCCATTATGACGAAAATGACAAAGCTTTAACAGTTCCTGGTATCCCTACAGAATATGAGCTAACAGCGTCCCAGAGACAGAACTTTGATGATTTATATCATCTTGGTGAAGAAAGTGCCTTGAAAACCGTGAAATCCTTCCTCAGTTCTCCAAAACTCACAAAATATTCCACTGGCCGTGGTGATTTATCAAAGCCATCAACTTCCCGTATAAGTCACTACCTAGCGAATGGAATTATCTCATTGAGAACTATTATGAGTGAAATCATCACTGACAATTCAATTGGTGATAAATCTTTGAATTTCAAAGGAAGTACTCTCGAATATGTACGCCAATTAGCCTGGAGAGATTATTATAAGCATGTCATTGCTCATTGGCCAACTATTTGCATGTATCAGTCTTTCACTGGTCCCATGAGTGAGGATCTTGAATGGGAGAATGACGCTTCACAATTCGAAAAGTGGTGTGAAGGTATGACGGGATATCCTGTGATTGACGCTTCAATAAGAGAGCTTGTTGCCACGGGGTACACCTCGAACCGTAATCGTATGATTGCAGCATCATTCTTAGTTAAGCATCTCCTTATTGATTGGAGATATGGTGAGAGATGGTTCATGGAACACTTGGTCGATGGAGACTTTGCTTCCAATAATGGTGGATGGGGATTCATCAGTAGTTTTGGTGTTAATTCCCAGCCATGGTTCCGAATCATGAACCCTTGGACTCAAAGTGAGAAATTCGATGCCGCAAAGTATATTAAAAAATGGGTGCCTGAATTGAAAGATATTCCTGATAATAAAGTTCACAACCCATATTCGAATGGATTTTCTGCCGATGCTAGAGCCAATGGTTATCCTGAGCCAATGGTTGAACACAGTAAATGCCGTGAAAGGGCTTTGGACTGGTACGATAGAATGAAGAACTAAAGGTGAAGCATAATGGTAAACTGTAGCAATAAAGTAAAAATGCTAAATCGATATTTTTGGTACACTATATAGGCCAATGATTGCATGAAATTTACTTATTTGTGTTTAGAATCCTGAATTTTTGAATCATTATTTGGCTTTATTTATGTGCCTAGTAGTTTTTTGTTTCATTGCAATAATAATATTTGTAAGTTGAAACATGAACCGTGATCCATACCTTTCTTGGAAACAAGTTGCAGTGCAATAAATTGTCTACAATTTTCCTTGGGCAAAAACCTCTAGTGAAAAAAGATTTTAGTAAAAGGCAAAGAGAAATAAATATTAATAGCAATCATAAAAAATAAGCATTTAAATAATGATGATATGGAATATAATATAATATAAAATAAAGAAAGCAACACACAAGTAATAATGAGCATTTAAAGTTAATAAATAAAGACACTTTGGTGATTAACGATTGAAGTTTGTACCCAAAATTTCATCCAACTCTTTATTTCCACAGCCAGTAAGAATAATAACTTTTTTATTCTTCAAGACAGTTTGCTTCAAATTGCCACTTGTCAAGTCCCATTGTAACATCTGGAAATCGTTGTACACAACAAAACAGTCGCTGTTTGGAAGTAAATGAAGTTTCATTCTAGATTTGTACCGTGGATAAGCAATGGTCTTTTTGACCCATTCTGGAGAACACGCTTCATATTTAGCATTGCTAGCTACCTCAATGTTCGGGAAAGTAGGACTCTCGTACCTTTGAAAGTCACCTTCTTCATCATAACGGCTGGAATCTGCCTCACCAGACCTGAAAGTCTCAATTTTAAGGACCCTCAGAGAGGAATTTCTTATAATTTTCACAAACTTCAACTCTGGATAAGAAAATTCCTTGCAAAGAGTGGCATGCACATTTGGCTCTCTAGAATCTACCATAACTCTATTTTCAAGCTTTTGTTCTCTTTTATGGATATTATAAGAACCGCTGAAGCTAACCTTCTTGAATTGAGGTTGCCGCGATTCAGAAAGAGGTCTCTTTACATTCAATAACTTAAGTGAGAGCCCATTTCCAATATCATGGTATGAATCTCCTAATGTGCATCTCAGATCAAGTGTGGAAGTATGAACCAAGTCATAATACCTCATTTGTAAGTCAGTATTTCTTATCATTCCAGAAATTAAGCTTTCCATTGAATCATGCAAGAAAAACCGAGCGTCAAGCTTGCTAGTAAAGGGCCTTCCTTGAGGACGTGCACTTCCAGTCCTTTTCTGAATAGCAGAAGCTGGTTGTATTGGAGTATAATGACGACGTTTGGCAAGTTTAAGGGATGAATGTGGGCTTTTTGATGACGAAGTAATCTGGTATTCAGAATTTGTGGAAGAAGGAAGGGTAGGAGTGGAACGACTTCTAGTGATAGCACCATATATTGGAGGAAGGTTACAGTTTATGGCAGTAATTTCAGAATTAGAAAGTGGTGATACAGAAAGTGGATCCATCATAGAGGCTTTTGGTGTTAAAGAGAATTCACCATTATTGGTTTGTTTTGCACTTAGAAGTTGAGACTCATGACCTTCATAGGAGCTTTGTGACACCAATGAATATGAAAGACACGATGATGTTGGTGTTGACGAAAACGATTGTGAAGATTCTGTAAGAGGTAATGAAGTAGTATCTTCCATTTTGATGGGATAAACAGTACGCTTAGAACCCTTTATGACTTCCTGCTTGTTATCATTTGAGCAATCAAGAGGACCACAATAATCGGCTAAACGTGAGTTGGAAGCTCTTGGAATTGGGTTTTCAGAAGCTGGATACGCTAAATTATATGTTGGATTCAATTCTTTTTCATTCTTCCAGATTTCTCTTCCTTTTGGACAAGTTTCACGGACACAGCTTTCTCTGGGGTTGTAAGAAGTGCCAGGCCAGTAAGGTGTCTGAAGTATATCATAGTTCAACAAAGAAGAGATCTTCATTGGCTCACTGACCATTTTGAATGAGACGATAGAGTTATTAAAGGATCAGAATTATTTGAAAACACAAGGTATCAAAGAAGAAAAAGTATACCATGCAGGGAAACAAAGTTATCTTCACTCAGGACAAAAATATTTCTGAGGAAAGCTATTTGTAATTGGGAAGCACGATAAAAGAGCATACTAACTTAGAAGCACTAAAAAGCTGTCAAAAAAAGTGGGAAATATGATGATAATTATACGAAAATTGAAGCTATTATTAGGTCTAAAGATTCAGGAGATGATGGAGTTGGGGCAATTGACATAATTGCAAGATGTGGTATTTAAGTGGTCCTCACCATTATGGTCCTTCAAAAGAGAAAGGATAAAAAAAGAAGAAAAAGAAAAGAAAAGACCCTCAATCCTCATTTATTGTATATGAATAGATATTAAAATAACAATAAATCCATATATTCAATTCATTTTTTATGAAATTTTCCTTTTCTTATTTGTTTATCAGTTGTTTTAGAAGACAGGCTGTGCTGGATTTCTATGTTTAGCCGTTCAAAAGATGGAATTTCAACCAAATCTACAATTTACACCAGCGTGGTGAAGAGCCCACATAAATAGATAACCATTCCAAGTTTAATTTATTATAATATCGCTTTGTATTGAAGATACATGACATATTTGAATTAGACTAACTTGGTGCCAACCCCCACAAATATTCGATAATCCCACAATTCGCATGGATTTAAGGGAATCGATCAAAATCATAAGAATAAAAGGAAAGTAAAAAATAGGAAAGTAAACAATGAGAAAGTAGATATTCTGTTATCAGAGGCCCTTATTCTCCCAATTCAATGTATATACATACATGAGCTTTGAAAGTTCACCGTGTGTTTGGAGGCAGGTTCTTCATTAGTAACGGCTTTGAAACGTCGCATATACATACTGAGTGATGGTGAATGGTAGAAGCAGAATCATTGACGTCAAAACACGATACCAGAAGACCATCACTCACCAAAGGAAACTGCCAAAAAACATCTAAATGAGGCTGAAAAAAAAAAAAAGTAACACACATCTTTCGGTTCTCGACACTCACGCAAAAACTCATTCTGTGTGCCTCATTCAGCCCCATGACTGTCGAACTAACACCAATTGATGCACCATCTTCAAGCAGAACTCAATAAATAAGTGCAGACCAAAAAGAATTATTTGCGTTATATTGAGTGGAGCTCTCAATTCATCAAAAAGAACACAAAATAATGGACAGAGACAGGTATTTGTAAAGAAATACATCGCCATGCTAATGCACTGATGACGAGGTATCAAGAGTTTGTCATTCTTCTCAAATGTTTTAATCATGTCGCGAATACAGATACAAAAATAAATGAATATTGTATTTTTTTATTTAAAATACCAACATATTGTGATAGAAATTTATATCAATTAGAGTGATATAAGCAAATATACATACATAAACAAGCACAAAAAAAACAAACAAAACAAAACAAAATAACCCACTTCTGCATTCAATCAAAGATAAGGAAAAACCATAATATCATTCTAAATCATGTGTTTGACAAATGAAACCATGGAATACAGCACATATTTTTCATTTTTATTTTCTTAGGCCCCAAAGATGAAATAACTAACTAGGATACTAAAAAGCAAATCCCATACCACAATAAAGCATTCAATTTTTCCACTGATCAAATAATACTATCTTCATATATGTTTCAAGTTTAGTAAGAACTTAAAACGACTCATTGTAAAAAAATGAAATAAATAAAATAAAAGTAATCCTGCAAATCACACTTTACCGCTTAAAGCTACCACATTCTCCCATAACTCATTGACATTTAATTAAAATCTATTTGATAAAAAGATCATTCATCAAGCAATGAATACTGTTTGATTAAAACGCATTCCCCTCCTTTTTCAAGTGGGACGTTGTAGATGTAGAACATCCCTTCGTCAGTGGCGATCATAACATAACTCAGATTATGGCTCAATGCCACCACACTAAGAGTTCCTCCAAAATTTGGACCACCATTACTGGAACCGCCAGCAGAATTATCGCCATCACTGGATTCTAGTATTTCGTTACCATCTTGATCAATCTTGGCTCTTGATTTTGGTAGTTTAATAAAGGCAAAATGGCGGACAGGCTCCAAAATAGATGTTAATTGCTGAGGAAGATAGTTTGTCATAATTAAATTGCTGAATTTTTTTGATTTGCTCCAAATAAGACCAGATATAGAGGAAGACCTTTTCTTATTTGACAAGAGTGAGTTGATCAACAGCTCATCAGTTGGCGAGGCAGGCTGTGTGGAAATATCGGCTTCGTGAGTTGAGGCTAAAACCCTTGCACTTTGGGATGAAGCAATTGAAGAGCTTGTGCTTGTTCTACGAAGTTCGTTACCTTCTTCACCATTATTTTCGATATCATTATCATTTTCAGCCGAACCTGGAATGCCACTATTGTTATCACTGCCCAATTTGAAAATATGGATAGTTTGGTTGCTTGAACAAGAGCACAACAATGTCGAATCTAAATTAAAGTTCAATGAATGAATCAATGTTCCCGCCATACCTCTTCTAAATTCACCAATCTTCTTACCGCCTGGCCTGGTTTCAAATACTCGTATGATGGTTCCCTTGTGTGATGCGGTGGCCGCCAAACTTCCTTCACTATTTAAAGACACTGTGGCAAGTTCACTTTTATGGGCCACAATAGCATTCATTGGTTGGATATTCAAAGCATCGTAAATGATAATTGTGCCATTGGTTTGAATTTTCCCGCTTGTTGAATTGCCACCATTGAGTGTGAGGTTACTATCAGTTGAAACCACGTCCAGCAAAGGATGTTGATCAATTCCACTGCCGTTACTTGCCTTCCGCATACCCGAAGTATTGCTCCCAAAGCTCGATGAATGGGCAGGATAAGCTAAAATAGATTCATCATTTACCGATAGAGCCACAATGCCTTGAGGGTTACGTGTGGTCTCAATTGTATGTAGCAACTTCATACAGCTAACGTCATAAACGAAAATTTGGTCCACAAGGACGACTACCAATCTTTTTCTATTAAGTTTGACACGGATTACCGCGCTTGGAAAAGTCAATTCACAAATAACAGATTTTCTTTTTGTGTTGATGATTTTGAGTCTTCTAGTTGACGCATTATTAACCACGGCAACCAAAGATGTAGAGAACAACATCTCTATAATTTTGTTTCCTCCTGATTCTCGCTGAGAAAAGCATTCCCCAAAAGGGTCACAATTGAAGATCCTAAGACCCTTATCGGTACCCATTCCAAGACAAGAGAAGTCTTGATTGAAGTTGAGGCATTGGATGCTGGTGCCCCCGCCACCAGCTCCATATCTAGAGTTATTATTCCAGTCCATGAGTGTGAGCAGTAATATTTGACAGAGATATGTTAGTACTGCTTATAATGTTATTCTTTTATTATGTTTTGCGTTATGGTTTTTATATATTATGGTTTTAAAGGACCTTCAATCGTGGGTTTATTTGGCATCACCCAAGGATTTGGAAATCATAGATGTATCCGCTACTAAACGCACTCTGTATTTTAGAGAATACCAATAGATCTACACAGCAGTAACAATCAATGAGACACAGGCACCACATTATAATCAATGTATATATATATATATGCTTATTTTAGATCATACATTCAGATCTCCCTGCAAATTTTCCATTCCCCCATCTAAAGAAGGAAGATGAAGCCTGAATTCTCTGGCGGTTTTGCAGCCCCGGTCTACATCACCAAATCTCCTTCGAGGTGACAAAAAAAACTTCCCGAGTCTGTTTTCGGCCAACCGTTTAACACTAGATGGAAAGCACACGAAAAATGTTTTAGTTTCGCATTGTATGTGATAATATTTGATATCTTTGGACTCCCCTTTTACTTTTTGAAAAGACTATTATTTTTGCTAACACAGGTGCAGCACTGCCGCAACTTTTGACCCAGTTTCCTCGTCCACCGGGGACGACGAAACAAAAATTAATTATGAAGCTGAACTATCTTCATATATCAGCTCGGTAGATTCTGAAACTATACAGAAACGTGATATTTTTGGCAGAAACTTATTACATTGGCTTTGCATATCAGGAAGAGATGACTTGTTACTTAAATTAATTAAAAAGAACCGAGGACTGGTCTCGGCAGCTCTTATGGCGGTGGAATTTGAAAATGGTGGAACTCCTTTACGTTCAGCAATATGGAATGGAAACTTTGGATGTGTGAAGATCCTACTCCAATCAGAATATATAGATGTGAAAACTAGGGACGAGATGTGTTCGATTAAAGATAGAGAAGGATTAACGGCAATTCAGTTAGGATACGAATTATGCGACCCAAGAAATTTCAAACTAATGGCCATGAGCATTGGTAAAGAGGATGATCATTATAATAACTCTGTTATTGGATTTAATGTTGGAGAGAGATTTCCTGGACCTGATAATGAAAATAATGAAGGTGAAGCCCAAATAAAGGAAAAGAGTGCCTGTGGCTACTCGACAGACTGGTGGAATAGCGAAATTAGAGGGGCGGCAGAAATTTTTACCCTTGGCTCAAATGTCAATAATATTTTGGGCTGTGGTGATGCTGATGATAAGCTTAACAATCCCCATAAGGTAAAGCTTGATCGCAAACACGGTCTTATTCGCCCACGTGTCAAAGAGCTACAGATTTCTAAGTTTCATACAATGGTATTAACAACTGAGAGAACTGGCAACGTCTTAGTCTGTGGAACGAATAAGTTTGGTAGATTAGGTTTAGGTACTAATGATTTGGTGCCTAAGTACTCGTTCCAAAGGGTTGGATACTTTGAAAATCTTCACATTGAGATGGTTAGTGTCAGTGAAGATCACACTTTAGCTCTTGATTCAAACAGTAAACTTTACGCATGGGGATCTAACTCCTACGGCCAATTAGGTTATGAAACTGACTCAGAATATAATAATATTCCTGAACAAATTCTATCATCTGAGGTGAAACGAGCTCAAATTATTGGGATTTCCAGTTCTAAGATTCATTCTTTAGCCTTTAGCGATTCATCAATCTTCTTTTGGGGGTTGAATATCGGACAATTTGGGGCACTATCTAATAGTAAAGCCATTAAGTACAAATCCCGTCGCAATGCAATGGTGCAAAATTCACCTTTGAAATTGCCAATTTCTTATGGTCCGATAAAACAAGTCTTTGCTTTAGAATTTGCTACGTGTGTACTCACTCAAGCGGGGGATATTCATATCTACATGAACTCTTTTCACGCCAGGATTGTACCTCCTTCGAGCGCTTCTGAATTCAATAACAACACTGGTAGACTCGGGAGGTTTGACATGTTCGAACCACAACGAGTAAGTGCAAAAAGCACCATTCGCAAGATATCGGGCAAAGGAAACTTTATTGGTTTATTATATGAAAATGGTTATGTGGTCACTTTTTCATTGGATGAAGCATGGTCTAGTGCATCTCATCTTATATCATCAGTTGAGTACAATGTGGCTTGGGGTCCCAAAAGGCATGGAATGATGGCCATTGATGTGGATATTGGAGCTGATGGGTCAGTGATTGTTGCCACATATGAAGGAATTGTATATAAACGGAAAGGAGTATTATCAGTTGCGGGGGTGACAAAGAATTCTAATAAGCCTGTGAAAGCATGCAATATTAACCGTATTGTCAAGGTTTGTTGTGATCCTTCCTTCTCTACATTTGGGTTTCTCAAAGATGATGTGGATTCTGTACCTTTGAAGTTGCGCAAAAGCTCATTCTACGAAGATATAAGATGCTTATCCCCATTGGCTTCCAATATTGAAAATGACGAGGTTTTGAATGACGAATGCTATTTTGCTTGCCGTTTTCTCGAAGCTATTAAAGATGACTTAGAAGAAGAAGATGAATTCCATAGATTGATTGCCAAAAGACATCAAGCTGATCTTTCGCATAATTATAAATCTCAAATCACGAACCATAAAAATGATTTGCTTTATAAAGCATATTTAGATCGATGGTACAAGTCTTCCGATCCCTCCAAGGTCTACCAAATAATTGCTTCAGACCTCAAGGCAACAGATTTTATGGTAATCGCTGAATCAATCAAAACACACAATATCTATGACTCAAACACATGGAGATTTGAAGTAGAAGGAGTTTTCATTAACGTCATCCCAGAAATCCTTGCGGCTCGCTCCCTGGTTCTCTTTGATTTATTTATCAAGGGCAACACCCTTACTTCTGATGATTTGTTCGTACATGTTGATCTCGATAAGCAAGTTGTTTCATTTTCGTCAGATATTCCTGTACTTGGGATCCTTGTGTTATTGCACTTTGCGTATACTGATGAAGAAATTCATCTATGGGAGGAATTCTCTATAGGGGAGCAAGCTTCACTGTTGATTCAGGCCACGAAGAAGTCTGTATTAGTTTTGGGAAGAATGTTCAAAATGGTTAATGTGGTGAACAAATTCAAGTGTGAAGAACCTTTGATTCAATCATTAGATAAGTTGGTAACTAGGAACAATGAGTTCAGACAAATTCTTGACGCAAAAGTGGTTTTACAAGATGGTGAAACAATTTTTGTATCGTCCAATCTATTGTCTTCCAGATCCCATTTTTTCCGCCGGTGTTTTGCAAACCATTGGTCAAAGGATGATGATGATAGAACTGTGGAATTTGAGCATGTCAGCAAAACACATTTTGAAGTAATTTTAAGATACTTGTATGGTCATAATCCACTAAATCTTTTTGAGTTCCAGGACCGGTACGAGCTTTTCAACTATGTCTTTGAGTTGCTTGATTTGTGTGATGAATGGCTTCTACTCGATTTGAAGGATTATCTCCAATACTATATTTGCGAGCTAATTGATTCCGAAAACGTATCATTATTGATCAGATATGCTCTTCAGCTTAATGCCAAGCGATTGTTCGAGCTGTGCTGTTGGTATATCTTTCACAATATGATAGATATTTTAGTTAATCACCGTGATATTTCTCAAAAATATTTAGACCAATCGGTCTGCTTCAAATTAGATCGATATTTTAAGTTTTTCCTTACCTTACGAAGTGGTGTTGTGAAAGATGTCGATTATTCAATAAATACTTACAAGTTCCGTCATGCTAGGCAAAGGTTACATCAGTTTATATTTGATACAAAATCATTTAGTGAAAATTACATCGCGCCAGGATCCAAATTTGAGCCACTAATCGATTTGAAGCTTAATAAAGGTAAACTTCCAAAAGTCAAACTATCGACTCACGAACGTCAAAGACGCAAAAGTTCTATGGACACAGGTAGTGCCAATGTCAATATTAGAAAATCGAGTGCCTCCTCTTTAATAGGAATAAAAGGGATTGATTTACTGGATTATACATCATTCACTGATAGTTCTGCTATTGATGATGGTGAAGATGCCGAAAATTTTGTTGTGGTAACCAGAAGAAGGAAATCTTTGGCCAGAACTAGTAGTAGCAATATGAGGCGTCCCTCTTTCATAAATGGTATTGGTGTTGGCGCTGATGAAATACCTGAATTTGCTAATCTAATACAGCTGTCTCCGCCTTCTAATCATTTATCAAAACAGGAAGCTTATCGCTCAGGCGCGTCTTCTCCTATTGGAATTCCAAAAAGCTCACCTGCTCCTTCATATAGCTCTCAAATTGGCTCATCATCTAGAATAGCCGCTCATGGTACAAGTTCACAAATAACTAAATCTACAAGCCTAATAAATTCAGAGAAACCTTCGAGTCTGGCGACGTCATCAACTTATTGGCCGACCCTTTCAACTGAGCAGATGTCAGTGAAAGAAGGAAAGAAGAAATTTAGTAATAATTTTGGCAAGATTTCAATGATTAAGCACGAAGTGGCCAAGGAAACGAGAACCCCTGGAAATCCTTGGTCGAAATCTTCCAATAGTGAAGAAAAACCTTCTAATAAAAAATCTGTAACTATTGGAGGAAAAGGAATCAACACCAAGGTTGGCACTTCTGCTGCTCCGGTAATTCTCTCATATGCCAAGCCTAAGAAGAACGAAGAAGAATTCCCATTATTGGGTGGCAGCGTGTCAAAAGACAATGGGAAATTAAATTTGGCGGATATTATTCTTCAAGAGAGTTTGAAAAAGGAAGCCAAGTTAGAAAAAGAGGCATCCAGAAGAACCTTAGCTGAAATCCAACAGGAAGAAGAATTTAATAAATGGTTTGAGGAGGAATCCAAAAGAGTACAAGATGAATTGAGTGCTTTTGAGAATAATGTGAAAACAAAGGACAAAAAGAAGTTGAGTAAACCAGATAATGTGGGTGGTCTGAAGGCAGACAAAAACAAAAAGGTTATCAATAATAAGAAAAATCATTCACAAAAGAAGAAAACCGCATCGGTTGTGGACCAGAAGAAAAATCCGGGCAAAGATAACATGACTGATGACCAAAAGAGTGAGGCAAAGACAAAGAAGAAACATGCCAATGGTGAACAGAAGAAGGATACAACTGCTGAGCTTGTGGAAAAGGGGAAGCAAAAAAAGAAGAGACCGCTGGATAAGAGGAAAGGCAAAGAAGCAATAAGTCCGACCACTGAATCCTCTAAAGAGAATGATGGCAGACAGAAAAAGAATGGAAAGCGGTCCACTGCAAACCTTAAAAGTGAAAAGAAAGACGATTCCCTGAAGACAATAGACAAAAAGCCTGCGACAGTCTTATGATTTTTTATGAATTTGTATGTTCTGTTTATTATATTTTTGTGTTCATTGAATTCTAGTTTTTATTCATTTGGATGTTTTTTTTTCTCTTGATTTTTAAGTTACCGTTATTTCTAGGTACCATGCTTCGTTATTTTAATATTCATAGAAACAATAAAGATTTTTGTAACAATTTATATGATAGAATACGCCGTTCATCAGCCACACTTCTTTGGGGAGATAGGGGGGCATTCTAAACACTCCTAGATTTTTAAAGTGGAAAATCAGAGAGGCAGAATGAAAAAATTTTAATTAAGGATGGCAGCAAGAACATTGGGGACTGAATGTAATGGAAAATACCAGCAGCGCAGCACTTATCTCTCAAGCAAAGCCAGAAAAAAAAAAAAAAAAAAAGCAAAATGCGACCCAGAAATTGGTGATGTTGAGAAAACCATAACAAACACAAGACAATAATCATAAACCAGAGTAAAGAAGAAGAAGAAGAAAAATATAAATATATAAGGAAACAGTCACAAATGTTATGTTTTCAGGCCCATTCCAAAGTCTTTCTCTTTCGCTAAAAGCTGATGCCACAACCCTGGTGGAGAAACAGCCTATAAGTCACAGAGAAAGGGAAGATAACCCAATAAAGGCCCAAAGGTTATTGAGAAAAGTGTCAATGTGTACAATGAAAAAAGGGAAACGTGAAACTAATACTGATTTTGCATTTCAAAGAAGCAAAAGTAATGTGAATGGTGCCTATGAACCTGATAATAGTGATGTCGATCTTGTTTCTAGCAATCTAAATGGGATGATCAGAGATTTCAATATGAGTACTCCGCTGTTTTCTAGCAGTGATTGCCCAATGATAATTGCGTCCTCCCCCAGAAAGTCTTTCAGATTACCTACTAAGGAACATCCTCTTTATAACTTTTCAGAGCCCCTAAAAGATGAAAAGATGCGAAGGTATAGCAACAATAATATCACGGAGAATCAATGCGAGTTTCATCATCCACATCGAGTACGAACGTATTCAACTCCAGCAACACAACAACAGCAGTCCATAAAACTACAGATTAAAGCAAAAATAACAGGCTCAAGATCTAGCTCTTTTAAATATGACACAAAGCAACAACTCATTGATAAATTACCTATGGAGATGAGCCAGCTTTCCAACACATTTGAAAAACCCCCAACATTACTCAGCAAAAGAGAATTAAAGTCATATTCTCATTATATTTTGAAAGATAATTGTAAAAATAGTATGCCAAAGTTTGATAACTTTGGTGATACCATTGACGATTATAATTTGTCAGCTCATGAGGATGAAAATCCCAAAACATTGCATCAATGGAACCAGTTTCTAGTGGATATTGATCTCTTGAAACATTCTGACGCTCAGTATTCAACCACTGGAAGTGGTGATTTCGGAGCTGATGTTGTTGGTAAGTCGGGTGAAATATTACAAAGACTAGATTCTGGACTTTTCAAAACTTTTAAAAGTTTACTTTTCTTGGGGATACCCATGCAACTACGAGCGAAAATATGGATGGTCACTTCTGGGTCTTCCAGGTTTTATAACCCTGGGGAATTTGAAATATTGATAAATGATGAATACTGGGATCGAGTAAATATTGAAGAACATGAACAATCGCTATTGAAATCAGAGAAGCAGATCAGATTAGATTGTGCTCGGACAATGAGAAATAATATTTTTTTCAAAGACCCAGATGGTCCGGGGATAAAGAAGTTAAAGAATGTCTTAATTGGTTTCATTAGAAAATATCCAAACGTTGGTTATTGTCAAGGAATGAACTTGATTGTCGCGCATTTGCTATTCATATTTATATCCGCGCAGGAGACATTCAATTTTTTTGAAAACTTGGTGGTTCGTATTCTATGTGGTCTTAAATATTTCCTGTCTCCTTTTAAAGAAATCGAATCTAATATTAAAATCGTAATTGGTGTTGTTCATCTTAGAATGCCCCAGTTACACGACTTCTTAGTGGTCAAGCATGAAGTGAATTGTGGAATCTTTCTATTCAATTGGTTCCTAACAATATTGATAAATGTTCTTCCCACAGAGATTTTGTTCAGGGTATGGGATTTAATTGTTTGTTTGGATGGTGAAGTAGGACTAATGAAGATCATGCTTGGAATTTTCAAATTCTTGGAAAGATTCCTAATAACCAATGGCAATCTCGGTGAGAGAAAGGATGATAATATATATGATGTGTTAATAAACTTGAAGTCGATAATTGTTAAGGAAGGTCTAACTGCAAATGAATTGATAGGGTTGCTGGATACTTTCAGCGATCTGATTACTCAAGAGAAATTGGAGAAATATCGGGCGCCCTGAAAAAATTTTGATAATCAATTTGGCAAATTGTGAAATATTGTGAAGCTAGAAGGTGCTGGGGATCTACGAACAATCTTGTTTTTCTTTCTGCCAAGTCATGGAGCACTCAAAGAAGGTTTTGGCAAATAACACAGGTTATTTATAAAACATTGTTTTAGAGGGTTATGCTGTTAATCTATAGATTAGATATATCTATCATCAGCATATGTTGTAACCCTTTACTAGATCCTTATATAAATAATTATTACTTTTATTTTATTGCATATGCTACGATGAGTATTTCTGCCAGTTTATTCTCTGGGATCTATTCTCGGGTTTGAGATATGAATTGATTTTCCAAAGACATTATTGGGCTAAGGAGAGCTATGAGGGGGGGGTTTGTTCTTCCGATAATTAGAATGATAAATTCTCTACACTGTAATCCGTGAACTTCACTTGTAATCTGTAGCCTTTAGTTCTTTTTTCATGGCCAATAATTTCTGAGATCTCCATTTTCTTGTATCCGTCCTCATGTTCTTTATACACGGTTGGGTGGTTTCTAGGAGCAACAATAGGTGAAGAAGTTGACCTCTTAAGCTTCTTCAATTGTGAGACGTGAAATTTATTTGATCTTTCTATACTTTAGCTTGTTTCTAGTATTGCATTATCTCGATCATCTACCTCAGCCACTTTAAATGGTCTAAAATAATTTGGCTGTAATTTTGGGTATAGTTTCCTAGCTGCTACGTCCGGGATAGTGGTCAATGCGCCTTTCTTGATAAAACCTTCGTCCCCGACCTCACTGTTTGATGGTTGATGATATTTGTCAAACTGTTCTTTCTATAGCTCCTTAGCCCTTCCCAATGACGCCTGAGCTAAAAGTTTTTCTCCTTCCAAGTGTTGTTCTAACTTATTATCCCACAAAATTCTCAATAACTGTTTCGCGGTAACATCTTTTCTCCTTGGTATAAATCGGCAGCTATTGATAAGATGATCGGCCACTGTCAACATAGCTTCGTACCTGGCTCTAGAACCATCACCAGCTTCAACTTCAGGAAACCCCGTAACAAAATCAATCCCGATACTACATATATGAAACTAATGACTTGTATTGTTATTGGGGAAAATTCTGGATTATTCATTTCCATTCTACCCCTAAGTGCTTATTTCTTTGATATCATTTTTCATTTGGAATTATCAAAGTGTCAATAGAGGTGGAAAAGGTCACCTAAATATAAAACTGATCTCAATTGTACTTTCATAAACCAACATGTAAATTAGGTAATATCTATAGGAAGGCGAAATGCTCAATAATCAGTGTCTTCAACATAACCATCAAAGCCACAAGTGACAAGCTTGAAGGCTGGATTAGTAAATTATGGAGGAAGGATACAGTTGATGACAACATTACCACCCATCAAATACACATTTCGGACCCATGTTCATAAACGTGCAATTCTAGCAATGTCTGGGTTTCTAGGGGCTTTTTTCCTCACTGTTTCTCGCACCACCCATGTTATGCATTACAAAATACACATACAGGAACCAACATGACAGGAAAAGGAGCATTGGAGCAAAGATAGTGAAATAATCTCAACCTTAGATATGTCAATGCTCAGTCACTGGGCTTCCCATAAAATTCATGTATCTATAAATAATCTGGAAAAATAAAAGAGAGCACTGCCAGTGAAAAACATATATTGTTTATGGATCTATTGGCAATGCTGCATGATGAAGAGAAGGGAAAGAAGAAGAAGAGAAAAAAAAAAGGAAAAAGGTGCTGAATAAGATACTACTTTATCTACATATATATATATAAATGAAAAGTAAGCACACATGCTCCATATTTTTATCATTTCTAAAAATTTTTGACAAATCTACAAAGCTCATTTTTACTCAATTGCGAAAAAAAAAAAAAAAAAATGAATATGTTATTCAGTTCATTCCTCGGAAGATTTACATTTCACATCCCAAGACTATCATCTATCTACTGATAAAAAAAATACCAATTATATTGGTTAGCTTTGAAAGTGAAGCACATACTCAGGATCGAACTAAGGACCAACAGATTTGCAATCTGCTGCGCTACCACTGCGCCACATGTGCTTCCATGTTTCGGACAACTTTTAAAATGAGATAGATTACAAAAATATCAAAAAAAAAAAAAAAACCTTATTAGCTTGTGTTATGGAAATCAAAGATGTGTGGTGCCATCTGAGATAAAACCATAGCACTGGTCTACTTGATTTTGTCGATTTTGATTATGATTTTGAATTTGACAACATTCCACAAAGGCTTCACATTATTATCTCTCACTAATAATTGAGGCAAAGAAATGGAATGTGAGTTAAAGTGTTCAGTTGGTATATTGATTCATGGAATCAGGATATGTGTCTGGACTTAAAAAGTGTGTGGTGACACTTAAGACAGACCCATGGTACTGGTTCTTATTTGATTTATTTGGTTTATTTGGTTTATTTGGTTTATTTGGTTTATTTGGTTTATTTGGTTTATTAGGTTTATTTGGTTATTTTGACTTATTTAAATTATTTGGTCTATTTGAATTATTTTTTACTTGGATTTTATTATTTTATTGATTTTTATTATTTTTATTTTTATTATCCCCCAGAATTCTGATGGTCACTACATTGAAAATACTTAGTATTTGAGATATAGTGCCAAAACCCCTCAACAAAGACCTCCATCTCAGTTCATGAAGCTCCTAGTGATGGGTAATTTACTAGTGACTTCATCTCATATTTTCACATTGCACCTTTTTTTTTTTGGGAGAGCTCCTAGTCAGTATTACGGCTATGATTCGAAAAAAGGATTTGTCTATTCCCGGTAATTCCAATGAAAGTGAGGAGAAGATATATGTGACATTAGATCTTGTTGAGATTGAGAAGGAAGGTGGATCAAATATTGGTAACGGAATTCGAAAAGTGCTTCAGAACTTTGGCATCGAAAACAAAGTTCTTACTTTTACTAGTGACAGCCACATCACCAATAAGAGAGTTATAAAAGATCTCAGACCTCACATAGGGGCAAGGTCAATACCATGTGCTCTACACAGTATCAACTTGTTTGTTAGCCATGTGTTAACAAACCTTGTTCGGGTTGACCGAGAGCAAAAATCAAAACATAAATTTTTAATTGATTCTGCTCTTATAAATGAGGAAATAATGCTATAATCAAAGCTTCGTACTATTAGCTTGAAGTTAAATAGCTTTGGACATTCAAAAAAGCAACCAGGCTGTTGGTTGGCAGTGTGCCAGATTTGCCCAATATCACTAGATGGAGCTCCAGATTTTTGACGTTTAGTTGGTTTCTGAAACATATTGATGTGTTGGTTGAGTCAGAGGTTCCAGAACTCACTGATTTATTCATAGGTATTACAGCAGATAGCATCCAGAAGTTAAAGGCAGATGTAAAATTGCTATCTCGTGCCTTTGATCTTGTAACTGTGCTTCAGAAACCTGAACTGGATGATCTTGATCATTTGGTGCACGCATTATCATCTTTAGTCTCTCTATATTTCTCGATTTGTTCCTATTTCATTCAAGGATCTAATGGTTTAAAAAATTTACACAATATCAACTCAAAAAATCCACAAACATTTCTGGAAATGGCAGAAGATCTCATGTCTTTCGCTGGACAAGACGAAGTTACATGGAACGATTCAAAGATTCTTGAACTACTACCACACTGCAGCCAAGGAGTCATTTTATCGTTTATTTCCTCTGTTCCGATTCTCCACAAATATGTCCACAAATATCTTAGTAGTGCAATGGTTCAATTCCACATTTTATTTTCTAAGGCTACCGATTTCTGGATTATTCTCTTTAGGGATAATGAAGAACTTCAAGTGGATATCGAAGGTATTTGCCAGTATCTCAGACATTTGCATAGATTATTCCAAAATGATATTAACCTGCAGACTAGCGTTGCGAGGCAGTTCATGAGATCCCTTAATGCAAAGAGATCTGATAAAATAGCAAATGAGCTTTTGATGGATGAAATCAAGATGTTTAATCGTATGCTTACTAGCGGCAATTTGGCTGTAGCACAATATGATTTCAAGTGCATCAAAATATTGTTCAAGTTCTCTTTGCTAAATATCAGCATATCCAATAGCAAACTTGAGTCATCTTTTTCTACTGTCAGAGATATTCTCGGAGTACGTCTCAATCGATTGAGTAAAGGAAATATGACGTCTCATTTGAGGATAAAATCCTTTCTCACCTCCACCGATGGTGATAATATCTTGGCTTTGAAAAAAAAGGGCTCTCAGAGGTTTATTCAAGCTACTATTGAACCATCTGTAAATGATTCCAGTCAATCAGAGACCCAATGCAACAATGAAGGCTTACGTGATGAGGAAGATCATTATGGTGATATAAGCCTAGCTACAGAGATTGGAATGTGTGAAAAACTGAATGGTAATGATATTTGTCCTGAAGCAGTGTTATACTCTTCAAACAACAATTATTCTGCTGATTATGATGGATTAGATGAGGTAGAATCTCTTTTGTTCATGCGTTAAATATCATATTTTGTTTATGTTGAATAATAATAATAATAGATCGTGATATCTTATTCTTACTGTTTTCTTAGTTTCTTTGAAAAGGCTCAGATTTTTCTACTTTTTTAGAGCGCTCTAATAAAATAAGGATGTAAATATGGAAAAAGGTCTTTATTACAGATAGTAATCGCCGGATTATTAGTGATTCGCCGCGTCACTGGTTTATACACAAAGACCCTAATATCACAGCCTTACACTAGTTACAATTTAGTTACCTGTGTGTCATGTAACTAACTGATTTTGCTACACCTCATACCGACCCCCGGTATTTTTCGTATCAAACTACAAATATATTTCATATATGCCATACCATTACATTGTAATTATTGGTACCACTTCATTGATGTTGGAGATTTCTAAATATTATGAGCGTTGACGTAGTTGCAAACACGTGGATTTAGGACCGACCATGGTCGGCACTAAGAATGTACAAACTAGACAATATCTAAATAAACCATGTTGTGGAAATAGAATTTGCTCATTTATAAATATGAATGAGCAAAAGGAGAGATTATAATATTCTTCATCAACCTTGTTTTGATTTCTAGGTGGTACGAGTAATTAAAGTCCGATGGTATGAGCATTTCCGAGGGGGTGGGGGGTGGTCGGTATGGATCATTTTCTGCCTGTGGTGTGAAAAATGAAATCACTGTAATAACATAAAAAAAAAAAAAAAAAAAAGAACGACACTACGCTTTACAACAATTGTGAAATTCGATTGAGATCACAGTTTTCCACACACTTTTAAATACACCTCTATCATGTTTTTATTGAAAGCGTCTCAAAAACTGGCCACCCCAATTGCCTCAAGGCTTTTGTTGTCCAAGACCTCTGCCACCCGTGGCTTGGCCAGTTTGAAAACCTCATCCATTTACAATGCTAAAAGATTCTATTCTGATTCTACCAATTCCCAACCAAAGAAGTCTAATAACACTATGTATTTGGCTGCTGGGGCCATTGCTCTTGGTGCCATTGGTTATTACACATACACAAAATCTACCAAGGAAGGTTAGTAGTTTTTTTTTTCTTCTTCTTTTATGATTTACATTGGATGATTTATTATATGACTTCTTCTTTACTAACGGATTGACTACATAGAATTGACTGGAAACAAGGCTGGCCCAGTGTTCAATAACAGTGAAGTCTCCGTGGTCTTTGTCTTGGGTGGTCCTGGGTCTGGTAAAGGTACCCAATGTTCCAAACTTGTGAAAGAATATGATTTCGTTCATTTGAGTGCTGGTGATTTGTTGAGAGCCGAACAAGCCCGTCCAAATTCAGAATTTGGCGAATTGATCGCCAAATATATTCGTGAAGGGTTGATTGTCCCACAAGAAATTACCCTCAAATTATTGGAAAATGCCATCAAGGAAAACTATGGTAAAGGGAGCACGAGATTCTTGATCGATGGGTTCCCAAGAAAAATGGACCAAGCTTTATCTTTTGAAGAACAGATTGCCACTAGTGCCTTCACTTTGTTCTTCGAATGTCCTGAACAAGTGATGATTGAAAGAATCATCAACCGTGGTAAGACCAGTGGAAGAACCGATGATAACGTCGAAAGTTTGAAGAAAAGATTCAAGACTTTCTATGAAACATCGATGCCAGTGGTCGATTACTTTGACAAACAAGGAAAGATGGTCAAATTGAGTTGTAACAAACCTGTTGATGAGGTCTACGCCAGTGTCAAGGGTGCGTTGTCCGAAAAGTTGAACATTAATTAATCAGTCTGGGCTCTTCAATTCGTCGTTCATTAATTCATTAACTATATAGAGTTCTATATTTCATCCAATTCTGTTCATGATTCATTTTTTTCGCTATAATTCATAATTCTCAAGCATGCGAAACCGCAATAGTTTCACAGTGAAATAGAGCATGCACTACCACTTTTGTCTCCCTGATTTCGTAGAGCTTCTGACCTGTCTAATTTTTTGGTGAGACTTTCGACTTTATCTTGAAGCTCTTTATCGGAGCTTTCTACCTTAGTAAGCTTGTATATACAGGTTAGAAACATTGTTTTACTATCAAATAATTATCAAATGCTAATGGAAACTTACCAAATCTTGCAAAGATGATTCCAATTTACTGGCGATATCAAAAACCGACAATACGGCAGTGCCGGAGGTATTTTCATCATCGGTGGCGGTGGGTGGTGAGTTGATCAGATCTGTGCTAGCGGCCGCCATAGTTTCAAAGGGTGTTATACTTCTTCTATGTGGTTTGATCCCCGTTAATGTTATATCAATGTATAACACGAAAACATTGATAAAGAGGAAGGCACAGATCGTTTTATTACTGATTTTTTACACGTTTTCGCGATGGGGGGGCTTTGGGTGCGTTTAGTAAATGATAATTAATAAATACTGAGTGTATAAGTATTTTGAATTATTGATATAAAGGATATAACTACAATATATATCCTTTCTGGTCTAGTTATTTGTGCATTTTAAATTCTGGTGTTGATACTCTCGTTTTTTATGATGCACACAAGACTGATAATGAATTGATGTCAAATCAAAAAAAATTGGATTCATACACAGCACAGAAATTAATTTATTACAATCATCATTCAGGAATAATACATACTTCAATTGCCATCTGTAAATGCCCAACGAAGAAGCCCAAGCGTTTCATTACGCAGTCTACGATGAAGTCAAAAGAATCCCCTTTGGCAAAGTCACCACTTATGGTACGCATGACTCTTCCATAGAAAATTAGTACGGTGTCAACGTAAAATATAATAATAAACAGATGGAGGGAAAAGATAATTCATGGATAGATGTGTATTATATTCTAACATTCTTACAATAATAGGTCACATTGCTAAACTAATATTTCGCCCCATGAACGCTCGTCAGGTGGGCCAATCTTTGAAATTTTTACCTAGAGAAATATCCCAAAACGATCTTTACAATATTGATAATGTCCCTTGGTGGAGAGTGATCAATGCCCAAGGGAAGATTTCCCCTCGTGCAGAAGGAATGCAACGACAAGAAGAAATGTTAAGAAATGAAGGCGTGGATGTAGAAGACGGTAAAGTGAGTTTAGTAAATAATGGGTGGTTTCCTACTACAGAGTTTGATATAGAAGAAGAAGAAGATGATGATGATGAAGATGAAGATGATGATGGCGATGAAGATGTTGATGAGGTGACGAGATAATTTACAACATAAACAATAATATCACAAATTTTTTTTTTTTTTTTTTTTGATTAGCCAATAATAACCTTAGTAAACGATAAGACGTAATAAAAAAAATAAAATAAAATAAAATAATAATAAAACCAAAACAAAAATAAAAATAACAATTCCAAAATAAACACTATCAATCACTAGGCTCTCCTTCTATTCTTTCCTTTTCTTGTTGAATAATAATATCTTTACTCAATAACAGCCTAAGATCATCAGTAACCTCATACGCATGAGGCAAGCTGGATTCCAAAGGCTGGTTTCTTTTCCCCTTATTATTCTTCAAAATCTCGGCTCTTAAAGTATTCAATTTATCATTCAAAACCCCATGATCAATGATATCCACCATCTTCCTGAACCTTAAAAATAGCAATTCAGCTCTGACTAGTAAGTCTTTCATGTCCATTGTCAAACTCAAATCATTCATATATTTCAAAACCTCGTCGAACCTTGAAAGATGTTCAATAATGATCCGTTCATGTTTCGACAATATTGCCAAACAAAAGAACAAATGGAATTGTGAAGAATAGTAATCAGTGAAGAAATTTTCCCAAAGCGGAATTATATCCTCAAACATGAATTCTCTTTTGAACCAAACCAACAACATTCTAAAAAAGAAAAATAAGTTGATCGAATCACATTTCTCCAAATGGAGAAACAAATTAGGCAACATTAACGAAACTAGCTGATTCAAGGTTTCCATTTGTGTCTTCATTCCACTTTGATCTCTCAAAAAATTTCTCTCCATTCTTTCCATAAACTTAACAAAACACCAGAATGAGATGTTATTGTCTTGGTAAACATAATAAATCACCGACAACAAATCACACATTCCTTGAACATAGCCCAAGTTCTTGTTATACTGGTTGTAGGTCAATAGAATTTCCTTCAAGTTTCGTAAATGAGGGTTATTAAGCTTGATATTATCAGCAACATCATCTTCCGATTCTTTACCATTTTCTTTATAAAGGGAGATATTCCGGTCGTTTCTATTAACATCCTTCTCAATTCTAAATCGCTGGTCCTTCCAATAAGCATCATTCTGCAATTCCTCGAGATTATCTTGCCATTTAGAAAGATACGAATTGTAATCGTCATTCAAAGATCTCAAGATTTGTTTCCTTTCGAAACTTGAACTATCCCAAGGATAAACCCCCAATAAGAATAACCAAGCTTCAGATCTTACGGTAGAAGACACGCCGCCATGGAAAATCCGCTCTTTAACTTCGCCCACAGTTATTGATAATCTGCCAGCATTGTCAAAGAATGAATCCCACTCAATTTTAGACACTTCTTTGGTACGCTGGGCTTTTTCTAGCTCTACTGCACTCAAACTATCAATTGAGGTTATTCCAAGCTCAGAGTTCAATAAATTTCGGTAGCTATCATCCAAAACATACTTCTTTTTGTTTCTTTCCGCTTCTTCTTGGATACTGAGGGCCCATTTAGCTAAATAAATATTGGCACTATCAAAATCATCGTTCAACCTTTTGATTTCCGGTCTTTGAAGGAGCTTTTTTACCGGCTCAGGACTATCATTAATCACAGTACTGACATTTTTCTTGGCTAGTTGGGAAACTCTTGCCAAAGATTCAAGAATGGTCCATTTTGCTCCAGTGAGAAATTTATTGATACTTTCTTTTGATGCATCTCCCAATAGACCTATCGGTGTCGTATCTTGCTCAACCACATTCAATGGGGCAAAAGCTCTAAGATCATCGGAGGTGGGATTGATCAAATAAACCGCTTGCTCCAAGCTTGATTTTTCCACCACACAGTATTTCTTCAAACAATCGAAAAATTGATCCCCTCCATAAAACAAATCAGCGGGGTTGTTGGAAGAAAAAGGATTAAAGTCCTTGTTTTTCATCGATTGATGCTTCAAAGTACTTTGGGATTCGTCATCATGGAAAAATAATACTGGCAATTTCTCAAAGTTTGATCGGGAATTGATGATGATTGATCCCCACCACCACCCCAAGTTTGGAGTACGTGATTGAATGGAATAAATATTTGAAATCGGAAGAGAAAAAGCATAAGATCCAATACCAGAGATGATTGATTTTTTGACGAAGAACTGTTTGCCAGTGCCATTTTTTCTTTGATACATTAACAAATGATCTTTACTGAGGTTTGCCACCTCGGCATCCTCGACATTGGTCTTCAAGTCACATTCGTTGAAAACCTCTACTTCCGTAGCACTGAGGGAATATTCTGGGGTGAAAGATACCAAAATATCTTTATTAGTAGTATTGTGTTCTTTGGAAAGAGTTAAAAACCCAGCAACATTGTCCTTCTTGTTCTTGGAGGGATGTACATAGACTTTCCCCTTTGCCCAGAGAAGCTTGACTGATCCAGGAGGATAAATCTCTTCAGGATGAGCCTCTCTCGAGGTCACTCTCGAGGTTACTGTAGGGGGGGAACTGGTACCTTCAGTTTGATCTGACATTTAATTTAATTGCCTTTGCAAAAGATAATATTATATGTGCATTTGAGAGGAAAAAAAGACGTTATTATTTTATCTGATGTGATGGATTTCTGGATCCATTTTTTTTTTTTTTTAATTAGTGACAGCTGCACGTGCTTTGCCAACCAATATATTGGTATACATATATACGGATGATATTGAATACAACAATAAGATTATCAAAAGTTCTTTGTATTGGTTAAGGAACGCTATAGGATAGGTAATTTAGAAAAAAAAAAAAAAAAAAAAAGAAATATTGTGTACGTATATGTCGGAAATCATAAAGTAACCCCCTTACTTAAAAGCAACAGAAAGAAAAAATTATTTATAACTAACCTCCTTACTTTGCTCATCTTCCCAGCCCATTTTCTTAATGAACTCTGGCAATTGACTGATAATCCTGTCCTCAATTTCATGGCCACGTCCACTAACAACCTTAAGAATCAATTCATTTAACTCGGTGGAACCCAAGATATCCACATGTTCAGAGGTTTTGGAACCGCCTCTGATATCAAACCTTTCTGGTTCATGCTTCATTTCCACAATCTTAACCTTGACATTCCCTGGGTTGTAAACAGAATTCTCTTCTCTCCATTTATGGCACATGGTATGTGTGATAAGAGACACAGTCCCGTCACCATCACTCAAAGTAACAGAGTCTTTCTCACCATAAGCCATTGAGACATTGAGTTTTGAGATCAACTTTTCCTTTTCTTCTTGATAAGTATAACTTCTCTCTGTTGGGTTACCGATACCATAAAAGCAATAATACGTCAAGTTTGGAGCGTTAGGTAGAGGACATTCCAAAGGATTAGTCCATTTAGAAGAATCTTGATTGTTTTTCATCAATTGCACAGGATCAGAAGTGATACCGTAACTATAACTACTCATCACTCTATTTTTAAACCATGATGGGGAGTTGTCCAACAAAAATTGAATGGTGTCTTGAAGTGTCAAGTTCTTAGCGGAAAATTTACCAATATGTTCCTTAAACTTAATGAACAGACCATAAGAAGTCTCTGTGGTTTTATTGACCCAAGAATCATCTGGAGAGCTTGTAAGATCGCCCCAAATTCTATCACCACCTTTTGGGATCATACTTGGGATCCCTCCAAAAGTTCTCAACATATCCACTCTTTCTTTTCTACTGAAGAATTTCTCTAATCCGTAAACGGCTACTGAGTTCAATTGCACAGTATCTTTCATTTCCCCCGATAACAATGCAGTAACCGCCTTCGGGGTACCCAAGGTAGAACCAGAGATATCAACCACTCCATCAAGATAAGTATTGACCCAATCCGGTCCACCATTACCAAAATTCTTACCGTATGCCTCAACCCACTTTAAGAAAAAGTAAATGACTTGAGAGCCCATAGAGTGTCCTACCAATATGATCTTTTTCCCATTTTGAGCATATTGGACTTCGATTGAGTCTTTTAATTTGGTGAAATACTGATCTCTTTTCTCTAAATCAAGATATGTCAATCTCCAATCATAGGCAGCCAAAGTCATTTCGTTGGGACCATAGCCCAACACCGCCAAATTGCTAACAATCTTATTCCAAATCCAATAGCCCGTGATGAAGAAATCTGCCGCTTCGAAACCTTGGGCTGCCCGGATCTTGAAGTTCGGTGGATCGAGCCCAGTTTCCGGATCTAACATAATATGTTGTAGCCAGCAGTTTTTATTCAAAAACATTGCTTTCAACATGTAAAATGAGCCCCAGAGTCTTTTACGGAAATGGGGTTCAGAAGGACATTCAGGAGTTCCGGACAATCCCCAGCTTTCAAGCCCGGTACTGATGACTCCAGGAACCATCACCACTGGGTTATTTGAGGTGTAGTTTTCTTTAACCATGTATTTCCCAACGACAAAGTCATTGGTGGTGTCAACTTGATGTTTAGTAGATTCTCCTTTTGCCTCATTGAGAGCACTGATTAAAGTGGTTGGTAAATTACCTTTCAAGTCAGAGAAATCGAAATCGAAATCGAAATCAAGAGCCTTTTGTAGTTCGATGCTATTTTCTTTGACTCCCCAAAAGGCGCTTATTAGAAGAACGATAAAAGATACCATAACAACGCCGGTTCTTTTCTTCAACCACCAAGAGGCTTCCTTAGTGGTATCTGAGGGTTTTGAAGGGTTTTCTGGTGATTCATTATGCTGCAGTTCTCTGTGCTTAGCAGAGTTTTTCTTAGGATCCCCCATAGTGATAATATGTTGAGATAAAAAAAAAGAAAAAGACCAAACTTCATAACAAGGAATGAAATGTAAACAGTTGCGGAGTTTTCGAAAATTGACAGAGATTGTGCTCAGCTAAAGGCACGCGCGGTTATGATTATCCACGAAAAATTGAATATTTTATTTATTGTTTTTGCAACAACTTTGTCTTGAATCGATGATATATATATATGGAACTATTGTGTATCATAAAATATGACGAAAACTCTTATCATTGATAATGGATCATACAGTGTCAAAATAGGCTATGCTACAGATGACCTCAACTGGTCGCCGCACATTATTTCCAATTCGATAGTCAGAACTAAGGATAAGCGTCTTATTCTCGGAGACTTGGTCGACCGGAATCAAAATATTAGTGGATGTTTCTTCAAACGACCATTCGAGAGAAATCAGCTAACCTCATGGGAAACTGAAAAACTAATTTGGGACTATTGTTTTAATTCAGAAGACTTGAAGTTACACGTGAATGATTATGGTAATGATCCCAATGATATGAACTTGATTCTTACGGAGGCACCATTTACATTACCGAAGATTACTAAGAATACCGATCAAATCATCTTTGAAGAATACGGGTTCAAGAGTTATTATAAGAACATTACATCATCATTTGTTCCGTTTAATTGGGAACAGAACGAAAAATTATACCAAACCAACCAGTTGAGCGGAGGAGATGACAAGAAGGTTTATAAAGATTACCAATTAGTGATAGATTCGGGATTTGACTCGACATATATCATTCCAGTGATTTACGGTATGGTATATTGGGAGGGGGTAAAAAGGTTGGATATTGGTGGGAGGTTCTTAACGGGATTTCTACGAGAATTGATTTCTTTTAGATACTACGATGTCACGGATGAAACCATCTTGGTGAATAATATTAAGGAACAAACGTGTTTTGTACCGATAAATTACAACCAGTCATTGGAGAAATTGAAACAGGAAAAGATAAGGCTAGGGCCAAGGCCAAAACCTGGATCGATCAATGACAACAGTATGATTGTGGAATATGCTTTACCGGATTATAAAACCACGACTAAAGGTTACTTGTTAACTGATGAATTGAGGAAAAATATTAACGATGTTGATGAGCTACAGATAATGAGACTTTATGACGAGAGATTTAGCATTCCTGAAACGTTATTTGATCCAGCGATTGCCACCATCAAGCACCGGAATGGTTTGATTAAAACTATATATGACAGTATTTATAGTTGTCCTGAACTTGTCAGACCGTTGCTTGTGAGTAATATTGTGTGCATTGGTGGTAATTTCAAGTTTTCTGGGTTTAAGGAAAGATTACAACTTGAATTGAAGAAAGTTCTACCGGTGGAGTGGGACATTAGAATTGGGATCGATGAAGATCCTATTGTTTACGGATGGAAGAGTGCCAACTGCTTGGCCACTAATCATATGGAGATGTATGAGAAGTTGTGTGTCAATAAGAGTGATTATTATGAGAAAGGCTGGGGTTATGTGAATGAGAAGCTTGGGTGTAAACTAAAAGGATGGTAGAAGGATTACAAGATAATGAACAAAGGCGGATTCCAAAAAAAAAAAGAAGAAAAAAGATTAATAATATTGAGGTGTAATATAGCGATGATTGTAATATAATACAGTTTTTTTTTTTTTTTTTGTTTTTGTTTTTTGTTTCCTTCATTTACTTGTAAACTGCTAGAAGTTTATTAAGTTTAGGATCATAAAACAAGTAGACATCAAACTCGTGGTATTTTATAAGCCCAAAACCGTCCTTGTCAATGATTGCAGAGTTACCCTTTACTATGGTGTATAAATGATAGGCCTGCTCGTTTGGGTCTTGGGTTGAGAAGTAGTTCCCGTAGTAGGTCAAGCATAGGCCATCAGAGTAGTCGATATAAAGAGCAGCTTGGGGGTTTTCGATCCCCGATGCGTTGATTCTGGAGGGGATTTTGTTAGTACTAATTGGGTTGGAGGGGAAGTAACGATGAGGATATACATACATGTGCAGGATATCCATGGCTGTTCCATAAATTGTGATAATATATCACTATTATTATCGCTACCATCCTTCCTTACTTATGTTATCGCAGATTTTGTTTGCAAAGCGACGGTGATGGCAACAACCCACCAGGGGCTCACAACCACAACCAGTTACGCAGCCCCGCGCAGCCCCAACTGACCGGAAAAAAAAAATTTCTCAGCAAAAAAAAAAAACGTCAGTTGGCTATACAAAATACGCCTCAGTCTATCACTGTCACCGATTGTTGGATATATTCCTCCCCACCCACCCAGGCACAACGATGGTGTTATGGCCATGACCGAACACTCCTCCCCCAGCCTGCGCTCCTTTCTTCACTCGTCCTCTCCCTCATCCTCTTTATTACAACCCCCAGCAGCCGCCCCTGTCGCCATCATTAGAGGAACAGCGCCTCCAGCATCACCTGCCCTGTCTTCCTCCACCCCTTTCTCTTTCTCTTTCTCTTCACAACTAACCCCTCTGCTATCCAGCAGCAGCTCGTTCCAATTCAATATAAACACCAATGCAACCTCGATAATTACCCCTAAGAATCGGATGTCGTCTCCAACCTCCCCTGGAATCTCTGATTCTCCCATCCCGATCTTCTTCAATCAATCTAAGATCAGCATGTCAAATAATTCAAAAAAGAGATCCTTCAGAGACATGGCTGAAGGCGACGAAGAAGATCAATACGGAAGAATCAATGCGTATGACGAGGATTCTGATTTTGAGTTGATTGTTTAACTGACACTATTTTTCTATTTTACTTCTACATTCTTGATAGATGATACCCCCCATGGCACATATATATATATTATGTTGACATTTCCAACAATTTTATTTTTTTAGCACTACTTTTTTTTTTTTTTTCGTTTTCTTTTCTTTTCCTTTTTGCTTGTGTTCAGACTTTCAGCTTCTTTCTAATGGTTTATCTTTGGGTTTCTAGTTTTGTTATATATTTTAATAATAATACCTTATTTTTCATCCTTCATGATTATTGCACTGCGCGCACTCCGGTGGTAATGTAATGCACCTTTTTTTTTTTTTTTTTTTTTTTTTTTTTTTTTTTTTTTTTTCTTCTTTTGTATTTGTGTGTGCAAGTAAAGTTTGATGAAGATCAATCATTTTTATTCAAGCTTCCTTTATTATACGGCTATGTTGATAGGAAGTTAGCGAATACCATATCCACTCATCACTAAAATAATTTAAAGAAAATCTTTGCCTTAAGACTACACACCCCTGACTGAATATTGAACCCCCACCCTATTATTACATCACATTAATTTTACCTGATTTGATCTCAATCCCTATATGATCATGTCACTATGGTGCCTATAGCTGATGAAAAACTAAAACTCAAGAAGAAATTTTTCAGACTAGCTCAACCTCCAATCCTTTCTCCCAATGATCCATACTGGAATTTCCTCTGGAGTCATACCTATGACTCGGACGACATCTTCCACATCTTAACTGCCAATGACATCAAATATATCAAATCCAAGAACCCCATCAATTTTTACCTGTTCATTAGAATCGTATCAGTAAGGCTAATACATTTGGCCAACCATCCTGGCTTCCCCAATACTAGTGATGCCTCAACTAACCAACTTCTAAATTGTTGTCGGTTATTGACCAGATTTTTCCCCTTCATCTTCGAGGGTCCCAAAGCCAATCGTCAAGAAATGGAAATTTTTTGGCAACGAAATAACAATGACAATTATCTCCCTGAAGATTTGAAATACCATAATACCACCAATTCCATGCTGTCTACGTCCCCCAATACCGCAACAGTTGGCTCAATCACCCCTCCAAATTCTCTATCCAATATGGTTAACGATAGTGCCAGTATGAATGTCAATATCCACAATTCCGACCAACTATCGGAAACAAATTCAAAAAAAGTAGTAATCAATGGAGATGGATCTTACAAGAAATTCAAATTACCATTGGGGGCACAACTTGTGCATGTTTGCATAGATCTATTGTTTACTAAACATTTTACAATAATGGAAGAGAACATGCACTTAAAAGGCAGAGACTTTCAACTCTGGGAGCCTGGAATTGGCCAGAATGGGAAATTTAAGGCTCCTGAATTTCTTATAGATGCTAATAGGTTGGAAATTATACGATTACTAGTAGTCTTGTGTTCTAAGACCCTATATTCCTCTCCTCAAAAAATCGTCGACAATGGGTCCAAATTTCTCACAGCCTTGGTGACTTCCCTACCCAAAATGAAGTTATTAGCCTTTATTTGCTCATTATTAAATATCTCAATCAGAGAGTGCTCCTTCTCGTCGTTTGATAACCCAATTAATGAGCCACGTTACTTATTAGCAACATATTCAGTCCAATTATTTGCGTTGACCCTAAGTTATGCAATCCCTAGTGAGGATATTGATTTTGTGAAAAACCTAAATATTATCAACCCAGGATCAGAAAACTCTCAAATATTCCCTCCAAGTAATTTAGTAAGATTATATCTTTCAAAATTACACAAGCCAAGCGAGTTACAATACATTATCAAGAGTTATTTGCAATTTCTACAAAAACCAATGATTGATTTAAAAAACACCTTAGATTCACCATCAAGGTTCAATTTGCTTCTAAAAAGTTCAGAAGCTGCAGATTTTCCAAAACTGAAGAAAATCCCCTCTTGGACTGCAGAAGTCATCATGATTTTATGGGAATTGATCCAATGCAACAAAAGTTTTGTGAAGTTTCTAGTCCTAGCAAAGAATTCCAAAACTGAAGAATTCTTTTCCAATGAAATTTTCGTTACATTATCATATTATATTTTTGCTTATGAGAGCAGCTCGCAAAACCAAAGCACAAAGAGGATTATTAGCTATCTCATTTTATATATGACGGCAGTGGCTCCCATCTCCAAAAACTTATTGAAAAGAATCAATTTAAAACTCTATGATTTGCTAATTCCAAAAAGCCTCCTTCAAAAATCCATGATTGAGAATTCAAGCATAGTTACTTATAGAGACTTTGTTGTTTACAAAGTGAGCTGGAAGTTGGTAAATGATGTCAATATGTCCGCTGATTTACTCACTCCTACATATTTCGAGTTGTTGTATAACCTTGTTCCAATAACAGTGGTCAATAATAACAATGAAAAAATTAAAAACGATATCAATACCTTTGATGATGGGTTGTCTTATAATTGTTGTTCCACCTTGACTCAACTAATTATCAAGTTAAGTTCCCGGCTGACGTTATTGGAAAACAAAATGAATCCAGATTTGTTGAGCCTTTTGATAAGATCAGTTGTGAATGCAATATTGTTCAATAGGTATCATTTGGATAAAGTGAAAATGTTGGTAATTTCAGCGGTAAAAAATGAGAGAACTTACAGAAATGTATTGCATCTAATTTTGAGCATGATTGATGAAAGCGATGAGCTGGGACACGAATCAACAAGGAATGGGAATGATCATGGCAATGATGATATTGATATGACTCTAGCTCAAGAAGATAATTTTCATGATTTAGAATTATATCAGGCATTTAGACCAGTTCAGCCAGTGGGAATGTCTGAAAAAGCTAAAGGAAAACTACCAATCAATGCATCTTTATCTCAGACTTGGAATGGATCAAAATGTATCAAAATTCTTTTAAGATTCATTGAAATTATGAATGCTGCGAATATTTCTGGTCTCAAAAATAATACCGATTCATTTGAAACTCCAAAAAGTTTGATGTCAAAGATCATTATTCCCCAAAACATGAACTCGGAAATTATGGGAATTGACAATGTAAAAACTTTTCTTGGAAACACCAGAACTTACAAACCGTTAAAGTTCAATTGGTCAGCAGTATCTTTAGGATGGTATCTTAGTGTATTGTGGGGGAAAATATTTATCACTGAGGAAGCAGTGCATTTTGAGTTTGAAGATGCCAGTGTCAATGGCAGTGGGTTGTTGCCAAGTGGCCTAGTATCTAGTCTCGAAGGTTTTTGGATTGGTAATGACAATGGTATGGTATCTGAACATGATGGCAGCACTTCTAATTTACCAACATCAACCGTCGGACGGCTTTTCCTGAGATTTGGTTGGGAAAATAAACAAGACGGACTGAAGGAAAATGGGGACGACTCTATCTCCAAGAAGGCAAATGAGCTGGATCACTTACAAAAAGTCATTATGAATACCAATTTTTTCAAGCACACAAAGGTCACTTTATTTAAAATAAAGTCTGCAAACTCAGAAAAGTCAGTTAGGAACTTTAGTATACCCCCTGTTGATAAAGATGGTCATGATCTTGATGCCAATAATATATTTAGTTTAGATAATATGACCAATAATCTTATGAACCATTTCTCGATGTTAAGGGGAGCAAATATATTGAAGACAACTGAAGAAACCAAGAAATACAGAGATGGTGATTAGCCTGGTTAGAGTTTTAGAAAGGCTATTTTAGATTTCTCATACCCATGGCTCTATGTTTTTTCTCCTACTTGAGTTGAAAAATTCAAATTAGGGCAAAAAAAAAAATAAATAAAATAAAGAATACAAGAATCAATTAATAGAATGAGAAAAAGTATCGTAAAAATATCATAGTTATCATATAATCAATTTAAATTGATGATCAACTTTGTAATGGAATATACGTACAGAAGAAAAGTATATAAGAAAAAAGAAGAATAAAAGAACAAATAAAACAATATATGAGAGAAAGAATATGCGACAAAATGCTCATAGATTCCAAAATTAATTTTGGAGAAACAGAGAGAGGGACAAAAAAAAACGTAAAAAAAACAAAAAAAAACAGCACGGTAGTAGGAAATTGAAGAACTAAAATAGCAACAAGTTGAAGTAATAGAAAAAGAAGAAAAAAAGAATGACGGGGTAAAAAAAAAAAGGAATAAATGAAGGGTGGGTTTTGAGGTATTCATATGACTAGAGATATAAGTAAGCAAGACAAACTACGTGATGATCAACATCTTGTACAGTCAATTTACCCACACCTAGGCACGTAACACCTTTTAATAGAGATAATATATTATCTTCATAATTATCATCATCCTCATCCATCTAAGGGAGTCATGGAGTCCCTGATTTTCCTCTTCAACCTTTCTTCTTTTTGACTTCTTCTTCTTGTCAATTCAGCAGGGCTTGGTGGGATCGCTTCGTTTTCCAAATCAGCCTTCTTTGCCTCTTCGAACAGATTAATAGAGTTCTTCAACCCGTCAGGACCACTCAATAAAGCACCTTTTGGTAAGGTACCACCACTTAAAGATTTCAATTGTTGAACATTTTCCGATTCCTCACGTAAAACTTGGTACATTCTTGCCACTCTACCAATGGCCAAGATCTTTTTACGCAACGCTTGTTTTTTAGCATTGATATCATCTTCTGGTGATGAGATGGCTGCTGATTGTAATGAGGCAATCAGAGGAAGTTGAGGTTTAACAGCCGCATCAATTGGACTAGATGGTGCGGTGGTGACATCATCAAGGGTTTGAGCAGGCGCGACGGCCAACGGAGTATCTTCATCCAATTCTTCTTCCGAACAAATATTTAAAATTGAAACCAACATATCAGTGACTTTTTCCCCCACAAATGGTAAAGACCATGTGAAAACATCCATGAAATTTGGTAACCAGTATGGATGTGGAGCACTGTTAAACTGTCTAATATTCATCACATTATTTTCATACTTCAATACCGCAGCTTTATTATTATAACTGTCAAGATAGTTTGGCGCACTAAACATTGTTAAGAGAGAAATGAAACCAACGGTGGGGGTTCTTTTGTACATTCTGTAACCACTATCTTGAGCCTCGTGTGCTCTTATTATAGAAAGTAACCCAGTCCTTTGCAAGAATGCACAGGAAGCTTTATAAGTGAAAGCATAAGAACAACCTCTGACAGTATTAGCAACAAAATGATTTTCATTTGTGTCGTCATCATAATTTTCAATTGGATCGGCCCACAACAAATCACACATCAACCCTCTAGTTGGCGGCTCTCTGAATCTGTCAATTCTTCTCAAGTCATCCAAAGTTTTCAATTCCGGACTCAACCCACCATGCACACAGAAAAATTGTTTGTTCATAACGGCTGCTAGTGGTAGAGAATTAAAAGAATCTAATGCTGCTTCATAAACTGCATTGCTGTATTTATGCAAACATTCCATCTTGAAAGTAAAGTAGTCTGTCAAATGTTTACATTCATGATTCCCTCGCAACATCCAGAAAGTTTTACGGTAAGTTAACTTCAAACTGTACAAGTACAACAAGCATTCAATGGAAAAATTCCCTCTGTCGACATAATCACCCAAAAATAAGTACGAAGTATTTGCTGGGTCACCACCAACTTCAAACAATCTCATCAAATCGTAATATTGACCATGAACATCACCACACACCGTTACTGGGGCAGGAACGTCCAATAAATTAGGTTCGGTCCGCAATAATTCCGTGGCAGCCTTCAAGATCTTGATCACTTGGCTTTCATGCAATCTCCCTTCATGGTAGAAATGATTCTTCAAAAATTCGTGATTTGGCAATCCATTAGGCAAAAAAACTTCATCATCCGATGGTTTTCTAGTCACTGGGGCTGGAACAGATTGAACAATACGATTTTTGGTCGAGACTTCCTTATCTTCCAAAACGAATATCGAAAAGTCCTTCTTTGGGACATTGTGATTTTGTTTGTTCTTTAAAGCTCTAAGAGCATTATTAATTTTTTCACTATTATCCTTGGCTAAATCAGACATGACTAAGTGATGGGATTTGATTGACAGTAATTGAAATGTTATGGGAGATCAAAGTTATATAACAGGGGCAACCGTGTCAATTCAAGGAGAACCAAAAAAAAAAAAAAAGAAAACTTTTGACTTGGACAATCGGGAGATTTCAAGATAGAGATTGAAATCAATAGCAGTTGCTTGAAATGGGGAGATTTTCAAATCAAAGAAAGTATTCACTAACAGATTGCAGTGTACTGGGGATGCCTGAATGATGAGTATTCAACAATAAACAAGTCAGTGGGTAGGGCAGACGACGATGGAGAGATTAAATAAATTTCTCATCACTTTTTCCCGTTGTGGCATTTTGTGCGCCTTTGCCGGACAGGAGACGGCTCTAGGCCCTCGCTTGTTCCCCCCGACGGCCGCAGCGGAAAAAAAAAAAAAAAATTATCCATAGAGAAGAAGAGCTTCTTCAGTTTATTAGACATGTTAATGGTGATTGTTTGAAACAGAAACTAAAGAAAAAGATTACGAAATCATGTCTATTGACCATACTGAATTAGTGGAAGCCCCAAAAGATCAGAAGACTCTCCAGTTCGTTGATGAAAAACAACAGGCTAACTTTGAGCTTGGGGTATCGATGATGATCCACGGCTGGGATGATTTGAAAACCGCAGTTGATAACCAGTGGGGTGGTCCAGATAGTGAAGAGAAAAGAGACTGGATTTCCAGTATCATTGTGGAATTATTTACTACTAATAATGCGGTAGATATTTCGCTTATTGAAGAAACTTTGTTGTACGCCATGGTGGATGAATTCCAAGTGGAGATTGAAGATGATTCAGCGTTACTCGTAAGTAAAAGAATCTTTGACACATACAAGGATTGCCGAGAGAAAAACTACGATAATGTTAGATCATTATATGAAAGATGGCTAAAGAAACAAGAACAAAGACAGATCAATAGAGTGGTGGTGAATGAAGATCCTCAAAATCCAGATGTCAGTGATGATGATGATGAGGAAGATGTTGAGGAAGATGAAAATATTCCTGCCTTGGTTGATGGTGACACCGAAATGATGGATATTGATGAAGAGCCTCAACAACCAATTGTTGATGACGATGGGTTTGAATTGGTGCAAAAGAAGGGTAGAAAGAGTAGACATCATTGAACATATGATTGTGTTAGTATATTAGTTTTATATCTATTTTTGCTTTGTTTTTTTTTCATTTTAATAAATTTTGGACATTTTTTATCTGTATGACTTACAACTGTAACTGAATGGTCGTGAAAATTTAAGAAACATTACTTAATTGTAATCTAATAACATGGATTTCCTAATGAAATATATTTTGGAACCTCTTGGAAAAAGAGCAGCTTTTTTTTTTTCTCTCTCTATTCAAAAGATTTATATATATATATATATATATATATATACATATATGTTCAGTCACTTGTGTTCATCTATAAGTATTTTTTGATATTTGACAATATCTCCATATGTAGTTGCAGATCCACCACAAGCAATGACAATAACTATGTCATCCTTGGATAATTTACCGAAGGCCTTTTCAAGAAGAGAAAGATTATCGGCTGCAAAAATTGAAGCCCCACAAGCAGGCTCAACAATAATATTATGATGATTGGCAAAGCTGACGACCCCTTCAAGCGAGTTATTATCAGTGATTAAAATCAGATGTGTTGGGTGAGCCTTTGAGTTTTCCAATGATTTCAGACTGATATATGGACTTGCCAACGAAGTCGCCACGGTTTTAACATCTGATAAATAAACGACTTTACCCGCTTCTATAGCACTGTGTAATGTTGGGGCATTCTCAGTCTCTACTGCCAACACAGGAATTTCTAAACCATTTTTGATCAAACCACGAACAACCCCATTATATAAACCACCACCACCAACGGAGCATACGATTCCCTTGATCTTTGAAATCTTGGATTCGGGGATTTGGTAAACAATCTCGTCAATCATTGTCGAATGTCCTTCCCAAATTAATTCATGGTCAAATGGATGACAATAAATAGGAACAATCTCATTGAGATCAACCTTGGCAATTATTTCATTTCTCAAGAATTCATCGGCCTCACCCCAATGCTTTCCTTGAATAATAACTTCTGCACCAGTTCTTTCGATTTTTTCCTTCATTCTTAGCTTGGTGGTGATTGGCAACACTACAGTACAAGGTAAGTTGTAAAAACTTCCTGCTGTACTTGCTGCCAACCCCGCATTACCTCCAGAAGATGTGAACAAATGGATCTTTTTGTTGAGACTTTGGGCTTCTTCAAGGGATTTTTGAATCAAATGGCCCAAACCCCTTGATTTAAACGATCCAGACGGCTGAGTGAATTCGCATTTAAGGTAAACATCACAGATCTTGGAGAGTTCAGCGGACTTAACCAAAGGGGTTTCCACGTAAGGTAAATTTGTTGGGGTTCTGAATGTCATTAATTGTCTCTTCTAGTTAACTGAGCTATATAAAACAATATGGTAGCATTTACAATAAGTAGCATGGAATCCAAAAATCGAGTCTCCTATACTTGGGGATTAGTCCGAGATTACATGTGCGCATAACCATTGCATGTACATCATCGTATTTTGCTGTTGAATTATTATTAACCACAGGAAGGGATGCTCAATGATCCAGAAATTTCTTATTCTGACTATTATTCTCATTTATTCATCGGTTGTAGTCAACCCTCATGGCTATATTAGCTTGTTGCCACAGCTTACACGTTTATGGGGGCTTTTTCGTCAAATAAACGCCTATATGTTTCCGATATATCAAAATAGATCCCCGATGCATAGCACTTGTTATCAAAGGAATCTGATTGGACGGGTTGCCAATATGATACTCATTTGACCAAAAGCCTGTGATACAATATTTCTTACCGGTTGCAACCGAACCATGGTATGGATAATTAAAGTGCGAAAAAATGGAAAACAAAAAAAACAAGAAAAAAACCGATGAATTATGTTTTCCCACTGGTGTGACACCAATAAAAAATGAAGACACTCACTATACAGATGGAAGAAGAGAGAAAATGCTAAAACTAAAAACAAAAGCAAAAACAAAAACAAAAATAAAATATAATCCTAATACCAAATAATACCAGGTTTAAAAGAAATCAGCATCATCATCAGACTCGCCATCATAGTCATTGTTTTGAGCAATTTTCTTAGACATGTAAGGACCATCCAATTCAAAACCCAATTTTGCATAGTAGTTTCTCACACCAACACCAGAAATGACACTGATCTTTTCAGAACCGTGTTCTTCTCTAGCAATTCTTTCAGCTTCTTCCATCAACAAAGTACCAAACCCTTGATGTTGAAATTTCTTTGGATCTCTGGAATGAACAGGCACCACAGAACCGTAAACGTGTAATTCTCTAATGATAGAAGTTGGTTGAGAAGTGAATTCTTTTCTGAAAGTGTACTTTTTAGACGCTTTTCTCAATCTCAATAAACCAATCAAGATATCCTGTTTAGGATCTTCATAACTTAAAAATGTCTCCCAACCACCATTAGCGTAATAATCTCTTCTAATCAATTCTACTTGATCTGGCTGAACTTTATGATGTACTTCTTGGATCCCAACTTCTCTGGTTCTCACATCTCTACATGTTACACCAAAATCCTTCATTCTTGTCAACGCCAATTCTCTCAAGTTACCATTATCCACACCAGAACTAACCAATGGCATTGGAATATCTCTTTGCACTCTGTAAATTCTTGTCCAAGGAGGAACCAACGCCAAGATTCTTGCCACCAAATCGATCAATGCATTGGCATTATAAGATTTATATTTCCCGCATTTCCACAATTCGTATAATCCTGTACCTCTAATAACTAAAGTTGGGTAGATTTTCAACCCGTCAGTTCTGAAATCCGGGTTTTCAAAATATTCTTTAAATTGCTCCAAGTCTCTTTCCATTCCCACGTTCGGCAAATCAGGCATCATATGACTCACTATCTTATAACCAGCATCCTTAGATACCGCAAAAGTATGACAAACCGCCTTGACAGTATGTCCACGATTTGTATCTCTGGCAACATCTTCATAAACAGACTGAACCCCAATTTCTAATCTGGTACAGCCATACTTTAACATGTCTGACAAATGGGTTTCAGTACAATAATCTGGTCTAGTTTCAATGGTAATACCCACACATTTTGTTAAAGACTGTTGGGAGAACTTGATAGCTTCATCAAGATTTAACCCTGTATAACCGGTCAAGGCATTGTGTAAATTAGCTATGAAATTCTCACGGTAATCGATAGGTAAAGACATGAAAGTACCTCCCATGATAATATATTCCACCTTGTCAATAGAATGACCCAATTGTCTCAATTGTTCCACTCTTCCTCTAGCTTGTTCGTACGGATCATATCTTGCTCTGATGGCTCTCATTGAAGTTGGTTCATACCCAGTGTATGATTGGGTCGAATATTCGAAATCAGAGTCTGGACCACCCGGACAATAAACACAGATGTTACCGGTGTAAGCAATGTGAGGACATCTATGTGGTTTACACATGACAGCCACCACGGCAATCCCCGAGGCAGTTCTCACTGGCTTGGCCTTTAGTTTTGGAATAAGATACTTTTTATACTGATCGGGAATCGATGAAATGATATCGGTTAATCTTGGTTGTTGCTTCAATTTGTATTTCTTGGAATGTCTGATAATCACCCCATTCAAATTGATATCCTTTGAAGACTGTAAAGATCCCACCAATTCCAACGAAATGTCGGCACAGGCACGGATGAACCGTTCCTTTTCTGGAACAGTCTTTCCCTTGGACTTCTGTTTCGCTACCAGAACAGCCATTATTGTTTGTGGGGAAGTTTATTTACTATTGATATCTTTAGTCAAAGAGAGAGTACCATAACAACATATCTCTTTGATTAAAAAATTTTTTTATTTTCTTACGTAATCTCGATGGCCGATTTTTTTCTTTTTTTTTTTTTTTTTAAAAAAATGTTGTGGAGCCCTGGCGGTGGAGTTTCTGACACGGTTTTGGTGAATTTTTTGCTTTCAAACCCCAGGATGATTGAAGGGTTTTACCAGACAACTGGGGCAGTATCCACACAATATATATTCCTGTTAAGGGTCACTTGAAATGTCAATTAACCTAAAGACCCTTCACCTTGTGAGTACTCTTGCTGCTTGGGAAATGTAGCTACAAATAGTTACATAATTGCACGTTTTTTTTAACAACAATCAACTAACAAACAGATAAGGCTTCACCAAAGCATAAGCACAAGTTCGATGCTTCCTCTGTACAAAAAATCCAGCAAATACCAGATCCAGTAACCCAATCTTCCACCAGTACCCATCAGAAGTCATTGTCGAACTCATCGGTGATTGAGGACGAGGGAGAAAAATTCTATTCTCCTTTGGCTAAAAAAGACTCAAACAACTCCTCTACTTATTCGGATTTGGACGCTATCAAACAATTCCTCGTATCCCCTGAGATGATTGCAACCTCGCCAAAAAAGAAAACTATGGATCAGAAATCTTTGGCTCCAGTATTGGTGCAGGGAGTGTCAGATCAAAGTCACCCTATCCAATACCAGCAACAATACTCTCCTTTGATCAAGGATGATGCGCCAATTATTGTAACAAAGCCAGATGGCAAGAAATTACAAAAATTGGTACAAGGCAGCGACAATCTTGAGCAAAGAAAAAATGCAGCTGTTGAAGAAGCAGAAGCAGAAGAAGAAGAAGAAGAAGAAGAAGAAGAAGAAGAAGAAGAAGAAGGAAGTGACAATGCCACAATAAAATCCGCTAATTCCAGTTCTTCAAATATCTCAAACAAAACAGAAAAGGCTTTGAAATACGAAGAAATGAAATTATCAGAATTGAAGAAAACCGCCGCTGAGTTATATGAACATAAATATGAGGCGGTTCCAGTGGAGGATTATATGATGGTGTTGTGTAACCCAAATAATCCCGAGGCTAAAAAGTTGAGATCTTTCTATTTAAAGAAATTCAACTGGACAATCTCTTTGTTGGATTCTTTGAGAATTCTTTGTAACAAGTTATATTTCAGAGGCGAATCTCAAAACATCAGCAGAATCATTGAATCGTTTTCAATAGTTTGGACCCAAAAATTCCCTAAAAACATTTTCGGAAACCAGTATGCCATTTATTTGATTGCCTATTCTTTGATTTTGTTGAACTCTGACTTACACTCTCCTGAGCTTTCTAAACATATTTCCAAGGAAACTTTTGTGAAAAATACATTGAATGCCCTTAAAGTTGAAAAATTATACCCAAAAGATTCCATTAGTGCCTTGAACTGTCTCAGAAACTATTATGAAAGTATTGAGATAAACGAATTAAAATTGTTGAATAATAACCTGACGGCTGGCAATGGGGGTTATCAATCTAATGGGAATTACAATCACAACAACAATAGTTTTGTGAACTTACGAAAGACGTCATTCAATGTTAGTAGATCATCTACTAGAGCCAGCAATGCAGTTTCTAATAAGTTATACCATCATGACAATGGCACAAACCACACTGGTATTGGGAAAGGTGACTTCTTGGAGGCCCCTCCGAATGCTGGTAGCATTCTTCCAAAAGAACAAGAACCAGTTGGGTTTTTACATGCTTTACAAAGAAATGCATCACACTTGAACCATAAAACTGATAGTAAATTAGATTTGAGAAAGCATAAATCCAGTGTCTCTATTGCGTCTGCTGTTAGTGCTAACACTATGAAAACTATGGAAACCTCAAACACTGTCGGCACTTACAATTCTATTAATACCTCGAACAAGTCCAGCTTTAAACATAGCGGATCTTCTAACACTGCTCTAATCAACGCCAACAATTCTATCAGCAATTCTAATTCTTTTGTTTCTTCTAGTTTAGAGGCCTCTGACGTGATTATTGAGGAAGATGAAGCTGATATGGATTTGGAATTGACTGGTCCTCCTTGGGCTAAAGAAGGGTTGTTGAAAATTAAGAAGTTTGAGAAGAACAAGAATTTCTTTGGTTTGAATTCTTCTAAATCCAATAATGTGTCTGGCTCACAAAGCTCCTCGCAGTTCAGTAGAAGTTTCTTCAATGGAAACAGCAACAGTGATGGTTTGAATAATCATTTATCTAGGACTTCTACGAATACCAGTGGATTTGTTAAGCATCATAAGAACGGCTACAATTCTTCATCTTCATCATCCAACAAAGCGCAATGGAAATTGAACTTTACCGTTGTTTCGAGAGGTGAATTGAAATTGTTCTCCTTTGGTAACAAACCATCTTCTTCTTCATCATCATCGACATTATCGAATAGCCAATTTAGTTCGCCAATGATGGATGGTAATTCGGGTAAATTACGCAAGAAGTTCTCCAAACTAAGATTAGATAAAAATAATAATGAGCCAGTAGTGATTGGTGCTGGGAACTCCCTCCCTATTGGCGGGGGCATTGGTGATGGTAACTGGATGAGAAATGCTCTCACGGCCGGCTCTTTTAGTATGATTTCCACTTATTCGAAAATTATTCCCGACGATTCGATAAATAACAAGTCGTTGAAATCAAGAGAATTGGAAACTTTCTGGGCATTGAAGTTGCCAAGCAATTATGATTTTGACGCTGATAATAGACAATTAATGTCGAAGGTTAAAAAGGAAACTGGAGCGTATATTAATAATGATAACATTTTAATTTTCAGTGCTGGTACAAGAGAAATTGCCGAAGAGTATGTGTTCACTTGCAATTACTGGGCTGCTAGATTGACCGCCATTCCAACTCAAAATGAATCGATTAGTAACAAACAGTATGGTTGGAACAATTCGTTCCTCACTTCCACTAATGCCACGAACATAATTAATACCAAAATTCACCTGTGGAATCCTCTCGTGCCTTCAGTGGTGGCTTCAACCCTTTCTATTAAGAAGCAGTTGATTGAATTGTTCAAATATGTGCAGATTTTAGAAAACTTGATTTCCGATCATTTGAAGTTGAAAGATCAGATTGATGAATTTATTCACAAGAATGCGTCAGAGAATCACAAATATTTGGTGCAATTGAATAAAGTGTTCAATTCCATCATGACCAATTGGAAAAATAAGTACAGTTATTTGGTTAATGAGCATAACCAATTCAAAGACTATGTGTTGACTTTAAAAGAGGCGATTGATTTAAAACAGAAGAAGTTGAGTGGTGAAACTAGTGATGATGAGTGATGTGATTCGACTAGTAATTTTGAGTGGTTTCTCTTTAGTTTTTCTCTTCAAAAATCTCGTTGTTTACTTATAATCTTTTTTCTTTTTTTGGCCTTGTATGGTCAAGAACAATATTTTTTTTTTTTCTTTGCCTTTTTTTTTTTTTACTTATATTTGTTTTCTTTATTTGTATTTTTTCCTCTTCTATTTGCTTAGTCTTTTGCTGTGCTCTTTGTTATTTCTGGTTATTTACGTTTCGTTTATTGCTTATCCTGCTTGTTATTGTTTGTATCTTCTTCGTTTATTTATTTTACAAGTTTTTTTTTTTTTTCAGCTCAATTTGCACACTGTTTTCTAGCCCATACTTTTTTTTCATACAACATTTTCTGATTTAGACTGTTTTCTTACTTATACCATTTGCGATATTGTTACCATTCTTTTATTCTTGTTTTTTCTCACCCTTTTTTTTTAATTGCTTTAGTCTTCCTGATTTATAATTTTTACAAATAATCAAAGCCAGGTACCCTTTTAGCTTACAAATATACTAATGTAAACAATTGGAACAAAATGCTATTTACATAAACGTTCTATAAAAATGGATTTATATGTACACCCTTTTTGTTTTTTCCTTATTATATACCCAAATCCATAGATTCTTTCAAAGCATTATCATTCACTCTGAAAATGTCACCTTGAATCTTCATCACTGTACCTGAATTCTTTGGTTGAACAACGTCAATAGATTCATCCACACTGCTTTCGAATGTAGATCCACATAATTTCAACTTGTTGGTATTCAAGTCAACGACAAACGCCAAGTGGTTTTCTATTGTGTCATCGCTGGTGGAGACTTCTTGTGTTTTTTTATTTAACTTGATCAATCTTTGAATGGAATTGAATTTGTAAATGATCAACACTTTGTCTAATGGTTGACCTGGCAAAGCGTATGGTAAGAACACTTCCAATTTAGGAGGGTTGAGCAATTTGACCAATTTCCAATCGAATTCAAAACTCCCTGGCAAAGTTTCTTGTCTTTTAAGAAGTGGCACTCTACTCCAGATGGTCAAAGTATCCTTTACCGATTCTATTTTTCTTTTAGCGAATGCCTTGTTAACCTTGACGAAAATATCGACCGCCTCATTTTTCCATAGTAAAAACTCTGGCTTGAAACCTCCGGAAAATCTTGCAAACCCAATTTGTGCAGTATTACGCCCAAAGTTGTATACTCTTCTAGCCACGAGTCTCACCCATCCCATAGGGCTTTGTAAAATGCTTGGGTAACTGGCATAAGATGGTGGGATGTAGAATCTCACTGGGAGCCCAACTTGGTCCGAAGGAACGCCTCTTGGGGCTTTCTGGGAAGCGAATCTTTTTGAAAGAACAATGTGAGGTTGGCAAAGGGCACGTACCCCTATTCTATTTCTGATGACCGGAGCGAGCATGTCTTTAATACTTGGTGGTATTTACACTGTTTTTTGATGGTTCTTGGAGATTCACCAATTTTTCATACGGAGAAATTTTATTGATCCCTCTGGTGTTTGTGCCGGGGCACATAACAAAAGGGTGGAAACAGGATTAACGACCCCACGAAATTCGTCGTTCAGTTGACATATATTAGCGGAGGATAATATGTTAGTTAGCAGCGTGAGGTGGTAGATACAGTATGATTCTATTCATCAAGCTTCTTTTTTTTTTTTTTTTTTGTAATTTCTTGTTGGAGTTGTCGGCAGATTTCCAATATATATAAGGATCATCTATATGGTCTGAAAGGATGGAAAATATACAGTGCAGTAATATATTTCCAAGTAGAAAAAGAAAGGTAAATAGACACTAAAGAGCTTTTTTCTTAATTCTTTATTTCTCAATAGGAGATTGAATGCGGGGATTGCTGCCATTAAGATATTTGACACTTCAGCAAGGTTTATTTGTGCTGAACTGTCATACACACCCGCCAGGTCCATGAGGCTAGTCAACGAAACACATTCTGTAAGACCCCCTCTTACTCAACAACATGGAAATGAATTATCTTTTGCTAAAACCACCACAGTGTATACCAATTGAAGGTGGTGGTGAGGGTCCAACTGGCGAGCAATAATTTTCATTTTTCATTTTCCAGCCCCAGTTCCCCATGATACGACATGATCGATAAAACTAGTATTATTTTTGGTGTGGCCCACCCACCCTAGAAATGGATAGCCCAAAGAAGTAAATGGCCACTGTCCAACCTTCCTGCCCCTCATATCGATAGGAATTTCGCCGAAACCACAGTAGTCGACCCATTTCGCCTAGCCCTTCACTTAGAGGTCAGGTTGGTGAGCCCGGTGGACCAGCACCGTGGTTGCATCTCCCCTAAAAGCAGTACCGCGCGACGGTGATGGTATATAAAGAGTGGTGGGGTCCCCAACAATTGCTCGATTCGATTAACCGAGTAATCATTTAGCAACGGTTTTTTTTTTGTCAATATAACTCGCTTAGTACTTTTAACATACCAGTACCAATAACACACAATGTCCGAACCTTCTTTCAACATCTCTTCCAAGACCGCCCTTGAATACGAACAGCAATACTCTGCTCACAACTACTCGCCGCTCCCAGTGGTGTTCCATACAGCTGAAGGCGCTCACGTTTGGGACCCTGAAGGAAAAGAATACTTGGATTTCTTATCGGCCTATTCTGCTGTTAACCAAGGTCATTGCCATCCAAAGATCATTGCCGCTTTGGTTGATCAAGCCCAGAAATTAACCTTGTCATCAAGAGCTTTCTCTAATGATGTGTTTGGGGTGTTTGCAAAGTACATTACTGAGTATTTTGGTTACGAAATGGTGTTGCCAATGAACACTGGTGCTGAAGCCGTGGAATCTGCTTTGAAATTGGCCAGAAGATGGGGGTACGTCAAAAAGGGCATCAAGCCAGATGAAGCAATCATTTTAGCCGCTGAAAATAACTTCCATGGTAGAACTTTGGGGATCATCTCCATGTCTACTGACCCTGATGCCACTAACAACTTTGGCCCATTCTTAAAAAACACTGGTCCAGTTATTCCAGGTACCGATAACCAAATCATCAGATACGGACACATTGAAGATATTGAATTGGCGGTCAAGAACGCTGGTGACAAAATTGCCGCCATCTTGCTTGAACCAATCCAAGGGGAAGCTGGTATTGTCAGTCCTCCAGAAGGTTACTTCTCTGCCGTGCAAAAGCTTTGTAAAGAACACAACATTCTTCTTATCTGTGATGAAATTCAAACCGGTATTGCTCGTACTGGTAAGATGTTGTGTTACGAACACTACGATGGGGTCAAACCAGACGTTATCTTGTTGGGTAAAGCGATTTCTGGTGGGGTTATGCCAGTTTCTGCTGTTTTGTCTTCTAGAGAAATCATGTTGACTTTGGAACCTGGCTCGCATGGTTCTACTTACGGTGGTAACCCATTGGCCTGTAGAGTCTCGATTGCTGCTTTGCAAGTAGTTAAAGATGAAAAGTTGGTGGAACAAGCCCAAGAGAAAGGTGACTTCCTCAAAGAAGAATTGAAGAAATTACAGAAAGACTCCAACGGTATCATTTCCGAAGTTAGAGGTAGAGGGTTGTTGGCTGCTGTGGTTATTGATGAATCTAAGGCCAATGGTAGATCCGCCTGGGATTTGTGTTTGTTGATGAAGGATGAAGGTGTTTTGGCTAAGCCAACTCACGATCATATCATCAGATTGGCACCAGCATTGAACATTTCTAAAGAAGATTTGCTCAAGGGTATCGATGCTATTAGAAAATCTTTGGTTAAGTTGCCAACTGTTGAAAAGGCTGCCCATCACTAGATGTGTTAAAGTTGTGGATAATATTGTATAGTAATTACCTCTTAGTTATCCATAATAGCATATAAGGGGGAAAAATTCATAGAAAATGTATTAGCTAAATTTCTAAAGAGTTGTAGAACACAGAAATTGTAATTTTTTCTTTCCTCACCGTTTGTGTGCAAACTGTTGCCAAACGCGTGGCAATCAGTTTACCATGTAAAATGAGTGGGTCTGTTATCTTCGTACGGCTTATCAAATTCTTGCCTCTGTAATGAAAAATCACTTAAAACAAGGACATGAGGAAGAAAGGATTGTCTATGCCTGATGGATTGACTATATCTATAATCCTATCCAGTATAATTATCGGTAGATATCTAACAGATAGTAATAGTCCTGCTCCTGGTTATCCATCCCACCGTATGTTATCGCTTTTTCTGAAAAATACGGTCCCGAGTCAATTTTTCAACAGCTTTTTTGACTCGGGACCGCTTTTTTTTTTTTTTTATCTCATCTCGCACTGCTTCAATGACTCTCCCCAACATTGATTCAAATAGGAAAAAAAATTTCAGTTTCTGTTTTGTCTTTCTTTTCTTCTTCCTCTTCCTCTTCTTCTTCTTCTTGGAACATATTCACTCCATTCCATTATTCCAATATGTTGAGGTCTCTGAGATTGATCACCAGATCTGCTTCCCGTCTGTCCAGACATTTGTTATCTATCTCCAGAGTGTCGATCCCATCGATAAGATTGAATTCTACCGTCGCTGATGTTTCCTCCAACAAATACGCGAAGGTTTACAACTCCTCCCCGGTGGTCAGTGATTTAAAGCCTTTGGACTCGTTCCAACGTCGTCATTTGGGCCCAAACGAGACCGAAGTCGCTCACCAATTGAAGACCTTGGGTTACAAAGATTTGGACGAATTTGTCAAAGCCGTGGTTCCTGCTAACATCTTGGTAAAAAGACCTTTGAAAATCGAACCTCAAAACGGTTTCAGTGAATCCCAATTGTTGGCTCACTTGAAAAGTATTGGTGCTAAAAATAATGTCAACATCAAGACCTTCATTGGGAAAGGTTACTACGGGACCATCGTTCCTCCAGTGATCCAAAGAAATTTATTCGAGGCCCCAGAATGGTATACTTCTTACACCCCATACCAGCCGGAAATCTCCCAAGGTAGATTGGAATCGTTGTTGAATTACCAAACCGTCGTTGCCGACTTGACAGGTTTGCCGGTCGCTAATGCATCATTGTTGGATGAAGGGACCGCCGCTGCAGAAGCGATGATCTTGTCGTACAACTTCTGCAAAAAAAAGAAGCCGGTGTACGTTGTCGACGCCAATGTTCATCCACAAACTATGGCTGTGGTCCAATCCAGAGCTAACACCCTCGGGGTTGAATTAAAGGTGTTGGACTTGACCTCTGGTGGTGATGCCGGTTTCGAAGAACTTCAAAGCATCTCAAAATCAGTTTGCGGGGTGTTGGCACAATATCCAGCCTCTAACGGTACAATTTATAAGAAATTCCAAAAGATCAGTGATTTGGTCCATGCTAATAAAGGTTTGTTTGCTGTCGCTACCGATTTGTTGGCGTTGACTTTGATCAAGCCGCCAAGCTCATTTGGTGCTGATATTGCTTTGGGTTCGTCTCAAAGATTCGGGGTTCCATTAGGTTACGGTGGTCCTCATGCCGGGTTCTTATCTGTTGTTAATGAATTGAACAGAAAAATCCCTGGTAGAATTGTCGGTGTTTCTAAGGATAGATTAGGCAATCGTGCCTTGAGATTGGCTTTGCAAACCAGAGAACAACATATCAAGAGAGAAAAGGCTACTTCTAACATTTGTACCGCCCAAGCTCTTTTGGCAAACATGGCATCTAATTACGCTGTTTACCATGGTCCAGATGGGTTGAAGAAAATTGCCCAAAGAGTTCATATCTACACCAGTATTTTGGCCAGTTACGTGCAAGGCTCCCATGAAATTGCTAGTGAAAATTTCTTCGATACCTTGACTGTCAAATTGAATGGTGTTACTGCTAAAAATTTCTTACAAACTGCTCTTGCTGATTATGGTATCAATTTATACAAGGTTGATGAAACCACTGTTTCTTTATCGCTAGACGAAACTATTGTTGAATCTGATTTGATCAAATTGATCAAATTATTCAGTGGTAAAGCTGTCGACAACGCAACTTTGCAAAAAGATTTTGAATCAGTTTCCATTTCCCTTGATGCAGAAATTATTAGAGATCAAGCCGAACATCCATACTTGACCAATCCTGTATTCAACAAGTATCACTCTGAAACTTCTATGATGAGATACTTACACAGCTTGCAAGCCAAGGACTTATCATTGGCCGACTCCATGATCACTTTGGGCTCATGTACCATGAAGTTAAACTCTGCTGTGGAAATGATTCCTGTCTCCTGGCCAGAATTCTCATCCTTACATCCATTTGTTCCAAAAGACCAAGCTAAAGGTTATGAAGAACTAATTGTTGAATTGGAAAAAGATTTGGCTGACATTACCGGGTTCGATGGTACCACATTGATGCCAAACTCTGGTGCTCAAGGTGAATACACTGGGTTAACCGTTATCAAATCCTATTTGGACAGTATTGGAGAAACCGACAGAAACATCTGTTTGATTCCAGTCAGTGCTCACGGTACCAATCCAGCTTCTGCTACCATGGCTGGCCTTAAAGTTGTGGCTGTCAAATGTAACGATGATGGGTCTTTGAACTTGCCAGACTTGGAAGCCAAGGCTAAGAAACATGCTAAGAACTTGGCCTGTGTCATGATCACTTACCCATCCACTTATGGGTTGTTTGAACCGGGTGTGAGAGATGCTATTGACATTGTCCATGCTAACGGTGGTCAAGTGTACCTTGATGGTGCCAACATGAATGCACAAGTAGGCTTGACCTCTCCTGGCGATTTGGGTGCCGATGTGTGTCACTTGAACTTGCACAAGACTTTTGCCATTCCTCACGGTGGTGGTGGTCCAGGTGTTGGTCCAATTTGTGTCAAGAGTCACTTGATGAAATTCTTGCCAGGCCATCCATTGATTGAAACCACTAACACTAATACCGAAACTGCCATTGAGCCAGTCAACAGTGCTCCATTTGGCTCGGCTTCTATTTTGCCAATTTCTTATGCTTACATCAAGATGATGGGTGCCACTGGTTTACCTTACTCTTCTGTCATTGCCATGTTGAATGCCAACTACATGATGAAACGTCTTGAACCATACTACGAGATCATGTTCATTGGTAAATCTGGTCTTAAGCATTGTGCCCACGAATTCATCATTGATTTGAGAAAATTGAAGGCCGAAGCAGGCGTTGAAGCCATTGACGTTGCCAAAAGATTGCAAGATTATGGGTTCCACGCCCCAACCATGTCTTTCCCAGTGGCCAACACTTTGATGATTGAGCCAACTGAATCGGAAAACTTGGACGAACTTAATAGATTTGTGGACTCCTTGATCTCCATCAGAAAGGAAATTGACGCTAAAATGAATGGTGACTCCACTGGTAATGTTTTACTCAATGCTCCACATAGTCTTGATGACTTGTTGAGTTCTAAAGATTGGGAATCAAGAGGCTACTCTAGAGAACTTGCTGGTTTCCCATTGAACCACTTGAAGAACGCCAAATCATGGCCATCAGTTTGCAGAGTCAATGACACTTATGGTGATATGCATTTGTTGTGCACTTGCCCAAGTGTTGAGGAGGTTGCTGCTGAAAGTGATTAATTCTTTTTTGTTTACGGGGGTGTTTGTCATTAGATTGACGACCAATTTTTATTCCTTTGCTTCTATTCGTTGTGTAAATTCATATTACTCTTATTTTTTAATTTAATTTTATATAGAAAACGTATTTAATATTATGGTATTGCTGAAAGATCTGGGGTTGAAATTGTAAATTCTATGGAGAGAGAGAAGGAGAGTATATCTGGTGTTGGGATGTTTGTACACCCACACATCGCCACAGAGTAGGAAAAAAAAAAAATTTCGTAAACACCACCATAAAGAAAAATAACTGAAAGATATTTCAAAGGGTCAGAGTTGGTATCAATTCTATTCAATTCGTTAGTCATCCAGCTTCAATTTCATATAGTACCATAACAATGAATTTTGGAACTCAGACACCTACAGTCGTTGTCCTTAGAGAAGGTACCGATAGCTCTCAAGGTAGAGGACAAATCATATCCAATATTAATGCTTGCGTCGCCATCCAACAAACTTTGAGTGCCACTTTAGGTCCACTCGGCTCTGATATCTTGATTGTGGGGTCCGATGGCAAGACCACTATCTCCAATGACGGTGCCACTATTTTGAAACTATTAGATATTGTTCATCCTGCAGCAAAGATTCTTGTTGATATTTCCAGGTCTCAAGATGCCGAAGTTGGTGATGGGACCACGTCCGTCACCATTTTGGCGGGGGAATTTTTGAAAGAAAGTAAGAATTTCATTGAAGATGGTATCAGCTCGCATGTCATCACCAAGGGTTATAGAAAAGCTTTGAGTTTGGTTATCAAGAGGATTAATGAGCTCGCGGTGAAGGTTGAAAGACCAGCTGATTTGACCTTGACCAGCAATGACGAAGCCTCGATTAAATTCAAAGAATTATTGGAAAACTGTGCGAAAACCGCAATGTCTTCTAAATTGATCACCCAAAACTCCAAATTCTTCACAGAAATTGTCGTGAAATCGGTGCTATCTTTGGATCAAAATGATTTGGACGAGAACTTGATTGGTATCAAGAAGATTCCTGGGGGTTCAATCACCGACACCTTATTCATTGATGGTGTTGCTTTCAAGAAAACTTTTTCATACGCCGGTTTCGAACAACAGCCAAAGAAATTCACTAATCCAAAGATTGTATGCCTAAACGTCGAGTTGGAATTGAAGGCAGAAAAGGATAATGCCGAAGTTAGAGTTGACAAAGTCAAGAATTATCAAGAAATTGTAGATGCCGAATGGGAAATCATTTTCAACAAATTGAAGGCCATCGAAGCTACTGGTGCCAACATCATTTTGTCAAAGCTCCCAATCGGGGATTTGGCCACACAATTTTTCGCCGATAGAAACTTGTTTTGTGCCGGTAGAGTGTCATCCGAAGATATGAATAGAACTTTGAAAGCAGTTGGAGGGTCGATTCAATCCACTACCACCGATATCAGACCAGAACATTTGGGTACCTGTGAGCTGTTCGAAGAAGTGCAAATTGGTGGGGAACGTTATAATTTATTCAAAGGTTGTCCAGAAGCCAAGACATGTACTTTGATATTGAGAGGTGGTGCCGAGCAAATCATTGAGGAAGTTGAAAGATCCTTGCACGATGCGATAATGATTGTGAAAAGAACCATCAAGAACAACGTTATTGTCGCTGGTGGTGGGGCCATCGAAATGGAATTATCGAAATATTTGCGTGAGTACTCCAAGACCATTGCCGGTAAGCAGCAATTGATCATTGGTGCATTTGCTAAAGCTTTGGAAGTTATTCCAAGACAATTGTGTGATAATGCCGGTTTTGATGCCACAGACTTATTGAACAAGTTGAGAAAAGCCCACGCCAAGGGGGAAACCTGGTTTGGTATCGACTTTGAAAGCGAATCTATCGGGAATAACTTGGAAGCTTTTGTCTGGGAACCATCCTTAGTAAAGATCAATGCCTTGAGCAGTGCGGTGGAAGCGGCAAACTTGGTGTTGTCAGTTGACGAAACGATTTCCAGTAAAGAAAGGGCTGAACCTAACGCCAATATGGCGCAACAAATGATGGCCAACCGTGGTAGAGGTGTGCCTATGTGAAGGTAGGTGGAGAAGATATATATATATATATATATGTGTGTATTTTGATACCATAATATAGGTTTTTTATACTATTAGCTAGGTTTTTTTATACTATTAGCTTGATTGTTACAGATGAAGCTTTGATGTATGTCGGGACACATTTTCTATCAGGTGACCCATCACAGGGTGTCGGGACATCCTAATCCGGAAGCAGGGGGCGTGTTTCATCTTCTGCAAAGTGACGCGGGTCGCCGTTTCAGCAGCGAAGCTTAAGCCGCCAAAAAAAAAAAATGCACGTGATCGAGAAATTTCGGTTCCTCTTTGATATTATCGCACACACAAAAGGACAACCCCCCTCGAGCTAAGGTTTGTTATCCAACTCATCAATATTATTTCTAGTAGAAAGATGGCCGCCGAGAAATCGAATCTGAAGCAACTCTCCCAAAAGCAGAAACAAAAGCACCGGCCAGCTGCCCTTTCTCTCAAGAAGAAAGCGAAAATGCAAGACATGGCAGTCGACATCTTGAGTCCTGGGCTCAACCCTTCTCAATTAAATAATGAACAGATATCAACAATCCAGCTGGCACAATCCATTCAACAACAGCAGAAACATCTCATTGCCGCAAAGAACAAGCTTCAAAAAGATGGGACTGCTAACGTCACTTTGATCCCGCAATCAATACCAAAGAAAAGAGGGCTTGAAGTGTCAACTCCGACAATCATTATTGAACAAGTATCTGATCCTCAAACAAACGACATAAACTCCGGAACTCTCTCGCCGTTACCGTCTGCTAAGAAATTCAAAAGAAGTAAAGCCCCTCCTCCTTTGAAAATATCACAAGATGCAAAGACCATTGGCCCATCTATTCAAACAGCTCCTATCAGAAATGGCTCGCAATTCCAATATGGCAGTAAAGTTGATTTTATCAATAACTCAAGGGTAATAAATCCGGCATTAGCCAATAGAAGACCAATGGCTTCTCCTTTCAATATGAGATTCCCAGCTCAGATGCAACAACAACAACAACCACAAGTTGTCAATTTTCAACAGCAAACTGTCACAGGAGCGACAGCGGCCCTTCAATCGCCTTTGGCCTCAGCTTATTTTGCCCCAAGATATTATCCTGTCATTCCTAGTGGATCTGTTGCCACCCCGGTTGCCTTGACTCCAAACCCTTATAATAACCCCTATTATAGATCGTTATTTATGAAGGGTGCCAAGTTGACCACTCCTAGAAACCCAAACTTTGGGGCGATCCCAATGGTTCCATGTGCTCCAATTCCCGCAGTTCATGTACAAACCCCAACTAGTGGTATCAATGGCACCACCACCCCAATAACTCCTTTGAATCATGGCTTCCAAAAACGTCCAATAACCACAGCCTCCCAAAATTATGTTATCAACGGCAATGAATCGTTTTCTTTATCAGAATTGAATAAAAAAATCGCCAAAAAGGGAAGCTCTGCGAAAGACCAATCGGATGACATTACTACTTCGTCCTCGTCCTCGTCTCTCAACAAAAAGAACCTTAGTATAACTAAGCCGGTGAACTCCACTTCCCTTAGAAAAACTTTGCAGTCACCTTTGAATTCCAACATTGTTAAACAAACCATTTCCACTAATAAGAGAAAATCTTCTGGAGGTCCAAAGACCCCGATCAATATGCAAAAATCTAATACCCCTCATGTCACCGACGTGTTTCCTGGAGAAATGACAAAATTTGCCCCAGTCTCCAATCAACCAATATCTGCTCGGGAAGAACATTTTGATTTTGGAATGTATAAGGAAGAACCGATTTCAAGACCAGAAGTAAAGGAATCTAAGTCAAGGAACGACAAAATAAGCGTACATGATTCAATTACAGAAGAAGATGAGGAAGATGTGGAAAGTAGAGCCATCGAAGAAGACTCTAGGATCAATATTGAAGCAGAAGAAGAACATAAGTTATTGATTACCGCTAATGGTGGTGATTTCGAAGATTACAAGATTGACTTGCGATTCAAGACAGATTTTGCCAATAAGTTGACCAAATTCAAATTTAAACAGAGTGAAACTATTCGTCCTAAAGTTAACAAGAACGGAGGATCAGGAAGCGAGGAAAAGAAAGAATTCTTGAAAGCTTGTGAGGAAATTTGGGACCAATTGATGGTGGAGAAGCAGAATAAAGCTTAGAATTCTTGCTAATTTTTTTTCTCTGTTGCAAATAAATAATATCCGCTACTTGCATTTTCTACTTTTTCTTTTAGCATTACTGAAGGTTTAAAATTTCAATCATCACAGCGTTTGCTTTATGGTTTTTACATGGTTTATCTTTTCTATATGGTTTACCTTGTCCCTACAAGTTTACGAGGTTCATTATTCATTATTGTTGTCACCCATACTTTTTTTAGATTCTTTTTTTTTTTTGTTGTTTGTTTCTTTCCCTTCTTCCTTTTGTTGTAATTGTTTATTCAAGTTAAATTATCATATTTGATCTTCGTGTGTTTTTTTTTTTTTTTTTTTTTTTTTTTTTTTTTTTTTTTTTTTATTTTTTCGTTATGTTCTAGTTTCACCTCAACCTTTTCCCTTCTTTCTTCACCTTATCTCAAACATTTTGTGTCTGTATAGTGAGTTTTGTCTCTCTTTTGTTTTTAATTTTTCTTTTTCTTTTTTTTTTTCTTTTCATTGCTTTTTCATGTCATCGTTTTAGGATTAATGAATGGATACACACTGTTCTCTGTTAGTTCAGGTTTTGTATGTGAACGCACTGCCCGTCACCATCTGAAATGTTTCCTCGAACTATAAAATTATCACAAATGATATTTTACTATACAAAGCCAATGGCAGTCGTATCAGCCAATATTCAACAGACATTCCAGGATACTTTTTTTTTTTCGCTTGTCAGTTAGTTTACTACTTATTTGGCCTCTTTTGTGTAGGGATTCAGATGTCTCCCTTTTTTTTTCCTGCTGCACAAGAAATAGTTGCGATTTGTCAAAAAAAAAAGTTGCCGTGCTCTGGAATTCCACCTTGCTGCAAGATACACCTCATCTACTTGATTAGATCCATCACTCTCCCATTACTTGAAACATTAACATCTCTTCAGTTGAGATATATATTCTGTTAATAAATAACGGAGGTTGGTTCTGTTTTTTTCCCTTGTTATTGCCAGTTTGCATCCCCCACACCCTCCCCTTATGGAAACGTTTTATCATCAATTTTAGATTACAATGAAACCAATAACGTTGCGAAAAAGAAGCAAGAGCACCAGCTCTAACGCAAATGATGGTAATAATGAAACGGCATCAAAGAGCCCATTGGCAAATGCTCCGGAGATCCATCCAGTTAGATCAAAGAAATCCCACCTTCGCCCCACGGAGTTGCTATCGCCTCACAGACATTCTAGGCTCTTTGATAGTGATGAAGCCTCTAATGACAATGCCGAGGATGAGGAGGTTAGTTTAGGTTTGAATGACAGCACCCTTGATGCTGATTCTCTAGCAGCCCCTCAGTCTGAAGATCCTGATGCTTCTTCTGATAGCGGCAAACATGATAAAGGGTTGCTTTCTGGTTTTTTATCGATAGCACAAAACGTTGGTAACCAATTAACATCAATAACTTCGACCACAGATGCTCATAAAGATGAGGTCATCCCTGCTGCTATTGATTCCAAAAAAATTGAGTCGCAAGAGGCCATAGCAACTACTAGCCACGGCTCACAATTGAGCGAAAACCTATCATCCATCAAGGATATAAAGTTCAAGGCTGTCAAAGCAGATTCCCCAGTGAACACTTTGGGCAATGGGAACTTATCTCTCAATGACTTTAGCCGTCTGCCTGGACATGGTAACCAGCAGAAACACCTGCCAATTGCATTGAATATTCCCATTCCTGGGTCAATTGATGCTAATATTGCCATGCCCAGAGTTGATGCGGTCGACAACGATGGCAATAGTTCCAGAGTTGCTAGCGGGACCAATAAATTCATTCAAAATTTAAGTGTTGCCGTTAACGTTGCTGGGGGGCTAGGACTGGCTAATTTGTTGGATTCTCAAGCTACATTACAGGAAAAACTTCAAAAAGTTGAACAACAACAGAAAGCGGGGGTGAAATTCTCAATGTCAGATAGAACGATTCCTAATGACGCCATCATGACCCCGAATAGGTTAGACTACTCCAATGCGAATATACTATCCACGGCCCCAACTGACGCCTCATCATTGTTACTGTCCGCCAAAAACTCCCCTGTTAACAAAAGATTCAGCCAAGGTGCCATTGATTTTCCCCTAAGAAGTATTTCACCAAAAAGGTTTTCATCGCTTCGTGAAGTTCCAAAGAGCAATAGGAGCGTCGATGATATCAAAAGGGGTAAAAGTTTCACATTCCCAAAGAAACTGAGCTATTTCGAGGAAAGTTTGTCGAATCCGAACCTCAGTGTTGCGGGGGGAAGATCAAGGTCAAGCTCCAGAACTAGTAGCTTGGGTGGAAACTTATCATCAAAAACTAGTAACAACTTAGTAGTGCCATCAACCATCAATGGCAAGCGCTCAGAATTGAGTTTTGCTTCGGAAAGAAAGCAACGAGAATTCCATTCCACCTTCAAAAGAATCCCACAAACTGAGAATTTATACGTTGACTACGTTTGTGCATTGTCAAAAGACATCTTATTACAAGGGAAAATGTATGTTTCAGAGAATTATATTTCCTTTAATTCCAATATTTTGGGCTGGGTCACCAATATATCTGTGCCATTAGAAGAAATTGTGCAAATAGAGAAAAGAACCACTGCAGGATTTATTCCAAATGCATTATCTATCCAAACATTACATCAACGGTATTTCTTCACTAGTTTTATTTCCAGAGATAACACTTTTGATTTCATTACAATGTTGTGGAACCATGTTGTCAGAGGTGCGAATTTCAGCTCATCGGGGAGCATCAATGAGGATGATTCCGAAGAATATTCTGATTCTGATGAAACAGAAAATGATAGTAGTAGTTCTGGCTATGATAGTGATAGTGGGTTGCAAGACAGTGACTTGGATGAGCTTAGTGATATGGATGATATGACCAGCAGCATGGACGAAAGCGAAGAAGAGCCTAAGGCAGTGGATACTAATGATAATAATGCCGTAGTTACCACAAATAATAACAACGCCAATGAAAGTCTGGGCTTGCCCTTAAAATTGAGCAGAATAAGAGGCAAGTCCTTCAGCAGAAAAGAAGATAAAAAGAGCAAAGATAAGAATATTTCAAATACAAAGGTGAATGACAATAATAACGGCAGTAATGAAGAGACCCTGAATGTCAAAGCACCTAGTAGTGGTGGTGGTGGTGGTGATGATGATGAACTTGGTACATTACCAATTCTTGGTGCCACAAAACATGCACCAACTACTTCTCCGTGGGTGAAAAAGCCCAATGAAACGGAAATCCAATCTGTGGTGTTTCCTGCTCCTCCAGGAACAATTTTCTCGCTATTATTTGGCGAGAATGATAATACTTTTGCCACTTCCTTGATTCAAAAACAAAAGAATATCGATATCGGGGAAATATCGCCGTATTCAAAAAATCCAGAGTCCGGGTTAAAAGAGCGGAAATACAGTTATACAAAACCCCTTAGTGCTCCAGTGGGCCCAAAACAAACTAGATGTAACATAACAGAAACTATTGAAAAATTGGATGTTGATAACGAAGGTCAGATCCAAGTATTACAAGTCACGCATTCTCCTGATGTGCCATCAGGAAATTCCTTTTTAGTCAACACTAGATTTTACATGACCTGGGCTAAAAACAATGGCACGTTGGTGCAAATCATTACATTTATCGAATGGTCTGGGAAAAGTTGGATCAAGGGGGCCATTGAAAGCGGGACTATCAGCGGTCAAAAGGAATCCATTGAAATCCTTGTGAATAGCATTAACGAGGAATTGGCCTCCAGAATGACCTCAGGCAAATCAAGAAAAAAATCAAAAACCAAAACCAAATCTCGGAAACCAAAACCATCTTCTAAAGTCAAAACCCCAATATCCACTCCAACCAAAGAACTTGCTGCTAATGAAGGCATTTTCTCTAACATTTATGGTGTTATTGATCTGATTCTTGATCTGATTCCTATCCCATTAATTCCAAAAGATTTCAAAACTCCTATTGTGCTATTCTTGTTGTTTCTTTTCCTTCTTCCAACGATTTTCAGAGGACTCTTCGGATCAAGAGCTTCATATGGTGATAGAGATTATATTTCAACATACAGCACCGCTGATGGTGAATTTACAGTCATCCCACCGATGCAAAGATTGTATTCTAATGGCAATTTGCGTAATGAATTGCAAGTGAATGTGTGGGACTGGATCGAGGCCAAGGTTAACAAAGAAGAATTGTCAAATGAAATTGAAGATTCAAAAGATGATGAATCTATAGGATTTGCTTGGAGAGAAAAATACTATGATAATTCACTAAGTGATAGTCAAAAAGAATATCTCAGCAAGGTTGTGAAAAATCGGAAATCACAAGAGTTGAGCAAAAAATATTCAAAACAAGAATTAGCAGAATATGTCAGATTGAATGAAATGCGAATAGATGAGTTGAAAAAGATGTTATCAGATATGAAAAGTTGATAGAATTTATGATTAAAAGGAATAGCTTCTTTATCTTTTAGTGTGCCCTTTTTTTTTTTTTTTTTCTCAATTTTTTTTTTTTTTTTCTCTTGATACACACACAAATTCCTTTCAATTGCAAGTTATATATTACGCATGAAAAGAAAACACAAAGTAAAATTCAGAAATTGTCTATAAATTAAAAAGAAAATGAAGAGAAAAATGTAGTTGTTGTTTTGATTGTCTATTCTTTTTTTGTTTTTTGTTTATTTGAAGTTAGATTTGTCGATGGAATGTTAGAGAGCATATTTGATACCATTATTGGCATTAAAGAGCTGCGATATACTCTCACCATTATGAAGTCTTCTGATACATTCGGCAAATATTCTGCTCACATCTATAACTTCAAGCTTTGGATTTCTGAGCATCTTCTCTTCTGGAATGGCATGGGTGTTGGTGACAATAATTTTATCGATGAATTCGCAATCATTCAATTTTTCCAAACAGTCATCTAAAAACACACCATGGGTAGCTGCCACATATACGTTCTTTGCTTGACCCTTTGATTTACAGAAATTAGCAGCAGTGATGATCAAATCTGGTTTATCGATGGTATCGTCAAGAATCATGATCGGCTTGTCCTTGACATTTCCCACCAAAGTGGTGATTTTCCGTTGGTGTTCCTCGGTCGATACCCCATCTTTGAAATATTGATCTGTGTGAACCATGGCAAAGTTTACTTTCAACTTATCAGCCAATTCGGCAACCCTTTTAGTTCCTTCTGAGTCCTTGGAAACGATCGCCAAGGTTTCGTAGTTTGGAATATTAAATCTGATCCAATGAGCAAGAGTTGGCGCCGCGTATAAGTTATCGATTGGTTTGTCAAAGAACCCTTGCATTTGACTGGCCTTCAAGTCCATAGAAACCACATGGTCAGCTCCGGCCATGGTGATGAGATCGGCCAACATTCTGGCGGTGATCGCACTTCTGCTCTTAGTCATCTTGGAGTGTTTGGCGTATGGGAATTCGGGGATGATCACGGTAATTCTCGCAGCTGAGCCTCCTTTACAGGCAGAGATCAAGATCAAAAGCTCCATAATCGAGTCATTAATCGATTTATCCCCGGATTGGATTATATAAACGTCTTGATTACGTACGGAAATGTTCAACTGTACTGAAGTCTCACCGTTAGAAAATTTCCTCAATGTACAAGGCGATGGAGCCATGTTCAAATGAGAGCAAATCAAGCTGCCCAATTCTTGGTGAGAGTTCCCAACAAATATCTTTAATTTATCCATTATTATATTTTCCTCTTTTGTTACAACCACTTGATGATCTTTGATAGTTTTTATCTAATTGCAAGATGCGCAAGGGAAAATTTTTACTTTTTTTTTTTTTCTGATTTTTTTTTTTGCTTTTGTTTGATTTCTCCGGGAGGAGAAGACCCTTTTATTACGGAAACAATAAAGAGATACAAGAAGAAGCACCTAACAAGACATCGGGGCTCTCTGAATACAGTGTTATTTTTGAGACAATTCGAGGTGTGATTTTTCATATCTTTCTGAGTGGTGGCTCAGTTGACTCTCCAGGATGTTAGAGTGAGAATCCATTGCGCTGGGTATATGCAAATTAGGTCATTTTGAGATCTTTCCTTCTTTGCACCGAGTGGCACATATTAAAGCCCTTGTATACCTTTCGAATTGTAAATCCTTCCCAACTTCGAAATATGGGTAACTTAGTGTCTTAGGTAATATCGTAAAGTGACGTGTGGACAACCCGTTTTGTGTCTTCCCATCACTCACCTGGTCTTCCCAAACTACCTTCTGAGGAATCATATATAAATCAACAAGGGACCCTCTAGAATTTCAAAATTCGTATTTTTCCTTCAGCTTGTCTGTAGTTGTTGGTTATCACTTTCCAAATATTCCCTTGATTTTATCCATTTCCATTCAGAAATACAAGTTAAGGATGACTGAGGATGAAGATGCAAGAAACATGAGGAGCGAAAGATTAAGGCAGCTAATAACATCGGAAATCTTCAATTTTGATCACAAAGAAGTTGACGAAAACTTGAATTTTGAGCACATACAACACCTAATTGATGGGTTCGATAGGGCGAACGAACAAAGTCTCCGTTATTGGTTCAAGGTACCATTGTCCCTTCCTGTACACAATGTGAGATTTGTTGATGAGAATTTTAATCGCAACCAAATAAATACTTCGCTTCACGGTTCCACAGTTTTCACGGAAGCCCTCAATCACATCAAATTTTCAGCGAGAAAAGAAATAAAAGATTCATTCTTCCAAACTAAAATAAATGCTCTAGGTGCTGAATTAGAAAACAGAGCTGAGATATCTGGCTATCAGACTTTATACCAACTCCATCATCAAACAAGAGATTACACATTTGATACAACTTCACTGCGTTCTAAAGAAGACGACGTCAGTCTGTGTTTCCATAATTTTGTATTATCTCACGTGTCTTGTATCATTAACTTTTTATTTCCTTTCAGTTGTGTGAAGGGTCAAGTTAATGCAGATGGAGCAAGAGCAGATTATATATTTATCAATAATATGTTGTTGGAAAATGAAAGACAAGTTCAAGTTAAGGTTTTGCCTATCGAAATGAAAGTAGGCGACATTTCTAACATCCATATTTGGGCACAGGAAGGGAGCGATGGAAAACCACAAAACAGTGTGGCATTTAGCATTATGCATCAACTATTCCAATATGCTGTGCTCTATCATCTGGATGTCGTTGTTTTGTCAGATTTTGAAAAGACGACAATCATAAAATTTTTGTTCCCCTTAGATAACACAGGTGGAAATACAATAGAATACGATTTTAGATGTTTCAATATAACTGCTGCTCCTATAACTGTGAAATGGGTGTTAGCGGCGTTGGTATACCATAAATTAAAGCGTCGAAAATCAGATATCACAAAGGAGAAGAAAAAAATTGAAAGTTTCTACTTGGCTCTAATCAAAAAAAAAAAATATTGATGAAAATTTTATTTTATTTATATCACCTCATTACAACCAAACAAAACATTCTAACCCAACGCCAATTGCTTGTCAGAACCTGCTTCCATCTTTCGGACCGTCCAGGCAAATGATCTAAGGAGATATAGCGATGCCATTGAACTCACGCTGAAACTGAAAATTTGTAACGAAATACGGAGTATAGGATAAAAAAAGAAAGAGCAAGATTGTTCTGTAAATTTAATTTCTATTGAATGGGGGTCTCTCCGTAGGAAAAAGAATAAGCAAGATTGCTCTGGTATGTTCGAATATGGTGAAAAACACCATTATATTCCAGCATTTAAGAAATCCAAGAAGAGTATTGTTTCCTACTATCATACTCCTGTATTAAACCCGAAGGAAGATCGGAGAACAGAATTAGAGATGCACGAATATCCAGAAATATTGGATTCCAGGTATCAAAGATTAATTGATCAGCTTGAAGAGCGTGGAAAATTTAACTTTGACTGTCATGATGTGGATCAAGAGTTAAATTACGATAAAGTTGAATCTGTAATATTAACTTGATTTTTTATTAAAATAATATATAAGGAATAAGTGGTTTGGTACCTCTTTAAATAGATAATGGGTATAGAATAGTAGTTATAAGATAAGGAATAAGATAAGCTTATAAGATAGTGAATAAGATAATAAGTAATTGATTAGGTAATGAATGAACAATACTGGTGGTAAATGTTACAGAATCGCTAATTTTTGCTATCGAAACGCACCTTCCATATCACCGCGGCTGGTACAAGACAGTCTTATCCTTTCATATCTTTAGAGGAGTCTATAACCGGAGTGATGATTACATAATTCCTAGTAATGAATCGAGTATCAAATTTGTTGACGCCACTGGATTTGATATTGCATTGCGCACTATCTTGTTCGCTCCCTGGGCGTGTTTTCCAGGTTATTTTTTCGAAAGACAAATTAACAATTTAGGATTTCACTTGGAAGAAACTATCAAAGATAATGAAATACGTTTCTCCGATACTGATCAGAGCGTCTATATTCCGTTAGGATCGTTTGATGAAGCCTCAAATTCCCTAAATTTTCACAAGTGTGTTCTCAACAGCATTTGCCGTGTTATTAGAGCATTATTTCCTACCTTCAATGTTGAACGTCGGTGTAATGATTTTGTATATAGAAGTGGCCCAAATTCAATACCAGTGTTTCCAATAAAAATGGCTAGCCCCAATATATCCCAAGTACATTTATTGGCACTGTGTGGATTTGTTGGAATAAGCAAAGAAGAATTGAAAAAGATTGGAAACCAGCAGATTCCAAAGATTGAAAAAGATCAAAGACCACGGCCTGCCACTAGTGCATGGGAATCAACGAATATTGTTTGTGCTCCGGAATACTTGAGTATTTTGGAAGCAGATGAAGGGAAAGTTTTTTGCATGAAGAAGTTAGAATTCATTGGCTGTATTGACGCTAAGTAGATTTCACATTTGCAACGATACTGATGAAATGACGTTAAGATTTGTGGACATGCATGAGTTGAGACGTTCTTATTCCCTAGACGAGCGCGGCAATTTTTCGATGCCATTTTTCCATAAAGTGAAAAAGGAAGCTATCGATCAGTTTTATGGAGAGATTGAATGTTATGAGAGAATTGAGGCGTACAATAAGCTTCATCCTGGATCTGATGAGAGAATTCATTGCCCTCGATTTATAACCTAAGGGAGTTTGTGAGCGGATTGTTCTTTGCTACTGAAAGATTGAAAGGCAAGAAATTATCGACTCCCGAAGTGGGAATGGTCGTTTTCACAGCTGTTGATGTGGTGAGTTGCAATCGGAGCTGGTTCAGCAATAGCTTCATCGGAGGTGTTAATAGCTTCAGAGCTCATGATTGTCTTGGACGTGCAACTCAAGACCAGCTTATAAATAATAATGTAACGATAATAAAATATAAAGTAAATGTAAGCACTTAATAGTATATAAGCAGGAAATTTGGCCGTGGATATGAACCAAAGGAATTCAAAAGAGTTTATGCTGAAATTGAATATTTGTAACGAAAAACGGGGTTTACGAAAAAAAAAAAAGAAAGAAGAGCACAATTGCTCTAGCAATTTTCATTGGATTGTAGTATACGCAAGATTGCTCTGGTATGTTGAGTAATCTAATGATATAAATATAATGATATTTTCTACTATCATACTCCGGCATTCAGTCTAAAGAAAAACCTGAAAACAAAATTAGAAATGAATGAAAATCCAGATATAAGTGAGGCCAGATACCAAAGGTTAGTTAATCAGCTTGAAAATCCTAAAATATTTAACTTTGATTGGCATGACGTGGATGAAGAGTTGGATTACCATAACATAAGAGAAATAGTTTATTCCATCCCAAGGATCCACTCACGTCCCAGATGTTGGTACAAAGCAATATTATCTTTTCCTGCATGCAGTGTGAAATGTTTTCGGCCGTTTCCTGAAGATGAATTAACCGCCAAATTTGTTGAGGCCACCGGTTTTGATTTTGCTTTGAGTCCTATCCTGTTTGAACCTTGCAGTCAGTTGTCAGATTATTATTTTCAAAGAAAAATAAATCGATTGGGGGCTGCCTTGGATAAAAAAAACGATAAAAAGATGCGTATTTCTTCAATGCCTCGTTGCTACTGTCTTCCAGTAGAATCGCGTGACGAATGGTCAAATTTTCTGAGCCTTAATACTGGTGTTCTCTCTGACATTTCCATCTTGTTACAGTTAATGTTTTCTTGGTCCTTTTCTTTTCATTCTATGTCTGCTGGTTTTTTATATGAAAATATCTTAACTTCTGTAAAAGTGTTCCCAATACAAGTGACTTGCACCAATATATCCCAAGTACATTTATTGGCACTGTATGGATTTGTTGGAATTAAAGAATCGCCAACAGATATTTCATTTAGTATCATGCGTCAGTTGTTAAGGTTTGCCATAACCTACAAGCTGGATATCGTGGGACTATCGGACTACGACCGTTTGCTCATCATTAAATTTGATCTAGGCTCTCATAACGGTGTAATTCGATATGATTACAGGTTGCTTGATTTAAAATCGACTCCTATCAGCATGAAATGGGCAATCGCAGCGTTAGCTTATGACAAGATTATGCGAAAAGATGAGGAGAGAAAGGTAGAGGAGAAAAAGATTGAGGCTTTCCATGATAGTTTGGCGTTGAGCAAAGAAGAATTGAAAAAGATTGGAAACCAGCGGATTAGACAGATCAAAAAAGATCAAAGACCTCGGCCTGGTGGTGTATGGAAGTCGACGAATATTGTTTGTACTCCGGACTACTTGAATATTTTGAAAACAAATGAAGGGAAGGTTTTTTGCATGAAGACGGCAGAATTCATTGACTATATTGATATCAAAAAGTTTCCAGTTTCCAGCGATATTGATGAGGTCATGTTGAAGCTCGTCGACATGAGTGAATTGAAACGTCATCATTCCCTAGATGAATGGGGAAATTTTTCATTGCCATACTTCCATATAGTAAAAAAACGAAGTATTGATTGCTTTTATAAACAGATTGAATGCTACGAGAGAATTGGGAAGTACAATAAACTTCATCCTGGCAATGATGAGAGAATTCATTGCCCTAGATTTATTGGATATGGATGTGGAGTAATTGCCACGAGATGGGAGTACGCTAGCGGATTGTTCTTTGCTACTGAAAGATTGGAAGGTAACGAAGCGAAGACTCCCGAAGAGTTTGCAAAAGGGATCAAAGAAATTGAAAAGCTTGCAAGAATTGGTATCAAATATCCCAGTGTTTACTCAGAAATGTTTTCTATTGTTAATGACGAATTTTATTTTGTTGGTTTGAGTACAGTGTCATTGGAAGAGCCATTCGATCCAGAGCACGATATTGAGATGTATAGGAGAGAGTTTGTTGATTGTGAATTTTGAGATCCTAAGATTTTGAATTGTGATATAACAATTGTATACCATATATATCATATATATTTGTATATTGCTGAATATTTATGTGTGTAGCATAATCCATCCTGATGGCATTATTAATAGTTTCTTAATTTATTCCTACTTTCTTATTGTTATTACTTTCTTGTACTGTCTATAAAACCATCGTTCTAGTACTGTCTACAATATTCCTGAGAAGATCGGACTACTATAGTAAGTACGAACTTCTTGGAATTGTTTTATTTTCTTATTTTGATTTTAAATCTTTACACAATAACTTTCCAGTGTATTTAAATGCTTAAACAACATTTTATTTCATTCATACAGCTACGAATGTATGAATTCTAATATATATATTAAAGGAGAAGCAAGTTATATTACAATATGGGATTCAACGGGAAAAATTATTGATTTGATGATGCTCCAGCAGTACTCCGTAGAGAATCTGTGCGTGTGGCCTTTCTTTATGCTTTCCAGAGTATTCCTAAACATATAAAGCCTCAAATAACCGTTAAGAAACTCTTAAAAACCCGAATCCTTTGAGTATCGCACACCGATATGCCATTGCAAGAGCCAAATCCATGGATCCACGACCTTTGGTCATGTGACAAAACCCCCAAAAAAAAAAAAAACAAAAAAAAAAGTTGTTAAAAAAAAACGATTTTGGCGATCATTAACATTAAGGGTTTTGGGCTTATTCTGCTGACAAGAATATCTGGACTTCACAAGAGCGGCACTTTTTATCATAATCAGCATCGCAATTGGCGACATTGGGCAAACAGATAGATGCCTTTATGTTGCCTAAACTCTCGTACTCCCAGTTTGCGCTAAGGAAGACTTTTTTGGCCGGTGTTTGCTATAAGAGATCTTACAATATCAACAACCAACTTGCAACGATCCATCTTTATACTGCAATCAGATTGCCGGAGGTAATCATGAACAATGTGAATTTGGGAAGGCAGAAAAAAGACGATTTTGCATCGGATGCATTCAGCTCTGATGACTCGGACTTTTTTGGATCCCTAAGTGATTTCGAGCTCGAGAAATTGGATGAGAAGCTCGCACAAAAACCATCGGGAAGTGACCATAACCTAGAATCTGTTGAACTAGCTAACCCCGCACATATAGAAACTATTAGAAAAGACACAGGTTATGACTCCAGCGAGTGGGTATCGGACAATAATGACTTCGATGACACTTTTGATGATCAGCTCGCATTAGATAACCAAAATAATGAGCCACAAACAGTTGGTGGACAAAGAATAAGCTTATCTCAGCGACTATCACTTCTAGAGAATAGTCAAGGGTTGAATAAAAATTCACATTCCATTACAAATGTTCTAAAGAAGAGTCAAGCCGTTAACGTACTACTCCGAAACTCTTCAGGAAGTAGCTATAAAGAACCTCAAAACCTAGAAACAGCAACTGCGAAGTTGGAAAGCAAGTCTGATAAAGAAAATCAAATCGAAGACCTACAACAAATAATGGTGTCCGAGGACTTTGTTTCTGATGCATTTAGTGATTCTCAAGGCTTATCTTTACCCAACACAATCGATCCACAACAAAAAAACCCTACCAAGACAGAACCAGAAAATATTAATCTACGAAAACCTTCTAGTGCTGGCGGTGACGATCTCACACAGCCAAGAAAACAGAATTTGAATTTAACTCCAGGAACTCAAAATGATCATGAAGGAATCAACATTGATTTAACCGATCCTTCGTCGCCCGATGATCATCGGTGGAAAACTACGGGCAAAAGATTTGTCATCACGCGATCGGAACAAAGTATGGAATCTCCAACAATCCCTATGGGACGCACAAGGGCACCAGTTATTATATCTTCTCCAACCCAACATTTAACTCAGCGACCTCTGGTATCATCGCCTTTGGCCAATGGGAAATCCGCCGCCTGTTTGGCATCACGGAAGATGTCCACCGCCACTAATGAACTCCCTTCGTCGTTTGTCGCGGAAATTGTCCTTAGTGAAGAGCAAAACAAGATTTTGGAAATTATTAAACAAGGACATAATGTGTTTTATACCGGCTCAGCAGGTACTGGTAAGTCGGTGCTTCTTCGTCATGCCATCAAAGAATTAAGAAGTATCCACGGCCATGGTGCTGTAGCCGTTACTGCCAGTACTGGGCTTGCCGCTTGTAATATCGGGGGCACAACGTTGCACTCTTTCTCGGGGATTGGATTGGGAGAAGCCACTGCCAAACAATTGATTAAAAAAGTGAAGCGGTCGAAGAAATCATGTGAAAATTGGAGAAGAACCAAAGTGTTGTTCATCGACGAGATTTCTATGGTTGATGGGAGATTATTGGATAAATTGAGCGAAATTGCTAAAGCGGTGAGGAAAAGTCAGGAACCTTTTGGAGGCATTCAAGTGATTTTCTGTGGCGATTTCTATCAATTGCCTCCGGTTTCCAAGAGAACTTACAACATGAAAGGTGATACCAAAGAAGAGGATGCGAATTTCGCATTCACATCAGAATCTTGGAAAGAGTCTATTAAAGTAATGGTGATCATGACGAAAATTTTCCGTCAAAAAGGTGATTTAGATTTCATTGATATGTTAAACGAGATGAGAAATGGGGAGCTTTCCACTAAGACCATCCATAATTTCTTACAACTTCGAAGGCCTTTGCCTACCGATGATGGAATTGAACCGGCTGAATTATTCGCTACGAGATATGAAGTCGATAGGGCTAATAATAGAAGATTGAGCGTGCTTCCGGGCGAAGAATACGTTTTTAATTCTATTGATGGCGGTTCAATGGTCAACGGAGATTCTCGAGAAGCTCTATTGAATAATTTTTTAGCTCCGAAACAATTAATCTTGAAAGCGGGAGCCCAAGTCATGATGATCAAGAATATGGACGAAACTTTGGTCAATGGCTCTTTAGGGAAAGTTATTGATTTCGTCGATCCGGATACCTATTTTTTCTATAAGAAGGTTGTGGAAGATGATGTTAGTGATGATGAGAAATTCGAAGCTGCTGTGAAAAGACGGACCGAAAAACCAACAAAGTTTACGGAAAAGCATAGACCTAAACTTTTGGAGACCATGGAAGAGGAAGCCACCAAACATGAATTGGATGAATCGGTGTTTGATTTTTTCAAAGTGATGAAAGAAGACGAAAATATCGACCCGATCCTCAAAGCTAACATTGATAGAAAGAAAAATCTCATTAATAAACTATACGATGCCAGCAAGAAAAGAAGATACCCGTTGGTGAGATTTTTAGTGAATGATGGTAATACCAGAGACGTTTTGGTCAATCCGGAAACTTGGGATATCGAAGATGAGAATGAACAACCTTTAGTTTCTAGAACGCAAATTCCGTTGATGTTAGCCTGGTCGATTTCTATCCATAAATCCCAGGGACAAACGTTGTCTAAGGCCAAAGTCGATCTCCGCAAAGTGTTTGAAAAAGGTCAAGCGTATGTGGCATTAAGTAGAGTCACCGCCAGAAAAGGGTTACAGGTGTTGAATTTTGTGCCGACAAAAGTGATGACTCACTTATCAGTGAAAGAGTTTTATGATGCCTTGATGAACCCCGATCAAGCTTTAGAAAGAGCCCGTAAATTGGCAGAAAGCCCGGCGTTTTCAATGAAACAGTTTTACAAAATGGAACCACCAAAGAAAAGGGAGGCGGCTCAGGAGGCTGGGAAAAGGGGTAGAAAAAAAAGGCTGCCTGCTCCAAGCACCGCCAGTCTTTTGATCTTGAATGATTTGACGAGATAAATCATCTTTTGAATGGTTTGACGAGATATCTTTTGGATGAATTGAATGAAATAGTTGTGATAATAGAATTTTTCCCCAGAAGAGGCGAGGAAGGCCCATTCTGGAGGCTCAGGGCGGCGGCTGGTCGGTTTATTCACAGAATATGAAGCACGTCATTAGTGGGTAGACTCTCCTTTAATCTACCATAACAAGCTCGCAAGCTATCATGAAAGAACTCGGGCTATTACAACAAGCAATAGAGACAGAAATTTCTTTGTCATTTTTTTTTTCTTTTTACTTATTTCACAAGGGGAAAAAAAAAAAAAAAAAGTAGGATCATTTGAGCCGTTATATGTGTATAAAATTTAAATGAATGGGTTATATTGGGTATATCTGCATTTATTGTAAGTTTATGGGATTTATAAATCAGAAGAGGCGAAATGTATCCAAAAAGTTTCAATAACTTATGAAAAAAAAAAAAAAGAGGCTCTTGACCATATGTAAAGATTTTGAGAAGAACCACATCAATTAATATATATAACAAATGAAAGATCGAGATATTTTGTTACTCGAATAGTTTGTCTTCTAATAATACTGCAAAACTAACAAGACGAAAAAAAAAATAAAATAGATATAGATTCAAAAAGCCAATAACCCAATAACCGCTTATTCTCTTATTAATATCATCTTTGGATATCATGAGTCTCTTGAAACCCTCTTAGGACTATCAGAAATGTTGAACCCTCCTCCTCCGGCATTACTGGCAGCACCTCCCCCATTGACCAAGTTACCGGACAGCGATACACTTCTTGGGCTCTTATAAATATTGAGGTAATTGGTGCTTGGCCCCGCACTTAACCCACTACCGATATTGGAACCCAAGGTATCTCCTGCACTATTAAGGTTGAACAAACTGACCCGAGACCGAAGCTGCGGCGACGTTAAATCTTCATGCCGTCCTGGCAAATTCGTCGCCGATTTATTCATTGCCGACGCCATCCCCATATAGTGATTATTATTATGATTATTATTACTATTATTGTAATTCGCATTGCCGGTGGCACCCTTTTGTGATGAAGAGACAGAATATAGTGAGGCCATCAGGTTGCTGGCGTTGAAGTTTTTGTAGAACGGAGGGATCAGTGGGGTCACCCCAAAGTTTAGGAACGATTGATTGTTTTTCCGTAGGCCATTATTATTATTATTATTATTATTATTATTATTATCACCAACAATATCAAATTGCGATGGGTTATCACGATATGTGAACTGCTCTTCGAGATTTATATCGGTATCAAAAGTGTTTGGCAGAAACTCATTGAGAGAATCACCATTCAAGTAGCCTCCAGAATTACCATTATTTCTATGAAGAATGCGATTCTTGAAGAAATTGACCACCGCAATGACTTTATTATGTCGCATAATGTGTTTCAGGAGATGACTCAATTTGAAAATGAAATTACCAATTGATGATTGGTACATCATGGAATTGTAAAGTTTGACGAACCCAAATTTCCGATTGACAAAATGTAACAATAGCAAAAATATTAAAAATATAATGATCATCACCGTGAAAATAAAATTGACTTTGGAGATCTTGTCCTGTTTAGATAAATTGGTGAAAGACCCTGAAGATTTAGTCGATGAAGAGGCTCCGGCAATGGATATCTCGAAATTTCCCGGAATGAACGGTTGTTTGCCCTTTAATTTCTGTTCGGTTTCACTAGGGGCGATCCCCACCAAATTGCTATATTTTTTATTTTCCTTGTTAGATTTAGAAGATGAGGCAATTTCGATTTTCGAAGACGCGTACAACAAAATCTTTCCCAAAGTCCAAGATAATTCATTACCATCAATCATTGCCGCACTCTTGAAATAGAAATTGTCATCCCCAGCCTCGTCAGCACTCTTTTCAAAATCAATTCTTGGTAAACTGAACCCTTCGTGCAAAATGTTCACGACCCAACTACCTTTGAAACAACTATCTTTCAAATATTCTAGTTTGATCCCGTTATATTGCTCGTTTTCGAAATTCTTCATGATCTCAGAATTCCAATTACTTTCACAAAACTTTTTGAGCTCGATGTTAAATTTGTCAAAGCTATAAGTGCCCCCCAAATTGAAAATATCATTGATGGTGTACCAATACTCGGAGATCCCAATGAATTTATCGTTAGCGAAATCAATTATCGGGACGTGGATCCCGTTGAATAAACAGGGATAATCATGACATGGGAGATTCTTCAATAATAAAGGATATTGTTCTCGAAGGCACATGTCATAATCTCCTAACCCGACAATCTTATACATTTTCCCATTGATTCCTTCATCCACCGATAATCCTTTCGGTATACATGGATCATTAATACTCAATGTTTTCTGGAGCGAATTCCCGGTACTGTCACCTATATCATACAATGACACGAGATTTTTCAAGTACCTTCTTCTTGCTTGATTGGCACCGAATCCTAACCACGTCGATACAAAAACATTCCATTCTTGTAGATCACCATTAATAGAGCGCAACTTCACTAGGGATAAATCATCGTGGTGTCGAGTCACTTCGGACAGATTCGACGGAACAAACGCGATCTGGGTCGACGCCCCTCCCATATCCATGAACCCAAAACTACTGTGCGCTTCGTCGTCGATTTGGAAATTGTTAAATTTTTCCGATAAATAATTGAGGGCCATCCAGCCATAAATACCTTCGGTTTCTCCATCGATGATTTCAAACTGCTGGGCGCAGTTCTTGATTAAAAACTGGGTTTTACCAGTGAGGTTCTCACAAATACTATGGAGAATCTTTTCTTGCTTTTTCACGCTAAGAAGTCTCATGCCCGCGGTGGCCTGGATGAAAATTGGGGTTTGTTGGAGCCGGGAATTAGGAATGATCAGTTCACTGAATTCCATCAATGGTTGTAAATGGTTTTCCCAAAGCCGATCTTTTAACCTTTTATCATCATCATCATCATCATCATCATTATCTTCTTCTTCTTCTTCATCATCGGAATCGTCGTCATATTTTCCAAAAGATGATAGTCCAGGAGTGATTTTCTTATTCCAAGAATTACTGGATAATATCTGCGGCACAGAGTTTAGCAATTCCGGGTGGCTCAGGGACAAATGGTCCTGGATATAATTGGCGTCCAACCACTTGTAAATGTGAAGCCGAGAGCCCGACGACCCAGCATCGATAACCACACCATATGAGAAATTCTCATCAGGGATACTGGTGTAGTCTATCTCTGAGAGTCCCATAATATATATCTTCAGTTGTCTATATCTATATTATATATATATATATATACTCACTATAGCCGTTATCTGTTCAAAAAAGATGTTGTTTTTCTGAGCGGGTGGTGATCTCCTCAGGTGCGGCTAGCAACGTCCCATCATCGAATTTTTTACCCTTTTCAATCATTCATTCAATGACTTACTTCAACATTTATCATTGAATTTCACCCGGAAATAGAATAATAAATAAAAGATAAAATGGGAAAATCAAAACTGGGCAAAGCCAATTCCGGGGATCTAGTGTATGACCCCAAATCAAAAACCTCGGTCATTCCCAGTGTTGCCCCAAAAACCATTCAGCCAAAACATCAATACCAGCGACTCAATTACCTTTACCAACTATCCACCATCCTCACCGTTGAAAAACATCCTGAATTGGCGCGGATCTGCGCGAAGAATATGGTGCAGATATCTCAGAAAACCGTCACCAAAATGAAACCCAGCATCAAGCGGAAATTGTGCAAGAAGTGTAACAGTGTCTTGATCCCAGGAATCAATTGTCAAGTGAGATTATTGAATTATGAAGCCAAGGATAGTGGTAATTCAAAAGGTTCTAAAATCGAAAAGAATGAGAATAATTGTCATGGTGAGATACTGAAGAAAATAAATACAAGTGTTTCTGGGAGCACAAATGATGATGAGTTTAATAATCGTGGGAGCACCACCACGATGGATGATGATGGTGATGATGATGGTGGTGGTGGTGATGATTCCAAACCCAAGATTACCACTACTCAGGAAGATAATGGGAATTCCCCCAATGAGACTATTGAGGAGATTTCTACAGTATTCAAACTTCCGAAGCTGGCATGCTTGCAAATTACCTGCCTTGGATGCAATACCATTGCCAGAAGGTATCCGGTGGGTAAAAATATCGAATACAAGTTATGGCATGATGATCCTGAATATTGTTTGGATGTTAATTGAGTGTTCTTATTGGGAATAACTATGTACTATAATAAATCATTGTATTATAATTGCTACTTGTTAGATACAAGCTATGCTGTTAGTATACTATTGTAAGAGCTATGAATGCCCAAAGTGTATTTATTACATGGTAACAACATGAGAAGAAATACAAGATAATTTAATGGAATTTCATTAGTTAAATGTGTAAAAAAGAAGAAAAAAAAAAAAAAAATAGGATAAAGGAGAGAAACGAAGCTAACAATATATATATATATATTTATATATACTTATTTACTAAGCCAAGGCCAGTGTGATGCAGAACAAAATATTTTTTAACGAATGAGCAAGTAAGAGAATTAGGGTGGCTATTAGTGATAGCCAGCAGATATTTAGATAGTATAATTAATATGGATGTATCATCAATAAGAGCACACTTGGTGTGAAAATGAAAATAAAAACAAAAACAAAAAATTGAAAAACGTCAAAAACAAGAACAAAAAATTAACAACAATAAAAGTAACAACAATAAAAGTAACGATAAATTAGGCAAGAGAAAAAAAAAACGATAAACGAGAAAAAGTGGTATTAGATCATCTGAAGATAGATGCTAAAAGAGGTGTTTCAAATTTCAAGCTTCAAGGGCCTTTCCTTCAATTGGCAAATTTTCTTTGTCATCGTCGACCTTGGTGGAAGCCGATGTTGCAGATGCTTCCAAGGCTTTAGCTTGGATTTGACTGATTTCTGATTTCAAAGTAGCAATCTCACTAGTCAATTCTTCGATTTTGGAGCCTTGAGTTTTGATTTGGGCTTCTTGATCGGTGATTTTGGATTCGTTGGCAGAGTTTTCAGACTTATGCTTAGTGGATAATTCTTCAGTTGCACTTTTATGAGAGGTTTCCAATTTCTTGATTTCATCAGCGTGAGACGATTCCAATTTCTTGATGGCAGCACTATGTTCTGAAGTTGAAGATTTAATAGCTTCTTCCTTGGCAGACTTCAAGGTTTCGACTTGTTTAGTTAATTCTTCGACTTTAGCTTGGAGCTGGGAGCTTTTGGTGGTCAATTCTTCAGATTTGGCGGTGAATTCCTTAGATTTCGCAGACAATTCTTCAGATTTGACAGATAATTCTTCAGATTTAGCAGCCAATTCCTTTTCTTGGGTAGATTTCAAAGCTTCTAATTCTTTGGACTTGGTGGCGATAGCGTTGTCATGGGTTTGTTTCAAATCTTCCAATTCCTTGGTTTTGGCAGCAATTTCTGTAGCCTTGGATTTTAATTCACCAACGTGGGTTGAAGTCAACTCGTCCAATTGTTTAGTCTTATTGGCGATTTCCTTATTCTTTGATTCCAATTCGGTGGCATGAGAGGCCTTTGATTCTGCCAAATGCTTGGTATGTTCTTCTTTCAAAGCCTTCAATTCTTCCTTGAGCTTGGTGATTTCTGAATCGGTGGATGACTTGGAGGACCCTTCTAAGGCTTCAAATTCAGCGATTTTAGCATCCAAATCCTTTTGCAATTCGGAAATGGTAGCGGCAGAAGCGGCAAGTTCGGCTTTGGTGGAAGAAAGTTTTGCTTCATATTCGGAAGTCTTGGTGGAGAGTTCCTTGGATTTGGTTTCAATTTCCGCTTCTTTGTCGGTCAAAGAAGTTGACAAGGAACTGATTTTGCTATTCAAGTCTTTAATTTGAGAATCGCTGGCGTCTTTTGAAGTCTTGCTGGCGTTATCCAATTCTTGTTGTTTTGCAGTCAACAATTCATGTTTTTTGTTCAATTCGTCGCTTAACTCGGCGATTTTCAATTTTTGAGATTCCAAAAGCGCTGATTTTTCGTCTTCGAATTTTTTCAATTGGTCTGCCAATTGGGCTTCTTTGGCAGATAGTTGTTCTTTTGTTGCTTTTAATTCACTTTGTAAACTGGAAAGTTTAGAGTTGGAGATTTCAATTTCCGAGGTAGCCGCGGCATGCTTTGAAGACATTTGGTCCAATTCTTGATGTTTGGCAGATAATTTAGTTTCTAACTCTTTGGTAAGTTTTTCATGGTTGGCGATGATTGATTGTTTCAATTCCAAATCTTTAGAAAGAGAAGAGTGTTTTTCGGTGAACTCGGCCAACGATCCGGATAATTTGGAAATTTCATCCTTAGAGGTAGAAATCTCGGCGTCCTTAGAATTGATAGAAGATTTCAAGTGTTCGGCAGCAGCGATTTTTTCGGCTTCAAGGGTGTCGATTTTTGCGGATAACTCTGTAATTTCTTGTTTGGTCTTAGATAACATGGTTTTTTCGGTGGCAAGATCGGCGGTGAGTTTGTCGATAGACAAGTTCAACTGTTTGATGGTCGATTCCAATTGCAGTTTTTCGGCGGCAAATGCTTGTAATTGGCTGTTCAATTTAGCAGAGTCGGAGTTTAAGCTGGCGACTTTGTCGTGGTGGGATTTTTCCAAGTTCAAGATCTTCAAGTTCAACTCGTCGATTTGGGAGTTTTTGGCGGTGATGGCCTTGGAGTTGGAAGAGATGAGGGTCTCATATTTTGCGGTTGATTCTTCCAATTGAGCTTGCAACTCTCTTTTCAAGCCTTGTTTCAATTCGGCAGCCGATTGCTTGTAGTATTCACGGTCGGCGAACTTTGTGATACAAAAGGTGATGAGGGCTGAGGCGCCAATTTCGGCAAGGACGGTGACCATGGTTCTTCTGTGGTGGGGGTCCATACACTGTTTGATAAGAGGTAGCGGCAGATGTGCTGGTGTGCTGGTGTATAGAAAATATTGCTGGGGTGGCGATAGGAACTATTGGATGGGTGGTAAAAAGTATGGGAAGAGAGAATGAATGAGCAGAAAAAAAAAAAAATAGGAGAAAAAAAAAAAAAATTGGGCCAAAACAGCCTCCAGGAGGTGGGACACCCCGGCCATCCCCCTGCAAACGGCAAAAGGTAAACAGTACCGCCGGGGTGGGTTAACAACAGTGGTGTTATATTATATTTTATATTATATTTTATATTATATTATATTATATTATATATTATATATTATATATTATATTATATTATATATTATATATTATATATTATATTATATTACATATTATATATTATTATAGTATTTCTCTTCTAATATAGAAATCCCATAAACTTACAATAAATACAAACATACCCAATATAACCCATTCATTTAAATTTTATACATATAACGGCTCAAATGATCCTACTTTTTTTTTTTTTTTCCTCCTTGTGAAATAAGTAAAAAGAAAAAAAAAAATGACAAAGAAATTTCTGTCTCTATTGCTTGTTGTAATAGCCCGAGTTATTTCATGATAGCTTGCGAGCTTGTTATGGTAGATTAAAGGAGAGTCTACCCACTAATGACGTAGTTCATGTTCTGTGAATAAACCGACCAGCCGCCGCCCTGAGCCTTCAGAATGGGCCTTCCTCGCCTCCTCTTGGGAAAAATTCTATTATTACAACTATTTCATTCAATTCATCCAAAAGATATCTCGTCAAACCATTCAAGCTCAAAAGACTGGCGGTGCTTGGAGCAGGCAGCCTTTTTTTTTTTTCTACCCCTTTTCTTTGGGTGGGTGGTTCCATTCTGTAAAACTGTTTCATTTAATACATGTAAGGGTCAAATATCATCAAGTGGTTGTAACAAAAGAGGAAAAGACAATGACATTTTTTGCTCAACTCTTGTGATTTCCAATTTTTCACAATCTTGCTGAGATATTCTTTTTGGCTATTACTCGCCATTATGAAGTCTTCTGATACATTCGGCAAATATTCTGCTCACATCTTATAAAGAAAACACTCCTACACTTTTTACTTTTTGCTTTGGCAATCACGCGGCACAGCGAATAATACCAATAAGGATGAACGGTTATTCCTTGTACTATAATAATACCTATCTTTGCTGATCTTGCGTTAAGTATAGTAGTAAGAAAGTCGAATAACCATCACAGTAATTAGTCTCCAGCTATTTGATGAACTCGCAACCCCACGAAAAAAATGGTTCGGGATGCAACAACTTGCTGGGAACACTGACTTCTGCGGGTATAAACACAGTAAGGTGTATGATTATTCAGTGTAAATAAATAAAATGAAATCGGTGAATTAAAATAATTAATTCATCAACTAATTGAGTTGTGAGTTGATTGACAGAAGAATAGTAGGTTAAGGATTATAGATGAAAGCAGGGTGACGATAACCGTGCTATCCTATCGTATGTGTACACTGCTGGTTAGCCCAGCTCCCTCCTCCCCTATTTGCGATCGATCGATTGATCCATTATACTAGAAGCCCGCGCCCTGTCCAGCCGCCTGATTAGGCACAAAACCCCATCGCCCTTCTCTTCTTTCTCTTTCTCTTTCTCTTTCTCTTTCTCTTTCTCTTCCTTCCATCAACAATCATACGACAAAACATCCCATACCCAATATGAAGTTGTCTGCCTTGTTGCCCCTCGCATACCTCATCGGTGCCTCTTCTGCCTCCGCTTCCAACTCGTTTGTGGACATCCTCGCCCCCCACAATAACCAGCAACGTCCCCTTATCAATGAAAACATCCAAAACAAACTCCACTCACAATTCGACGGTGCTTCCACCTTGTTGCAATCCGCCGCAAATGCTTTGGGTGTCTCCTTGGACTCGTTGTCTAACGATATCAAAATTACCTGGTCAGAAATCTCCATGAAGTTTCCTTCCATCGTCTCCAACTTGCAGTTCGTTTCCCAGCCAAAGAAACACTCCAAGAAGAGCAACTGGGACTTCCAGGTCGCCGACGCCTCCCACCCAAACCACCAATTGAGAGTCAAGAAAACCAATGCCGCCAAGTTGGGGGTCGACTCCACTAAACAATACTCGGGGTACTTGGATGTCGAAGACGAAGACAAGCATTTCTTTTATTGGTTCTTTGAATCAAGAAACGACCCTGCCAATGACCCAGTCGTTTTATGGTTGAACGGTGGCCCGGGCTGCTCCTCTTTGACCGGTTTGTTCTTTGAATTGGGTCCTTCCTCCATCAACGCTGAATTGAAACCAATCGACAACCCATACTCTTGGAACAACAACGCCAGTGTCATCTTTTTGGATCAACCAGTTAATGTCGGCTACTCTTACTCTTCTGGTGGGGTCAGCGACACCATTGCTGCCGGCAAAGACGTCCACGCTTTCCTCAATTTGTTTTTCAAGCAATTCCCAGAATACTCCCACTTAGACTTCCATATTGCCGGTGAATCTTATGCCGGTCACTATATCCCGGTATTCGCCGCAGAAATCTTGGAACACCAAGACACCAACAACTTCAATTTGACCTCAGTGCTTATTGGTAACGGTTTGACCGATCCTTTGAGACAATACGAATACTACCAGCCAATGGCCTGTGGTGAAGGTGGTCACCCTCAAGTGTTGTCCGATGAAGAATGTGATGCCATGTTGGAAAATGAACCAAAATGTCTCAACTTGATTAAATCTTGTTATGAAACCGAATCGGTCTGGTCTTGTGTTCCTGCAGCTATTTACTGTAACAACCAAGCTTTTGGCCCTTACCAGAAGACCGGTCTTAACGTGTACGATATCCGCTCTCCATGTGAATCTGGTGCCCCAGGGGGATTGTGTTACAAAGGATTGGCTTACATTGATGATTACTTGAACCAAGATTACGTTAAAGAAGCCGTCGGTGCCGAAGTTGACGAATACCAATCTTGTAACATGGATATTAACAGAAACTTCCTTTTCGCTGGTGACTGGATGAAACCTTACCACACCAAGGTTATTGAATTGCTTGACACTTATGATTTGCCAGTCATTATTTATGCCGGTGATAAGGACTTTATTTGCAACTGGTTGGGTAACCACGGTTGGTCCGACTACTTGGAATACAGTAAACATGAACAATTCGCCAAGACAAAGTTGCATAACTACTACACTTTGGCTGGCGAACATGCTGGTGAAGTCAAGAACTTTGATAAATTCACTTTCTTGAGATTATTCAACGGTGGCCATATGGTTCCAATGGATCAGCCAGAAGCTTCTTTGGATTTCTTCAACAGATGGATTTCTGGTGAATATACTTTGTCTGAGTAGATTTCTTGTACTTCCCGTGAGGTATTTTGATTTTTTCTAAATCAACTTAATAAAATTGGAACAAATTTTTTTCTAAAAAAATATCACAGAAACAAAATAGTATATATATATATATTCTTTTTGCTTTATTTTTTGATATATACCTAACTTGATGGTTTTTTCTGTGCTTGGATTTTTTTATTTTTTTTTTTTTTGCTTCTCTATATTTTCTCTCTCTCAGAGTATTGAGCTACCCTTTTATTAGATTTCTTTTCAAATTTGCAAGGTTTGAAAGCTTATTTTTAAGCGGGTTGATTTAATTAATTGGGATTCTTTTTTTGATTTTCTTGAATTATGTCTTTAAATAATGGACTACACACACTTTTTTTTATTTCATCTACAATTGAATACTTGTAAGATATGGGGGCTATACGATGACATTTTTTTTTTTTTTTTTGATCCTTTATTTATTGTATTATTGACTCCTTTTCCTCATGGTGTCATTTTAGATAAATCTGTCAAAATATGAAATACGATTTCATCTTGAACTACTAGCTCACTGAACAGCTGAGAAGAAATATGCTTCATCTATGAGTTGACAGTTTTTCTTGGTAGGTGTCGCATATGGTTGGGCTAGTTTTTTTCATGTTATTTCAACATGAACTACACAAGAATAGACAAATGAAAACATCATTCCAGCACATGTATATAAACATTATGTAGAAAGAAAAATGGAAAATTCAGCATCACATAATTCAAAACATTAGGATTTCAAAGATCATCATCAAGAAATGTTCGCTTATACTTCTTAATATCGAGCCTTGGATCAAATGGCTCCACCAATAACGCCGTACTGAAATCAAAAATATGGAACTCATCATCGATAATAGAAAACATTTCCGTGCCAAGATAAGAAAACTTGATACCAATGCTCGCTAGTTTCTCAATCTCTTTGATCCCTTTAGCAAACTCTCCGGGAGTCGCTGCTTTCTTGCCTTTCAATCTTTCAGTAGCAAAGAACAATCCGCTCACAAACTCCCATCGCGTAGCAATCACTCCACACCCATAGGTTAGAAATCGAGGGCAATGGACTCTCTCATCAGATCCAGGATGAAGCTTATTGTACGCCTCAATTCTCTCATAGCATTCAATCTCTCCATAAAACTGATCGATAGCTTCCTTTTTCACTTTATGGAAAAATGGCATCGAAAAATTGCCCCGCTCGTCTAGGGAATAAGAACGTCTCAACTCATGCATGTCCACAAACCTCAAGGTGATTTCATCAGTATCATTGGAAATATGAAATCTATTAGCATCAATACAGTCAATGAATTCTACCTTCTTCATGCAAAAAACTTTCCCTTTACCTGCTTCCAAAATACTCAAGTAGTCTGGAGTACAAACAATATTCGTTGACTCCCATGCACTAGTGGCAGGCCGCGGTCTTTGATCTTTTTCAATCTTTGGAATCTGCTGGTTTCCAATCTTTTTCAATTCGTCTTTACTCAATGCCAAACTATCATGCAATTCTTCCATCCTTCTCTCCTTCTCCTTTCTCTCATCATCGCTGAGCGCGACTTCATAATACACCATTACTGTAATTGCCCATTTTATGTTAATAGGAGTCGAGTTCAAATCAAACAACTTGTAATCATACAGAACCACACCGTCGCGAGAGTATGGAAGAAATTTGATAATTAGAAGATGCTCAAAATCCGATAACCCCACAAGGTCCAGCTTGTAGGTCATGGCAAGCCTCAACAACTGGCGCATGATGCTGAATGAGATGTCTGTTGGTGATTCTTTAATTCCAACAAATCCGTACAGTGCTAACCAGTGCACTGCAGATATATCGGAGCTAGCCATTTTTATGGGAAACACTGGTTTCGAATTTGGCCCACCCTTAAATACAAAATCAGTGGACCGACATTCAACACTGAGAGCAGGAAAACGCAATCTAAGAACACAACAAATATCATTGAGGACACACTCACGAAGATTCTCAGAATTCGACACCTTGTCACGCGATGATGATGGAACATACTGTGAGGGTGATATACCACTAAGACACCGTTCATAATTATTGATTTTTCTTTTCAACAGGTTCTCCAAACTATTCATTTTACCTTCCAAGTCAAAATAATGAATCTCAAGGTTGGGCTCAAACAGCATCGAACGCAGCGCAATATCAAATCCTGTGGCCTCAACAAATTTCGCCGTAAACTCATTGGCAGGAATTGTGCCATCATAATTCCAATCGTAGATCCATTTATAGACAGGCAAGGACAATACTGCCCTGTACCAGTAGCGGTGATATTGGGGTTGTCTTTGCATAGTTTCAATAAGTTGTCGCATTTTTTCAAAACTAAAATCTTCATCCACTTCATGATAGTCAAAGTTATGGTTTTCACATTTTTCAAGCTGGTCAATTAACCTCTGGTACCTGGCATTGTTTTGTCGCTCATAATTCAAATTTTCTTCCTCTGTATTGTACTCGAAATCAGACGTGTCGCTCTGTTCAAGTAGATCAATTGACCTTTTGTTCCTGAAATGACTTTGATGTTCTTGAGTGTCAGCCATCTCAAACTCAGTTTTTCAATTTTCCATTAAGTTGGATGCTGGTGTATAATACAAAGAAAATACAAATTCTTTTTGGGTTTTCTTGAACTTTGGACTATATTGGTTCTTTTTTTTTTTTTTTTTTTTTACAGCAAGCATTGCTTGTTTTTATTTTCCTTACTTTTCTACTTTGATATTGTCATTTAAGCAATCATGCTCTCCCTTTTTTTCTTCCTTTTTTTTTTTTTTCTTTTCAGTCATTACCGGGACTCGCCAAATATTTTCCGAATGTCCTCGTCATATAATTTACATGATAATATGATGCCTAGCTGGCTTCACGCTCTCTCGAGTTACAGGCTGTCCATGCCGATAGTGTAGACCCTGAGGGGTATGACGATTGCCGAGTTAATCAATGCCGAACTTGTAGGAGAGGAAACCTTACTAAGAATAGGGTTATCCTTTTTTTTTTTTCTTCCTAGGGAGTCTCTTGCCTGAATTTTGGCTGTCGGTATCACGGTATCACATTAATTACCGGCCTTCTTGTCCACGAACGATGTGTGAAAGAAACCTTTCTCGCTCACCCACCTGAAAAAGTTGACAGGCACAGACAGGACAGGACAGGACAGGACAACTAAACCCGGGAATTGGGGTCCATGTCACTGCATGGTTATGAACCCTTACTAAAAGTTCACTGGTTTTACTTATCTGGGAATTGTTGTCCTAAATGAAACTCTCAATACACACCGGAAATAAAATAACTACACCTAAGGGGCTGATAATGTATTTTTTTTTGGAATATAATTCAAAAGTCAAAATGTATTGAGTTGATAAAAATAATCAAATGTAAAAAAAAAAATGATAAAACTACTGGCTCTTAATGGCGTTTTAGCGCTTCGAAGAATATGTCAATTGTATCACGGTGTTCTTGCTTTTCTTGAGCTGAGCGAGATAGCTGACTGAAAACAATTGCTGCAATGGCCCATTTCATGCTAATGGGCGTAGATTTTAAGTTGAACACTTTATATTGATACTGAACTAATCCTGCTTGCCCATTATCGATGCCAAAATTAAACTTGAAGACGATCAAGCGTTCAAAATCGCTTAGCCCTACTATTTCCAGGTGAAAGAGTCTTGCATAATTAAGTAATTGACGCATGATGGTGAATTCAACAGTTGCAGGCTGCTGTGCTAGCAACGGCACTCCAGTAATGTTCCCCCGTTTCACTTCTATCGGAAAGGCAGTGTGCACATTTTCAGGTGTCACTCGGAAGAGAAAATCGACGGTTCCCTTTTTGTCAATCTTAACTTGAGGTTCAGCGACAAGGTTGGGAAATAAAAGTTCAAGGATGGTGGTAATGTCATGAAAAACAAACATCTGTAAATACCATGTGAGACAAGCCTCGGTCCTGATCCCTTGGTTGACCAAGCTTGAACTTCTTGTATCATTGAAAAGATCATGCAAGCGTTCTGTATTTTCTTTCCCAACCTGTGATTGTAAAGCAGTCCCTAGATTTTGTATCTTTGATTGGAAAAATGCATCACTTATATTCCCAGTTACGTCCAACTGGAACTTTATTGGACGTAACTCCCTTTCAAATTTAGTGGCTGACTCCCTTTGTGCCGCTAACTGAGTGTGGGAATTTGCATAATTCACATTTTGGATTGGTAAGGACAATGCTATGCTGAACCAATAATCTGGTCCTCGATCCATAGTTGAGATATAGTCAATAAGGTGTTTTTTTCTTGCCAAATCCATATTTTGGTTTAAAAAATGATAGTCGAAATTGTATAAACGCTTGTTGAAAAAATCCCTGGCTGTGTTGTAGCTGGCTTCCAGTTCACGTTGTTGTTGTTGTTGTTGTTGTTGTTGTTGTTGTTGTTCCTTTTCATGTTGTTCCTTTTCATGTTGTCGTGCTTCCTGCTGTTCTGCACGCATTTTTTGTCGCTCTGCGCGTTCTTGATTTTGTCGTTGTCGTTGTGCTTCACGTTGTTGTTGTGCTTCACGTTGTTGTTGTTCTTCACTTTGTCGTCTCCCAGCCATCTGTGACTTTTGCTCCTTGGATGAAAGAAATAAAATTTAGACAAGTATTTGAAAGGAAAAGATCTTTAACTTTCAAAACCTCTGCGATCCTCAGTAATTTATAAATAATTCCTGGGAAGTATAGGAAATTTAAGGGTGCCCATTTCTGGGAAGGAATTTAAGGGCGTCTTGGGAAAGAAATTTAAGAGTTTCTATTTCTGGAAAGCATAGGAAATTTAAGGGTGTCCTGGGAAGACCTTGATCGCCAATGGCTTGCAATTGTGAATAATATGTTAGTATTGAATTGTTCACTGACAATTATTGTATGTGTTGGTCTGGTTTGGTTAATGGATGGCCACTAGGGGTAGGAATAGTGGATTTCATCATGGTCAACATGCTAAATACCATGTCTTTGAGATCATTGAAATCCTTGACAGTGACAAACCCAGTGGTATCGTGAGATTCGTGGTGAGCTGCAATGGATCTGGTTCAGCAGTAGCTTCAGAGCTCATGATTGTCTTGGACGTGTAACTAAATTTCACCTTAAAAATATTAATGTAATGATAATAAAATATAAAGTAAATAAAAATGCTTAATAGTATATAAGCCGGAAATTTGAATGTGAGTCTTATATGTCTATATACATGATAATAGTACTAATTAATGATAGTCAAAATCTACAAAAGTAGTGGAAGTATTTGGTGTTATGAGCCGACATTCACACATGGTATAGGTTAATCATAGGCGACGAACGAGCCAGTTTCCAACAATAAGAGCCGACCACCTGCCAACGAGCTGGATGAGGAGTTAGTGTAAATACCAGAAGTTCGTACTTATCCTACATATTTGTTGTTAAAAGAAACTATAAATTCTTATCTTCTCCATAAACCACTACATTCTTTTCTAACGTCCTTCGCCCCCAAATTTAACCTGAAATATTGTCACAGCCAACCATAGAAAATAAACATCCTCATGTATAAGTTGATGATTACTCCTATTAGGTGACACGATGGTTGGTCAGCTTTGTTTCAGTACCACTTACTTGAAATATACAAATGAAAACGTCATCTCAGCACGTGCATATTGTCTGCCAGTAGTACAGACCTCCTAACATGGCTCGATGACCAAGGACTCCACTACTTTTGTAGCTTTCGACGATTGATAGTCATTATTAGCATGTATATAGAACAATCAAGACTCACAAACAAATTCCTGTTTATATATTATTAAAAGTTTACATTTACTTTATACTTATTATTATCATTACATTAATATCTATAAATCGACATTTAGTTCAACATCCAAGCCAATCTTAAATCCTGAAACTATTTCCACCTCCAAAGATGATCATCAAGAAATGTTCGCTTGTACTTCTTAACATCGAGCCTTGGATCAAATGGCTCCACCAATAACGCCGTACTGAAATCAAAAATATGGAACTCATCATCGACAATAAAAAACATTTCCGTGCCAAGATAAGAAAACTTGATACCAATGCTCGCTAGCTTCTCAATCTCTTTGATCCCTTTAGCAAACTCTCCGGGAGTCGCTGCTTTCTTGCCTTTCAATCTTTCAGTAGCAAAGAACAATCCGCTCACAAACTCCCATCGCGTAGCAATCACTCCACACCCATAGGTTAGAAATCGAGGGCAATGGACTCTCTCATCAGATCCAGGATGAAGCTTATTGTACGCCTCAATTCTCTCATAGCATTCAATCTCTCCATAAAACTGATCGATAGCTTCCTTTTTCACTTTATGGAAAAATGGCATCGAAAAATTGCCCCGCTCGTCTAGGGAATAAGAACGTCTCAACTCATGCATGTCCACAAACCTCAAGGTGATTTCATCAGTATCATTGGAAATATGAAATCTATTAGCATCAATACAGTCAATGAATTCTACCTTCTTCATGCAAAAAACTTTCCCTTTACCTGCTTCCAAAATACTCAAGTAGTCTGGAGTACAAACAATATTCGTTGACTCCCATGCACTAGTGGCAGGCCGCGGTCTTTGATCTTTTTCAATCTTTGGAATCTGCTGGTTTCCAATCTTTTTCAATTCGTCTTTACTCAATGCCAAACTATCATGCAATTCTTCCATCCTTCTCTCCTTCTCCTTTCTCTCATCATCGCTGAGCGCGACTTCATAATACACCATTACTGTAATTGCCCATTTTATGTTAATAGGAGTCGAGTTCAAATCAAACAACTTGTAATCATACAGAACCACACCGTCGCGAGAGTATGGAAGAAATTTGATAATTAGAAGATGCTCAAAATCCGATAACCCCACAAGGTCCAGCTTGTAGGTCATGGCAAGCCTCAACAACTGGCGCATGATGCTGAATGAGATGTCTGTTGGTGATTCTTTAATTCCAACAAATCCGTACAGTGCTAACAAGTGCACTGCAGATATATCGGAGCTAGCCATTTTTATGGGAAACACTGGTTTCGAATTTGGCCCACCCTTAAATACAAAATCAGTGGACCGACATTCAACACTGAGAGCAGGAAAAAGCAATCTAAGAACACGAAGAATGTCATGGAAAATAAGCATATTCAAATTCTCAGAATTTGACACTTCTTCACGCGAAATCGGATGATAGTGCCAGCGTGGTGTATCACTAAGACACTGCTCATCATCTTTGATTCTTCTTTCCAATCGGCACGCGAAAGCATGTATTTTCTCTTGAAGGTCATAATCAAAAAGCGGATAGTTAGGTTCAAACAGTATGGGACGCAATGCTTTATCAAATCCAGTGGCCTCAACAAATTTAGCGGTGATTGCATCAGCAGGAATTGTACTATCATAATTCCAGCCGGAAATTTTGAAAACAGGTAAGGATAACACTGCTCTGTACCAGTTGCGGTGAGATAGACGGTGCAGTAGCACAGTGTCAATGAGTGTCCACATTTCACTGTAATTCAAGTCTTCATCCACATCATGATAGTCAAAGTTATAGTTTTCATATTTTTCAAGCTGGTCAATTAACCTCTGGTACCTGGCATCATTTTGTCGCTCATAATTCAAATTTTCTTCCTCTTCAGTGTACCCAAAACCAGACATGGCACTCTCTCCAAGTTGATTATCACTCATCTCTAATTTTTGTTTTTTGAATTTCTTGAATTTTGGGAAGATAATGGGTTTTTTCTATCATCTTAGTTGATATACGAGAGCAAGCTTGCTTTTTCTGTTCCTAAGCAACACGCTAGAGAATACCACGACGATGGTATCTAAACTATGTCTGCTGTATTGATAGTTCTAGACTACAAGTAATTATTAAAGGCAACCACAATGCAGACAAGCAAGAAGCAAGAAGCAAGAAGCAATAGTCAGGAACATATTGCTATGAGCTTCTAATTAACAAACTGGTGGGCACTGTGTTAGTATGATATTGATTTCGCCTACCAATTAATCTCTAATTAATGACTTCTACTGTATACTATCGGCTGATACATTTGGCGTATCTTTAAATACTAAGTCCTTTTCTTCCACGGACGAAAAATGTTAGTTGCAACTGGATATCCGAGTATGGTAATAATCATAATGTATTGGTGGGAAGCGTTAATAGCAGCGGTCATATTGTCGCGCTTGGTATTTAAATCTTTTAACTTCGATTAGTTACATAGAGATAGTATTTTGAATCGATGCTGATACACTATCAACTCGAAAAAATTATTCAAGGTGATATTTAAATGACAGCGTTCATGGAAAGTTTCTCCTCTTATAACTGTTAATAAAAGCTATTTTTTGTAAAAACCCAACGATTTGGTGCACCTGAATTTACGTTTGTGAAAAAAAACCACAACCTTTTTCTGGCCAGTGATGGATGGATGCCGCTGTGTATCGTCATATAACAACAAGTTTCAATAGTTTGAATCACCAATGCTTTCTTCGGGTTGCGAGATCTTCAAAAAATTGAAGATCCGATGTCCCATGGATGGGAATTGTAAATTGGCGGATTGTGTCTTTTTACACTCGACGAAAAAACCAGATCAAGTGCAACAACCCCCATCAAGGGTCCAAGCCAATAATGTTGGCAGTGGTGGAAATTGTTCTGTGATTAAATCAGATACAGTTTTGAGAAAATCTGCTGACATTCAGGAAACTCCAATAAAGCATTTGGGGACCACACTGAATGTACCAATCAATGCAAAAGTGAAGCCAGGAAAACTGGATCAATTATTAATAGAGGAGAAACTTAGAAAACCAGAGATGGTATTTAAAAAACAGGAAACTATTGGAGAAGTGAATAACAATACTAATATAATAGCTCAAGATCATAAGAAACCTGAAGTGACTGAAGAAGTTAAAGAAAAGCATGATAGAGATATTACAACTCATAATGAGGTCAAGGAAGAAATCAAGAAAGCGCCACATGATAATAGCAAGGAGAATCAAGATCAAGCAAAGAAGCAAATTGAAACCAGGAAATCAATAAATCACGATATGGAAAAGAAAGAGAACAATGATCTTCAAGACAATGCTCTTATTAACCAAAGTGAAGGTAAAGAAGGGCTGCAGAAAAATGCACAACAGAAAATTCTAGCTAGTGAACCAAAAGCCAATGCTGATACGTCGATTGGAATGAAAGAGTCTTCTGAGAACAACACCAGGAAAAGAAATTCAGATTCTGCAGCGGCTGGTGATTCGAAGAAAGCTAAATTGGGAAAAAATATATCAAATAACAGACAATCAGATGTAATGAAAGCAGCACCCATTAGTATCAATAACACCTCCAAACTGAAAACTTCTACTCCAATGAAGACGACAACAAGTAACTCAACTCCAAAACCAAAAGATAACTCATCAAAGAAAATGCCTCATAAAGTGGTGTTGAAAGATGTCTCTCAAGTGTTTGCAAAACCTATCATGCCTTATCCGCCTTCAACTCACCAACAACGTCTTAAATTCATCACCCTCCTTGCAGGAGAACTCAAGAAAACTCAAAGTTGTCTGATACCTAACAAGGTAGCAATTGAATTGGAATATCAAGTGGCCAGTAAATCTTCAAAACAGATATATGTTGGAGAGTTCAAGAGTTTGGTGATGAAAGTCAAGAAGAAAGATGAGCAGATGAGAAAGACGATTGAAAATATTGTGAGGGCTGCCAAAGGAATCAAACCAAAGAAAATTACAGAGTCTAAGAGTGAGAAGAGTGTTACTAAAGAGGACAAAGGCGATATATTACGGAAAGTGGAAAAGTTTATCCATTCTGTGGAGACTTTAGAGAATAATGGGTATGTTGTGAAGGAGCCAGAGATTACTGTAAACTCTGAAAATTTTGCCGAGGAGAAACCAAAAGCTTTCCAGAAAGAAAACACCAAGAATTGTGAAAGATGCAATGCGACATTTACCCCATCTCGATCATTCAAAGGCAGTTGCAAATTTCATCCCGGGAAAAAAGTTTACAGCCGGGACTCGAAATTCAAATTATATTACCAATGGGATTGTTGCCAGTTGACATTCACGAATTCTGCCCATGATGATTTTGGGAACGATGAACGAGTGTTAGGGTGTCAGACCAACGAGCACCATGTGTTTAAGGACAGTGATCCGGGGGAATTGGCGAAAGTTCGACAGTTTGTGCGAACCAGCCAGTTGGGGGACGATCGAAGCACTGCGGCGGCAATTGTGGGGATGGATGCGGAGATGGTGTACACCACTTTAGGGTTTGAACTCGCGAGATTGACGGTGGTCGATTTCTTCCAGTCCCACAAGGTGTTGTACGATAAGTTAGTCCGGCCACAGGGGAATATTATTGATTATAATACTAGGTTCAGTGGGATTAGTTGCATCAATGCAGATAATTCCGTCAGTTGGCATACGATGATGGAAGAGTTAGGGCAAATCATCAATGACACGACGATCATTGTGGGGCATGGGTTAGAGAATGATTTGAACGTGATGCGGTTGATACATTATCGAATTGTTGACACGGCCATCATATACAAAGACGGGATGAGGAAATTGTCGTTGAAGTATTTGGTACAGCAGTGTCTCAATAGGGAAATCCAGGTGGGGGAGCATGATTCTACGGAGGATTCGGTAGGGGCGATTGATTTGGTGAGGTTTAGAATTAGATGAATAATAGTAAAATATACACCAGTGATTGGCCTACTCAGATACTTAGGGTAATGTTTTGTAGCATGGTATTTTTTTCACGGTAAACGTTGTGGGGTTGGAATAAAAATGAGTATTACTGCAGTGCTCATGAGCACATGAAAAAAAGAAAGAAAAAAACTCCACTCCGATCCTCGAGGCGGTGAAAAAAAAAAAAAAAAAAAAAAATTATGTGAAAAAAACTCAATGTAACTTTAATAGTCAAACAGTAGAAAAGAAAAAGATTTTCCTCACCATTCTGGTTTCATTTTTGTAAACATTTTTACAATTCTCATCATTCTTCTTCTTTCTATCTCAGTCGATTTTCACAAAATTTTCACACCCAATCAAGGGAGAGAAAGAAAGAAACAGAGAAATAAACAAAAAAAAAGACGTTACTTTTGTCCACAAATCACAAAGGTGCCCTATTATTATTATTTTTATTAATCCACACCACTTCCAATTCTTTAAACAGTTATTAAAGCTAATAACTTGTCCAGATTGCCAACAACTATTCTTTCCAAGAGAGAGCTTTTGATGAATTCAGAAGCCAGAACTATTCAACTAGTTGCCATCCAATCCTCTAACACCTACTGTCAAGCCTACCACTACGAAGAATGACAGCGTTATTCGTCGACTCTTCCAGATCGTTCAATGAACTTCTCGTTGACAACAACAACAACAACAACAAACCTATTTTAACACAATCCAACAGTGCCGAGGCCCAAAACCCTCACAATGATTTAGCCATCATCAACAAATCAATCAAAGCAGTTGGCCATGCCATGTACCAAACCCTTCAATCCCCAGAATTCCAGGATTTTTATAACGACAACAACTCGTTCTTTGTTTGCGACTTAGGTGAAGTCTATAGACTTTACCAGTACTGGAAACATAAACTCCCAAGAATCCATCCTTTCTACGCCATCAAGTGTAACACCGATCCAGAAATCATCAAGATTTTAGGGAAAATGGGCGCCAATTTCGATTGCGCCTCCAAAAGAGAAATGGAAATCATTTTGCAATCAGGGATCGATCCTTCAAGAATCGTGTTTTCAAACCCTTGTAAATTCAATTCCCATTTGAAATTTGCCAAAGAAGTCAATGTCAACTTGACAGTGTTTGACAACGAGGACGAATTGGTGAAAATCGCCAAAATTCATCCTCATTGCAAAGCGTTGCTCAGAATCGAAACCGATGATAAAGCAGCAGTGGTTAGACTCTCCACAAAATACGGAGCAAAACTTTCTGCGGTTGATTCTTTATTAGCCAAGGCAAAAGACCTTGGAGTTGAGTTAGTCGGAGTTCATTTCCATTGCGGGGCTGGGTCCGATGAGTTTGATTCCATCATCAAGGCCATCAAAGATGCAAGAAATATCTTTGATCAAGCCACGTCCATGGGATTCAACATGAATGTGTTGGATCTTGGAGGAGGATATATGATCAGCAACAATTTCGACAATGTCTGTACTGTGTTGAACACCACTTTGGACCAATATTTCCCAACCGACAGTGGAGTTAGAATCATTAGTGAACCAGGAAGATTTTTCCCAACCAGTGCCTTCACTTTGGCGTCCAATATTATTGGGAAAAGAGACTCGTACCATGATGACGACAACATTCCAATGGTTTATATCAATGACGGGATTTACGCCAACATGAACTGTATCATCAACGATCATTATACTCCTATTCCTAAAGTGTTATCCCAAGATAACCATTTCAGGTTCTATGACGAAATCCAAAACGACCTTAACGGGAAACATGGGGAGTATGAGATATCATGCTGGGGCCAAACTTGTGATAGTGCTGATGTGATCAACAAAACCGTTTCCATCAACTATCCTGTCAATGTTGGCGACTGGTTTTTCTTCAGAAACATGGGGGCTTACACTTTGGCAGCCACCACTGATTTCAATGGGTTCAACCAACGGTCAAAAATCGTTTATATTTCATCAGAAGAGCACGTTAGATACGACAAAATTAGCGAGGATTGGATTATCTAGCGATGTTTGTACCTGATGATCCGTTGGTTCAATCCCTGTTGTTGTCTTGCAAATAAAACTGCAGACTTCTTTTTTTTCTTTGATTATTTATCAAATTGTTAAGATCATGTATAATGCTGACATTTCTTCTTATAAATAGATCTTCCTTTGTGGTATTTTTATTATGATGATAATAGCCGCAGCAGATGCTGAAGTTGGTGTAAGCAGCGATGTTTTTTTTTTGTTTTTTTTTTAGTTATTCATTTAAGGAAGGACGCGCGCTGCGTAACCTCTGTGTGTTTGGACTTTTTCCCCCCTCCAAAATTCAGGAAATCTTTCATCAACAATGCCAATAAGTAATAAGTAAAAAATTAAATAAATAAATAAATCATAAAAGGATATATCCAATTATGGCACATACTCCAGCAGATTTCCAAGGCTGGGAGTTTGGCCAAAGAGATGCGATCTTTCAGCTTGATGGGGAAGAAACCCTGAAGAGGGTTCGTGCTTCCAGAAGATCTTCAAGAATGACCAGAGGTAAACAAGGTTCTTTCAGAGACGACCCGTTCAGCATCATTTTGAAAAGAGGCGATGACAATTTGGTGATTCAATCCGGGGATTGTATTCTCTACAATGAACGGTTCTATTACGATCGACAAAACCATAAAAAAATCAATCGAGCGTTCGATGAAGTGCTCTTGATTAAAAACGTGCGACTAAATACCGATGAATATGTGGACGTTTCTGCAATTTCGCTAAAGACTAATCAATTTGTGTTTGATGCTTTCAACGGGGCTCGGGTGAAATCAACCGTGGATTTAGATACCATTGACGATCAAGAACTTTTCATTTCCCCTAAACAGAAAAACGTTTATTGTACCCATATCATCAAGAAAATCGACGTGTATTCGTTTAAGAAATACCAATTGTTAAAGGACAAGCAGAAACGACAGAGCTATTTCTGTCAACGGGCTATTGATGCTACGTATTTCTCGCAAGCGTTCGATTACGAGGAACTATTAGAAGATTTAATGAAGAATGTCGATAAGTTTCTGCAGTTCATGAAGAAGTTGTTGTACGACGAAAATGAAGAGTACCTAAAATCGATTCGGAAACACGCGATGCCTACGACTCCTAAAAAGCCCAAGAAACCATTCATTAATAAATCGAAATTGAAAACAATGTTGGTGGGTGATGAGCTTGAATCACCACCAGAAGAAGGAGAAGATGAGCCTTCAAACAATCAACAGGATGGATCATCTAGTGACTACGAAATGAATGAGGGTGAGAGCTCGGAATCAGATGTGTCAATGGAAGATGTAATGGTAAATGATGATGATGATGATGAAGGAGACGATTATGAAGACACTTTGGCCAGCACCAGAAGGACAAGAAAAGCAAGAAGAACTCAGTCCCCTAAAAAATCGCGGAAAAGGCTCAAAAAGAAGAAACAAAGGCAATCCCCAGTGAAAAAATCAGTTAGTGAATCCACTCCCCTGATTCCAAGTAGGGTTTTAAAATTGGAAGAGGATACTGGTGATATTGGGACTTTGGGGGCGATTGATGAAGGTAACCCATCTAGAAAGAGAATAGGGTTCCAAAATGCTAAAGAACAACTCCACACCTCTACTTTAGGAGCATCGTTACCATGTCGTGAAGAAGAATTTGCTCAATTGTACCTTACTTTAGAAAGTTTGATTACCCAGCAAATGGGGAGCTGTATTTACATCAGTGGTACCCCTGGGACCGGGAAAACCGCCACAATTAGAAAAGTGGTTAGTGAATTAGTGCAAAGAATGGAAAATAACGAAATTATGGGAGCGATGGAGAAAAGAATTCATGAGTTGGAAGCTGCCAAGACGAAGCATCCTAAAAAGAAGCTGGAATTATCGACCACTCAAATAGTCATCAATGGTCTTAAGGATATCAAGAAAATGAGCCTTAGTGATCTCCAATATGTGTCCGCAAAAATGCTGGAAAAAGTGATGAAGGGAGAAGATAAAGCCTATGAATATCTCGACAGCTTTGATTACGTGGAAATCAATGGTTTGAAACTTATTTCTCCTAATGCGTGCTACGAGATTTTGTGGGAAAAAATCAGTGGCAAAAGAGTATCGGCTAACAGTGCCAAAAACTTGATTGAAAGTTATCTTAGTGATGATAAAAACACCAATAAACGCCCATTGGTAGTACTAATGGACGAAATTGATCAAATTATCACCAAAAATCAAAGCATCATGTACAATTTCTTCAATTGGCCAACTTATCCCAACTCCAAGTTGATTGTCATTGCCATTGCCAACACTATGGATTTGCCAGAACGGGTGTTGACCAACAAGATTAGTTCGAGATTGGGGCTCACCAGATTATTGTTCCCCGGGTACACTCACGATCAGTTATCGATCATCATTGATAAACGGATCTCCAACATGAATAAGAAGAACGACAGTTTACAAATATCTTTGAGATTTGAAAAATCAGCGATAGAATTTGCCTCGAGAAAAGTTGCCAGTGTTAGTGGTGACGCCAGACGAGGATTATCGATTTGTCGCAGAGCGGTGGAGATTGCTGAGGAAGAGTACGTACAGAAAGGCAAAGAGAATTCCAGTAAAAAACCGATCACGGATGCCAATGGGGTATATTACGTGAGGATCCATCATGTCATCAAGGCGATCCAAGAAACTACGTATTCTCCCACCGCGGTGTTTGTGATGAATTTATCGGTTCTAGGGAAAATCTTGTTGGCCGCGATTCTTAGACGACAAAAATTCACGGGATTCCCGGAAAATGAAATGAACGATATAATTGATGAAATGAAGAGAATTATCAATATGGAATTTTTGAATGTCAATGATCGGAATTTGAAATCCGGGCTTATCAAAGACAAAAACATTTTCGAAGCGTTCTTTGTCACCCCAACCAATCAATTGATGGGCTTGCAATTCTTAATCAACCAATTGGTTGAAGCAGGGGTGATCACCCAAGAAGAAAACAAGGCAAATAAATCAAGATTGGTGAAATTATGTATTCCCGACGATGAGGTTCATAACGCTTTAAGAAAAGAAAAGATGTTCCAAAAGATTTTGGGTTAATTTTTTTTTTTGTGTGTTTTGTTTCGTTTTTCGCCTCTATGTATTATAATTATTATTATTGTTCTTATTTAGCATTGTTTATTGTTGGTTTTGTTGTTGTTTTTATTCGGATTCTTGTGATAGTTTGTTTTGTATGGATCCTTATTGTTAAGATTAAGCGTCATTAGAAACAATCATTGTATATTATAAGTGTAAAATCTAGAGAGTCGATTCGTTATATATTAATATTGGCTCGCCTACCCCCGTCATCTCTGGTAGCGTTAGTTTCAAATCAAACGCTTTTGATAAGATAATCTTGAAGATTTTCTGGATATTCACCGAATGACTGGTGGAACAAAAGATTAAACTGGCCTTCATGGCCTTGGCAAACTTCATTGCCTGGATTGTAATCTCTTTCTGATCTTTCTGGGACATCTCCACGAACAAATCGTATTTTGTACCGATTAAAAACGGTATTGCTGTCTTATTGAAACCTCTTGCTTGACGATACCACTCTTTAATCGAGTTTAATGTCGACTTTCTTGTCAAATCAAACATAAACAAGATCGCCACCGAATCATTCGATACTAACGGTAACATATTGATAAACTCTTTCTGACCCCCAAGATCCCATACCGAGAAAGTAATTTCGTTGTTTTTTATATGTAGCGATTTCTCCATGAAGTTCACTCCCAAAGTTTGGGTATAATCTTCATCGAATAACCCTTCGACGTATTTCACCATCAACGACGTCTTGCCAATTTGCGCGTCCCCGATGAGCCCCACTTTAAGGGCCACTGCATTGTTATCTGTGGGGGATGTCTGTGAACCAATGGTGTTGTTGTTGTTGTTGTTATCACTCATTATATGTAGATGTTTTGACACACCGGTATTTCTTTGTTTACACATACACATTTTAGCCAAATCAAAACATCTTCTTTACTTTTTTTTTTTTTTTTTTTTTCTTTGGAGTTTTTCGTGGCGTCTGATGGACGCATATTATTGCATTGAGGCCATCGCGCGATCGGATTAAAAAAAATTGAGAATAAACTCTCACTCACATTCACCACCATCACCACCGTAAAGGTTACTACTATTCTATTTCTCTGAATAGTTTATTAGGAATATCCTTATCTCAAAATTAGTCTTCCCAAAGAAATAAAAAGAAAAAAAAAATGAGTTTGTGGCAGAATTTGGTCAATAGTAGAACCCCCAGATCAACATTGAGTCCCAATGGTGGATCATCCATCACCGTCCCTTCATTATCATCATCATCTTCTTCTTCTTCTTCTTCCTCCTCTTCTTCTACTACTACTACCTTATTTCCTGCCGCTAATTCTCCACAGCGAGCATCAAATTCTTTGACCTCCGATCGTCAAGGTCGCGGTCGCAATAAAGTCCGTCTTGAACCAGGCCATTCCCCACTAGATTGGGCAGTACTAAAATCTTCAGGTACCAATCTTCGAAATATCGATCCTCGAGATTTCCCCATGAAAGTCACCAGGGAAGAATTGAAAAAACACAAATCACAAGATGATTGTTGGACCGTCATCAAGGGGAAAGTCTACAATATAACCCCTTATTTAAAGTTCCACCCTGGTGGGGTCCCTGAATTGATGAAGTGTGCAGGAATCGACGGTACAGCATTGTTCAATAAATATCATGCCTGGGTCAACGCAGAAAGAATTTTGGACACTTGCTTTATCGGTTTTTATGTTCAATAATTTCAATGTTCTCTTGTTATTTCTTTACGCTACACAAATGGCAGATTTTATATTTTTATGTGGTTGTTGTTGTTTTTTTCTTTGTCGTGTCGAGATGCTACTACGCATAAAAAGAGCGAATCATCATTATAATCCCGGACTTTGGCATTCATCACATTTATGGTAGAAATTAATTTAATTCAACATTATTTTATTCAATATTCACTCATCATTATTATTATTATTGTTATTTCCAAAACTCCTTCATAAAAAGCATTGTACAGAATGAAAAAATAGAGCAAAAAAAAACCTTTGCAATGAGAAATAGTTTCTTCCATCTAAAGTGGAAGACAAGAAAAAAAAAAAAAAAAAAACATGGTCGAAAAAATCCCATAGAATGGCTGAGTAAATAAATTTCGTTTCAAGCCTCAATTATACGTACACCTAGTTCAGTTGGAAAGCTTGTTTCTCAGTTTTATCCAAGGTTTTCCACTCTTTCGCCAACGATATCAAAACTTCTGGGGTAGTGAGACCTGGATGTTGCTGACTGTATGGTCCGAAACGCGTCTTGACGAACGCTGGATATGCCTGGAGTGGGCCCTTGGATTTAGCCACAAGCTCATCCTTCTTTTCTTTGTAAGCTTTGTATAATTCCTTAGAAATGTCATGGTATTTTTCTTTTTCAGATTCCGACAATTTCTTCCAGTTGGAGGCAACAATCTTCATATTTTCAATAACATTATCACCTTTCTTGTAAATCTGTGCTAATTGTTCCTTTGCATAGACGATGTATGCAGAATAATATGGTGGCAACTGTTCTCTCAATTTCTTGTGCTTGTCCTTACTTTTGAGCTTTTTACTTTCCGCTTTGAACTGATCCAATTGTTCTTCTGACAAGGTGGCGAACTTAGAACTAATGTATTTCTCGACCGCGGTTTTAGAATGCAATTTTTGACTCCTTACTTCCTCAGCAATAGTCTTTGCGAAAAGATTTTTTGGGGTGATAACTTCATACTTTGGAACACCAAAAACTTTCTTGGTAACTGTCTTCTTTGGGGCATCCGCTTTCTTTGTAGCAGATTTCTTGGTCTTCTTTGCACTAGCGCTTTTCTTTGGGGTGGAGGTCTTTTTAACTGCTTGCTTCTTTGGTGGAGCTTTTGGGGTGGCAACAGTGGTGTTAAATCTCTTCGACAATGGTTGGATGACGTATTGAGAGGTCTTTTGCTTGTTGATGAGGAATTGACATAAAGTTCCCCTCAATGGATTTCCAAGAAGCGCAGGAGAGACGAGTTTCAATAGTGGTAATCTTGTAGCCTTCAACATTTTAAATAATATCAAACCTAGGAATTTCTGGGAAGTTGGGGTCTCGCAAATATATAAAAACTGATTCAAAGTGATCTCAAAAAAAAAAAAAAAAAGAAAAACCTTAATATAGAGATCAACACAAGTACAATAAGCTGTTTCAGTTTATCTTGGTATTATACCACCTATTCTGATCAATTGGTTTAAAGGCAAGGTTCGATTGATAAACGCTGACCTCTGACTGGCTGTTTGTTTACATTTTTACCGCCCTTTTTTAACGAAAACAACTAAACTGTCGTAGCAACCCAAGTTTCCCGGCCTTGAGGCAGTTTTGAGGCCAGTATGCATAATGGCACATGAGGGCTTCTTTTTAGGTTTTCAGTTTTTTTCGATTTCACTCACATGATACTTTTTTAGGGCATGCACTTTTATCTGTCACACGCATCACGTGTAGGAAAAATATGGTTAAGAACCTTGCGATCTCCCTGGTCTCTGGCTTCGCTCAGGCAGGTAGGTCTTTTTTCACAAATATCATCTATATGAAAAATTTTTGATATAATTCTTATCCTAATAACAGAAGACCAGAGTAATTGCAACACATCAAAATGGCTGTTGGTAAGAACAAGAGATTGTCTAAGGGTAAGAAAGGTATCAAGAAGAGAGTTGTCGATCCTTTCACCAGAAAAGAATGGTTTGACATCAAGGCTCCATCCACCTTTGAAACCAGAAATGTCGGTAAGACCTTGATCAACAAGTCTACTGGTTTGAAGAACGCTGCCGATGGTTTGAAGGGCAGAATCTTCGAAGTCTCTTTGGCTGACTTGCAAAAACAAGAAGACTACTCTTTCAGAAAGGTCAAGTTGAGAGTCGATGAGGTCCAAGGTAAGAACTTGTTGACCAACTTCCACGGTTACGACTTCACTTCTGACAAGATCAGATCCCTTGTTAGAAAATGGCAATCTTTGATTGAAGCCAATGTCACTGTTAAGACTGCTGACGACTACGTTGTCAGATTGTTCTTGATTGGTTTCACCAGAAGACAACAAAACCAAATCAAAAAGACCACTTACGCTCAATCTTCTCAAATCAGAGCTGTCAGAAAGAAGGCTATTGAAATCATCACCAAGGAAGTCCAAAACTCTACTTTGACTCAATTGACCACCAAATTGATTCCAGAAGTCATTGGCCGTGAAATTGAAAAAGCTACCCAATCCATCTTCCCATTGCAAAACGTTCACATCAGAAAAGTCAAGTTGTTGAAACAACCAAAATTCGACTTGGGTTCTTTGTTGGCTTTGCACGGTGAAGGTTCTGGTGAAGAAAAGGGTAAGAAGGTTGGTGGTTTCAAGGATGTTGTCTTGGAAACTGTCTAAACTTTTTTATTTTTTCTCTAAAATATAGTTTTAACGATTCAACTTTACTTTTTGTTCCCAATCCTCTACTTTGCAAATAAAATTATTTGTATCATATAAAGTTTTAATATTGTAAGATGGTTTTATGGTATTTTCAAGTCAACTCAAAATTTACAACAGTTTTTCAACAACCGAAGATTGATCTTCGACGTGCGGTCATATGGTCGGTGGAATAATCTCAAATATCTATGGGTGTACAATGTGTCACTCGTTGTTGTCATACTGGATCAAACTAGTAAGATAAGCTTTTCTACAAGCTATTCTGTTATCGATCAAAACGTTTGTTGTGCTTTGCTTCTAGAGAGCATTAGCTGCCATTTGGCTAATTTCAGTCTATTAGGGCAGCCCTTTTGTGTACCCATATATTTTCCATCATGCATATGACTTTTGTGTCAAGTGAAAGAAAACCAAATGCAAATATACATATATATTTCAGTCAGTACCCTATTGTTATTTATTTATTTATTTATTTTTATCACATTTTATTTTTATGGTCTATTTCTCTTTAGTTCATTTTTACAACTAATAACAAAAATAAATAAAAAAAGATATTCCTAAGTTCTTTAGTCACTTTCCAAATATCATATCACAAAATACCAACTACTCTCCACACAGAAACATGCCTGTCGAACTTTTAATGAGACCTATTATGAGGCCATTGGTGGTTGCCAAGTCTGTTCTCTTCCATCCCCATAGAAGAGCTTCCAGATATGTCCCAAAAATTATAGAATTTGATGAAGAGAACTTGACTGAGTATGCTATTAGAAAACGATTTGGTACAGGGTCCAAGGTTTTTGATGTTTTCGACACAACTGAGGGTGATAATGGGCCATCCGATTCAGAAAAAAGACTTTATTGGTTTGTCAGATCAAGAGCTGTGAAAGGTGCTTATAAGATGTATTCCACAAAGATTCTAGGTACCGGTCCGGAGGGCGAGGACGAGCCTATCGCCACTACGAGAGCTGGTCTAAGATCCAATGTATTGATGATCAGGTCTCCCGATCAGATTCCTGCTGCTGAGTTGGGTTGGCATGTTATCAATCATAGAGTTGATGCCAATGATAGTTATCGTGTTTTCACTTTATCGAACGGTAAGCAATTCCATTGGACCACCACAGGCAGATTCTTAGAAATTGTCCACAATCCGGGAGAAAAAGAATCGGAGGTTAGGGAACGAGTTGGGCAAGTTATTCCGGCAGGAACCGGAGGCTGGAATATCAAGATTGATGAATCGAAGATTTCACGAGAGTTGGCTATCACTACGGCACTTTCGTCGGTGATCGATCAATGGAACACGAACATTGCGGTTGGTGGCATTTACTACGCTAGACAGCAAGAAGATGTTAGATGGAAGCGTGACTAGGATGAGTAAGAGAGCCTTCCTGGGTAATACCATATAATAAATATGAACTGAGCTGGTTGTGTGTGTTTGTTTGTGTAAGTGAAGTGAGTAGCGTAGCATAGCCATGGATGGCAGTACCCTCCGCTGGCGTGTGGATTTCCGTATCGGCACGGGGCGGCCGTGACGATTACCATCACCAATTTAGATTTCTGTGACAACTGGCTGCCGAATGGTAACAGGACATATTATTTTGGTCTTAACTCCTTATACTTCCAATACCCCTTTTATTAGCAACAACGCTACCAAAAACGACAAATCTTGAGTTGAAAATAGCTTCTTGTTTGTCTAGTTCCTTTTCCTCCCGCTACGATCCAGCAACAAAACCATAGGCAGCATCAAAACCTCTGGCTCTTCAATAATAATAACAGACAAGCAAAACACCCCAATAGACAGACAATAATACAATAATACAAAATCCCTCAAAATGTACCCATTTATGAATACAAGGAAGCCGAATTCCAAGTCACCCATGCTCAAATTGAACACAAATTTTGGTGCCAACGCCCAACCAACCACACAAAAGCCAAATCCTTCTTTGTCTCTAAATACCACTAATCTAAATATCAACACCACCAGCTCTACCAATGATTCGATACAAAGACAGTCGATAAGTTTATCGATATCTAATGCCTACTCGCCTACATTATCCACATCATCCGACCAAAGTCCCAGTGTTTTCAGTAATGCAATTCTCGAAGAAATTGGTGGCAGTAACTCCAATGGTTCCCAAGAAGACTTCAGTAATAGTAGCCCTGCCAGTCTAGAACAGCGGATTCTGAGACCCAGTGTCGATAAGCTCAGTCTGTCTATGAGCAGCTTATCCTTAGATACCAAGGAAAGAATGGAGCTTACCAACGGATTGGTGGTTCCAAGGCTTAGAAAAAATTTCTCTAAAAGTATGGAGTTCGTGGTGAACAAAAGTTTGAACGAGTTGGAGGAAGAAGATTGGAAGAAGTTGTCGATTAGGAATGAGATTGTTGAGCTTACAATATTGGGAGAAGGTGCCGGGGGATCGGTTTCTAAATGTAAGTTGAGACAACAGGGAACGGTGTTTGCCTTGAAAACCATTACTGCTGATCCAAATCCAGAGTTCCAGAAACAAATTCTCAGGGAGCTTAAATTCAATAAAAGTTGTGATAGTCCGTATATTGTCAAGTATTTCGGGACTTTCCTAGATGAGCATCACTCAAGAATTTGCATCGCCATGGAGTATATGGGAGGCAGATCACTAGACGCCATTTATAAGAAGGTGAAAAATATGGGAGGAAGAATTGGGGAAAAAGTGTTAGGGAAGGTGGCGGAAAGCGTTCTAAGAGGTTTATCATATTTGCATAGTAAAAAAATCATCCACAGAGACATCAAGCCTCAAAACATTTTGTTGAACGAGGCTGGGGAGGTCAAATTATGTGATTTTGGGGTCAGTGGTGACGTTATCAATTCTTTGGCATCGACTTTCACCGGCACATCCTATTACATGGCCCCGGAGAGAATAAAGGGTGAATCATACACTGTCACTTCTGACGTGTGGTCATTGGGGTTGACGTTATTGGAAGTGGCTAAGGGAAAGTTCCCTTATAATCGCGGAGAGTCAGAAAATGAGGAAGATGATAAGACAGTACCATTGATGCCAATAGAGTTATTGAGTGCTATCTTGACATTTACTCCAGAGCTCAACGATGAGCCGGAGAAGAAAATCAAGTGGTCGAAAGCGTTCAGATCATTCATTGATTACTGTTTAATTAGAGATCCAATGTCAAGAGCCAGTCCAAGACAGATGTTGGAGCATCCTTGGATTATTGGGCAGATGAAAAAGACAGTTAAGATGGATAAATTTGTTACTGAATGTTGGGCAGATGAAAATAATAATTGATTATCATGTACCTATTTTTTTTTATTTTTTTTTAGTTTTCGTTCATATATTTATATTTTACTTGCTTAATCTGCATCGTCATTAGTGTTATCATTTATTGCCAACCATTTTGCGTAAAAATGCTGACAGGGTTCGTTTGGGTTGACTATTGGAATTGAATTTTGTTTGGTGTATCGTGTTTTCAACTTGCAACGCATATATGTTGTGAAGAATACAAAAAAAAAAAAGATATCATTCAAATCACCTTAAGAACCATTCAAAACCCAACAAGAAGCAAGCTGACGCATATAATAATAGCTAATCCAACTTTCTTCTTGACGTTTTCTACTCATCTATCACCTACACCTTTGACTCGCGATGAGTAAGCAATGTCGCATACTGCGGCTGAGAAGAAAGAGCGAAAAGAAACAGTGTTAGTTATCCTACAACTCTCACAAAAGACGGTTGACGCCTCTAGATAGCTCCTTATAAACGGAAATAGTTGTCGATATTTTACCCCAGAATTAATTCTAATCATCCAGTAAACGTGCAATATTAGTAGTTAGTTCCTGAGCCTCGCTAACATTCTCTTGCACGTGACGAGTCTAACAAAAAAAAAAAAATTTTCTCTTTCTTTTTGCATATAAAAAAAAAATTTTTTTCTTCCATCACTTTTCTATCTTGCTCTTAAAAAATTTTTTCTTCTTTTTTTGGCAAACTCTGCCCTATCGCCAAGTCATAACCTTGTCACCTACTTCTAAAGAGTCTCTATTCTAAAATTTCCTGAAATGTCTTACTCAGATTTCACTAAAGCTGAAGAATTGTTGAGTTCTTACTCAACTAAAGATGGTCTCGACGTTAAATCCTTGATGGATTCTAACATTAGAGGTGGTTTGACTTACAACGATTTCTTGGTCTTGCCAGGCAAAATTAACTTCCCATCCAGCAAGGTTTCTCTTAAATCCAAGCTCACCAAGAAAATCACTTTAAACACTCCATTTGTCTCCTCTCCTATGGATACCGTCACTGAAAGTGAAATGGCCATCAGCATGGCTTTGTTCGGTGGTATTGGTATTATTCACCACAACTGTTCTGCCGAAGAACAAGCTGAAATGGTCAGACAAGTTAAGAGATTCGAAAACGGTTTCATTAATGAACCAGCTGTGATTTCCCCACAAACCACTGTTGCTGAAGTCAAGAAATTGCAAGCTACTTTGGGTTTCTCCTCTTTCCCAGTTACTGGTATGTTAAATTTTTTCAAAATGAAGTATCTTCGAGCTTTTTTTTTGTTTTTTTGAAATGATGAACAAAACTTTAATAACTTTCGTTCTTCCGATTAGTTTGAACAAACGTTCTTGTGGAAAAAATTATACTCTGATTAAATTAAAATGAAAACAAAAAAAGAAGAAGAGACATGGTTTAGGCAATTGGGATGTATTTTACTAACAGATTATTAGAAAATGGTACTTTCCCAGGAAAATTAGTTGGTATTGTGACTTCTCGTGATTTCCAATTCCATGAAGAAGCGGAAACCCAAGTTTCCGAATTGATGACCAAAGAATTGGTTACTGGTAAAAAAGGTATCACTTTGACTGAAGGTAACCAAATCTTGACTCAATCCAAGAAAGGTAAATTGCCAATTGTCGATGCTTCTGGTAACTTGGTTTCCTTGTTGTCTAGAACTGATTTGTTGAAGAACCAAGATTATCCATTGGCCTCAAAGTCTCCAGTCACCAAACAATTGTTGGTCGGTGCTGCTATCGGTACTATGGAAGATGACAAGGCTCGTTTGGCTCTTTTGGTCGAAGCCGGTTTGGATGTTGTTGTCATTGACTCTTCTCAAGGTAACTCTGTTTTCCAAATCAACTTGGTCAAGCACGCTAAAGCCACTTACAAGGACTTGCAAGTTATTGGTGGTAACGTCGTTACCAGAGAACAAGCTGCTAGCTTGATTGCTAGTGGTGTTGATGGTCTTAGAATTGGTATGGGTTCTGGTTCCATCTGTATTACCCAAGAAGTCATGGCTTGTGGTAGACCACAAGGTACCGCCGTTTACAACGTCACCGAGTTTGCCAACAAGTTTGGTGTTCCATGTATGGCTGATGGTGGTGTTCAAAACATTGGTCACATTACCAAGGCTTTGGCCCTTGGTGCTTCCACTGTTATGATGGGTGGTATGTTGGCTGGTACCGCCGAATCTCCAGGCGAATATTTTTACAAGGATGGTAAGAGATTGAAGACTTACAGAGGTATGGGTTCCATTGACGCTATGCACAAAACCAGTAAGTCTGGTAATGCTGCTACCTCCCGTTATTTCTCTGAGTCCGACAAGGTTCTTGTTGCCCAAGGTGTTTCTGGTGCCGTTGTTGACAAGGGTTCCGTCAAGAAATTCTTGCCATACTTATACTATGGTATGCAACACTCTTTGCAAGATATTGGTTGTGAGTCCGTCGAAATCTTGAGAGAGGAAGTTGATGCCGGTAAGGTTAGATTTGAATTTAGAACTGCTTCCGCTCAACTCGAAGGTGGTGTCCAAAACTTGCACACCTTTGAAAAGCGTTTGCACAACTAGGATTCTAAATATTCCTTTCTTTTCTGATATCATATCATTTATCTACGAATATTATTATTATTTTTCATATAGACTGTTGCACAGATTGCAGCGTTTTTAAACACTTCTCTACGTACTATCGATGTATTTTCTTTCCATATTTCTTCAATTTTGGGTCACTATTTTTTCTTTCTATTATAATGAGACAATTCTTGAATTAGAATCTCTTGACAGAAGATAAGGATGATTGAGTATAAATAAACTGTCTTTTGAAATCTCTTCTGATCTGATCACGTGTAACGCACTGTAAATTTTTTTTGTTTGTTTTGTTTTGTTTGTTTACTTTTTTGAATGTCAATAACTCTGGGGCACTTCTCCTATGATATCCACAATAATAAAGCAAAAGAGGAAGAAAATGCCTGGAAATAACACCTCATTTAATGAATCTTCAAACAGTAAGAGGCTCCAGCTCCCTTCTAACACACACGGCTTATCCCCGATCGCAAATAAACCTTTGCTGCTGTTGGCAGCGCCAACTCTTACTTCAACAGGCCTTTATCCAGATCTCAAAACAGATATCACCAAATTAAAAGAACGGATCTCCCCTATCAGAAGAATACCCACTGACTATGGTATGAATCGTGAAAAGTCCATCAATATCGATAAACCTCCCATAAGACTCTCTCCAGTTCGAAAGCTAGGCACTCCTAAGCGATCGCCAGATCGTAATAACAAGGGACTACGATTTGTAAATCCTCGGGATACTTTTGGGATCACCCAGAGTGTTGATAGGAGAGGAGTCACTAGAACATTAGCTCTTTCTAATTTTGATACCTCGAATCTATTCAACAGCGGGGGTCCTGGGGACATGAAATTTACTCGGATTGCCAATAGAGTGTCTCACAGGTCCCCGAAAGGAAGCCTTGACAAACCACGAGCCACTCCACACAGTGAATCCCGGGTTTCCAAAAGACTTTCTAGTCGATTAACGGCATCTATGATGACTTCTACTAAATTCAAAGATCTTTACGCCAATTTAAAACACCCTGCGGCGTTTGATGGTGGTGTTGCAACCACGACGTTAACTGGGGGCGGTTCCCTGGGAATGATTTCTGCATCATCGATATTTGGGTCACCAATCAGTGCAAGAAGTACTCTGCAAAAGCTGGGAAGTAATAATTTATTACTGAAATTGAAATCGTCGTCAGTCAGTCCTCCTTCATATTCTCGACCTACGGCATCTTCACTACTAAGGAGCTCGGAAGAACTTGTGAATTTCAAAGACAATAACTTCGATGATAAAATTTCTCCAACCAAGATCCATGAATTAAATAATCAAAGAAAGAAGAATGAATTGCTACAATCGAAGATTCCAAAACTTAAATCGTGCCTAAAGACAAAATTAGCTCTGGCAAATCGAGTTTTTTCTATAGTGAATGAGCGAAACGATCAAGAGAACAATAAGGGGATAGAACTCGGAAGAAATGTCGGTAATAAGGAGAATGATTCCCAGTGTTTGTATCCAGGAGATAATAGTAATAATAATAGTGATATGTCAATGATACAAGATGATCTTTCAGATTCACCAAAATTTCAAACGTCAGTGGCCCTGGAACAGCAGCAGTTGAAAAAAAGAAAAAGCGTCAAATTCGACAGTAATGTTGAGGAGTTGAATCAAGATAATTCAATCACCAAAAGAAAAAGATCCGAAGCTGGTGAAGATGATGATACCATTAAAATTGTGGAAGAAGTAGAAGCAGATCATCAAGATAAGCACTGCAAGCCAAGTGAAACTCTAAAGAAAGAGATTGTAACGAGTCCAGTGGCTAAAATTAACCTTGCAAAAAATACGGTAGCAAATAATAAGCCAGATGAAGAGAAAAGTCGTGGGAAAATATTCATTCAGCGGCTACGGGTTGAGCAGAAGTTGGATGCTTTGACCAAGAACCAAGATATTATTATGGAACAGATGAGATCCATTGAGAATGAGATCAAAGCGTTTAAGAATCAAGCGTCATTACTTTTTGACAGGTACGACAAGGTGAAGGAGGCAGAAATCAGCATTCAGAAGGATATTTTGGTGCTCAATAGAGAGATAAGCCAAAGCTTGCTGAAGTAGTAGTAGTGACAGAAAGATAGTGATAATAAAAGGTCTATTGTTTTGATTAGCGGAAGCTGTAAGTTAAACCCGCGGAGGAGTCCCAGCCAACAACGTGCTGCGTGCTGCGTGCGTGCATGCATGGGGGTGTGAGTGGGTAGCCGCGGGTACGATCGGTGTGAGAGGGGGTGAGGACAAAATTGATTAGAAATCAGGCCCCCAATCGGGGGATGATGACACTATCACCACCCGCAGTACCGCGCTGTGATTGGCTGCTGTCGGTTACTCAGCCTTGGGGAGGGATTTGTATAAAAAAAGAAGGTTTTGCCACTGGGAACAAAAGTTTTCTTAAATTGTTTTGCCACCCAACTATTACCAATCTTTCCTGTTAGAACTTGAATGGCTGATCTGTCATCCTCTCTTGTTCTCTACATTTTTCCCGCATATTGCTAATCACCATCGCTAATATTAATAACCCACTACTACCTGCTCCCTATCACCCGCCAATGATGGATTCTCTTAAATTGTCTACCGCGTCCGTGCTTGCTGACCACAAGGTTACTAAGCCAAAGCCTGGAAGAAAGCTTTCCCAGGAACCCGCTAAATCAAAGAGAAATGAGCAAGTCCGTAACGCTCAGAGGAAATACAGAGCCAAGAACAAGCAGAGAATGGAATTCTTAGAGTTAGAAAATGTAAGACTCGCTCAAAGAATTAGCTATCTAGAGGAACAATTGAAAATAAGCACATCAACAACAACAACAACAGCAGCAGCAGCAGCAGCAGCAGCAGCAACAGCAACATCGGCTAACAAATATCCTTCGCCGCAAACTACTATTAGCGCTCCACAGTCTGCCGGCAGTGATACGGCTTTTGATTACGATGTTTCTAAACTTCTGTCTACTGATTTGGCAGCTGGCTTGCCAATCGAAATGTTTAGTTATGACTCTAGCTCTTCAGTGCCTATGGACACTGACAACAGCAATGTTGACCAACTTATAGATGAGTTGTATACCATTATTGAGAAAGAACAAGTAGATGAACCAACGGCTGGTTCCGTTGCATCTATTGGCCAGAGTGCTTCTAACGAAGAATTGAAATTTGTATTTTACAACAAGAGCACTCCAGCCACCACAACATCTTCTGTGGACTTCTCCAAGGTGGATTCCACTTCCGCTTCCCAGACACACCAGTTCATAAATACTGCGAATTGTCGCTCAGCACTGAATAATACCCAGATTAAGACTGAGCCATTTGATATTCAAAACCTTGACGAGTTCATTTCCGGGTTAAACCCTAACAACCAAGTAATATCTCATGATATGAAGAAGATTTTTGCCGAGTTTATGAAAGATGGGGTTAGCATTGAAGAAATCTTTTGCGAAGGCAATGATGAAAACTCAAATAATATGAACAATAATAGCTCGATTGAGGATTTCTTGAACTCGAATCACGAAGAATATTACAATAACTATGACCGCAAGAATAACTTCAATTTTGATGGCGGTAACGACAATGAATATGATAATGAAAACAATAACAATAACAACAATAACAATGATGAACAAACCTTTAATGTGTGTGGTATGATTAACAGCCAAACCTGTTCTTTGACCAATGATGATAACGACTCTAATGAATGTGATGATTTTGATGATATAACTGTTTTTCGTAAAAGTTATAGTAAAAGTCAATCAAGTAAAGGTAAGAGGCAATTGACTAAAGGTAAGAAGAGTATTAAGACTGAGATAATTTTAAGACAATTGCTCGTAAATTATGTTGATGTCACAGTAAAGTCTTTGTTCAAGAAAACAGACCATTCTTCATGTCATCCATCCCCAGAAGCAATTAACTTATCATGATAAGTGTTTTATTTGTCAACATCTTGAAAAAAAAAAAAAAAAAAAAAGGAAGAAACTGGGGAAGAAACTGGAAATAAGTCGATCGTATTAGAGAGTCTCTAACTCATACAAGTAAAAGTAGAACAAAAAAAGAAAAAAAAAAAAATTGTAATTAATCCTAAGTCATTCACTCTTTTATATTAAACATTTCTTACTCAGATAACTAATCAACGTAGTGTACTAATCGTAATCGTAGAAATTCGATTTGAATTCGAACCCGTTTTTGTTTACTTTTTTTTTTTTTCGCCGTGAGTTGCACCGGATGATTGACATGAATCAAGAAGCGAAAGTCATAATCTGAAAAAGCTCAAGTATTTATTGCTCTTCTTGTAGATATGATTGCTTTACATTAGTTTTTTATTTAATTCTGAAATTTTGTATCTCTATACATATGGGGACTACCATTCCCTTTCGATTGTATTGATACTTAGAGAAGCTATGACATCCAAAATATACCCAATTATATGTTTGGACAGCACAATTAGTAAGTTACCTATATTATTCTCGCTCTTCCCCTATGTGACTAATCTTTTCAAAAGGATATGATACAAGAGTAAAATACAGCTTCTTGGTATCAATACAATTTACAGTCTGGTCCATAAATCCGGCTTACAAGCTAGTTAGAATCTCCGTTAATCGCTAATATACAATTTATTTCTCATTTATCTTTCTCATATCTTCTCAAAGCCATTCTTCCTCGTTGTTTGTGTTCGTATCCCTTTATTCCTCCCTCAAATTTTACTTTTTATTTTTTTTCTTGTTAATTATTCCTAAATTATCTATTAAAAAATGAATGGCGAACTCCATCATCTCTTGTCATCACTACATTGTACTCTAGCAAACTATACAGATATATTCTTCGAACTATTGGAAACCTGATAAAAAAGAGTTACAAAAAAATTACAAGCAGAAAAATGATTAAATTTTCTAATATTCATTGATTTTTTGATCAATCAAAAGGGTAATTGGTTCTTGGATAGATGTCAAAGCACGACCCAACAACTCACTAATCATATCAAACAAATTTTCATCACTATCATATCAGTTAATTCTCTCATACTGCAATCGTATTTGGAATTTGAGCCATCAGGCTCTTTCATATGTGCTTGGATTAGCTTTCCCAAAGAGTGGACAACCAGATCTATCAACTGGGCATATTCTGGTAGTGATAACGTCACTTGGAAAATTTGTACAAGTTGTATCGTGGTGCAGATAGGGTATATTTGGGAAAGATATTGCATACTTATACAGTTATAAAAGCTCACAGTATTTCAGTCATAATCATTTATCGAAGGCTTAAAAAGGGGAATAAAATGAGTCTTTACATTTTACGCTATATCTATTGCTTAGCATTCGGTAGATGGTATTATCATCAAGTGACAGATGGGTGTAGGATGCGAGCTTTAACTAGAGATATTATCTTAAAATCTCAAGTATAATGATTGATAAAGTGCATCTAAGTGAGAAGTACAGTGCTTTTGAATTTTACAGAACAGGGGACAATGAATAGAGGTTTTTATTAGCAGTTGAAGAAGTATGGTATCTAATGATTTATTGGTCTACTGGTATTGGAAACGGTTCATAAATAATAGAATTTCTGATAAATACTTCAGTAAATAACGGGGAAAAAAGATATTGCAATTAGCCTTAAGTTTTTCATTTGACCCTCATTTAATATTTCCTATCCAGATGACTGATTATCGTAGTTTTTTTGTTAGTCGTAATTGAACAAATTCGATTTGGGCTCGAACGCGTTTTTGTTTATTTTTTTTTTTTTCTTTTTTTTTGTGAGCTAAACGGAAATAGTACTAAATGATTGATATATCGTTATACCCAACTTCTAACAATTGATCACCAGCTTTCTCAATACCGCCCTCCCTTCCAATGCAATGGATAATAACAGCCACAGCGAACGACCTCGCAGTAGGGTCAGGATGTTGATAAAAAAATTCTCCAATCCCAATCTTGAGACTCCATTTTCATCATTTGAAGAACCGGCGGAATCACCAGAGGATGCAAGATCTCAACCTCTAGGAGACCAAAATATTAGGAACCTTGATGATACCGATGTTCTATCTAGTCTTAGAGATTATGAATCCAACCATGATGAAGATTATGTGGATGATGGAGTAGATACTGGTAAACTCATGGCGGAAGTTGAGGTGAAAGAACGCAGCATGAAACTGGGGTATCATCATAATGACTACACCAAATATGATACCACCAAGCTTTTATCATTGGCAGCAATTCGTCAATCTAGGGCCCTTGATGAAAAAATGCTGGACTTTACTGAAAAAAATACAAGAACAAACGATGATGAAAGTGAGGAGATTAGTTCTTTTCATGAAGAGGACCTCGAAAGGTTGAACATTAATGAATCGTCCACGCCAATCTACCACCATCGCCAAGAAATAGAAAATGACAGAGATATTGAGGCCCCTCAAGATATAACTGATATCTTCAATAAAAGATCCCCTGCGCAGCCGGTCCTGAGTATGGTGATTTACGTTGATTCACGAACCAACAGAACCGTGCCGAGCTCATACCTTGAGAAGAAATTATTGCCATTCAAAGAAAAAGATTTCAATTGTAAATTCACTTTCATTAGTAAATTGAATTCAGCGCCCCCTGCCAACCCTTATGGCGAAAATGTTACGATGAAACGGCTTTTTGTGCCGACACCCGATGATTATGTATTCTATAGGGAGGTTTGTGATTTGGTAGAACGAATTTTGAAATCTTTCAACTTCCAGAAATTCAAAGAGTTGCCGCAAGTATTTTACAATTATTGTAAAATATTGATGGAAAGTGGCTTGAATCCCAGTCAAGATCTTTTAGTGACTTATATCATAACGTTTCTTAAGGATTTCAAGGACAATAATGTGAAAAGATTACCATTGAAACTTAAATTGATTGCGAGAATATTTGCTTTGAGGAACCTCAAAACCGAGAACTTCTACCATAGTGATGAGATCATTGATTCAGGTGATGATTTGAGTTATGACAATGATGTGGTCAGTCGAGATGAATTGATTAACAAAAGACTGTTTTCTCGGTATCAGTTGAGTAATAACTGGTTGCTCGATGATGAATTCTCATTTGACGAATTTAACAACTGTAATTTCAATTTGTTGATCTCCAGGGCAATTCGATATTCCATCTTCTTGTATTGGCAAAGAAGAAAACAGCTTAAAAAAGTCTTTTTAAACACCTGGAATGTTAGATTCGAATTAAAAAAAAGAGAAAAGCGGCTAACTGCTAACTGGGAAAAGTTTTTAGTGAAAAAGGTCTTCGTAAATAAATTTTACAAGCCATACTTGAAACTGGTCAAATTGGAAAAAGTGGCAGCAAGATGTGCTGAAAAATCTTTAAAAAAAAAATGTTTATCAGCTTGGAAAACAAAACTACTGAATATCAATGCTTTGAATAAAGTTGCCCAGGATCATTATCTAGGAAAATTCTTTAATTATATGGTTTCCAAACATAAATTGCTTGGGATGAATGTACAAAAGGCAATTGGAATTGATGAGAATTCATTGAAAACTTACCATTTGAAAACTTGGAGATTAAAGACATCATTGGCGGGAGGCTTGAATCGAATCAAAGCACTTCATGATGAAGCTTGTATTAAAAACGTGTTCAGCAAATGGCGAAATAAATCAGAAAAGATCAAAACTATGGAAAACGACGGTCAAATTTTGACCACTGCGATATTTTGTGCCCCCCTATTGTTTCTTTGGAAAGAAAAAGCCCTCATTCGAACCTCTCAATTCACTTCTCTGACCGAAAAAATTACCACCCGTATTAAGGTAAGGTACTTTAAGAATTGGATTACTTTAACGAGGATCAATTTGCAAAAGTATGAGTTTGAAAAAAATCAAAAAATCATAATGAAAAAATTTATATTTGAAGCCTTCTTCATTAAGAATCATGCGTTGAAGACTTTGGAGAATGATTTTCAGAGAACCAAAAATATAGAAATCTTAGCTAATTATTTCATCAGCTGGAAAAATATCACCATGATCAACTTGAAAGCCACCAAATTCAATGTGCAAAGATTGAAGGCCAAATACATGCACCAATTGAATAAAAGCTATGAATTGTTGATGGTTGAAAATTATTACAATTATAAGCTATTGCAAAGGTCATTTGTCGCATGGGAAAGAGAAGCAGTGTACCATCAACGCCTAAGACAGTTTGAGTTAATGGTATTGAAAAAGTTCTTCATGATTTGGAAAGAATCAACTCAGGAATTGTTGGTAATTTACAAAAATTCTGAACGGGTGCATGACTATTTTCTTAAATTCCGGATGATTAAAAATTGGTACAATAAGCACATATATTGGATGGATCAAGACCATAATGCTGATATTATTTTCATGAAGAATAAATGTCTTAACAACTTTATTGGTGGCTACAGAAGAAATATTGAGAGTTTCAAAAATAAAGAAGAGTTCATTCTTGAAAAAAGAGACGTGAATTTGAAAAAGCGGTTTTTGCAAACCTGGAAAATAAGAATATTTGAATTACGACAGGAGAAATTGCAAAATTATTATCAAGATTTCGTTTCCAAAAAAAATCAAGGAATGACCGAAAAAATTTTCGGAATTTGGAAATCTAGAAAAGACCACATTGCTGAGTTAGAGAAAAATGCAAATGAGATGGTTTTGAGAAAACATTTATTGAAAATTGTGAAGCGTTATATTGAAATTGATGACTGGGCATTGTTTGCGATTAATTATCATAATAGATCGATTTTGAATAGATGTTTTGAGAGGTTGATCGAGGTGTCCAATAAAAATTACGATTTGAGAATCACCCTTGAAACGCATGTGAATAATCAGAATTTTAAGATCTTAGAAAAAGTTTTCAATAATTGGTCAATGAGACTCATGAAATTAAAACAAATGCAACAGTCGCTCAAGCTTTTCCGGGAAAAGTGGGATAAGGCAAAAAGCAAGAATGTGTTGTTGATTTGGCAACAAAAATACCATGATCGGGCAACCTTGATTGAACAGTATCGACAGCTTGATAGAACTTCAAATATTTTGTCTAGTAACAATTCTCAGGTCATTAATGATTCGATACTACGTCGTGTATCACCAATTAAGTCGTTCAATCAAAGAATGGGGATTTTACCAAATAACAATACCAAATCAGAGTACTCTTTTATGGACGATGGTGACCATTCGAATGATGCGAGCGATCTTATGGAAGATTTACCCCAATCTCCATCTATGGAGAAACAGAAAAGAATTCACACCAGCTCATCGTTCAAAAACCTGTATGGTGGTGGTGCCAGTTCCAAGAATGAAAAATTGGATATTCCCACGATCAAAAATGATCAAGCTATATTATTTTCCTCTACCCCATTTAGCAATAAGATGAGGTTCACTAGTCCTACGAAATTCGACAGACGGCCAGACTATGATATTAGAACACCGTCTGCGTCTAGAATTATCAATATGTCTCAAGTCTTCAACAAAGATGCTCCGATTTTAAATCAAGCTGGTTCTTCGATTACCAAATCGAACGTGATAAAGAACGAGAGACTTAAAAGTTTAAAGCGGTACTATAATAGTAGTACGAAGAGATGAAATTGTACAATAGTTTTTTTTTTTTTTTTGTTTTGTTCTGTTTTTCCATGGTTTACTTTTAATATGTATATTATATTTTTATTGTACAATAGATTATTGCGTTCTTATGATTTTACTTTCCTTGGCCGTTTTTTTTCTTTCTCTTTCTTTTTTAGTTTATATTACTTTTATTGGGTGAAATTCAAAATAAATATCACTAAAAATCAAAAATGATAAATCAACTCAAATGAAACTTCCAAACTTATTCAAGAAACTAGAATTATAATCTGCTCTTCTTCCAACATATTGTTGAATAATATCTGGGTTTAAATTCACCAACTGGCCTTCTTTAATCAAGCTGGCAATATAATTAGGCTGGACGGTGAACAAATTAGCCAATTCTCTCAAAATTGAGAATCTTTCCGATAAATCTTCAATCTTCCATGAATCAATCAATGCCTGGTAACTAATGATGTCCTTTGTCACTATCACCCCACCAATTTCGTTTATTTGAAATTTCTTTAAATGATTAACTAGCAACGACAACAAATTGATCCCGATCTCAATGAGGAAATTCTTCAAGTTAGAGTGGATCAATAATTTCTTTGGTAGCAATTGGTCCAAATAAAGGTTATTGAGGAATTTACAAATTGCTTGACAGGTTTCGGTGTCTTCGTTGTTAAATTCGCTGGTGATGTACGCATCATCGTCAAAAGAGGTCAAGTTGGACAATTTGTTGTTGGTCACGTAAAAATCTTTCTTTTTCTGTTTATCTAAGTAGTATTGGATCTTGTTCAAAATCAATTCGATGGAATCTCTCAATATGATATTCAAGGAAAGTTCACAGGTGGTTAAATACCCGTTGGTCAAATTGACAATCTTCTTCTTGGTGCTGGAATTGTTTATGGAGAGCGGTAAAATGATCAATTTGATGAAATCGGTGAGAAGTCTCAAGATTCTATTGGCCTTATTAATGATTTTAAGAAAATTGAAATTCAAAAATTCGTTTTTCTTGAAATCTATATGAATCAATTTGTAATAATTGAGTTCTAGACCAAATTCCAAATATCCTCCAATACCAAAGATCAAGATTCGAAGAATCTCCAAAGAATATTCCGGAATATTCAATGGCCTGAGATCTGATATTCTGGATAACGATTCCACTGAGTTCTGGATCATAAAATCGATTTTTGAGAATTTGATATCACTGGCTTCATCACTATCAGTACCATCTTCATTGAATGCATCGCCATCGAATAACGTAGAATCATCGCTATCCCGCATTTCGCTAAAGATACTATTAGCTTGGTCGACTTTAGGGGAAAGCAACAACGAGTCGTTCAAACTAGAGAATTTTGACGAATTGGAGGAAGTTCTTTCCAACTTTGATTTCATGTAGGTACGGATTTGGATCAATTTATTTTTTTCCAAAATGTTGTGATGACTACCACTACCAGCAGTGAAGCTGCCGATTCTCGATGTCAACAGTGGGCTTCCCATGGTTGGCGAAGCCAAAGGAGAAAGTAGGTTTGATTCTTTCACGGAATCGGTAGTGGCTAACCTAACAGATAAGGCCTTGTCCTTGAATATCTTTGGATGCTTTTTCTCAAAGTTAGAATTAATTTTTGTATAAATATCTTCAAGCGACTTCTTTTCTTTTTCAATATAGTTCTTTTCGGTCAAGAATTGGAAGAATAATTCATTAAAATGGCTATCTATCAAATTGTTCAAGTCATTAACTATGGATTTGCTATCTTCATCATCATCCTCATTATTATTATTTTCTCCCCCTCCGATATTGTCATTATTGTTTGATCTTCTAATCAATGCATCTTCCAAGTATATTTTGGAGTGATTCTCATTAAAGAATTCTTTGATTTCGTTAGTGAAAGTTGTAATTGAAACATTAAGCAAGTGAAGTAATCTAACATAAGCCAAATTATTCAATGACTGGGAATAGTTTAACAAGTTGACCACAATATTATTGAGCTTTTTTCTAAATATTTGTTTCAAAAATAGGTCGAAAACTTTGATGAAGAAATGTTTGGATTTATTGAAGATTATTTTGATTAAATTAAATTGGTTGAAGATCAAGTTCTGAAATTTTTCAAGCAAGTCTTGCAACTGCGGTAAATCTGAAAGAAGCTTTTCATAATTATAATGAATAATTGGATCAGATATAAGCTTCCAAAACTCATGGTTCTCATTCATGAATTCATTATTATTGAGTATATAATCTTCTTCTGGTAATGGTTGACCCAACGCTTCAATTTTTCCAGTGTAGGTGTCATATATCTCGGTCGAGTTCTCATTGAAATCAATCAAAATATCAAAACACTCCTTCATTTTGAGAGTGTTTTCAGTTTCGTAAGATTGGTTGAATTCCATTAAAAGTCTGGTTTCAAAATTATTAGAAAACTTCAAAATCTCTTCATAAACGACTTGAAACTTCTTGTGCTTTTCTTCCTGATCAGGATCTCCTCCATTGTTAGTTGATAATTTTTTTGCCAATTTTAACAATTTACTAATATATTTCCCACAATTCTTTTTATCGCTGGATTTCTTGGAGTTTTGTAGATCAATCAATAATTTCGATTGGTTATATCTGTAGAAATCATTGTAACATTTAGTGAGAAAGATGATTTCCATATTCTGATCTTTCAAACTAGTGGCCACTTGCAATTTTTCTCCCAATGGGTTGATTATTGAGCCAACATCCGATACCACAGTTTCTAAACTGCCAAATTTATTATTGATGACCTGGACTTGATCCCACAACTTGATCACTTTTTTGGAATGATAAAGTTCATAGTCCATAACCTCATTCTCTAGATTATTCATTTCTTCTATATTCTTCTTCTTCAAAGACTTCAACTCGCTTAATACTGATTCAAAAGTTCTAATAAAAGGTTTGGGATCGAGTTGTTCGAGGTTATTATCGTTGGTCTTTGATTCGTTCAACGAGATTTCATGCTGTTTTGAGATCTCTTCGATGAAATCCGACGCACTGAGATCCTCCAAGAAGTTGCTCAGATGAAGAATCTGCCTCGTTCTGTCATCCAATTCATATAAATTCATCGCCGCTTTGGAGTTACTCTTCGTTTGCTGAATGTTGTCAAATATCAGCCACATCAGAAACGCTTGATTTGTTCATAAATTGCACAGACCGCACCGCACGCACGACAGGGCATGCAACCGCACGATCAATGGGTTCTTACGATTATTATTATAGCTATCTATGTTGTGGGAGTCTGTTTTTTTTTGTTTATTGATTATTACCTAGAATTCTATACTATATTATTATTACCTGACAGTCTACAAAAAATATATTCTAAATGATCTAGAGGTTACACCAAATCTTTTCCGAAAATTATGGCGTCTGTTGGCTTATCGTCACCCTTAAGTCTCGCAGCGTTCTTGATCAACCCAACTCTTTCGAAACCCAAACTGTCCCAAATCTTCACACTGCCAATGTTGCTGACAAACACCAAGTTGAAAACAGAATATGTGTAGCCAAGCTTTGGAGCCCATTTCAAGTAGCATTTACCAAGATTCTTCCCGATTTTGTATGGGGTTCCTCTGCAGTTGAAACTGACCAAGAATCCGGCATTACAATTATGAGAGCATCTTCCGGTGTAGTTTGGCTTGATATAGAAAGTCCCAAGGAACAATTCATCCCAGTTGGCAGAGCTTTGTTTCAAAATAGAGGCATCCTTGTGGTCACCTTTGACCAAAAGGGCCACGAAGTGTGAAAACCAGTATCCTTTGAACTTCTCCAAACTGAGTTGGTCAAAATATGGATACGTTCTGCCACCTTCGATTTCTTTGTTGAAAGTGTCGAACAAGTGGGTCAATAATTCGTCCGATATTTCCAGAACATTATTGATAGGAAACAATGTTGCTTGAGTGGCTTCTGAATCGCTCAACGTCACTGGCAATGACTCAGTTATTAGCTTTGTTCCTGATTCATTGATTTTCTGAAGTTCCGCTTCGTGAGATTCACCAAATGGCACAGTCATTTTGTTTAATTGTTTCTGGTTGTTTTTTTGGTTTAATTCGATTTCTGAATACCTGAGGTATCTTGATTATATTATATTATATTATATAATGTATAAGACTGATTTGATGTATTATGATGATTCATGATTTCATAGAAATCTTGGAAGAAAAAAGAAAAAATAAAATAAAATAAAAAAAGCGCGCATTCCCAGATTTGCATAGTTTACGGAAATATCCAGAATAATCCAAAGATATTACACATTTTTATTGAACTTTCATAGTGGAACGGGGTAAAAAAAAAAAAAAAAAAAAAAGGAAACAAAAGAGAGATAACATAAACTATTTCTTACTTTTCCGTATTCTCCTCTCCTTTTCATACTGGTTTCTTTCACTACCTTCAATAGTGTTGATAGAGTTAACAATAGATACCATCTTTCTGTGGTACTCTTCGTATTTGGTCTTGGTCTCCTTGATCTTCTCTCTAGCAACAAACTTGTTATCTTTACGCAACTCCTTGATCGTGATCTTCTTCTCCTTCTTGATTTGTGCTTTAAGTTTGCTGATTTCTTGACGGCCGGCATCTGGATCATAAGATTTCTTCTCTGGGTTGTAGTTCTCTTCGAATTTAGGAGCATAAGTGGCAATGGCAATTGGCTTGTGGCTTTGTAATAATAATGGCTTGTGGTCGGCAAACTTCTTGGCATTATTTATTCTATCTGTTAAGTTCTTGGCCTTAGTTCCGAGGGCACAGTCGGATTCTATTGGGAGTTTGGATAAAAGCATGTTGAATGGTTTAATGATTTCAATAAACGCAGTTTTCCCTTTCCAAATATCTAGATTTTCATCGATTACTTGTATAGTCTTCACCAACATAAGGTTTGCATCAATATTATCGTCATTCAATTGGCTAATTGACATTTCTTGAGCAAGCTTAATATCCGACTCAGTAATATCATCCTTCAATGACAACTTGAACTCTATTTCAGGAACCGTCAAGACACTAACATCTATTTCACGAGCAAATACACACATGGCCTGTTCCAAGAAAGCTGAAACTTCTGGAATGTATCTTTTAGCAATTCTTTGGTATCTGACCATCAAATTGGAAATGAACAATCCATAAAACATTTTCTTCGCCGAGTCTAACTTCATTTGATTAATGGTCATACAAGCAGTGATAATCGCAGGAGTAACTACCAAATGGTAGTGGTCAGAAGTGGAGAATAGAATACCTACAAGGGTATAAAACATCATGTCGGAAACCTTCAAGAAATCAACATTGTCATTTTCCAAATGAGCCGCAAATCTGGCTTCGATATCTGTAAGATGTTCACGGCACGCCTCAGTGATGGCAACGAAAAACTTTGGTGAAAGTTTCTTCACAATCTTGATCAATTGTTCCTGGGTCTCCACATATTTTTCGTAATCTTTTTTGGCAAAATCACTGTCTGAAAGATACAAAATATGCTCAATGACCACTTTAGTGAATTGCGCGAGTTTTTCTTTGTTACCTTGGGCCAAGTTAGCCTTGTATTTGCCAAGAATCATTCTGACGGTGTCAGCGGATTTCGATGGTTCATCAATGATGGCTAATAACTCTTCGTGAGTTTCTGGACATTTCACAAGACTAGAGATACTCTTATTCTTGTAAGATTTCTTAGTGTTGGACACCTCCTCTTGTTCATCATCGTCGTCATTATCATTTTCTAATTCAGCATTATCTTCGTCTTCGACTTCTTTACCTTCTTTTTCTTCATCATCACTATTTTGCACCCAGAATTGGTCATCGTCAAGATCATCACCAATAACCTCTTCTCTATCCATGCCTTCCATACGTGCGGCTCTTGCGGCTTCCAATTTTTTCTGATTGTCGGTTTTTTCTTTCTGAACTTCTTCATCGGTTTTAGTTCTTTCGGTTGGCACGGCCCTTCTTTCCAATGTAAGTTTTCTAAATTGTTGACCGTATTCTTTATCTTGTTCAGATTTCCCAGAGAACTTATTGGTATTCTTGGAATTTTGTTTAGCAGCTGATCTCAACTCCGACATAACATCATCAAACCCTTCATTAAGTTCTTCAACTTGATTTTCCAATTCGGCTTGCTTCTTTTGACGTTCATGCTTGTAAAATTTAGATTTGGCAATGACTTCTTTCATCACTTCAGCTTTGGTCTTCTTTCTCTTTGGCTGTTCTTCTTCTTCAACCTCTTCGCCTTCATTATGATAAAGTCTTTTACCGCTGTCATCTTTAAGTCCTAAGTCACTATCTTGAAAACTATCGCCCAAAGACTGGCCAGAATGGGTCAATTTGAATCCTCCATTCTCATCGTCTTCATCGTCTTCATCGTCATCACCCAAATTGAACAAACTTCTCTTCAGTGAGGTCTTCTGTCTTTCCCTTGTGAAACGTTCCAACATCTTTTCTTCCATACTCAACGCAGGATTATTTTCCCCGAATCTTCTATCGATCAACGACCCAACTTTATTCTTTCTAGATTTTTGAAATTCGTACGCAGCCTTTCTTTCATCTTCACCAATTTGTTTAGAAACACCTGGTCTCGCTACCTGAGTTTTCCCCTTTTTTTCTTGGATATCATATTTATTTTTCGTCACTTTTTTCTCAAATGGATTGAAATCATCTCTAATCTTCTGGATAATTTGTTGTCGGGTATCACGTCTTGATTCAATAGGGCCTTTCTTGTTTTTCCCATTCTTTTTCACGTTTGTTTGCCCAGTTAAACCTTTGGCCTTCAATGTAGCCTTAAGGCTCTTCAACTGAGATCCTCCCATATTATAGTTTGTTTTTTTTTCTGGGTTCGTTAAGGTTGATGAAGTCCAGTATACCCACTCAGTTTAAAACTGAAAATTTGCAACTTTTCATAAGAAAAAAAAAAAAAATTTTGCGATGATCTGCGTGATGCTGCGTGCTCCATAGGAGCGGGTTTAACATGGGACATCGATGATATACCGGGCAGGACCTTGGTTATGTTCTCCTCCATATTCAACGAAATGTTTCTCACTGAACTACGTAGTAATTACTTTACTCAGCCGGCAAAAATTTCAAAGAGTTCTACCCACAGATCTACGAAATTTTTGGAGAAACCAAAAAATGTAATCCATAATGCTAAAGAAAAGAAAGAACTATGTTAAGCAATAAATTTATATCAAAGGAGAAAAAAAAAAAAAAGAAATACAAGAAACAAAAAAACAAGTTTATCTTCTACCACCTCTTCCTCCTCTTCCTCCTCTTCCTCCTCTTCCTCCTCTTCCTCCTCTTCCTCCTCTTCCTCCTCTTCCTCCTCTTCCGCCTCTTTCGCCTCTTTCATCTTTACCAATCTTACCTGAATTCTTAGCCACGAATCTAGTCTTAGCCTTGGTAGGTGTTTCTTCATTATCACTTAAATCATCATCATCTTCGACGTTTGTTTTACCTCTCTTATACTTCAATCTGTTTCTTTGGCCTCTGATTGGGCCTTGCTTCACGGCATCAATATAAGCATTGACGGAGTTATCCTTATTCTTCAACAAATCATCACCTTCTTCCTCGACGTTACCTTCTTCATTAAAGACAAACTTACCATTCCTAGACTTGAATTTATTAGCCAAGGATTTTGGCGCACTGTTATTCTTGAAATCTGGTCTGGAAGAAGAAATGTGGGCAAGAGCTTGTTTATCCAAAAAATCCAATGGAGAATCCTTGGATTCGATAATAAATTGCTTAGACTTACCCTTACCTTTACCACCGGACATTTCCACATCAGACTCATCGTCATCTTCTTCATCATCGCTTGAGTCTTCATCGTACAAGACTTCATCATAAGCAGAGACAAACTTCTTGCCCTGTTTCTTATCGGCGGATTCTTCCTCACCAGCAGCAGCAGCAGCAGCTTGTTTCTTTTTGTTTCTCATCTTGGTCTTCTTGATATTTACGAGCAATTTCAAGTCGGCTTCTGGCATGTTGGCTTCCATGTTCTCATAACCAAAACGTCTAATCATACGCTCAATGATATGCTTGACCTTAAGCTTGAAGTGGCCCTTGTGTTCATGTGACCATCTCATAAGATATTCCAATAAAGTCTTCAATTTTGGCTGGATAAGTTCCACTGGTAAACTCAAAACTTCGACTTTCACAAACCCGATGGTACTCTTGACGATTTCACGGTTATTGGAAGTCAAAAACAATTCAATAGTCGAGGAGATTTCCTGGAGGAACTCTTGGGGCAAGTCATCGAGGAATTCGTACACCAAACAACTCAAAGCAGTGATGGTGGCACTAATCATGTGTGGAGAAGAACCAGCAAGACCGGCAGAAACAATAGTGAAGTATTCTGATAATGTCGCTTCGACACTTGGAGTTGATGGGTCCAAACCTGGAACTTTCCCATTCTCAATGGTACCACCTTGAGCTAAAAGTTTACCCATTTGCATCAAAACAGCATAAGCGAGTTGACGGGACTTTTCATTGACGTCTTTTGTGGCCAAAATGATTTCCGAGGCGACACTTGGCACAAAGAATAAATGATCTGATGGCAAGATATCCAAAATCTTGTTGATGGCAACCAAACGGGGCCCTTTGGCAGAAGGCAAAGCCTTTTCACTGGAATCAATAATCACTTTTTCAATATCAGAAACGAAATTCTTCAAAGCAGCTTGACCAATTTCAATCTCTGAAAGCTTGGAAATGATTCTGTATGAACGTTTTTGAATCAAACTATCAGCTATACCGTTGGTCAAATTGAAAATTGCAAAAAGCGCATTGTAAGAGCTTTCTGGGACATATTTAACCATGACTACCACCAAGTCCATCATAGTTACACTCAAACGAGGTGGCTTGTTTTTAGAAAGGTTGGTATTGTTAGAAGTTTGGAAACTGTTATTTTTGTCATCATCTTCGAGACCACTCTTAAGCATGGAGCACACTTTATTGAAATTATCTTCAAGAATAGCAGGAGGAGTGATTTTCAACCAGATATCAATAGTTTCCAAGATATAGCCTCTGGCATCTGGGTGAGTTTGAGAAAACACATTGAATAACACTGAAAGCATATTTTCGGCCATGGTAGATGACAAATATTCAATATTCTTTTGAGCATTTTCAATTGGGAATTGTTGAGATAATAAGACATCTTCACTAAGAACCCCTTGAGAATACACCAAGTTACTTTCGACAATCATCTTCAAAGCATTGCAAATGTTTGTTCTCAAATCCACTTTAGAATACAAAAGACTGGCCAATTTTTCGGCAAACTTCACATTAAATGCGGTTGGCAAATCATTTGGCAAATCACAAAAGTGTGGCAAAAGAGACCAGATTTGGTCAACCACTGTTTGGAAGACTTTGACATGTACAGAATTCTGGTCCAAGGTGGAAATTTTCTTATCAAAGACATCGACAAGTGGCAAAACGTTGTTGATATAGTATCCCAAGCTTGAGTGACGGACGTTTTCTCTGAGTAAAGGCAATAACCAAGCTCTACCAGGCTTTGAATTGGTTGGTTTTTCCAAGTTAAGAGGCAAAGAGCTCAAAACGACTTCAGCTCCCAAATTGACAATGGCGTTAGAAATCACGGATTCTTCTTCATCCTTCAAATCCAAAGTAGAGGTAGATTCCTCGTCAGTTCTCCATTGACCGACAATTTCGAAAGGCTTGATCAAATCTGGGTTGGATCTGTATCTAAGCTTGTTGAGCAAGTTACCGAGAATATCCATAACTTCTTTGGCACAATGAGAGTATTTCACTGATAATAATCCGGTGACCAATTCAGAAAGCTTGGAAATTACTTCATCTACCGCTTCGTATTTCTCTTCATCAACCGGATATTCAGAGGTTCCTGGAGGTAACAACAAGAGTGGGTCTGGAATACTGGTATTGATGATAGAAATAATACAGTTAGCACTGCTAACGTAGATTGATTGGATATCTGAGCTCAAGTAAGCCGACAAGATCTGGAAGATTTCAGGTAATTTACCAAGACATTTAATGGCATCAATTTTCGAGTAAGTTTCAATAGCTTTGGCAACCACGGCAACCCATGCGCCGACAAGGTTGAAGTCGGTGGCAGAAGGTTTCAAATCAAACAAGATATTAAGGATTGTCATGAATTTATCTGTATAAATAGGATCGGCCAAAGAATCAAACAAATGTTCAAACACGCTGAAAGCAGCGGTGACAAGAAACTGGTCGGTGGTCTTAGAAATTTCAAGAAGGACATCACAAAGTGGCTCAACTTTACTACTTGACCATGAGTTGGCAGATGAGATTGTTTGAATCAATTGAAGGTTATGGATTAGCTGGGCGTTGAGCTCTTTATTTGGTTTTTTTGATTTCACCTCGCTAGAATTGAGCAAATCCACAATTGATTTCAATGCGAATTCACTACATGGGTTACCAGCAACGTGACCCAAAGTTGGGCTTGGAGGAGGGTTGCTAAGAATTTTGTTGATCGATTCCTGGGCTCTCTTTCTAATTTTTGGACGGTGATCCAAAGAAAGATCAAGCAATGCTTGAAGAGCTCTCCAAGGAGAGATATTTAACTTTGAGCTCCAAGCTTTGGCATCTTGGGCAATGAGTAAAGTTTCGAGGGCACCGATACAGGATCTGATCAAAGGAGCTTCGGAGTCTTCGTTGGTGATCGCTGGAGCGAGCTTGATCAAGATATCGCTAAATTTGGCCTTGAGCAAAGGTTTTGGGACAAATGGGAATACGAGATCCAAGAAATAGGCAGTGGAAGTGGCAAGAGATTGGTCAATTATTTCCTCATCTTTGAAACTTTGGTTAAGAAGGGCCAAGAAAGAAACGAAATAAGCAGTTGGGTTTTGAGGATTCTTTTGTTCTTTGATGTTCTCTTCGACAACTGAAAGAATCACCGCGAGGTTTTTCTGGTTCTCGAGTTTAGAATTTATCTGAGTTCTTATTCTCTCGAGTTTGATCTCGAGCTCCAAAAAGTCTTCGGACATTTGGTATGTAAGAATTTTGAGTTAATGATAACACACAAACTGATACAAATGGGTTATTAGTGAAAATTTCAAAAGGAAATACAAAAAAAAAAAAAAAAAAAAAAAATTTTTACTGCAGGCCATCATCAACTACCCGTTCTAGATGGTTCGTGGGCATTTTGTGCTTTACCAGGACAAAGTGGAAGTACCTCAAGCGATCTGTGTTTTGAAATTATTATATATTGTTAATTCTAGTAATTTACAGTCCCATATTGTAAGAGAAAGTATTATTGTTGGCTGTATTCTGCTGGGAAATCTTCTTTTAGTGGTGAACAATATACCGTATCAGTGGTTCTTGTGGCTTGTCATCGATTATGTAATCGCAGTGCACCGTAACCAAGGGTGTTGAACCCCCGATCTCGCAAGGAATTCTTTTTTTTTTTTTTTGATGTGAAAGAAACCCCCTCTGGGCCATCACCACTTGACTTATCCAGAAAAAAATACCCCCGAGTTTATCATATCTCCCAGATCAATAGCTCACTGTTCCTATCTGCCAGTACAGTATTGTTTACTCCAGTGCTGCTTGTGGCCTCTTACCGTCTTTCACAACCTGCAAAGAACCACTGCTTTTTTTTTTTTTGTTTTCATCCTATACCCACCAAAATACAGCTCGAAAATGAACGTATCCAAGAGAACTTACGACGATACAAAAGATTCTGTTGCCACGCATTTCATCAACACATCTACACATGATATTGAAGACGGGGTCATCGTTCCTGCCAAACGTTTCAGGGAGTCTGGTGGTCAATTGGAAGATACCCATTCTTCACTTTATCATATCCTCAACCTCGACGAAATCAACAGTAAAGATAGACGCGACACCAGTTTAACCTTCCGTTATGCCATCAAGCCATGGTTGCAAGGTAAATTAGCCCCTCTTGGAATTTTCCTCACCATTGAACGCTCGGATACCAAAAAAATCGTGTTCCGTTGTCGTAACAAGATCCCAATCGACGACATCGACGCCGCCAACGACCCTCATTTGGCCGATGATAGAGATATCGTTACCAACACTGCTGGCAGAAAATTCCGTGGGTGTCCTTTTAAAATCCGTGCCAACTACTCTAAAAAATCCGACAAGTGGAATATTTCTGTGGTCTGCGACCGTCACAACCACGAACTTGTGCCGCACAAATCTTTCCAGAGCAGTACTTTATCACTTAATAACGTTGGTAATAATGGAAGAATGCAGCCTCAGAGACCAATGATGTCGCCAGTAACGGCAGGAGGAGTTCCGGCAGTATCAGTGATGCCATCGGTGACTGCCTCTGGTGCCATGAATAATAATAATAATAATGTTATGCCTCAATCTCAGATGCAAGTGGGGAACTCTGTACAAAACCTTCAAGCCCATGAATTTGCTCGTGTCCCATACTCTATTGCTTCTGCTGCTGCAGCAGCGGTTGCAGCTTCTGAAAGGGATTTGTACCAAGGATTATATATGCCACAGGCCAGTGGGTACGGTGCTGATTTGACCAGTTCTGCGGCTGCCAGTGCCGCCGCTTTGACCCGGTTGGTGCAAATGGCCGAAGGTAACAACAACACATTATTGAAAGATAAAACCGATGAGTTCATCAAGTTGGCACACAACGTGGTGTTAGAAAAAATCATTAACAGTGCTGATCGTACTATGGAACAGAAAACTAGAATTGTCGAGGAAATGTTGAATGGGCTTCATAAAGTATTGCAGAAGGAACGCGTGTTATGATGGACGGTGTTGAGTTTATATGTATTTATTATATATTATTAAGAGGTTTTCAAGTTGTACTATTCTTTTGGATTTGTTTTTTGTTTTTAAAGAAGAAAAAAAAAGTATTGTTAAAATGCCTATCTTCTGTTGAGGGTATTTGCATTATTTTGTTTTGTTTTTCTCACCTTTTTTGATTACTTTTTTTTGTGTGATTTGTTCTTGATGTTACCATATATTTTACTTTCTCTATGTATTTTTTATTTATTTTGCATAATTTGTGAAATGGTTTTTAATTTGATTTGTTCTATTAGTGTAATTTTTTATCCGCGTTACATAGAATAGAGTAAATTTATGGTATGGGAAAGTTTTAAAATCAAACTCATTAAGTGATTACAATTAACTGAAAAAAAGTTGGTTCCTTCACTTCACTAACAGAGTAATCAAATGGGGATCACCTAACCCACAACTGTTTATAAAACATTATCTATAGTGCTCTTATCAATTCAAAAAAAAAAAAAAAAAAATTACAAATCTGTAATAATATCTTAAGTGACAGTCAAGTACCAGGTATGTGTGCGGTGGTGTTGCTATGAATGGCTTCCTGGTACTCTTTTCTAATCTGAATATGAAAATAATATATTGCTTATTTTTTTTGTGTGACTTTCGTGTTTTTAGGATATTTCTTGCTGAATGATAATATCCGTGCTGTGGGAACACACATTTGTTAAATCTGGTTAATGAAGCCTCGTGCTCATAACCATAAATTTTATAATATAAAATATAAAATTTATACTTCTTAAAAACGATCGTAATCTTGAGGATAATCCAGCAATAAAATTTCGAAAATAGTTAGTGAAGCCAGTGAGCTGCTGTGCTTCCTTGGACAGTTTCAGGCGATATTGACCATTAAGAATAGGTATAACACCAAAATACTGGTTTATTGCTAGTAAATGCTTACTAGTAAATGACCAAGAAGAGGAGATATTATTTACAGTTAGCAAAAATAATTATTACATAGAAAAGTATATAAGGATAAGTATCTAACCGAAAGGTTAAAAAAACCGAAAGGTTAGAGGGGAGCTAAAAATATAATGAGTCAATAACGACTATACAGCCCCTATTCTGAATATTGTAAGAATAATCATAAAACTATTATATTAAGATGTCCAGAAATAATCCACACCCATAAGCGAGATCTCTCCGGATTCATTATCTACTAATATTTCCCTGTTGAATAATACGAATATTTTTCAACACTAACAAAAGACAAAAGACGTGATGTGATTACCTATAACCAGATTGTTTAATAGAATAATAGTAGTAACGAGTTTAGACGTGGTAATGAGCAGTGATGAGTACGTATCAAGTAATGGTAAGTGATATAAATAATAAAGAGTAAATAATAAAGGAGATAGTAAAGTCTTAATTAAAATATAACAATGATGAAAAGGTTTCTTGAAATGATAGAGCATCTTGGTATGATTTAGATACAACCACATATGCTGAATGAATTGTATATTAACGAGCCACGGAGGTTATAAACAACATGTAAGCGGAGGATTTTGTGTCGGTATTTCTAATAGGTAAAATAAACTACTATAACTTCCTCACAGCATCATACTCCTTGTTTTAAGAATTAAACACATCACCTGTAAAAAACTCAACAATTAAGATTATTAAGGCGTTTTGGCACTATATCTCAAATACTAAGTATTTTCAATTTAGTGACCATCAGAATTCTGGAGGGATAATAAAAATAAAAATAAAAAAAATAATTCAAATAATTCAAATAAGTCAAAATAACCAAATAAACCAAATAAACCAAATAATTTAAATAAGTCGAAATAATCAAGTAAACCAAATAAACCTGGTCACGTGACCAATACAATGCTATCAGGTATATTGTACTCTCAAAAAATCACACTCATAATTGGAGGGTTGGCCGAGCGGTCTAAGGCGATCGACTCAAGAACAGTCTTGTTCTTCTTCTGTGAAAGCAGTTGAGTAATCGATTATCGTAAGATGCGCGAGTTCGAATCTCGCATCCTTCATTATACTTTTGCACAAATGCAGCCCCAAAATATTTTTTTTTTAAATCATAACTCTTTTTTTTTTAGAGGAGTTTTTATTTAGTTCTTTATCCATTTTAGCTACTTAATTGTACTTGCTGGCCGATTACTTGGTTTAGAAATGCAAAATATGTTGTGCTGCAACATTTCCTGTATGGGGTAACCCCCCACATTACTCCACAGTTAGTGCAGAAAGCTTACATATTTTAGTGACGATCCAGAAGGACCCGCCAAACTCATCAAATCGTTATCAGTAATGCTGTTGAATTAGTTTCATATATTTGAGTACGTTAGAGATGCAATTGTTTTATTCTATTTTTTTTTTTTTTTAATTATTTTTTTTATTATTGTTTTTGAAATGTTCAGGCCAATTTCAATAACCCGGTATCGACATCATAAACTAAACCGTAGACTTCCAAACCTCTTTCTTCCATGGCCTTGTTGACCACTGGGTTTTGTTTGATAGATTCTATTTGAGCTTTGACGTTCAATTCTCCCAACTTCTTGTTCTTCAAAACTGGGTCTTCGATTTGTTGCAATTCATGTTGGTGTTTGAACTTCAAGGAGATCAATGGTGACAACCAATCAACCAATTCTGATGGGACTTGAGAATCGTAGTAGTTTTCGGAGTTGGCAATTGACAAAGAAGCATCGACCCCACCACACTTGGTGTGACCAGTGACCAAGATCTTCTTGACTTTGAGGGATTCGACGGCGAATTTGAGAATAGCCTTTGATGAAGGATCAGATGGGTTGTTCATGATATTGGCGATGTTTCTGTGTGTGAAAATTTCACCAGGTTGCAAGTTCTTCAAAGCGAATTCAGAGCAACGGGAATCGGCACAACCAATCCAGAGGGTATGAGGTTGTTGACCCAAGGAGTTTGAGTTGAGGACGGCAGGGCTAGCGGAGGTGGCCCATTCTTGATTAGCAGAAAGGTAGTCTTGAATAGAAGATTCTGGAGAAAGACGGAATGAAACGGCAGACATTGTGGAAATTTTTTTATTGTTTTGAGTAAAAGAAGTAGAATTGAATAATGAAGAGCGTTTTAAAAGGCGTAAACTCATGAATATTTATATGGGAAACAAGATTATCGGTCCGGAAGATATGGGAACCAATGATAATTCTGTTAAGTTGTTGGCGGGGGGAGATCAAAAGAGGCTAGTAATGTGTGTTTCTTCTAGCTATCAGCAGTGAGTGGGATATCTGATAAATTATACTGATTAGGGGGGGGCAATAATAATGGTGTGATGTGACAGAGAGAGAAAAATAAAAAAGGCCTGAGCAATTCTACATTGTAATTTTCGAGGATGATTCAATATATATATATACATAGAGACGGTAAAATTTTGTTGGTAAAAAAGCAATTCTGAGTAATAGATTGGAAAGAAGGTTTATTGATGTCAACGGTGCAAGCGGTGATGTCAGACAGGTTAGAGGAATTGTTGGCCAACTGGGCGGCGGGGCACCCGGCGATGACTGCATCTATGATCAGCACACATGCATAATGATGCGTGGGCGGGGGGTGTATTAATCAATCGACCACTGCACCCTCTGGTGGTGCACGGGTGTCATCATCTGATATTCCAGCACCCAGACACCGGAACTTTGGTGTGTGGGCGGAGATCTCTCAATATCAGAATCCCAGCCTGTTGGTATATTGTGACAAATACACAACGAGAATCATCATAACAGCAGCAGCAAAAGCCTATTGTTGTGGATTCTCATTTGTCTATCTGTCTATATATCTATCTATCTATCTATCCATCTACCTATTTATCCACCACTATAATGGATGATAATATAACAGCAATAAGTTAGTTTGCTTTCCCCTCCTTCTTCTTTTGCTGCTCTGGGCGAGGCTAATTAATTACTTGTCTTCAATGGAAGTTGCCTCGCTGATGAAATCTCCTAATTAATCCCCGACCGACGACCCATTTATCTTTGCTGATAAAATAATTTCTTCTGTTTCCTTAATCCGGCAACTTGCGATCCCACTAACCCATGCGGAGGGGGCGTTGTTATTATTATTATTATTATTATTATTATTATTATTATAATTATAATTATTCTGGCACTGTCATTGATGATGATCCAACACTAACCATACTTACCACCACTAATAATAAATTAGCTTGCCTTAACAATAAATTAACAATTTCAATTTCATTCCCCGAAGCACCAATCTCCTTCCTCTTTGTCATTTTTTTTCAGGGCGTTCCATACGCACCGTTCCGCCCCGTCGCGCACAAACACCAATCAATTTCTAGACACATCACCGGTATAAATATATTGGGATTTCCCCCCACCACTGTTTTTTTTTTTTTTTTTTTTCCTCTCCCCAGTGTCACCACCCAATATTCCTCGAGGATTATACTATATTGTATTATATTATATTATATTTATATATATATAGGTATATATAAATATATCCTATATATATCCTATATCTTTATGTTCTAACCAATATCCCCTCCTCCTCCCCACCATAATTAATAATATATATATAATATTATCTAGAATAATATACTTATCTATTATTTCATCTCCCATCATGGCATCTCACTACTTTGTCAAACCAACCCTTCATGAAAAAAAAATCAAGGCTTACAAGAAGAAACATTTGCAACATTTGAAATCATCACCTTCCACCCCGTTGCCGAACGATGATAGAGACGATTCCACTTTCAATTACTCAAACTTACTCTACCCTATCCATCCTATCCCCATGGATATCTACAACTCTATCCCTTCTCAAAAATTGCAAAACTTGCCTTCTTCTACAAACCCCATCATCAGGAACAAATATTCCACCCAAGTCGATTCTCGGTCCTACCTCACCACTTTTGAGTACAAGATTAATGGGATCTCCATCATCTGGGACTACAACACCGGATACGTTCATCTCACCGGGATTTGGAAATCGTTGGGAAACTCCAAGGCCGACATTCTAAATCTTTTGGACAACGCTCCCGAACTTGAACCATTCCTTAAGCGGGTCCGGGGAGGGTTCCTCAAAATTCAAGGTTCCTGGTTAAATTTCGACAATTGTTATAAGTTGGCGTGCAAAATTTGCTGGGACATCCGATTCGCCCTTGTTCCAGTTTTTGGAGTCAAATTTTTGGACGATGTGTTGAAACCTGGTCAATTGGGTTACGGAGAATTGAAATTGAATTCTTACATGCCTGGAGATCCAAATGACAAAACTAATGAAAATAAAAAAAAAAGAAAGAAGTTGCACGGTAATCAAAAAGATGGCGACAGTCCAGCAGATAAACGAGTTTTGAAAAGAACCAGAAAGTCAAAATCTCCAACCGTAACTTTGGAAAGCTCCATCTCATCATCATTATCATCATTATCATCATCATCATCTTCTTCTTCTTCGACCTCTCCAACATCCGGATCCCCACCAATAACCACTGGTTATCATGCTACATCACCAGACTATTCTAATGAAGAATATAGTCAAATGATTGCTGCCAGCAATTCCCTCCGCAAATTGAAATACTCTTGCCTTCAATCTTCTACGTCCGCTAAAAAGTATATAGGATACAAACTTCCTAGCCTTTCTTCGTCGTCGTCATCGTCATCGTCATTCTCTAGGTCAGTATCTCAAATCTCATTTCCTACCACCGATTCAGTTTCCTCGGATGATGATGAAGAATCCTCTCGGTTTTTCTCCATGAGATCGGCTAGTACTCCAATCGTGCCAACCACTTATTGTCCAAGTAATTTGCCACCACTTCCATCGACCACATTGGATACTTATCCAAATTCTGCCCCAGCTTCTAGTGGGGGTGCCGAGTATGCTTATCAACCATTTTATCGACAAAACACTCCTTCACCAACCCCAAAACCAAGCATTCAACTCGCATCATCTACAATGGGATTGACTCCATTTGGGCCGAGAGGTGACACTGCTAATTCTAGTGCTTTGGGGTTTGCATCAGATTACCATTGTGCCACCCAACCATCACATATTAATGAAACCCGCTCTTCTTCTTTGCAAAGTCTTTTGGATGCTGCCGATCGATTAGCATGCCATTCTACCACCAAGGGTAAAATGGATATTAAAGGGTTGATTTCTTAGGCCTGGCGAATCACAATGGTTTGCGTTTTTTTTTCTTCTTACTACCGGTGATTTCTCATTACACTCAAAATATTTCACTTCATTTCAGCTTTATTATTACTTTTGCTTTGTTTCTAATTATCCTTACTCATTGTTGCCACTCTTAATCGTTTTCTTTTTTTCTTTTGGAAGCATAATTTTCTAGTATTATATTTTTTTGCTATATTATATCTAACCATATACTTTATCCTATATTATCTTATTGGGTCTTTTTTTTTTCATTATTATTAATTTCCCCCTATTTTCTAATTTTTTACTTTGTCGTCCTGTGCTTTTTTACTCGTGTCACAAGAATCTTGTGTTTTGTGCTTGTTTATTATTAATATTGTTTTATACTATACCTTATACTATACTATTCCTGGTCTAGAAATATTAATTTATATTATACCTTGTCTGAATTTCAAGATTTGCATTCTTAGTAGCTTTTTCTTTTCTTTTTTTTCTATTATTATTGTGGAGATCTTCAAGAATATGAATATGATCCGAGTGAAAATTAGCAAATGGCAGGCTTTTCAAAGCACTGAAGAAGTTTCAAATTACTAATAATTCAACTATAGCAGTCTCCAAAATAATAACGTAATTATCAAGTGTATACCTATCATCAAGTGTATACCTACCATCACACAGAATGCCTTCAAAAGAGAAATCAAAAATATGCCATCATCATCATCATCATCATCATGATGATGATACATACGTCAAAATCTATTATTCTTCTTTGATTAAATGAGTGCAAGTGAATACAGACTTGTCGCCGTTATTAGACACTCACTAACTTTTTGACATCACCTCATTACTTGTTGTTATTATTATTATTATCATTTGTATTATTATCATTTGTATTATTATTATTGTTATTATTATTGTTATTATTATTATTTTTACTCTCTTTGAATCCAAAAAAACGGTTATTTTTTTCTTCCTCGGGCGTCCTCACCCCCTCTGTCTCTCTTTCTCCCACTCTAACGCCGAGAATCACACAGTAGTGTTAATTGATGCTAATTTAACTCAAATTGGAGGACGGCTTCCCGCCACATAGTAATTAAGATTATAATAATTAATTAATGAAATTTGGAAAAGAAGGGAGGGGGAATTAGCCAGTTACAAGCATTTTTTTTTTTCCATTTTCTTTTTTTTTGGGTCCCAATGTAGTAGTCATGGAAGAGGATAATAATAAAATTAGGCTTTTGGATATAAATAGCAGAAACAGAGATTTACGGTTCCTCCTTCTCACTAATTTAAGTTGTAGTTGTAGTTGAAGCTGGTGAAATTTTCATCATTATGGTCATCTTGTCTCAATTTCACAGTAGATTTTTCAAAAATATAGAATAATAACTATATCGTATCTATTAGATATCTGACAAATACGGATAATATCTATATTCTACTAGATACTTTCAAAAAAGATACCCCTCAAAATACAGATTCCAAAATTTTGGGCAATTAGATAAAAATGCTTTCTATTTATACATAAATAATTAAAAATACAAAATGGATGGAATTTAAAATGTATAAAAATTCAAAGAAAAAATAAAAAAATGTAACAAAGACAATTAGCAAAAGTAAAAGCAATATAGTGATCAAATGTCTTCATCTATTATGATGATAATAACGTCTTTTCTTTTCTTTTTTTTCTTTTCGGCTTGTCATGTCATGGCTTTATTATTATATTATTATGGCATTGCCACAGTGATTCGTCTTTTAAATAATATCTTGTGACCAATCATTTTCAAAATTCCCAATTTTCATCGGCAGATTCAATTGCCCACTTGAATTTATCTCTAAGGGTCTTAGTGAACAATTTCTCTATAGGAACATTGTATTTTTTGCTGAACATCACCGACAATCTAGGATCAATATAATTGATCTTTGAAGTACCTAAAGACACCGTAGCATTATCCTTTTTATCCTTCAATTGTAATGAAGTGGTGGCGATACGTTCTTCAATTTTCGTCACTTGTTTTTGCAATTTTTCAACATCATGGTTCTTATCCTCGATTTCTGATTTGGCAATCTTCCCAGTCTTGGCTTCTTTAAGATACATGGTTCGCAACTTATCGTACTTCTGCATAACTTCCTTCAATTCACTTGGAGGTTTCGTTGGTTTTTCCTCCATCTTCAATCGATCATTATCTCTATGGAATTTCTTGGTAAGCCGGTCTTTTTCTCGGTCAATGTACATTTCAATAATCGTGTTTTGGGTTGGTTCATCAATCGAACCAATTTCCGCAAAATAATCGGCCCCAAGTTTTTTCTTCAATTTGGAATCCACCATCAACATGATCTTTTTGAGACGAAGCTTTTGCCAACGCATTTCATTGATCTTATCATCGATCTTCGCCACGCTCGCCGCATGGCCTTTGGTGACCGACCGCTGATGGTTACACAAAATCGCCACCTCACGATTCGCAGCGTTGAACTTCACAAGCTTCTCATTGATCGACCCTTCATTCGGAATGTTTTTCAATAAATCTTGCATGGTCTTACTGGCATTATAAGTTCTGAACACTTTGGCGGTCAAACCAGGCATATAGTTTTGAAGATGCTTATTCAAAAGCGACGGTTCGATCCGATCAAACAATTGATCTCCAACCCCCTTTGGAGGCTTTTTGAAAATCTTCAAGTTTTTGAATACTTGTTTATCCACCTCTTTTTCTTGATAGAATCTGATCGAATCTTTACCCAAGAAATCGAAAATCACGGTATTTGGCGGCTGCAACGTGATATGTTCATAACGTAACGAACAACAACCCACGGTGTCTGCTTCATCATCCCCCTTTTCACCTCCGGCTCTCAACGCCAAAACATCAATCAAGTATGTGGCGGTTGCTAATTGACGATCGTACATCATTTTTGACGAAAGATTCACGTAATAATCACGACGGATCACTTCAATGTGATTTTTCAATTCACGGGCTTTTTCAAATTTCTTGAAATCACTCATCCCTTTAAGACTGGAATTGGCCGCCAATCTGACATATTTGGTGCCTCCTAACACATTTTCTTTCCACATGGCAAGCCACCCTCCAGTGTTATCATGACGGACTTCGGCCCATTTATGAGCAGCAGGAGGCTCAGGAATCTTTGCTTCTTTCCCAATATTAATGGTGATGTCCTCTGGATAAATCCGTTTTTTAAGAGTCCCGGTTTTTGGATGGGATCCTCGACCACGAAACAATCCTGGAGGTTCGACCCGGAAATTCCCAACTTGTTCTTTTCTTCCATTGAACATACAAAACTTGAACGGGGCCTCTTCTTCATCTTTCTTAAGTTTGATTTCTTTTTTCTCCGCAGAAGAAAGTGCTTTCCTTTGTTCTTTCTTTTCTTCGTAATGCTGATAAATTTTACTCCAATCACATTTGGCAAAATCTTTAATTTTGATGCCGTTTTTGGTACCGCCAGCCGCATCTAAAACCTCAAGGAAATCTCTAAAGAAATTCTTTTGGAACACCGGGTTTTTGGCATGATCGGTTTCCACCATCGCCCCGAAAAACCCTGCTACTTCTTCGGCTTCCAATGGTAACACTACTGGCTGACCATCATAAATAAGCTTGACTTTTTTAGGTAACGCCTCGTACGCTGGAGGAAACATCACCCCATTGTGTTCCAAAGTGTTCCATTTTATTTCATCGTTCATATCTTCATTTTCCCACCATTTGTACTCGTCTTCTTCCCCTTCTTCTCCTGGTTCATCATTGCTATCTTCCTTTTTTAGTTTTTTGGAAGACTTGGTTTCTTCAATTTTCGCTTTAGTTTCCTTTTTCACTTTTGGTTCCTTTTTCACTTTCGTTGAGGATGATGATCCAGCAGTTTTCTTTTTAGTGGTGGCTGGTTTCTTTGCCTTTTTTTTCGGTAAAACTTTCTCTTCATCATCACTAGAATCCTCAATCTTTGGTCTTTTGGAAGATTTCTTAGGAGTTTTCTTACTGGCATTGCTAGAAGTCACCGAAGTATCACTGGTATTTGGGCTTTGTTTCGAATGTTTGCTCATTGGGATATCTTCATCACTGTCGGACTCAAGGTACGAAACCGGGGTTTTTCTCCTGGCGCGACTGGCCAATGAAACATCGTCTTCATCTTCCGACAAATGGCTCATGGTTGGCGATAATAGTGTATTCTTTTGTGGTTGTGGTGGTGCAACAAATGGGGATTTGGCAACGACGACAAAAGATCTGGAGAAAGAAATATTGCGCAGCAAAAATAATAATAATAACAGTGATGGAATTTTTTCAGATAGCCTTCCTTCTTCCCACGCAGGGCCTCTTAACCACACAGGGTTCGAGACCATCTTCGCCATTAATCTGGTGAAGAGTGGGGGTTTTATTCTGGAGAGGGTAGTTATTGTTGAAGCCATATTAAGAATGGAGAAGGAGAGTGGTTACAGAGAATGAAAGAGCCAACCAGTGTGTTGTAATTATTGTTATTCTTACTACTGTTTATTTTATTTTACTCCTTGATGTATTATTTGGAAACTCCCTAAATTGGGGGGAATTTTTCTTTTTTTTGAAAGTTTTCCGCGGCTTTTCCGGGAAGGAAAAACCGGACTCTGAGAAATGTTCCGAGAAGGAAGGAGTGGAATATCATGTGACACTGCACCGGCGGCGGTGACTAAGCAAAGGGGTCCACGGCAGCGGATCGTTCTTCTTTCCTAATTGGGCAAGGTTGGATGCCGGTTTTGTTCCCTGTTATTCTTTTCCTTTTGGGGGGTTGGATTGTTGTGATTACCAGGTGGTAGGGATCTTATTACATACAGGGAATATATTACAATATATACAAGACAAGCAACAGTTGTCCAGTATCTTCACCGCCAGATTCCTATTCTTCTACTACTTCTTCTTCCTCTTCTTCTTCTTGTTGTTTTTCTGTTCTTGTCATCCACTGCTATTGTCTCCACTTTCTATCTCTCTTTTTTTCCATCCTAAGACTCAAATTAGCAATACAGCAACCAATACATATAGCCATATTCTTATTATATACAGAAAAAACAAACGAAAAAAAAAAAAAAAAAACATTATTAAATAAATCACACACTGCCATTGCTTTCTCTCTCTTTTCTCATCATCAATTCATTCATCTAACACACTCCTTAGCATTGTGATATTCAATAATAATAAGAATATATATAATCCAGACAATGCAAATAAAGCAATGAGTTACGATCATAAACCCAAACTACACACTTCTACAAATTACAGCTATACTTCATCAGACACCTCCAGACCCACTAGCAAGAACAGCAATAATGCCTATCCCGATTACACAACCGCCAACGATGACCAGTGTTTGCTGTTGGACGGTATTGACAAATGGCCCTTCGGTGAATCATCGCTAGTCGAACTTATTGTCCTTAGACAAGAACAAGAACGCACAAAACAAGAACAAATCAGACTTCAGAATTTGGAAAGAACCCTCCAAGTGTTGAAAGTATCTATTGAGGCTAAAGTCCCATCACACATGATTGCCAATATCTTGAACGGTTCTGTTTCTTCTACCACTGCTGCTGATCCGAGGGTCCCTACACCACCCAATCAAACCATGATGGTTTCTTCGCCAATTCAAAACCCCCCATCCTATCTTCCAACAGCGGTCCAACAATATCCCAAACAATATCCCCCAATCATCACCACAAACCATCAAAGAAGCTCGACAATTTCTACCACAAAGGAACTCTATTATAAATCGTCCCCAACTATATTGTTGTCTCCCAGCCATACCGGGCAAAATGAGACGCCGATCAATCATCAATACATCACCCATAATTCCCCATTTAAGTTCCCTAAAAAATTGCCCTACCCGATTCCAGAATCTCAACCGGTGATGTCGTTCCAACCGCCAATGTCACCAATCCGTTCTCCGCTTCGTCAACAGCCCAAGACTAAACCATCAATACCCGCAAATAAAAATAACGAAACTGTGGGTATGAGTTCTTTCCAAGGAGTAATCCAATTCCATCATTGGCAACTGGAAGATCCGGGAGCAACGATCCGCAAAGAACAACAAAAATCATCATCATTACCCTCGTCATCTGATAGTAATGGTACCGGCCATAGTCGCCAAAAATCAAACCCTGAGTTGTTGACCCGTTCGAAATCTCAAACTCTTAGTAAAGGATCCAAAATCGCTAAACCTACCGGGGCAATCAGTCCAACTAAACTGAATGCTGTCATTGATGGTAGTAATTCTTCTTCACTGTTTCGCAATAAGAGGAAAGTCGGCAATCACTCCCGTGCAAAATCAGAAATCGTTCGTACTTCGACGATCAACGATTTTGGAAAATTTCAAGTTGGCAGAGATAATATTTTGAACTCCAAGGATGCCCCTCCAAGGAAACTCCAACCACCAGTTCAGGTTTCTGGACCATTGCATAATAAAGATCCAAAATTCAACCCATTGAATAATTTGGTCAGTGCCGCAATGATGGAGACACATCAGTCAGCGGAAAAGAAATGATCTGGGTGTTGAAAGAGAAATCAGATCCAGACTGTGCTAATCAATACAATTTTTTTCTTCTTTCTTCCTCTTCTTTTTTTTTTTTTTTGAAACTCAAGTGATCTGCTGAGCTTCCCTCCCCCTCTTATAGAATAGACTTCATTTAAATTCTTTTTTTCTTCTTTTTATATTAATTTTAATTTTTCTTGAGTTCTTTGTTTGTTTGGATTCATTTTCATTCATTTTCTTTTCTTTTCCACACTATACTATAGCTATTGCATCAACGGCACAATTAATATTTTAATTTCCTCCATGAGGTTACGCTTGAATCAGAGTACTTCTCGTTTTTGAGGAAGCTGGAAAAATTATTAACTCATGATTGTTTTTTCAAGTATATTATATATATCAATAATTGAGTATTTACTGCTTATCCAGGATATTATGGTTCTTCTTCAAGTTCCGATTTGATAAACTAGGAAAATTGTAGATAATAACCTCCAAAGTTCCAATTCGGAAAAACCAAAAATTTCGGATATAAGTAGAATGTAAATACATGGGAAATATCTATCCAAGCACTCCTACCAATTAGCCAAAAAAAAAACTCTCCCAATTTATCAAAACATGAAATAGAAGAAAGAGCAAAAAAGAAAAAAAGCATTATTCCAAAACGTTATGCGAATTTAAAGAAATTCCAATTTACTAGCAGGGGGAAGATTATTTCATATACTATTTTGGGTTCCTGCTTCGGTATGCACGTGATGCATAAAACATTGCAGAAGATCATTCCTGTAGCCTCAAGATCAATTATTGTGATTATTTCATTAGTACCAAGTATATAAATACAAGAGATCAAGGAAAGCAAAACATAGTGATTATCTTATTAGTCCAAAAATGTAAGAGAAATCAGCGAATGTAAGAGAAATCAGCGAATGTAAGAGAAATCAGCGAATGTGGAAAAGAAATCGATGATGTTATTTGAGGAGTTATGAGTTGATGAGAAATGGGAACTCCTACATTTTTTTTTTTTTTTTTAGCATATCTATAACGAATCGCAAGAAGTCAATGGTATTAGAGAGAATAAAGAAAAAATCCAGTCAGAAAAACAAGAACAGAACTTAGAATATCCCCAGATAAGATCAGGGGAAAAAAAAGAAACAATGAGCGGTAAAGCGAAAAGAAAGAACAAAATAAAACAAACAAAACTATATCAGAACAACTATATCAGAGTAATTTTTTTTTTTTGTTTTCAACAATCAGCCAAAAGGTAGAGCGAGTATTAGCTAATCATGGGTGACCGTCAGTGACAAAAGCATTGAGGTCATAATCACCGGTGTAACAAGCGTTATCAAAGTCGGAAAGCTCGTACAAAGTGTCCAAATGGTCCATGAATTTGGAGAATTCACACCATCCGTCATCTCTTGGTTCACAGAAGTCTGGGAAGTTTTCTGACAAGTTGATGGTATGGTCGTTAAGGATCATGTGGATGTACTTGGTAGTTTCGGTGGTATTAACATCGTATTCGGAGATGATGGATCTGTTAGCTGGAATAGCAGCGGAACATTCAATGACTTCGAAATAAGTTTGAGAGGCGAATGGAACCACGGTGGAAGCATCCAATGGTTGTTCTTTGGAACCCAACTTACCATCGATGGTGAAGTTAGATTTGAATTGGTTCATACCCAAAGCTGTAAAGATGTTGGAAATGTCAGAATCGTGGGAGAAGTCAAAGTAAAGAGATTGGTTAGTTGGGAAGTAAGTAGGGTTGGCGTCCAAGGTGGTGTTTTGGGAAGCAAGAGTGGACCAGTCAAATTCGTTGGATCCGAGCAAACGTTGCTTGAATTCTTCAACCCAACCAACACCAAGAGCACGACCAACAGGAGAACCAAACATGTTGTCGTTGTACCAGTTCCAAGAGAACAAGTATTCGTAATCTTCCCATTCTTGTTGGGTGAAAAGGGAACAGAATGGAGAGAACCCGTTGTTGTTGACTTCATAAGTACAAAGTTGTTGCATGTCAAAGACAATGTCGGTAGTCAAGGTCAAACCAGTGAGGTTAGCATTGAATCTTTCCACGGCGTTGGCAAGATATTGCTTCTTGAACTTGGTGGTGTCAGGGTCAGAAGCGGTGAGGTTGTTGGAGATTGGACAACTGTCGGATGCCATGGTGTTGTTGTAACCATTGGATTCGATAATGATTTCCAAATCAGCGTAGTTTTGCCAGTCGAGACCGAAGAACCCGGCAAGGAAGTATTCAGCAGTGGCGGTGATACGTTCTTGAGAAGTGGTACGGGCAACCATCTTGTGAGGAGTGGTGTTGTTGGCACCCCAGGATTGGTAAAGATCACCATAACGGAAGAAAGTTCTCACACCTTTATCGAACAATTGCTGGTTACCGAGCTTGGTGAGGACATTGACCCCTTGGACGTATTCGTAACCGTTAAGGAATTCAAGTTCACCAGTGGCGGTGTAGTTGTGGTCGGAAAGAAGGGTACCAGTAGACATTTTGTGGGTTGGGTAACGAGAACCGTGTCTGGCCAAAACATGCACTTGTTTGATGGAACATTGTTCTGGCATACCGTAATCATAAATACCCCAGCCTTCTCCGACATAGTATGGAGAAATGGTACCCATCAATTCGAAGATGTTACGATCACCAGGAGCAGAGTCCTTGGCTTGGATAGCGGTTTCGATTGGTTGAGGGAGGGTGTAGGAAGAAGTTGGGGTACCATAAGTGATGGCAGCACGGTCAGTTTGTGCCAAGAATGGGGCCTCGGAAGTAGCAGTAACCCCGAGGAAACCGATGTTGGTTGGGAAAAGATCAACTGAGGAAGTGGTGGTTGCTGGTAAAGCAGCGGCGGATACCGTGCAAGCCGCATATAAAATTGATAATAAGAAATTCATTGTAGAAAAAGATGGTTTTATGATTAATTATTAATGATTTACAATAACCACTTTTATCAATTCCAGAGAGCATTGGAAGAGGCCTCTTATATATATGTCATGTCATTACCATCGATTCAAAGAACAAGAATGCTCGGCCTTTCTTGTCGTAAGTCAATTGACTGAAAAGCGAAAGAACGTGGGGCAGTTGCTAACTTTTTTTTTATTTTTTTTTCATTTTTTTATTTTTTTATTTTTTTTTGGGTAACCTCCTCGGCTGCGGCATTTGGGGTGTCGGGAAATGTGACATGAAGGCGACCACCACCACCCACGTTGGACCCCAATTGTAGGAAAAAAAAAGTGCCTATCAGCAGTCACCAGGCACATCTTTTTAGTCTGCAACAATCAGAACAGCCGATGACTCAAGAGGAGCATCTTCAATGCCCTTCTTGAATCATCAGCTATTACAAGTGTCCAGTCAGAAAGTCGGTGGAATCAATAGCTAACCCACTCCACCGCCATTGCTTTCAAAATAGTAATGGTAACGCAGTAATAACCGAGATACAATCTGCCGAGCTGAAATGCAATAATGTTATGCAATTTGATAGCTTCCCTATTGTGTTGATATGTCTAGGATCACCAGAACTGCCCAGTTGGGAACACACCTCGATAGTTATTGTTCGACATATCAATGAAAAGTTACTACTTCCAGTAACTTATCCAGAGTGATTAAATGTAAGCCACTGATGGTGCTAGCACGTTTCCAAGTTATCAACAATCTTTATAGACTTTCAACGGAACAATTGCCTATTTTCCTGTAATAGGTTGGGAAGAGCATCATGATCATTTTCATCCAATTATGGAAGAAATAAAACAAAACAAAACAAAAAAAGAAAATAAGGGAAAAGAAAAACTATTCCATATAAATCAAGATTCCCAAATGATTCCAATTTTTTTTTTTTTTTTCAGAAATCACAAAGTGGGATCGTTTCCTAATCGTATATTGGAAATATCCTCCTTGTTGCCTGCTCACACCCGCGATGTTGGGAATTACTGGCAAAAAAAAAAAAAATTGTGACAAAAAAACAAAAAAAATCCATCATTAAAACTACAGTTCTCCCACTCTAATGAATAACCATCTAAACACAGTGATAAGATTAAATTGTCAAAAAAAAAACAATAGCAAAAAAAAAAGGGAAGAATCCCCAAATCATAGCAATTGTCACCGGTAATCACCACATCCTTCCCTCACCAAATCTATCACTCAAATAGCAACAATGAATGATCCTTCAACCATCACGTTCCAAGAGTTTTACAGCTACACTTTAAAGAGCTATATACGGCCCGGATACCTTACTCCAGCCGACGCCAACATATTAACTTTAGAGATCATTGATTTGTTCAGCGATCGTCCTTGCGAACCAACGGTTCTTCAGGTCCTCGGGAGGTTTCTTACCATCGATGCTTATACTAACTTGGTTGACGAACGAACCATCAATGGGATTTGTGGGTATCCTCTTTGCCACGCTGCTCCTGAACGTAAAAACCACCAAAACCCCTTGAGAGTGCTTCTGGAAAATGCTAAGCTTCTACATAATCACAACAACCATAGCCATGATGCCGCGAGGATGGGTACGTTGACCCCATTCAGTTACTTGAATAACTACTGTTCGAAAAAACATTATCAGTGTTCGCAGTTTTACGTGGCTCAATTGCTGGATAATGCGCTTTTTCTAAGAGATAATTTGTTCGTCACCGCCAATGGTGAGTTTATCAACCAGGAAAATTATCACCAATATATTGGGAAAATCATTTTACTAGAAGACGTGTGGCGGGAACAAGCATCTCGTAATCAAGTATCACTAGTGGATGTGCTCACCGATTTGAATATTGGTAATAGTAATAGTAATAATAATCAACAATCGCAAGAACCCGAGAGAATTATCCCTGATGAATTAATGAAGGACGAAATCGTTGAGAAGTTCCCCCAACCTGGGGAAGATGTTATGGAGGACGACGACGACGACGACGATAATGAAATGATCTCGCTAGAGCAAAGAGCAAAGCAAATAGATGGTTATGTCACAGAGTTCTGAATTGGCATTGTTTTTTTTTTTTTTATTACTTTCTTTTTTTCATAACACGGACTTCCTTTCTAATCTTTGTGGTTTATTAGTTCTTTCTTGTTAGGCTTTATGGTTGTATTTTTTTTTTTTTTTTTCACTTTGTTAATATCTATTATATACTGTATACTATAGTTTTGTTACTACTAAACAATAATGACCCATCTGTTTCCTTTTCTATAACTTGATTTTTTTTTTGTTCTTGTTGTTGATTTCCTCTAGCAGAGTCACTATATCAATGGAATATCCATCATTACGACGTTAATTAATAATTCTTCAAATTATCCCTTAACGGTGGCCTAGAATTTTGTATCGAATTAATTATCATTAATTAATATTTTTACATTCAGGACAATATACAGAAATCTTTGTCATTATTTTGATACGCTTTACTATAATACACTCAGTTACCCTTGAATCCAAACTGTCTCATAACTTCTCCTAATGATGGGCTCAGATCATGCTTCACATCATTCTCTTTCAAGTAAGTTTCCAACTTCTCAAACTTTTCCAACTTCTCAATGTGCCATTTATTCATCAACTCTTGATACTTTTGTTTCTGCGAGTTGATTCGTTTGTTATAAGCTCTGCACTTCTTCATGGCCCATCCATATTTCTTTTCATTATACAGAATGGTAGACATGAATCCGTACGACCATTCACGTTTTAACTGCTTCATGTACTCACGGTCCTGTTTACCCGAGATCCGGTACTCCCAAGCAGCCTCCATGGTACACCATTTTAAAATTTCTTTGCGCTGCTGGTGCATATTGACCAATAAATCTTGGAACTTCCGGAGCTGTTGTAAATAAATGCTGGTCTTGGGGTTTTGACTCCACGGAAGCCTTAAGAATTGGTACATTGATCCATGGTACGAAAACCATTTCTGATATTTCCGGATTTTATAAGGCCCTCTTTGGCGGAAAATATAACGTAATCGACCAAGTCGACGCATCGATTGCCGATGGGCCAATTTCTTAAGGATATCCACTGATTTAGAAGCGGTTATGTCGATATCCACTTCACGTCCCCAGGTGCCGGGGTTTTCAAGCCGGAGATAGTTCAATACCCTAGTTCGGTCGCTTTGAAGTTTCGCATGGGCGTCTCGCGATTCCGTCAGGGGTGGCGGCGGGTTCAATGATGGTTCTATAACTTTGGGAAAGTTCATGATATTTTTCCGATGGCCATAGTGTACTGGCAGGTAATTTTCCGCATCACTGATCAATTTTTCAATGATTGGCCACGATGATACAACATCCTCAGTAGCACCAACAGTAGTATTTGGGGCATCAGGGGACCCAGATTGTGAAGCATTAGATGATCCGGGAAGTAATACCAGTAAAGTCTCGTATATCGAATTACCCCTGGTTAGCTCATCACGACATCTCCACGGTGAGCTAAGGCGCTTATTTTTCTGGAATTGATCGGTGATGAGCGATTCAGCTTTGGTAGAATTATCCGGTAATGCTCGACGAGCCTCTTTCAAAAGATTCCGGTATAGTGTCCTTACGGCAAAACCATGCGACGGAAGCTTGGTGAAATGAGTTACCATTATCCGCCTGCTGTTCCTCCGACTTATTGAGGATCTCATCTCCCACACATTATCATGACATTTTTTTTTTTTTTTTTTTTCACGCGAAATTTGATTTCCTCAAGCACTCCCACCATGGTTCGCAACCTCGCATGCTTGGAATACTAAAGATGAGAAACAATTCCAACAGTACTACCACAAAAAGAATTATTCAGGAAAAAGAATGCAAAAATATTTTTATTTCATGTACTTCATCACAATGTAGAGTAAAAATGGTAGGAAAAAAAAAGAAAGACAAAAGAGAGAATTATAATAAAAGAAGGTAGTATGATATGCGGCTAAAAAAAAAAAGACTAAAATAAGCTAAACGAGTTAAAGATTTGCAAGTTTGCAAAAACAATAAAAATGCGATAGAATATATAAATAAAAATAAAAAACAAACAAACAAAAAAAAAGAAGCAAGCAAAGGGCTTGCCTTCAGTCATGAGGAAATTACTTTTTTTTTTCTTTCTTTTTTAAGTACTTTCTATATCTTTCAAAAAAGTAAAATCCATGAATTCATCAATATCCAACGCGTCGGCATTTTGGAGTTGGTTTTCTTCTTCCAAAGATTCTGGCAAGTCAATGACCTTATTGAAAAACCGTTCCATTTCTTCGGGATCAACAGTGGTGGTTGTATCAATCTTGTTGATTTCTTCAAAGTCAGAGTTGAGGGTACTGTGTTTTGATAATGTCAAACTTGAATTATTGTTGTTTGTGGCAAGTTCAAACTGAGCCGTTGGTTTTTCAAAAATCATCAAGTCATCATCCTCTTCCTCTGGTTGTTGAGGGTTGATCAAGAAGTCATCAAAGAAATTGGAATGAGTAGGATTGCTGGTATCTGGAAGAGAATTTGGAGGATTGAAAAGAGAAGGAGTTCTTGATCTATTGTAGTTATGTGAGTGAACAATGGACTCGGCAGCACTCTCACCACCGAAAAGATCAAAGTTGTCGTGTTTCAAGAGTTTTATGGAATGGTCATCATCCTCATGATCATCAACTTCAAAAATTTCATGGGTTCTTTTTCTATGAAGACTGTAATCATGATCATCGATATAGTTGGAGGAAGCTGGACTGTGACCGTCTGTATACCCTGGTGCCGATTCAAACGACATCAATGAAGAGTTTTGGGTCATTTCAAGTGAGCTAACAGGAGATTGGATATCAGTTGAAGGACTGGAAACATTTTTGGTCCCTTTTTCTTCAGGGCTGGCTGAACAATCATTGAGTTGTTGTCTAAGGCTCTTCAAATCGTACACAAGTTTAGAAAGCTCTTCCTTGAGAACCGAGTTTTCTTGGTTGGCCCGGATGATTTCGATTTCGAGTAAACCATCTTCTGGAACCACCGGCTGGTTAGCAAATTGCACATGCTTGGCATACGAATCATTGGAAGTTTGAGATGATGTTGACATTGACATTGGTCTGGCAGCCACAGAGTTAGGAATGCCAGAGGACATATTGACATTATTATTGTGGCTATTGGCAACACCGTTTTTAAGAATAGACTTTGATTTGCAGGAGTTTTTGTTCTTTCTCTTCTTTGAGTCTGGGTTGTTGGTGGCATTTGTCGAAGGTTTTCTTCCAGGCTTTGGACGAGGAGGCAAGACCCAATTCTTCGAAGTTTTGATACAAAATGCGCTTTTGGGCTTCAGTGACTTCTTCACACTGGTGATGGGGGTCGAAGCATTTTGACGACTTGAGTTTTGTAAACGACTAATAACTAAAGAAAGGTTAGTAAAATTACAAATCATCTTTACGCTAACTCATCAGAAATCAAGCGGAGCATCTCCACAAAAAAAAAAAAAAAAGGTAATACGTACGATGTGAGTCAGACATGATGAATTGAAAGTAATGTGAAAGAGAACAAGAAAAAAAAAGCAAAAAAAGGATAAGAACAACAATAGTGGGAAATTGATTCAATGAGATTGTGTATGTGGGTGGTTATGACTTGAGAAAAATTTTTTTTTCTAAGAGATCAAGGCAATGGAATTAAATATGAGGCAAATGAATTGAAAATAGCAGAAAATGTGATAATATGGATGAATATAAAGTGAATTTATTGCAATATTATGATCTTTGGGGTTGGAATATTAAAATTGAGCGGATTGAACAGGACAAGAGCTAGCTTCTTCTGTAACGCGATGAAATCGTGGTTAGTTCAATGAATGGAAATGGTGATCGTAAAATGAATAGGAAAATGACTGACGCAATGAATATGAATAAAAGAAAGGCATGAGATGAGTAAACTCTATAGTCTTATTGATTCGGAATATAAAATTGGAGAGAACTATAATAATTTTTTTTTTTTTTTTTTTTTAATTAAAAATTATATGTGTGTGTGAGATTGAAGATCATGAAAATTTTTGCGAGGGCAAGTATCTATATATCTTTAATACATGTAATAGTGTTGAATGTGATACATGAATCAATAGATATATATAATGATGGGGAAGGAGGTGTCAAAAGTTTCGTGTCTTAGGAAGAACTGGAAGCGAAAAAGGGATCTATTACCAGATATATATTGAGAATCGTCTCATTCTTAACACCCGAGCTGTTTTTTTTTTCGTTCTTTCTTTTTTCTTCCATCACCCAAACTTTGGTGCGGTAATACAATTTTAGGTTTTGGGGGGATACTCATCTTATCCGGAGCCACCCGGGGAGAGTGCCCCACTGAGTCAGCAATGTCACGTGAAAGGTCTCGGAAGGAGTGCTCCGACACAGCGCAGCACAGCACAGGCACTGGCAAAGCACCGGCAAAGCAGCGCCTTTCCGAGGCCGACACAGCAGCTCACTAACGCCGAGAGTCCCACTCGGCTGGATTTGTTGGTAAATGCTGGGGTAACCAAGAAAATTCGCGCGCTACACACTGCGAAAGGTAGGAGCCATCTGCGCGGTTGGAAGGATCGATCTGACAACCATCGCTGTCTGGATACCATCAAGTACCAACTGCCAACCAGCTAAGCACGATAATTAGTGGCAACCGCGATAACAGATCAATGCCGCATAATTGTGAAGAAAAAAAAAAAACAAAAACGAAAAAGGAAAAAAAAAAAGACTTAGATGGTTGCCACATATATACACACACAAACATATGTCACAGTATATGTCTCATATATGTTGTACTATATAATATATATCTCGGTCGAAGGTGGGCTTCACGGAGAAGAGATGGAACAGCCCACCGCGAAAACTGAACTGAACCACCACAAAAGGTGACGCTGTGCCCGTCCACACATACATACAGGATATCCGGGTGACGGCAAAAAAAAATAACAGCAAATGTTCTGATATTTGCATACTTGCACGCATATGTCACATGGGATTTGAGATTTTTTTTTTGTTTTGCAGTGAAATATTGTTATTATTATGGCTTGTCTTCATTACATATGAAGTAGCATTATAGTACATCATACCTAATCTCAACATGTCCCAACAATCGGCATTGGATTTCGTAGAGGAAAGACTCACAAACCTTACCATAATAGACGAAGTAAGTGTTGGTCTCTATACTTTTCTGTGTCTCCCAATATAAAATAAAATTATTAACATATCATCGTGATCTATAGAAACTTGTGGCGCTACTACAACATGTCTCCTCGACCCTTGAAAATGTCAAACAAGGCAGAATCAGCGAATTAACAGCAAGCTCATCCCCTGTATCCTCGTCATCTTCAGATTACATGAACCACTCAACCTACGAGTTCCAAAAATCCGTAACCAACTTTTATCAAGATCTTGAATTCATGTCATCTAGACTTCGAAGAGAAATCATCTTGATGGATAAACAGACCCTGTTTAATCAAACCAACCCCAACGATGTCAGTCTACTTCCAATCACAATTGATAAAAAAGCGTCGTGGGTAGGCGATTGGAAATTTACAAATCAGATCAACGAAATCAAGCAATTACTCAACCAAGATACAAACTATCCCGATAAAATTGACTTTAGTCAAAGACGTCCAAGAAAGCCAGATGAAAAAATATCGCCGTTGTCACAAATATCACCAAAGGAAACTAATATTGAAGTACATAAGTCGACCAATGATGTGAAGAACACCACCGAACCTCAAACAAGTATCGAAAATAGTAATGCCCAAATAATGAGTACCAACCCTCAACCCACGGAAGTTGCAAATAAATATCCAGAACCACCACAGGATGATTCTTCAAAGCCGAAAATTGAAAAAGAAACAAATGAAGTTATTGAAATAGATGATCATGATGATTTTGAAATGGTGAGCTATGACCTGAAGAAACAATCGGATAATGTTAATGGAGAACCAATAGCTATTGATGAAATAACGTCTGGCGAGTCTTCACCTGCAACAAAAAATGAAGTGATTGATTTAGATAATGAAAACGATATTCTCTAGTGTATTTACTAATAGTAATAATAATGTCACAAACATAGCAAAATACAAAAATATAGTGTAAACCATCACTTAGAAAAGTAGGATTTTTTTTTTTTTTAGAAAAAAATAATAATCGTATATCATGAACTATCTTAAAATGAGTAAATATGGAAGGCTAAAAATAATATAAAATATAAATGGGAAAAAATAAAATAAACAAAATGAACAAAAGAAATTGGTATAAGTTAAAAATATTTTCACATTCTAGAATAGAAATCTTCATATCTATTACGATCAAACTTGAACAACTTTTCATCCAAGTAATTATGTTCAACCCATTGATAACTACCGGTATCCTTTTTGAACTCGATGGTTGGGTTGTAGTAATAGTTTGGTTGGACTGGCAAGATGCAAGGGAAGTTGGTCATATTCACCACTCTAATCTTCAACGCTGAGGTCATCATCAAATTAGTGGACTTATGTTGGATAATACTGATCTTGGCAATGACCTTCTTGAAAGTATCCAAGTCTGGGGTGTGAATATCGTTGACATGAGTGATGAAATGATTAGGCTCAAATCCAAACAATTCAGCCGGCGAACCAGGGTTCACATCACTAATAAAAATCCCACTTGGCAAACCAGGATGCAAATGCTTATTATTATCAGTCAATGCATTATTAGGACCGGAACCCCCTGCCAATGTCAAAGCTTTTGTGGTAGTGGCTCCTACAGAAGTATTGTTGGAAACCCCATTCATTGAGCAATGGATCAATTGTTTTACTCCCAAATGTGGCTTATGGAGTACTAACCCTGACCAAATCAACACATGGTTAGTATTGGTCACTTCTTGGGTCTTGACTTTGAAATTCAATTCTCTTTCTTTTCTAACAACTTTAAAATTCAAATATTTGGAATAGTACATCAAATCCAAATCGGCAATACGATTGACCAAATTTTCGTTGACCGATAACAAGATATCCCCTGGTTGTAAACTCATCAAGTCTTGGTTGGTATTGTAATTCATCAATTGTCTACTATCGACAATAGATCCACCTTCGTCAGTATTAGCCCCTTCGACCACATTGCCGGTAGCGGTATCGATCTTTGGTGGGATACTATAGTCTGAGCAAATCATTTTCGAAACTTCCAAAAAGTTCAATTTCGTCGCTTTATGATCTTGATGCTTACTAGAGCTGTAACCGTGGGACTTCATTTCAATAAAATCGATTCTTTCATCGGATAACCCCTTAATTCTTGCCTTCAACACGGAGATATTGTTGAATTCGGTCTCCAAAATTCTGACCTTAGGTGGTTTATTCACCGCTTGGAAGTGTAAAATAATATTGATAATGTGTAACACATCAACCCCCATACTGTACGAATAATCAACCGGTTGGTTAGCTTTTTTCCCTCTTTTACTGGCTTCATGATCCACAGAAAATTTAATGGTCGGTCTTTCAGTATTGGCCAAAGAAACATTTTGATTACTGCTAAACACACTGAATCTTAACCACAACCCCAAAATTTTACCAGAACTTGGGTCACACAACACCCCAAAATTACATTTGTTTTGAACGTATTGGTTGTCCACTTTCAATAATTCCAAGTTGCAACATTTGTAAAATGGATTATATGGATTGACTTGGATGTTGTTTGATGATTTGATATCTTTGATCGAGGTTTCCGCCACTGTGAGCTTGAAATTGTTGTCAAACCCAACAAACAAAACCTTTTGGTGCTTTCTTAAGTACACAACGTTGTTGGTGTTGAAGTTTGGAGTTTGGGATTGGAATTGTGGGTCGAAATCAACCAAAGATGGATCGTATTTCAAAATCACATAGTTTTGGAATGGATGCATAAACACCACTTCTGCTGGCAAATATGCTGACTCGTTGAAAATGACCGTGACATCACACAAGTCATGAGGAATATAATATCTTGAGACCAATACATAACCGTTGAAATTGTCAATGATCAACCCGTAACATCTCTTAATAGTATTTGGGAAAGAATCGACACTATATGGGAAATTAACCTCGATCTTTACGAAACTTCTTAAAACGTTCAAAATTTCCGAATTGTTTCTCAAATGACCTAATTCAGAGGCAAGCTCGGATTGATTATATCTCACCACTTTTGGTTTAATAGGAATCGAAGGTAAATAATTAGTTTGTCCAATATCTTGATAATCCCATAACCCAGTTTTATAATTGAATTGGAAAATCTTAAGGGCCTTAAACCAATGCTTATCGATGGTTATGATCTTGGTGATTTGTTCGTTCAAATTCTTGATACATCTATACGATACAGGAACTTTCTTGTAATCTGGAATTCTTCTAATAACATTGACCAAATCATTAAGGTTGAAAATCCCAAAGCCATCAATATTATCAACGATGACATTATCATCACCAATATCGGTGAACGCCCCATAAGAATGGTTCAAAAACACCCCTTGCAATGGTAATACGAAAAATCTTGCCAAGTTATAACTAATGTCATTAAAAGTTGCCCCGCAACATTGAACAAACTTCAAACTGGTAATGGAAAATAAATCTTGGACATCTAAGTTTATTTTAATATTTTCCCCATTTCTTTGTAACACCAAGCTGATGGTCATATCGATGGAATTATCCAAAATTTCTTCTAATTGAATCAACGAACAAATATCAAAATTGTTGACAGAAATCAAAATATCACCTTCCTTGACCTTGCTATGGGCTGGCCCATAAGGTAGAACAACCTTGGCGACCAAAAGACCATTAATATCCGGGAATTTTTCCCTAGCGATACTTTCAATCAAGGTTTGTAAACCCAATTTTCTACATTCATTGAATGTCTTCAACACCCATTGAACTTGGATGGTACCACGATTGATGTTGATTCTGCTTTGGTAGTTCAACGGTTTGGATTGTTGAGCGCCTTGTTGTTTGGCCAAGTTATGATTAAGATCGTCTGGTGATGGATTGTTTGGATCGTAGAAATTGTCCTCTTCTTCATAGGTCTTTACTGGCACTTGTTTGAATAATGATCCAGTCTCCATATGTTGCTGGATATCTTGAAGGATGGTTTGGGCTCTGTATAATGGTAATAAGAAGTTAGTGGAGGTAGACGTATCATTGTTATTGATAAAACTAGCGGTTTCCAACGCAATAACAAACCCGTTGATATCAATAACTGGGGACCCACAAGTCAAGAAGAACTGATCTTTTTTGTCCTTGGCATCATTCTTGAACGCATTATATGTCAAGGCTTGCATGTATTCGGTGTTGAAATCGTTGTATGACAAGAATTGACCAGAACCATAAATTGGTGCATTACAATCCAATCGAGAGATGAAACCGTTGAGGACGATTAAATTGTTTTCCTCATGATCGTAATCATTCAAATTGTTGTTCAACGAGAAAATTTTGAATTCACAACCGAGCTTCACCAAATTTGGAGATAATTCTAGCCCTTGAATCTTTAAAAACTTAATTTTGGAAACGTCAAACTTCAAAATCATGAAATCATGGGTAGGATCAATATATAAAGGCTTAACCAACACTTCTTCAAAGTTATTGAAAATGGCGATGATTTGGATCGGACCGTTACCGATGATTTTTTTACATGTCAAGATCAACCCACTTGTATCATCGACAATGAAACCCAAAGTTTTGAAAATACCGGTTTGTTCGGTATCATAATTATGAACCTTGGTGAATTTCAAGATCACGATTGATTTTGCCACTTTGGTAATGACGTTCTGCCAAGCTAAATCTCTAAAATGGACAGCATTCAAATCACCACTGGTAGGGGTGCCTGGTTCATATTCTTCTTCTTCACCGTTTGGTAAATACATCGATCTCATATCGTCTAACACCGACCCGCCGGCGATAGAACCCCCCGCACCTCTATATATAGAGTTTCTTGGGTCATTAATGGAAGTGGAATCCAATGAAGGCATATTGAAAGTAGATAACGACACCGAAGATTCGTTGAAATTCGAGTTGATCGGACTATTGTAATTTGGTTCATTCATATGGGATGAATCGGCCGAAGAATCGCCTGAAGAACTTGGGGGAAGCATGTTATAGTTAGTTCTGTAAGGTATTCCTTGAGAAGATTCGGAAGCAGCGAAAGAGGTTCTGTTGTTTTGAAGGAACGAGTTTCTTCCGTACCCTTGTGGTGGCATCCCTCCACCGCCCATCTGAGAGCTCTGTTGAGACCTTAAGTAGGCAAGCTCCTGCTCAGAGAACGACTGTTTATCCCTAGATCTGAACTTGTCCAACATCGATCTAACTGGTAAGAGAGTGTAATATAGATATGGTGGCTAATAACAATATGAAAGATAGCCGAGGAAAAAAAAAAAAAAGGACAGGCCAAAAGATAAAAAAAAAAGAAAGAGAACAAACTATTAGAGATCAATGCATGAAATCTTCATCTAAAACACCCAAAGGACAGCAAAGGTGTAACCCGGTGCCCGGTCTCTAATACGCAGGGGCGTTCTAGCCACAAATTCCAACATGACACGATAACAAATATTAAAAACCATTCATTAATAATAGGGAAAGAAGATAGATATATAGATAAATAGACATAAAGATAAGGAGGGTGTGTTTGCGGGATAATAAAAGAGAGAAAGAGAGAAAGTAAGAAAGAAAGAAAAGAAATTCATGATTTAGACTACTGAATAAATGCATTCAAGCTTGTCTGCTCTTTGGCTTCTTCTTTTCAGCTTCAATTTTCTTCTCCTCTTCAATCTTATCGACATACACCTTGATTTCTTCATTTGTCATTCTTTTGATGCTAGTTGGGGTCATGACACTGATTTCAATGTTCTTGGCCCCGGTTTGCACAACTTCCAATAATGATTTAACAGCCAAAGTGATGGTTTCTTCTTCAGTCATGTTTTCAACGTAATTCTTTTCTAAAAATTCACGAACTGTCTTAGAGTTCTTACCTATGGAATTGGCCTTCCAGCTACTAAACACCCCACTTGGTTCGGTTTGATACAACTTTGGCACGGTATCATTTGTATCAAAACCAGCAATCAAGGTAGAAAGACCAAATGGTCTAACACCACCAGATTGAGTGTATTTCTGTTGGACACCAGCAATGTATCTGGTGATGTAATCTATGCTCACGGAATCTTCCAAGTTCAATTTATGTGATTGAGCTTCCACTCTGGCCTTATCTATCAAAATTCTAGAGTCAGCGTTTAAGCCCGCAAAGGATAACAAGACGTGGTCATCAATTTTGCAAATCTTAGATGGGGTGGTTCTTGGGTCTTGTAATTTCAAAGTACTTCTTCTTTCACACCCTAATACCACACAACCTTTACCTTTGACACCAACAGAACAGGTACCTCTCTTAACCGCTTCGGAAGCGTATTCAACCTCTATAAATGGATGTTAGTAGTGTCCTAATTGAAAAAGCTAAAGACTAAAAAAAGAGTTCAAATATAATCGTGGTTGGTCGCATCGCGGTTGAATAACCAGAGAATTAATCAAACATGGAATATGCAATTTGGTTTATCAAGGTAATAATTGATTCACACCATAAATTCAAACAAAGTTCTTCCAGAGAACTAAGAAAAATCAAAAAGGAAGTATGAAAAAGGTATAATTGGAAGAATAATAACGTACGGAAAACATGTCCATCAGGACTATATGAGTAGATGTTAGTAAGTGGCAATAAATATGTCGCACAAACATGCTTTTCTTATACTATAATTGCCCAATAGGCAATCAGATTCCATTGACACGACAGAACATACCTGAAGATAGACAAAGCACGATCGTAACCACTCATTTTTATAAATCGGGAAATATGGCGTAGTTATTTGTTGATAATAATGCTTACACCGTCTCTTGGAGGCAAAATTCCACTATTGGGATTTTTGGAGGGCTGTTTTTCAAGTCGGAGGCAGCTGACAGGAGGGTAAATCGTCTGGCAGTTTTTTTTTCTTCTTTGTGAGTACCATGAGGGCGGATCTTTAATTATTTTTTTTTTTATTATATCTTATGGCCTTTCTTTTTCTTTTTTTTTTTTTTTTCTTTAAATTAATCCAATTTCATATATCAGAATAGTTAGTATATTCTACAAATAATAATCATGATTACTCCATTCTTTGAAGCATCACAAGATGATGAGTTCTTGGTTGTGAAAATAAAAATCCCAAACTTGAAATTCAATAATAATAAGTCTCTTCTGTTGACTATTGATGGCCAACTATTTATCTTTCATCTCACACCGTATTATCTCAGACTAAGATTCAGCCAGGAATTATTGAATGAAGATGATTTACCGGAATTCGACTTACAAACTGGAGAAGAGATTATCAAAAGAAGACAAACCAGATATGACATGGATACCGAGAATTTGGTGATATCGTTACCTAAAAAGACTAAAGGAGAATTCTTCACTGACTTGGAATTCGTTCATAAATTGATGTCCAATGCCATCGAGGTTAAACTACCAACTGTAACGACAAATGAAGATGATATTGAAATGAAAGAAGTCCAAACGACAACACTGTCGTCAGACTCTAATGACAAACAACCATCGGCCCAGCAGCAGACCAAATTGATTGAAGAAATCGATATCAACAACCCAAAGTTAACCACCAACGATATTAAACAACATATAGAGAATTTTGAAAACTTGACCGGGAAAGAGTTCAACTGGCAATTCAAACAAGATTTCAATAAACAAGAAATAACCAACCCAAACATTCATTATGGTTTCAACGATTCATACAATACAGTCATTGAGAATTCCGTGATTAACGGATCGAATGACATTAATGAATTGTCCAATCCTGGAACATTAACTGCTAATGAACGTATCGTGGAAAGAAGAGTCAAGGAAAATTACTCATTTAATGAAGATTTTTACGTTGCTAATTATCTATTGGAAAAGTATGGGGCCCAAGACAACGACTACGACTATGAAATGTTGAACAATTCAATTGAATGGAAAAGCCCAATAAAGACAAAATGGTTGAAACATCAAAAACAAGCGATGGATAAATCGTCTTTACCTGATGTTCAATACTCCAAGGAGTTGAAACAGTTGATGATTGATTTGCCAAAGAGCAAGAGCACCTATGAAATCAAAGACCTTGATTCGATATATTACGCGATTGTTGCTATACTTTTTGCATCCAATTTGAATTCACGGATAAATTGCGGAGAGGATAATGTCGATTCTGCTTGGTTAATCGGTAAAATTGTTCCACAATTTTCATACTTGGACAATGAATTTATTTCTGATGAAAATGAAGAGAAAGTAGTTGAAGTACCAAATATCAAGATTCATTCTGAACCACAAGAGGGATTAATGAAGGAGATTTCCACCACCAATTATACCACCCCAGCAACCCAAGTATCGGGTTCTTCTCTTTCACTCAGCAAATTGAAAGATTTGCTCATTATTTTGGTTAAAAGATCTTTGATATATCCTCTTTTCAGAAACTACAACTTGATAACGAAAGTTCTTGAGGATACTTATTTCTCTTTGCGATTTGGGTTGAAAAAAATTATTGAAAGCTTATTGATCACCAGGGAATTGTTCCGTAAACATTCCAATTACTACGTCTACAATATCATTTGGTTTAATGATTTGTTAGATTTCTTGATCGTTAAAGTGGACACAGATCTTGTGAACAATAACATCATTAGAAGATTGAGCCATGTTTTCCATGGAATCACCAAAGACTTGAAGAAATCAGATATTGTTTTTGAAAAATTGAATATGGGGGAAGATTTTGATGAGGAAGTGAGTACAGATAAGAAAGCTGAAGAAGATCAAGAAGATATTGAGTTGCTTGAAACCACCGATTTGGAACAATTGGAAATCATCGCAGAAGAATTATATAGGGATTCACAAAACCAGGGATAAAAACAGTTATACGTTTTCTTGTTTTAAATTGGATTGAATTATTTTCTTTGATTGAAACCTTAGCCCTTTCTGTAGCTACCCTCAATGTATTTTATCTCCCCACGACGATATGCTTTACAAAAGCGCTGGATTTTCAATATATTATTTACAGGAGCATTATCTTACCATAGATACAAGCGTAATGAGTAATCCTGCTTGTCCTTGCTACGTCTTTATAACAACACTTTCTTAATCATGAACTGGTGTATCATATCGGAGTTGGAAATTTATTTCTTTTTTTTTTTCCAACTTTCAAACGATTCCCCAATAGCTTGACTATTGAACATGAGATATTAATGTACGAATATCCAAATTTAAACACAAAGCAGAAAATAAAAATAAATAAAAAAAACAGACAAAAACCCCGGAACTTTATCAACATAGACGATGGATACACCAGCTTTGCGAACCACATTTATTATTCTCCACGTGATCGCAGTTACGCAGCCCGTGGCACATCACCATAAAGTGAAAAATTCAAAAACCAACCTCTACAATATTACCCTTGAATATTTTGACCGAACCCCAGATTCCCATTCTTTCTCCATCTCTTTTCCTGTTATTCTTTTTTTTTGTCCCTGTCATATATTTTTATAAAAATGTCTAGTGCTACTCTCAGATCAAACTACCGTCGTCTTTATCGTGAGCTTTTGCGTCAAAACAAAAGGATTTACGAATTGCATAAGGCTGATGAATCAAAGAAACATGATGCTCTTTTAAAATACCAAAGAATAAACTTGATTCGTGATGGTAAGAGACCAGAAGAAATCGATCAAATCATGAAGATCCGCAAAGATACTATTGAACAACAACAACTCAAAGAAAAACTCAAGGGGAAGTTTATCAATTCTTTAGGGTTCGCGGACAATAACCTACGCTCGATACTTCATTTGAAAGACCTTGAAGAACAAAGCGCCATTCAGCTAACTTACATCACCGAAACATTTCTTAAATCCCAAAGAACTTATGAAGAATTAGTGCAAAGATATAACCCTGGAATGACTATGTCTCAAGAAGAAAAAGTCAAGAAGACTGCTAGAAGGGTTGGTTTGGACGTTCCAGATGCTTATAATTAGATATGGATGGATAGGATACCCTTGTAAATAATATTTTTACTTAATTATAATTCCACCCAGTATTGAACATTACAGTGCCAAAACCGTAAAGTATTACGCATTCTTAAACTCTAGAAAAATAAAATGGATGTATGAAATCAATATTAGATTTAAAACCTTTCAAAAAAAATTAACTAACTAACGAAAAAGTGGTGAAAAAGAAATAATAATAAGCAGAAGAAGCAAATCATAATAAAATGGTCTTCCTTTTTTTTTTTTCTCGTTTTCTTATTCTATTTGTTGCTTTTCCAATCACTAGTTCCAAAATTTGTAATGTTTTACACCACCAAATAGCCTCAGTGAAAAGCAAAACAAAAACTCAAGAGAAGACAATCAACTGTATCTCTAATTGATCAAGTTTTCTTTCCCTTAAAAAAAGAAGTAACCCAGTAAAACAAACGAAAAAAAAAAAGACAGAAAAAAATTGAAAAAAATTAATGAAGAAGTAAAAAAACAAAAACTATATAAAGCAGTGTAGATTAGCACGAATAATCTAATCGTGAGCATCAATCACAGCGTTCTTACCAACCTCGAGTTGATTCATATTTTGGATGACCGTAGGGGTGACTGTAGAATCAGCTTCCTCCATTTCATCTGGAACAGCATCACTGTCATTTTTCAAGATATCTGGGTGTGCCTCAAGCATAGTTTCAATTTTGGTGATAATTTCCTTCGAAGTCAAAGCACCTTTACCATTGTTGTCACCGGACGCACCGACGGTCGGGTCTTCCTTAAGTAAAGTATTATAAGCCTCCATGATGTCGCTTGGAACGGTGGCAAATTCCGCATGGTTATCAATCAAGACATTAAGAACTTCAATCGACAACAAGTACCCATCACCAGCCTCGGTATTAGCTCGTAAAATACTTGCACCACTTTGGCCCGCAGTGGTGGCTGGTTCATTAGTTGGTTTCTTGTACAAGACGTTTGGCGCCAAAACGGTGGCCAAGTTGTGAGAATTCATCTTTGATCCAGTATTCTCATCAATATAAGAAAAAGAAGCCACCCAATTGAAGAAGGAAAACAAAACTTCAAGTAGATCTCTATTGCATTTAGGTAATATTGAAATGACCAACTTTAAAATCCGTTTTCTTAAAATCGTATCATCATACTTTTGTGATTCAATCCATAATTCATAGAGTTTGAATGTAAATAATGGATCAGGCATTTCTCTAAGGAATTTTTTCATTAGGGCAGATAATTGAATTTGAGTTTCATTGTCAAAGTCTGGCAATTTTTCTGGGTGTTCATTGATGGCCTCAGTCAATTCTCTCAATCGTCTTATATTACCATTTTTACGGAAAATACCTTCCACGGACATGTCTTTTTGGCGTAAAGCAGCCAAACAATCCTCAATAAACGCGGGAATTGTAACCACTTTCGGCCCAACAGCTTTTTCACTATCAGTACCATACTTCTCGGTGAGCTCTTCTAGAGGGGCCCCAAAAACTTTTGGACCTTTATAATTTGACTTTTTACCAGATCCTTTAATTCTTGTCCAGAAAGTTTGTTGCTTTCTAGTAGGGATCAATTCTAATAACTTTTCCACAGTAAAGGTTGCGGAAACCACCTTCATTAACGCAATAATCGAAATATGTCGAATGATGAAATGCTCCTCAGTAGACAACTCAGAGTAATACTTGCCGATTCTTGGGGCACTTGCTTGCTTGGAACCAGCTACCTTGCTATTACCACCGGTGGTTTTGCCAATATATTTGGTGACGGCATTATCCTCTTTGTTAAGCGGTAAATTTCTGGCATGTTTGAAAGCATTTGGAAGTAATTGTCTAGTCTCTTCGGCCGATACAATTCTGTGGATATCATCGAGAGCCAATCTACCGCCTCTCAAAAGATTAGTGACCACTGTAGCAGAAGCAGACGTATCAGGACCATCATCTTCCTGAATTTCAAGTTTTGAATTGTCGTATAAATGCAAAGATTTCTTATTATCAGTGATATCATCTTGATTTGCCATGCCTGCAGTGTTAGGCAATGGGGCATTGAGAATTGTAGATTTTCTGAAAACACCAGCCGCTGATTTATTGTGCTGCTGTTCCTGTTGACGAGAAGATTTCATTCGTTTGATATTAGTGACAATTTCAGAGTTGATAGTATCATTAGGGCGTTTTTCAATATTTCTATCATTTTGAGAGTTTTTCTCAATGACATATTTTACTCGGACCAACGCGATTTCACTGATATACACGATTTGCATCAATTTACTGACATATTCAAACCCATATTGACAACTTGGATCATTTAAATAGCCGGTACAAGAAGCACACAATACCCGATTGCTATTCACACTGAACGCCGCATTTTGTAGATTCCGTTCACTAATTAGCTCCCTACAATTACCACATTTTAGACAATTGAGATGCCATCTCATACTATTTGCTTTGTTGAACCTCACACATTGTTCTTCAATTGTTTCCATACAATGGAAACATGAGTCGGTTGAGCTGACCGGAACAAGTGGCGAAATAGTTTGGAACGCATCAGTTTTGTTGGTGATATTGGAATGATTACTGATTTCTTTCAAAAATCTGTCCGTGGCAACTTGACTATGGACAATTCTGTTGTATTCTAAAACGTTAGTTAATCCACATGTAACGATTAATTTCAAATAATTAGCGAGCCCAGTTATTATTGAGATCAATCTTTTCGAAACCCCTACTCCACTACTGTCAAATCCTCCTCCACTATTGGCAGAGTTTTTCTTAAGGAATGCCAAATATGACATCAATTTTGCAGAGAAATTTCTAGGTTTGTTTTGTAGTGCAACATATTTTGTTTTCAACGGGACATAATTCTGTTCACCATCGATACTAGTAATTTTGTTATGTTCTTCATCTCTAACTTTTTGCAATACGTCTTCAATTTGCAAATCATTGATCGCATCAAACGCCTTAAACAAGCACTCTGCTTTCAATACTAGCTTAGCAGCAATATTCAAACCTCCTGCTTGATTACCATTAATTCCAAATTCCAACATTGCAATGATATACGACGCAACATCCTCTTCATAAGTGGATAATGTAGACCATATTTTTGATATCAATGATAGATCAATACTGAAGTTATCGATTTCGATCTGCGAAGGATTCAAACAATCAACAGTTATCAAAACATTCCAAAATCTATAGCACATGAAACATTCTGGATGCCATTGTTGGTATCTACCACCTTTGAAAACTTCAATAAATTGTTTAAGAATTGGAGTATTGCAACTTTCACAGTGTTTAGCAAATAACTTTGAATAATGATAATGACAGTAGATCCCCTTATCATGTTCATAAAAACTTTCGTCAGTCTCAAACACTTTACTACAAATGACACATGTGAAATGTTCCAAATGGTATTTATGGCCAATGGCCGTAATGTAAGAACCCCTTAAAGCTTGGTTACAATTGTAACAAATCAAGTCTAAATTCTTGAAATAATCATATTCACATAATGGTACCTGGATCTTCTCACCATTTATGACTTGTTCTGAGGGGAAAAATTTCGATGAACATGGCTGATTACACTCGGTACATCTGAAACAGTCAATGTGGTAAGTCATGCCCATAGCTCTAACAAACTGGCCAGCAATTGGATTAGAGCATTTGGCACAGGTCTTTCGTGGTTTTCTGTTGGAAGTTATCAATGAAGGGTCACTGTTAGAAACTTGTTGAGCCGGTAGTAATCCCCCGTTATAAGTTTCATTGTCAGCTGGTAAATCTGTCCCTGATTGTGTAACAATCTGTTTGTAATGACTCGGAAGTCCCAACCCCTGTTTTTGAAACTCTATTAATGAAGGAGCGGGCTTTGATTTCCTTTTGTCAGTGGATGAAAGGTTTTCTGAAGAAATGTCATCACCCGGTAACGGAGGTATAAAGTCTAACCAATTCTGCAGCTTCAGACGATGTTGTTGCTGTTGTAGGAATGGTACTGGAGGGTGTTGATGAGAGTGTGCTTGCGGTTCGTTAAGCTTTCCAGAATTGTTGATCATAGAAATTCGCGAAGATTGGTACACCACCTTATGAGGAGAGCTCATTCTTGGGGGACTAGCAGTAGTATCATTATTAGTTCTTTTGGGGCTTGGATGTGAATAGCTTGGAGCTCTTGTTCTAGAGTTGGTATGATGAGTTTTGAAATCGGTACTAGGTTTCCTCAGGGAACTGTTACCATTAAGTATCAAGTTATTTTGATGTGAATAGTCGTGGTTTTTTATGTCCGAACCAAACACTTGTGAAAAATGCTGTAGTCTTGTTGGATCGTTCATTTTGATAACCGAGGATGATTATATAAATGAGCAGGCCACAATCTTGGAGTTTTCCTGGTGTTGTGCCTTTGAATATTTGGCCTTTTCTTTCGTTCTTTGTATTGATTTATTTTTGCTAACCTGATAACTTTTTGCGCACTTCAATAACAAAACAAGATTTGGGTTCGCCAACTGAGGGAGTCGTATAGAAACGTTCTTGTTCTATTTGAGTTGCTTTGAAATAACAACTCTCGTCTTCTTTTCTAGATATCTATATTTAGATGTTTCCCTTTTTTTTTTTTGTTCAAATCGATGAAAAAAAAAAAACCGTGGTAAATCAACGCTGTGATTTCCGTCCGGTATTATAGACGCTAGAAGACCAGCCCAGTGAAAACAAAACAAAACAAAAAAGATTAAAAATCCTGATCAAGAGGATTGGTATTAGGCTGAGAAAAACACAGTAGAAGAAGATAAAGATAACGACCACTTTGGTAGATGGTTTAGGGTGATTTGTGTGTGTTTTCTTTATTTTTTTTGACACGAAACCTATGATACAATCGACACGGCACATAACCTCACAGTCTTCAGTGCTTGTGGCTAGTGGATCGTCTATCAATCTCCAGGTAATTAGGTACTAGTTACTCAAATATTGTTCCCCGAATCTTTGTCTGCTTATTTTCGGTTGGTTTTGATCGATTTGGAGGTTCTTTGCATCTTCTTTTCGAATGCGTCGTTTATTAAACTGTCAAAAGCGGACATACAAAGAGGCTTTTTTTGTAAATTCTTTGAAGAAAAGCTGCTACGGGCTTCCTCCTTGCCTGAACAATTGCCTAACATTTATATCATTATGATTAGTTTTACTGGTTATATTTATGAGTAGTTTCAACAGCACAGTTACAAACAGGTTTCTTTACGATTGGCAAAGAGCTCTAAATGATATTTGATTATTGTGAATGAAAATTTCTAAGAGAACGAGAAGAAAGCCACACTGAAAGCTTTTATTACCAACAGTAGTTTGCTATAATATATAATATCAGGCTATAACTTAGAGAGCAGAGGAATTGAATGCGTAGCAGATTTCCATTCATAATTTGAGTGATTCGTGCAAGATCATTTAAAAAACTATTCACATTCCAAAATGATCAAGTGGCTGAGATTGGGGAAACATTTTCGTCATTCTTATTGGCCTGATATTGTATTTGTGCTTCCAGCATCTACCACTCTCTGTTTCTCTGAAGTTTATTAAAAATAACACACTTTTTTATAAAGTATCTAAAACATCATAATTTTCAACAGTGTATTTATACACAATTGCAGCCATGAATGCGGTTCATTTTCACCAATGCCTCATTTATTCGCTGCCTCTCACATGGGGTTTCAATCAGATGGTGGTCCCTCGTATTCTCCACCAATCTTCAAATAACTGGGCACATACTCGGCTAAACGCTCTCTGGAACTCTCTGCGTTATCTTTAAAGTGCTTGAAATAGTCCTTGATGCTCAATACTGACTCATCATTATCCGAGTTCATCCTATGGTTCCTTAGGCCAATAATCACATTTCCCGCTACCACCAACAATACGATTACTGCAATTATGAGCTTCCAATTCAATCTCCGTAAAAAATAAGTTGATACTCTTCTGGATAATGAGAGTTGGCTGGTGTATTTATAGCTGTTTTGGGCTTCGATATCGCTATCAACAACATCATCATCATCGTAATTTGAATTCAAGGGTGTATCGGTGGAGGTCCTTTGAATTGAGGGTCCAGTCAAGTCTTGTAGTTGGTACTGGTTTGCTGTCATAGTGTGATCTCTATATCTGGAAAGAAGATATGCATATAATTCTTGTAGAACAATGCAAAAACAACAAAAACAACAAAAACAACAAGAAAAAAAAACCACCAACAGCGGATGTGTCAAATAATAATTAATTAAACAAATTCACACGGCAACTGATATTATTACAAATAAAAACCTTAGGGTGGGGGATAACGGCCAGGACCCGTCTGCTGGGTGTGGTTTCTGCATATGTACACAGATATGTGCATAAGGGCAACCTGTCGCTGGCGACTGTTGGACGGCGCCGCGTAGCAATTTCATGTTTTCTGGCAAACGGAAAAAAAAAAAAAATCCTTGGAGGAATCCTTTGGGATAACGGGTGAGCACAGTCTTCGCAAAAAAAAAAACATCCTTGTCCTGTAAGGGTTTGCTTTCACTTGTTTCTTCAACCAATTCCCATCCATATTTAAAATACAATATCATACAGCCATATCACATTCTCCTTCCGGAAATTTCACAAGCATCATTCATACCATATTGTTTGCGTTATTGCTTTGACAAAAGGACCCTCCCAGTTTTTCTTACCACCTCATCGATCACCCCTGCTTGAGATCAGTCTCCAAGACCTTTTTTTTTTGTCTTGATAGAACAACATTGTTATTGAAATAGTCAACATCACAAAATGCTTTCATGGAAAAAGAAGATCAAAGACCACATGAAGAAGGATGGTTCCAAAGAAAATTTGGCCAATCCTACCGAATCGTTGTCTCCAGTGATATCATCAAACAGTAAAAACTCACTTAACAGCTCAGCCAACCTCACCGACGCCGTCAACAATTTGTCCTTAAACGACCAGCATAGTAATACAATCACCGGTAATGGTCCTAACAAAAGCACCTCCGGTGACGATGTCAATACTGCTAACAACAGCACCATCTCCGAACATCATGGTGAAGCATCATCAAAAAGCGACTCAACTGCCGCCGCAGCGGCTGCCGCTGCCGCTGCTGCTGCGTCATTGGTAAATGACATCGCCACTACAGTGAGACCTGGATGTTTAACTGTCAAATTATATTCTGGTAAGGATTTCAAATTACCATTTGAATTGATCTTAAATGACTTTATTTTACAAAAAATTGCCAGTTGTGCTGATGATTGTGATAAAGAATTATTGGCCAGAAACATCAAGCAATCGGTGGAAGATGCCCAAGTCGATCTATTATCAGGAGAATTGGGTACCCAGTGCTTACCGGCAATTGTTTCGGTTCCAAATTCTTCTGATGATCAGTCAGGGGTTAGAAATCCTTTGGTTTATATCACCGTCGAGTTTGACAAGAACGTTTCTTTGGTACAACCATCCAGCGGGCTAATTGCCAACCCAGATTTCAATAATGTGTCATCATTCGATGTCAATGGAAACGGCTTATTGATAATTCAAATCTTTGTCAAGATCCCAAACATTTTAATCCCAAAGAAATCGACGTATCTTCTCAACCCAAAAGCACCTTCACAGGATATTCTTATTGGGTCGATTAAGATTCCATTGAACTTAAATTATACCAGCAAGGAAAGAATCTTGGATCATGAATGGTTGAATTTGACTTTGCCTTCAGATACAGGATCTACCACAACTATTGGCGGGGCGTTGAATTTGACCATTGAATTTAGACCAAATAAAAGTAACAAATCTTTGACCATTGATGATTTTGATTTGTTGAAAGTCATTGGTAAAGGTTCGTTTGGTAAGGTGATGCAGGTTCGCAAAAAGGATACTCAGCGTGTGTATGCCTTGAAGAGTATTAGAAAAGCTCATATTGTGGCAAAATTGGAAGTTACCCATACGTTAGCCGAAAGAAACGTATTGGTCGAAGTCAACAACCCTTTTATTGTTTCAGTCAAATTTTGCTTCCAGTCCCCTGATAAACTCTATTTTGTGTTGGATTTCATCAATGGTGGTGAATTGTTCCACCATTTGCAAAGAGAAGGACGGTTTTCTTTGGATCGTTCGAGATTTTATATTTGTGAATTGTTGTCAGCCATCGAGCATCTTCATAGCTTGGATGTCATTTACCGAGACTTGAAACCAGAAAACATTTTGTTAGATTATCAAGGTCACATTGCTCTTTGTGATTTTGGATTGTGTAAAATGGATATGAAATTGACCGACAGAACTGACACCTTCTGTGGGACTCCCGAATATTTAGCGCCAGAACTACTTTTGGGTCAGGGTTACACTAGATCCGTGGATTGGTGGACTTTGGGGATTTTGCTTTATGAAATGTTGACGGGATTACCACCATTTTACGACGAGAACATCCCAAGAATGTACAAAAAGATTTTGGGTGATACTCTCAAATTTCCAGAGATGTTTGATTTGCAAGCTAAAGATTTACTTGTGAAATTGCTCGATCGTAATCCAGACAAGAGATTGGGTGTCAAGGGGTCCGATGAAATCAAACAGCATCCATTTTTCAAAGACGTTGATTGGGTGAAATTGAACAATAGAGGATATGTGCCACCTTTTAAACCACCGGTATCAGGGGCATTTGATACCAAGAATTTCGACAGTGAATTCACCAGCGAAATTCCCGCCGATTCGGTGGTCAATGATCATTTGACCAGATCAATGCAAAAGCAATTCGAAGGATGGACTTATGTTGGTGAAAGTAAATTGAATGCTGGTAATTGATTGATGAATCTCTAGGCATGTTTTTTTTTTTTTTTTAGTTTTGTTTTGGATTGTTCTTTTTTTTTTTAAAGAAAAATTATTTTATTTACGCTTGTTACTGTTTTCTTTTTAGCATCTGCAAAATTTCTCTCAGTTTTTTTTTTTTTTGTTTCTCTCTCTCTCTCTCTCTCTCTCTCTCAGAATCTTTGTTCGCTTGTCTGGGATTACTTTTTTTTGTACAATAATAGAGTTAGATATCTTCACATACCATCATCCATGCATGAAACTGTTTACTGATTTTCATTTGTTTGTATTTTGTAATAATGGCTGTTCAAGGCTTGTAATGAATAGTAAAGATTAATCATTACTTCAAGGAATACCTTACTTAGGTCACAAATTTTTCAAAAGTATCTAGAACATTGATTATTAGATAGCTTTTTGGAATATCCATTTGCTGAAGCATTTTGTATGAAAAGAAAAGTCAAACATTGTAGGAAAAAACATAAGAATTAAAAGCACAGCAGAAGCTAATAAATGAATCATAAAAATGGCAAGAAGCAAAAAAGAAATAATGATAATAATGATAATAATAATGATAATAATGATAAAAGAGGACAGTAATAATACAATATTTGAGAATTGAAATGTGATTCACGACATCAGTATCAAACTGGTTTTATTGTGAATAGACGAAAAATTATTTTGTTTTAAATGAAAAGAACTTTCACAACATACCAATGGCAGCGACTACTGCAAAACCACCAATGGCAATTCCTTGAATCATCCCACTGTTATCACGGTTGAGATTACCATAAAATGGAACATTCAACTTCAATTGAGCGGCACCAGCTTCACTCTTGACGGTGGCACTACTAGAACTCTTCTTCTTCTTTTTATCTTCAGAAGAGGTGTCCTTCTTCTTCTTCTTTTTAGTAGTGGTTGCGGTGGAGTTCAGACTAGTGGTGCTAATGAAGGTGGTACTGGAAAATGATGATGATGAGCTGGAATTTTGGTAAGTTTGGGTACTGAGGGTGGTCTGCTCAGAGCTGGTATGGGAATGTTTAGCCGAGCTATTTGAGCTGGTAGAAATGATTCTCCAACCACTAGCCATAGAGGAGGAGGAGGAGGAAGAAGAAGAGGAAGAAGAAGAGTCATCATCATCATCGCTATCATCACTATCATCACTATCATCGACGGAGTCTGTAGAAATGGCAGTGATCAAGATATTTCTATTGGAGGTAGTGGAAGTGGCATGGGACAGGGATTTTTTGGAAGTCGAACTACTGGTGGTGGTCACTTGGGTCTTGTCATCGGTATCATCTTCATCACTGGCAGGAATTGCCCCAGGCCTAGCGACACCTGAAGCGATAATTGGAGCAACCGACAATGCCAAAACTGCTATTTGATTTAATTGCATCTTGATGAAAAATATGATTCCTCAAAAAATAAAAAAATTAATTAATAATCTTAAGGTAGAAAATCACTATTATATGAATAATTGTATGAATATGAGAAGAGGAATAAAATAGATTAATACTTATAAATCTTATCAATAAAATACAACAAACAAATAGAATCTGTCCCAAGCCACGATGATAACAATATATATATATATGTGCCACAGCAATGCTACCATTATCCTTTTCAATTTCTTGTGGAATGTTGGAAAAATAACATTGGCGCATATGTACTGAGAACGCCGTAAAACCAATCAACTAAATCTTCATAAGTATGTTACTAAATTGCTAATTTGGTGCCTTAGCATTGCAGAAGATCACCATAATTCAGTACTCATCGATGGGTACGCCGAAAATCCTGATGGTAAAAATAATAATAATAATAATCTACGCCACCCCTACACACCACCATAGACACGAGAAACGTAAAGAGGAGAGATAAAGGAAAAAAATATTCACTCACAATACTCATACGGTTTGTTGGGTGCTTCTAAATCTGCTTCCCATAGAAATAAATCTACCATATGCATGTTGTAATATATTTCTGCGGAGGGGGGTGAGTAGAGCAATATACTACCATATTACTGCGTTTTTTATACTGCGGAACCTTGGTTGTTAATTTCCATAACCATCTATTAATAATAATCATTAAGTTTTCATGACAAAGAAAATCCTCATGAAAGATGATTATTACCAAATATATATATATATAAGAGAACCCGTTTGAATAACAACAGGGTATAATACCCCCTATTTACAGGAGGAGTGCACAATGAAAAGTGGATGAAATTAGAGTATCTCTTTTATTCAAAATTGTCTCTAGTGATCTCTTTTAATGCTTCATCTATCTACTCAAATATCTTATCATATACTGACCCCCCGTTGCCACACTTGAAAGGTGGATTAAATGTGGGAATCACTCTGATGATTGCATATTACCCTGCTCAACGACCCCCACCCAGTCGGGTAGGTTTTTCCTCTCTCACAGATATTTTTTTTTTTTTTCTTGAGGATAGGATACAATAATAAGCTAGAGTAGAGTACATAGCAGCACTATTATTATATATTACCATTATTATCATTTCATCCCTAGTTATTGATAATGTCCCAAACATCAAAGAGTTTTGACCAATGGCAGGAAATTGCGTCCCAGGGCAATATCTTTTCCGACGCTAAACCTTCAAGCAACAACCGAAATAATCACAATAACAATAAGATCTTCTCACATCAACCCAAGACTCTGGAGCAGATACCCAAATCGAGTAACAGCAATAACAATAATAACAATACTGGGTTTTCATTATTTAATAGCCGATCATCGACATTGAATCAATACCCTTTGGATTTCTCCGTGGTTTCTGAAACAACGTCTTTCAAACATGATGTTACTGTCCCATCATCACAAACCACCACCACAGAAACAACACCAGATGGAGGGCTCAATAAGGAATTAGAAGCCAGAAAAATTTTTTATAATATCTTCTTTTGGGCAGGATTCAGACTAGTCACCAACACTGTTTCTCATATCCCGATGTTTGAAGGGTTGATGAAGTCCAATATCGTGATCTACTACAGTCTCCTCGGGTTAGATATCTTGTTTGGGTACAATATAATCTTTGGTTTAGTAGTATTGTTTAGAAATATCAACCCTGCCCCAATTAACATCAGTGTGATAAATGGGAAGAAAGATGTTGAAAACCCATTGACCAACAAAAACCCAGCGCCGTCTTCTTCTTCCTCTTCTTCTAAGACCGCCACCACCGCTGCCAATGATAAACAACAACCTTTGAATATCTTGAAACCCGCTGGATCATCTATGTTCAATAAAAAAAGCGTTATAGATAATAGTCGCTCAGATAACCCAGCTACCGCTTTAAAGCCTACTTCTTTATTCAGCACCGTGCCGAAGCCAGAAACTAAATCTGCTCCATCGACTTTTATGCCTTCTCCTAAATATTATTATCAAATGGGTGCTTTCAACCAGGCGAAGAAATCTTTTTAGAAAACAAATGGTGATGGTATCAATAATAATTTATAGTATAAATCTTGATGAATTTTCTCTGTCTTCTTACAAATTTAAGTTGAAAGGAAAAAAAAAACACAAATCACCAGGAGAGCTAGTAACTTATAGATTGATAGTACAAACATAGTAGTGTAATAAACGTGGTAGCTTATCAGCACATAATAACTGAATTGTTGCAAAAATACGTTAAAAGTTAGTAAAACATTGGTGTAAAATCCCCCAGGTTCCCGCACTGTTAGATTTCTTCGCTCCCCCACACCCCACACGGATTATTCAGAGCCCCAAGAATCCCACATTTAGTACAACGACCCAAATAAACCCATTCAATTAAACAGAATGAATATTTCTTCCTCACTGCTATCACTAGTATTCGCAAGATAGCTTTTCCATCGACTAATAATTCAATAAACTAAAAACCCAAACTTTCCACAAATCCGGCAATCCCTGACCATCAATGTTTCGCTCAAACATCAGTATATACGGATAAACTGACAATCACCAAGCTGTTAACCCATCTTCAGTCGCCAGTACTCTTCGACGCAAAATCACAAGCAGCTTGTAACCCATTCTAATCATCCGCACTCATTAACCCGCAACGCAACACATACTTAACTTCAAAATATCCTAACCGTTGAATTCATTATTCCCATAACACAATGTAATTCCTAAACATAATAATTTTTCACGTACATGGAGTAATATCATATGGACCCCATGCTTCATTCAATAGTAGTAATGTGACTCGGGAAATTGAAACCGGACCTCATAAATTCAACTTCCGGATTTCTCAAGTTTATTCAAACAGAGATCTATCATATATAATACCCATCATTATCATAAGTATTAAATACCACAACACTAAAAAAAAAAAAAGAAAAAAAACCAAAGTCAAAGTATTATCCCATATACTCCTAAATATTAGTTACCCACCAGATCAATTACACATAAAAGGCAATATTTAGAGTTCCTGAAACCTTTGAGATTGCATATTACTTTTTGCAACTGTCAGGGCATTTTTGGTCATAGAAATAACAATAAAACTGGACTGGACTGGACTATTGCACCATATCTTCATGAATTTCATTCGATAAAATTTACTCAAACATTGGGCTAGTTGCATTATTTACAAAACAAGAACTTGGCATGTAGCGAATCATGGGGCAAAATCGATAGTATTGGAATGTGATAAACTATTCTTGAACCATTGACTTATTCATTCATTTCTATTGAAACTTGGAACAACTGGCATGAGAAAGGAAAATGTGGTACACAATGGGGAAAAACTCTGGCATATAAGACCACAATAGATACATTTGGAAAACCCAATGAATATCTCATCATACTTTTTGGACTCTGGATATTGTAATTATATGCAAACCATCAAAGCTAAGGAGGTTGAACCCCTCATATTGGCAACAAAAAAGAATTTAATTGGAATAGATTAGATCATGCTATTATTTGTTTATTTCATCATAGGGCAAGTTGGAGCGTATATGTCTTTCTGCTCTCTGAAATACAAAATCCTAAACCAAAACCTCTACCTACTAACCAAAAAAAAAAAAAAAAAAAGGTTTCGAAGACGACGAGTTATGCCTTCTTTAACATAAGGTCTGGCAAGTTAGAATTAATGGCAATGCAGCACATTCCCAACATAGCTTTGTTTCTAAATGTGCCAGACAGGAATGGTAGCAGTGTTCATACCATTACCAATACCGGTAGTAACTCTACCAATAACGAATTGACCAGTACCCCAGGAATCTCTGAAAGTAGTGACAGAAATGACAGTACCAATAATGATGATGAAAGCACCAATAATAATCATAGGCTTTCTTCCGTATTTTTCACCTCTAAGCATAGCAAACAAAGCACCAAAGAAACAACCAATTTCATAACATGAGACAACGGCACCTTGGAGAACAGTGGCATGAGAATCGTCAGAACCGTTTTGCTTGGTACCATTTGACCTCGTCATTAGCTATTTAGACCAATAAGCTCATATGAAGCATTTAAATGCTTCTGCTGAACCCATATTAGACAACAACAACAACAACAAAAAAAAAGATCCATACAGATACATTATCATCACACAATACATTATCATCGCACCACAAATTCACCCTCAGCGTCACCGCATTGTAATCTCTATCAGGGAAACCAAATAAAAAAAAAAAAAAAAAAAAACAATGGAAAGCATCACCAAATAAACCAATTATTTTTCATTTTAATATATTATAAACACATTAATAATCCTCATGACTTGGAACCTACATCATAATAACCCAACTAAATCCTGGACTGACTTTGATTCTAATCGTAGCTGGGAACGCACACCAGAGCAAACCATCAAAACTCACATCAAATCCTCGATAAAGCAATATTACAGATCATCTTTGTAAAACACTGGCTGTTTGCAAAATATTTGAAAGGCAAAATACCCTAACAAAGAAAGAAGAAAAACGCAGAATTTCCTCCCTTTTATATACTATTTTTTAGGGGGCGAAGAGATGAGGCAATCACACACCCTTGCGATCGATCTGCATGTGATACGATAACATTTCTATAAGAATATATTCGATGCTGATTAGGAAATTATATATCTAAATGTATGCTGAAGGAAAAGAGAATATGAAAAAAATTAAAACCAAAAAGCAGGGGCTAATGATACAAGTCTTGAAACAAATTTTTTTTTTTTAGATGATCTATTGATCTATTGTCCTGTTGAAAATCTGTTCAAACGTCATCTCTTTGTAGATTTCTTCATTTTTGAAAGGACCAACAGGGTTTTGCACGAATTGAACATGAAGATTGACCACTGCATTCTTAAAATCATTCAATCTATCATCAGAGGTGACCTGGGCAGTTCTAGGCTTTTTAACGGATGAAAATTGTGGTTCTACTGCCGGCCGTTTGTTGTGGTTGAAATTAGGAAAGTCCGTGTTATCCACCTTTTTCCCATCAGCCAGCGAAGGAAAGCCTTCTTTACCATAATTTAAAATCGAATGAATAGAAAGAACATTGGACTTGTTACCAATGTTCAATCCGCCAGCAGCAGTCACTGACGGTGATCTGGTGGAAACCGCGGTTGCATCGGGAGTTGCCTTAGTACTACTAGCAAGTGATTTGTGATTCAATTTTTTTTGAGTTTTCCTGTAAATTAAATCTTCTGATAAAGGCAAGTCTTGCAATCGACCAATGTCCAAGGTTTTAGAAAGAACAATATCGGGTCTATCAATGTTAATGATATTTTGAATTATATGGAACATTGAATTGTGCACCATGTGCGACTTGTTTATCGCTTCCAAATGCTGCGTGATTTCTGTATAATTTTCTTGTGGTTCAATATGTGGGGGATTGTGGGTATTTTGATAACTTGAGGTATTATAGGCAAGTTCGTAATTGTGTTTTGTTTCTTGGAACACCGTTGGTGACAAATCAAGCCAGGCATCATTCAAAATGTTCATAGATTCAATAATTGGGGTTTTAAGAGACTTGAAAATAAATCGGATTTTATTGACTTGGATATTCGATACACTTGTTGAGGAAATGATACTGAGAGAATTGCGAAGATTTTCTAATAATTTTTTCTGGTGGTTTCGTTTAATATTTTGAGACACCCGATCGAACTTTTGCAAATTTTGGAAAATGTCTTGACTGATACAGACCAATTTGATGTTGTGGGGAATTAAATAATCTGGAACATTGTGATGGATGCTGCTTTCACATAAAACCAACACTTGATGATCTTCAGTGGCTCCTTGGTGTGATTGAATATCCTGGCTGAGAACTTGTAAATATGATGTGAAAAACTCTTTGGAGGTCCAGCCAGTAGAGGTATTATAATAATTGCAATGTTTGTTTAACGCATTTAATTTTGACGGGTTTGGTGTCAGGCTAATGAAGGATGCTCGACATTTTCGAGTGCCGTCAATGGTTGCACAACAAACCATGGTTAACAATTTGTTTAACAAAAAGGGGATTGAATCATCGGTGGGTGAGAAATTATCGCGGATATCATTTTCGCCGCCACCATTTTCTTCTTCATCATCATCTTCTTCTTCACTTTGTTCTTGACCCGCTTCATCGTCATATTGGTCATCATGCTGTTGCCGTACTTTTTGATCCTGATCTGCTTCTCGTTTTTCATGTTCTTTGATATCATCACAATCTTCATTATCAATTCCATATTTTTCAGCTCGTTCACGGTCCAATAATTGGTATTGCATCAAGTGTACATTGACGAAATAGATATTTTTGGGATCATTCAGATCAAAGATGTTTTTGAGATGTTTCCGATCGTTAATATACACTTGCTTTGTGGCACTTTTCATGTATTTTACCTCGAGATTCTTGATGGAAGTCTTATAAAGTTTTTTGAGTCTATCGCAAGCACTATTGACGAATCCCTCGGCTTCTGTGGGTGACAAATCAAATGAGGGACAAAGTTGATAGAATTTGGTTTTGATGAATGAGTCGGTGATGGGGATTTCATATTTCAAAGCGATTCCGATGTACGTGACCAAGAACTCGTACAACTGCTCGAATTTTGAGTTGAGAACCCGGTAACTGTTTTTAATTCTGTCAGGAACGTCGGCATCAACGATTAATCCTGCGTATTGCTTGGCCAATTTCAAAATGATTGGGTTTTTTTTCCATCGATAAATGTTTCTGCGATATTGAATGTAGAAGTTGAGAGTGTTTTTTGCCCATTCGATGACTTCGAGGTCTTTTTTTCCTTTTAGTTTTTCGGCAACCACCCTGGCCTTCATATCATAGTTTCCTGTCTTTATCAAGTCATGATCTCCAGTGGTGGTGGTAGTTGTGATGGAGTCATTTGGTGATGGATTTTTGGGCACCATTTGAGGAGGTAAGGTAAGGGAAGAAGACGACAAAAAAAAAAAAAGGAAAAAGGAAAAAAAAAAAAAAAGGAAGAACGAAAAGAGAAGAGAAAAAAAAAGAGGAAATAGAGTGGGGGATATAGGGGCGGATCAAGCTCTATCTATATATATTTATATATATATATATAATTTATGTGATGATGATGCTTGTGGTAACCCCAGTATGTATTTAAAGTGTAAATTGTTGAGTCGGCAAAAAAGAACGTTAACACTGGCCAGAAAAAAGAAACAACCTGAACATCATAACAATTGCCAAACCTTAACCGATTTAAGATTTGGATGCCGCGATTGTTCTCAAGGGTTTTTTCCAACCAAAAAACTCCCCGATCATGTACTAAGAGGAAAATCGTACACCCATCTTTAGGTAGCTCACAGAAGGCTGCTTATGTTGTAGCCATCCAACGTCCAAACAATGTCCAAAACAAAAGGACATCGTAAGGTTTTTCTTTTTTTTTTTCTTGGGCTGCTTGGGATAAAAGTTTTGCATTGCATTACCACTGCTAAGCTTATATTGGGTTACCTTATTATCTGACCATCGGAAGATCTAGGCCACGGCTGTTGACCACTGTTGTCAACGAATTTGAGGAATTGGAACCCGCTCACCATATAAATTGCACCACGTGTGGCGATCTATCTATCAGCAATTTACAATGGGCAATATCGTTCACAAGATTGTTGTAATCGGCCACTAATTACAAAACAAAAACAAAAACAAAAAAAGAACCGCTACAACAGTGAATATATTCATAGATGATGAAGACCCTGGTCCTTAAATAACAAGCGGGGGACACTCAGCCACACTTCAGTGATGGGAAATTGGTTTAGAACCTTTGGCTCCTTCCAAGTGCATTTATTATTTGCATGTGGTGCATTGTTATTTGATACTAGTTGTTTCTTCAAAACACACCAGCACTATTTTTCGGTGCAAAGCGCTCATTTTTTTAATTAATGACTTTTTTTTTTTTTCATCGCTTCCTTTTTGTCATTCACATATATACATATGGTTGGTAGGCCTGAACAGCGGCTGCTATCCTTTAACCCGCGATCTGCTAGCACTATTTGTGGTGACCTACTGGACTGTGACTCTTGCGATGTGTCCCAATGATATCATTTAAAAAACTGGCGAATACGAGCAGACCAGGACGTCATCCATGCACCCGCTCACAGATAGAGATCTCATGGGCAGTTGGCTGCTGCTCGGATTATCATTGCCATTAGTGTGGGAAAGGAAAGGGAAGGGACGCCCACCAACGCAATACGTGCACACCAGGTGCAGCCCACGCACCCCCCGCCGCTCTCTATCTCTCTCTTTTTTTTTTTTTCTCTCTCTCTCTCTCGCCGTCGCTAATGCCAGTTAGCAGCACCCAAACTCTATATATCGGAATATTCTGACGCTTGGCATTTCTTATTAGCCTAATTACTTATTCTCCACCAGTATAAATCAACAAATTAACAAACAAACAAACAAACAAACAAACAAACAAATAAATAAATAAATAAATAAATAAATAAATAAATAAATAAATAAATAAATAAATAAATAAATAAATAAATAAATAAATAAATAAATAAATAAATAAATAAATAAATAAATAAATAAATAAATAAATAAATAAATAAATAAATAAATAAATAAATAAATAAATAAATAAATAAATAAATAAATAAATAAATAAATGAACATCACCTGGTGGAGACTCCCCCACCTTTCTGCCTACCTACCGTGCAAGAACCCTTTTTGGTCGTCATCTAATCGGTTTGGTACCTTCTGGTGCAAGGGTTTATACAGTACGTACCAAAATGAGGGTCCTTTTCCCGGTGTTCCTGACGGTTACAGAGTACTCAACTCAAAAATAGACATAAAAACATTATTTCGTAAAAAGAAAAAATCTTAACCCTTTGAAGCTTCGCCGATACATAAACGCTCCGATTGTTTTTGAGGTCTTTTCTTGCACCAGCTGCAAAAAAGAAAAAGAAAAGAAAAGAAAAATAAGAAGGAAACAAAAAGGGGGCTTGAATGTTCCTGGAAGGGAAGTTGAGTAGTTGATGATACCCAGTCAAAAACCTTGTGAACACTACAGAGATTCAAATACAACCCGCCAGCGCACTGCTCTATATCCTTAGTAATTGCTATATATATATATATATATATATATATTATATAATATTATATAACGATCTAGCTACTGTCTCCTAGACTTGTCCTGTCCTACACCGCCCAATGCATGCTGTCTATCTGCCGTGTTATGCAGAGATTGACCGCTTACCCAGCCCCATCTGAACAAACAGGCGATTTTTTAGAGAGAGAGAGAGAGAGAGAGTGTGTGTGTGTGTGTGTGTGTGTGTTGGAATCAACACTGATGTACATTAGAGAACATACTTCGAAGAAATATGTGATCTAGTATCACTTCTTCTTCTTCTTCTTCTTCTTCTTCTTCTTCTTCTTCTTCTTCTTCTTCTTCTTCTTCTTCTTCTTCTTCTTCTTCTTCTTCTTCTTTTTCTTCTTTTTCTTCTTTTTCTTCTTTTTCTTCTCAAAAAGCTCGCCAAGTATGGCTAAGATGATTCTTGTGCAATCTCTCGGCCAACTCTAATAAAAGTCTTGAGGTCCCAGGTTGGTTTATTTCCCCTCCCCCTTTGATTTGTTTCAATTGTTTAGTGGTTGGGCAAGCTCTTTCATGGCCTGCCGACCTTCCGTATATACACCGGATAGGTGAGTTATTTTTATACAAAGTCCGTGCCGGAGGGCACGAGTCTACCAAAATAGGAAGAATAACCATCCATTAGTCCCCTCCCCCCTCCAAGAGCCAATAGCACACACATCTATTTATATGGTGACGAGTCACATATAATATCATGTCAACACTTACCTGGTTTCTAATGAATTAGCGAGATAACAAAGAACCCATGACAATAAAATCTTTCCGAACGGCTATCAACGCTTTTATCGTTCGTTTGAAAGACAATTATCCCGAATTTATTATCAGACTACACCATACTCTTACAAACTCTCATAATGATTTCCAGACTTATTCATCCACCATCACAATATTGATTGATTTGTATACCACCGCTCCATCACCAAACGCCGATGTCATCTTCAAGTCAAACCTCTTGCGGGAAGTGGTAGCTTACCTAAGAGATCTATCCGTTTATGATAAACAAGACAACCTTAATATTAAAGAAGCAATGGTATTGTTTGAGAAATTGCATCCAAAGTTGGCTCTTGAAGAAAAGATGGAATTTGCCAAAGACTACGGACTCGCAACGTATATTTGGGATATTATGATCAATGATGATTCCGATCTTATCCGTCCCCACAAGAAATTGTTCAACTTGTATTTTGGTAATTCTTTTTATCGAATAAATACCCTTGATCAGTGGATCATCGAACAATTCATGATCCCCATATTAAGGAATCCTTCCAATCCACAAAGCACCTCTCTTTGTTTTGAATTCTTATCAAAATTATATTCGAATGTTGTCCCCGACTCCAAGATCACTGCCATTATTTGTGATTTACTAAAACCAATATCCACCAAGTCTTCAAGCTCATCATCTAAGAAATTGGGAATATTCAAAACACACAAAGCCACGCCAAAACCAGAATTCCTTCCACAGCCAGTTCTCATAGACGCCTTGCAATATTTTGCACGGATATTTGAGGCTCATAAAGAATCCATTCCAGATCTTATGAAAATAGAAACCTCCACCAATCTATGGGATTCGGTGTCTTATCTTTTCCAAAAATTCAACACCTCGTTTGCAGTGCAATATCATGTCTTGTACTTTGCTCATTTCTTCTTGATAACCGAACCAAAATTTGATGAGAACGAGGTCAAGAAATTATTATGGTCATCCAATTTTATTACTAGAAATTTACTCGATGCTTATGAAAGTCAAAAGGATCCCACAGTCAGGGGAGATAAATACCCAAAGGATCTATGTGTAGTTATGAATTTTAAATCCCTTCGCAAATATCTACAGAAGTCCAAATCTGATGGCGATAAAATTAATACTGACCAAATGATTGATATTTTGAAATTCATAAACTACCTCTTGGATCATTGGAAATCTGTCAATATCACAACTAAGAATCTGATTCAAGCGATAACTGATTTGGTTGAATTTTGTCTACCAAGGGTTCCTCAAAATGATAAAAGATCTTTAATCAACAAATTATTGGTCATTCTAGACAACGATACTAGCCATGACGACGCTACAATACCGGTAGCACATTTCTATGCCAGACATTCTTTAGACAAGAATTTTGATAAACAGATTGATATCGTATTATTCTTCCCTTATGTGGCAAAAAAGACAAAGAATGTAAAGAAGCGGCTTGAAGAAATTCACGGTAAAAGTCAAATTCTCTGCTTACAAGACCAAGAGGAGTTCACCTTCATGTTAAATTGTTTAGCATCACAATCTTTTAAACAAAAGTACAAGTTACGTGATATGATACGCCAAGGCAATTATCTTAATTTGTTTATCCCCAATATTACTGATTTACATACTGATGATGCCAAAACATTGATGCTCATTTGTTTGGTATTATCACTCGCGTGTTTGGAGTTGGATGAAGAATACTATTCTAATTTGTCACTGCTCCTTGCGAATGTTGGTGACGATGACGTCTTTAAAAGGAGGATCTTGCTGTTTTCTGGAAATGTTATAATAAATTCTAAAAGTCTGAATCCGTTGATCAATCATCCAACTTTTTTAATGGAGATTTATTCTTTAGCGCTAAGTTCCGAAGACCACGACGTGAAAACGCTAGCTTACAAAGTTATTAATTTGCTTGTTGTGTTTCGAGATCCCGAAAAAAAAGATATCTTGAGAGAAATAATCAAGGAGTGGGACTTTTTTAATACTTTGTTCGTTCCTGTCCTTAAAGACCCTCAATCTTTATTGCATGGATCGGTAACCAATTGTCTCGAGAGCCTTGGCAAAATGGGGGACTTCCAGGAAGAATTCGAAACTACCAACGTTATTTCGTTAATGGTGGATTATTTTTGTACTAGACAACAATACGAAAAAAACTTCTTTTACTTTATTGGTGGTTATTTTGGGGAAGACGGTGGCGTTGATGATACTATAAGGAGCATATGTTTATACAAAGGTAATATTTTTAAGACGCTTCCTAAGGCGATTGAATTATCAAAGTCGACGATAGTAGCAAAGAAATTCAAAGAGAATTGTTGGGTATTAACATACTTGTGCCAAATATTTTCTAGCGTGTTAGAGGAGTACCCAGTTTGTGTGAAAGATTTCACCCGAAAGCAGGCTCATGATATTTATTCAATTACGTTGGATATCGTGAGATCGGCCCCGCAAGATACTCTTGACAAAATTGGGATCGATTATATCGTCAAGCTATGGAGAGATTTAGAACTTGATGAAATTCCTGATGAGGATGATTTTTTGAAAACACTTACAAGACTATTTAATGATTGTTTGCCCTATGTTAGTCGTGAGGATGACACTTTGAGAGACGGTTTCACGCATGCGAAGGAAATGATTCAAGATATTCTCACCATCATTACCAAATATATTGGTGACACCCCTAATAAATCGAAGGATTTCCGGGCAGCTTATTATTTCTTTAAACCATTGATGAAGCTTTTAAACCAAAGTGTGCCGGTTTCGCTTACCGTGAGCATATGGCAGTTTTTCTATAAAATCATCCGTGACAGAGCGAATGGTAAAATTGTGGAGTTTTTTTTCGATAATGTGAAAGAACCGGTTGTTCCCTCGTGGGGATCGGTCGTTATGTTGAAACACCTTCGTGGCGAGTATTCGGTCGCTTCGGCAACCATATCGTTTTGTTGGAAAGTCGTCACTTACTATCCTGGTACCGTTTACGCAACGTATATCTTGAAAGACTTTGGGGTCAATGAACTGATGAGTCAATTAAAGGAACGATTTAGGAATGACTTTGAAATTATGAACAGGTTAGAAGATATTGAAAGTGCAGGTTAGGAATAATACTCCTGTAATGGATTGCACGGACTGTGATCTTGCACTATGGAGAATCGCCCCATTGATTATTTCATTTTTTTTTTTGTTTCAGTATTCTTTGAGCCCCTAAGTTTTCCAAAATGTAAATTTTATCAATAATAAAGCTTTCTTTTCTTTTCTTTTTTTCTTTTTTTTTTTTTTTTTGCATAACTAAATGCTCGCAAACAATGTTAATTTTGTGATATCATATTAATTGCGCATTCTTGCAGAAGATTTAGTAATTTTGTGTAAAACGTATTGTTGGCACCACCACAAAAGTAATAATCCTAGTTTTGGTATTACTCGTTTGTGTGAAGATTCTTTTTTATCAGGATATCAAAGGGGTTTCCACTTATCATCAATGAAGAAGGAAGTTCTATTATTATTTATGGATCGTGTGATCCTGTTGTCTAATCTAAATCTCTATAGAGAATTTACACTATCACTCGATTAGCTATGTTAGATATCATATCATCTTGTCATACGGCTATTTTCCAACGCCATCCTCCTTTCTATGTAACAGATGCCCAGGCCAATGAATCCCCTCTGCTAGTGCTTCTGGTGGTGAAAGCATAATAATCAGGGTTTGCCTATTGGTAGTTGTCTGCACCAACACATATCCTGTAAATTTTCTTTGCTGTGTTATTTTGCATGTCTAGCTGATTGCGATGAATATTGTGGTGAATAATGTTGTTGTAAGATAAGTTGTGGTGGAAACTTTGCTAAGATGCACAGCACAGACAGATCTCTAAGAACAAAACAAAAAAAGGAAAGTTGTAATACGGCGGGTGCCCTAACGGTAAAGTCATGCAGTGCAATCCTATGTTTAGGTAATTCACAGAAATCTGCTTATACTATAACCTACCAAACAATGCCAACAAGAAAAGACAATCATTAAGCTTTTTTCGTTTTCGTTTTGGTTTTCGTTTTGGTTTTCTTTTGGAATAAAAGTTTTTCCGATGCATACGTTTAAAATTATTGCCTGATCATCGGAAGCTCTAGACCGTAGCCGCTGGACATCATCTCCATGTGCTATTGTCACACAATTTTCAGCGAAATTTGAGGAAACTCGTGTGACAACAGCATATCGAAGACCCGTCCCTCCAAATATTGTACGGGTGTACTTACTGTCTATACTTCTTGATCTGTAAACTACAAGCTTCATACCATCATCTTGAGCATCGTGAAAGCCAGCAAGTGATTGATGCCAGCAACACCCTAATCATTGGATGGAACTAGCGGAGGACACTCGGCCACACCTCGGCGACAGGCAAAAATGATTTAAAAACATTTGGCTCCTTAGAAATGCATTTATTAATCCGCAGATGGTGCATTGTTAATTGATGCTAGTAGTTCTTCAAAAAAAAAAAAAACATTTCAAAAAGAAAAAAAGAAACAAAAAAGAGACCCAGCAGCACTGCTACTACAAGAGATTCCTTCCAAAACAGGTCAGCATAATATATTGCGAGGGTTACAGGATTTGTGTGTGTGCTCCACAACATAACATAACATCCCTATGATATCATTTGCCCCACCCCTCACCCAACCATTTGTTCTTTTTCCCTTCTCTCCTCGGTCACCAAGGCACCAGCGTTTATGAAGACGTCATACATACATGCGTCTACATACAGATAGACATCTCTCTCTCTCTCTCTCTCTCTGTCTCGAGCACACAGAGATCTCACGTCCCACCGTTTTTGTTGATTGGTCGGTTAAACTGGTACGGTATTGCCTCTCGTGTTGTTATTACCACTTGCGTAGATATGTGATTAATATGTACCAAGTGCAGCTTCTCGCAATAGCAAGAAGTTTTTTGGTTTTTGTTATTAAAAAACAAACACTTCCGTTAGCCCAGACTTTCTCGAGAAACCTTTGTCTTGGCCCCTCTATTATTAATCTAGTCACTGCTGTCCCAACAAAATAAGGACATTTTATCTGAGAGTGACCCCATCGCTCTCTACTTTCTTTTTGTTTTTTTCACAAGCTCTTGGAAAATGTACCACATTTTTGGTATATTCCGTCCCGTTGGTTTCTTCAGATGTGTGGGTTTATATAACACATACCAATATGAAGGGTCTTTTGTCCAGGTGTCCAGGTGTGCTCAACCTCATCGCTAAAAAATATTTTTTTTTTTTTTTTTTCTATGTGAAAAATTTTTGTATCTGCAAAAAAATAATAAGGCACTTGAGTAAGGACATAACCATTCTTCTCATCTCATAATAACAAAAATGGCAGAAGTCACTGATAGAAAGAGAAAAGTGGACCAGGAATCAGACAGTGATTCTGACGCCGAATTGGAAAAGCTCCTTGGAGAAGAAGAAGGGATTGAATATTCTTCTGGATCCGAAGGTGATGATGATGATGATGATGATGATGAACTAGAAAGCGATGCAGAATATATCAATGATGCTATTGCCAATATCCGTATTCGCTCATTGTCTAACTCCACCATTGGATCAGAAGGTAGACCAGAGTTAAAAGAAGGTGAAGTATTGACTGAATTTGCCGATGGCCAACCAAGAATCATTAGACCAGAAATCGACCCTGTTTACGATAGTGATGACAGTGATAAGGAAGATGCCAATGCTATTGGTAACATTCCTTTGTCATTGTACGATGAAATGCCTCATATCGGTTACGATATCAATGGTAAAAGAATTATGAGACCAGCAAAAGGCAGTGCTTTAGACCAACTATTAGAATCGATAGATTTACCAGAAGGTTGGACCGGGTTGTTAGACAAAAACACCGGGTCATCATTAAACTTAACCAAGGAAGAATTGGAATTGATCAAAAAGATTCAGAAAAATGAAAATACCGATGAAAATGTCAACCCATACGAACCAACCATCGAATGGTTCACCTCCGAAAAGGAAATCATGCCATTGACTGCGGTTCCTGAACCAAAAAGAAGATTCGTTCCATCAAAACACGAAGCCAAAAGAATTATGAAGATTGTCAGAGCCATTAGAGAAGGCAGAATTATCCCCCCAGAGAAATTGAAACAACAGCAACAAGATGAAGATGATACTCCAGATTTCGACTTATGGGAAGACGCTCCAGATTCACATGAAGACCATATAATGGTTCTTAGAGCCCCTAAGTTGCCTCCACCAACCAATGACGAGAGTTACAACCCTCCTGAAGAATACTTGCTCAACGACGACGAATTAAAAGAATGGGAAGGGACCGATCCTATTGACCGTACTAGAAACTACGTTCCAAAGAATTATGGCTCCTTAAGAAAGATTCCTGGGTATAAAGAGTCGGTTAGAGAAAGATTTGATAGATCCTTAGACTTATACTTGGCCCCAAGAGTCCGTAAAAATAAGTTGAATATTGACCCAGATTCCTTGATTCCGGATTTACCATCTCCAAAAGATCTTAGACCGTTCCCAATTAGATGTTCGGTCATTTATAAAGGTCATTCTGAAAAGATCAGAACCATTTCTGTCGATCCTTTGGGTCTTTGGTTGGCCACTGGTTCCGACGATGGCTCTGTGATCATCTGGGAAGTTTTAACTGGTAGACAGGTATGGAAGACTCAGTTGATTAACAAAAAGGATAACACCGAAGATCATATTGAAGCAATTGAATGGAACCCAGACCATGAAACTGGTATTTTGGCAGTCACCGTTGGCGAAAACATTTATTTGATCGTTCCTCCAATTTTTGGATTTGACATTGAAAATAACGGGTACTTGAAAATTGAACAAGGGTACGGTTATGAAAAAGGTGGTAATAATAAAACTTCTGGCAACATTGAAGTTGCTGATGATGAAGATGATGATGATGATGATGAAGATGAAGACGATGAAGACGATGAAGCTGAAGAAAAACCTACTAAGAAAAATGGTGGAGCATCGTCTGAAAAGAAGGCCATTGTTGCCAAATGGTTGAAACCTACCGCAAAACAACAAGCCCAAGGAGTGTCACTTATAATCCAGTGTCGTAAAACTGTCAAGAAGCTTTCATGGCACCGTAAGGGTGACTACTTTGTCACCACTTCTCCAAACTCCGGTAACGTTTCTGTGTTGATCCATCAATTATCCAAGCACGTTTCCCAATCACCATTCAAGAAATCCAAGGGGATCATGATGGATGCCAAATTTCATCCATTCAAACCACAACTTTTCGTGGCGTCTCAAAGATTCATCAAGATTTACGACTTGTCGCAACAAGTCCTCGTTAAAAAACTTATGCCGGGGGCTAGATGGCTTAATTCTTTTGATATCCATTCTAGAGGTGATAATGTTATTGTTTCATCCTTTGACAAGAAGGTTCTCTGGCATGATTTGGATTTGGCCAGTACCCCATACAAGATTCTCAGATACCACGAAAAAGCGGTCAGATCTATCAAGTTCCACAAAGGTGGATTACCATTGTGGGCTTCCAGTAGTGATGATGGTACAATCCATGTTTTCCACGGGATGGTTTATGATGATTTGATGACTAATCCTTTGTTGGTGCCATTGAAGAAGCTTACTGGTCACAAGGTGGTGAGTAGTTTGGGTGTTTTGGATGTGGTGTGGCATCCAAAGGAAGCATGGTTGTTCAGTAGTGGTGCTGATGGGTGTGCAAGATTATGGACTACATAGTGTTTTTGGAAGTGGGTATTTCTAATTGTGGTTATCATAATATTTTCTTTAAAATCAGTTTTGTACTTTTAATACTAATGATAAAATAAACATCGTAATTATCAAGAAAGTTGAGATTTATATATAAATATAGAAAGGATATTTATTGGCCCCCGAATGGTTATTATCATAAAATGGGGATATCTTCATTTATCATGCATTATTTTTATTACTAATAATAGTTGATGTAAAGTGAAGTAAGACATCCGTGATTGATTGACTAACTCAAATATTGACTGTGCATAGTCCCCTTGCCTCCAAAAATGACCAAATATTATGGTGATTCCTAGTTAACCATCAACTGTGTTACTCTCCTCAGGCAAATATTTGCTTGCAATTACGTAACTATGATGGCAACTACACACAATCACAATTCCCGAGATATCTTCCGTGAGTCTACCGATAAGCACGCGCACAACCTCAGCAAATAAAATTTAGCAGAAAAAAAAAAAAAAAGCAAATAAAAAAAAAAAAAAAAATTGAGGGGGAGGAGAGAAACACACAATCTTCTTCTTTAATAGTAATTAATAGGATATTTTGTCAATTGTCATCACAATGTCTTCTATTTTGACTTCCACTTTACGTACTGCCGTCAAGCCACAAAACAGATTGAGAAACGCCGTTGGTGTTATTTCTTCTGTTAGAACTAAGGTCACCTTACCAGATTTGGACTGGGATTACGGTGCTTTGGAACCTCACATTTCCGGTAAGATCAACGAATTGCACCACAAGAAGCACCACCAAACTTATGTCAATGGGTTCAATGACGCTAGTGAAAAGTTGTTGGTCGCCGAATCTAACAACGATGCCAAGGCCGCCGTTACTTTACAACAAAACTTGAAATTCCACGGTGGTGGGTTTGTCAACCACAACTTGTTCTGGAAGAACTTGTCTCCAGTGTCTGTCCACGGTGGTGCTCCTCCAACTGGTCAATTGGCCACCCAAATCGAATCTCAATTCGGTTCTTTGGATGGTTTGGTTAAGTTGACCAACTCCAAGTTGGCTGGGATCCAAGGTTCCGGTTGGGCCTTTATTGTTTTCAACAAGGAAAACAACGCCATCGAAGTTGTCCAACGTTACAACCAAGATACCGTTACTGGTCCATTGATTCCTTTGGTGGCCATCGATGCTTGGGAACACGCTTACTACTTGCAATACCAAAACGTCAAGGCCGACTACTTCAAGGCCATCTGGAACGTCATCAACTGGAAGGAAGCGGAATCCCGTTATGCTTCTGCCATTGGTGCTTGAACATTATTCACGTAATCACATTTGGGTTATGCAATAAAATACTATGGTTTTTTAATATTTGATAGATAAAATGTAAGGTAACTTTTTTTATTATTATTATTTTTTTTTTCTGTTTTGTTTTGTTTTGTTTTGTTTTATTTTTTGAAGCAACATTAAATAATTTCTGGCAATTACTAATCAACAAACGGGGACTGGTGTGTCAAAAATGCCCAGACGTAGAATTGAAATATGAATAATATAAAGCGGAAAAGTCGGCGAGAGAATTGAATAAAATGTATATATATAAAACTAAAAAAAATCTAGTAAACAATATCTAAGGGAAATAAACAAAACAATAAAAGAACATCAACAATCAAACAAGAACGACAGAACTTTCACTGGTGTACTTAACTTGTCCTAAAGAAATAGTATTGTCATCTAAGTTGATGAAAGTGTAAGCAGATCTCAAGAAGACGTCTCCCAAAATGACATAATCACCACTACTTTCGACCATCCCAATAGAACATTGTTGAACCCCGTTCTTCATGTAGTAAGAACCATTGGTCAACGAGATATTATACAACATGTCCAGGAATGGCACCTTGATGGTGGTGTCAGCAAACTGGAAACTTAACGGGGTACCCACGGTATCGCATGGAGCGGTATAACTGCCAGCATTAGAGTCATAGGTTCCATATTTTTCAGTATAGTTGCTGTATAAGTCGGATGGGGCATACACTAAGGTGGTACCGGTATCGATCAATGCATCATAAGATTTGGTGGTCAACTCGGTGTTTTCGGCCATGATACCATCCAATTTCACGAAAAGCGCTTTATAAGTGGAACTTTCACTACCGTCGGAGTTTTTCTTCAAGATTGGTAATTTTTGCAAATCTCCTTCATATTTTGCTTCATCGTAGGCCCCAAAGATGATTTGTCCAGAAGTGGCGTCTTCGGAGTTCAAGTATAACGAATAAGAATTGGACGAGGTGATATTGTTCTTCTTCAACAATGCTGGCAAGTTCAAGTACTCTTTGCTGGTGACTTCTTCACTAAGATATCCCATCCCACAAACCCCTTGGCCAGCAGAATTGGAGGTGGCTACTTCAAAAGTGGCAAGATCGATGGTGATATCATCGGAAATTTGAAGGGCATCGACCACCAAATATCCATTGGCTCCTGAGCTATCACCATAAGTAATACTAAAGGTATCGTCTTGGAATTCAATGGCGGTGGAAGACCCATTGACAGAGTAAGTTCCGTGTTCTTGTATAGCAGAGTTGGTGGTTCCTCCAGTTGCTGATCCAGTGGCAGGAATCCAAAGATCGGAAGATCCAGTATCGATTTGTAAGCTGACTTTTTGACATGGGGTACCAAAACAGAATTCGGCAGAATATAATGAGTAGTCATTTTCGATCACTAATTGAACGTCCAAGTTGAGATTATCTTTGGACACGGTGGTGCCATTAATCCCAGCAATCGCCTTGGAAACCCCTTTAACCTGTAATTCTGTGGTGGTGGTGTTGCTGCTGCTTGGGAGGGTGTTCTTGATGGTACTGGTGGTATTAACTGACATGTTAACAGTGACCGGGCCACCAACAGCTGCTCTCTTATTCAATTTTTTGTGACCACCGGTGGCCTTGAGTGGCATAGCACCGGTGATTCTTTCGACCAAAGCGAGAAACAAGAAAAATATGATCTTGTTAGAGAACTTCATGGTGTGTTTCTATATTCTGCAGGGTGTGAATCGTTGTCGACAAAATTGAAGACTAATTATTATTATGAATATTAGATTTTCACATACTATCACCCAAGTTATATACTGATGTATATATATATGAAATGTTCGCTCAGCATACTATACTGCCATTTTTCAGAAACCCACTGGGTCGCAGTGCTTATCTTGGTTTTACCATCGGAGGCAGATGTTTCAATGCTATATCCATGATGCAGTACGCAGAACGCGCAGGTTTACCGCTTGCTGTTTTCTTGAAAGTTTACTGTATTGGCTGTGTAATTGAATTAAACATCTATATATAACAATACCCTAGAGATTCTGACACAGAACTTTAAAATAATAAAAAGCAATATATGGCTATAATTAAAACAAGAAAAAAAATTGCATCAACGCTTTTTTGCAAGAAAATAAATGGTCGACCAAATCACCTTCATTTTGTCCACTGGGTTAATCCCTAGTCTTTGGGTCATTTCCGCAGAAAATTCATTAGGAATATAATTCTTGATATCTTTAGCACTATTTATCCCTGGTGAGGCCTTCTTGGTCTCCTCGACGTACTTATGGTACGCACTCCAACTTTCTTGATAATTCTTATAATCTTGGAGAGTCCAACTTCTTTCGATCTTTAATTTCTCATCCGGAACATCTCCTTGCACCACCGGACGATATTTATGAGTCTCAATATCTTTGAATAAGTCCGTTGGGATTTTCACGTCTTTACAAAATGTCCTCAAATGGTTTCTTCCCGGCTGTTCCCAGTACGGGCCAAAATATTCCTCCCCATAAGTGTACTTGTCATAGATCTCCATGTACACCTTCTTATCCACATCCACCACGGTCCCATCCGGTTTTGTCACTGAGATCACCACAGGATCAACGTAGAACCAGTATGCCAATGTCCCATGAGGCTTTAATATCTTATGAGCAACCTCGAAAAACTCTTGATGCTTGAACCAATGGAAACATTCGGCTCCCGTTAACAAATCAACAGATTCTAAAGGGAATACATCATCAAGCTTCTCCGCGGCCGCTTGCTTGAAACACAATTCTCCCTTGGTGATCGTAGAATGGTCTTTGGAATTCTGGGTGTCCTGACACTTTTGGATCATCACTGCAGATGGATCAACCCCATACACATTGTCTGCGTACTGAATTTCTTCATATAATGGGAAAGTCACTTGTCCTGTACCACAGCCAATATCAACAGACACAGTAACTCCCAAGGAAGTTTCTGGGGAACTCTTCTTATGCCAATCAACCACGTATTGAATGAATGACAATGGGTATGTGGGTCTAGCAAGGTCGTATTGATTAGTAGAAAAAGATTCGGTAGAGTATTCAGTCATGACGAGATAAGCAAAATATAGGATATATGGTACACTCGGAAAATATTGGACTATCTAAATAATTTCAACCGAAGTTAAATAGTGGCAATTGCACGTATTTATATTCAGAAGCCTTATGTTGGCTCCCTGTTATCGTTTACTTTACATTTGGCTCCGACCCATGCCAATGGTACAAAAACATAGTGGACTCCGGTGGCAGGAGCCGCTATCGCATAAGTATGATCTTTTGTAAATACTGATGTTTTGTAAACACTGGGTTAGTAATATTTTCTGTTATATTACCTTACTTGGATAATTACCACGGTTTATAACGTAATCAATTTATGGATATTCGTATTGTCTATATATGGAAACTGAATGATGGAAGAAATTTTTACATAAGAGAATGGTTCCAAAAGAACGAGAATAGCAACACACAGGAAATACTTTCTTAGGATTGATGATAATCCTCGCTCCAATTAAAAGACAGCCCATCAATGAGCTCTATATTAGAAATTAGGCCCGTAAAATTGACTCACCATGGTTTGCATCACCACGTTACCGCAAAGTTTCGCGTAAGGGTTAATCTTGGTGGATAATTCTTTTGCTATCTCATCACCAAATGCCCCTGAAATGTACATATAATGGCTAGCTTCTGCTTCGAAGAAGTTCATGATGGCTCTGAGCTCTTCTTTATTTTTCTCTGAAGTTTCATTCTTCATTGAAGTCTCTAATCTTGCAGCCTTAATGATCAACATCGATGCAAATTGAGAGTAAGCGCTTTGCAAAACCGAGGCCTCTTTTCTTGAAACCGTATATTCTGGAAATGCATCAGGAGAATCCTTCTCCTTAAAAACAGGTTCTGGTAATGATAAATCAACAGCTTTGTGCAATAAGTCAAAAATTTCCACCTCTTTTTCTCTGATGCTGTGTTTCTGAAGTAATTCCTCGTAGTTAGTTTGATTAGTTGACTGCTTCTTGATCATCGCGATTTTATATTGCAATGAAAGCCTTTTAACTACAGCATCCAAAACATAAAACCCCCCAAAGACTTTAGCGTCTTCATACGAACCGAATATTTCATTATCGACAATATTTTGGCATTCGTTAATCACAGAAATATCTGGAAGAAAATGGTAACCGTAAGCATCAATATCGTGTTCATCGAGCTTCATTGCCTCAATATCATGAGGTTTGTTAAAAGCATCTTTCTCGGCCAAAATGATCACTTTAGCTTCAAGGTCATAAAAGTCTTGTACCCGATCTTCATCAGTAATGTAACGATTTGGAGTTTTAGTGAGATCAACGATGATGTTACCAACGGTGTTGAGCTCCATGAATTTTGGTAAGAAGTTCATATCTTTGGTCCGCTCTTTGAATTTCCTAGCAGAAATTCCGGCAGCCTCCTTATTGAACAACACTGCAAACACTCTTCTATCATTTTTGGTGAGTTGGGGAATGACGAAACCGTTAGGATGTTTATTAAGTTCTTCTGGCATCTTTTATGGTATGATATTGGAAAGTTGAAGCGAATTTCAGGCACGCATATATAAACAAATATTAAGAAAGACATATAAAGAAATGGAAGAAAAATAAAACCTGGAAAGATATCAAAATATCACTAGTGAAATCCGTTGGAGAATGGAGGCTACGAAGCGTTTGTGCCACATGTCGAATCAGATCCAAAAATAGCTCTCTACTACAAGAACTTTACAAAACAAAGAAATAATTGGTAGGAATATCAAAAAGCAAGAAAGCAAAACTCTATGTACCTATACTCTTCAAGTGGTGTTATTTCTTGTTGATTATCCACAGTTTGTGTCAAATGATAATAATATTCTCATGTAAATCCCATAGGTTTTCGCGCATAAAAAAAAAAAAATTACGCGCGAAAAAAAATTTCAACCCCACAGCAATATCGTGTTGGAAGTTTTAAGACTTTATCAACCGTCATCATGTCCAAAGAAGGCAAAAGATCCAAAAATACCGGAGAGACATCGATTGTCTCAAAGAAACAAAAAGTTAATACAGGACTTGGCGATAATTACGATGGATATAAGCCATTAGAGGATAATGAAAAGATTGCGGAGATAAATATCAAGGACATCGATGCCCAAAAATTTTATGAAGAGTATATCAAACCGAGAAAACCAGTGGTTATCAATGGCATAATAACCGATTTAGATATTTCTGGATTGAAGTCGGACACGATTACTAAAACCCTTGGACGGAAGAATCACGAACAATACGATGTGCAGGTTGAAAAACGAGTCGATGGAGGGTTTGGCTCAGGGTTCCAAAGACAAACTATGGCATTTGACGAGTTTATAGCAAAAGTGGTTAATGGAGAAACAGATGGCTACTTGACCACCCAATATGATGATGTTTATGATGAAGATTTGGAAGATTTCCCTGAAAGTGGAAAAGAGTTTAGCGATGATGATGAAGAGGAAGATGAAGATGTCGGTGATGACGGCATGGGGGAAAGCGAGCGAGAAAAAGCTATGATGGAGGCCATTAGAAACCATCATCAACAAGCAACACCGGATGATGTTGTTAGTGAAGCAGATTCCATCGATTTCAACGATTTGCATGACGATTTCGACGATTTGGGGGGAGAAGAGGAAGAGGAGGAAGTCCTTGATGATTGCAAGGGGGAACCATTGTATGTATCAGAAGCAGTGGAGAGAATTTATAGTCTTATTCAAAAACCGTTAACCTCTCTTTTTGAGAAAGACAAACTTCCAATAATTCCTACTATCTTGGAGACTTTAATTCCTCAGCAAATCAACATTTGGGCTGGTTCTGGTAAACCTAACCCTGGGTCTTTAAAAATTGAAATAGACGAAACTAAGAAAGATTTTGGCTTGGGAAGAAGAATACCTGGTAAAGGTACTTCTTCTGGTCTACATCATGATCATGCAAATAATTTATATATTCCTGTGCAGGGAAAGAAACGGTTTACAATTTTCCCTCCATCGGAGGCAGAGAACTTGTATACTGTTGGTGATATAAATAAAATATTCAATTCAGGGGTCATCGACTATACCCCAAACGAAAGGGCTCCAAAGTGGAAGCCTGTTAGAAGTGATGGTGCAGTTATAGAAAACCCTGAAACTATCAAAGATGAAGATGATGATGAAGAAGAAGTCAATAAATCAAAGAAACTTGATCCTCCATCCTTTTGTGAAGTTCCGCCTATTCTTCTCCATTCCGATGAATTAGAAGAAAAAGAAAAGGTCATTCTCAGGAATTTTGAAAAGAAACATTTTCCAAAACTCAGTAATGCCAAAAGAATCACAGTTGAGTTGAAATCTGGCCAAATGCTTTATTTGCCAACGGGTTGGTTTCATGAAGTCTCGTCTTTTGGGTTGACCGATGAGTCTCTGGACAATATGCACATTGCTGTAAACTATTGGTTCTATCCCACAGATGGTAACCTATTTGAAAATCCATATCTAGATTCATACTGGAAAACCGATTTTCAAAGAACTCAGAAGGCTTACTCTTTGTATAGGCAGGGAAAGTTCGAGTTGAGTTAGATGTATTATTTAACAGAAACAAAAATGCAGATATATTGTAATAAATACCCATAATATCTTTCATTCTGATATATTTATGTACAGGTCTTTTTCTTCCTCTTCTTCTTCTGGGTGGAACAAAATAATCATTGGTGAAATTAATCACGGTTTGGTTTATTCCAAAGCCAATTTTCCCCAAATCTATAGATACCATAACCAATTAAGCCAACACCAGTGAGTTTGACCAGCTTCTTCCACCAAAGAGGATTGACCCCAGGCTTTTCATTTTTAAACACCCGGCCAGTACCAAAATATACCCCGGCCCCGAAGGCAGTGATAGTGGCCATCGCTTGACAGTAGAAACAGTTTTCCACCTCTTTCTCGGACAAGTCTCTTGAAGGCGGAGGGTTGAAGAGATCAGTAATATTACTCATTTTTTTGTAGAATAAATGGTAATAACTGGAAAAATATAAGGAGAAGATATTCTTTTTGAGGAAAGTCTCGAGACTAAGAGATATATCCCTTAAGGAAAAGAAAAAAAAAAGACTATATCTTGTGATATGAACGAAGAGTGGCGAGAGCCAAAAAAAAAAAAAATTCGCGTGCGCAAAAAAAAAAAAAAAAAAAAATACGCCAAAATTACTTTGTTGTGAAAATTGTGTGGTACATGATGATGGATCAAGGAGTATAGCGTATCGGAAAGCAACTGGAAAGGAAACTTGGGTGCCAGGGAGAGATAGAAATTAACCAATAGAATGGTATCTAAACTAGAAAAACAACGATTGGAAAATATACAGAGAAATAAGGAGCTTCTTAGGTCGCTTAGTCTTGATAAGATCTCTTATGAGATCAAGAAAGATGTAGAGGAGAAGAAAGCCGAGACCAAGGCGAAAAGACAAAAGCGTAAGACCGATACGGCCCCAAAAGAGCCGATTAGGAAATCACGTCGACTACAAGGGATCAAAATCGAAGATACCGAGGATTATCAGACGGCCATGAGGGCGAAGGAGCTACAGCAGATCGAGGAAGAGAAATTGGAGAAACTACGGACCATGAAACTTCCCGGTAATGTATCGTTGATTGACATTTTAAAAGAACAGAATAAAGACAATGAGATTAAAGGAGAAGATAACGACGATGAAAAATTACTCTCGGAATTTTCTAGATTGTCCGATAACTTTTCCGTGGGGGATTTCTATGAAGTGATTTCCAAAAAACCAACTGATGATAAATCGATCAACAAACTTCGAAAAGAGTTCAAGTCTATCGATTTATATGAAAAATTCTTACCTAACCAAATATCATTGACTGAAGACAGGTTGGCAATTATAAATTTCCACCCATCCAATACCGAAAAAATCATTGTTGGCGGTGATATTCTAGGAAATTTAGGGATTTGGAACCCGAATTCTGATACTGATGAAAACCCTGCCATAACCCTGTTCAACCTCCATGGTAAGCATATTTCAAAAATAGCGTTTTCTACCAAAAAACTTAACAATCTTTACACTGCTAGCTATGATAATTCCATCAGATGTACCGATTTGAAGACATTAAAATCCACAGAAGTACTAGGGTTGCTTGATGATAATGGAAATGATATTGGCATATCGGATATCCAATTATCAACCCCAAACACTTCTCTGTATGAGAATTTACTATTTTTCACCACGTTGACTGGCCAATTCGGGTCATTTGATATCAGATCAAAACCAAGAACCACCAGTATTAGTCTATACCGACTAAGTGACAAAAAAATCGGAGGTTTTTCCATAAACCCCAATGCTAATTATCAATTATCAACAGGATCATTGGATCGAACATTGAAGATTTGGGATCTTAGAAAAGTTAATGCCAACTCTAACTGGTCAGAAAAGTTCCCAAGCGATGCCTGTATTCATGCGTATGGTGGCTTCAGCAGTCGCCTAAGTGTTAGTTCTACCGACTGGAATTCCAGTGGGGATATTGTTTGTAATGGGTATGCTGATGCTATTAATATATTCAAGCTTGGAGATACCACCCAATGGAACAGTGATTTCCTTTATAAACCCAAAAAGAAATCCAAAGAAATCATCCCCATGACGTTGAAGCCAGACCATGTAATGAAACATAACTGCCGTACTGGTAAATGGGTTTCAATATTGAAGGCTAGATGGCAGATGAATCCAAAGGACGGTTATGAAAAGTTTGTTATCGGAAATATGCAAAAATTCTTTGATGTTTACACCGCCAACGGGATTCAAGTAGCTCATTTGGGCGGGAAGTCCATTACTGCTGTACCTGCAGTAGCCAATTTCCATCCAACAGAGAATTGGTTAGTTGGGGGAACCGCGAGTGGGAAATGTGTTTTGTTCAGTTAGATGGGACTTTTTCTTCTTCTGGAATATATTATAATTGTTGTTGATATAATAGATGCTATTTGTAGTTGTTACATTGGTGAACCATGGTTCACGTGCATTGCACGACTCATCTCGAAAAAAGAAACGCTTCGGGGATCTCTCTCCTCTTTGAAAAGTTTATCACCAATCTGTTTCCATCATATTTTTCAAATATATTACATAAATATTTCGGCAAAATATATAGAGGAAAGGGGGAGAAGAAACTCATTAAATTACACAGAAACAAACCCACAAAAACGCCCAATAATAACAGTCCATGCCTTCTATTTCTCCAGTACACACAAGAGATGCTTATCGCCGACCGTTGACACCTGAAGCACCGAACGATGAGCTTTTAAAGCCAAAGAAAAAACAACTCAAAAATAAACCCCACACTGGTAAAGCCATTTCGTCTCAATCACGCTTGTCTATACATAGTTCCAGTTTGGAAAGCTCTGTCAATTTGATGGATTTGGTGAATGGGCCATATCAAAATTTGCAAAGTTTAGGTCACACACGACGGTCGCCCAACGGTGATTCCAACCAAATACTCCACTCTAGTACCTTGTACCCAGGGTCAAATTTTGTTGGAAGCCAGATATTTCAAGATAAGAGATATGATCTATCAATAGAATTGAAATATGTCGACTTAAATCAAAGTTACATGAATGGATATTTGTCAATCAGAAACTTGACCGAGAAGCATCCAGAAATCACTACGTTCTTTGAGGCGGAGTTGATTAGCGAGAATCATAACTTCTTGAGTAGAAGAGCCACTGATGATTTGCAAATTGATGATACAATCGATATATCTAATTGGAGCAGATTTCCTCATTGGAGGCAGGATATTCTCCCCAAAGTCCGGAAAAGTTTGTCGTGTTTGTCAGCTCTTGATCTAACCGAGAAAAAAGACCCTTTTTTCAATAAACCGTCTAACTTGTACATTCATAAGGATTATTTAGATCAGCAATATATTTACATGAGATGGAAGGAAGTGTTCTTGGTTCCTGATGCAACAAAAAAGTTGGTCTCTGCTTCTTACGATGGGATTTACTATGCATGCTTGGACCAGTATACCGGAAACATAACAGGGTATTATTACCATGGAAAATTGGAGGATCAGTTTCTTGACTTGGTGCATGCTTCGTCCAGAGGTGCTTGCCAATCTTTTGATTTTTGCTAATGATGTATGGCTAACCCCATCATTTTGATGTACCGTATGTATTTGTGATTGAGAATTTCTGGGTTTCTGTTCCTCATGATGAATCAATATTGATCTAGTATGAAATTGGGATCGATTATTCAATGGAAACCCTCTTGTATTATATATAACCATGAAAAACTGTCGGCTATTCTAAATATCAGTGACACGCACTTAGATGGTCACCGACGTTCCAGAAACATTATTACATAAATTAATCTACTATAGATGGGGACATATACCATATTTTAGGTGTAATAATGATTATTTTGAAATTTTTTCTGCTCTCGGCTCTAGCTGAGCAAAAGGCACACACACACACACAAAAAAAAAAAGAGTTTTGAAACGAAATAGGCATCTTCTGTTTGTGTAATTTTTCAGTATACTATTATTTTACTCTCCTTTTTTTTTTTTTTTTGTTGGCTCAAAGATTCAAACTACCATAATTAATAGTAATACATATAAATAAAAAAAAAATGACAACTCAGCCTGTTATTGGGGATGATTTTTGCTCACCAATAGTATCGGCTTTGTACCACAACTCAAAAGAGAAAATAAAGAACTCTGAATGTCACTCCAACAGTAGCACTTATTATGAGAATTTGGGTCCTGAAAATCATGAATATCGCTTGTTCAAATATCCGAGCAACTTGATACAAAATTCGATCACTATTCCATCACCAATATCTGACATTATAGTTCGTCATAGCGAAGCAACGGCACTGGCTTTTTTAAACACCCCATCAATAGTCTGTATGAAAACCACAGAGTCTTTGGCGGATCCTCAAGATTTCATGGACAAAACAAGAAATCCTTCTTTATATTCTAGAAATATGTTCTGCTATATTAAAAATAATATAACAGCTAATTCAAGGGTGTCAGATTCAACCGCTAGCCCAAATTCCATCAATATTACTTATTTTCCTAATATGAATTCAGCTTCACAAAAAATGGCTTTAAGGAGGGAAAAAATAATCGAGGAATTATTGAAAACAGAACTGTCATACATTGAATTCTTGAAGCTATTATCCGAGACATATACTGGGGTTATTGAAGGCAGTAATTTGGGAAAGCTTTCAGGCATCCCCTTGATTGACTGTATCGAGAGACTCATTTGTGAACACAGAAAGTTCTTATTTGAGCTTCAAAGATTCCAATCCAGCTCACCACTCACAGGCTCAGCATCGCCTAATAATTCAAAAACCCTTCATTCAACCAGTGATGAAGTTACTTCTTCAATGCTTTCCTACGGTGCGGCAATTCATGTGTCTAGGATGATAGCAGATAAGGCAATTAACCTATTCTTCTACGAAGAATATTTTTCAACAATAAAGTTAGCTTCTCAATTATTAAAAAAATTGAATAGTACGGAATTTCATTTATGCAAAGTATGTTCCATAATAATAATTACCCTTGAGTTTATGAGGTCAATGTGATTATTACTAACCAAAAAACACCATTAAAAACAGGGCTATGAAAAATATTTGGAAGCAGTGCAGCCAAGAGACGAAAAACTTGATTTATCTTTACTATCGCTTTTGCAGAAACCTGTAACCAGAGTTGGTAAATATAGGTTATTGGTTGAAAGTCTATTGGAAACAATACCGGAAAATGATGAATCTATCCCACTTGTGGAATTTGAATTAGAGAGAATAAAATCTAAATTAAACATTATGAATAACTTTAACGATGATTTAGAAAAGACAGATATAACCAAAACACTATTTTCTAGAATTTTTTTTGAAGTGGATCAATGGTCATTTCCAGTCGAGTGTTTTGGCTTGCCATTATTGTGCGGAGCGTTAGGATGTGTTTGGAGACAGATGTCAGGTAAATTGGTAAGCCAAATTAATGGAATATTTCTTTTCAAGTCTACTTTAATTGTGTGTGATATTGTGAAGGAAGAAAAATATATTGTGAAGTTTGTGATTCCTTTATGTTGTTGCAAAGTTCAGGATAATGAGGCAACTGAAGGATTATACTCCACCAATATAGGCTCCTTCAAGTTGTTGTTTGAACATAATTATGGATTATATGAGATTTCATTATTAGGGCTTTTGAAAAATGAGATTGGAATCTGGAAGAATAAGCTAGAAATGTTGACAAAAGTGCTCTATGGGCCTTACGAGTTTGATTATTCGGTTTCTTTATCAGAAAATACCGTCAAAAAAATGTCTTTAATTCCCAACAGAATCTCTCCTGTCGATATTTCATTGAACAGATTCAATGATAGTGATTATAATTTTTCAGATTGTTATTTTGGTGAATTGGTAGCATTTAGAGCAGAATTTATTACTACCGATGACTGCAATTCAAGCATGATTAATGATGAATATGAAGAGGATGTCGGAATTGTTGAGTGCTCGGCAAAAATTGAATTTAAAGAACAAAATAGATCTACAATTGAGGACAAGTTAAAGGAAGTGTGGAGTATGGAACTACCCAAGCTCACAAAGATTAAAAAAACTAATAGTTTCATCACGATGTGGGGACATGGAGAAAGGAAGAAAAGAAGAAGCTTTAATTGCTTTAGATCTGGCACCATCAAAATTTCCACAACAATCAAAAGAGTAGCAACCGCCACTAACCAGCAGCAAACATTGAAAAAAACATACTGATGGTTAATCATATGACTAATACCGTTGTAAATATGCTTATTGTATCTACAAAGTTAAATCAATTTCGGTTCGAAAAACTGTTGTTGTGTTTAATTTACTTTTATTTTTGCTGTAAAATAAATGATGAAAAGGAAAGAATAGTTCCGTTCAATATGTACGGCTACTGTATTTGGCATCGTTAGTTGAGCTCCACTCTCTCTTTTGGATGCCAGAGACATTGGTCTTCATTTCACCTTCTTTGAGGATCTTTAAGATTGCATCTTCTGCTCTTGAGGAGCCAAATTCATTTTCAAGCTGCTGATTAGATACCTCATCCAATACACCCTCGTTACCACCAACTCTGCTATGAAAAACCTTGTAGACGGAAATGACGTCACTCAATGGTACAGTTGAATCCTCTTTGTACTTTTCATAAGCGTCCTTGGAGTCAATAAACACACTGTAGTCGCTATCGCCTTTGTAGAAAACTCTAATCTGATAAAATTGCGATGTTGTTAGTTGAAAACAATTCCTAATACTAAAAAAAAAAATATTCTCAAAACTCATGTTAATACTGGGTTGAACACTACTTACTGGAGGAGAAGACATTGTGATTGAATTATTATAAGTTTAGGAAAGTAGTGTAGTTAAATTAGTGTAGATATGATAGATGGTAAATAGAAGTTAATGATAACAGTCTGAATTCATCAATCGTTTTAGATATGGGGATAACCATCAAAATTTATACGATTTGTAGGTTATTGTGTGGGTAGCTTTGCTTGCTGCTGTTATGTCATCTTCATGCATGCTAGTTTGCTAAGGGGGCTGCCCTGCAGAAATGACCGAACCGCATGTGCCATCAATGTACACAACAACAATGTACCGGATGTAATAATCCCTGATCTTCAAAGAATTTTCTATAGTTTGAAGAAGTTTACACTCATTGAGCTCTCGATCCGAGGAGAGAAGAAGAACACCCTGCCAAGGCCTAATTCAATCGTTTCCACGAGGTTGGGGCCTACCATTACGATACCGGTCAAATAATAATTAGCAAAAAAATAGATATGAATGAACATTATAAGCCTCAAAGAGTGATTATTAAGTAATGAGAAATCATGGAATGAATATAAGCCGCGGAAATCAGAAGATGAAAGTGGTTAGTATTATGATACTAGAGAACATAAGTTGATGTGTTTTTAAAGATCTAACTTGGCAACGGGAATGGTCATCTTATTCATTTGAAATTGAACGATTGGAGTAAAAAATTTTCCTCGCCATGACCACTATTAATGATACAATAATAATATAATAGTATAATAGTAATCTGGTGATACAGAAAATGATACAATTTTTATATACAAGAAGTAAGAAAAGTGCTAAGAATATTTAACCAGCAATTAAAAAAAACAACAACAACAAAAAAGCAGTAACACAACAATACAAGTTTATCCCCTTTAATTTCAAAATCTCATTTCCATAACATCACCCTGGTATTTTCTAAATCATCCACGAATTGCTCCTTAATTTCATCTTCCAAACTAAGTCCTTCTTTTCCAAAATGTTTTACAAAAAGATCATCGGCCTTGCCCTTAATGAATTCCGATTCTTTAACAGATCTGGCAGATTCGTATCCAAGTAGCGACAACGATTTTTTCTGAGAGTCAATACAATTGAACATGGCTTTAGTTCTTTCATTACACATGGTGAATTTTTCAGTATAGCTCCCATTTTTCAAGCAGCTAAGTAGTAACTGCTGAACCTCGGCACAGTTTTCTAGCATTGCATGTCTCTTTGTATTCTGTAGTTGGTATTGCTCAAATTCTTCCTTTTCCTTTGCTGAAGTTGGGATATGGTTTTCCCCAAGTAATTTCTGCAACCCTTTTCCTATGGTACCATTATTGCTATCACCACTTTGTGCTTCTGCCTGCTTGACTTCAATCTCTAACCTATCATTTTCCTTGAGGAAAAAAGTCTTTTGTTCCTCCAGCAAATCTTCCAAAACACCGCTAGAAGATATATCTTTCTTTTCGGAGGTACCAAAAAACGAGAATATCCCCATAATGTTAGCAGGTATTTTATGAATTATTGATGATTCAAGTATCCATCAATTATTCGTCGTAACTTGAAGCATTTTTGTGATGTTTGATCATTTTTCAACAGTGATTACCCGACCTAATACACCGCCAACATGCATCAAAACAATGTTTGTGTTTGTGTGTGTCTCCAATCGGCGTCAACAGTTTGCTAGAAAAAGTGAGCGACAAAAAAAAAGGCGACTTTTTGGTTACAAGCAAATAATATAAATTGTTACCAAATATTTTGAGAGAAGAGAGAGAGAGAAACAGCAGATGGTAGTCTACAATGAGAACCATGAAACACCTTTCAGTAAGAAAGGCCATGTCATATATGAGAAGGCAAATTTCTTCATAGACTCTCGTTACGAAATTCAGAGGATCCTAGGAAAAGGATCTTACGGTACTGTTTGCTCCGCAATTGACAAAAAGGTGAAAGACAGCACCAGGCCTAGTGAAATCGCCATCAAAAAAGTCTCGAATATCTTCACCAAAGAAGTATTGTTGAAGCGGGCAGTAAGAGAATTGAGACTAATGAGGCATTTCAAAGGTCACAAAAATATTGTCTCGCTAATTGATATTGATATTGTATATATCAAACCTTTCGATGGTTTGTATTGTTTCCAAGAACTCATCGAGTATGATTTGGCTAGAGTTATCCAATCATCAGTACAGTTTTCTGAATTCCACATAAAAAGTTTTTTGTATCAACTTCTATGTGGGCTTAAATATATCCATTCAGCTGAGGTTATTCACAGAGATTTAAAACCAGGAAATGTATTATGTACTATGCAAGGAATCTTGAAAATTTGTGATTTTGGATTGGCTAGAGGAATTTGCCCGAGTTATTTAAGAAAATCAACGTCAATAATCACCAATTATGTTGCCACTCGATGGTACAGGGCTCCTGAATTGATTTTAAGTAAACGAAGTTATTCTAAACCGGTTGATATGTGGGCAATTGGTTGCATTTTTGCGGAATTGTATGGCAGAAGACCATTATTTATTGGTAATGACCAGCTAAATCAGATTACTGAAATAATTAAGGTCTTGGGTACTCCACCAGAAGAGGCTATTTCAAAATATGGCTCTCGAATGGCCTGGGAGTTTTTCTCACCCCCTAAACCCCAATACCAGGCAATTCCTTGGTGTGATATTTATGCCCATATCAGCAATGAGGCAGCTGACTTGTTGGAGCACTTGATATGTTGGGATATATCCAGGAGATATTCAGTGGAGAAGGCATTAGACCATTCCTTCTTGAAAAGCATTAGAGATACTAATAATGAACCAAGCTGCAAACAACCATTTGACTTTAGTTTTGAAAACACAGAAACAACTTTGCCAGATTTGAAGGTGATACTTCAGAAGGAAGTAGAAAGCTTCCGTGTTGAAAGAAGTGGCAATAAAATTCATTCGTGAATGAATGTTCTGTTATATATGAAATATAATTGGTGAATGTATGAAAATATCTTATCTTTCCGCCCCGCTCGTGGCACGGCTGAAGTTCAATTTGTACCATTGGGATGGTTGCATCGTAATTTTCCCGTTTTTTTTTTTTTTTTTTTTGCAATCTACTCGGTTATCGATTTTGACTCATAAAAATTGTCATATAAATTTCAGATCAATGCTTCCGCTTATAGTTAAAGATCCCATTCTGCTTAATTGTGAAAACAAGTAATAGTTGTTGGCTCAAAAATGTCCGAAGAAATCGACACACATCTTATTGATAATGAGGTGCCTAAAGATAAAGCTAGAGTTATCAAAGATATCACGGCGGGAACCATTGGAGGGATTGGTCAGGTATTAACTGGTCAACCTTTCGACACTGTCAAGGTAAGATTACAGTCATCCAACGAATATAAAGGTCCAATGGATGTTGTGAAAAGACTTTTAGCCAACGAGGGGCCTGCTGGGTTTTACAAAGGTGTGTTGACTCCGTTGGTCGGGATCGGGGCATGTGTTTCGATTCAGTTTGCGGTCAACGAATACATGAAAAGATATTACACAAATAAAAATGAAGGACTGGCGAATAAATCGCTAACTTTAGGTCAATTCTACATGTGTGGTATTGCCGCAGGTTTTGCCAACGCTTTCTTAACATCGCCAATTGAACACATCAGAATCAGACTTCAGACTCAAGTTTCCGCGGAAGGAGCGCTATACAAAGGTCCAGTTGACTGTATTAGGAAGATATACTCTGCTTCAGGAACTGCAGGGATTTTCCGTGGATTGGGACCAACCTTGGTGAGAGAGTCTCATGGGATGGGGATATATTTTGCCACTTATGAGTTTTTGATCAATGAAAGTATGAAGACAAACAAGGTGAAGAGAACCGATATTCCTGGATGGCAACTCTGTGCTTTTGGTGGTATCTCTGGTATCACCCTCTGGATGCTGATTTATCCTATTGATATCATCAAAACTAGACTCCAAACAGATGATCTTAAGAACAAGGCATTTAAAAACTCTTTCCAATGTGCGAAGCATATTTTACAAACTAGCGGGTACAAAGCCTTTTTCAATGGGTTCAGTGTATGCTTGTTGCGTGCCTTCCCTGCTAACGCAATGACTTTCTACGCCTTTGAATTGGCTATGAGAGCATTGGGATGATTTCATTGGCATTCTATCGTCTTCTACTGGTACTATTTCTTTGTTATTGTTGCTTTTCCATGATCTTTTTGCTTTCTTTATTCTAATTTTTGTCATTTATCTCACTTTGATTTCTTAGTATTCTCTGTTTTATTATCTAAATTGATGGTGCTTTATTATGTTAATATATAAAGATGTGGCTCTTATCCGTAAGAACAGGGATATTAAGCGGATTACCAAGAAATCAAAGTCAATTCATACTTCATGGTCTTTTAATGAACCATTATTTGCGTGAAAAGGTTATCGATAAAGTATACTAGTGCCATTGATATCAATTGTTGTAGATATCTTTCAGTTTGGATTGATAGATAGCTGCTTCATGCTTTCCCTTTTGGGGATGATTCAGTTATGGCACAAACTGCACTGGTACTACAGGCTCAAATATTTCTGACCCTAGTTATAACTGATCACATTTCAAGTGTTTCTTGGTGTTTTCAACGCTCTCTTTGCCTCTGAATTGTCTAGTATAGTAGACATATAGTAGCGTCTCAGTATGTGAATATATAATCACATGATTACAGATTGGGAAATTTTTTTTTTTTTTTTAATATTGCATTTTCATGAATAAACAGTAGAGAGATTTTGGACAGCAATATAGTACTATCGATCATCAAGAACTATGTTTAGATCATCTCTTATTAATTCCCTAAGATACTCAAACAGGGCCAGCGTCTGCCGCTCTAGCCAATTTTTGACTCCATCAACTCGCTTATTTTCCAGCTGTCTGGTATTGAAAAACTCATCGGCATCAACTGAACCATCAACGGCTGCTCCAAAGAAAAGAAAACAATTAAGTAGAATAGCCATTGGTGGTAGTGATTCTAAAAAAGAAAAGCTCAGAGATGCTAGTCTGATTGAATTTTCCACCTGGAAAGCCGGAGTTTTGTTATTGGTGGTGGGATCTGCCATGGTATATTATTTCAAAAAGGAGAAGAAAAGATTGGATACCCAACGTGAAGCCGAAGCCAACAGAGGTTATGGAAAACCTTTAATTGGTGGGCCGTTCAATTTGGTCGACGACAACGGCAAGCCATTCACTGAAAAAAATCTTTTGGGCAAGTGGTCCTTGGTATATTTTGGGTTCACCCACTGTCCGGATATTTGCCCTGATGAATTAGATAAGATGGCCATCATGCTTGATAAATTGGAAATCGACCATAATATTGATATTCAACCAATTTTCATAACCTGTGATCCAGCCAGAGACTCTCCAGAAGTGATGAAGGAATACTTGTCCGAGTTCCACCCAAAGATGATTGGTTTGACCGGGGAATACGAAGATATCAAGAGTACTTGTAAAAAGTACAGAGTTTACTTCTCTACCCCAAAAGACGTGAAACCAAATCAAGATTATTTGGTGGATCATTCCATTTTTTTCTACTTGATGGACCCAGAAGGGCAATTTGTTGATGCTTTGGGTAGAAATTATGACGAAAATACTGCTGTTGAAAAGATCAAACAACAGGTTGATGCTTACATTCCAAAAGACCAAAGAGAAAAGAGAAAGGAAGGATGGTTCTCATTTTTGTATAATTAGATGTGATGAATCATGTATATATAATGTTTTACTGATAAATGAACAGAAAAGAGACTGTATGTATTGTGCCTTTTTTTCGTTACTCTGAAAATCGATGTAGATATTACTAATAAAAGAAATCCATTTTTATTATCATGAATTCTTCTTTTTTTTTTTTTTTGAAGTAGAAATACATAAAATGCGTGGATTACTATATAGTCGTGATTAAAGGCGTGAACTAAAAACGAAAAAAATAATAAAATAATAAAGGAGAAGAGCTAGCTGTTGAAAACGTCATGAAACAAAAAAGAGTACAATCAGAACAATGTCGCAAGAACAACAAAAATTAATAGGCTTTCTTTTTTTTTTTTTTTTTCTTTTTTTCTATTTTCTATTTTTTATTTTTTTTTTTTAAATAAAATTAAACTAAGCGTTTCTTGAAAGAGTTCCCAAAGCCTTGATTCTTTCCCATAAGCTTATACTGTATCCTGCAACATTCAATGCGCTAACAAACTCCCAGGCCTTTTTTCCATCTGGAATAGGGTAGTCTAGAGGTTTTGGAATCTTGGTAGACACAAATGGGATTTTATCATAACACACAGATTTCTCTACGCAAAGACCTCTTAAACCTTCTTCACCTCCAAATTTACCATAACCGGATCCTTTAACACCACCAAAAGGCAATTGACAGACGTAGAAAGTTGCAAAATCATTAATAGCAACATTTCCAGCCTTCAAACTGTCGGCCACATAATTACAGGTCGCATAATTGTTACTAAAGACTGAGGCTCCCAAACCGTATTCAGTGGAATTGGCAATATCAATGGCATCATCAACGTCATTAGCCTTCATAACAGTACATATTGGGGCAAAACATTCATCAGTAGCAATTGCCATATCTGGGGTAACATCCACCAACAAAGTTGGGGTGAAATAATGGCCCTGAGGATAATTTGGGTGAACATATCTTTTACCACCATAAACCAATTTGGCTCCTTGATCGACAGAAGTCTCAATGATCTTTTCCAAAGAATCAAAGCGAGTATCGGTGATCATACCTCCCATATCAATTTCCTCCAATTGGTCAATATCAGAACCTAATCTTAAAGTCTGAATTCTCTTTTCCAAAATTGCAACCAATTGATCATAAACTTTTGGCATGGCAATGATTCTTTCAATACCAATGCAGTTTTGACCACTACTTTGGAAAGTTCCTCTCATGATAATACTGGCAATTGCCTCCACATCTTTCACATCATCAAGAACAATGAAAGGATCTTTACCACCTAATTCAACAACCACAGGAGTCAATGATTCGGAAGCCGCCTTGACAACATGATGAGCCACTGGTTTTGAGCCAATAAATGTAATGTGCGACAAACCAGGATGAGAAGTAAAATAATCAGCATCATTTGGCCAACAGTAAACCAATTGCACTAATTCAAGATCATGGCCACAAGCTAATAAAGCAGCTCTGGCAATTTCCAAGAAATAAGTTGAGCTCCAAACAACGTGTTCCGAACATTTGATGACAATTCCGTTACCTGTAAAAATACTGGCGATCAATGGACCCATAAGATTATGAAATGGATAATTCCAACTGATCAATGCGGCACAAACCCCAGCCAAAGGTTCATATCTCACTTCAGCCCCTTTGTAACTCATCAAGATATTCGAAGGACCTGGTCTTTTAGAAGGTTGTAACGCTTTTTCACCGTGCTTGATAATCCAGTTCAATTTTTCATTAGTCACAAGAATTTCCCCCATTGAAGCACACAAAGCAGTTTTGCCAGTATCTCTAGCCGCGACTCTGGCAATTTCTTCCTGATGTTTCAAAATATACTCGCTCAAGCTTCTCAATACTTGTCTTCTTTGGGCAAACGAAGTCTTGGCCCAGGACTTTTGTGCTTTCTTAGAAGCTTTAATTGCAGCATCCATGTCATCTCTTGAAGAGCATTTGAACTTGCCCAAGAATTGAGCAGTGGCTGGACAATAACCTTGAATATTTTTTGGATCCTGGGGATCTATGATGGTTGGAGGATTCAATCTTTTACCTTTCCAATGAGGCTTCGCTTCATCGGGCATTGGTGCTTCAAATTTCACCGCCTTCTCGAGCCTTTGGGATGATATATGTCTGGTATAAATGTAATAGGCAATTGGAAGGACAACCGTGACGAAAAATGATACTGATAGTTGGACATGGAAGAATGAGATGGGTTGATGTAGGCTCAACACATCAAGAAAAGAAGATTGTTGGGACGACATGTTCATTTGTGGCAAGAAAAAAAAAAGAACAAAAATACAGAAATGAAGAAATAAAAAAAAAAAAAGGAACAAAAAGAAAAGAAAAAAGATGCTATGAAATAACGATTTGATGAAATCGGAAAGGAATGAGGGTATTTACTCGATGATATCGTATTAGGTATTTGGGGGAAATTTTTTGATATTTTTTTTTTCGGCTACACCAAATAACCAACACGTGCCAAAATGGTGGAATAAGGTAGAAACTTCATGGCATCTCAAAAAATGACAAGATAATCTGTCAGTTAACCTCTGGAATCCAATATGTTGTCAAAAAATATACCTTGAAAGTTAGTCCTACATTCCGTAGCATTCTCATACATAGAAAATAATAATACTATTCTCGCTTAAGCACAAGCAGACCGATGATGATATAAAAACACATTTAACTAAAAAGAAAAAGAAAAGGAACAAAATAAAATAAAATGAGGCAGCAGAAGGCACCGATTTATAAATAAGTCTTTATTCTTGGAACCTTCTTAAACCTGGGCATTGATGTGGACTTCTGGGGTTGGGTGGGTGATTGCATCGACAAGCAAGGCAACAACGTCCTTTTGTTTCGATTCAGCAGTCTTTTTAAGCTTTTCAACTTCTTCCTTGACAGTATTGGCAGCCTCAGTGTCGGCGTTGGCATTTATTCCATCATACTAAACAAAGTTAAAGGTCAGTATTTCTATTCATCAACTCATAATCCAAAAAAACAATCGAACAAAAACAAGCAAACCACTTACCTTGGCTTCAAAATCCTTCAATTCTTGGTCCTTTTGTAATTTGTAGGCCTCAATTTCCTGAGTAGCATCTGACTTGGCTGACTTCAAACGTTGGGCACGGTCTATATTATTTGACATCAATGGTTAGTAAATTGCCTTGCAAAAACATTCGATTTCTTCAGAACAGTAACATACAAGATCTAGCAGCAGAAACAATTTCCTGGGCTTCTTTTTCCGCCTATTAAAATTTCATGTCAGTACAATTGTTCAACCTATCATTTAAAGCAAAAATTAATTATCCTTATCTATATGGTTTGACATACTTTCAAAAGAGTTTGGATTCCTGATGATGACTAGTAGATTGTTAGTAATGAAGGGTCTTTATTTAAAAAATGAAAAATGCTAATGAGATCTTCCATGATCTTTCTTTAGCTAAACATACCATTATATATGGGCTTTCTGTTATCACTTGGTTGTACCTCTCTGGGCTGGTTGGCGTTGGTTTTTTCCCAGTAATAATAATAATTTCAACCTCTCTCACCAGCAGTTGCCCGGAGTGGTGTACATTTATGTAGGAAGACGTGTGTATCACACGAAGGGCATCGCCAAAAAAAAAAAAAAAAATATTTCATGTCTCTCTTTACAATGTATTATGAAAATGTATTATTAGATATATTTAATTATATTTATATATGAGTGACCAGGCTAAAGTTCAAATATGTGCTATCTGCTTTTCCAACCCGTTTAAATACAAGTGCCCTGCTTGTGGAGTGGTGACTTGCTCCTTGCCTTGTGTAAAGAGACATAAACTTCAATTCGAATGTCTGGGGAAAGCAGACGCCTCAAAATATATACCAATGAATAATATCAAAGAAAATGGCGAAATATTGGTGCAGCGAGACTATAATTTCCTCTTGAATCTTGGAAGACAAATCGACTTATCTAAATCAGATACTTACAAAGCTGCCAAACCGGTGTTCCAAAAGCGAAGACCAAACTTCAATAATAAGAACCCCAAGCTTAAACAGAGAAGATTTCAGAATAACAATAACGATAGGAACCAAGTAATAAACAAGGGAGATGTTCAAATAATCCAACTACCGATGGGAATGGAAAGAGCAAAATCAAATAAAACTTACTTTGACAAAAAAAAGAATGAATACCTCTGGACCTTGGAATTGGTCTTTGTCGATACAAATGGGTCACAAACTTATAGGACAACACAGACCAAGGTTCCAGAGTCCTCCACTGTCGAATCATCTATTTCAAAAAACGCTCCATCAGGAACCTTAGAGAAAACGGAGATTAATTATTTCACATTCATGAATATTTATGATTCACAAGCGACCACGCATAATCATAAAGCATTGGTAGAGATTTCAAAGTCCGCCACAATAAAGGAAACATTGAAGGGTAAGACTGTTCTCGAATTTCCAACAATTTATGTTTCACCACAGAATTCTGTGAAGGGCTTCCAAATTTGTGAAGAAAACTCTGTGTCAGACTCAAGTGATTCCAGTGACTCCAGTGATGAGAGCTCTGATGATGGTGATAATAATAATAATGATAATGATGTATTAGAAAGTGGAAAAATGGAAGAAAGCCAAGAAACACAGAAGCTAAATCAGACTAAAGAAAAAAATAACGAAACTTCAGATAATCAACCAATACATAATGAAAATACTTCTTGTGCTCAAGATTGCACAGAAAAGAAAATTGACGTCAATTTTAAAGACACATCAAAAATTACAATTCCAAAAACCCTTGATACCAATGACTACAGTCCAGTAATCAGTTTGGATTACGATTCAGATTCAGGTTCAGAACAAGATCTCCCTCAAGAGTCATCTGCTAAGGCGCCTCAATAAATCAAAACCCTATCCCAACTCACGGCTGAATAAAATATATACAAAATAGTCCTAAGTTAAAATAAAATTTTTTCATTAAATTAGTATCAATAAAAACAAGTAGAAAAAAATAAGATAGAACAAAAATAGACCTCTTTATATAAAATGCAAAGGAAATTACTATAAAATCATAATAAACAAAAAATATTAGAAAAAAAGAAAAAAAAAAAAAAAGGTTCAAGCAAAGCCAAACCCTTCATGCCCTTCAGTAATGGCCAATAAAAGGGAGCCACGAAGTTGTTCATAAGACTCATACGCTGGTAAATCCAATTGATTAAAACACGTGTGTGCACTTGGTAAACGTTCCAAAGAACCATAGTCCCTATGAATGCTGAATTTATGATTTCCATTCACACCAGCTAATGCAACAAAACCTTGCAAAGGAACCTTACTTGTACCCGTAACAAATTGTAGAAGTTTTGCTTTTTGCTCATTATCAAAAGATTTCACAGCTCTCCAAAACCATTGAATGACAGGTGTCGATGGTGAATAATTGTTGTAATTTGCATTGTTTTTCCAATCATCAACATCGATATCTGGTAACCCAGATATTAAAAGTTCCAATTCTTGTTCATCAAATATGGAAATCAAATCTTTTGGAATAATTTGGAAGAAGCCTTCCAAGAAGCTATCCAATTGATCCTTAACACTGACCTGCAATCTGTATTCCACCACTTTTTTCACATATTCCTGCTTGTTTTCTTCTGTTACTGGGATATCTCTTCCACCAGGGATCAAATCAACAATTTTGTGCTCACCGTAGTCTTCAGTTTCTAATGAAAAATTTTCGACAATAATATCCGTGATATCATTCTCTAACATCCATTTCAATGATTTTGCATAGTCAAGATCTAAAGTTTCCATATCTTTCAAAGACACTGGTTTGCCCAAAAGACACTTATAAACTGCCCTACTAAAATGAGCGTCCAAAACCTGCCCATCAAAGATAGCTTTACCAATAATGCGTCCAACAAACTTGAAGAAGGATAAATGTTCAGAATTCACCCAGGATGTACGATTTGGATGGAATGTGGATTCATCTGATGGAACAGGCACAAACAATGCGTAATCAGGATTGAAAATTTGACGAGCCAATACTTGGTACCACTCTCTTGTAACACCACCGGCATCAACACCTGCTTCTCCTTTGAACAGAATATCAAACTTGGAATCACGGAATTCTTCTGGGGATTTGAAAGCACAGGCTCTGTATGAGTCTAGGAATACTCTTTCACGAGAAACTTTGATTTGCATTGTGCGAGGCTTCGCGTTTTTGTTTTGAAGCTTTCTTTCAAAGTAATTTCTCTTGTTATCAAATTCAAGAATTCTTGGGTTACGAACCAACATAGAAAATGGGCCGCTCATTAGTTTTGGCTTGTTTCTAATCATCTCATTCAAAATCACCTTGTGTTCGTTTGTGAAGGAGAAAAATAAGCTTTCAATTGGTTCATTAGCAAAATCAGGGACTTTTGACTCATACTTTAAAGTGTCCTTGACCTGCAAATCTTTCACTTTGCTGTGTTTGCACACCACCATAAGACTTTCAATTAACGGAAGCAAAACGGTTGCAATGTTGTAGAGAGCTTTTTTCTTTTCAATAGCGCGGAAACATTCACTAAGATTTCCCCATAATGGGCCCAATGCAATCTTCTCGTACAAAGATTTGAGAGATTCACCTTCGGTTTCTGAATCAAACAAATAGTCTAGAGCAGTTAAGACCCTCAAAAGTTTGTTTTGAGTTGAACTTGAGCTTACAAACTTATTGAGTATCTCGCTATCAATGAGAGAAGGATCATCTGCTCTTGATACAGCAAAAGAAAGTTCCTTGAGATCAAAAACGAGCAATTTACCTGCAGAGGTTGCAAACGAAGATAGTTCAGCGGTAAAAACTTGTTTGGAGTTCGACAAAAGTGAAAGATTTTTCAATGTTGTCAAGGCTTGTTGGAAAGTTTTAGTAGAGCAATCACCAGCTATCAAAATTGAAACCACTGAGCTAAGAGTAGAGTTTGATACGATTGGAGGATCAAATGGCCTTAGAGATTTTTTTGTTTCGCTCTTCGGCATACTTGATCCTTCACTATTTTCACGATATCCATTCTTTGACTCCTCCATTTTCATGTCCTTCAACTTTTCTTTCTCTTTAGCCTTCTCAATAATAGCCAAGGAGCTAGTGGCTGTCTTTGCAGCTTTAGATAAAAGGTACATCAATATAGGCTCTCTCTTGACAATTGGCTTTTCAATTAACGATAAAAGAATATTGATTGGATACTTCATATCCTTTCCAGAGAGCGACTCCTTCAACTTTGTTTTTGATCTATTAGCCCTTTTAAGTTGGATAGAACTTTCGTGCTCTGTCAAAAAATAGTAGCGGAGATGTGGATAATCATTTAATAAAGTGTTCAATACTTTGAGAACTGTAATCCCCACCATTGCAGGGGTGATGTGCACCGGAAGCAGATGAAGCGACACATTCTTATTCTGGGAAGAAAGAGTCCCTTGAGCAGAAGAAGCTGAAACTGTCAAATTGGAGCTGATTTTAGCATTTCCATTATTCAAAGAGAGCGCTCTATTTGAAATCCTATTAAAAACACGTTCTAATGATTTGTTATCATTAATACCTTCTTGAAGAATATAGAGCAATAATGAAACAGTTTCTGATCTCGTATGCTTATTATAGCATAAGTAACGTAACAACTCACAGTAGTAGGTTGAGGAGCCTGTGTCATCTTTGAGAAAAACTAATCTTAAAATACCTGCAACGCCTCCCTTGTCAACCAATTGTGTGAAATATGTCTTTTTCTTTTTTAATTTTTCCTCACTTTCTTGGCTTTCCTCCTGCGCACCATCTTCATCTCCATTATCATTATCTGGTGTTGCGTCTTCTTCGCTTTCTTCTTCATTATCACCCTCCAATACCGCTGAACTAAAAATATTGCTACCACCAACATATGCCTGTTGGGCAAGTATCTCCTCACGAAGTTGATCTGGAAGTGCATCCAAAAACTCAGGATCAATTGTTGTATTCATGGTGCTTATTCTTCTTTGAGACTCTTGCTCTCTTTGCTGGTTCATATGCTGCACGAAAACTTCTTCCCTCATATCCAATGGTAAAGCTAAAAGAAATTCTAAATCAATACCGGTCCCAGCAATATCAACTTCTCGGCCGCCGATTTCAACCATCACCGGACTTGTATTGATGTCATTTTGTATATCTGGGTGCTCGTTTGTCGCATCGACAGACATCTCAGCCTTTGCTTGCTCTTCTTCTAGTCTGCGACGTTCTTCCTCCTCCTCTCTCTTTTTTCTTGCTTCTTCCTTTCTCTTTTCCTGTGCCTCTTTCTCTTGTCTCTTTTTTTCCCTTTTACCATCACTTAATTTTTTACTATAATCGAAAATTGAATCAACCACACCAGGAATGATTAATAAGGCGGCGTGTTTGGTATCGTTTGGTAAGAAAGCGCGATACAACTCCGTCCAAGTTTCGAATGTAGATCTAAATTCACCTCTAGTGTCTTTATTGGAAAACCTAGGTGGCCTCATGATTCTTTCTAATCTCCAGCCTGAAATATTAGGTGAAATTAAAAACGGGCTTTCAGTGAAACCCCCTCTTCCCCAATCACTTGATTGTCTGGATCTACTATTCGGTACTTGGAAAAATGAACCATCCGGCAAAATATTTAGAAACTGGCTATTATGAAGATTACGACCGAAAGAGCGTACAGGGGCAACTTCATTACCATCAATTCCATCATCGTCATCATCATTAACATCATCGTCAACATCGCCATCATCGTCATCATCACTATTATCATTAATAGAATCCAAATTATCATCAGCTGCGGCATTTGCAGAATTTACTGAGCGCTCGAGTAAATTAATTATTGATCTACTTGCAGAAGGATTTGACATATCAACACCGAAAGTTTCAAGCAACCTTCTGTGATTCAAATTAGCTGGTGTTGGATTTCTTGCATTAGAATTTCTTCTATTCTCCTCTTCTTCATAATCTGCTACCCACTCATCAATGATGCTTGAGTCATCGCCACTTGAATATTCCTCTATTTCACCGTCAGAAATAAATGAGCCACTATCATCGCTTGAAAGATCATCTTCATCGAATGATCCTAGCTCCTCAATTTCAATATCTTCATCACTATCAATTTCACTACCGTAGTCATTGGATTCATCAGCTTCAATAGGAGACATGCCTTCATCATCTTCATCATAAATTTCCCCATCTATACTGCCATCAACTTCAATCACAGAACCATTATCACTCTCATCACCAAACTCTTCTATATCCTCGTCTAAATGGTCTTCAAGGTCTGAATATACAATGATACCGCTTTCATCTGAATCTGAATCATATCCATCTGATACTTCTTCTTCTGAATTGTAGCTTGCAACGTCGTACATTCCCAAGGAAGAATTTCTGAACAATTGAGTGATTTCATCATTAGTGTCATAATCCTCCCCAGCAACTTGCTCTTCTTCTTCGCCATCACTAAAGCTTTTGAGAAAGTCTTGGTAATTAGACTTCAAAGATCCAATAGTATTCAAAAATTTAATGACAGTTCTGCAAAAGGCTCTAAGACAAGGGTAATTCATTTCAATATTTGTTAATATTGAAGCCATTTGTGATGGAATAGAGCGCTCAATCATGGCTTTGCAAATGAAAAATCCATCATTTCCAGTAGCCTCAACATCAAATACTGGAAGTTTGAAGTGAGGATTCAACAATACTGTGCACATTTCAGCTATATTATTAATCTTTCCATAACGAGCAAAAGCATCATCATTTGATTCACATGATTCCTTTAGAGCTTTAGAAATAATATCAATCGAAAACTTTCTAATAAATAACATATCAGGGTCTTCCTTAGGAGGGACGGTCAGACTGTGATCCTTTTTTGGTATTCCATCGATATCAACGGTTGAAAGAAGCGCTAAAACAGCAATTTTGGCCAATCTAAACACTTCCGTCTTTCTTTCTACCTCATTATGGCCCTGATTAGGATCAAAAACTCCTGTTGGAACTAATTGATGTAGGAAAAAATTTAAAGCAGTTGAACGAGGTTTCAAAGAAGTATTTTGTACGGCGTGCCTTTTCGAAAAAGTTAAAAACTCAAGTTTACTTTCTTTGTAGGAAGCTAAAAGTTCCACAATTACCCTAAGCAAGTAACAAATATATCCATGATTTGGATTTCTAAATACCTTTTTATCTTCCGATTTCAAGTTTTTCTTCGAATTTTTTTTGAGTTTATCGTATAAAATTTTCTGATCAGGTGAATCAATTATCCAATCATTATATTTAACACTCATTAATTCCGACAAAAGAAGCTTCATAACACCTGATGGCTTTACATTGACGCCCTTCTTGACTTGGCCAGAGCTTGCAGCTTGGTCTTCAATTGACACGTCTATCATTTGAGCATCAACATCATTTGGATCATTAGTTTCATCCCGTGATGGGTTTCTATCAGTTTTCGCCTCAGGGGCTTTGGCAACATTCATGCTATAAACGGGATTTTGAGGATTCGACAAAATAATTTTCGATGAAAGAACATCCCTGAAAGTCGATGGGTCTCTGATAACAACAGCAGCATAATCTTTCAAAAAGCTGGATAAGTTGTAATTTTTTCCACCTCCAAATTCGTCAGCTCTTGAGCCAGATTTTATAACATCATTAACCAATTTAGTAATCATTCTCGAAACGACATCCTGAGTTTCAAAGCAACGTCTTAGAAGAGAGTTCAATATCAACTTATAGTTTCTAAACTTGGTCTCATGCATCTCTTCATTGATCTTTATCTTTCTTTTATCATTGTCATCGGCATTTTCATCTTCATCAAAATACTGATAATTCTTTGCGTCAACAACTTCTTGATGTTTAACTATTTTCACCAAAGAAATGATTATATGGCTGTTCAATATCTTTCCGTAGTATTCTGGTTTCTGCAAATATAACACGAGGGTTCGAGCAACTGCAGACGCATCATCAAGATCAGTGATATCTTTCCAATTCAAAATAGCATCCAAAAATCTTTCTTTTAAATTGTCACTAATATGATAAATAGGCTCTGTGTACACATCATCAATTGCAGAAACCTTGACCTTGTATTCTTCCTCACAGATAGGCATTAAGGTAGTCGACATAATCTTTTCAAAGATTTCCAACGCACCACCAAACCAGTCAGCATCAGAAGACTTCCCATTAATAATACCATCCAAAAATCCTAATATATCTTCTACCTCAACAGATTTATTTACAATTTCTGCCCTCTGAATCAATCCCGCTATAAACTTAAGGACGTTCTTGAACCTAAAATCATGTTGTGCATTTTCGAAATCCAAATCAAATGACAACAAAACTTCTTTCATGTTAGAAAGGGGAGATAACTTATTATCGGTACCGTAAGTAGAACTAGCAGTATTCAAGAACAATTTGCTAATATCTTCTATAAGTTTAGAAAAGTTTTGCGCCACATATAACCAGCTATCAAAGACTAAGCTTTCCTTTTCCTTTCTCAACTCATAGAAATCGCCAACTGTTCTAACGCCTTCAAGCTGAAAATCAACTGCATTTGGAACTGTAGGTTTGAATGGATTATACAGAGCGGATACAGTAATTGTTGCCCAGGAAGCTAAACTGATATATTCTGGTTTGTTGACGTTCTCAATCATTTTTGGTAAAGAAGTGATCTCATTCTCATTGAGAAACAATTCAATGTAAGATTCTTCAAATCCGATAGATTTTAAGTACTTCATTTGCTCATCTCTAATGTCCAAAGTCTGTCTATTCAATGGATATAACACACCATCTTTTTCCTCCAATGTCTCTTCAGTTGTGTAAATCTTTTCTGAGAGTGCTATGAGACCCTTGTATAATTCTGCAGGGAGCTTTTTAATATTGATGTCATCATCAACAATTTCGTCTTCAAACATTTTTATTAACAATCCAAAGCCGGAAATTCTACATTGAAGTGAAAATGCCTTTATCAATGATGATTTCTTCATGAATGATATATCAGAATCATGTTTTAGTGGAAGGTACGGCTCTTTGGAGCATAACTTAGAGTAAATGTTCAAGCACCTTTGGATAAAAGCAATTGTTATGCAATAATCATTACACTTTACATTCTGATAATTCATGATGTTACTATACTCTCTGGCATCTTCAATAGTCAATGATTTCACATTTTCCCAAAACTTCAAACACAATTCTCTCAAATTCACAAACCCTTCATGTTGCATGAAAAAAACACCAAATGGGGCTTGATTAGCTCCTAAGTTAGGACCTTTCTTGGATAAAACGCCGTCAATCAAATGGAGCACCACCAAATAATAGTTTTTTGATTGAAATGGACTTAGAATTTTCCCCACATCATACTTGAAAAAAGTATTAACAAGGGTAAGGGCCAAATGCTCATTAATTTCAGCGCTATGCAACACTTGGCTTTTAACCTCTTCAGTAATTGTAGTTCTACTAGCTAGAATCGCCGAATTTGACAAGACAATGAAAGAAGTTCCGATGGATGATTGAATATCCTCCATGATGCATCTAATTTGTTCCGTATTCTTAAACTTTGGACTTGTCTTTTCAAATTTAACAGATACTTCTCTATTATAGATAGGGGATTTAAGAACAATTTGAGGAGCATACAATGACTGGCTCGAGGGCAAAGAAATCTGAGCAACTTGCACTGGCAATTTTTCCCTGATCAAAATCTCTTCGATAACCGTTCTATGATATAACTTGGAAAGAAGGCTAACGAATTCCAACCCTTCAGGCTTTGCAAGAACCTTAGAGATGGCGGCAGTTCTTTGAGGATGCTGGCTCTCAGGAAACATGTATATTTCAACCAAAGAATGTAATCCAATATTCAACTCATTGAATTTTCTCATGAAGCTCGAACTACTATTGTCATCAACATTATTGTTATCAAACGTAGAAAAGAAAGTAAGACCAGATTGATTTTCATAGTCAATAAAGGCCCTTATCTCTGGGTCAGTAAGAAGGGAATACACTTTTGAGAATAGGATGTCAAAGCCATATCCCTTATTTTGTTCTTCCAATTCCTTGACAGTAGAAAGAATGGAAAAATAAAAACTAGAATTCAAGTGATCATATGGCGCACGGTTGTAAATTAAGAAAGGCAACCATTTCTCGAACTCAAGTGAGCCATTTTTAACTTCCTCATAAATTCCGCTCCAAATATGACTTTCAAAAATTGCAGTATAAATGAAGTTGGCAGCATTTTCCATAATAAATAAATCATCCTCCACATCTTCAACTAATGTGCCAAATCCGTCTTCTTGGTAATCTACCGGCTCATTTTCATCATAATATAAACTCTTCTTTCTAGGAGACTTATAAAACTCTACACCCTTCATTCTAGGTGAAACCAATCCCGGTATCAGAGTGATTAATTCATTGGTAGCTTTTATAATTTCAGGTTTCAAGTCAGAATAATGTCTGCCCAATTCATCGAATGCAGAAGCTATTGCTGTTGAAATTTCATCATTGACCAATACCTTTGCAATCTTAACATTTCTGAAGGTTTCAAAGAACTTGGTAATAACGCCAGTTTCTTGGACTTTTTGTAAACCAGTCTTATTTAAACAAAAGGATCCCATAATTTCTGGAAGAGATAATATCAAATAACCATCAGGCAAAAATAAAGACTCCACATTATCCAAAACAGTATCAATAGTTCCGGACTCTAACAAAATCGGGAAAGAAGTGGGTTCATTATGAATGATAGTTGTGATAGTACCTAATACGCTTGTGAGAATCTTTGGGTTGAATATCTTGGCATTTAATAAGATCTTATTAAATGATGTTAATAGTGGGGAGTCAAAAAAGTTCCTCATTCTATCACCAGAGTCTGTCCTGATTAATTCGTAAGCAAATTTCATTAACAGTCTGGTATAACCATAATCTCTTTCCTTCATGATCACTCTAACTCCAAGATCATTTTCATCCAATCTTTTCGAATTGAAGTTTTTTGTGGTGAGCTCTATATAATTCAAGTCTCCAAAAAATGCTTGACTCTTTAGAGAATGCTCCACTTGTTCACCAATAGCTTCTATTAATAATCGAAATCCTTCTTTTGTGATGAATGGATCCAAATTTCGCAAATTCGATGTTACTATTGACTTGAGGATACTAATCGCACAGATAATTATTCCCTTATACTTTTCGGATCTCAATGGTAAGAACTCCATCAATTGGTTCAATAAACCAGCAGAGACCAACGTGGTACCCAAAACTTTAAGGTCAGACAAATTCTCAACTACCTGCAAAAACCATACATATGCCCTTTTTGTTTCTTCAAATTTGTTATCCTGCAAACTGAGCTCCTTAACAGAAATAGTCTCGTCACTAACCTTCACTGTACTTTGGATAGATTTCAAAATTTGAAATAATAACCCATGACTAACATTTCCGCTCAACAATTTCAACAATTCATTTCTAAACTCTCTTTTACCAGAAATAGCAGCAAGCGTAAACATAGAGTCGGCATATACATTCGGGTTGATGGTTTCTTGGTTTTGCGGTTTTATTAGTTCAATTATTGAAGAAATAATCTTCAAATCTTTTTCAGCCATCTCTTGTTCATCCGCAAGAGAACGTGAATTGTTTATCAACATATTACATGAGTGAGCAATGATCTTGACTTGTACCCATTTTTCTCTTAACTGCAAGCAATCGAAGGACTGGCTATTAAATGATTTGGCCACACTCAACTGGACAGAAAACTTTGGTAAATATGTGAAAGGGATTATTTTAGAGGCTTTATCGTAAATTTGTTGAATTGATAATTTTTGGAGCTCTTCTTGAGATAAATTGAAATTACAGAGACCATCAACAACAACCGTTTGCTTTTGCGATTTCTTCTTCCCAAGCTTTTTGGATTTGGATTGTTGAGGAGTCGCGGTTGCATCGCGTTTTTGGGCCTTATTCTTTGCTTTATAGGTTTTCGATGAGGCTTGACGTTCTGGGTCACTGGTGAGGGAATGTGAATGTGACTCGGAAGATGATTTGAAGTATTGAAACTCTAGTCTGCTCCATTTAGACGGTATCTTTTTTTCATTTTTCAAAATATCCAATAAATCATACCGTTCATCGTTCTTTTCTGAGTGTCGGGAATATGCTGGGACACAAGTTGATAAAAGCGCCAACATGCCTTTAACACGGTAGGGAATGAAGATATCCAATGATTTTCTTTTCGCAATTCTATTGGCGATCAAAGTGATGATTCGTAACACATGATATTTTACATTCACACTTGAGCACATGAGTATATCGAAAAGTCTATCGTGAGAGCTGTATAATGTTTTGCCAGAACAGTGGTTCAACAAAATTTCTGTGAATTTCAATACTGAGACGATGATATGGTCATCATCGCTCGATATTTCGTGCAACTTAGGAAACTGTTCAGATAGACCATACTTTTCCACCTGATCTTTCAATATCTCATCAAATCTATTCAATAAAGGGACCCAGAACTGCAATCCATTAAATTTCACGATGATTGGAAGTAGATTGTTGTTGATTTCTGTAATCAAGCTCTCTAAGGGTTTCGCTGCAAGTTCTTTTGCAAACACCAACTTCGACTCCATATCGTACCTGTTAGCACCAATAATCATTGTTTGATTTTGCTAAATATGGGGCGGTTCAGATTGATGTGAATCTCTTGAGAAAAAATAACAGCGACACTTAGGATTGTAGATGATTTGTGAAGGCAAATAATTAGCCATCTGTGTGTTTTCTGGCAGCGCTTTTTTTTTCTACTCGTATTCAAATCATCTGCAGCAGGGCTTCGAATCAATTCACACAAATAACCGGGTAGCAGTCGATATAGGCCCAAACCACAACAAGATCAACAGGAAATTGGAAGAACCTTTTCCATTTCTCTACAAGATGAATGTTTCAACTGACTTAGAGCTACGTTACCTATATCAACGATCAACTATATTCACAAACCTCGACGTCAAGGAAAGTGAGTTCCACCACTGCTTGAGTGCGCTTAGATGGAAAATCTCAACATGTCATGACGGGGAAAAAAAAAAAAAAAAAAATTCTCCTGCTTTCCCTCTCACTCATCCTCCTCATCGCCGAGGCATATGCCATCCTATTGATATAAAAGAATGAGAAATTTAGTGGTGTTTTCTGGCTCCTCGCATCCTGCCCTTGTGAAGGATATCTGTTCGTACCTTTGTATATCACCAGGGGATGCTCAGTTAACAAAATTCAAGAACGGGGAGACCTCGGTGACAATCAAGGATTCTGTCAGAAATAAGGATGTTTACGTGGTCCAAAGCTCGAACGGCCATGTCAATGATATGTTTATCGAACTTCTAATCATGATCAGCGCTTGCAAGTCAGCAAGTGCTAAGAAGGTTACCGCCATCCTACCTTTATTCCCTTATTCGAGACAACCTGATGTGCCGTTCCAGAAGGCTGGATTACCACATTCCCAAACACAGCCAAACACCCCAATTGTGAACAAGGAAGCTTACTTCAATAACCTTTCTGACGCTAGATCAGTCATAAATTTCAAGGAACAAACCAGTAACTACAAAGAATGGGTGGTTCAAACAGGTACATTAATAGCCGATTTATTGACCCAGCTGGGAGCGGATCATATCATTACAATGGATTTACATGACCCACAGTTCCAAGGCTTTTTTGATATTCCTGTGGATAATTTATATTTCAAACCACTATTGATTTCATATATTACCCAAAACGTTCCAAATTACAAGGATTCCGTGGTGGTTTCTCCCGATGCAGGTGGTGCGAAACGTGCTATTTCTATAGCCGATACTCTTGGGTTGAATTTTGCGTTGATACATAAGGAAAGAAGAAATATAAGAAGTGCCAAGCACGCTCTGGGATATTCGCTATCGGCAAGTGTCTCATCTCTATCGCTTGTGCATGACCATAACGCCAACACTGCTAATGCCAACATTGGAAAAAGTACATCATCTACAACTATGTTAGTTGGTGATGTCAAAGATAGAGATTGTATCATAATAGATGACTTGGTGGATACTTCGTCTACCGTCATCCGTGCTGCCAAGATTTTGAAAGATCAAGGAGCAAAAAGTGTCGTGGCTATCATCACTCATGGTGTATTTAGTGGCGATGCTATCGAGAGAATCAAGAGATCTAACATCGATAAGATAGTAGTTAGTAATTCTCTTCCTCAGTCCGAGAATGTGGCCAAGTTTAGTGGATCTGCTTTCGAGGTTATTGATGTCAGCAGGATCTTTGGAGAAGCCGTTAGAAGAATACATAATGGTGAAAGTGTTAGCATTTTATTCGATCATGCGCTATAGTTCTTGAATAATTTCCTTTTTAGATGAATCTTTTTTTTTAGTGGCTTTCGATCTTTCTTTTGAAATTCTTTCATCATCCATATTCTTTTTTGACCATTTGCTTTGTTAACTTACATACATGAGTATATACCTATGCAATTATATGACTGTGAGACTGAATAACAATAAGCTACTAGGATTTGAAAACTATAGACATTTTACTTATTTTGTATTTTGTTCTCTTTTCAAAATGCTGAAACGTTTGACGATTCAATTCAGCTTGAAGCCTCTCGGCAATCAATCACCATTCGATGGCATTTTTTTTTCAATTTCTTCCAAACATCGCCATGTGCTCCCAATAACAAAAATTTAAGATTTAATTAAGATTTCCAGCGATCATATATTGCCGATTAGAGCCAGCTCAAATGGTTTGAGAGTTTTTACATCTAACTTGGGTGCCCTATATTTTTTTCTTTCGACAGTGTTTCAAAAAATGATTTAAGCGGCAAATCGATTTTTTTTTTTTTTGTATTGCGCCCAAACGGCGGTTGCCGCCCTTCCCCCTCCTTACAGTGAGTCCCCGACATCTATGTATCTGCACAACAAGTTAACTATATAAAAAGTTCAATGTTCGCATCACTGGATGTTTTGTTCTCATTTTACCATTATTTAATCGAATAGATTTGCTACAAGTCTATCATTTTTTACCAGAACTGATGCTCAGTCTTCCAAACCAAAGGAAACCAATCACCTTGCCCAGATCAGCTTACAACAAGATTATCGATATGGAGTTTCGGAGGAATCCTGCACCTCCTATTGTTTGCAATTTGAGGTATGCCAATGGGTTTTATACTATGACATTATGTATTGGGGGAAATGAAGAAGAAATTGATTTCATTATTGATACCGGATCATCAATATTGATGGTGCCTTGTGACTACATTGATGACTGGGATCCTGATTGGAGAGTTCCTTCCGGGAGGAAATACGTATTTGATAACTTAAGATCCGATAGCTTTGCTACAGACAACAAGCCAATCATCCGATCAATAGCTGGGCCTGGGAGAGTCGAAGGAATAATAGCCCAAGATGATGTGCTAGTAATTAATTCATGGACATCTGAAGTGGCTGCCTCAAGACTAAACTTCATGTTGTCAAGTGATGATACGCTTCCTGCAGGAATTTTAGGACTTCTGTATCCACAACTTATAGATCGACAGCAAATTCCTTATTCAAATGTTATTGAATATCTTTATAAAGGAGGGAATATTCCGTCTTTTTCTTATTCACTTTATTTGAGAAGACAAGGCAGCACAATTGTTCTTGGAGGTTATGATCCTGCCCAATTCCAGGGATCGTTCAAATATTTATCAATTATTCAACAAACCAATAACCAAAAACAATTGTTACAATCAAAAATGAAATCGGTGTATTTGGGGAAAACCTCTCTTGGAATTTCCGGGACCGCAAGCTTCAACACTGGAGTTCCACTCATTAGTCTCCCATACAAAACTGTTGAAAAATTGTATGGGTTACTTGGGATTCGAAGCAAACCTAACTTGCAAAAGAGGACCCAAATTAACTCTAACCTAAACTTTGGAAAAGATCACTTTTTGACATTTGAGTTCCCCACCACAAAGGGACAAAGTGTGAGGATTCGTGTTCCCTTGAGCTCCTTAATTTCTCATGTTGATGATGATATATATGTATTGGACATTTTGTCAAACACTAGTGGGCAAATAATACTTGGGTCACAATTTTTTGAGTCAACAGTTACATATTTTGATTATACAAATAACAGTATTGGAATGGTAGAATCGAATGAAATTCTCAATTACTTGGGACCTCAGCCAGCGCAAAGAAGGTTTATATGAAACATGATATAAGATACGAATTTTGATGACTCCAAGTGAATAATATATACCATTTATAGTTCTTTGAATTAATAAACAAAAAGAAAAAAAATACGAAACAAAAAGAATAATAAAGACACAAACTGTAATATAAAAAACCCCCCATCTATAGCAACAAAAAAAAAAAGTCCAATAGTAACAAAATTTAGAAATGAAGAACGCAAAACATGCAAGCAATATATGATAAAGAATGCAAGCTTAAAAAAATAGAATAGAAAGAAAAGAAAAAACCAAAAAGATAAGAGAAGAGAACGAAAAGAAAAAAAACAACAACAAAAAAACAGAAAATTACCACTCAATGTTCATTTCACCAAAAGGCTTGCTTGTGACCAATTCTTGTACCAAGTCATCAACATTAGCGATGTACTGCTTCAAGTTAGCAGCCTTTTCTTTCATGGTTCTTCTAATATACCCATCCTTGTACAAATGCTTGGATTGATTAAGAATAACACTTTCATCGAGGTCCATTTCAAAAGATTTTTCCAAGTTTATGTTAGTTTCCGGAATCAAGTAAAAGAACAAAAATTCAAGAATCTTCAACTTGACTTCTTTTGAGGTTGATTTTTTATTGAAAAGATTACAAGTGATCTCTACACCCCCCAAGGTCTCGAATTTTCGAAGATTTTTCACCGATCTAACGAGACAACAAACAAAAGTTTGCACTGCGCTGCATTGAACCAGAGGCATGTAATGCTTATAGTTGACCAAGAAACTTAATAGTAATTTCATGTTGGCTTCTCTGAAGAACAAATTTCTGGATTCTGGATGGAGTAGAAGCACCCCTTGGAGAACCTTGTGGGCCAATAAAATGAACTCTTGAGGGTAAATGTTTCCTTTATTGTTGGTCTTGATGTTGAATTGGTTCAAGCAAAAGATCATTCCCGTGGCAATATTGTATTCAAAGCTGTTTTGGAGTTTAATGAACTCCCCAAATATCGCGTCGTCCTCATCCGGAACTTTCCACCTTTTAAGGTGATTATACTGGCTCTTGAGATTCCTGCCATCCTTATATTGGCTAAGCATCTTCAGCTTTTTGTGGTTATTTGTTTGAACACATAGTTGACCAAGCAATGCATCAAGCCGTTGAAGTCCGTCGTGGATCGATGACGGTTCAAGGGTGTACAAGCGGCTCAAGGAATCATTCAAATATTCTTCGAGTTCCGACATTCTCTTGTATCATTAAATTGGTCCAATGCTTTAATAAGCTTTCTGATTTGTGGTAGAGATAGCTCTCCTTTTTTTATTTTTTACTTTTTTTTTTCTTGCATCGTGGTGTTCGATCCTGGCCATTGGCGGAGCTTTTTTTTATTTACATTTTACTGTTTTGGGACACGAGCATCGAGCCCGCGGATCCCTATTATGTCATGTCACAGTCGGCTGTCAAATCAATATATTACCGTACCGTCTACTTAAAATAGGACCATGACAAAGAAAAAGAATATACCATGATGGTGTTTTAAATAAAAATATCTCAATCAGCCTCTCCGAGGCTTAGGATAGAATCATCCATATTGACACTCATGTTCATACTCATGCTCATGCTCATATCAGCACTCTCCACTGAAACTCTTCCGAGATGTATCACCACCCAATATCCAAAAGCTTTGTTCTCATTCTCATTCTCGTTCTCCAATACTTCAACGCTAATAAACAATGGAATACTCAAATCGTAATCATGCTGGTCGTATTTCGATGGAATTATATTCATTGGAACACAACACCAATTAGCTCCGGAATCTAACGGATCATCTGAATTTGTATATGACGAGCGATCTATTCCACTAGAATTGGCAGCCAAATTTAGACTTTCCTGAGACGATGAAAAAGAATGTTTGGATAAATTTTCAGCAGCAAGATAATGCGCCGATGTAATCAGGTTGAGATGGGAAATCTTGAGTAAGTTTTTACTCGGAGAACCGTTGGGGAAAATGCCAATACTTTGCTTTATACTAGAAGACCGCTGGTGCTCTTGTTTAGAAGAATCTTGAAGTTTGGACCATACAACATTTGTATCGGAATTCCTGGTCATTAATTCAACTCGCGAAAATTTGGTGTTGTCGTTCAATTCAATCGTTGGAATTGTTTTGATGAAATTTGCGGGCTCATTAATCTTAGACGATAGCTTAACATCTGCAATACTCCCTAACTTTTCAAATTCATCATCGTCGTCATCATCCTCATCTTCATCTTCATCCTCATCGTCATTACTGTTCTTCTTTCCATCACTCACATTGTTCACGACAGATCCCAAACTTCCTAGCGTAAAATCATGACATGGCAAACTCACCTTCACCCCATAGTCACTGTGCGTAGCGTCAAAAGTAGAGATCATCACCTTCATCTTGTGACTTAAATTAGGATTCTTAAAAATCAAAACGAAAGGGGCCAGATTATTGGGTCTTAGTACCGATTCCTCATTACCTGGGAATTCTTTGATTTTTATCAGGGGTAATATATCAATGGCATCTGACGTCTTGAGAAATTTGAAGATACGACCTGGCTGCATCGTTCTGGTATTTGATGTATCTTCAACGTACGGTTCCACCAAGTCCCCACGACAATCTTTACATTTCAACCTCTTTCGCGATCTGAGCTTTCTTGGAATAGGCAATAACTCCTGATAACTGGTTTTCGCATTACTGGAAATATTTTTAATGATTTTGGAGCTCGAAACGCTCGTAAGACTATACTGTATATGTGATTTTAAAAACTGCCTGTACTGTATGATACAATCCTCATCGCCCAAACTCTCGATCAATTTGCCATCTTTAAAATCTTCTTCTTCATTTAAGGGAATGATATTTTCAACGTTGGCCCCCTCATTCAAACTGGAATGCTTCATTGCTTCCAATAGTTTCTTAAAATCTGGTTTTTTTGGATTATGTGTCCCACGATATCGCTTACTATCCTGCTGCTTCTTTTTGAGACTGATGTGAGTTTTTTGAAGCTTGGAAAATTGACTATGGTACAAGGTTGCGGCAATCTTGGCTCTGATGAAACTTGACAAGCTCTTGGGTTTGTCTAAAGCCCCACTATTATATTTGTAATTACAGTCGGATTTTGAACATTTGAAGATAAATGATTTCCCAGAATCGCTACCGTCAGCAGCACTGGAAATCGTGACGTTGGAATCACAAAGTGGACAAACAAAGCAGTTTCTCCCACAGAAGCTGGATTCATTGTTGAAAAAAGTGAGACAGTTGGGACAATAATTTGCAACAAATTCTGGCTCGACACACTTTTGACACCTTATACCTTGACACTGGAAACAGAAATTAAGATTGGATAGAGGATAGTTGTTGTTCGGGTCTTTGATTTTGTTGAGTGGATGATCATTGGGGTACGAATTCGAGGATTTTTGCAGGTATCTATCGTTGCAAGGGCAATAATGTGTAATGGTCAATGCCATTATTATAACCCGAGGTTCTAGTGTATCATACTTTTGATGGTTCAATATCTCTTACAATCAAATTCGGGCAATTTTTATTTGGGGATCATCACGGAGAAATAAAGGGGGTGCACCACCCAACAACAATACTCGATTATCACCACCACCATATTTTTACACACAAAGGACTACAACTGGAAAAGAGTTTGTGTTTTTTTTTTCTAAGAAATGTTTCATTAATTTTTTTTTAGGATTTTTTAATTATTTTTTAATTATTTTTTTTCTTTGATTTTTTGATATTTTTTCTTTTTTTTTTTTTGAAGTTTTGAATTTTCAGAAGATTGGATAACAAACACATAATTGGGGAGGAAGTGGAAACAACAAAGCACCCTGAAGTTGACAAGAAAATCTGGCTTTACTTTTCATTCACAGTAACGTCAATTGCCACATTTTGAAGAGACACTCTGTCGAACTTCAAAGTTCGAAAGAAACAATGATCTTCAGAAGTATGTCAATTGGTGAATGACGCGCAAAACAAGATTCTCTTGGATAAAACCAAACAAACTAATAGCAAAAACAGCGGCAGTAATAATAGCAAGAACAACAATAGCAACAATAGATAAATAAGCGAAACGACAAAATGGACTTATAAAGCTTAGAAAGAACCAAACAGATGATACTAATGCTATTTCTTATTTCTTATTTTTTCTTTTTTTTCTTTTTCTTCTTCTCCTTTAAACTTTTGGCTGGTTTATCACCATCCGCTATCATTTGTTCTTTGGTTCTTCTATGCTTCGTGTACAGGGAAGAATGAAGTTTTCCTTGAAGGTATTCGCCACCGTCCGTCTGATCTATGCTCCCTATTTCCAAGTAGCCTTCTGCGCTCAGACCATCATTTACGGATTTGGATATTTTTCGAGTAGATGCACTTGAAGTACTAGGAGTAGCTGGATCACCACCATAATTGCCAGGATGACAATATAAGAATTGATGATCTCGATGATAGCGACCCGTTGGTTGTTCCAAAGATATCTTTTCCTTCAGCAGAGATTTCCTATCCGAACGTCCAGACAGGCAAAATCGGGAGATGTCATCTTGAATATCAGGAGGCGACTCTCCATCTTTAAATTGGGATGGATTGATCAATTGGTTCTCTAAATCATCAAATCCCACGAGCGATTTCAGAGAGTTGTCTCTTGGTATTGCTGGCGTTTCTGCAGAAATCCCTTGGTTTCCAGGAACTAAATAAGGAGGTTGAGAAGAAAAGTCCCCTATAGGCAGCAACAATCTGCTATACTGTATGATATCCTGGTTGAGCAGTAACCCTTGTGTTGTATAATCTGCAGTATTATTATCAAAGAGAGGCAGCCACACAAAATTTGGATCATTAAGAGTAGGGGTATCAAGTAACTGAGGATTGAGGTGGAACAGTTCAGGAGTATCATTCAGCGGTTGGTTTTTGGTTTCTTCATCTTCACCAACGTCAATAGCAGACTTTTCATGGGGCACCCTCCCATGATTGTGATTCGGCATTTCCAATTGAAGATACATTCACAATGATTTAAGGGGGGTCTCAATTGATGGTAGAGAGTCCCAAAAAGGGTGAAGGACAAGGGAAAAGGGAAGCTCAGGATAAATGGACTTTCTGTTGTAGTTTTCTTCTGTTCTTTTCTTGGCTTCCTGGGGTGTGTGTATCTATATATGTCAAATTCAGTGAAGCAGAACACTCTTGTTACTTGGGATATCAAGTTAAGTAGACAACATAAGAGTTCCCATAGAGCGAAAAATATCATTTAACTAAGATAAGTGAACACCTTATTGAGAGAAAAAAAAAGACAAAAAAACACATACGCATACTCACCACCTAAAGAGAAAAAAATGAAGCTAAAAAATGGAGTGTCTTTTATTACCAAACAAGAGTTTCAGTGACATTATAGTGCTTTTATACATTTAATAAGGTTGTTTTCACTATCTCTCTCATTGATGAGTTGCTTGCTTTGGGTTGAAGCGCGTGGCTTTATCAGTCAACAATGGATACGATACAGACAGATATCACAGTATGATGATCGTAAATTTAACACACAGCAACTAATTGTTGTTTGTCATTCTGGCCTTCCTTTATTTTGCTTTTTTTCTGATTGATTGTTTGAGGATCGTTCTTTTAAGGCTGGAATGCCGATCTGATCGATACCGAATTAGACAGTTTTTAAATTGATCAACGCAACCATCTTTCACCCACCCAAGCAAAGGTGGCTAACTATTATGATGAAGAGGCACAAGCATAACCATCGATGTGTTAAATATTTCCAGTGTTCTAATATCAGTGTTTCAGCACCCCTTACTATCTTGAGAGTCGTCTTTATAGAAAATCAACATAATGGATACCAGACTTGTCCATACAAGGAATCATTCCATCAACAGTTTGGGGGGTAACTGAGACATCGCGGTGTGACTCCACAACCAACTGTTATGGCTTCAGTATATGAGATGTAAAGTCCTCTTTCGCAACCTGTATAACACAGAGCCTGGACGAAATGCTCGTCAATGTTCCTCAGCTCCCTATTACCCGTAGAATAGGGATGTTGTGTTGTCTTTTCTGAATCTATATTTAGCATCCAAACACCATCACGAACGTAAACAAACAGGGAAAAAAAAATAAAAAAAAAATAAAAAATGTTTATGGTGACGCCTGACCAGAACGAAGAAAACAAACAAACAAACAAGAAAAGACAATCACTACACGCGGTAAAGGAATAACCTTAAACAGTAGTAGCAACAACACCAATCTCAGCTAAACCAATGTCCTACTTCAACATTAAGAAACAGGCAGCGCTCCAGGAAATCTCGATGGAGATGAACACCCTTCTATCGAACCTCGAAGACTTGAACGGGTACTTGAAAGACTCGGTGGCGTTGGGGCAACAGTTCAAAAACATTTCGTCGCTATGGAACACATTCTACGATTGCGAGCTACAAATGAGGGAAGTCGTGGAAGGTGCCAAGGATCGGGTGAAAAAATTGGACGAGAGTTCTGAGGAGGCTGTGAAAATACCAAGACAGGAAGGTGTGGACCAGGAAGAGCAACAACCACCGCAAGAGAATAATAGCCAGACGGCCCTGAGGTGAGCGTGTTCGATAATATAATAGTGATAATAGCAGTGACAATCCCCAATAATCGAAATTGTGTCAAGTGGCCGATGCGAAACATTCGACGTGCCTCCACCGGCCCCACAGCGGCGGTAAAACCAATTTGTTTGTTTGTGGGTTGATGCAGTGCCGCCACCCCCACTGGTTAATGCCCGCGCGTGTGCATGCAGCCTGCCTCGTACCACAGCACAGGAACGTCTGGGAATGATATATATATACACACATATATATATATATATATATATATATACGGGTCCTTGACTTCCTATTTGAAAGAGACTTCTACTACTTTATTATTCTTTTTCAGTCTGGAACACCTCTCCATCCATCTTTGGTATATCATTCTTTTGCTGGTCACTCGCTGATATAATACATACACACACAACAAAGATCCTAATAAATAATATGAAGCTCTTTTCTGGTCTTGCTCTCGCTGCAGTCGCTTCTACCGTCTCTGCCCTCACTTCCATCACTACCAAGGGTAACGCCTTCTTCCAAGGTAGTGACAGATTCTTCATTAGAGGGGTCGATTACCAACCTGGTGGATCTTCATCCACCACCGATCCTTTGGCTGACTCCACCACTTGTCAAAGAGATATCGCCAAGTTTACCGACTTAGGTATTAACACCATCAGAGTCTATACCGTTGATAACTCCAAAGACCACAGTGATTGTATGAAGGCTTTGGACGACGCCGGTATTTATCTTGTCTTGGATTTGAACACCCCACAATCTGCCATCACTAGAAGTGGTACCAACTGTTCTTATAACTCTGCGTATTTGCAGAACATCTGGGCTACTGTTGATGAGTTTGCTACTTATGATAATGTTCTTGGTTTCTTTGCTGGCAATGAAGTCATTAACAATGCTAACACCACTGCCACTGCCAAATACGTCAAAGCTGTTATCAGAGACTTGAAGACTTACATGGCTAAAAGAGGTTACAGAGCTATTCCTGTTGGTTACTCAGCTGCCGATGTTGAAGAAAACAGATTGCAAGCTGCTGAATACTTCAACTGTGGTGGTGATGGTGCCAGAGCTGATTTCTTTGGTATCAATGATTACTCATGGTGTGGTAACTCTTCTTTTAGCGAATCTGGTTATTCTGACAAGGTCGACTTGTACTCTAATGTCACCATCCCAATGTTTTTATCTGAATTCGGCTGTAACCAAGTTAAGGGCTCTAGACCTTTCAGCGAAATCGAAGCCATCTATTCCAGTGAAATGACCGGTGTTTTCTCTGGTGGGTTGGTTTATGAATATTCTCAAGAATCTAACGATTACGGTTTGGTTAAGGTTGTCTCTGATTCTGAAGTCACCGAATTGCAGGATTACACCAACTTGAAGAACATGTATGCCAAGGTTAAAAACCCAACTGATAATAACTACAAGACCTCTGATTCTGCCTCTGAATGTCCAGCAGTTTCTTCTGACTGGGACTCTGATGACAATTTGCCAAACATGCCAGTTGATGCTCAACAATATTTGAAGAATGGTGCTGGTAAAGCTGGTGGGATTAGTTACAACACCATCACTTTATGTAAAGGTGATGCTGGTTCTAGTGGTGTTACTAACAGTATTAAAGACACCACCCCATCTAGCTCTTCGTCCTCGTCCAGCTCTAGTTCTAGCTCTTCCTCCTCCAGTAAGTCTGGCTCTTCATCTTCATCTTCATCCAGCAAGTCTGCTTCTTCATCTGCTAGTGCTGGTTCTCCAAGTTCAGCTCCATTCAATAAGTATGCCTTATTTGCCATGGTCTATGCAACCATTGCTGGTATCTACGGTTTTTCTTCCGTCTTTTGATTGATGGAACGATTAATATTTGATTAGTCTCCCTCTTTTCAAAAAAAAATAAAGCTTTTTGTATTTTTAGTTTTGATTTTTCAATTCGTTTCTTTTTTTTTTTTTCATTTTCTAATTTTGGTCTCTTTGTTTTTCAAGTGGCACATAGACTTTCCACTGCGAATATATATATTTACAAAATTTACTAAGTGTAGTCTACTTCATATGTTTCTATATAATAAAATGAGACTTATAAAAAGAATTCGATTATTTTTGATGGAGGTAGATAATTCTGTCAATCGATTCTATCTCTGTGTGTCTCTTAACGGTAAAACTGAAAAGGACCCTTAAAGAGCAAAAGCCCACCTTTAGGAGCTAAGCCACCCAACTTTAAAAATTCTAAAAGATTGACAGTTTTCTTGTACGATGAAATTACCCCCCAGAAACTCAGAAAAAAAAAAACAAACCGAACATATTTCTGGGATCAACCATTCTCCAATTTGTGATCGAGTCAGTCACATCATATTACATTACACACACAGCCTCCTCCACTGGGAGGAAAACCCGTGTATTGTGCTGGAAAAAAAAAACATCTTTGTGGGACAACAACAATGGTTAGGGGGTGCGTGGTACATAGATCACCGTCAGTGATGCGGAGCAAGGGGGGGAGGCAACCGCAACAATAGAATTTTTCACAACAACAACAATAGCCGTTTACTGTTCTTTTTTTCCAACACGATGGTGTTACTTTTATTCTTATTTTTAGCATGGCGATGGTTGTTGTTAAAATAGACAATAGCTGGTTCTAGAATTGAAGGGACACAACCCATTAACAAAGATAATCAAGGCAGTGTGTCTCTCGTAGTGATGATTAGGGTAGGTGAATAGTCTAGATTAGGCAATTGCTTGTACGCCCATAGTTCCTATAGGATTCAATAAACCAATCAAACCACACAATCGCTATACTTACACAGCAAATCACTGGATTGGAAGTCTGCTGATTAGCATATGATCATTCCACACAGGCATCATGGGAACAAATAACAGTGTTATTTAGGGGCCAAGTATTTTGCATATCAGTCTACAATAAGATCCAACGAGTGAATTATAGCGATTGAAAGATAGTATGACGAAGAATGCAACAACAGAGAAAGAAGAATATAAAAAGAAAAGAAAAAAAAAAAAAAGATGGAATAAGAAATACAAGGCCACTAAAAAATTAAAAATTGGTTAAAAAATAAATAAATAATAAAAGCAACAAAAGATGAGCATAAAATACAAAACGAACTAATGGAATTTCAAATTTTAAAATGCTGTTGTTTTTTCCTTGAAATGAAACTTGAGAATCAAAATAACACAGAACAATTAAAAGCCATTGCCATAAATTAAAATAAATCATTATGAATTTGATTGGTAAGTATTGATTTCTCCAAAATGCTGGCACAAAAAATACCCTATTTTTTTATTACCATGCCATTTGTCATTTCAGCACCAATCAAAAACTCTGTCTTAGGAAATCGGTACGGATATAGAGTAAGCTTTTCGTATGATCACACTATTTGCCTTTTTTTTTTTTTTTTTTACTTTCTCTCCTTCAATATTGGTTAGTCAAATCTATCAGCCCTAACTTCTCTACTCCAACCAGCAATATCATTACCTGATCCTTTAAGTACTCTATCAGCGACTATTATATTCTCCATTGCCACCGTGTCTTTCAACCATGGGTGATTTACCATCCCCCCAGCATCTGCTCTAAGCTCTGGATTCAATTGAAGCATAGGTAAAAGAAAATCACTAATTTCTTCTGCTTCATCACCAAACTGGTATTTCTCTTTTAGGATACTCTTCAAATCCCAAGGTTTCAACTCACTGATTCTTCGAAGCTCCCCTCGGGAATTGAAAAACTCTAGGGTGTGAACCCCTTGTTTCATTAACGCACTTGGGAAGGTTCCCAAAAGTTCAATGATTTGCGCAATATGGTCGTCATCTTTACAATAAGACCGACTTTCATGTGGTTCGAATAAATAATCACACGTCAATAGTTCAAATATAATACAAGCCGCAGACCACACGTCAACAGCACACCCCCAACGAGCACCGAGTAGTACTTCTGGAGATCTATATTCTCGTGTTTGGATATCTTCAGTAAAATGCCCATTATACCAACAAGCATTACCCAAGTCGGCGATCTTGATGTTTAAAGTGTACAAATCTCTATTGGAGTCATCGATGGTCACTGGTTTTGGAGAGATGGGAAGGGTCGAGGCGGAAATCACACTGCGAGGACCTGGTCCATTGTCAGCTGTAGAGATTGACATCGATGCAAATGATCCAGAAATCCCTTGTTTATCATTTGTGAGAATGTTAGACTTGCTAACGGATACCGACAATGGTTTCGATCCGGTGATTATGGAATGACTTCTTGCACTCCTGGTAAGAAACACTGAGTTGATCCCATCTTCAGCAAGGTCTCCAGTTGGATCGCGATTTTTCCGAGGAATCGATATTGATAACATATCAGATAAAGATTTCTGGTTGGTGAACGCTAAATCTTTTTCCATTTCGTCTTTCTTGCCTTTGAGTTTCGTGATTTTCTTGTCCAAAAATATTTTTTCTTCTAATAACCCTGTGAAAACCGCAATCTCTTCGACATTCTTGATTTCAAACAAAATGTTTTCCGGCTTCAAATCGGTGTGAATAATCCCACATTGTCGGTGTAAATAATCTAGCGCCAATAGTAATTGTTTGGCGATTTGTTTGACGTAGATTATCGGAACCCCGGCTTTATATCTTCTGGTCAAGTCAAGCATACTTTCCCCCAATACTTCAAATACCATCACCACATGAGTTCCATGAGGCCCAACGTGATAAAAACTATCGAGCAAATGAATCACTTTATGGTACCCCAAATTGTTTGGATCACCTTCGGTACATTTTCGGAGCAAGTGGATCTCATCAATCGCGGTTTCTGTGTAATTCTTTGCCGATCTCACAATCTTGATCGCCACATGTTTGTTGGATTTCAAATCTTTGGCCAACCAAACTGTTGAAAAATGGCCCCATCCAAGCTTCCGTACTAATACATATCTTCCATCATGGTAATATTCGCCGATATAAGCAGTATGGTAACCACCATTGCAATAATCTTTCAAGTCTTCTTCGTGTTTTAAATCCTTGCACTTCTCAAGCTCTTCTTCGTCACCACTGCAGTCTTCATCATGATCTGTATTGGAGATTTCTTCCACATCATACCCTTCAAGTGACATGATTTCATCTTTGAGACGATAATATTCCAGCTGCAATTCTGAACACTCTTTTTCAAGATTTTTAATTATTTGATCATTTCCATCTGGTGAGCTCGAGTCACTTGTGCCATTTGGTGTTTCGCTCCCGTTTTGTATCGTATTATTATTATTATCTACCTTCTTTGTTTCTACTTTCAATTCCTGGGTTTTCTCTTTTTTAAATGCCAAAGATAAGTTGGAAGGTTTGATTTTCGGCGATAAAATGTCGTAATGACTGCTCAATGTCGGTGACGTTAGGGCCGGTACTGTATGAATACTCGATGATATTGAGCTAGCAGCAGTACGGAACGAGTCCGGAGGACTCACTGAACTGCCTATTCTTGGGGGTTTAAAATTAAGAAGATCCTCATGATGCCCATTGGCAAATTTTGAGTTGTGTCCATTAATCTCGTTAGTTATATTTTCATTTCCATCTGAGGCCTTTGACGTTTTGGGCTGTCCACCTAACTTTTCTGGAACCATCATGTAAACCGGAGTTCATGAAATCAATCAAATCTTAAGCTTCTCGGAAACTGTCAGAAGAGAATATTATTTTGCAGATCAAGTTAAACGACGGAAATACTCGGACAATAAAAATCAAGATTGATGTTGTTATATCAGGAAATCCTTGATCTTTTCGTGGCTTTTCTTTTCTTTTTTTTCCTCTTTTTTTAAAAAAAAAAGGCTTCAAGTGAATCAATCTCTATTACTACTCAATGATGATGGGGGAGGAAGGACCAGTAAACACAACTGATGCTGAAAACAATGCAAATTAACAAAACAAATTGATGGATGACGCCGAGAATAATGCAATTAAAACTTTTTCTCCTTGGATGATTCGGTTCTTTTTTTTTTTCTCCGATGAAACTTCTCTAATACATAGAGAAAAAAGAAGGTTTTTTTTTCTTTTTTTTAAAAAAAATGGGAAACCGCAAAACGGCTGGACAGGATTAAATCTTTGCAATTATTTATTATATATTTTTTTTTCCAATGGTCTTGGACTCGTTGCAAAGCAATTCCTGCCTAATAAATAATGACTTTGATTCACCCTTATTGTTGTCGAGCGAGAACGTCAAAATTTCTCTCCATAGATTTTTTTTTTTTTTTTTTTGCCTCGTTTCGAGCACTTGTCACATGACATGCCGCTAATATATTCAATCAATAAGTAGATACTCTATACAACTCTTCATTTAATACCAGTCTTGTTGGTCTTCACTTTGGCAACTAGTGGCTCGGATATACCCTTATTATGGGTCGCCCCTAACCCTTCACCGTTAGTCCATCCCAATTTCTCCAATAACTTTCTTCCAATGTTGTCCTGACTAATGGCTGGAGCATCCCCACCAACAATATCACCTTCCTTAACATGAGCCTTACTTCTCACTTGTGGTTCTTTGCCATTGATCTTAAGCCCTGAAGCAACGTTTTCAGCCGAAGGTTTCTGGACGTCGATTCTATTGAATACTGGCCGTTGTCGTAATATTCTATTAATCATGTCGTAATCAGGATAACTGTTGTAAGTTCTTTTATTTTTTATCACTGCAGCATGGATCTTGTTTCCTTGTCCTAGTCTCCTACTTTTCAAACTGTAGAAACCAGCCATCTTAATCACGGTTTTAATCCCATGTGGATCCATTGGTGGGAACTCAAGTGACACCTTATCATCATTCTTCATTAATGACTCAAATTCCGCTTTGATCTCTTTGATATGCATCGAATAAGGATATTTGACCAACAAGTCATTTTCCTCAATGGCACGTTGCATCTTGGCTTCTTTTTTCATCTTTCTCTTGTCAGCCTTAGAGACCCTTCGGTTTTCAAATTTGTCCATCATTGAATCATAAAACACAGACTCGGGGCTCAATATCGGTTGCTTATTTTTCCCCTTGCCTTTGTACCTGATGGTTTCAGTAGGGGCAATATTCAATTCTGAGAATTGTTGCTTGACACTTTTACCAAATGCCATAAACTCATCTACCGTGATATCATCACCAAAGTCCATGTCAGGCTCTTCAATCTCCGACTCTTCCTCTTCTTCAGAACTCTCAAACGCAGCATTTAAAAAATCCTCTTCTGACATGTTATCATCATCGTCAATTTCGTAGTCATCATACTCATCACCTCTGATTTCCTCATCATCACTGCTCGGGCGAACAGTATTAGCCATGACATTGTTGATATATTCTTGAATCGCAATATCTCTTTCAATAGTATTTTGATGTTTGTCATTCGATGATTGATAAGAATCTCTAAACAGATGACGTTGTCCTTTTCTCTTTTGTCGTAGGTTGACGTACATTTCGCCATCATCAGGGTCCTGATAGGTTTCCATGGCAACTTTCCCAACGTATAAGGTTTCTTCATATTCTGTGGAGACAACCTGCTTACTAGACTTATTACTGCTATGACTAGCGGATGCAATGGCTTGTGAAGCTTCTGACTGTGATATCAATTCATCAAGTTCTTTATCCTTAAGTTTCTTCTCTGCAATAATGTCATGAAATGATTTCTTCGGAAGTGAAACAGAGCCTTCACCCTGTGAGTCAATGAAAAATAATGAGCTGCCGGGATTTTCTTGATTTTGGTATTCTTCATCCTCGTCATCCTCTTCTTCATGCTTTTCATACTTTTCATACTTTTCATATTTTTCATATTCCTCATATTCTTCCTCTTGCTCATCTTGCTCATCTTGCTCTTCCTCGTCTTGTTCTTGCTCTTCCTCGTCTTGTTCTTGTTCTTGCTCTTCCTCGTCTTGTTCTTCCTGTTCCTCCTCTTGTTGTTCTTGTTTTTTTGCTTGCTCTAAAATTTCTTCTAGATCTTTTTCTTGACCTCCAGACTTTAATGAAGTTTCGGAAATCTTATTTTCCTTTTCAATAGTACAATCGTCATCATTTTCATCACTTGATAAATTATCCAATTCCATACTTCCCAATATTTCCTGCTTTTGTTCTAGGGTTAATTTACCAGGGAAGGCTTTTTGCAATGTAATTGTCAGGCTTACTGGAGGTTGAAATTGGGTTTCCTCCTCAGCATCATTATCATTAACCAGCTGTACAGGTATCATTTCTGCATCACCTTCAATATCCAGGCCAGTCTCAACAGTAACTTTGACGGCAGTGTTTTCCCGGCTTTTAATTTGCAAATTTAACAACCGTGAAGGATCATACACATCCTTTGATTTGACAAATTCCACTGGTCTATTTCTTAATTGTCTCTCGAACATTGTTCTTCTGTTTCGTCTTGTCGTTTCCGCTTCCTGTTTGAAATTGTGACCGGTAACCACCATTCTATCAGGTTCACCAATATCCATTAGTTCAGGATACTCGTTGGGTCCATTATAATCATTGAAAGTTTGTCGGTGGTTGGCTCTTTGCTTTCCTTTTCCCCTACCAAACCCTCGATTCTTCGGCTTGCGATCAGAGCCATGGCCGCCTCTTCTATTTCCTCTTCCCCCTCCTCTTCCACCTCTTCCTCCGCCGCGTCCACCTCTTCCTCTTGGCATTTTTTTCTACTTCTTATTATTATTGTTGGTATCTTCTTGATTATTCACAAGTTGATGAGCTTAGCTTCTTCGAGGAAAGATGATGATATCAAGAAAAAAAAAAAAAAATAAAAATGCACAGTGGTAGAGAGCGCATGCTTACGTCAGCGGTGATCACACCCGCCAGAAACATAACAGGGACAATAAGATGAGAAGTAGAAAGGTTGTTGATTTGTAACATAAAATGTGTAATGAAATAGGCTGTATTTTCTAATTTCTTTTTTCTTTTCTGACACACAATATAGAAGACCTTTTCAGAGGCTTCTTATTGATTGAACGGTACGTATCACCCTTAGTTCTTTGCACGTGAAGGCTTTTTTTTTTTGTTCCCTTCCTGTCAATTTGCCTTCAAAGAGAAGCATCCCTATGATTACCAGGTACCCACCCCAACACCGTTTATTAAATCGATTGATATTTTTTGTTGTTTTTAAATAACTTATTTTTTTTTTTTCTGTTTGTTTTGTTATTTTTTCTCTCTTTTACCAGATTTTTTTAGCATTCCTTAATTTTTGTTTTGCCCTTTGTGATGAGATGTCATCAATTCAACGTGTGATAAGCATGTTCTTGGATAAGGAACTCGAGCATGAAGATACGAAAAACCCATTAATCGTGCTAGGAAACTCGTATCCTGCTAGCACAGACACAGATCTGGAGGATCGACCTAACAGCGAAGAGCAATATCAGGTCATCGAGGATCGTATTCAGGCAGAAAGTATGGTGATTGTCAAGCAAAACAATAACAATAACGATACGGACGCTACACAAACAGACGAAAACCATCAGAGTATCCCAATGACCAACAACCAGATGACGGGATTAAACATAAATGACTTCAAACTGAAGATCCAACTGAATTTCAATTCGTTATTCAATATTAGCAAACCAGACCAAATAGAACCAACCGCCCTTGCAGCAGCAGGAAAGGCACAACAACCAAACACATGGCCCAAAGATTTCCTAGACGATGTCAGGACACGGTTATGGCTAACTTATAGAGTCGGCTTTCCCTCAATCCCCAAGGATAAAAATAGCCCATCGACGGTCATGGGAGCGTTGATGCGAGGTAATTTTGCCGATATTAACAGCGATGGGTTTAGTTCAGATTGTGGATGGGGATGCATGATTAGAACCAGTCAGAGTTTATTGGCAAACACCCTCCTTGATTTGAAAGTAGGTAGAGATTGGAGATTCCAGGGGCCTAACAATGATGAATCATGGGATATGATCCATGATAATATAGTTTCGTGGTTTGTCGATGATCCCATTTCTCCATTCTCCATTCATAATTTTGTAAAGAAAGGCTCTATTTTATGTGGTAAAAGTTCTGGTGAATGGTTTGGCCCATCAGCGGCGTCCAGGTCAATACAAGCATTATGTGATGACTTCAAAGATGCTGGATTAAATGTGTATATTGGTGAAGATAGCGGGGAGATTTATGAGAAGGATATGCTTCAATATTTCCAGCAAGGTGAAGATGACAAAGCGGTGCTAATATTATTAGGAATGCGATTAGGAATTGACAATGTTAACGTAATATATTATTCTCCTTTAAAACAGGTGTTGTCATTGAAGCAATCGGTGGGAATTGCTGGCGGTCGACCATCATCGTCTCATTACTTTTTCGGGTACCAAGATGACTATCTATTCTTTCTTGATCCTCATGTCTCTAATAGGCCCGCTTTAAAATTGGGAAACAATTATGATTTATCAGAGTCGGTGGTCACCGGCGTCAGCCAGTCGAACCCTATCGATCTGTCAACGATCCCTGATGCTGATCTTATATCCCCTACGTTATTGACGAACTCAGACATTGAATCAGTGCATACTACGGTTTTCAACAAATTACATTTATCAGAAATGGATCCATCCATGCTCATTGGATTCTTAATCAAAAACAAAAGTGATTGGAATTCATTTAAAGAATCTGTCAACACCACAGACTTGAAGAAAATCATCCACATTGCTGATGGATCCAAGAATGATGTACTTGGATCACAAATAAGAAGAAGTAGTTTGGATGTTTTAACCGAGAGGAACTTGGTATTAGTAGAATCAGAAGATGGTATGGGAGATGAATTTGTTGATTTGGGAGCAGAGTTTGATAATTTGTCGACCTCCGATGGGATGAATCATCCAGCAACAAGCACAATTCCAACTACTTGTTTTTCAAAAAAACCCACTCAACTGGCAGAAGAAAAAGCTCCTACAGATTCTTCAAGTGACAATCCTCTTTATGAAACTACAGAAAATGACATTATTTGTGTTGACCGTACTCCTAAGCCACTAGAGCCTTCAATTGGTAAATCGCCGTCTCCAGAACAGTCTGAGAAAGCCATGAACCAGACTTGGGAAAATGTGAGCAATCATAATGCCTCATATGAGGATTTGCAAGGAGTTTATCAACAACAGGACAATGATGATGCCAAAGTAATCGTCCAAGATACTGATGAAGATGAAAGTTCCGAAAATGAGGAACTTGCAAAAGAAAGTGAAGTACTTACTCACTGATGATACACAATGACTAATCGTAAAAGGATTATATTACTGGATTCTAATTATTCTCTGAGTTCCACTAATTGACTATTATTTATTTCGCTTTATTTGTTTATCATGCTGACTTTTTTTTTTTTTTTTTGTTTTTCTTTTATTATTTCATTTAGAAGAATGGGAATTTTTTTTTTTTTTTTTTTTTTTTTTTGTTTTCTCTTTTAATTAATAACGGCTTGAAAAAGATTATTCAAATTTATAATCGATTCATTTATCAAGAAAACTATATATCAATAAAAACAAAATATTATATCAAACATATTGAGGAAATGAGTGACTTTGAAGCTGAAAAATAATAGTAACATCATAATAATGATAGAGAAAAAGTGAAAGAAGAAACAGAAAAAAAAAAAATTATGAATAAAACAAAGTCATATAATCAAAATCAATGAAACAATGACAAAATTAAATGTAAAATGATGGTGACAATAATAATAAAAGGAAAAAAGTTTATCAATCAAAATCAAAAACCGGCAAAGAAAAAAAAATAAAGAAGCAAAAAATTATAATGGTCAAGTAAATTTCATAATAAAATAATGAAAAGCAAAAAAAAAAAAATAAAAAAAAAGAATAAATAAAAAGAGATAAAAGAAAAAGTAAACACCAAACAAAACAAATGATCAGTAGCTAAACACAAAAATAAAATGAAAAATAAAATAAAAAAAAGAGGAGTATATCAGTCATAAAAGTTTTTTCGTGTCTTTTTCTGAACAAGAGTTATTTTTCCTCTCATATTCTTTAAAAATCTTTTTTTTTTATTCAGGAAAAAATAGGCAGCCTATATGTATATTTGCCAACTGCAGACTTTTTCTTGGTTGTATCCTCATTTTTTTTTCTGTATTTCGTTAGTATCTTCAAGTTGTAACATCTAAAACCAAACTAACATCATCCACATCAGATTTAGAGAGATCTTCTAAAAATGGTAACAAATCTAACAATTCATTATCATGAACGTCCGAGAACCAGCTCGAAATTGGAACGGCATGCTGAGGATGGAAAATATATGAGGCAGGAGAATTATCAATGATGATTAGATCACTAAGAGGTCTTCCGATTTGTGATAGATTCTTAATGTAGTTACCTTGGTAGTTGTAACATGAGTCCCTAAAAAGTCTATGATGCACACTTTTGTGAATATCCAACTCATCAAGTAAAGGATCACCATATCTGGATACCGAAGCAGTAAATACCACCACTTCATATATTTCACCAACTCTTTTCATAAACTCGTCAACTCCTGGTCTCTTTATTACGTAAACATTATGAACTTGCCCTTCTATTTCCACAGGGATAACAAAGTCAGCGGATCTCAAATACTTGAAACTGGAATGCACCAAAGTTTCGTCCAAATCTAAAACTAAACACTTCTTCTTTTTGAACTCTGCGCTTTTCTTTTCCAATAACCAACCACTCTTAGAAACAGATTGGTCAGGTTGCATGGCAGTCAAATCAAAACCTTCACTAAATACATCATTTTCTTCGTAAGCCTTGCTCGAAATTATTGGCGGCTGACGATCCGGGATTTCGTTTGACTCCAGACTATCCTCATCTTTGTTATCGCCGGAGGCTTCTTGTGAGGCAGACTTCAGCTTCAGATTCTCCCTAGCTTGAAATTCATTTGGCGCTGAGGTCACTGGTGTTACTGGAGCTGGCGAGTGACTGGCGGTGTTATTTTCGTTAGTCATATCATTCGAATTATTTGGTACTGGTTGTAAAACTATTGTTTGTGAGTTGCTTGTTTTCATTTTATCTATGTTGGCCTCATCCACCTCATCTTGATGATCAGGATTCTTAGAGTCAACTCTATTATTCGTCTCAGAGGTGTTTCTGGAAGAGCTTGTTGAGGAGGTGGACGACTTATGTTCTGGTGTAGAGCCAAATGTGCAACACAAAAATGAATTTAGTATCTTATCCATTAATCACAGTGATTATTATTTCCCTTTTTGTTAAAGAAAAGTCTTCTAATAGCAAAACAAAAAAAAAAAAACAAGCTCTTATCTTGAAAACGTAATTGCTTCAGAAAAAAAAAAGATGTGTCAATAACAGTAAACAGTGACAAGAAGCAGTCAGCGGGAAGCTCTGGATGATGAAAGAGATTTTTTTTGGGGCAATTTTAGCAGTTCCGCCAGTTCCAAACAGACAACGTTACAAAACTAAAAGAGGTTCTCCTTTCCAACAGAACCTTTCTAAGCAGAAAGAAAAATAACTATCACACACGCGTGCACGTCCTAATAAAGATCCTTGGAAATAGAGTTACCAATATATACACACCAGACGTTGATAAAGGGTGGTGAGATAACCGATTTATGTATATAGGTTGCGTTGTTTGTTGGTGATGTGGAAGGTATTCAAAAAATTCGCTGTTTTGGTAGCATTTTTTTTTCTTCTCTCTCATTTTTTTTTTTTTTTTGTTTTTGCTGAATAACGCTGCGGTAGCGTGCTGGCCGTATCGGTGTCATCTGATCATGGGATCTCCGGTACGGTATGTATATACTGTGATAAGAAAAGTCCCTTTGGGCTACCTGGATGACTCTTATCAGCATCATTTGTAACTGAACCAGCCATAGCTATATCCATTTCTGATGATATATAATATATAATGTATAATCTGTAATAAAGCATGTTATTTTGTTGGTAACATTTTGCATTAATGCCTTTGACTTCGGATGTAATCCAGGGAATAATTCCGGTGTTTGTAGATCTTGAAGGGCTTGGCTGGCAGATCGATGATATTTCTTAAATATGTATCTATCTATCACTTGTCCATAATTTACAATTCTGGATTTGTCAAAACCATCAAAAGTTCTTTATTACAGGTAACCAAGACAATTACAAATTCCTAAATAGATTAAAACCCCAAACAATCATTAATTTCATATATACATCAATATATGCGTAGCACCTGTTTTAAAAAAGTATTAAATATCACAAGACAAAAGAGAATGAGAAAATGCACAAAGGACCAAAAAAAAGAAGAAGAAAAAGCAAAACAGAAAATGAACCAGAATCTAAAAAAATCTTCAACCTAGGACTTGACAGATCGTAAAAAAAATATTTTGGCACCATGGCTTCATCAGGCAGCATCAGCAGTTTCCAAAGGAGTCGCTGACATGATCATATTATTTCTGACGGTCCTATTTTGTCTAATCACACTATTAGTATTTTCATCTCTTATCAACGCAATTCTCATAGTAGCTAACAAGTTATTTGCAGCATTAGAATGCATATAAACAGCCCCATTGAAGGCAGAAGTAGCGTCTTTTCCAATAGAAGCCTTAATTAAAGCAACACCGCCAGGGTGGTTATGAACAAATGGTGTGACATCATGAACAACTCCACTAATAATTACTAGAGCTCTGTCAGAACTTTTAACTAGCTTTCTAAATTCATCGACAGTGATTAGAGGTAATTTGTTCATTGGAACACCCCAGTTCAACTTTGCACGATGCCTGTCAATTAGTTTCTGTTGATGAAGTAAAGCACATCTCTGTATGATATTATAGCTGGTGCGGTGTAAAGATTTCACCCCAAAGATAGCTCGACAACGATAGCAAAAGTTCAAAAACCATTTTGTTGGATCATAACGATAATAGTAGTGACCATTTCTGTAGTCTTTGGGAAATTTATGATGAAAATTGTTATAGCCTTCACCAAATGTTAGGAATGATACGATAAATGAGTCTCTAGGGGTTTTCTTATCTTCAAAAGGTTGCGACCCGAGAAAGTGACCAAGAGAGTTTACCGAAAATATGGATTGCTGTGCAATAAATGATCTAATCAAACCACTGTAGACAAATCCTCCTACAAGATCATCCCAGAAATAATTAGCCATAAGAGAAGGTGCAACCAACCCAAACAACACATAAAGGGTAAAATTGTTATCCTCCTGCCACTTAAGAAATTTTTCGGCCTTCACCATTTCTAAGTCAAAATTACCTTCATGATCTTTAAAATCATTTTCAGTTTGAAGTAGTTCATTCTCCTCATCCAATAGTCTGATAATTTTCCGATTTTTGACAATTCTCCAGCCAAGATGGGCCCAGAAAAAATTTTTCCGATAATTATATGGATCTTTATCTGTATTACAATACATGTGGTGCAATCTATGAAGCGACTTGAATTTCCTTGCGGACTCTATTCCAGCCGATGATCCAAATATCGTGAAAAATACTGGAAGAATATTGTAACTAGGATCAATCGAATATGATCTGTGTGACCAATATCTATGATACCCGGTGGTGACCGCCAAAACCGTCAATGTGTAATGAAAAACTGAGAGATAGAGAGTTCTTGTCGTAAGCTGTATATCATAATAATATATAGCTAAAAAAGTGGCGATAGGAACCACAATATACTTGAATACGTTCCACCATATTGTTTTGATGATCACAAATTTGGTGACTCTGATGAAATGGTTGACGCTTCTTCTAAGGGCCTTTTTCTTTTCCGGTTGCTCCCGCGAGTGGCTCTGCTGCCTTGACGACAACAGGATGGCATTTTTCTTCCCTCCGATTTTTCTTCTATCATTTTCATCCATCGTGGTGCTTCCTTAGGATGTACTTCTTTATGATCTGCTTCCTTTCAAGCCCTCAGGGAAGAGAGTGAAAGCAGATTTCCAGCCGCTTTGCAATCGCCCGCGTGAGCGCGCGCGCCTAACCAGGAATCCTATAGCTTACAGTGTTTACAAGACACATACTAAAAACATCCATGTAATTCATGATATATTTAAGAGTTTACCGTTTGCTAAAGTTGATTAACGACAACAAGTCATCCTCTACTCCATCCACCACCACTTTCAGCACCGATCCGAAGAAATCGGTGAGCAAAACGTTGGAGACATTTCTCCTGAATAAGTCCGTTCTGATCCCGGCATGACTGTGAACATTCTCAAAAGTGTAGGTATCAAAAAGATTTTGCAACGTCTTGTTAGAGTTTTTGTTTACGTTTTCCAAGAAGTCTAGGTTGTAGTAAGTAAATCTGTCGATGACTGCCACACCAATCTCCACATCCGAGTGGTGAGAGTATGAAGATTCATCCAATTCCGAAGATCCAACCGCCAAAATATTTGGTGAATAAAACTTGGAATACATAGTGTTAGCTTGACAGGTGTCGATCATGAACAAAATCTCATTGTAACGCTTCTTCTCGTACATCTGCTCGAAAGCATCTGCCAAATCATGACTGCCAATTTCTTCAGCGTCTTGAAATTTGAGAAACTCATCACCTCCATGACCTGTCATATAAATGAAAATATTAGAGTTTTCATCGGTCAACAATCTCTTGGAGCGCGGTTGTTCAGGGCCCCAGCGATCAGTCAACAATCTAATGAAATTTTCCACGGTCACCTCGTATCCTCTGTAATCCACTTCGACATTTTCCCCATAAAGGTCGATCCCACGGTCTGCATTATTGAAAACCGCTCCTGGGAACGCATTTCTTGAATTACACGCCACATCATCAGCCAACATCAATATGATCTGAGAGTCTGGTATGCCTAGTCTCTTAACTGTACGGTACATACTCAAGACATTTGCCATATGGCGATAATTGAACCAAAACCGTGATGTGGACACCAAAACGGCCCAATTGTTTGTATGTGTTGAGGCATCCTCATTGTAAAAGGTGCCGATCTTAGCCTCATCCTCACTTGAGATCGAAAGGACGCTTAGTAAGAGCGTCTGAAATAGTAGGAGTATCTGGAGATATCTCATTTTCCAGTTATTGTTGATCGTTCCTGTGAATTTTTGACAGTGTATTAGAAATCAAAAGAATCGTATTATTATTATTAATAGGGTCTACAGGAATTCTGAATATAAACATTACCCGGATTCTTTAGAAAACAAATGCGGCGGGTAATACATGTTTTTTTAAAACTATATTGTTACTAATGAATATTGGATGATGAATAAGATTAGCAATGAATACTAAGTAAGTCAGAACAGAATTTTTTTCAAAAAAAAACATCAGCAGTTAGTAATTGGAATGATTGAATGAGATATAGGTATCAATAACTTTTTTGTGAGCCTAGCAATAATAAATAACGTAGTTTTTATGTACCACCATCCAAAAGGCTCTTTTATATTTCTCGGCCCACTGACGCTTATGGAAGCAATATTATACCGCTGCGGAACAGACTGGATAAAATTTAAGTACTAAAAATCGAACGTATAGAATCTGAATTTTATCATATATGATTGCAGATCAACAAGAAAAAAATAGGACTAAGCCCGACGATTTATTTTTTTGGTACGCCCTATGTCCTCATGGGCCCGGAATTGGTCAATTGGGATGGCCAGTTTCCCAGGTTTAGTTTCAGTCTTTTTGTCAACAAGCAACATTTTGCTTTCAATCGCTTGTATGATTCTCTTATGAAATTCTTTACTACCCAATGTCTGCATGAAAATTAAATCAGAACAAGTTCCTTTATTCATTCCGTCGATAGTTTTTTCAAGTATTTCTTTAAAAGGAATCATACTCACTTTCAAGCTCATTTTTGATAAAGTACGACCAAAATATCCCAAAATTGCTTTCTTTTGGCCTGCAGTTGCACTTTGGAATCTCCATGAAGCGTGTTTGCGAGGATAATACTGAGAAGGCGCATATTCTTTTAGTTTCTCGTGAACAGTTGATATTGTTTCTAGCACTGACGATTTCATAAATTCTTCCGCAATAGTGTATCGAAAAGAAGCTCCTAGGGCTTCATAAAACTTGGTTAGAAAACTTGACTCACCACCATCTATTGGGGATGGAGTCTTTGTAACTCTCACATACCCACTTCTAAATTCTAGTAACCAAGTTTCTTTATCACTCCTGATCCAAGCCAACAGATCTTTTGTGAAATATTTGGCATCGGACTCTTTTCTTGATGGTTGATAGGCGAAATCACGTAGAGAAGCAAATAACTTGAAATTGAGCTTATCTTGGGAAAACTCTCTCAAAAGAGGCTTCTCACGGCTGAAGGAGCTCATCATATTGGTGTTAAATTTTTTAGTTGGAAGTTGATAACTTATACCCAAAAGGGTAGGAACCGTGGCGACTTCAATCAGAACAGGAATAAAAGAAATGATATGGCATAGCTCTTTGGCATCATGCTTTCTTAAACCTCGACCTATCATCTGACTTAGCAAATTTTTAGATTTTGTAGGTCTGGCCAAAATAATGCTATCAATGTTTGGAATGTCAGTACCTTCTGTGAAAATCCCACAATTGACTAACACATTGATCTTTTTTGATTTGAAATCTGTAACTACTTTCAGTCGTGTACTAGCTGCAGTTTTCCCAGTGACACATTCTGCCTTAATATCATTGGCAGCAAATAAATCACGTAGCGCCTGGACATGATCGACATCAACTCCAAAGATTAAGGTCGACTCAAAATGATCCTCCTCTCTATATTTGAGATAAGTTTGCAATATTAAATCGTTAGATTTTTCCGTATTCACTGCTTTTGATAGACCAGTGATGGTGAAATCTTCTTCTCTAACAATCACTGAAGACAAATCAAGGTCATCATCACGAACAACAGTAACCTTTGCATCACATAACCACCCATCAGTCACCATCTCATCCAAACCTTTATGAAATACCACATAATCCATAGAATCGGCTAGCAGCTTACCATCATGCCTATCCAAGGTGGCAGAAAATCCAACAACCGCTACTTTTGTCTCGGTGTTGTGAGCATTAAAGTTTTGTAGAATATTGATATATGATTTCGCAGCAGCATGATGCGCTTCATCAATAATGATCAATTTATAATCCTTAGGGTCATATTTTGAGAGTCTATCGCCTCTATTTAACGACTGAATAGATGCCACAGTTATATCCGCCATGCCTGACGCCTTGTTCCCCCCAATATCTATTTCCACAACTTTCTCGGGCATGATTCTTGCACAAGTGGCCGCCGCCTGTTCACATAGTTCTTTTCTATGAACCAAAATTAATGTCTTGTCTCCTTGACTTTCAGTCAATGGAGCCATATGCTTTATGAGACTGCTAAACACAACGGTCTTCCCACCACCGGTAGCCAAACTGACGGCGATTCTTCTTTTCCCTTGATCAAAGGCACGTAAACACTTCACAATACAATCCTTTTGATAATCCCTAAGTTGGAGACCAGTAGTATCTGCTGAGTTCCCAAAAATTCCCTCGATTTTCTGAACGGGTTTGAATTGGTCTGGGAGATTCTTTTGTGGAGAAGGAGAAGGACTGAGCGCCAACTGCTCCATGTAGCTCGTAAGAGAGTCCGTATGGAATGCTTGACACTGTGACATAATGCAAATTCTAGTCAATCGATGTCTGAAAACGGCATGAGATCTGTTGATCGAAGGAGCTAATGATCTAATCATTAATGCTGGGGTGGGAAGGTACTAGAAAGGTCGAGTAAATGGTTTTACAAGATTGCATTAATTACATCGGATCTCAAGGGGTCTTCACGCACTCCAACCTCCTTAAATAAGTGTGTGAGTGATTGATGTGATAGTACGCTGACTTCGAAATTCACGCTTTTTTTTTTGACTTTGAATGTATCATAGATCAAATCCAGGCGCATGTATTGGCTCTAACTCTTTCAAATATCAAAGGAAGAAAAGAAATTCTGGGAGGAAAACTAGGTAGTTGTCTTGCACAACTTTCAAAAAATTCGCCAGTAGCGAGATACTTAGAGAACTAATCATAGCATAAAACATTCTATTGATACATAAAAACTATACATTTTATTTTCCTTCTTTAGGGGTTCATTTTGTTATTTCTTTTACTGGAATTGGCATTTTCAATTTCATTCAATGCTTCCTCATTAAAATAATGAGATGCATAATCTTTCAAAATTCTTTCATCATCAATAACTAAGACATTTCTCATATACTCTTTAGTGGTGAGCACCAATTCATTGTAAATTAATAATTTCACTGGTGGTTTCTTCTTGAAAAGCGATGATGATGGGTGGATAAAGACTTCTTGCTGTTTTTTGAGATTGCGGTATGATGTTCCAGATTTAGTTAGCTTAGAAGTGTTCGGGAAAAATCCAGAGGCAATAGATATCTTGACATTCAAAATTAATTTTTTGAAGGAGTCATCATTATCATCATCATCATCTGATGGTTTTCTATTAAGTGAACTATTGGATGACTCTTGAATGAACAATTCGTTCTTTCCACATAATCTTTCTAGTTGGTTTCTGACATTTCTAATTCTATTCAAGGTCTTGTGTTGGATGAAGTTATCTTTACACCATTGATATGAATATCCATTGTCAACCCACTGATTCCAAACTTCCAAATACATGAAATGATCTCCGTGGTCTTTGTACCTATTGTTGAAGTTTTCCTTTGCCTTTTGCGCCATTTCTTTATTGTTTTTCGGAACATAAAATAGAGAGCCAGATTCAGTCAACATCGATACAATCGATAGAATTTCAGATAAGCAATTCTTTCGGTTACCGGTGATCAAAACTTTGCTAAACATTGGATCAAGAGGAAATTCAGACATCACTTTCCCTAGTTTCGTTAATTCACCAGCTTCATTCATAGCACCAAGTGCATAAAGTAGCTCTAAAGACTTGATCAAAAGATCATTAGATGGTTTATCCAAAAATTCAAAATTCAAAATATCATATATACCCAAAGACAACAACATCAAAATAATCCCCGATAAGTTACTCCGAAGAATTTCTGGAGTTGGCTGTTTTGGTAATTCATTCTTAAATGACCATTTTGTGTATAGCCTAAAACATTTACCAGGTCCAACTCTTCCCGCTCTACCAGCACGTTGCTGAGCAGAAGCTTGTGAGCATGGAACAACGACCAAACTCTCCATACCTGTTGTTGGATTGAAAACTTTTTCCTTTACAAATCCTGGATCGATGACGTATTTGATACCATCAATAGTGATGGAAGTCTCGGCAATGTTGGTAGCCAAAACAACTTTTCTAGAACCCTGGGGAGTAGGCTCGAAAATCTTTGTTTGTAATTCGATGGGTAAGTTAGAATAAATTGGAGCAATTATAAGAGGCTTTATTTTATTCCCTAGCTTAGCACAAGTATCCTTTAGAATTTCCTCTATCGCTTCGATTTCCTCTTGACCAGTTAAAAACACTAAAATGTCACCAGGAGTATCTTGACTTAAATGAATCTGGAAAATAGTAGTGACAGAAGCAAACAAATAGTTGGACTCGGGTTGCTCGGTATAAAAAATATCAACTGGGTATCTTCTCCCCGGAACATTGAAAATGGGAACATTTCCAAAAAAATCAGAGAATTTCTTAGAATTGACAGTCGCAGAACTAATGATAACTTTTAGATCCTTATTTATTTTCACTATATCTTTTAATAGCCCCAATAATATATCTGTGCTGATGGTTCTTTCATGGGCTTCATCGATGATGATGGCAGAATAGCTTTTCATTTCGGGGTCTATTAAAAACTCTCTTAATAACATACCATCAGTGACGTACTTAATTAAGGTCTTTTCACTAGATTTGTCATCAAATCTGATGGTATAACCGACTTCATTTCCTAATTTAAATCCCATTTCCTCTGCCACTCTAGTGGCGACAGAAGTTGCAGCCACCCTTCTTGGTTGAGTAATCGCAATTTTTTTATAAGTAGTTGTATCGTCGTTATCAAAGTTATTACAAAGTCCTGCCTCATAAAGATATTGAGGCAATTGAGTTGTCTTACCTGAACCTGTTTCCCCGACAAAAATTAAAATTTGATATTTCTTAATTGCATCAATTATGTCTTGCTTGTATTTGTACACTGGTAATGACTTCTTTGTTTCTTCGATAGATTTCTTTTTTGCTCTTCTTTCCTCATCCTTAAGTCTAGTCTCTTCGTGTTTTTCATCTCGAATTTCTGAAAGCTCATCAACTATGGACAATTTCTCATCACTGTTCACAAAGTTAATGTTTTGGGAATCATCAAATACAAATTCATAATTTTCACTTCCTGGGAGATTTAGAGATGTCGGATCCTCAAAGTTTTCCTCCAATTTCATATTTCCTGATGTCACTAGCATAGATTTCCTTTGGTTACTTTCCCAAGTTTGGAACGAAGACTGGTCATTTGGCTCACCACGGCCCTGGGATTTCCTAACATTTAAAAGATCCTTCTTTCTTTTCTTATCAATCTTGTTATCTTCGGTGAAGTAATCCTTGGGTAGTTCATAATTAAAATTCAATTGATTGTATATTTGGTCACTGAGATCTCTCCTCTGTAACACAATATCCAATATCTCCTTTTTGTATTCATAGTCATCCTGTTCTCGTTTTGATAGGTTTGACCAGCCATAATCCTTGATATCGTTATTATATTCTATAACCTCCTGCTTCAATACTAGAAGTTTTGTTTCTTCACGCCTCGACAAGTAAGACTGTCTGGCAAGCTTCCTTAGCTCAGAAAGATCTTCACCGGAAGACATCTTCTATCTTATTTTGATTTCTTTGAATGTTTATTTTCCAGTAGAGATGATTTATTAATAAAAGAAAAAAAAAAAAAAGAAAAATAGGTCTTCGCTCAAAGAGGGTTCGTCACCCCGCGACACAGATCAGCAGCGTTTTGTTGATAATTTTATGTAAAACTAAGGATTGAAAGACATTCGCCACCATCCACTTTCCATCTGCTTCAACCAATTCATCAATGAGATGAGCATAGTGTTAGACCAGAGGAACAATGATTTTGAATTGAATACCGCAGTAGAGGATGCGGCGACACGGTTTGTGATAAATGACTCCTATTCGACAACGGAACAACTATTTGCCCAAATAGAGGAAGGCTATTGGTTTTTCACAAATGCCACAAGAGTCACTTATCTCAAATTGACTACCATAAATTTGAAGCATTTTGCAAATCTAATATTTGAAAAGTACCCTTTCATTTTTCCCGGGAAAAATAAACATGACTTGTTGGTTGAGTTTGATAGATACAAGGCTTCCACTCAAGTCTGTGGTGTGGTGCTATTTGATGAGTCACTAAGTAAGATCGTATTGATCCAGTCTCTGTTATGTAACTCTTGGAGGTTCCCATCCTGTACTATTAGCAAGGTTGATAATGCTTTGGAGAGTGCCATTCGCGCTTGTTTATATCAAACTGGAATTGATGTTAGTGGTTTAGTTCATGAGGATTATATAATTGAAAGAACTATACAGGGAACAACCCATATGCTTTATATGGTGAAGATTCTTCCAGAGAGAACTATTGTCCAGTCGTCTAGTGGGAATAGAGCTCGATGGGAAAATTGGAGCACAGTGGTTGAGAAATGCAAATCTGCGACTGAGGGGTTTAAGTTCTCTTCCATTAAATACATGATTCAACCAATCTCAATTTGGAGAAAGAAGATTCAGAACTCAATAATATTATCCCAACAATTGAAATTGGAGGCAGAAGCACTATTGAAGGAATTATTAGGAATAACAGAATCTGTCAAAGCTGCGCAAAAGACAGACACTAATTCAAACTGCAGACCAGATCACAACACATCACAAGTACGCAGCGAAAATGGAGAGGGATATAATCAACTGTACCCAAAAATATATAAAAATCCCTCTCAGATATCACGACCAATGAAAGAGATTAAAATATTGAAACGTCTGTCTATTGCAAGCTCGCCATTTAAGCCAACAAATTCCAAGATGGCTAATCAGAAGATCACAATTCTTAAAAGGGTTCCGAAATCTGATAATTCTAGAACATCTACAGATGAAAATCAATTTGTGAACCAAATTTTCAAATCACAGCAAACAATAAACCCTTCTGATGTCGAAGCTTTTGCTGATCCTGACCTGTCACTAAATTCACTGGAATCCACACCAAGTGGTCCTAATTCTACATCGTTACGGCCGCTGTTAGAAAAACCAATCTTTAATTATCCCAACCATCTTCATGAGGACTCAGAATCATCTCATCTGGATGAAATTGAGTATTCTTCAACTAATGACAATGCAAATATGGAGATTCCGACCATTGGGGCATTATTTACCGCAGTATCAACAGAGGAACTGTCACCACTGCTGAGCGCATCACTATCTAGTTCAATTCTGCAAAACTATTACCGTAAACCGGTTATTGACCCAAAAAAGATTAAAATTCTTAAAAGGGGTGACAATCAGAATGGCATACCAAATAACACAATTTGTAACCAATCGTCTTTCCCATTAAAAGCTCCTGGGGCGCTGACGGAAAAACCTATGCATTTCCCTGCGGCCTATCAAACGTTTATCAATGCCAACTTTAATAGCCTTACGTATTCTGATTATGAATTGAAGAATAAAATTCTTGATGAAAGCTACTGCAAGTATTCGTCGGAAGAAGAATCGTCAGAAGGGGATTCCGATGAAGATGAAGCAGGAAAGAGAGAGCTTTTGGAATTATTAAGGGGGATTGGCGGTCCCTAAAGATTTATTGAAAAGTCCCCTTCGCTATTACAGAATTTACAGTTTTTTTTTTTTTTTTTTTTTTTCATTTTATTTCAGTAAACGATTATAGCGTTAATTTCACTCAAGAAAAAGGGTAGATGATCTAGGAATGAGGTTAACAGCGTTAAGCTGTTCTTGACTTGTAGATGAAGAAGAGACATGACCCAGAAATGACAACGGAGAACACTTGAATGAGGGTATAAAGAAGTAGAGTCTTATATATTGGGATTTAATATCCAAAATAAAAGATCAAAACAATACCCGATATGCTTTTGGGTACCAGACCCTTTATCTTCGTTGCGTCTAAATCACAACAAGTATGATCATATATATTATATATATAACCTGTTGCTGCTTTTGACGATTCTGATGATTTTTACAAGATGTAATTAAACAGATTCTTTAATGCTCATTGACCATACAAAAGATACCTAACAAAAAAAAAATCTCAAAAAACAGAATCGACCTGGAAGTAATCTTCAAAGAGAGAAATAAAAAAAAAATAAGTGGGAAAAAAAAAATAAGTACATCAGTCGTTCTGTTAGTTGTTTTCTATACCATATCTCAATTTTGAACATCAATTGTTGATAATGGTATTTTCTTGACGTTATTATAATTCTTTAATGGAGAAAAATTAGGCTTAATATATAACTAATTTCGTTTTTGGCTGTGCTATTATCACATGTTGAACCACAAAACTATTATGGTATGCACACATTATATAACATGTCAGTTGATTTCTGCACACAAGTGAACACTTTATTAATCACCACTGCCATGTGGCGCACTACCTCAGTACTGACAACAACCTTCACAATAAAATAGACTGACTACCTGCGCCCCAACTCACCACCAAGTGCACGCACCCACTTTGGTTTACGCTCAACTGCGAAATTTGAGGTTCAACTAGTGATTGTTTGGATGTATAGATGTGTACCGTTTCATCCGTTAAAGCTTCCCAAAATCGTAATAATTCTTTTTTCGAAGGGTTTAGAACACTCTAAATTCGCTGAAAAGTTTATTCTACACATAAAACATATCTCAATACCACACACAACCCCCTCACAAGGGGGGTGTAGAACAGTTTGGAATTACCAAGATATTCCATGGATCAACGAATACTCTGGTATTCTACAAAGTAAAAACTTCTTAATATCGTAATAGATCTTTACAAGGGGGTGCACAACAACATCCTAGATCGATAAGAGCATTTTAATTGTCACTAGATGCTATACCTGACCGAATATATTTTAACTTTCTCTTCAATTTTTGACACTATGGTTTTTCCAGTTCATGGGTTCACTTTCAAGCAAACTACCACCGGAGCAAGGACCGCGTGGAAAGTTAGTGTGATAGGGAAAGAACTATCTCCAAGCAATCTGATATTCTCAAATACCAGAGGGAAACAAAATCAAAAATGATGCAATTATGAATACCAACAAAAGGCTATAAAAATATTAACATTATCGGATCCGTGTGCTTGCTTTCCATGAGTCTGTCTAAGTATCCGTGGGAAAAGCTTCATTTTCACCTTTTTTTTTTCTGGCATTCTCAGCAATTTTGAGGCAAGGCACAATTTTTGGCCTGCATGCAAATCCATTCATTTTAGAGCATTAGAAATGCTTTACAACAGAGTTGATATTGGTAAAAAAAAATATTAATGGAAAATAAATATATAAAAATATTGTTTGAGAGTAGTTTCAATAAATTTGTTCATTTGAAATCATGAAAACAGATACAACTTTTCATAAATCTTCTTTTTATTTTTATTCTTTCGGGGTGCCATATGCACGAGCCCATCCAACATGGGGCACTTGGGGAAATACATGAAGATTGGGAGTATCTTAGTTCTAAATTTAACAAAGATTAGTAGGTAGGCACAAGAGAGATAATTTACTCTATAATGTCCATAAATCATATAAATATAAGTCATTCTCTACCTTGTTTCAATTTCACTTTTTTGAATTTAACTTTCATCATCAACTTTTATTTATTCATATTCCAAAGGAAAAAATATACTTATATATATATATATATAAATAATGCAATTATCTAGCACTATTCTTTTTTCTGTTCTTGCATCTTTATCTTCAATTGCCTCCGCTGCTCCTGTTGACAAGCGTGATGCTAAATCCTTGAAGATCGATTTCAGTGTTGAAAGACTTCCATCAGATGCCCAAAGCACTGGTCAAAGAAAGTCAGTTTACAGTGCTGTCAATCTTAATTTACAAAATGAATACTCCAAATATATGGCTGAAATCCAAATGGGATCACCAGGTCAAACCATTCATGTTGATGTCGACACTGGCTCTTCCGACTTGTGGGTTCCTGCTGTTGGCACCAAATCTACAGGAGGTACTTATGATGCTTCTAAATCCAGCTCATACAAGAAAGTTTCCAATGGCTTCATGATCGGTTACGGTGATGGTTCCAAGGCCTTTGGTGACTGGGCTACTGAAGATGTCACTGTTGGTGGTGCCACTGTTAAGGACATGCAATTCGGTTACGCCACTAACCAAACTGTCGGCACTGGTTTATTGGGGGTTGGCTTCGAAGGTAATGAAGCCCCAGTCGCAATCAACGGTTCTAGTTTTGAATATCCAAATTTCCCAGCCCAATTAAAGGCACAAGGTATCATTGAAAAGAATGCTTACTCTTTGTATTTAAACTCCCTTGAAGCTGATTCTGGATCCATCTTGTTCGGGGCTGTTGACAAGGCTAAGTTTGACGGCGACTTGAAATATTTGGATTTGGTTAATATTGATGATGAGGGTCAAGCCACTGACTCACCAGTTGCTTTCTTTGTTGACTTGGATACTGTTTCCACTTCTTCTCAAACTTTCACTAATGGTACTACCTACCCAGCTTTGCTCGATTCTGGTACCACCTTGATCTACGCGCCAGGTGAAATTGCCACTACTTTCGGCAAGAAGTACGGCCACAAGGTTCCATTTGTTGACATGTACTTTACCTCTTGTAATACTGTGGGTGAGCCAGTTGAATTCACTTTCGGTGACAAGATCATCACTGTCCCATTCAAAGACTTGTTGTACCACTTCAACGGTAAGGCTTCCAAATCATTCTTGAACCAATGTCTCATTGGTCTTGTTCCAAACCCATCTAACTACTACATCTTGGGTGATGGTTTCTTGAGATCTGCTTATGTCAGCTACGATTTAGATGACAAGAAGGTTGGTATTGCCCAAGTTAAATACACTGATGAATCTGAAATTGAATTGATCCAATAAATTATCGGGTATCATGTCTGAACATAACACTTTACTTCTTTCGCCTTTTTCATTTCTTTTCACCACAATTGTGATCTAGTGTATCGATTACATTGGAAAATTATTTTTCATTTCTTCAGGTTTTTAATATTACTTTAATTAATTTATGAGTTTTTTGAATTTATTATAGACAATGACAAATTAAGCATTTGTAGGACTTTTAATCCATAGTATATATATTGCGGAGAAAATGAAGGGCTACAATTTTCCACTATTACTTACACATGCATGTCGCTTTATGAATTGAAGTAAATATTTGAGGGCCTGCCTTCAAGCTTCAACTTCCATTAATTCTTCATTTGCTTCAATGTATTCCGAGTTTTCAGCCGAAAAAAAAAAAATCATGGATTGTGTCTTAAATTACAAAGTATGTGTGATAATCCGCGTTTGTGAATATCTGCCGGAGAATATAAGTTAATGATAGAGTTTTTTGATATTGCAAACGACAGTATACCTTTGTCTCACATAAACATGAACCTTAAATTAAAGTCCATTCTTTTTATTTTCATTTTTGGTCTCTTTATTTCTATTGGATTGGTGATGATAAGATTTGTTTTTTGTTTTTTTCCTGTAGCCTCATCATTAGCTTTTTTTTCATGTTTTTTCTCTATGTCATTCCCTTCTAGCACCCACTTCTTCTGGATCGATGTATGTACCAGGCACAAGACTTCTGGTAGATCCACGAGGAATAACTCTTTCATTGGTAAGTTCATGGAAAACTTTTTCCGGTTGGTTCAATTTGAACAACTTGAACAAGCTCTGGGTGGCAGCCACACGGTCAAAGTAAGCTTTTTGTTGGACTTCTGTTTCTTCAGCAGTAAGCACCCACGATGGATTGTAATACTGTCTTGCCCATCTTTTCTTCATAAGATTTGTTGAAATAGTAAATACCAAAGATACCGGCACTAGCAGCAAGCAAGTAGCGGGTCCATGGATTAAGAAGATGTTGTTCTTCTGCTAGTTCTGGACCATGATGGTGGTGGCCGTGATCATCGTGATGTTCATCATGGTGTTCAGCGTGGTGGTGACCGCTGAGCATTTGAAGCATTTTGCAAATCTAATATTTGAAAAGTACCCTTTCATTTTCCCCGGGAAAAATAAACATGACTTTTTGGTTGAGTTTGATAGATACAAGGCTTCCACTCAAGTCTGTGGTGTGGTGCTATTTGATGAGTCACTAAGTAAGATCGTATTGATCCAGTCTCTGTTATGTAACTCTTGGAGGTTCCCATCCTGTACTATTAGCAAGGTTGATAATGCTTTGGAGAGTGCCATTCGCGCTTGTTTATATCAAACTGGAATTGATGTTAGTGGTTTAGTTCATGAGGATTATATAATTGAAAGAACTATACAGGGAATAACCCATATGCTTTATATGGTGAAGATTCTTCCAGAGAGAACTATTTTCTAGTCGTCTAGTGGGAATAGAGCTCGATGAGAAAATTGGAGCACAGTGGCTGAGAAATGCAAATCTGCGACTGAGGGGTTTAAGTTCTCCCTAAAGATTTATTGAAAAGTCCCCTTCGCTATTACAGAATTTACAGTTTTTTTTTTTTTTTTTTTTCATTTTATTTCAGTAAACGATTATAGCGTTAATTTCACTCAAGAAAAAGGGTAGATGATCTAGGAATGAGGTTAACAGCGTTAAGCTGTTCTTGACTTGTAGATGAAGAAGAGACATGACCCAGAAATGACAACGGAGAACACTTGAATGAGGGTATAAAGAAGTAGAGTCTTATATATTGGGATTTAATATCCAAAATAAAAGATCAAAACAATACCCGATATGCTTTTGGGTACCAGACCCTTTATCTTCGTTGCGTCTAAATCACAACAAGTATGATCATATATATTATATATATAACCTGTTGCTGCTTTTGACGATTCTGATGATTTTTACAAGATGTAATTAAACAGATTCTTTAATGCTCATTGACCATACAAAAGATACCTAACAAAAAAAAAATCTCAAAAAACAGAATCGACCTGGAAGTAATCTTCAAAGAGAGAAATAAAAAAAAAATAAGTGGGAAAAAAAAAATAAGTACATCAGTCGTTCTGTTAGTTGTTTTCTATACCATATCTCAATTTTGAACATCAATTGTTGATAATGGTATTTTCTTGACGTTATTATAATTCTTTAATGGAGAAAAATTAGGCTTATCATTACCTGGGTCACCATAGTTGAGCCTATATGTGGCAGCTGTTGGGCGATGGTACTGGTAATTACCTGATTGAGAGTTTCGGCGATTTGCCATGCTATTCAGATGATGTTTCTTGAGCTGCTGCTGATGATGATGATGTCTCTTCTTGTGCTCTTGGCCATCGCCATTGCTACGTCCATGGGATGAGTTATTATTATTATCAGAAATATCCGCATCCTCCCCTTTGTCATAGTCGGGCCAAGTATTATCGATCGGCTTAGATTCTGAATCAAAATTATGAGGCATGGAGGAAGACAAAGTCAAAGTCGAGCTCGAATCGGTCCTGCTCAACCCTGCTTTAACTGCATCATCAAATTCCCTTTGATTGTTATCGTAGCTTGATAAAACTTTAGGTTTAGCAACTTTTCGATCATTGAAACTTTTACGCCTTCTATATTTCGAGGCATCGTAATCTGGTCGATGATGCGGTGGCACATACGCTTTTGCATTAGAAATGGTCGGGGCTTGCAGTGATTTGACACTCGTAGATACACTCGACAGATTACTATCAGAGCTTTGTAATTGGGCATTACCCAACAGGCTTGAGTCACCATCTCTTTGGGCCATGGATACATCAAAAAATGATACACCAGTCGTACCTGAACCTGCAATAGATGTATTTGAAGTAGTTAAATTTGGGGTTGTGGTTGTCGTATTTGCTTTGATAGTACCAGAGGCACCAGTGGTTGAGGTTGGGGCAGAGTCTGAGATATTCAAAGTTTTGAGATTACTGCCAAGCAGATCATCCAAATCGTCAAGTAAAACATCACGAGAAACATCTCCTGATTCAAACAGAACTTCGGCAATTGTAGAAACCTCAGACACACTGACTGATGGTAAAGAAAAGTCTCTGTTGTTCACTTGATAAACATCAGTAGTAAAAGTTTTCGCCAGATACGCCGGTGATTTCAATCTGTTCCGCAAATTAGGTGGAATGTAAATGCTACTATTAGTATTGATGGTCTTGGTATCAATTTTTGGAGCGGCGAATTTTCTGCGGGAAGCCAACGTTTTTGTTGCTTGATTGCTACCATTATCTTCCTTTTGACGTGAGACAGGATTGTTATATTTTTTCGGCTCTTTTGTCACACTAAGATGCTTAGGATCCGGATTGAGCTTAATATTAGAATTAGAAGACGAATTTCGCTGATGTCCCTTATTTCGGTGTTTGTAGGCTTTGTAGTTCCCAGCATTCTGATATCTTTTCATAGGAGGCGTGTACAAATCCATACGGTTGAACTTGTAACTATTATTATAGCTATTCAAGTTGCCTAATTTGTTAGGTGTTTGAATAGACAATGGTTGCCGATCCTGATGAATTTGGTAAGATTTGTTAATGTTTATTGGCTTGGCATTTTTCGTGGTAAAGTTAGAAGTCTCATCGTAAATGGCAACTGGTACTTGGTTGTTGATTAGCTCTTCGTCGATATCTTCATCGATATCTTCATCCTCATATTCACTTTCTTCGAATGTCAATTCTTTGAGCTTGGACAATTCTGACTTGATTGCATCCAAATCTCGGTTATCGGGATTTATGGTCAAACAGTGTCTCAACACGTTGAACAAATCTGGACTCATAGTTGGGAAAATATCAAACAAAACTTCTCTATTGGAACAAAAGTTTAAAAACATTTTATCGCTGGCGTCAGCAATATTGAAGGCATTCTTATGGAAAATAAGATTCAAAAAGCAAATACCCAAAGACCAAATATCGGCTTTTGCTGCGTCGTAATAATTGTTATCTGATTCCTCTGAACTTTCACTTGAACTAGCTCCGTTGTCAAATAGTTCTGGAGCCATATACCGTTCACTACCCACATCAAAATCAGTACAATATCTTTCAGTGGTTGCTAAACCCCAATCGCCAAGCTTGATTTGACAATCATTTGTAATAAAGATGTTTTCTGGTTTAATATCCCGATGATAAATTCCCTTTTGATGACAATATGAAATCAAGTCAATTAGTTGATGCATGACATCAAGAATTTCTTTCTTAGTCTTTGGCCCCTCATCTGCCTTGATTAAATCATAAAGATCACCCTTTTCACAGTACTCTAAAACAAGAAAAGATCCAAAATAATCAGCTAACGATGCCACATTTTGGTGTCGACCCAATTTTAAATAAATATCAATTTCTCTTTGGGCCTCATCATCAGAACTTGAGTCATCGTCTAGAGGATAAACATACTTGATCGCATATTTTTCTTTGGTAATGATGTCTTCTGCTAAATAAACAATACCATAAGACCCTTCATTTATTTTTCCTAGAGATCTGTACCGACTTCTCAATAGCGCGCCATTCTCAAAGTTAGCAGCCACCTTCTGATTTGTTGGTTCTGAGGATGAGTTCATTGGTGAATTACTCTCACTAAAGCGTCAGAATAAAGAATTTCGGATTGAAAGTATTTTTATGATGCTGAAACTTGAATGAAATTATGCTGTTAGACCGTAAGGAGCAGAATAATGAGTTTTGAGCGATTAATAACTTCACAATTCCAATAAATATAGCACTCCACTGAAAAAAAAAATGCAACATAAAACTACCGGCCGATCAGCTGTAGATGAGACGAAGGCAGAAGCAAACTGTGAGAATAAAATGTTCAGATTATTAGATATTGGAAGGATTTTCAATAAACTCCTGTTTGTATCTTTTTTTTTTTTTTCTGACTTTTTTTTTTGTTATCTTTATTATTTATAAATTTTTTTTATGTTTTGCTTCTTTTTTGATATGGCAAACTCCAAGTAGATGAAATACCAATAAATTATAAGAAGTTTCCAATTAGAACACACTAATCAATAAAAGGAAGACTCCAAGGACAACACAAATGAAACCTAAAACGTAAAACTCAATGGAAAACAAATCACCAAAAAACAAAAACTAACCAAAAACTTATTTAAAAAACAAACCAACCCAAGGTGAATAACGATATAAGCAAAACAAAAACTGAATGACGAGTTTGTACGAGGACAAATGTGATGATGCTAATGACGAGGTTATGAAATGAAACAAAATATCAAAAACAATGAAATGAGGCAGACTAACCAAAATTGTAAATATTGACAAGCAACAACAAAAATAAATCAACAAAAAAAAGTAAAATGAGATGGATGATCCAACAAAATTTAATAGGAGATACCAATTGATAAGTCAATTACTCCTGAATGGCAACACGATATACTTCAACCAGCAAACGGAATTCTCTTTGAATGCTGTAGAAAAGAATCGATACTCTTTTTTTTATTATTATTGCAGCGTAAACCACGTACAATTCTGTTGGTCTTTTGAGAATCTCTCTTAGAATGGACTTTGGAGAAGATCTTAGCCTTATCACGAAGTTCAAGAAAGAGATTAGCCTTTCTTAGAATCTTTTAAACCAGTTTTAAAAAGATGATAGCTTTAAGAAATATCACCAAAGCCTGACTGCAAAGAAAAAGAGAAAAAAAAAAAGGGAACAAAAGTACTGTGATTAGCTACCACTTAACAAATAAGAGGATTTGTTGAAGTGTGATGAGCCACTATTTTTTTTTTCTTTAAAAAAATAACAAAAGCTTTCTCTTTTCTTTTCCCTGCTCAGATAAAAGGAAAAGACCTTGTACACAAATATCAACAGGCTGGTTATTACCCAACAAGTTCTCAGCTAAGTAAAACCACAACAAATTGTCTATTTGCCACTTCAAGTACTCGCGCACTTTTATTTTGTTCAATGAAGAGCAAATAACCAAAGGAGAAGAGCTCAGGTGATAGTGGTCGAAAGGCAATTAGATAAAGAAGCAAGTAACCTTTGTTGTCAGTCCCACCGACAATCATCACCCGTAAAGGGATGACTTTGGATTTTCTTCTTTGTCTCATCGCCAACCCTGACAACCATGCACGTGACCGTTGCTCAGATTTGCGTATACGGAAGCACCTAGAAGTTGTCTGAACGACACAGTGCTGAGCTTACATTTTGCTCATCTGGAATGTGTATATATAATAATTATAGATACATGGAAAATTCTGATCGTTTATTTCCAATCACATAATGCCATTTCTTTTACTCATCATCAGTCTCTACCAACATTGATGATCTTAGTAACCCTGCGCTTTCAATGGTTTCATTCAATTTATCAATTAAATTAACCCTTTGACTACTTATGGTGAATACCTTATCTTTTACCTGATCATAATTAAATTTAAGAACTTCGTAAATGACCCTAACCTTGTCTGTAACTTTGAAGGATCTTACAACTCTCGATCCATCACCAAAACGGAATTGAATTCTAGTGGTACCCGGAGAGCCAGTTGGAGGCTCAGGATGATCAATCGCCAAAATGGTTGCAAAAACTTCTTCTGGAGTCAACCCTTCTTCTTCCACTTCCTCTACTCCATGCTCGTCCTCATTTTCTTGATTTGATGGTTCAACTCTGGTTTTTGATTCACCATTTATAGATGGACCACTGGTATATTCTTCTTCTTGTTCTTGTTCTTCTTCATCCTCTTCATCCTCTTCAAACTCCGGTTCCAGACCCTCGTCATCTGAGTCCAAACTGATTGGATTGAAGTAGTTGTTCACTTCATGAACGTCATTGACATCTTCATCACTATTGGAATTCATGGACTTTCTCATCGCCAATTGTAGTTGCTGTTCCTCCGTTAGTGAGTTTGGATCAACTTTCTTCTTGTGAGTGATGGCTGGATTCTTGTGGCCTGGGTGCAAAGAATATCTATCTGAAAAGTCGTGTACTTCTTCAAGCCATTTCTGTTTATTTGGCACTTCACTCCACATTTTATATCTTTCACCTGAAAATGGATCGAGAATTGCAATATATGGGTACTCTTCAACATTGTTAAATTGAATATATTCCTGTACTGGATAATCAGTATACTGGTATTGCAAAAAAATAAAACTTGTGGTAACAACATCTTTTACTTGTGCGTCTGACCAAAAATCTCTGTTTAGTAATTGACAAGAGAAATTCGACGCATCTTGGATATTTAACAAAATCCATTTTTTTTCTAGTCTACCTTTCTGTCTTGCTCCATCTAACGTGAGCTTCTCGATCAAATCGAACGGAGGACGAAATAACTTTGCCAACCTCTTTTGGTGTTCTGTTAATGTGCTATTTTCACTTTCAAATTGTTGATCATAAAGATTTGCCCCATTATCATCATCCTGGTCATCTTCCTCTAGCATATCTGTTTCGTACTGGTTGAAAATTCCTCGTTCAGAAAACGGCAACGGAGCACGACGATGATGATGTGTTGGGAATCCAGTACCACCCATGCCAAAATCATCTTCTACTAATCTTTCTCTGACCATTTCATCTGGAGGACGAATATCATCCCCCTGCTGATACTGTTCGCTTTGTAATCTACTTGCCAACTCTTCATCGTTTTCAACGCTTTGCCCATTATTGTTGTTGTTGCTCCCACTTGCTCCAATTGCAGTCCCGCCACTCTCAAAGAAAAAAGTTATCGCACTTTCTAGATCACCACCACTGAACTCAAGGTATTTCACAGCAGTCTCTGTATCAGAGTTTGTGATTGCCACAAAATTACTAACTTGACTGGAATTCATTATAACCACAGAATAAAATAAAATAAAAATAAAGAACCAGCAAAACTAATTCAATCAGTACAATATCAGCTCGGCTACCAAAAATCTAAAAAAGTTATATCTCTTTATCTTTAACAAAACAATCTGATTTATCTTTCTACTATCTCAATGTCTTGATTTCGCCAAGGATATATCTAGCAAGACCCCTTGATTAATTTCAATTTTGTGGCAAAATCAGGGACCTACCTCACAATAACTGGTGAACACGAAATATTAACGAGAAGGAAAAAAAATATAAGACCAATTGCGCAAACCTGGAAATGATGCGGGAATGCAAATATTTATCTGCTGTTATTCTTATGAGAATTACCTAGAGCTCTTTACAATTAGTTATCTAAGATCGCCTTCAATTAGGTTGTGATGAAAACAGAAAGATTTCTCTGACGAAAAGTAGGGTTATGAACCATAATGGTGGGTCATTCCTTGGGGAAGGTTCCCATATGTATCAAACCATCGGATCGTATTAGTTAGTGGTCGAACTTTCATTAATATATGAAGAAAAAGGGAATTTTTTTTTTTTTTTTTTGAATTACAAAAGACTAATTATTTCAAGGAATTAATTCCATTCTGTAGAATACATTATAAATAGAGTACAAGTTCTAGAAAGTTGCGGATCATATGACGAATATGATTCCTCTGTCAAATTGAAGCAAAATAGAAATCAACTTTCTCTTCTTAGCTTTTTCATCCCCGTTGGTTCATTCTCAAAAATAGACAGCGAACTTCGTTTAACCGTTCTAAAATCCAGAACTTCGTTTCGTTGGATATCATCAGAACTCAACAAGCCCGCAATACTTGAAACTCGAGCCTGATTTTTTGGTTCGTTGATTCTCTTTAAAACATCATCCAAAAATCTTGAATGTTTACTCCGAGTCATCTTTTTATCTTGTGCCATTAATTTTAATTTAAATAAGTCTTCATAAACATCTTCCGTAGTTGCTGGTTTCAACATGGCTCCACTGTTGGCAGCAGCAGCAGTCGTGGAAGACAATAGTACAGAGTCATCGTCCTTCTGCTGTTTAATTTTGGAGATTCGCTGATTATAAGATCTGTAAGACTCGGCTTGAGTTGCATAATATTGCTCATCCTCCAAAAAGCTTTTTCTAATTGGTACTATTGGGTTCCCGTCATTTTCTGGGGAAAAGCTATGGCTCATTTGCTTCTCACGGGCTAGGGTATTCAGCTGTTGTTCATATGATGTCAAGTTATATAATTCCTCCTCTAATCTACCCAATTCGTCTTTTATTTCTTCGGTGGCGTCTGATTTCGCAGAGAGTGTATCTTGAAAATACTGTCCCCAAATGATCTTGCTGTTGTTGAATTTCTGTGATTCGATATTGTGGAAATCATAAGCGTATCGATCATGGAAAATTTTAAGCTTTTTTATGTGCGGATCAAGAGTTTTTTGGAACCATGGTTTGAATATTGGAAACTGAGCACGTTCAAAAAGCGGTACATCCAACGATACAAATTTGGAACGGTGAGCGCTAGTTAGATCGGTCGATACTTCATTTTGATAGGTGATATCACGCCCTGGGGTTATTTTATCAAGATAGGCATCAAATTCTTGTTTTTGAGTAGTTAGCTCAGATTTAAGATTTGAAATCATTGATATATAACCCTGGGCCCTTTGAATCTTCGATCGATTGAGCTCATGTGATAGATGGGCGAAATTAGCTGAAACATTATCCAGTAATTTTCGGAATTCATCAATATTGTTTATGGATTCAAGTTTCTTCAATAGATCACTATCAAAATCACCAGTAGTACCATCATCATCATCCTCATCATCCTCATCATCATAATTCATCATGCTTTGTGAATCACCTTCAATCTTTATATTTTGCTGCTCCATTATACCAAGTTGAATAGTGTCTCCATACATTTCACTTTCTTGTTTATCAGATTCCTTACGCAAAGAGTTATCTAACTCATTGATTTCCACTAGTCCGGTAGGGTCTTCCAACGACAGCATATTGGACACTGTAGGCTGCAGTTTTCCGTATTCTTTTTCTTGTCCTTCTTCTTTTTCTTGCTGATAATTCACAGGGGGAGCGCGGGAGCGTTTGGGTCTGTCTGGTGTTGTGCTCATTAGCGGGATATTATTGTTCATATGTATAAAGAAGCTATACTGAAACCCACACTTCAAAAAAAAAAGATGAAATTTGGAATCACAGACTTATATCAATAGAGAAACTGACCAGATTGGTACGCGGAGCAAGGGAAAAAAAAAGAAGAAAGAAAAGAAGCTACCTATGATATCCAGAACAATATATTTCGCTGACCAAGCTGGACTACACTACAGACCCTCAACAAAAAAGCCTGTTTATGTTAATGTGCCGAGAGGACCAGTGCTTGTTTCGCACGTGCCTGTAAACGTGACTGATATATCGCTTTGCGCACCGCAGGGGCAGAAATTTTTTTTTTTTTTCTTTCTCTCTCTTTAACATGAAAAGAAAAAAAGTATTGGTTATTTGTTGATAGGGTTGCAAAGTTTTCAATCACCCCAGGATTTCTGAGATAAACCTATTGGAAAAAAGAAACTGTTTCTTTATTTGCAGAGTACCCGAAAAATGGATTCTTCCGAGCTAAGTTCCCTAGTCACAAATCTCGAGTCGAAATTGGACTCTGTCCTGCCGCTCATGAAAAATCTCACCTCCTCATCGCTAACAGAACGCCTTACTCGTGCTGGGTCTCCTCAAGAAAGTGTGGAAATAGCAAACTCCTATTCTGCCATTCTTTGCTCACTACTTGAAACTTATATGAATTTATTGGGGATCAATCCAGAAAGCCACGAAATTGCCAGTGAAGTGGAAAGAATAAAAAGATATGCGTCGAAACTCAACAAGTTTTTAGGTAAGGAAGAAAAGCAAGCTTCGGTGGAGTCAAATGTTGCTAAAAGATTGATCAGTGCTGCCGTTGGCAAACTGAGCAGCATTAGTACTGATAACAAGGTGATCAAATCGGATGGTAAAGGTGTCACAGGAAATGCTACGCTGAGGAAACCTACAAAGAGTAGTAAATCACAGCATAAGTCGAAAAAGAATTCTGGAGAGAAAAGTCAGAATGGTAGAGTTTCCAAACCGGATAAGCCAAAGAAAAAAAAGAAGAGTAAATCCCAATCACAGGGAAATTGAAATATTAAAAGCATAGTCAAATGAACTGACTTTGTGATTCTATTTTCAAAAATTATGAACAGAATAAATAAAGGTTGTTGAATCTTGTGTTGTTTTGATCCATGCACAATTTTCCATTTCTTTTAATTTACTCTGAGATTTTCATCTTTTATATATTTCTTTCTTATTTGTATTATACTATATTTCTGGCCCTCATTTGCTATTTAAATCTATGCATCACTTTTAGACGAACGCACATTGTATTGTAACTTATTTGTGAATTTGTTTGGACGTACTACTATAACTGACCAATTTCATTAAAAATTTAAAATTATTATCGCACAGATGATAAAATAACCATAAATATAATATAGAGAACTATAATAATACGATAAATTTTGTTCTGGAAAAAAAAAGAAAAAAAAAAAAGGTTCAAGACAATTTTACCATAAATAGGATTTGTGACCATAATTTGGGACAATACCCAAGCCTTGAACACCTCATGATTGATCAGCCTCAATTAATAATAAGACAGATTCTCAAAAATGGGCCATGCAGTCGCCTAGCTTTTGTGGAGAGAAAAAAAAAAAAAAAAAAAAACAATCGCAGCACTGTTTTGTTTTAATTAAACCTTTCTCTTTGACAATTTTTCTAGTTGTGAATTTTCCCTGTTATCGTTATATAGATGAGCATCAATATATTTACATGGGTATTCCTGCTCCACTGGTTCCCAAAAGCAGATATTCCAATTGTTCCAAATGTTCCTGCATTATGGCTGGCTCTAATGTATCACTTATATTCACATCTAAATTTGAGGCATTAGGATCCTTGGTTATGATTCCGGAAGAGCTGGTTCCAATGAGTTCTGGAATAGCGAAATTGACACCACCAATGTCTGAGAATTGGCCGGCTGTAACAGGTGGCACTTCTACTTGACCTTGAAAACCTGTAGGTAGTGTATGAGCGGCGGCATCATAGTTATGTGGTAGCATATTGAAATTATTTAGCACCATTGGGGCATTGAAAGGGAGTACTCCGTGCTGTTGTTTAATTAACAGTTCTTGTTGCATCGCCAAAAACTGTTGTTGAGCTAGTAGCTGCTTATTTTGAAGCCGTTGCTCCTCCCATCTTCTCACACTTAGTTCACTAATACCTTCTTGACTCAACTTCGGAATTGTGTATTCACTAATTGTTGTTTCTTGGGTCATATGGTATTCCATAACTTCGAATTTCATTATTTCTTCCCATTTCTCGACCGGTAAATCTTCCTCGTTGAAACTCCAATCGAATTTCACGTTAGCCAGTGGCTCATCGTCTGTGTCATGGAAAAATTCTAGATATGGGTGTTCCAAGGAGGCTTCAGCATCCACTCTTGCAATTGGGTCGAATAATAACATCTTTGAGAGCAAGTCGATTGCATCAACATCGGGGAAATTCAAGAACCTTGAAGGCAATGGGATTGCGGGACGATAAGGTAAGGATAATACAAAGTCAAGGGTGGTTTTTGAAGTGATGGATTCAATAAGCTCTCTTGGAGGGGTTCCTAATAACTCGGTGATGATGGAAAACTGGTGGACATGATCAGTACCGGGGAATAATGGTTTGTTATCGATCATTTCTGCCAAGATGCATGCAGTGGACCAAATATCGACTTTTTTATCGTATTTTTGCCAGGTCAACATGATCTCGGGGGCTCGATAATATCGCGTGGCAACGTAACCTGTCATTTGAGGGTCTTGGACTCTGGCCAATCCGAAATCGCAGATCTTTAGATCACAACGATCGTTAATGAGAATATTCGATGGTTTTAAATCACGGTGAATGACTCCTGATGAATGGACATATTTGAGACCTCTTAATATTTGATAGGTGAAATATTTGATGAATTGTGGTTGTAAAGGACGAGATTTAAGTAGTCTGTGAAGGTCAGTTCCTTGAAGTTCGGTGACAAAATACATATCGTTGCTGGGAGAAACGAAGATGTCATCCAAAGATATTAGATTCTCGTGATGTAAATGTTTGAGTAATTTTAATTCACGATAGGTTCTTTTGGAGAGGGTTGTTGTAGCAAAAGGGTTATGGATCTTTTTAACGGCAACTTTAGTGCTGTTAGTGGTATCATCGGCAGCACATACCAACCCATAAGCACCCATGCCCACAGGTACCAAAGAAGTGTAACGATGAGTTACTTGGAAACAAGTACCGAATATCTGGTGGTCATTAAAATCATTATGAGCAACAGAGTAGTTCATTGCTGTAAATATTATAGATATGATGGTGGTGAATTATATTGGTGAATCGTGTGAATAGGAAAAAAAAAAAAAAAAAAAAAAAAAAAAAAAAAAAAAAAAAAGAAAAAAAAAAATAGATACAAAAAAAAAATGTATAAGTGAAGGGTGAAGGGAGCGTAGTGACGTAAGAGGGTTTGATTTTCCAGAGGGATTGATCACCAAGAACTGACTGAGGCAAGGCTTGTGGATGGGAAATACGGTACAAGAGAAAGTGGATCAAGAGTGGTGATAGAGGGAAGAGAAGAGAAGAGTAGTGAAAAAAAAATAATAATAATAATAATAATAATACAATCCCTACATTGACAAAAACGAGGAAAATACCAACAACACCATTTTTGTATACTGGCAGAAGATGCAAACTAGTGGAGAGGGTGCGCTGCAGGGAAAAAAATAGAAGATAGAAGAACTTTGGGAAGAGTGGAGAAACTGATAGGGAATATAATGTAAAATATGTGGAATATAATGTGGTTTTAAATGGTGTGTATCTTCGATACACTATTTGTGATTATATTTTGATAACACCAGCCCAGTGCAATTAGCGTGCTTACTATTTTTAGTACGGGGGAGTTGGAGGTGTGTTGTTAGTGCTGCCATGTGATATGTCACATGACAGTTTGAGGGCTGGGCTTTGTGGGTTTGTGTGTACGGGTGTACTGGGGTACGGGTGTACGGGTTTTTTTCAGAGGGGAGGCACTACTGAAGGAGGTGCTGCACCCTCCCCCGACTAATTGAATACGGAGGGTTTTGGGGGGGCACAGCGTCTGTCAAATGATTTCCCAAGCACAGACAGACAAGCAAAAGGAGAACAAGAAGGCTACTTCTAGCGGGAAAAAAAAAAAAAAAAAAATTATTTGGTGATGGCACACTGCAGAACAAGAGACGTTAATAATAATATTACTACCATTACCACTACCACTACCGCTGCCTTACATTAATTGCTATCACTAGACATCATAGACACCGGCTATCTCCCCATAGATTGGCCCCTCAGCACCACTAGTTTTCTTCTCTTTCTCTCTTTGGCATTTTTTTTTTTTTAACCTTGCCCCCTTATTAGATTTATATTCCATACATTATTATTATAGCAAACCAACTTTTACATCCTCCTCTAATACACCAGGCATGGAACAATAGACTAAACAGAACAAAACAGAACAAAACAAAAAAAGCTAGACAGAAAATACAAAATTCAGTTGAGAAATAGCCCGAGTGATCGCTTACCGATATTTTTTTGCTCGGCAGTTTTTTATTTCTATTTTTTTTTTTCCGCTAGGTCCTGGAATTTTTTCCACAACATCCATCAGATCAAATCAATCATGGCTCTTACAAATAAGGTTCGGGGATATTGGACACTAATATTGGCACATGTTTTTTGTTGCTTTATTTTAATAGCTTCAGGCGTTCAAGCTAGCACCGATGGTCTCAACCAATATCAAAACGATCAATTTGAAAGCCTACATTCACAGCAGCAGCAGCAGCATCAGCAGCAGCCTACGGAAAAAGAACGTAATTTCAGAGTGGGCCAAAACAACCAGGTGTTTCTCAGTAGTAACAAGGATGTTAATGAATTGCAGCTTACAAACCTAATAATTGTGTCTCAAGTAGATGGCTCATTAACCGGAATCAATCGCCAGACTGGTGAGATCATTTGGAATTTGGATTTGGGTCCAGTAATACACTCATCGTCAACAAAACTCATGAGCAGTAACCTCATCAATAATGACCGCTCCAACACCGGATCAACAAATAATGAAGATGACACAGAAAGTGGTGAATATGATAACTATGAAGAGTTTTGGGCCGTCGAACCTTATGGGGAAGGCTCGTTATATTTTTTCACCAAAGAATCCGGTCTTAATAAGGTACCATTCTCAGTTGGTGACTTGGTCATGGCATCACCTTTCTCAGTTGATAACGATGACAAAGTTTTCACCGGAACAAGGAAGAGCAGTATGGTGTATGCAAATGTGAAAACTGGAGAACTAGTAGATAATATCGCTCCTAGATGTTGCCAGAATTCTGGGTTAACTGCGGTAATATCAAAATCAGCGAAAACTAAAGTCTCACAAACAGAAGGAGTTACTCCAGAACAACAACAAAATGAAAATGATGACAAGGACTCCTTTATTTGTCTTGATGAATGTGATAATTTCATTGCCATTGGTCGCACAGATTATGAGCTTCTAATCACTTCGAAATCAGACAATCGCTTATGGGAAATTTCGTACTCACATTATGGAGAAAATAACTTGTACAAGGACTTGAAACTTCAAAATTTAAATTCCCATGACGTTGATGGTTCATTGGTTTTCCCATTTCAAGAAAAGTCGCTACTCAGCATTGATGTTGATCTGAGTATTCCAAAATGGGTGGCGAAATTAAACTCCACCTGTATAAATGTCTTTGATGTTTACACCGACATATCAATATCTTCAAATGGCAATGCTGATCATGAAGCAAGTCCCAATAGCAAATTTGTTCTAGTTTCTCATCCGATAAAGCCGCCCCAACAAAGCTCTAGAGATTCCGGATCTTCTCAATACTTCGATAATGATAAAGAACCCATCGATCATGGAACCTATTTGGGGTTGCTTAATAGTTCTTCGTGGTTTGCTATGTCGAGTCAAAATTATCCGTCGTTGGTAAAATCCTCGTCATTAGCAAAGTTTTATAATAATCAAGAGACCAATTCTTCTGAAAACGGTGATAAAAAGGTGGCAATGGATACCTTTATCAAATCAGTTATTGGAGTTCACAATCGTCCGCAAAATCCTAATCGATCAGTATCCACCACTATCGTCTACGATAGCAAAGATAAGAAGAAGCCAGGAAATAATGGGCCAGGTGGTGTGAAATTCCCTTCCTTGGTACAAGGTGGGGGCAGGTCTCCAAAATCAACCGGTAACAAATTTCATAATAATGGTTACAACTCTCTTCCAGAATCAGATAATCGCTCCTGGAAAAGGGGAATTCCTACCATTGATCCTCCTAATTATTCAGAATCATCGTCTGTTTCCAAGAGTTCTTCCGTTTTCAAACTTATGGTCAGGCTATTTGAAAATTCAATATTCACTGCGGTATTGTTAATCTTGACTTATTATTCTTCCAGGGCGGGTTTAATCCCTCCATTAATAACCATCATGTACAATTTGGGTTTCATGAAGCGTACTCATAGAGCGGTAGAGTTTGCTGAAAGAATTATGGCTGATACTGAAATCAGTATCATGAAGGATGACAATAATGCAAAGAAAAGTAATCATGATGCGATTAATAAAGATGATGGGAAATCGAAAACCCCCGAAATTACTGATAAAGTTAACCATGAGAATCTGACAATTGGTGAGGCGGTTACTGAGACCTCCTCTAAAGAATCATATGTCGAGTCTTCTATGGATGCAGGCGCCAATGCGGTTGATTTTGCTAATCTGCTTGGAAATAGTATCATCAATGAATCGGATATTTCTTTATTCCTTGATAAAAAAAATCAGGAGAGAAAGACTAAAGGCAATGATTTGGAAGAATCATTGAGGCTTCAGTTGGGGATTTCTTACGATGTCGATATCGATATTCAAATGATTAAGGAGAAATTAATTCAAGAAATCAAAGACGCTAGAAGTCAAAATGAAGAGACTAAATTGACCACTGTCTATGAAGATGATAACGTAGATTCTGTTGAAGCTCTTAATAATATTGGTGATGGAAAGAAAGTTGTGAGTCAAACAGTTTTCAGTAACGCGCAGCAAGAAGATGATGAGTCAGTGGGAAATGAAGATCAAAATTATGAATCCCACGATGAATTGGTGAATGACGAAAAGCCATATACTGCAAAGAAGGTGATGATTGATAAAAATTCTGCTCACCATGAATCTGCCACTGCTGATAGCCCTAATTTGGGAGATCAGGCCAATACAGCTAATGCGAATGGGAAACTGATCAAGAAGCGTAAAAGAGGAAGTCGTGGAGGCAAAGGGAAAAAGAAATCTAACCTCAAACAGCAACAACAACAACAACAACAACAGCAGCTACAAGAAGATGTTTTGGATAACCAAGAGTTACCTCCATCTAACCTTGATGAGGAAATAATCTATGGTAATGATGTTGAGCTTGTGGTGACCCAAAAAAATCGTAACGAACTTGGTAAATCACGTCTTGTGATTTCTGATGATATTTTGGGTTATGGATCTCATGGCACTGTGGTTTATAAGGGTACGTTCGAGAATCGTCCCGTAGCTGTCAAGAGAATGCTAATTGACTTCTATGATGTGGCGTCTCATGAAGTGACGTTATTACAAGAAAGTGATGACCATCCAAATGTCATTCGATACTTTTGCTCCAGACAAAGTGACCGTTTTTTGTATATTGCTTTAGAATTGTGCTCGGCTAACTTGGAAGATTTGGTGGAAAAGAAGGGAAGTAGTTTGGATTTGACTAATGGGAAGCTCCGCGCTGAATTACCTGGTGGTGTTACTGCCAGCTCCTCTGCGGTAAAAGACGTGTCGATGGTTATCCAAAACTTCAAGCACAGGATTATTGATGAAGAGTTGCTATTCAAGAATTTCCAGGATATTTTGTACCAAATGACCAGTGGGTTACATCATTTGCATAAACTTCACATTGTCCATCGTGATATTAAACCACAAAACATTCTTGTTACTCCTTCCAAGACCCGTGATTTACGGGTGCTTATATCTGATTTTGGTCTTTGTAAAAAATTGGAACCTGACCAATCGTCTTTCAGAGGCACTACCGCTCTGGGGACTTCTGGATGGAGAGCTCCAGAATTGTTGATGTCTGAAATGAATAACTCTAAAATTAGTAAGATGGTGGATGTCTTTAGTTTAGGTTTGGTATTTTACTATGTGTTATCTGCTGGTCAACATCCTTTCGGTGACAGGTATAGTCGGGAGTCCAACATTTTACAAAATAAGTACGACTTGTCTGGTATCAGATTTACCAACGGTTATAAACTGGTGGGGGCTGAAGCCAAAGATTTGATCTCTAAAATGCTAGAATCTAATCCGAAGAAAAGATTGACTGCGGAAGAGGTTTTAAAGCATCCGTTTTTCTGGTCCAATGACAAGAAGGTTGAGTTTTTATTGAAGGTTTCTGATAAGTTGAACATTGTTGCGCGTGACGCGCCATTAATTCACGAATTTGAATCAGGTTCCGAGACCGTATTCAATGGATCCAGTGAGTGGAAATCTCAATTTGATGAAGCTTTCTTTGCAAACATTAATACTTTCAGAAAATATGACTCCACCAAAGTAATGGATTTATTAAGAGTCATCAGAAATAAATATCATCATATCAATGAAATCCCACCAGAGTTTGCTATCACCGAAGAAAACTTCTTGCAGTACTTTGGCGGTATGTTCCCTCAATTGTTGATCTACTGTTACTATTTCATTGAACTGAATATGAGATCTGACTTCGAGAGTTTTTACAATTGATGTTTCTTGGAGAAAACAAATAAAAAAAATAAAATTCTTCTTCATAATGCTTGTTGTGCGATGTTATAATTCATTGATATATTACCATTTGCATTGGGCATTATTTTTATTATTATACTTTGGTTTCTTTTTTATTTTCATTTTTTTATTTTAATTTTGTTTTTTTTTTGTTTTTTTTTCTCTGTCATGATTATGTTTTTCTTTTTCCTTTTTTATTTGCTATGGTTTTAATTTTTGTGTTCTTCTCTTTAAGGAAATGGTGATGGTGTTTACTTCCGAAAAAAAAAAAAAATCTTTATTTTATAAATTGTTTTAATTTTTTTTTATGTTATCTTTCCAACTTTTTTTTTCTTTATGTGTGTCTTTTTGTTGGTCTTTAATTGTTTACTTCTTGTACTTTATTATATGGCTACCTTGATCTTATTTCTTGATCAAGATAGCATTGTTTTCAGCATTCGCATCAAATTGTCAAATATTGGCAACACTTACTTGCATGATAACTTTGTTTTAATTTTGATTTTCCTTTTTTTTTTTTTTTTTTAATAACCTGAATCTTAGTCATGGCCCTATTTAAACTTATTTTAATTTACTAGATATATTCTGAGATTTCTTTTCAATATTCCATTCAAAAAAAAAAAAAAAACATGTGTATATGTATATATGTACTGCTAATTACTGGCTCTTCAAGAATGAATAATTGGTTTTCATTTCACGAAAACAAGAAACGGGACAGTAAGCTAATCATGGCGAGCGAAATAGGGAAGCTTATATCTATGGTGCTTCTCCAATCAACAGTTTGTGAAAAGCTGAAGCAGAAGATGACGTTTTGAGATGAATGCTAATATCTCTTTCAGAACGTGACTTGTCACGGGCGGAAAAAGGTGTGTTTACCCAAGAAAAGCTCATCACCAATTTTTTTTGATGATGGGCATCCCTTTTTTGTTAAGAGTAGAAATATTCTAGGATTATTTTCTTTTATTCCCTTTTTTTATTTTAATAAACCTACTCAGATGCTTATAATATTCAAAGATGCTGTATAACATTGCCATGATATCAGATTTCTTCTACCCTCAGCCTGGAGGGGTGGAACTACATGTTTATCATTTATCACAAAAATTGATCCAGCTTGGCCATTCGGTGGTGATCATTACCCACGACTACGGTTCTAGAACCGGGGTTAGAACCTTGACTAATGGATTGAAAGTCTACTATGTTCCATTTTTTGTACTATATCGAGAATCTACTTTCCCAACAGTGTTTTCGGCCTTTCCAATATTACGAAACATTTTTATACGAGAAAACATTGAAATTGTCCATGGACATGGGTCATTGAGTTCACTTTGCCATGAGGCGATCTTCCACGCGCGAACCATGGGGATGAAAACCTGTTTCACCGATCATTCATTGTTTGGGTTCAGTGATGCCGGGTCGATTTTGGGTAATAAAGTATTGAAGTTCACCTTGGCCGACGTGGGACATGTCATTTGTGTTTCCCACACCTGTAAAGAAAACACGGTACTCCGGGCATCAATTGATCCACTTGCGGTATCAGTGATTCCCAATGCTGTGGTTTCTGAAGATTTCAAACCGAGCGCCAAACAATTGAACCCCAAAAGACACCAGACGTTAGATAAGATCACGATCGTGGTGATTTCGCGACTTTTCCCCAACAAGGGCGCGGATCTCTTGAATGCCATTATTCCTTCGATCTGTGCGAAAAATAAGAAAGTCGAGTTTATCATTGCTGGGGACGGCCCACGTTTCATTGATTTAGACCAAATGATTGAGAACCATCGATTACAAGATCGGGTGAAGTTGATTGGGAGTATCAAGCATGAAGAGGTCCGGGATATCATGATCCAGGGCGATATTTACTTACACGCTTCGTTGACCGAGGCGTTTGGTACGGTGCTCGTTGAGGCAGCGAGTTGTGGATTGTTGGTGGTCACGACAAGGGTCGGGGGAATTCCGGAGGTGCTTCCTAGCCATATGACGGTATTTGCTAACCCATCAGTAGAATCGTTGACGAAAAATACCTTAAATGCCATCCATACAATCGAGACCGGTAAGGTCGATACCTCGAAGTTCCACGATGAGATTAGCAGGCTCTACGATTGGATGGATGTTGCCAAGCGGACAGAAAATGTGTACAATCATCTAGATTTGGCTAAGCTAAATAAGCCATTGGTCAGAAGATTGAAGAAATTCTACGTTAAAGGTCCTTGGGCCGGTAAATTGTATGTTCTTTGTGTGGTGGTGGATATCTTCATTTACTGGTTTTTGGAGTTCTGGTTTCCAAGACAGAATATTGATAGAGTTAGAAAATGGCCCAAGAAGCCGGGCCAGAAACCTCTTGTGGCGTAGAGGGAAGAGGAGGAGGAGGAGTAGTAGTAGAATTAAATTGCATTTTTCTGTTCATGGTATAGTCTTTTCATTATTGTATAAATAGTCTGTATTATAATGCTTATATGTTGGTAGTATGTGTCTTATGTGTCTTACCCTGCTCAACGCCAAATAAACACGAAAAAAAAAAAAAAAAGTTCCACAGGCGCGCGCGCGTAGATCGATGATCAGCATTTTTGTGTTTTTAATCCTGTATAATTGATCAATTAGTGGTTTCTGGCCTTTATTTGAAAGAATATTTAGAAAAGAAAAAATCACCATTATTCCGATATCATTTTTATCTAGAAGAATCATTTATTGGTGAACTGCTGCAAACTGAACCATTGATCGAGAGAGAGAGAGAGAAAAAAAGATTTCGATTGATCATTCCAAACAAAAAAAAACATCATAACCCATAAAATATTCAATTTCTTTCTAAAAAGAACAAAATGAATTCGTCACTTTTAAGAGGGTCTGGCGCCGGAGGGATCCTATCGTCGAAATCACAGAAGCCAATGATCGAATCGACATCATCAACCACAACCAATCTCGAATCGCGTCTACTAGAAGAACAGAAACAAGAAATCAGAGAAGCGTTCCATTTATTCGACATGAACAACGATGGGTACTTGGATTATCATGAGTGTAAAGTGGCAATGAGGGCTCTTGGGTTTGAGTTTACCAAGGCGGAGATTTTGTCGATAATAAAAGAATACGATTCGGATGACAATAACTTGATAAAGTACACGGATTTTTTCAACGTCATGGGGCTCAAGATCTTGGAAAGAAACCCCATTGATGAAATAAAAAGAGCTTTCAAATTGTTCGACGAAGACGGAACTGGGAAAATAAGTTTGAGGAACTTGAGAAGAATCAGCAAAGAGTTGGGAGAAAACCTCAGTGATGATGAGTTGAGAGCGATGATTAATGAATTTGATTTGGATGAGGATGGAGAAATTAATGAAGAAGAGTTCATAAAGATTTGCACCGAGAATTAGAGATTTTTTTTTATTGTTTTTAGTGGCTGTTTCTTTCTAATATTCTTTTTCTTCTTCTTTTTATATCATTTTTAGTTCTTGCGTCTTTTTCTTTTATCGGTTATATTATAATATATCTCAAGTAATGATATTTTCTTGATCTCTTTGACGATCCATCTAAGTATAATTAAACTATTTTTTTTTATTTGTTGTGTTGCTTTTTGACATTATTACTCTTTACAAATAGATTTTTTTTAACAACAATATTACATTATTCGTTTTATATGTATTATTATATACAAGCTATAACCACTTAAACCTATTGAATATTCAAGTCCTTTTTCTGCGATTCAACAAACTTCTTCACTCTACCACCAATAAAGTCCTTGACTTCAGGAGTCAATTTCTTATGACCCAAAGCTTTCTTGGCCTCAAGCTCGCTCAAGTATGCCTTCTTAGTTTCTGACAATGGCATGTCTGGAGCAGTGAACTTGTTCAAGTGTCTTTGTTCAAAAGTACCTCTCTTGTACTTGCTGTAAGGGTTTCTGATATCCTTCAAGGCATCCTTTGGAATTTGGTTATGGACAACCGAATCAACGTAATACGATCTTTCAGAGTTTGCATCTTCTCCCGAGGCCCCGGTTCTTTCCAATGGAGATTCTGGAGCTGGCCATGGCAAATACAACACTTCCCCTTTATCCTTTACCACTCTGGTAGGTAACCAGGTTTGCCATTCCTTGTTGAAATGTTTACCCAAAAACTCAAATTTGTGAACAATCACGTCCTTGTCCTTACCGGTGGCTTCGTCGTGGACTTTGGCCACAAGCTTCAAGTCCTGAGGTTTCACCCCTTCAGGAATCTCATTGACGTAACTCGTGGTACCCGGTTGCCAAAACTGCTTTGGCAATATCGTCCGATAAGTAGGACCGTCTTCTAAGATCAACGAGTTCGAGGAGTTGATGTACGATACCACTTTGGTCACCGTCCCTTTTTTCTCCCCAGTAGTGATCATCACACGATCGCCTGGGAAATATCTCCACTGTTCAAAGTCCTTGTATTCATCCTCGGATAGTACAAAGTCGTTCCTCTTGAAAAACGGAAGTCTATTGGTCTTAATTCTTTTGAGTTCATGAGGTCTAAGGAAATCATGGCTCGCTCTTTTCCAAAAACGTCTCCCGGCAACACTGACGTTCGACATTATTGTTGATTCTGTGTTTTGTTTATTTTTATGAATATATTATTATATGGGGACCACCCTATTTCCAGAACGACGACGTCTAATGATAGGTGCAATATTTAATGGCCTCTCTATATGTTGATGATATTTTTTTTTCAGTTTTAATTTTTTGTCTTCCACGGGCATTACCCGGGCGCATTGTGGGTGTGGCAGGCGGGTACCCACTACGGTTATTATAATAATACATCTACAAATGTAGTAGTATAGTAGATAATAATATATTATTATCCTCAGTTTTATTATTTTGTGTTTCTTATTATCATATCATTATTATTATTATTATTATTATTATAAGCTTTATCTATAAGTATAAATAAAAAAAAAAAAAAAAGAAAACAATTAAAAATAACATCAAAAGAAATCATTAGTTCATTAATGTCAGCTAAAATACCTTCCCTCAAGCACTTTTCCATGGAATTTCTTCAGAAGCTGGGAACAATTGTCCAAACCTATTACATCATTGAATTTCACATATCCTTGACCTGCAATCTTTAAAAAATTATCAACGGTTTGCATCACTTGTTGACCATCAACATGCTTGAAATATCCATTAATCAGCAATTCACAATAAATCTCACTCAATAAGTAATAGGCATCAGACTTCGTCATTAAATTACTGTATTGCAAAATCTGTGGCATGTAACTTTGAACCAAATCATAACTTTGCTGTAATTTCCTCATCTTGATCAAAATACTCGCCAAAATGAGAATCAATTCGTTAACTAAGGAAACTAACCCCGATTTCTGCCCTAACTTTATCATTTCATTGATCCTTGGTAAAACTCTCACCCCGTTATTATCACCCAGTGATCCAATTTTGCAGTACATGATACTAAATTTAATGTACCAATAATTACTGAATAATGATGGGATTTTTTCATTCTTTTTGATTTCTTCGCTAACAATTCTCATAGCATTATCATAATTTCCCAGCTTGTATTCAATCACCGAGTGAAGATAAATGATCTCGTTTCTAATATCTATATCGCTCCTAAGCTTTTGTTCCTCTTTAAGCTTCAACAATTGATACTTGGCCCCTGCTAAATCGTTACCATGAATCAATTTCTTTACCGCCAACGCCGATCTGATTACTTCTGTTGTTTGGTCCATCATTTCATTAGTTGTGTCCGAACCTTCGATGATGTTTTTAACTCTTGACATTTCCCCATTTTCATATTCTAGCCATGCTAGCCTGTAGTTTATATTTCCAATATTATGTTGCGATTTACTGGCATCCATGGCAATCGATACGAATAGCTCCGCTAATTCACAAACACCAGTTCTTGACCATAATGATGATTGCAATAGACAGTTTATTATGAAAGAGCCATTATCATAATCATCATTGAGCGCCAAATATTCAGACTTAATTATTGCCTCCAAGATTTTGCTTAATGGCCCACCATCCAAGATAATTTGCGTTGCCTCCATTTCATAAGCCTTGGAATTGAGGTCAGTCTCGGTCATATTATCGATATTATCAGAATTTTGAGTATTAGTTTTATTCTTTAGAAATCCTAGTAATTGTTCATTCGATTCGAAAAAATCATGTTTCAATTCTGGGCGGTTCTTCAAGAAATTAAATAACCAAGAAAGCAAATAATTCAAACACCCATTGTCATTGTTTTCTCTGGCTACTAGGATTGCTTCTTTAATTGCTTCCAATGCTTGTTGATTGGAATTGAATTTGGCGTGCAAAGTTGCCAAGCTCAAAAGAGCATATTGGTAATAACTCTGTGAACTATTCGACATCATATAATCAAAATAACCATGCAAGTACTTGAAGGCCCCCTCATAATCACCGGTATTAATCGATTCCAAATACATTAAATAATAGGATGATGGGAAGACATTATTGCCTTGTTTTGCCACCAATTCTAAAGTTTCTCGCAAAGAATCAGTGGTAGGGGTGCCAAACGATTCCAATAGTCTAATCTGCTTGGATACCGCCCGCTGTAAGTCGATACCAGACACAACCTTCAAATTTTCTAATGAGCTCAAAGGACTCACTCCAGGAATGTCTGCGAAGAAAGTGTTTTTTTTAATTCTTTGGATAAGTAGGTTCAACTGGGGATCCTCTCCAAAATTGTGGTTGTCATTATCATCGGACTTTCCAACAAATGTTGTCAACGAAGATCCAAAGGCATTATTATTACTTTTATTATAGCTTTGAAATAGTTTTAGACTGGGCTGTCTATATTCGACAAAACAATGCCAAAAGTTTTGAGTTTCCTTGAATTCTAATGACTCGAGATCTTTGATACAACTCAACACAAATTTCCCAAGGAAACTTCGTTTTGTTAATAGTTTCTTGAGCAATATATCTTTAGGAAAATCTGCCAAAAGTTCTTTCCCTTCAGCAGCAGTATTTACCAATAGCGAATTCGATTTGGTAATGAATTGGTGCAAGTCATCTAAGTTCTTCATTGACCAGATGGCGTTCAAAAGTCGTGATTGAATGGTATCGAATTCATCGGCTATTTGTTTATTATCTTCGGAGTTTTTCTGCGAATTGTTGTCATAATTCCCCATTACTGCTTTTCTGATCATCTCTAGTAACTCTAGCACTGGAATATCCACCGAAATAGGTTCATCATCGACGAGTGGGTGTTGTTCGATGATCTTCACCATCAACGCCAATAACGAAGCATTACTTTTTTTGGGAAGGATCCCCAAGCAATACGCCGCAACTAATGCCAACAACAGTACTTTATAAGGGGCCAATATCGAAGATACAATAAGCCGAGTCTGAGAGGAATCCATAGAATGCAAATTTTATGACGAGATCAACGGAAATAACAACTTGAAAATACTTGTTTGTGTAGATAAATTCATTATTATTGTTTACCTTTTTCTTGTACGCCGCAACGGGGCTTCAAATTTTATATACTGCTTTATCTTTATGAAGATATTTGGAATATGTTTTTAAGGCAAGCACCGTTGATATTTGTTGGTATTTCGTTTTTTTTATTTGTTAAAGTATATTGTTGTATCTACATGTAAAATAATAATTCCTTTGTGTGCAGTGAACCATGTTAATTGATGCTCATATTTACAAGTCAATATATATATGTATGAATTCTGGCAGAGAGGGAGAAGAACATTTGTATCAGAATATCTATCAGTATTTTTGAATCAGCGACTAGATTCGGACTCTAAAGGTTGGGAATTCACATCTTCTTCGGCAACTCTCTTGGTTTCTTTCATCAATTCATAAAGCTACAAATTATACGTTAGTAAAATCCAATTTTAAAATCAATCAGTAGTCTCCGTGGAATATCTTCCCTGAAAGCAAAAGAAAGAAAAAAAAAAAAAAAAGAAGCAAAGAAAGAAAGAAATCCTGGTAGTGTTAACTTACTTGGCCAACTTGTTCTGGTGACATCTTGTTCAATTGATCTTGGGTCAACCCACCAACTTTCCAGCTGTCCTCACTAATGGCCCTCAAGTAATCCTGCCAACTCGTAAGGAACCCCACGATATGTAAAGGGTTATCGATATTTTTATGAGCGTGGAACTCCAGCTTGACATATTCGTCCCCCAACTGTCTTTGGAAATCTGGCAAACGCTTTCTATGGGTCCTCAAAATACGACGATACAAGTCCAACGGAGGCAAAATTGCCGGTACCTTTCTTTCTGGTCTTCTAGCCTTAACTAGCAAGGAAATGGTGGCCTTCATTTTTCTGATAGAGATATAGTTACCGGACAGTGATGGATGGGTCCAATGATATGGGGAGAATCAAAAGCTTTTTTCTCATCGAGCAATTTTCCTCACGATTTTTTGGTGGGTCCCGTGCGTTACCTAGGGGGGGTCACTTGGGGATTATTGTCAATTTACACATCAAAAGATTATAAGAAAAAAAAATCATGGGCATCGTTATTATTTTTATTGTTATTAGCAGTATTGCTGGTGGAAGTTATCTCAATCATTATAGCGGCATAAAAAAATTATCGTTATTTGTGGGCTTTTTTTTTTGGGAGGTTTTCGGTTATTTGAATTGTACATATACACAGAGCCTGAAGAATCATGTTAACCGCACACCACTATAATCAAGAGCTATTAAAATAAAAAAGGGAAAGAAATAATCATAAAGAAATAAAAAACAAATAAAGTAACAAAACAACATAAACGTGGAATCCCCACCTAACGTCATAAACATCGCAAAAACGCAAGAAACGACTCGGTGCTTCTAATTTCATCTAATATCCATTTCAGTTCAACTGTGATTTGAAATATTGATTGGTTTTTGCAACAAATGTCCCATTTTCTCAATCTTTGTTCGCAAGTATCCATCAATTTCCTTAGACTTGATTCCGTGTGCATGTGGGCCGTTCCACGCCAATGGTACCATTGGAACTCTTTCAGTGACCTTGATCAACCGGTTCTTACCTTCTACCGCAATGATTTTATCAGGGTTGTTGGTCAATAGTTTGATATTGGTCAAATTCAAATCTGCCAAGATCGCAGTAGCCAAACTAAAAGATCTGGCATCGGCTGGATGTCTCAATAACAAGTTTGCTTGGACGGTATCTGCCCCCAAATCCTGTAGATTGTAGGCTTTCAATTTCTCTCCCAATCCAATACCTCTGCCTTCTTGACGTAAATAAACAATGCAGCCTCTACCAGCTTTCCCCATTAACCGACCGGCCTCATCAAACTGTTCACCACAATCACAACGCGCACTCCATGCAGTTTCCCCGGTGTAACACTCGGAGTGTATTCTAACGAGAGTCGATTCTTCCGATTCTGGGCATACGGAATGCTGATTATCATAGATCAACTCACCATTGATATCAAAATGTAATTCTTCCCCGGTCTTTGGGTCTTTATCAGCAGTGTTTCTTCCCGGGTACAACTTCCCAATGTATGCGCCCCTGGTCATTCGATCGCTTTGGGTTTCGTGGGGGTATTTTTTGAACAATGTCTTCGATCTAACATTTTCACCAAACACAATAGCTAAATGTTCTTTATTGTCAATGTTGTTGGAGTATAAATGTAAAAAGATTTCTTGGCCATTAGTGGTAGGGATTCTGGCTCTGGCAACACAAACCACTTGTGGTAATTCATCTGGCAAAGAGTTTCTTTCGTTATTATTGAGGAATTCATTAGTTGGGATCACCGGGATCGATTTTGGAGTGCTTGGGCTTGGGGTGACGGCTGGAGATACCAACGATAAATTTTCAAATAAGTATTTATTGTAGGAGGGTTGAGCAGAGATCATATTATTAGTGGTATTAGTGGTAGTGTTATCCTTAGCACTGTTAACGGTGTTGTTATTGTCCTCTTTTGGTGGGGGTGTCGACGTTGAGTTCTGATTGATGGATATCGAGAGCTTCCGAAGCGGTGTTGGCTGAGCAATATTCTGTGATTCACTAGGAATGTTGTTTGGCGAAGACATTATGCAGTGGTGGGAGCAACGAGGCAAACTTGTTGGTATTTATATATATATAATGGTCAGAAAAAGATGAAGAAATCCTTGCACCGTAGACCGATAACAATTGCTGACTAAAATTGATTCACCATTATTACTAATTGTTGTGTGAGAATTTCAAAGAAAAAAAATCAGCCGAAAAATTTATCACGTGCATTGATGGTTACGGGGCCCTTTTCTGGGAAGAAACATCAGCATCAGCACAGTCGTTATATAGAGAGGGAATATATACTATGGATATTATATAGATAGATTAGTTTATTATAGATGTAGATCAGGCATCCCGGAGCGAATTGTAATGCTCACCCAACCCGTAAACGTGCTTGTAGTACACAAGCTTCAACTCGCTTCCACTACCATCCTCATTCACGTGGTGAGCTGCCCTGCCGCTCATCAACACACTGATTGGAACGTCAAACTCTTTGGATAAGGCCAAAATCTCCATGTCCCCGCCCCATTCACTAGTGTTCTTGATCTTCTCAACGTACTCATCAAGGTTCCCCATTGTCAATGTCTCCTCATCAAACAAAAACGGCTGGAATTGGCTTTCATGCTTCTTGATGTAATCCGCAGCTCTGCGTCGTAATTCCTTTACTTCGACTTCAATCCCGTGTCTCATCTTCAATTGATCACCGATAGAAGCAAACAAACAGTTCCCGTCGGGCAAAATATCATACTGTACCAACTTCATTTTTTCACATAACTGATCCAAACTCTGTTTTTCAATCGCTCCGTAATCAACCTGGTTCATTGCCTCACTTTGTGCCTCTTCCCGGATCTTATCTTGTTCGGCGGCTCTCTTAGCCAATCTTTCCTTTTGTCTATTTCTCTTCTTCTTCTTCTGATCACCAGGGGCCATTGCTGCTTCCTCCTTTTGTTTCTTTACCGATTCTGCATCGATTTCTCCCTCTTCTTCTTTCTTCTCAAGTTCTAATTGCTGCAAAAGCTTCTCTGGGGAAAATTCATCATCATCATTTTCTTCCTCGTCATCTTCTTCACCACCTAATTCTTTCTTCAAGTCTTTTAACTCCTGTTGATGTTTTGATTTCAAATTGTCTTCCAACTCTTGACACTTCTTATTGACTTGTTTGCGGTTCTTTTTATTGGCTTGCTTCTTCATCCCAGTTACTGTGGCTTGCAAATCTTTCAATTCTTTGCGATGCTTTGCTAATAACGATTCCTCTAGTTCACTCATTGTGGCGACTATATGTGATTTATTATTTAGACTGATAAAACCTTAAGACAAATTTTTTTCCAGCTTAAATCTATGGTCCTTTAAGATGAAATCCAGGAGGGTGAATCTTCAAGTGTTCTACCATCAAAGGGAGAAAGAAAAAAAAATCCGAAGAATTGTCACGTGTGTGCACTTTTTTTGATTTTTCTTTTTTTTTTTTTTGAATTATATTTTTTGTATTTTGAAATCACAATTAATCAGCTATGTTTTTATTCCCATCTTATTCATATCACACCGTTATAATCATTACACCACAATGCAGAATCCTATACTAACACCCAACTTCTCCAATGTCCTGTTCAAGTTTGAACCATTTCTTCGGAAAGAATACAACTTGGCTCTAAATCCAGACCGTCCACAATGTAAATTCTTCGAGGCCAATGGCACCTGCCCCAACGGATCCAATTGTTACAATAAACACGTTAGTCCAATGTTTCGCAACAAGGTGGTTTGCAAGCATTGGCTAAGAGGATTATGCAAAAAAGGAGACTCTTGTGACTACCTTCACGAATACAATCTCCGGAAAATGCCCGAATGTTTATTCTTCAGTAAAAATGGATTTTGTACCCAGACTCCTGAATGTATTTACTTACACATCGACCCCCAGACAAAAATCCCAGAGTGTTTCAATTATAATAGAGGATTCTGTCCCGATGGACCAGCCTGTAACAAGAGACACATTAGAAAAACATTCTGTGAGTTATATTTGACAGGGTTTTGCCCATACGGTGCCAAATGTAACTTGGGGGCCCATCCAAAGTTTGAAGGTTTACTTGATAAATTGAGAATCAAACCAGATAAGAAAGAAGAAACTAAGAATGAGGGGAATACTGCCGACACACAGACTAAAGAGGGAAAACTCCCTAGTGGCAAACAAGAGGCAACTGGCACAAAAAGATCTGTGGAAGAGGCTGAAGAAGTTGAAGAACCAGCAACCAAGAAGTTGAAGAGTACTTAAAGTAACCTGCTAGTCGTTAGCTAATGTTGTATTATATATATATATATAGATAAATAAAAACTATTTCAATGAGATAGTTTTTCCTTTGTATGATTTTATTTTTTATTTGAAACTTTGAACACTAATAAATTTTATGCTTCCCAATTCAATTGATGTATACTCCCTATTTAAATAGCTAATTAACAGCGAAAATAACGTCCCCAAAACTCTCCCGGAATATCACTACAGTATTACAAATTGTATTTTAATGAATAAACTTGCTGTTTATTAGACTATAAAAAAAAGAAAATGATTAACTCGGAGAACTGTTTTTAAATCAGAAGTAATAGGATCTTCAAATGTTTTTTTCTTTTAGAAAAAAATGTTTCAGAGCTTGACTCAAAAAAATAATTTCATCATGTTAAAAACAGCTCTTGAGTTTAATCACAATACGCCACAAGAAAATTCTTCTTGAGACTGGAATAAAAAAGTATCAAAAAACAATTCTTTTCTATTCAGGAATTGAAATATAAATTTCAAAAGCTTGGTACATTTGAATGCACGGTATCAACCTTACATCGTCAGCTTTGCTGATAATGGCTGGCCATACAAGCTTGGATAGTAGAGAAAAGAAAAGGAACGTTCATGATACAAGAGTGAGCTCCATTGTGTTGTATGACTGAGGTCGGTCCAAAAAAAATTAGTCCAACCCAAACAGTAATTGCAATATCTTTCGTTTAGGCTAGTATAAAAGTCCATTGTCAAAACGCATTCCATGAAAATTTTATCATGGGAAAAACAAACGAGTTTTGTCAAATCACGTCCTCAAAATTCTTCTGATTCCTCCATTAATGAAAAAAAGATAGAGCGCTGTGCAATCTTCACTCATGATGTTATCATAAATAAACAAGACTCAAAAGGAGTAACTGAACAACACAATTATAAACCCTTTTTCGAAGAAAAAAGATGAAATATCGATTAAAATGACTTGCAAAGACGTCTAATGTGAAATTAATCACATTGCGATTTCCGCTTCTGTGACCGGAGACTTTCCCTAAAGCAAAGTTAACAATAGACACAATCAATGATGTAGTCTTTTTGTAAGCTTCAAAGTACAATTCTTTGATCATGAACGTCAAGAGAAGAAAGAAAAGGAAGAGATATTACAAACATTTCGGAAAAAAAAATTTTCGGTGCCTTTTTGTATTGCAAAAAGGCAATTACCCTACGCAAAAAAAAATACAGTGTGATCCAATACAGCGGATACAAAGTATACCATTCATTCGGCTCTCTATGTCTCATCTATTCATAAACAATTTTTGGACTTTTTTCCTCAACTTATTCTCATCATATGCCTCCCACACCTCGTATAGTGTGAGGATTTCCTGTACCGCCTCAATGACCTCATTCAAATCGATGTTGGAAATCCCCATGAAATTCGTTAGGATATTCATCCTTCCCTCGATGTTCGGTCCGGTATTTGTTGTGCCCGGTTTGTTGGGTAGATCCACACCAGCACGTCTTAATATTGCACTGGAGGCCCTATCGTTCATCATTGCAGAGCATCGTAGCACCACTGCGATATAAATTGCACCAAGCGATATTATATGAGGTGGGAAAATCAACGATAGATCGGTGATATAGGAATCATTAATGATTGACCATGAAACTTGTAACTCATCTTGATGTAGTATCAAACAATTAACCCCATCATAAAGTTTTCCATTACTAGGGTCAAGCCCAGATGAGAGATCTCCATAACTTTTGTATCCATCCCGATAATTGCCATTATTTCCTCCGTCTATATTGTTCATACCATTATTGCTATTGTAATTATCGATATGTGCAAAGTCTGTACTCGCCAAAATATTTCGGATTTGCCCTAATGATCGATAAGGATTGTGAATGATCAAATAGTTCTCCATTTCTTCTATTAAATAAAACTCAAACTCCGCAAGCTTGGTCAAATCATGAGGAATATATTGTGGCCAAAGGTTTCTTGCCTCATTGCTGATCGATCTAATGTGATGGGGGCATTCTTCCACTTTGCACGCCAAATAAATACAAGTAGTCACGAGTAAATAAATGTTGATCTCTTTCAACGACACGTTGAGTAAAAATCGCAGTAAATATACCTCTGCCGTGGTGATTGGAATAGCTCGAAGCCCAAGACGTCGGCCAAGCTTATGTACCAAATTGTGTAAATAAATCCTCATGTTGTAATCATATTCAATATCTTTCAAATGAAGAGGTAACGCCCCAGCTGCCATGAGTTGGTTTTCCAACACTTCAATATTCCTTCGTTTCTCCAGTAGTTCTTCTCTGGTGAACTGCCAATGGAGTCTTTGACTGGAATTCCAGTAATTTGCAGACATTATTGTAATGTACCTTATTACGGAATTCTCACCAAGATTTTATGGGATGACAAAGTATGCAATAAAATCCAAAAACAAGAGGAAAATGAAAAAGAAATAATAGGTAATTCAGAAAGATAAGAAAATGTGCAAAAAAACTGTGATTTGCATATATTTTCCCCTCATCAGTACAAAAAAGTTGATTTGGTATCACGTTACAGGTTGTGAATCTACGGGGTCAACTTCTCACTTGTGTAATCCCAGTGTTTACAATAACACACGTGGATAGTGCATATTTTCCCTTAATTTTCAGGTAAACTACTAAAAAATACCAACAACAAATAATCAAATATGAGTATAGATGCAGATTAATAAGCTGATTGATTATCTATGATTGATAATATATTTTGATAAAGGATATATTGTAAATTGGAACTATATGCCTCTCTTCTGGCTTGAGAAGGATTACTCATCGGTTGATACAATAATCCATTTCCTCATTAATAATACTCAGAAATTTACATAAATCCTAATGAACAATGAATGATATATATTAGCATCTCATATATTACGGCCACCACCCCTAATCCTTTTTGCTCTTCTGGAATGTGCTTTTCACCTTCAGTTTTAATAAAGCTATAAAATATTGCAAGTTCTTTTTAGGAGCCTGTTCCAACAATTTCTCATAATCTTCTTCGCTAATAATTCTTTTGATCAATAAATTGAATACCGTACCAAATATTAATGCCATGATAGTGGAAGTCAAGATAATCACATTATAAGGCATAGAGAAATCTGGGGTTGGCAAAGAAACCAACAAAGTAGAGGTTCTAAGCACATAATATGGGTCAAACTCCTTTGGTTCACTGGTAGACGTGGATTCCTGGTACTTAATCAAGGTTACCACTGCCAGTTCCAATTCGAAACCATGGTTGGCATCCGGTGGGTACTCGCTGTAGAGCAACAAAGATTTATCAAATGAATAGGTAACGGTGATGATGGACTGTTTCGGTATTTTCATCACCATTTCTAATTTGGCAGGTCTTTGTCTATCAATTGCAGTAACGTAGGAAATATCTTTGATGATTTCCTCGTTATTGACAGTATCTTGCTGGTCTAGTGATTTTTGAACGATTTTCAAACTGTTCAAATAGAGTCTTAAGTACCATGGCAAAGATTCAAAATAAATCAAATCAATATCCTCATCACCAGGGTTCTTGAAAACAATTCTAAAACCACCCTTATCCAATTCATATCCCGTTATTGATCTGCTGACATAAATTTTAGGTTTGTCTTCATCGCTAATTCTGATATTATTGTAGGAGTTTTTCAATTCCAATTTGTAATCAAATTCTTCCCGCTTCTCTGGTTTGTTAGGAATCGAATAACAATTATTTTCATCAAGGCCAGCATAAGCGAACAACAAATGACCTGTTTCTTTGTTCTGTGAGGAAAGAACCCCTTGGAGTTCCCAATTCTGCTTTTCATTTTCGGGTATTAACTCCCCATTGGCGGTTTTATTAACATAAGCACAAATCTTACTATCGCCGATTTTCTCATCAATCTTAAGCTTTCTACCAAAGATCTTATCCAAATCAAAACTGAGCCCTTCATTGTAGACATTGGAAGGGAAACAATGATAAGCATCATAAAATTTGTCGTAGTCGCAATTCAATTCTTCACCAGGAATTGGTTTTGGTAGAGGTCTTTTAATTTTGCTCAACGACATTGGAACATTGAAAACGTTGTTCAAATTGATGACCAACTTGTAATATATTGAATCTTCTTGAGAATTATGTGAATCTATTGTGTTGAGGTCAATTGAAGTGGATACCCATTTACTATCAAACAATTTATGACCGTCCAATAAACTGGAAATCCCAGCTCTACCTTTGGTTGGCAATAATTTGATTATCGGCGTCAAGTTCTCAGTACAAATAGGTTCCCTTGGCAATGCTGCCCTTAGTAAATAAATTCCCTGATCATGAGTGTTTCCAAAAGAATATTCTGGGAATGTGGTAATGGTTTCATCAATAAAATTCAAACTGGCACAAAAGAAACCAGACAACGAATTGACCAAGAATCTCCAATTGGTGAAAGCTTCTTCTTTAGAGCTTGCTTCTATCTTGGCCCATAATTCCAACCCATTCCCTCCACTGGTATGGCCATCATGGGGCAACTTCCCCCAACTTTCAGAGTTCCAGTAGCCACTGGTGAATCGTATGCTCAAGTTTTTAGTATTGGTTTGACTGAGTAGATTGATCAATGAATTAGGGAAAATGTTGAAATTGCTGATGATTGACGATGAGTTCAGCTGGCTGGCGAATTCCGAAGAAGTTATATTGAAATTAAAGTTTGTGTGTAAGTGGCCATTGGGCAAAGGCGTCAACAGAAGCTCTTCCGCAAAACTTGATCCTCCGTCTGATCTGATAGCTAAAACGCTACAGAAGAAGAGAGGTAATATGCTAAGTAGCAACATATTTATGTTTATGGGCAAGCTATTGGGGAGTAATATACAGATCTATAATATAGTGATGGTGGTAATAACAATAATAACAATAACAATAGTAACTCAATGCCACCCAAAAGGTCACCACACGTAATTTTTGTGGCAGCGGTTTTTTTTCAACTTTTGGCGCGTGTTGTGTGCCCTGTGGGGAAGGAGCTTCGCAGATGATTTGCCTGTGTTCCCACCGTTATTGTTTGTATTGGATTGTCATTATCGTTATCGTTATCAGTATATTATATAATAGTAGTATTGTCATCTTTATCACTATTGTTATTCACATGTATTAGCTCTTCAAGCTATTAAACTGGCGCTCAACACCATCACAATAGAGAGTCCTCCTTCTCCTTTCATATAGCAGATGCCTGCAGTACCCGGCCATCCATCGATGATTCCCTCTTTCAGCTGAGGAAAAAAAAAAAAATTTGTAAAATTGTAATCATTTCGGCTCGATATTGCAGAGCACAACTTATATCTCTATAAAACAAAGGAAGAAGAAGAAATCAAGATGGAATCATTCAAAACCCAACTCCTTGACATTGCTTTGGAAATTAACGCTTTGAAATTCGGTGAATTCACCTTGAAGTCCGGCAGAAAATCCCCATACTTTTTCAACTTGGGTCTCTTTGCCAATGCTAAGGACTTGAAGACCTTGGCTGAATCATATGCCAACACCATCATCAAGTCCAAGCTTCAATTTGACGTGTTGTTTGGTCCAGCTTACAAAGGTATTCCTTTGGCCGCTTTGGTTGCGGTCAAGTTGTACGAGTTGGGAGGTGAAGACTACGCCAACCTTAGTTTCTCCTACAACAGAAAGGAAAAGAAAGACCATGGTGAAGGGGGAATGATCGTCGGTCCAAGTTTGACTGGTAAGAAAGTCCTTATTATTGACGATGTTATGACTGCTGGTACTGCCATTAATGAAGCTTATAGTATTATCAAGAATGAACAAGCCGAGGTTGTGGGTATTGTCACCTCTTTGGACAGACAAGAGGTCGCTCCAGGTTCTGAACTCAGCACCACTGCCACCGTTTCCAAAAGATTCAACGTTCCAGTGTTTTCCATCATCACCTTGGCCGATATTGTAGCTTACTTGAAGCCAACTTTGACTGCTGAACAATTACAGAACATTGAAAACTACCGTGCTCAGTACGGTGCTAAAGATTTGGAATAAATGGGCTTTCTCAAGAGTTAATTTTATGTCTACTTTTAGCTTCTGTGGAAATCTTCTGTGCTGAGAATGCAATTTTACCTGATTACTTTTCATCGATAACTTCTTCTTCTTCTTCCTCTGCTTCCAGTTTAGCGTCTTTTTGTATGCTTAATACGCTTGATTTCTTGCTTAAATTCCTTGATTTTAAAATAAACTGGTGTTTATATAATATGTAGTTTTCTTTTTCTTCCCTAATGAATATTTATGATAGAACGTTTTATTTCCTGTGTTTATTATGTAGCGTGATTCTTGCCGATATATGCATGAAATGTTATTTTCCTGCAGCAGCGAAGGGGAAAGAGGGAAAAAAAATTATCCAAAAAATTTGATGAAATTCATGATGATGGGTTATGCCAATACTTCATTTTCAAAGATCATATAGACAACCATGTACCGTTTACCTACTCGCAGATCCCTTGTTGGAATCTCTGCTTTGCGTCAGCACTACTTGACTCCAACTTGTGTTAGAAATCAAAGATATTTTGGCCATTCATCATCAGTCTTATCAAAGACCTCGGATAAAGATGACAATTTCGTTTCTCCTAATGTGTTAGTCAAAGAAAACCAAGGAATGGAAGGTGAAGATAAACAAGTTAGTATGGATAAAGCATCCAAAGGTCCTTTGTTATCGGATAACAAATACGAATATGGTGTGAAGTTGCCGGCTTGGCAGGAAAAGATTGGTGAAGTTGTCACCAGTGTTTTCAGATTAGATGTCGATAGAATCCGTGCTGGTCCTATCGCTGGTTCTCTTTATTATGGGTACTGTAAAGAACAAGGTTTGATCCAGAAAGATCCAACTACTGGTGAATTAACAAAGACTGCCTCTTATTGGTACGAAACCCTCGGATTAGAACCAACTTTTGCAACTTGGTTCCAAATTACCTTATTACATACCTGGATTCTCTTTGTGAGAATGAGAGCTATGCCTTTTAAATACGGTAAGAACTACCAACAAAAATTGGTGGATCGGTTTTTCAGTGATATGGAAATCAGATTGACAAATGAAATGAACATCACCTCCGGAAGAATCAGAGATCAATATTTAAAAGAATTCCATACCCAATTGAGAGGTGCGGTATTAGGTTACGATGAAGGTTTCAGCACTGATGATCTAACATTAGCCTACGCTGTCTGGAGAAACTTGTTTAATGCGAAAACTGAGGTTGATTATGTGGCACTCGAATCTGTTGTTAGATACATCAGAATGCAATTATACGTGTTAAGTAAAATGAGTGATAGAGAATTTGGATTTGGGAAATTCGCCTTTGTCTCTCCAGACGAAGTGGTTTACAGATTAACTGAGCAAGAAGAAAAACTCTTGAAAGAAAGAGTTTACCAAGAATTTGAATCTGATCCATCTAAGATGACTATCTCAAATAGAAGTAAACTTTCCCTCGACAATTGATGATGGCTCATACATGTCTTTTGTATCTTTGTTAATAGTTTGACGTTTATGTTAATAGCTTGAATTTGTGTTTGCTGATGTTTTTTTCTTTTTTTCTTTTTTTTTTTTCGTTCTTCTGGATTTGTTTTTATCGGTTCATTTAGTTTTGTATGTATATCTATACAATAAAAAAAATTAACTTTCTTTTTGGAGTTTCATTCATATCGTAGGAATTAATTATATCTGGCTATGAAAAACTATCTATAACACCATTCAAGTTCCTTATAAGCGCATTGCCTCTTTCATTGACTAATTGATTGTAGTTGTACATTTTTTCACTCAAAATCACATTATCTTGGCCATTGGTCAGTTGGGTAACATTCCCACGTTCTTCCATTATAGTTGACAAGTTTCTATCGATCTCCAACTCACCATTTATAAGATCTGAGGACTTCGACATTAACTCTTTTAATGATTGAACAGTTTGAGGATCTATTTCACTTTTTGTTTGTAATTTTTCGAAATTTAGCTTTTCCATTTGTAGTTGGAGTGGTTCATCAATCAAATTCCCTTCGTCCTCCATTTTTACCATGACATTCAGCTTTTGATGTTTTTCGCTACCAAGATTTAGTTCTATGTGTTCAGCTCTGTGATTTTCAACGATTGAATCAATAGTATCGTCAGGTATTTCTGGTTGATTGGGTGACGATGACTCTAAAAATGAATCTCCGGTTTTCACTATATCAAGATCCTCCAACTTTAATCTACTCGTTAATTTTGCCAAGCTTTTCAAGGCTGGATCGTCTTTTTTGGATGAGCTTAAAGTGTCTGCATTTTGTTTTTTCTGGCCTTCCATTGACGGATCACCATGATGGCTTGAAAAGTTCCTACCATCAGTAGTATTTTTAATCTTTTGCATGTCTGCATATTCCTCATCATCAGCAATAGAACTAAATTCTTGGCTATTGAAATCATCATATTCTTCTTCTTCATAATCATCATCAATTTCTTTTTTTCTTTTAATATCATGCTTCATGTGTGGAGAGACCACTGATTCAATTGCCCCATTTGTTGAAATATTTTGAGCATGAGTATATAGCGATCCAAAAGCACCAGTATTATAATCATTTTCAGGAAGACCTTTCTGTGGGAAAGCCGTTCGCGAAACATTAGTGATATCTATGAATGATGAGTTATTTATGGAATCCAGTGGATGCATTGTAGATTTGTTGATGAGTGATTGATGATTCAGTGCTGGTTGAACTTGGCTTGTCAGCTTTGCAAACTTTGTATCATTATTCAAGTCACCACCAATCAAAAACGAATCAAAGTTTTGTAGTATCAAGTCATTCAAATCTTTTAGCTTCTGGAACTCTGATTCAATCAACAATAACGAGTCATTGTGATCCAGAATTAAGTTCTGAATATCAATTGTCAGATCTGGGTTATGCGGGCCTGAAACACTATCAAGATGGTTGTTCATTCTCCTATTTTGCTCCTTTTATCACCTTTATTGTATAGATTGAATATCTATTGTGACTTTACTGTCTATTTCTTTCCAATTTTTTTGTTACTGGAGGTTTACTTATGAGATCAGCGTGTTGTTCTGATTGGCAGGGTGATTTTTGATTTTCTGTTTTGTTTTTGTTTTTTTTTTTTTGTTTGTTTTTTTTTTCACGGTAATGCTCGAGCAGCTTATTTGGTGTGTTTTATATTATTATTATTATTATTATTCTGGTGTAGAAATAAAGCAAAAGCTTAAAATCTCAATATAATATTTTTAGAGCATTTGTTATTTAAAGTTCATTTGTAAATTTTCAATGAAGACTTTTCCATAAATCTGTCGAAAAAAAATTGTGGTTCATTAACACGATGCGTTGTCGTCTTGAGAGGAAATGACAAAAATCTTACTTCTATTGCCAATTTAAAAATAAGGCAGAGTCTTACTTCATGTATAATTGTCTTATATATCCACCCCTAATATACCATAATTGCAAAATCACCTGTAAAACAGTTAATAAATGATAAATGAGCAACTGATATGATAAAGTCCAAAAGCCTTTCGGCATATTTATCTCAGTTCGACAACTTCATAGTATCAATTGAAACAGTAAGAAACAAGGAAATTGCTTTGTTCCTATCGAAATAGTCGTATAAATAAGCACATTCTCTCATTATTTTGGATGAATGACAAATTAATTACATTTGAAAGAATAATATTGATAGTAAAGTATCAAAATAGTGACGTGTGTATAATCTTTATTAAAAAAAATACACAATAAGAATGAGGGAGTTTATACGATGGAAGTAGGCAATTTGCCTTTAGTGAATATATTAATACAGAACTATCAGAAAAATAAAGAGAGAAAAAGCAGTTCGTAATTCCATTTATAATGTAAATTTCACAAAACTTGGAAAGTAGAGATCATAATTATAAAGGCAAGAGAAAGAGAATGGGAAGAAGTACAAATAGGAAAATGTAGTAAACTACAGAAGAATGCTATGATATAGACAACGCTTAATATAAAAAGTGAAAATATTAGGATATCAGTGTAGAGATAAGGAGAAATAGAAGACAGTCAAGAAGAAATGGGAAAAATTAAAGAGTGGTAGGCCAGAGAATATTATTGATGGTATATCTCACAAAGTCCACTATTTTTTTAGTACAGTTTAGATAGTGATTTCTAAAATGAATTAGAAGTCAATAATAACGAAGCAGAAAACAGCAGTGAAGTAGAAGACGACAGTATAGGAGTTAGGCTAAGTGATGATGGGAATAAGAGGAAGAAGGAATTAGAAGGAAATGAATGGAATGAGATTGAGAAGAGAATTTTTGCCAAATAAATAGTGACCATTAACTACAGAAAGTACAGTAGTTGGGATTCAAAATATATGAGGAATAACAATAGAGTTTCTCTGCTGCAAAGTCTTCTTCAAACCCTCCATTTGCCTTCCTTCCTTTGCTTCCTCTGCTTCCTCTGCTTCCTCAGATAGTGACGCACCATCGCTGCATAACCCCACCAAAAATTCGCTTTTAGTTGTCAACTTTCCCAAGAAAAAAAAACAGTGCAACGACTATAACTTTTTTGATGGCAAAATAGAATCATCAAACCCTTTAGATATTGGGCTGGTTGCTCGAATAGTTTTTATCTCTAAATACCCCATAATTCCTTCCAGAAAGAGGCAGGTGACGATTGACCATTTAATTTCAGTGTAATTTGACATAAACAATCGTTGAAATAAAAAAAAAAAAGATACAGATGGCTAGTAAGTTACTTTTCATGTTTGTTTATAAATACTTATGATAATTCATTGCATATTTTTTTTGGGATTTAATTAGTTAACCTAACCATCCATAGTCAAAACTCTTGAATCGTACCTTTTTGAGAAAGGAATTGTCGGTGTCAATCCGATTGACACTATCAAGAACGCTCGTCTCGGGATAGACGTGGAACATTACATTTCCAGACTAATCAACAATAAAAGAGAATTGTTTCTTGCAGCAATTGGTGGGTTCCCATTTACATTCACCCAGTTCATAGAGGCAGATTTGAAAATTTTTAAGGAATTGAATATCACCCCAGTGTTTGTGTTCAAAGGCTCAAGAGTCAATGCTCAAAATGAAATGTTGAAAAGCTTTGAACTCGATGGAAAAATAACCAAAGCAAGAGCGGAAGCATGGGAACAGTACTATTCTAAATTCGATAAGCCAATCGGTAGTAATGAATCTTCCGTTAGCCCATTGGGCAGCATTGTGGGAAATGCGTTATCGTTTAAGACCCAACCAGTTACTCCTAGCAGCGCGACCCCAAGAGCTCAAAATAGCGGTTTCAAGTCTTCTAATTCATCTCACAGCGTCTTTGATTCATCACCATACATTTCAGACTTCATAAGTTTGTTTGAAAAGCACGGGGTTGAATATATGGTGGCCCCAATTTCTTCATGGGCACAATTGAATTACTTTTATGCCAATGGCTATGTTGATGTGATTTACGGACCAACTGAATGTTTATTGACCCCTGATATTGATACTTTTATCCATGGTATGGAGTTTCAATCTAAGGAATTCAGATTTATTGACAAAAAGCATTTGTTGCAAGAATTCAAGATCTCTCAAAAACAATTCAAAGAAATCGCAGTTGTTTTAGGGTTTGACATTCAACCATATTCATTGGTCAACAAGAACTTTGGATTTAATGCAGCTAAAGCCATTGATTTTAAATGGTTGCACGAGTATACATTGAACGGTAACAATGTCTACGCCACTGTTTTAAATAACGCGAAGAAAACCAAGAATCAGAAAGATTTGGACAGATTTAAAAATGGGATGACATCAATTGACTTTATGCCAATTTTGAAAGCATCAGGTAAAGTTGAATTTTTATTGGAGCCTGATGGAGGTTTCCCACCTTTGGACGAGTTTGACTCAAATGCTCAACCTGCCGATCAACAACAGCCTAAGGTTCCAAATGATATTCACGATGTCATTGGCCAGCGTTTGCCGCACGAATATTTCTTTTATCAGTCTATTGGTTTAATAAGCTCAAAGTTATTGGATAGTCTTCTTTATGGTAATTACTTGGAGTTTGCGCCATTGGACGGTGGAAATTCAACCCAATACAAATCATTGATAAATTCGAAAATCAATCTCACCACCAAAAACAAGATGTTGAGTTTGTTGACCTCTTCGATTAATAGATACTTTCAAGCAAAAAAGTACCACTATATCAAGTATTTTGATGCGTCTAAGAGTGTTGATTCAGCTCACGAATTTGATTTCAGAGTTTCAATGCCAGGACCAATCTATTTGAAGTTGGCTCATTATTTAGTTAGATCAGGCAAAGATTCAAAAACTTTTGATATTGTGAACTTTTTGAAACAATTTTCTGATGAAAACTTTTTAGCAAAGGTGGTGCATTCTAAAGGATTCATTGAAAAGGATGAGGACCGTTTGCAAACTAGTAACGAATTATTATCAACCAGTCTTATCAGATCATTGTACATTTATGATTTCATTTCGTTATCTGATAATAAATTGACCAAATGGGGGAAGTTATTGAATAAATTGGCGGAAACTCTGGAAGACCGTGACGATGTCGAAAGATTGTTGTTATTATTGGTATTTTTCAAAAACCATTCGAACGAAGTGAAATTGCACCAATCGTTAACCCCTGAGGTTTTAGGCGAACCAAAGTTGGCGTCTCAAGAAAAATCTTCCCTTATAAAGCAATATATCTTGATCATCACTAGACTTTCATTGTTGTTTGATCCTTACAATACCGAGAGCGTATCGAACCTCAATTCAAACAACATCAATAAATTGAACTTGAACTTGTTGGCGTACCGATCGATTTTCGAGTTTGTCAAAACTAACATCAACGAATTAAACCAAACCTTGGCAGTATCATTACTCACCAACAACCAATTCAATAGAAAGAACTTTTCGACGAATGTCAAATGGAGAAAATTGGTCGATCAAATGATTTTGAAGCAAACTTTGCCAAGCACTTTGCATTCTATCATTGCTGATGTGTATTTCGATTACATGTTTAATGGTGCAGGAGATGGTGATGCTTCTGACAAGGTTGAGAAGACTCGTGAATTTGTTAATAATTCTTATGAACAGAATTTCAAAGGGGTGCTAGAGACCTTAGACGGTAGCTTCAAGTTTGTCTTGAAGGCTTTAGATTTGATTGAAGAGATTGGTAAGGCAGAGTTAATCGATAAAGAATACTTTAATGCCATCAAGGGTGCCAAGGTGTTTTTGATGAAGCATACCAAACTTTGAAAAAACCTGGAGGTTCTTTTTTTTTTTTCCCCCTTCCTTTTTTATGAGTTATGATTTAATTTCTCTCCTTGAATCAATCAAAAGTTTTAGCAGACTAGTTTTTTTATTGTACTAAACATGTAGTTTCTACGTCGTTTTTTTTTTCTTTTTTTTTTTTTTTTTTACAAGGATATTCCGAGCTAATGAGCTATATTGAGTAGAACATGATATCACATAAGGGGATGGTTCCAGACTTACCAATTTTTTGGAACGTCATCTTTAGAAAACAGATATAACGGGAAAAGAAAAAAACAAATAAAAAAATAAAAAGAATCCCAAGTCATTATTATATACCAAAAAAATGGCCGATTAGATTAGGTAATTATTAATCACTAATTAATTACCCTAGTGATCAATCATCCGTGGACTTCACTATAATACAAAATTCTAGAGTAGTAGAATGCAGAAGAAGAAGAAATAAAAGAAGCAACAACAATAATGATCAAAGAAGATGGCAGGAAACAGAAAAACGTCGAATAAGAAGGGTATCGTGTCTATCCTGCACCATCAAGCTCAAATCTGTGTCATAGTCATCAAGTTTCTCCAATCCTCTTTGAATTGTTGGCAACGATTTCAATTCTATCAGCATGAGCTACTTCATTGTGATCTAATTTGATATCGACGTTCTTGATGACAAAAGTCCAGACGTCATCGCAGAATCTGTAGATATGTAAATGCCCCTTGAACGATAACTTTGCCTTCAACTTTTCCTTGATGTTCTCGGCAATAATTCTATCAAAGTTGGCCAAAACACGAAGAGCTAACTGAGGTTCAATTCTCTGGTCACTTTTAAAAAAGAAAAAAATCGATGTTAATTACATTATATTCTTTTTCTCCATTTGTGTTTGCCTTCCTCAACAAATAAAAAACAAACAAACAATAAAAAAATATGCATACACTTACAGAATCAAATTATCGAGCGATTCAATCAAACTCATACCGATAGTGGTTTTTCTGTAAAGCTCATAATACCCAGGCCCATTCATATTTAGTTGTCTTTGATTGTTTGCAGCAGCAGCTTGAGTTGGGGGTGCTTACTGACATTTTATCGTAATTGTTTTTCTCTTCGCTTACTTCAAAAAAAAAAAAAATGAATTTTCTTAGTGAGATTACCCTGTCGTTGAACCCTCATCTCTTTATAACGTTGGTCTTTCAATTAACTTCTTTATGTAATAAAATATTAAATAAAGGAAAATGGTAATAGTAATAATAATATATGAGAAATTCTCAAATATAGTATCCGTCTTCCAATGGCTCATTGATCTCAAAGACTTCGTGGTCCTTGTCTTTTATCGCCAAGTACTCCTCATTGGTCAATCGAAGCTTGCTCGACAACAGTTCCAACGACAAAACCTCAGGCTTGTCCGATGGTAATTGAACTCCTCTGCCTTGAATCTCCTCTTCGACTGCCGCAAATCTTTGGTAATTGTTCTTAATGACAATTTTGTTCTCTTGAATAGATTCCGTGTATAATTGCATGTCACTTTTGTATTCTTTGGTTGTATCATCATCGTCATTGAGCAGCGATTCCTCAGTACGGAAGGACGAAGCGTTTTTGTGATAGTTTGTGGTGATAACGTTCATTTCCTTGAACATGAGAAGGATCAGCTCATTGAGCTTGTTGATGGTGTTGATTAGCTGGGTTCTAATGTGGATGATTTCATCATCGGAGAGCTCCTTGATAGTGAGTTTGAATTCGGAGATTTGGACTGGTTTGCTAATTGACATGGTGTGATAGTAAAGATAATAAAGAGGCAAATAATAAAGATAGTAAAGATATAATAAAGAAAATATAATACAAAAGATCAAACAAAGCGGCCAAAAATTAATCCAAAATGCGGAGATGAGCAGCAACACTGACCAGCGCGCCGTAACCTGTGGGTCGCGCCGGCGGCTAACAGCGTGAAAAAAATCAGCCCAACTTTTAAAGCCAATGAATGATGATGATGATGGATGCTTCAGATATAATATACCAAGAAAGGCGAGGATGTTTGGCAAAACGGTAAATAGAACATGTGTGCTGACACTAAGGCGATATAGCACTGCTGCGACAGAGAAACTTCAAAGACCCCCACTACGAGAAATCTTCCCTAAAAAAAAATTTATCAACCGCCAGCTCTTTGATTTGGACAGTCGATTAACCTACAGAAAGCTTTTACCGATATACGAGAAGGTTTACCGGGGTATAGATGAAGGTGAGACCCCGGAAAATGATATATCATCTTTGGTAGATGGGTCTGATTTGTTGATCATGAAGAAAGCGTTGGAGAAATATCGGATTTATTCGAACACCATCAACCGGAACCTTGTCCAGTTGGAAAACCAATTAGTTGAAAAAGCGGCTGAGCATGGAAATAACGACGCCATTGCGCTTCTAGCCTTTGAGACTTTGACCACCATGGATCAAACGATTCTCAATGAAGGAGACAAGCCGTATGCTAAAGAATTGATCAAGAATCTATACTTGTTGAACCACCCGTTGAGTATCAAACTCCTAGGGGATTTATCTTTAAAATACCAACAGTTCAAGCACGCCAAACAGTATTATCTCGAATTTCTAGAATTGGAAAGCGACACAGTGCTAAGTGGGGAAGTCTACAAACAATTGGGGATGTTATGTTTCACCCAAGAAGCTAATTTGCACGATGCCAAATTATATTTCTTACAATCGATCAAATTTGCACCATTGGACAAGACTTTAGAATCTCACTACTTCTTAGGAGAGATCTATTTGGCAACCGACCCTGAGTTGGCAAAGTATCATCTTCAATTAGCGGCGTCTAAATCTTTTAGACAAGCGTTCAAGAGTCTTGGGTTTTTAGAATTGAACTATTTTAACAATTTTGTGAATTCCAGAGAATGGTTCAAGATGGGAGTCGAAGTCCAAGATTATGATTGTCTCATTGGGTTATTTGACACATTTTATAAATTTGGTAAACGTAAAGAGGCCATAAAGACGCTTAAATCGATCAGAAATGTCTTCAACGAAAAAAACAAAAACCAAGAAGTGTTTACGGGCTTTTTGGAGAGCAGAGGAAATGAAATTAAAGATCTTATAGGAAAAGACGACACGAACTGAAGATTTTAATTATATATATAGATGTAATGGATTAAAACAATAGATGTTATTATAGAGTAATATAGATGATGTACCAAAATGGCGGGCCTTTGACGGAATAATTTTTCGGGATCCCAAAATTTTTTATCTCAAATATAGTTTGGAGGGGAAAGACTATTATAATTAATATCCTGGTGAATTTGTCATTACTATGCTGAACTTAGAAGGCCCTATCACCGGTCTATTTGCCAAGTTCCTCAACGCCTCCCAAAAGGAGCTGATTGTTGAGGATTTGCTATCGCAATTATCACCACATAGCGGCGATCAGCAAGTGATTGAAACATTGTGCGATTTGTTGAAAACTGAGGAATTCTCCAATTATAAAACCCAAGCTTTCCCAAAAATCAAAGACTACTGCTTCAGTATCTTGGCCAATATCAGTGCGGTTGAAGGAGCTGATGTTGATTTAATCAGGCTCGAGAGTCTTCGGATATTGTGCGGGTTATTTGTGGAACTTCAAGAATGCTTGATCGAGTACATCACCCAAGAAATCGGGGTGTATTTGGCCACCTCTGGAGTATTTGTGGAAGAAATCACCAACCAAGAACAATACAAAACCATTATTGCCAATACCCCATTGACTGGAAAAAAGATCCCTAATCGACAGGAAATTATTGTCGATTTAAGTTTCTTGGAAAAGCTCCTTGCCGGGGAACAACAGTCATCATTAAATATCCCAGCAAAACTTAACGTTATATTATGTTACTACTTACAATTGAACGATGAAGAGATCTCGGGGTTGGCCTCCAAGGTTTTCCGCTGGACTATGCCATTGGTTGTGTCACTTAAAGAATTCGACCCATTGATTTGGAAAACTATCTTATACCTTACATCATCATCATTTGCCGATAAATACCACCACAAGAACGGGTACGTTTTGTGGATCCGTTATCTCAGTGCGGCAATTGATAACCACACATTGAAGAGTTCCACGGCGTTCCAAGAGTTGGTGAAATTGGAACGGTATTGGAAAATCCTCCAAAAAATGTTGATTAGTCCATTACACGAACACCGTAAGTACGCCCTTACCATTGTCCAGTTCTCGGTCCAGTGTATTGATGGGTGTATCGATAATCGTATCATGAAATGGAGCGCTGCGGAAAATGACACTTATATCAAGGAATGGAAAAGATATTGTGTGTTATACGAGATTGCCGGGATCGATACCTCGTTGCATCAACTCGAGGCAGGATCTAAAGATATTGCACTATTACTCGATCCCGTTAAATCGAAAATCCACAGTAGTTGGGGGCTTTGTTTAATCTCCACCGCCATGCAAGCCGCCATGGACTCAGTGAGAAGATACGCATTGGAGTTTGTGTTGGCGATCAAACGGGAAAATCTTGTGATGTTCGATGAAACAAGTGAGTTCTTCTTGAAGGACATTTTTTTGAAATATGCAATGCAAGGGTCGTTATTCGCCACCCAGCGTGATTCATCATCGATTAGTTGTCCATATGGAGAACGGTTCTCGAGCTTTGTCGAAAATATCCTCATTCAATTATCAAGGGCCAAGAAATTGGATTCTTTATCGTTTATTACCACGTTGATCTTGCAAAAATTGTACGATGATCGTGAAGGGTTTGATTATTCTCGGATTTATTTGGTGATTGCATTATACAAAGGGTTGAGATCAGGAGCCAATTTATTGAGCGGTGGTCATTTGCGTCTTTTGGAAAAACTTTATCAAAGCAGTAACGAAACGGTGATGATGGAAAAATTCTCGCAAAAATTATCCTTGAGATTATTGTTGAAAATCGATACGAAATCAGTGAGTTTGCAACAACTTGTCACTGCCATTGGGAAATTCGTCAAGAGTAACAATGGTAAACATAACTTGTTGAACCTTGGGTATTCGATGCTTGATGACGAGCTCGAATTCCTTTTAGATTTTATTAGCACCTCGTATCCAGAGGGTGGGCTTTTGACCCTCCTTACTAGTAACAATGTTAACGGATTTTCCAGTATTGAGGAAATCGTGGTGATTTTATACCTCATCATTGCGGATAAGCAAGACGATACCAACCGCGAACTTTATCAAACATTGACCACCACGATCTTGGAGCATAATATCTTCCCGGTGGTGTTGACAGAACTCACGTTTTCCAAGCTTTCGAAATTGGGGTTGTTGTTTCCGTACTTGCAGAAATATTACCTCAAGCTTGTGGAAGAACTCTCGAACAATTTGATCAAGCATAAAGGAATTTGGAGCAAAGCTTATACCATTGTTACCGAGCAGAGTTTGTTTGATGAAGACGACGAGAATTTGTGGACTGACAATGTCAACTTGAAGAAATTGTGGATTTCCATTGGGGTTGAGTATCAAAGTGCCGACCCTGAAGTGGTGGAACTTGCTAGTGACAAATTAAGATTCTTTAGCCAATGCTATGCGAGAATGAAATACTTGGTGGAAGAAGATGATGAAAATAATAGCCAGGTGTGGGGACTTAAATCCATCAACGAATTGACCAAGATGAATTCATATTTCTTCAAGAGATTATCTAGTGGTCAATACGATTATAAGCTTCGGGATACCAGTATTCTGTTGTTATTTGACATTTTGAAAGATTTCCTTAGTGTGCAATTGATCACCCCGGAGTTGAAACTGCAAGTTTTCCAAGTGGTTGAATTGAACTCATCTACCGTCGATTGGAAATCAGAATCTTCAATGGTGGATTTGATGAAGACGATATTCATTGGGAACGAAGCGGAAATGCAAGAACCATTAACCGATGGCGAAGTGGAGAAAATCATCGATACTACCCAACAGATTTGGAGCTCATTACACCAAAAGACCCTTAAATTAAGCCAGCAAGGTTTGCATTTAGCGATCATCGACCTTGTTTTATCCCCACAAGTGCTTTCACGGTGTGGTAGTTGTCAGATCGTGAGTGAGAAAGTGACGAATCTTACCAGTGAAATCATCGAACAATCATTTGGCCGCCGATCCTTCCTTCCAAGAATTGCCAGAAAAATCGCCGAGTACCAACGCTTTAACCCTCTGGAGTTTGCCAATAACGTTTTCCTTGGCCCATTGTTAATTGCTATCTTCTCGTTCATTAGAGTCAATGCCAACGGGTTCCGTATTGTCCCAGTGGCGGCGAAGTTATACGATACCATTGTCAATTACGGTTCAGGAAACATTTATAAAACTATTTATGGTCCATCAGAAGCGTCTGCCAGGGCCCAGATCATCACGATAATTGCGTCACTTCCAAACAACTCCAGTATAGGAAAATCGATGCTTGATTATATCGTCGATGATTCTGCTAGAGAATTACATTTATTCGAGGCGGTGAAGCGTATTGATGGCGGGGAAATTTGGAAACGGATCCAATTATACAGTATCTTGTTAGTGTTATCCAGCTCGTTGGATCGACAATATTTTGTGCCGATGGTGGAAACATATTACGAGCCAGCGTTGGCAAAAGACGCCAGTCCGTTGGTGAGAGTATACATCGAATGGACGATTGCCAGAACCTATCTTGGAGATGTTAGATTAATGGATAAACTTATGGGGATTTTGAAATCTCCTGGTGCGATGCATCCATCGCTCGTGATGTCGTATGAACGAATCATGTTTTTGATTTGCCAGCAACTCACCGGGGAAATAAAATCGCAATACTTCAAGCAATTCCTTAGAGTGCTCTCCGGGCTTTGTTGTTCTGACAAGACTCTGGTAAGACACTTTAGTGGCTCATTGGTCTGCAGCGTGCAAAAAGAAGTCGATACTTATGGTGCTACCGCGTTAGGGCTCACCGAGGGGGAAATCGACACCATCACCCGGTTCTACGACCAAGTGACCCAGAATGGTAAAGTGTTGGAATATCGTAATGGTGATGCCTTGGTATGGAACGCTAGTGGGGATTTCACGTTGGTCGGGGTCTGTGGAGGAGTGCTTCTTAAAGTGTCTGACAGTTTTGAAATTGATGCGATTCCTGAATCAGAATTCCGTAATAACGTGCTTACCACGAACGGTCCAAACATTCCAATCGGGGAAGATTGTAAAGATCTTTGGCTCAGCACTGTGAAAACCGGGAGTGGGAAAAAACTGCTGCAATTTGTTGGTGGTAATCTTAGCGGTGGTGGTTCCGCCAAAAACGTCACGGAGTTTGATAAAATTGCGTTACAAAAGAAGAGTGGGGCATGGCGTACGGTGATGGATCTTGACGATTCAGGAAAAGATCATAATGACGGCACCCATATCCAGCGGAGTGATTTGATCGTGATGGGTTCATTGGTCAATAAGCCTCCTAACTTGGGAGGTATTTGCCGATTATGCGATGTTTTAGGAGCAGGGTTGCTCACGATTGGCGATAACAATTACAAGAAACACGCGCAGTTCAAGAGCGTGGCGGTGACCGCTGATTTATGGTTACCTATGGAGGAAGTGAAACCCGATGATATTATTAACTTTATGAGAAAACAAAAGGCCAATGGTTATACTTTGATTGGGTTGGAACAAACCGATAAGAGCGTCCAGTTAGATCACGATTTGAAGTTCCCTCAGAAATCATTGATTGTGTTAGGGAAAGAAAAAGAAGGGATTCCTGGGGAGATTTTGGCCGAGTTGGATTTCTGTGTGGAAATCAAACAGGTTGGAGTGGTGAGATCGATGAATATCCAAACCGCGACTGCTTTAATTGTCCATGCTTATTCTTTGCAATATTGTTGAAAAATAAAATAAAAATAAAAAATAAATTAATAGATAAAAAAAAACATTTGTATAATAGTTTTCTTTATGGCAATTTTATACGGAACTAATTTGATTAAATTATTGTAATCAGGAATTTTTTTTAAAAAAAAGGGTTTCTATATATAATATGCTCAAGATTAATGCTAGTGTAATAAAAAGAAAAGTAAACAATATATATATATATATATATATAAATATAAATTAACAATGCAAGGGAAGGAAGGAGGGAGGGAGTGAGTGAGTGAGAAATCTTTATCTAGTTTACATAATAATACATTCTTTTTCTTCTTTTTCAACCTCCACGTTATTTCCAATCTTTTGCTTAGCTCTCAAATCACCATTACGGGCTGCTTTTTGAATCCATTTTTGACTCTCTTCAAGATCCACTTCACAACCAATTCCTTTTTCCAAGAAATGCCCCGCGGCGTACTGAGCTTTTGGGAAACCAAGATTGGCGGCTCTGGTGGCCCAAGCAAACGCTTCATTGGCATCCCGTGGTAAGAAAGGTTCGGCGCCCACAAGATACCAAGCACACATTGCAAGCATTGCTTCAGCACTCCCGCCCATTGCCGCTTGGGTATAATAATGGATTGACAAGTTTGCATCCTGAGGAATATCGGTTCCTAACTCATAAGCTTTCCCGAGAATAATGGCGCTGGGAACATGTCCTAGAGAAGCTGCCTGGACGTATAGTTCAAGAGCATATTTCTTATCAGGAATCACAATATCTTTAAACCCAGACTCGTAAATTTTCCCAAGTTCGTAAGGTGCGGCACAAATCAATTCATTAGCCTTGGAGACCGCGATGGTGAGCCATTTTATCCCGGCTTTCTTAGTGTTGTCATCTTTCCCAAGCCCCATACTTCCATGATAAGAGTAACAACCAAGTTTGTACATTGCGGCAGGATGATTACGAGAGGCTGCAGATTTGAGGAATTGGATTGATTTTTTGGCATCACGTTGAGTGCCAATACCTTCTTCATAGCAATGGGAGGTACGATAACAAGATTCCACGTGGCCATGTTTTGCGGCGGTTTGGAAAAGCTGGAACGCTTTATTGTTATTGACTTTCCCAAGCGCCCCGGAAGAGTAAGCGTCGGCCAATAAATATTGGGCATCGGTGTAACCTTTATCGGACAATTTCTTGAGGTAATGTGAGGCTTCTTTCAATAAATCTTTTTTCACGGTTTCAAGCTCGGAAATCTCGTTGCCAATATTACTATTACTATTATTCTTATTATTCTTGTTGTTGTCGGTATTGGTACCTTTAGCATCTTCTTCATCCAATAATAGGGCGGTTTGCAAAATATACTGGGCAAATTGGAAAATCACATATGGGTCGCTAGATTTCTTTGCGTTTTCACGATACATGTCCATGGTCTTCATACGAGGCAAAAGTTTGTCACTGTTGTTGCCAAGGTACTGAGATAGTAACTTGTGCGAGTTTTCTCTGGAAAGTCCTATTTGAGAATCCGAAGCATGGTCGGCAAGGTACAAGTGAGATAAGTCGGTTAATTTACGTCTGGGTTGTTGTTGTTGTTGTTGTTTGTTCACGTCAAGGGTGGTGTTTGAAGAGGTGTTTGAAGAAGGTTGCTGGGAGCTGGTCAAGCTCTGGGCAGCACTGGCGAAGTTAGAGCGACTGTTGGACGATGACGAGGTTGTACTGCCATTGGAACTTGAATCAACGAGTTTTATGGTTGGGGCGGTTTCCTTTGTTTCGTGGCGAGGGATATCAGAAAAGTTTGGACTGAGAATAGCGTTCGCTGGTAGTGATCCAGGAAGGTCCAGGGAGTTTCCGGTAGACATTTTGTCGAGATTTCTTAGTTGATAAGGATGATTATTATTATTATTATTATTATTATTATTATTATTATTATTATTATTATTATTGTTATTTGATAGTTGTAACTAAGGATGGAAATGCCAGCTTTACTTTTTCTTTCTCTCTTATTTTTTTTTTCTTTCCTTTTCTTTTCTTTTCTTTCCTTTTCTTTTTTTTTTTTTTCAGCAGAAAGTCAGATGGGCTAAGCTAAGCCGACAACACCAACAGGGTGACGATGGAATGCGTGTTTTGGTGTGTTCTGGTGCTGGAGAAGGAAGAAGGTAAAGGGGAGGAGGAGGAGGAGGATCTTCGGCGTGGTCGCTGCTGCTGTTTGAGCCGGCGTTGAGGCTCGGCGGCTAACAATGTGGGGCGGGGGGTCCCGAGCCCTGCAACAACGCTCCTCCACAAGGGGACGGTTGGCGGACCCTGCCATCAGTCGCTCCCGTTGCGTGGATGGATAACCTCTGGCACTGGGGCATAAATACTCAGAAATGGCCTCCGTTTACTGGATGTTCATGCATTTATTTAATAGACGTTCAATTATTATTCATCACTCTTCACAGTGTAATCCAGTATATATTAATATATTATTATTATTATTATGCTACCTCTCGCTTGGGTCTGTCTCTCGTTCTTTGCAGTCGCCCATGCTGCAGTCGTCAACTCCACCAGTGTCAAAACCTCTGAAGTGGTTCACGCAGTGACAACTTCCAAAGTCATCAGTGCAGTATCAACAAGAATCGTCACTGCCACCGATACCGTCACCGACTTCTCCACCGACGTTGTCTGGGTGTCTGCGCCTTACACTGTCACTTTGGTCAAAGATGAAAAGAATGCTATAATTTCTACTGAAAATTATCACTCCTCAGAATCCTTATCTTCTTCTTCTTCTTCTTCTTCTTCTTCTTCGTCAGCAGCAGCAGCAGCAACAGCATCTACTTCCTCAGTATCGGTATCACAAATCCCAAAAATCACTACCTACAAAACCGACTATGTGCCAGTCACTTACTCCACCATCAAAGTGGTGACCGTCACCACCGATGTTGGGTCAGTTAAAAAAACCGTTATTGCAACTTCAACCTTCACAAAAACCACTACCAGTGGGTTCCGTAACGCTACCACCATCTACTCCAACACCACCATCACCCCTCATGCTACTTCTAACACCACCTTGACCAAGTCCAATTACCTAAGAAACAAGAACCATACCATCACCTCCACTTCCAAGACCACTTCTAAGACTTCTTCTTCATCTTCTAAGTCATCTTCATCTTCCAAAACTTCTTTATCTTCCAAAACTTCCTCATCTTCCAAAACTTCTTCTTCCTCATCCTCATCCTCACACACCCCATCGGCTACCGTGGGTAACGGGGTGGTCCCTTCATCCATTCTTGGCTACACTTATAGCGGGATTTCTCCCGTCACCACCAAAGACGAAGGCAACAACATCCTCACCAAGATCTGGGACCTGTTCTGGAAAAACAACGGGCTCATCACCAGCACCGTCTGTTCTGGCTCCCTGGGGTCAGCCCCAGCAGTATGGGCAGTCTCGGTGGCATTACAAGCGTTTGTCGATGGTGAAAAGGTGAACTCCTCTGGCAAATACACCTCGCAAATCTCGCAAATCTATGGGTTCCTCATGACCTATTATAACGCCAATAAAAAAGGGTTTTCCGCGTCGCAAGCCAAAGATAACGATATCTATTACGACGATAACGCCCAAGTGGCCACCGCGCTTATCAACGCTTACGAAACCACCAAAAACTCCACTTATCTCAGCCGGGCTGAAGACGTGGTGCTGTTCCTCATGGGGGGTTGGAATTCCACTTATGGCGGGGTCACTTGGCACTTGGGGTCCCCGTATATTGCCCTGATCCTGACCACCGAAACCGCGTTGGCGTGTCTTAGATTATACCTGCACCACCAACAGAATAAAACCTACCTTGACTTCGCGGAGAAATCCATGGTATGGCTCCACCAAACCCTTTGGGACAATTCCACCAACCTTATTTTCGACGGGGAAACCGGCCACAGTATTGGGAAAGACGAGTTCTCGTATCAAGTGGGGACCGCGCTCGCAGCGTGTGTCAAGTTATACAATTTCACCAAGAACCAACAATGGAAAACCTTAGCCGAGGCATTGGCCAAGTCGGGGACCGATAATCAATTGACGATCTATAATCGTGATTACGATAACCACTACCGATTCTGGCGCGATGGGCTTGATTTCACCCAGTTGTTGTTCGAAGGGATGATTGAATATTATCAAGACATCGACAAGAACGTGAACATTGTCAATGAGGTGGCCAGAGAAGCTCGTTTCGTGTATGATTTCTCAAGAAGTGATAAAGATTCCATGTATTTCTCCTCGGTGAACCCTTTGGGTAACGATGATACAATTTATAAAAGATGGCGCACCGTTACCAACACCACCAAATCAGAAAGTTTGAATAAGGATAATTTCTGCAGTAAGGACACCAATGGCACCCCAATTAGAAGTTTGATCGATGAAGGCTCCGCCGCAAGAATCTTCTTGTTATCTTCGATGATTGTGAAGACTATTTGATGAGATTTAGTAGAGATCAGTAAATTTGATTTTAAAATATGTATAGACAGCTTTTTGTTTTGTTTTGTTTTGTTTTGTTATTTTCCTCATTTTTTTTTTTTTTTTTTTTTTTTTTTTTTTTTTTTTTTTTTTACCCCATCACCATTTTTTTTAGAATCTGATCCCTTTTTATTATAGACCATTTATATACACTACGCAATTAGACACAATAATTTTTTCAAATAATAAGCAATATTAGAAACTTCTTGTAATTATTACAATTTATCACCACTTGTTATCACGATCTATATTTTCTTTAAAAAACTGTTCCTTAAATATAAATAGAATGCATCAAAATAATAGTGAATAAAATAAAAATCAATGATTATCAAAACCATTATAAAGCAAATAAATCTCAAAAATGAAACCATACAAAAACAAAAACAAAAATAAAAACAAAAACAAAACCAAGTTGAAGTTAACAATTTACAACAAAAAAAAAAAAAAAAAAATTAAACCAAAATAAAAAACACAAACAAAAAAAAATCATAAATAACTTATCGACAAACCCACTCGGCAAAAACACACCATGCAACCCCTCCATCAGTAACCACCAACCCTTTCCAAACCCCAACTTCATCACAATTCACTGCCGCCTCCCAGGCTCCATGGGCCGATCCTCCTGGTGCTTCATTGGCCACTTCTTTCTTTTTAAGCTTGATGATTCTCCCCGTTGGGCTTTGTAACGCCAACTTCGTCTTAAGAAACCCTGACCCGTTGGTGAGCCCGGCACTAGGATGTTGCAAGATCTTGAAAATGTACGAGAAATCAGGGTTCAAGTTCTTGATTTGCGGGTCTTTCACGTAAAGATCGTGTTTTTGACAATGGATCGTTGGGTAACGGGTGACAAATTGAAGTTCACGATACACTATTTTCTTGTTGTTGTTGTTCTCCAAAGAATTCGCCATAAGGGCATTTGGTGATGATGATGACGGTGGTCCCGGTTGACGGAAATCGCCAGTAAGGACATGATACAATGGAATCGTCAATGATAATGGATGGACGTTGGCAAGGGATTTCTGAAGCCCTTTAGCCCCACTATAAATCTCAACGAACCCTTTCGAGCAATTTTCCGGGAGAAGTGCCTTGATACGACAATAGCGAACGTTGTTCTTCCAAAAGATCTGTGACACACATAAATGACGATAATTGCCAACCTCTTTTGAGGCAGCATTATTATTATTATTATTATTATTGTTGTTGTTATTGGCCCCGCCTTTTTTCTTGGTGACCACCACCTCTGAAGGGTTGGAATCAATTGGTTTTACCGAACAGAATACCTCAACATTTTTAGGAACTTCCAAAACAATTTCAAACACTTCAAGGTCTTGGAGACGGGTCAATGCATTGTTGAACTTTTTGATTTTGAGGTCGGTCTTGAAGAATTGGGGATAACAAGATGGTAATGACAAGGCGATCATCGAATCCAACGGTGGGGAAACATGTTGTTGTTCAATCAATGTCGGGATATGGGTATGGATAAGTTCAAGCGGTTTGGTCAAGAAATAAATCGACTTATCAAGATTATTACCACAATTATTCTTCTTGGAGATCCCCGCGGTATACGGGGTAATCGATGATGCCGAGGTTTGGGCGAACGATTGACCGGAAAATGTCGACGAGCTCGACGATTTGTGGGATTCCGGGTGGTCGGTGGTGGTATTGATATTGTTCTTCAAAATCGAATTATAAAATGAATGAACGTTACCGAGGGCACAATCCAAGAATCGCCATTCATTATCAATCAACACACTGTTCCACACATGATTGGTGGTCAAACTAAGGTTTTCCTCGTGGGGTCTTTTGAAGTACCCGATTATCAATTCGTTTGGAATTTGTAATTCATCAAGGAACACTTTCATCAACCAGGCCAATTGATACACCGTGGCGGTTTTCTGTTGGAAAATGGTGTTGATGTATTTGGCTGGCGAGTTGCGAACGTCAATGACTTCATTCAGCTCGATCAAATGGATTTTCTCGGTACAGAACACGTAACACGCGCGAACTCTATCAAGTTCACTGGAATACTTAATCGCCACTTCATTGGAAATAAAAGTTTTCGGGGAAATGTACGGCAAATGCCTTAAATTCCGGATGAACTCGTCGACATTTTTGAAATCACCGTCGAAATTCAACGACCGATGGGAATTACCGGCAGGCGGTGGTGGTGGTGGTGGAGGACCATACTTGGAAATCGGCACCACTTCGTTACTATTGGCCTCGGTGAGCAATCTTTGAGGCTCAAGAATCAAGTACTTTTCATGCTGAAGCGCCCGCTTTTGACGCACTTTATAATCTTTGGCAGAAATACTGGTGGCACGATTCAAATCAACCTTGTTTTCAATCCACGAGGCTTCGGTATCGGCATTCCCGATACTCAAATCGGCGAAATTCTGATTCTTCAAAGTTTGGGGCAAATGGTTATCGTTCAAGATATTGGCGACCGACGAGGGTTTATTAGGGACGATCAATCCGGTGGCGGAATTCAACGGGTTGATTTTCCCAAGGTCTTGATCTTTTAAAAACCATTTTTTCAAAAAATTCGATTTCTTATTTTTTTTATCCTCAACGAAAATCACGTCCAATGGATTATGGGCATGGGCGTGCAAATCATTGACAGAACTAATCGCGGCGATGATTTCTTGAGGGTCGGGTGGGGCATCATTCAAGATCGAGACGTCGCCCTTTGAGTTTTGAAGGTCGAAATGATCATCGGCAGACACCCGGCGCAAGTACTTGCTCTTCATGAAACTTTGACTTAACTCATTATCATGTTCTGCTGGCTGGGGTTGCTTGTGTTGTTGTTGTTTTGATTGGGAAAGTTCAGATGGAAGGGGTGGTAAATTGTTATTTCCTCCTCTAACATTTTTGTGACGATAGTAACTACCGGCACTGGTGGCGCTGAAATCGGTGATTGCCGTTGACACCGAGCTTGAAACACTTTCATTTGAATTGAAATGGGTTCCAGTACCCCCACTAATGCTGGAATTATCATCAATGTTTGGGTGTTGTTGTTGTTGTGAAGTGTTGTTGTTATAATGATGAGGATGAGGGTTATTATTATGATAATCGCTGACGGTGGATTTCGATTGATTCAAAGTATCTGGATCGTATGGAATCACAAAACTGGTGTTATTGGAGTTCTGGAAATTCTGATAAAATCTATTATCGTGTTTAGATACCGCATCCGGGTGTAAGTAGCTATTATCTGGGGTACTGGTTTGAGGTACGTCATCACCAAGGAAATTCAAGCTGGTATTAAAGTAATGCAAAAGTTCAGGGTTTGGTTCAGAATGCTCATTATACGATTTGATCGGGACTCTATGGGCAGGGGGAAGTGGAGGAGGTGGTAGTAGTAGATCTTCTTCTTCTTCTTCTTCTTCATCTTCTTCGTGTTCTCCTGAAGAAGCTTCAATTTGAAGATCATTATCGATATTCAACATATCAGGAACCACCGAAGGAGGTTTCAAAGTAGAAGTATTGGAGAATTCTCTATTTGATTCGAGGTTGAAACGAGAGAATGGCATGGACATTGAGTGAGGAATTCCTGGTTTAATTTTATTGTAGTTATTATTATTATTATTACCGGCAGTTAAGCTACCAATATTCATGGCACTTTGACTATGAGGAAGGTAATTAGCTTTGGAATTACTGACAAGACTAGCGGCATGATTGGCATGGGATATCGATGCCTCTTTGGATTTATTGGCGTAGAAATCATTGAGTTGATTGACTAACAAGTTCAAGTTTTGAGGGGTTGACAATGAATGAGCGATTTGTGATTTGCGTTGCATCATGTCATTTTGAAGCTGTGATTTCTTTTGGATTTCCGTTTGCAATTGTTGTAGCTGTTGAAGTTGTCTAAGTTGTTGGATTTGGTTTTCGATATCTTCTGGGGACAACGACAATGATTGGTTGAACGATTGGTTATTCATTGATTGATCCATCATGGTATGATTACCGAAGGTGGTGTCGGGGTCTTTGAATGAATGAACCGATATCGAGTGATGGGGGAGCATCGTAGATCTAAAGCTGGTGTCTGCTGTTGCTTGATCCACACTGGTGGAGATGTTTGCATGCAGATCATTCATTTTTCTCGACACATTGTTAATATTGTTATTTCCAGGACTTTCGACAGGTTTCATGATGGTGGTGGGGGTGGTGCTGGTATTATTAATATTATTATTATTATTATTATTATTATTAGCCTTCATAGAAAGATCAGCTTTAGAGCCATTGGGATCATCGATGATCTTGACAAAATTCAGCGGGAAGTTACCAGTCATTTTGTTTCTTTTCAGTTTACCATGCCACCAATTACCATCGCCAAAGCTATCGACTTCGATGATATCTCCTTCGATGAACCCAAGATCATCGTCTTGTTCGCCACCCCAAGAATACACTGCTCTAACTTTGCAAGGCAATTCGTATTCTGAGAAGTTGACCATGATATATGAATGAATGAATCAATGTATGTATGTATGAATGTATGTATGTATGTATATCTATATTGTGTGATGATGGTGGTAGTGTGTGTGTAAAAATATATGTGATTTGTGTTGATCAGGAACTAACAATTGTTGAATGTAATAATAATCATAAGCGAGACTGTCACAAGTTGTGTGTGTATGTAGGAAGGATGGAAGAAGGGAAGGAAGAAAAGAAAAGAAAAGAAAAGAAAAAGAACAAGCAAAAGAAGAGCTTTCAGACCATCAGATGCAATTCAGCGAAAACACATTTTTTTAAGGAGAAAGTGAAATGGGAAAAGAAGAAGCAAAAAAAAAAAAAAAAAATAGTGAAGTCACCGAGACGGGGGATGGTTTGTTTACGTTTTCCCTGTTTCGGCAGTACCGCTGCGACGGGTGGTTGGTTTATGCCAAAACAACAACCACCAAAGCTGTCTGCCTGTCTGCCTGTCTGCCTGTCTGCCTGTCTGCCTGTCTGTCCTGCCTGGTATTGTATTATCCAGCGGTGTTTCGGATTTCTTTTTTTTTTTTTTTTCTCTTTCTTGGAGGAGAATCAAGAGTTGAAAAAAAAAAAAAGGATGTTCCAATGATGAAGTTGTTGTTTCTTCTTTGGCTTTAAGAGATGGATGGATGGGTCTTGCTTGCATTTTGGGTGCGACTCTCCGACACAACCAACCACTGACTGTATAAACAATCTCATAAACGGATGGAATTTCAGGTGCACAGCACACAGCACACAGCATAAAACAACAACAACAACAACAACCTCATGAATCATCGAATCCTGGTCTGGGCATCGAATATTGTTTTTGTGGAAAATTAAATTTAAATGTTTTTTTGTGCTGTTTGTGCTTGGATAGCTTTTCATTGACTCGTTAATATGCAATTTGATTTGATTTGATTTGATTAGCTTTTATATAAATAAATAAATTGATCATAGAAGATACCATCATCAGGTGACAGCTTACACTTTCCAATCTCCAAGCAGCAGCGATGAGGTATCTCATATATATATATATATATATATATAAGTAAACGGCGACGATGGTAAACCAACTAACCAAAACTCCCAGAGTATCCATGCACTGTTCCGCATGATAACGCGGGTATCACACATCACCACCCCACCCCACCCCCACTTCACAGATTGGCCAATTGCGAGGCGGCGGTTTTTCAAAAAAAAAAAAAAAAGTTGAGAGAAAAAAAAAAAAAAATTACATAGTGTGGGACGGTGTTGATATATCTATATATATTATCATTATTATATGTGTGTGTGTGTGTGTCATCTTATGCTCAACTAACAACAACAACAACAACCAAACAGTAGCATTATTATTGATTTTAAAGGGACAGACAAAATACCTTAAACTACACATTGAATCCCTCAATTTTTTTTTTTTTTCCATTTGTCTCTTTACTTTCCTGTTTCTGCTGATTTTATTCATTACAACAACAACAACAACAACAACAAAATGCTCTCATTTGCTCGTCGTTCGGTGTTAAAGCGTTCCACCGTCGCTACTACTTCAAGATTCTTGAGTGGTGGCCAATCTACAAAGTACGCTTTCATTAATCCTCCTGAATCAGTTGATAACTCTCTCGGGACTTACCAATCGATCAACAAGACCACAATAACCGAAGATTTCAACACCATAAATAGCGACTCTGAAGATCTTAAGAAACACCAAAACACCAAGATCAGACACTTCACCGTGAATTTCGGGCCACAACATCCTGCGGCCCACGGGGTGTTGAGATTGATTTTGGAATTGCAAGGGGAAGAAATTGTCAGATCGGATCCTCACGTCGGTTTGTTGCACAGAGGGACCGAGAAGTTGATCGAATCAAAGACTTATATGCAAGCTTTGCCATACTTTGACCGGATGGATTATTGTTCGATGATGACCAACGAATTGAGTTTTGCCCTTGCCACGGAAAAATTGTTGAACGTCGACGTGCCGCTTAGAGCCAAGTACATTAGAACTTTGATGGGGGAAATCACCAGAGTGTTGAACCATTGTATGTCGATTTTGTCGCACGCCATGGATGTCGGGGCATTGACCCCGTTCCTTTGGGGTTTTGAAGAGCGTGAAAAATTGATGGAATTTTACGAAAGAGTGTCGGGGGCCAGAATGCACGCCGCGTACGTTAGACCGGGCGGGGTTTCCCAAGACTTGCCAGAAGGGTTATTGGACGATATTTACATGTGGGCGACCCAATTTGGTGACAGATTGGACGAAACCGAAGAATTGTTGACCACCAACAGAATCTGGAAACAAAGATTGGTCGACGTTGGGGTGTTGACCGCGGAAGACGCGTTGAACTACGGGTGTACCGGGGTGATGTTGAGAGGGTCAGGGATTCCTTACGATATTAGAAAAAGTCAACCTTACGACGCGTATGACTTGGTTGATTTCGATGTGCCGGTAGGTCTCAATGGTGATTCTTATGACCGTTACTTGTGTAGAATGGCGGAATTCAGACAATCTTTGAGAATCATTGAGCAATGTATAAACCAAATGCCAGCGGGGCCAGTCAAGGTTGAAGATTGGAAAGTGAGTCCTCCACCAAGAGACTTGATGAAGGAGGATATGGAAGCGTTGATCCACCACTTTTTGTTGTTCACCAAGGGGTACGCGGTTCCACAAGGTGACACTTATACCGCGATCGAGGCTCCAAAAGGTGAATTGGGGGTGTATCTTGTGAGTGATGGTTCTGAAAGACCATACAGATGTCACATTAGAGGTCCAGGGTTTGCCCATTTGTCTGCCTTTGACCATATTGCCAGAGGTAATTACTTGGCTGATTGTGTGGCGATCATTGGTACCATGGATCTTGTGTTTGGTGAAGTTGATCGTTGAGGAGAGAAACTAACAAGAAAGAAATAAAGAAAGAAAGAAAGAAAGAAAGAAAGAAAGAAAGAAAGAATGAAAGAAACGGGAGTAGTAGTATATTGTCATATATATTTTTTTCTTTTTTTTGTTTTGTTGCACTAATAATATTTTTGTAGTTTGTTTATTTTATATTATCATTTACTATATATCATCATTCACTATAGCTATATATATATATATATATATATGTTTATATTTTCAAAAAAAAAGAAAAAAAAAAAAATGAAATAAAATATCCCAACGTTGTTTGGATTTTTTTTTTAATAATTGGAAGATGAATTGTAGGAATTAGGGAGAGACGAGGCGAGGTGAGGCGACGAGAGTGTGTGTTGAATTGTTGTTGTTGTTATAGGTATGAATTTCTATTATTATCAAGTATAAGGGAAGGAAACTGAGGGAGATACTTAAATAATATTGGGATTGATTGATTGATTGATTGATTGATAGAGATTATTATTATTATTATTATTATTGTTGACGGAGGAATGGGATCCATGACATCCCTTCAAGTCAGTCAGTCAGTCAGACAGTCAGTCAGTCAGTCAGTCAGTCAGTCAGTCATGCAGACAGACGTACGTAGGAAAAAAAAAAAAGGATCCCGATTTCCCTTAAATAATAATACCGCTGATGAATGGATAAATAGATAGATAGAATGTCTTCAATGAGAAGCAGCTGTCGTTGAAACTATTACCACAACACTCTGTTTTGGACTGGGAAGTTCTACACCTATAATACTTTGTAAGGACACCCAATAAATTGTGGTAATAATTTCTCATATGGCGGGAACGTTTATTTATTTATTTATTTGTTTATTTATTTATTTATTTATTATTCATGTGATGTTGGTCTATTGTATGAGAAGCTATATCTTATTATTGATTGCCTATTTTATTATTAGTGAAAATTCTCACAACGACGATCTTTGACTTTGACTTTCACATCTTTTTTTTTCCGTGTTTTATTTTCCGTCTTTTCTTTTCTTTTCTTTTGTTTCCATTTTTAGTTCATTTTTAGTGTTTGATCTTGCTTGCTGTGGGCTAATAATTAATGGAAAGAAAGAAAGAGAACGGAATAAATAAATTAGAATTAGACAATCCTTGGCTAATAAATCTTGGCTGTAGAGCAGACAGAGACACACACACCCATTTCTTTTCTTTTTTTGGCCACTCAATTTCAAATGGTTGAGGTGTGATTGGCGACAATCAAATATCCCTAGAAAAAGATCACCACACAAAAATAATCATAATCATAATAATAATAATGATAATTATAATAATAATATGAAATCCTTGTAGTTTTTTACCTCGGCCGGGAGATCTACAAAAGAGGAGGATTAATTACCATTTAGGAGTATTGTGACTACAGACCCTGTCCTGTCCTGTCCTGTCCTGTCCTGTCCTGTATTGGCAGTGATTGATGATATACATCATAGTAATCTCATCAATTGCCATCAAATGATCGTAAGAGCATAGAGAATAAAAAAATTATAATATGGGTGGCGGTGGCGGTGGCGAGGGGAAATGCTTTTTTTTTTTTTTTTGTTTTTCCTTTCTTTTCCTTTCTTTTTTCTTCTCTGGAATGGAAGAGAATCAATCAATCAATCAATCCTTTCGGTATAGAAGAGAGAATCTCTATTTTATTACAACATTGTGTCTACACATTAGATGGATAGTATTTATACGCCGGAAAATTTTTTTCTCTTTTCTTTTTTTATTCCACCCTTGATAGAGAGAGAGAGAGAGAGAGAGGGGCTGTCAAGACAACAATATATAGAGGAGAAGTGATGATATGAGATAACAACAATAGTAATAATAATATATAGAAGATAACAATCTATATATATGACAATAGCAATAATAACAATTAAGTAAATAAATAAATATATAGATAAATAAGATAAGTATAAGTAAATAAGATAAGTATAAGTTTAAGTATCAGATCCTGCACGGTGGGATAAAATAAAATAAAATAAAATAAAATAAAATAAAATAAAAAAAAAAAAAAAAAAAAAAAAAAAGAGTTTGCAGACTAAGCCTAACGTAACCACCCCCTCCGCCCCGCATCGACTATTGCCAGACCTTTTAGCTAATTCATGTTGCTTTTGGGTTTCAGGTTGTGGAATTTGGAAAATAACTCTATGTAATCACCGAAAATGTTTGACGTGTGATTGTTTTGCCGTGGATGAACTTGTTGCTTTCTGCTGCTATAGCGAGGAGGAGGAGGAGGAGGAGGAGGAGGAGGAGGAGGAGGAGGAGTAGCAGCAGTAGTAGTAGTAGTAGTGACGTTGCATAGTCGAATATGTAAGTGGGTGAGATGATGAGATCGATCATTGAATAGCTTTTTTTTTTTTTCTCCTCAAAGTAGATGATGATGATGATGATGATGATGACGATAACGATGACGATGACGACGATTATGAATATACAGATAGATGGAAGAGAGGGGGAGTTGAGATAGTATAGTATAGTATAGTATAGGTAGCAAGATATAGTATACATATATACAACATGTGACCAGTTCCATGACAACATTCTTGTTGTAATAGGTGTATAGAAGAATATATTTCGGTGGTGTGTATACATATTTGGGAAAAAGTTTATTCCCCGAAGGGAAGGGAAGGGAAGGGAAGCTAAGCTAAGCTAAGATTCAAGACATGGTAATTTAGCACTGGGGTTGGTTGCCAGAAGGGAGATGTGATGTGAAAAGATACGAGTATTGATGTGATATGAATATGAATAAGATAAAATGAATATAAATATAAATATATATATATATATAGTAATAATGTAGTGAATATAATGGAAATAGAAATAACAAAATCCAATTATCACCGAATGTTTGGAATCTTCCGCATGGGAAATTAAAGTTGCGGGAGGGAAGGGAATTCATTCATTTATTTATTTAAGGGAAAGGAAAAAAGAAGGGCGATGGGTGGGGGTGGGGGGGCGGCAGCGGCCCACTGAAAAATCATCGCTGCACCGCCAATCGTGTGCCAATCTTCGGTCGTAAAGTGTGATGGCAAAATATATAAATAATTGGGGTTTTTCCCTGGACTTTGTATTCATTCTATAATAATTGTAGGTGCTATTATTATTATTATTATTATTATTATTACTATTATTATTATTACCATTAATATTCCACCACCATCATCATCATTTATACTATATTATATTATATCACACTATAACCATACAACATCTCTATACTATTAATATTTCACATCATGTCAAATTCAATCGTCAAGTCTGAACACCAACACCAACACCAACACCAACACATCTCAAGCTCGGACAGAACCCTCTTGACAGGTCTCCCAACCATTAATAATTCATCAAGGAACCCTGCTGGATCACATAGTGACAAAGACGCCTGGATCTGTTGCGAGTGTATATGGATAAACGACATCAGTTCCAAACTATGCGAGACTTGCAACCACAATAATTGTTTTAGATGTAATTTCCAATGAAAATATCATCATTACTATTATTATTATTATTATTATTCATCATCACACATTCATTCAAATCTAAAACTATTCATTTCAAAGAAAGAACATAAAACATCAAAAAAACAAAACAGCGGCTGGTTGCAATATTATACCCATTATTATTATTGTTATTGTTATTATTACTACTACTATTATTATTACTACTACTATTATTATTACTACTACTATTATCATCACTACACATTCCACATTCCACATTTCTTTACACAAACTTTGGTTTTTCCCATCATCATCATCATACAAGAGAAGGAAAAAAAAAAAAAAAGTTGTCTCATATTTCCGGGATTTCCCATCAAATGTCACACGTACATTAATAACACTCACATAGTACTTATTCACTCACTCACTACACATTACAAACAACCATCTTCATCATCATTTCCAATATCAAGGATGGCTATTATTCTTAGCCTCTTTCCCCCTCCCCCCCGACATTGGCATGCCATACACTATTTCATATTATACTATTTTCTTTTTTGCACATTTTTACATTTTTATTTTTCATTTTATTTTACATTACATTTACATACACTCACACACTTTTTTAAATCTCCAAAATATAGCACTCTAATGAATTAATGACTCTTTTATTATTATTATTATTATTATTATTATTTTTCCTAGTCATTTTGTACTGTTTCATGTTTGGTGGTGGGTGACACTGCTATAGAGAGCGGGAAGGATTGTGATGGCGATTAGTGTAAAATTTCATCATCGCTGTTCATCCATCCGGCTATTGTGTTGAATAATAGTGATACATTATAAATGACTCGTATTTGATGAAACAACAAACAAAGATTATTATTATTATCATCATGACAATAATAATAACAAACGCGTCGTATTGGAAAGACAGAAAGGAAAGAAAAAAAAAAAAAAGAAGAAAAAGAGCCGCTGTCGTAGTAGTAGTAGTAATGAATAATAGGTAGTGTATGTATGTATGTTGTAGTAGTGCAGAGCAGTACTCACCGAACAAATTGCCCCTAATTAATTAAGCAGGCGTATGAATGACACAAGCAAAAAAATCATCGTCACTGCACAAAAAGAATAAAATAAAATGAAAAAAAAAAAAAAATTCCCCAAATTGTCCACCATGACGCATTACGCAGAAAAACCTTCTTCTTCTTTTTCTTCTTCTTCTTCTTCTTCTTACTACTACTTACTACTTACTACGACGTACGATACGATACGATACGATACGCACAGAAAAAGTATATATATATTGTCCACGACGGCGGTATAGTAAATAAATAAATAAATAATTCATCATATAACACACTTCCTTTAAACAATAGAGAGTTAGAATTAAAATAACCTAACATTTCATTTTTTTTGAAAGGGGAGGGGGGGAGAGAAAAAGAAAAATGATAAATGAAAAATACAACACAGAATAATAGTATTAGACAACTCGCATCATCATCATCATCATCATTGTCATCATCATCACCAGATTTTATTATTATTAAATAAATATTATTACTAAATATTATTAAAAAACATTATCAGAAAATATTATTGAAAAATATTATTAAAAAATACTATTAAAACTGATCAAAGCAAATAATTGTGTAAAACAAATAAATAAATAAACAAACAAACAAACAAACAATCTCATCAATATAAAGAATCAGAAGCAATTCGAGTAGCTCTTATAAGAAAAAATAAAAAAAAAAAAAAAATTAAAAAAGACAACATCAAAATGATTCAAATAATTAAAAGAGACATTCTTTAAAACAAAAGTCTCACTCATCAAAATAAAACAAAAACAAAAAAAGAATAATTAAAAAATATATACATAATAATATATATATAAAGAATAGAAAAATTAAAGATAAATGTTGTGACAAAAAAAATAATAATAAAAAAAAAAAAAAAGCATAATAAAGAGAAAGGAAAAGGACCAAAACATAAACCAATTCTAAACTACTATAAACTACTATTGATTGACAAAACCATAACAGTCAAAAAGAAAAAAATAAAACAAACAAAAAAAAAACAAAAAAACATATTAATCATCATCAATGAGAAAATCCACCATAAAATAAATTAAATTAATCAAATGGTAATGGTAAAACAACAAAAAAAATATTCATCAAATGATGATGATAAAATAAGGACATTATTAATATAAAAATCTATAAAACTTTTTATTTTTATTTTTCATCATTTTTTTTTTTTTTTTTTTTTTTGTTCTTTCCTCTTTTATTTCATTTATTTATTTATATATGTATATTTCATTCGATACAATCATTAGTAGATCGAATTTTAATATAAGACTCTCAATCCATCGATCAACACGAGACCAAATATATATATATATATATATATATATATATTTATTTTCTCTATCTCTCTCCCAGATTTATCATTATATTCAATCATGACTTAAGAAATCTTCCAAATTTCGTCGAACGCCCTTCTTCAGGTTTTGGAGAAACCATCATCCCATTATTATTACCATCCCCTGCCCCACCTCCTCCAAACATAGAACTTTCAGACGATGATAACGTCCCTCTATTGTTATCAACCATCCCCATTATTTCCAAATTCGGCGAAGTGATCTGGTCTCCAGCAATCGGTGGCGAACTCAATGGAGTAGTACTACTACTCTCAACATTATTAGGATTAACCCCTGGTTGCAAGAACCCTTTCGCTTTAAGTTGCTCTTCTCTAGCCTTGGCATTTTCTCGGGCCTTGAGCAACAATTCTTGGGCTTTCGCCAAAGAAACCGTCGGGGTGGAACAGGTACTAACCGTCGGCACCGTCTCATCAACATCGATGGTCGCCTTCATTAACGCCGACATCCAATTCCTCATTTCTTCCCGGGTTTCTACCGCAAAATAATGCACCTTGGGTTGAGTGAACGTCAACCCCTTTTTAGACCCTGGTGCCGGAGGCACAAGCTTAAAACAAAAACGCCCTTGCCCAGTAGTCGCAGCATAAAGCGATACAAGCTTGTCATCTTCACGAGCTGGAAGCACCCGGTGGGCAGTGATATCAATAAGCCCCTTTTCTTTGGTGTCTTTCAAATTCCCAAAATAAGAAAGTCTCGTACCATGAAGGGTGAAAAACCGCTGCTTCCAAGTACCAACCGTCGAACTAGATTTCTTCGACATCCACCCAGAATGTTCGGCAGTTTTCGCCGACATTTCTGGAGTAACACGATTGATCCCTTCTTGGAACGCCGACGTTTGCTTTTTGGTCTTCTTCACCACTTTGGAGGTTTGGGCATTACGAACTTGATTCACTTTAAAACTCGACTCGCTACTGCCCACCGAGTTATCAAGCGGTGGCCTAGAATCAACTGCCGATGATACGGCTCGTTTTGGATTGAAATTGTGTTTCGCGGTTGGCGATTTGGAGCTGGCTTCATTCGCACTAGCAGAACGATATTTCGGCGACGAAATTGGTTGGTTTATTGCCGCCGTCGATGACGACGTACTGCTATTAGTAGACAATTCTTCTTGCTGCTCATTGATCAAATTCAATTTGCTAAATTCTTCTTCCGGTGGTTGGAAAATCGGAGAATCAGGAATTCTTGACCCAGCACTGAACGGAATATATCCAAGCTTGCTAGAGTTATTGCGACTAGCATTAGGAGTCGAAGGTGAAGAGTTACTGTAAATTTCCGTAGTACTTTGCTTCAGTTTTGGTGGAGAGCTTCCTCCTGGAGGAAGAGGTGCTTTACGAACAGGCGAAAACTGACGCTCCTCAGACTGCAGCTGTTGCTGGGCCTGCAGAAATACTGGAGACCCTGCCGAGCTTAAGTTGTATTTTGAAACTTGACTACCACTGGTAGGGGGCGAAGTAGCAACGTTATTATTAGCGTAGCCAGGTTTCTGCTGAATAGATTTTCTCTGGTCAGCGATACTAGAAGGCGCGTCATTGCTGATAACCGATTTCGAATCCTGGACTGGGATTGACGGCATAAGTTCACTATTGCTTGACATCGAATAATTATCTTCTTGTTGTTGTTGTTGTTCTTCTTCTTCTTTATCTTCATGTTGCGGTTGAGTTGAAACAGGTTCAGACCCAGAAAAATTATCGGTAGACAAATTGAGGTACGGATTATCCATGGTATAACCATCACCAATCTTGTAATCACTCACGTCCGGGGCAGCAAGCGCAGCATATTCATTGGCATAATTGTTCGCTGCCGGAGGTTGTTGCTGGACCACGGGGTTCGGCTTGTCAAATGGTTGCTTTGTATTTTTAATCGTTATTCCGGTCCCTGATACTCTTTTTGACGCCGCTCGGCTATTCATTTGTCGAGGTTCAAGTATTGGAGTACCATTATTCACTTTGTTCTTCAAATTTTCAATGATTTTAAAAATTTCAAATCGAGTACCAAAAGGACCAATATCCAATTCTTTTAGATACGCAAGTTCTAGTTCAAGTAAAATATTCCCGGTAATTTTATGTCTTTGAAACTGCACTGCTTCAGTATTGTAATTAAGCGACTTGAAATAATCACCAACGTCCTGCGAGTCCCAATCAAGAATCAGCTTGGAAGCAAAATTTTGGTTGCCATACGACTTTTGCGATAAATTATCCTCCTCATATTCATTTGGTCTGAAATCTTCCAAAGCTTGATCAATTTCTGACATAGTCCTGATCACCGACGAATGACTGCTGCGATGATTTCCAGATGATGACTGTTTAACATGTTCTTCGTCAAAACTACTGAATTTGCCACTATTCGATCTTTGGTTATTTATCAACCCGGTAATATTGTTATTCTGAGAGCTGTTGACCGAGTTGTTATATTTATTGATGTTTGGAGAAGAGAGTCTTGAAGAAGTGCTTGACCGTGTACTGCCGCCGTTGAAATTTTGGTTGCTGTTATTAAAATGCGATTGGGGAGACGCTGATGGAATCGGCGAATTCAAAGGCGATGATAAAGATTGTCTATTTCTCAGCCTTGAGCGCAATAAACTCGAATCATTTGACTGCTTGCGATGTAGCTCTCGGTTATTTGGGTTTTGAGCAGGCTTGGTAAATGATTTGGGGTATAAACCTGCCATGTTGGAGTTCAAGTTTTTACCCATATACCAACCATCATTGAATTCACGATCATCGGCGATGATCTCAATAGTATCGCCTGGCTTTATTGAAAGCTCGTCACCCAAACGGGCATTGAACTCTTTGATTGCCTGGGCAAACTGGGGTTCAAAAATGGACATGTGTAGCTGCCTGACTAATTATTATTTTTGAAACTTTAGATAAGACGATAACCGCCTTGAGAAAAAGAAGAAAAGAGTAACAGCACAGTAAATAAATAATTATTAGTTGGCAGAAAAAAGGGGGGGTAGAGAGCAGGCAACTTTAGTCAAAGGTCAAAGAACGAAGCAACGATCTGCTTGGCGTGTGTGAATTATTATTTGTTGTGTGCTGGTCAGATGAAGACTTCCTAGAAAAAAAAAAAAATTGATGATTTCTGGACTAACAAGATTATTATGTGATGTGTTCAACTTTTTTTTTTTTTCCCTTTCTTTTTTGGTGTTTGGATTCCGTGGTGGTGGGTGCTTTGGGCGAAAAGTAAAGAAATGGCTGGGGATTTGATGTTACCCGACGGTATTATATGCAACGTGATAAGGAGATTGTTTACCACGTGCCGCATTGTGGCCAGAGCCATTTCCATGGACCGATCACCGAGGAGGGTGATGTTTTATGTGATTTGTGGAGACCACAGGGGAGGGAGGGAGATACGGGAATAACAGAACAATAAGAATGAATGCCGATGGTCAGTTGGGTTCTTCTTTGCTACATAGTTAACCTTCCGATCTTATTTACAGAAACCAATCTTAACAATTTATTATCCTGATCTTTATTTGAAAAATTACTGCTGGATTGTTGTCTGTGGGATGGGGGTCTTTATGGATATACTGGTTGGTAATCAAGATATATATTAGATAGATAAGATCCTCGCTGGGTCTGTTATGGCGGTAGAGTAGAGAATGATAGATTGTATTAAGGATGGCTGCTATCTGGATGATCGGGTAAGACGCCATGGGAACCAATTTCTTCTATAAATCAGTGAAATAATGACCGCTATTGAATGTAATGTGTGTGAAAAAACCCAACATCAACACAACTAACTAACTAACGTACTTTCCAGTCAGGGGAAGGAAGCTGTTGTTTTGACTTGGGAACGCCGGCGCCACCCACACACCAGTTGTCACTGGCTACTCTCCCCCGGCCAAAGTCAGACAAACAGTCACGTGGCAAAAGATCTTCCCTCTCTGTCTGTCGCTCCTCTCCAATAGTTACTGAGTGACTACCGGGCGCGCCGCATTCAATTGCTGTGTGTGCTGTGTGGTCTGTTTTCATGGTGGTGGTGGTTGTCGCTGTAGAGGGAAAATTAGCTTCCCCACTTAGTGCACAGCGTGTCATCCATCAATATGACCATTCTCCCATATAAAATCCTGATGGCTGCTCTTGCTCCACCTAATTAATAATCAAACCACCTCCCAATTCATTAATATCCCACAATGTCCAGAGTAGAGAAAAACAATATCCCTAGGCCTTACAACCTCATTGCCAATGAGCGCGCCAATAACTCCGACTTCTCGGTCGATGAGATGTTCAAGTTCCTCGAAGGCAACTCCGATCAGCACGCTAACAGCATCTTGGAAATATCTAAGTTATTGGAACGCGATTTGGTCTTGAGAAACAAGCCCGGGTATTACGAAAACACTTCGAAAGACGAAATTAGACGCACAACCTTCCTCAAGGTCAAACAATTGGCCCTCTACTGCGAAAGAATTGTTGCTGAACAATTGGCAAACGGCGTTCCTTATGACAAGATTGATATATCCCAATACAACAACATCTTGTTTACTTATGCAGTTTACGATCCCCAAACAGTAACCAGAATTGCCATCCATTCCGGGCTTTTCTATAGCGCCATCAAGGGTAACGGCACCAAAGCCCAATTCAATTATTGGGCCTTTGAGCGCGAAGGGTTGTACGCAAAAGGGGTTTACGGTTGTTTTGGTATGACCGAATTGGCTCACGGCTCTAATGTCGCTGCATTGGAGACCACTGCCGAATATGATTTCAAGACCAAAACATTCACTATCAACACCCCTCATATCGGCGCTACCAAGTGGTGGATCGGAGGCGCTGCCACCACCGCCAATCATTGTTGCGTTTACGCTAGATTGATCGTTAAGGGCAAGGACTATGGGGTGAAGACCTTTATTGTTCAGCTTAGAGATGTAGATCATCACTTGATCCCTGGTGTGTCAATTGGTGACATTGGCGCCAAGATGGGCCGTCAAGGTATCGACAATGGTTGGATTCAATTCACAAATGTAAAGATCCCAAAGAATTTCATGTTGCAAAAATACGTCCAGATTAATGATGACGAGGAAGAAGTGATCAATTCCCCAATGGATCAATTAGCTTATGGTGCTTTGTTGGGTGGTAGAGTCGGGATGGTCATGGACTCTTATAGAGTTGGTGCTAAGGTCACGACTATTGCCTTAAGATACGCTGTGGGCCGTAGACAATTCGGTAAAGCGGTTAACAAAGAAACGAATTTCGCCAGTCCCCAACAAGTTGACAATTCATTGAAACTTGAAAAACAATTGATTGACTACCCAAACCATCAATACCGTTTAATCCCATTATTGGCCACTGCTTATTGCTTGTCCAGTGCTGCTTATAGAATGGTCAGAAACCTTGATGCAGTGAATAGTGCGTTGGAATCCACTCAATTATTGAAAAACAAAAAGTTTTTATTCAAGACCATTGAAGACCTTAAAGAAGTGTTTGTGATCAGTGCTGCAGTCAAACCCTCATCTACATGGTATGGTGCTAAAGCCATTGATGAATGTAGACAGGCTTGTGGTGGCCATGGTTACAGTGCTTATTCTTCTTTTGGTCAGACTTATAATGACTGGGTAGTTCAATGTACCTGGGAAGGTGACAACAATGTTTTGAGTATGAATTCTGGTCGCTCAATGACCAAATACCGTCAATCGGCTCTTAAAGGTAGACCTGTTCCATCACAATTCAAATTTTTAACAAAATCTTATAAGCCATCAGATTTTGCGAAGTTGGATTTCAGTGACAATGCCAGGCTTTTGGAGTTATTTGATTTCATGGTCATCCTGATGATTGATGAAGTCGTTGCTCAATTGAAAAAATACAACAAGGATTTTGATAAAGTTGGTCCACTAATGCTCAACACCGCAAAGTTTTTCTGCCAGAGGTATTATCTCGAATCAGTCCTTTTATACTTTGATGCTACTGAAGCGAATAGCTCCATCAAGCCAGCTTTGGTTAATATTATCAATTTATTTGCCTTATATACTATCAAGGAAAATTCCGGTGTCTTTTTGCGTTTTGGCTTGTTGTCACAGTCACAAATTGCTCTTGTCGAGTCCCGTATTTTTGATGATTTATTGCCATTCTTGCGTCACCGTATTGTGGCCTTGACAGATGCTTTTAAGTTAAGTGATTTCTTCATCAACACCCCATTGGGTAATTACGATGGTGATATCTACAACAAGTACTTTGACTTGGTGAATTCTGTCAACAACAACAAATCAGACTACGATGATTATGCCTATCAAGACGAGATCTTGAAATTTTTGAAGAGAGGTAGTATAGAAGAGAGAGAATATCATGAAAAGGATGCAAAGACATTGGAGAAATTGGGCAAGTAGAGTGCTTGGTAGTGTATTTAACTTGGTTTTGCTGGTTTTGATTTTTCTTTTTTCCCCCTATCTTATGACACGAATGGTTTTCATTGTTCTTTTTTGTTATTACTTTTCCTGTTTTTTTTTGTTTTTTTTATTGTAAGTGTATATCATATACTTCAATGATATTTATGAGAGCATTGTGACGAAATATATATTTTAAAAAAAGCTTAAGCTTGATGTTTCTTATCAATAAGTTAATTTTTTTTTTTTTTTTTTTTTGACGGATTGTGATGTACCGCGGTTATGGCACCGGTCTGTAGCCCTGGTAGGTGATCTGCTTTTTGGGATTATGAGATGAGATTGTGCTCGCCACACGCTTCCATTCCCTATCGATAAGGAAGTCAATTAATCACATATGACTCTCAGCTGGTTCAGAGGCTATATATATTTAAATATTTATATTCTGTGGACGGATTTATAGAGCATTATTGATAGAGGATTGGTTTGGTGGTTTTAAATCATTGGTTTAATCAATTAAAAAAGTCACAGAAACATACAACTCAATCCTAGGTTTATTTATTGATTTCTTACAGAGATCCACCCGTGTTTAAAACAAATTACACTCCAATTATTTGCATCCAGTTAATTTTCACAAAGGAAGTTTCTATTTCACTACTGTTCTTATTATTATCAAAAATCTTTTCTTTTCTTCCCTTTAATAATAATGAGTCCCCAATGGATGCCTCAGAACATTCAAAAGCGTCTCCTACGATACATTCTCCAGCAGCTTTCGGTGTTTAGCGAGATTGATCTCAGTGACTTGGATGTCTCACTAGGGGTCTTATCTTTGAAGAATGTTGCCTTAAATCCCGAGAGCTTTTCCATTCCTGGTGCATTTCTTCGAAGTGGCCAGATCAGTGATGTCAACTTGCAATTAACCACAGACGGAATCGTGGTAAAATGTACTGGGGTAGAGGTGATATTAGTATTAGCAACAGGAGCAGGTACCAGTGACTCTTCAAAGAAAAATGGAAGTCAGAGCAGAGAATTCAGTTTGGCTAAGTCAAGGAACGATTTGGCGAATAGTGTCATGGGTGATTTGCATGGCGATGAGGTCAGTACCACCAGTAGCGGCACCAGCAGCGACGAAAATGAATCCGGTAATAACGATGATGACGATAACAGAAATGAAACCAATAAGAAGAAGAAGGAAACTACAACATTTTATTCTAGTTATGTTAACAGGGCTGTGGAACTTGCATTGTCCAAGTTACAGGTGGTGGTGGAAAATGTATTAGTCAAAGTTATCATCGATGACAATGGTACCCTGACCAGTATTGGCGGAAGCAATGGTCAGCAGCGGGCCGCTTGCTCTCATTTTTTCTTGCAACTTGATAAAGTCAGTTGGGATTACACTAATGAAAAAAATAAGGCGGTAAATGTTGAAGGGTTTAAAATGTTTACCGAGCTTTCAACTGTCAATGGAGCTTCCAAAGAAAAAGCTAAACAAAATCCACGACCAGATCATCATTCATCTCCCAAAAAGTTCAATGGTTTGGGTAGTGTACTAGAGGAACCCATCATAGAACCGCTGAATAATATGGCCCATTCAGATGATGAAGATAGCGACCAATTCAATTCCGATGACGAAGGGTACAATCAAATGATGGCTTCATCATTCCTACCAAACCCTAAAGATGAGGGTGCCCCTACAGATCAAGATAGCGATGGAAGTGACGACGCCGATACTCCATCAACAATGTTTCTTAGTGCTAATTCACATTTATCACAAACAATGATGATGACTCTTAATAAACTCAAAGAAGAAAGAGATGATTTTGAAGACGAAGACGACAAAAATCATTCATTTCACAGTAGCATTGCAAATTTGAGAAAAAGCTCTTTGAAGACTGACGAACAAGAACGCATATTCAATAGTATTTATGAAACTGCTACCGGAAGTGGGACAATGAATACCTCACAATTCAGCATTATGAATCATTCCAAACAGAAAGAAAATAAGCGTGAAGCTGCTTCATTCTGTGATGAGCGAGTAGATGAAAGAAGATACTTTTTTGCCATCTCATCTCTAGTTTTGAGATTTGCGGGACTACTTGAATTCGAAGACTTGGAGGTCATTATTGAACAAGTCAACATTTCTTTCAAAGATTATGACAACGAAGATGATGGTGTTTATGCATCAATATTTGATGTAGCCTTGAACTTCATAAAGCAATTTGATAAAATCAATAAATTGAACTCCTATCTTATCAAGCGCAAGAAGGCCAAAATGAGAGGTTATAGCAACTTGGCTAATGGGAATGGCGGTAATGTCACAATTGGAAAATCAAAAAGTCAGAATGGTATTTTGGACTCTGATCCAAATGATGAATATGATGGCAAAGATAAACTTTCATGGTTCTCTAGAATGTGCATTAAAGAATTGAGCGTTAATTTTGATGATTATATTTTACCAGATGGGACATTTAAAAGTTCAGATGAGTTGCTTTTGAAGTTTTCAAATATTAATGTTAACAAAAAGAACCAGTATTTAATTTACGGTGGTATTGAAAAATTGGAAATGATCAACAGCCAATCCCAGGCGTTTGGGTTCTCATCGGCTGAAAATGAACCAGTCGCAGAGGTCAAACAGGAGGAACTTAGATTTGAGTACATGATGAATCAACACCAAGCATCTACTGCTGCCACTGATATTACAGTACTTTTTTCGAAAATTGCGTCTTTGAAGTTGAACTCTCAGATCATTGGTAAGCTTCTTGGCAAATTTTACAAGATATCCCCGGTTTTAGATGCCTTGACGAAACTACAGAGCACATTAGATACCAATAATAATTTAGCAGCTACTAATAACTATTCCAGTCAATTTTCTGGCAAAAGACTGGGATTGCTGGCGTCATTAGTTTTCCAGAAACCAGGCGGTGGAATGATGGCATCTTCTATTCTTGGTAATTCATCTCATATTCCCCAAAAGAAAAGCGCATTGACTGTGCAGTCTAATTCAATACACATCACTTTAGAAATTGAAGAGAATCAAGGACTTTATTTGGAAATCCTACCGATTAATTATTGTTCAAGTACCCAGAGATTGAATATTCCAAAAATGTTGATTTATGAAATCAACAAGATGAAATCGTCAATTGCCACTAGGATCATAAATGATGAGGGATTAGTGAATAAGGACAATGGGCTTATCGCCATGATTTCTAATATTAGCTTGACAGGCTATTCAAAGAAGCCCCACCATCAAATTACATCTTTCGACATAAATAACAAGGAAATAATGTACAGTACTGACTCTGTGTTGAATATAGATTCAGTGATTTATAGTGAAGAGTTTTCCAGCTTGATGGATATGATTGAGATGTTCAAACGCTTTGCCGCTGATTTGCCCAAGCCAAAAAGCGTTACGATGATTAGTGAACCAAGCAATCCGAGCTATATTAGTCCCGTTGGTCGTACTACTAGAAAAGTTCGAATGACCAGTACGGTTCTGTTTTCAAACCCAGGATCCAGTTCTAATGTTAAGATGCACGTTAATATTTCCAAGATTAAGACTGGTATCAATGGAATCAAGGCGGCTGAAAACGACCCTTCTAGCCTTTTTGGTGATATTGTGGGAAGTATAGATACTGTCCACGTGAATATTTTCAATGATTCTGTTATTCAAATTCTAGTGAAGAAGGTTTCCTTATTCAGATTCTATGGTTCTATGAGGGTTAATCTTTTTGATCTAGAAGAAGGGAGCTTAGATCACCAAAACATTAATAATGTGAAATCAAGGGGAGTGGAGGAATTTTTTACCCTGGATGAATTTGGATTTGATGGTAAAAACTTTGATGGTTTGGAACAATTGGTGGGGATTTCCAACCCGGAAGATGATATCCTACCCGTGATTGGAATCAGGTTTTCAAACAATAGTGGTCGTGGATTTGTTAGAAACTTGGCGATCAATTATTATGCGGCTTGGTTGCTGATTTTTGATAAAAAGAACAATGCCCAACCACAAGAGTCGCTGATACCAAAAACCGCCAGTGATAATAATTCTCCTACGTCCCTTATCAAGTTAAGAGTTGTTGATTGTGTTATTGGCTTAAACCCAAGTAGATTACACTCAAAAGCGATGTTGATGGTAAACAGAGGTGACTTGGATATACACATTGGGAATGATGAATTTTTTACAAAAGCTCAACTTCGGAACATTTCCATGTTATTGATCGATGATACTGATAATATTTTAAGCTATTCAGAAACAAAAAAGCGTAGGCAATGGTCAGGGACTAGAAGCACAAAGAAGAAGCCGCCTATTTCCCTGCAAGGCGGATCCAATACCTCAAGCATTCCTTCTTGGTCACAGTTGTCATGGAATTTAAGTAGAGGTTTTATTTCTGTGGGGACATTTAATTCTTTGAATTTATTGCTTGTTCGCAATAGTGAAATAAAACTCTACAAAATGCCTGGTTGCCAGAATCCGGTTATTGATTTGAAAATTGATGCTGATATCTGCAGTATTGAACTTTGTGCTGATAGCTCTCAAACATTGACCCAATTGTTTGCCGATTTGAAGGAACCAGTAATTCTTAGTGATGAGGAGAAGTTCAAGGTCTCTATTAATGATGAAGATTTAGCCACTAATACTCAGGATGCGATTGGTAGCAAAGGAATTGTGAATATTTTTGACGACATCGATGAGAATGCCTTTGGTCTACGTAAATCACTACATGAGACTGTTTTGTTCAACCGAAATAATGAAGGTTCTGATTCTGAATTGGATCTTGAATCTGATGGTGAAGCTGATGAAAACAATGGAGGTTTGAATTTTGTAGATGATTATTATGAAGGATTGCATAATTCTTCATCAGTTTCTAGCTCAAAACAATCATCTGAATCACAATCTTCGAACCAAAAGATCGCCAATGATATTTTGAGTCGCTCATTAAGTACATTGAATGTTGGTAAAAAGAGGGACCCATTACTGAAAAATACCTTTTATTACAACGAATCTTTTGGTAGTAATAATGAAGAGGACATGTCTTCAAATTCGTCATTGTCTTTTGCCGCTAATCACTTCAATACTATCAATGATAATTATAGTGATACTGATTTGAAAGCTAGAACTGTTCCTGTTAAAGTTCATTTAATATTGGGGAAGATAAATATATTGCTTTATGATGGCTATGATTGGCCTGATACTAGGCTGGCAATAAAGAAGGTAGTCCGCATGGTTGAAAAGACTGGGTTAAAGGCTTTCAATGATAAAGTGGCTAGGAATGATAACGGTGCCACTACGAAAAATAATACCTTGATAAGTGATGAAGATATGGCTGAGGAAGAGGAGAATATCAGTGCCATTAATGAAAATTATTTAAGAAGCGCTAAAAAGCTAAAGGACAAAAGAAACAGAAGGGATTCTCTTGGTGATTTTGGGTTCAGACCTTTCGGGATTGATGATGATGATGATGATACCATGAGAGATATTAATGAGTTTGATGGAGCTGAAGAAGACAATAGTGATGAAGAAGAAGATAATGATAATTTCTATCCTGGCTATGGTGATCCGCAAATAATTGATCACATGCTATTTGACTCTATTCATATCAGTCTTCCTGCGGGAGCCAATCCTGATGATTTGGCGGTTGGTATTAATAAGATTATTGGGAATTCAGATGTCATGAGCACAAACTCTACTTTGCCTAGTGCTCATCAAAAGCTGAGAGAAGCCGAATTAGTACCTGATCAAAAGACAAATTACAGGAAATTAAATTTGAGACGATCCAAGTCCCATAAATTGAGCGTGGATATTACTGAATTGGAGCTTGATTGTATTATTCATTGCAATACTGATCCAGTTTTTGATAACAAAACCCTTCGACATCAAGAATTGGAGGATGACTCTGAACTATTGCTTTCCTTGAGCGTCAAAATTAAGGATTTTGAAATCATCGATCATGTTCCAACCTCGACCTGGAATAAGTTTGCAACCTACATGAAGGAGGCGGGGGACAGGGAAGTTGGTGTTGGAATTATAAATTTTGATTTTGCAACTTACCGACCTGTTGCATCATTAGCGGCCACGGAATCTACAATCAAAGTGAACGTGTTACCTCTTAGACTCCATGTTGATCAAGATGCTTTAGAATTCTTGACGAGATTTGGAGGATTCAAAGATAAGAGATTTATGTTTGATGAGATATATGATGACATTTTGTATATTCAGAAGTTCCAAATCAACTCGGTTCATCTTAAGTTGGATTATAAACCGAAGAAGGTTGATTATTTTGGGATTAGATCCGGGAATACTACCGAGTTTGTGAACTTTTTCATCCTTGACGGTGCCAAGATTACTTTGAAAAAATTAACATTGTATGGTATACCTGGCATGCCAAGACTTAATGATGAGTTGAATGCTTTATGGATGCCAGATATCAGGAGTACCCAATTGAAAGGTATTATTTCAGGATTAACTCCATCATTATCGAAAATTGGTGAAGGTATCAAAGATTTGATGGTGATTCCAGTAAATGAATACAAAAAGGATGGTAGAGTTGGTAATAGTCTTCAAAAAGGTGCGTATGCTTTTGTGAGAACCACCACCAATGAGCTACTCCGGTTCGGGGTTAAGATTGCTGCCGGTACTCAAACGGTTTTGGAAAATACCGAAGAAGCTTTGGGAGGGGCTGGTTCATCTGCTAGATTGCCAAAGCGTGTCCACAAGCAAGAATTTTTCGAAACCAAAGATGATGATCATTATGATCGTATCAAGTCTAAGTCAAAAAATAGGGTCACTGATGTATCAGTGATGGACATGCGGGGGTCGATGTATGCTGGTGGCGGTGGGAACATCAACAACAATAATTCCGAAGCAAGAACTAGGAGAAGAGTGTCTTCTTCGACAACAAAAAGCAAAGGATACTCTGGAAGTAGATATTATTCTGAGGTTTACAGTGATTCTGAAGATGACGAGTTGCTAGATATTTCTGAAAATGAGTCTGAAGATGAAGATTACGATACTTCGGAACAGCAACGGACCGTGAGTTTGTATGCTGATCAACCGATCGATGCTAAGCAAGGGCTCAATGTTGCGGTGACTAGTCTTGAGCGTAACTTTTTGTTGGCTCGTGATGCGGTGGTAAAAGCGGGAGGTGATGCTTCTGAAAGTGGGAGTGCTAAGAAGGCGTTATATGTCATGGCCAAGGCGGCACCGGTTGCACTTATCAGGCCGATGATTGGTACTACTGAAGCGATTTCCAAAACTTTGCTCGGGGTGACAAATCAAATCAATCCTGAGCAAGGGTTGGAAGCTAAAGAGAAGTATAAGGCGAAGCCAAGATAGAATTTATATTATAGTGAAGCGCCATTCTTATTATTATTGTTTTTTCTTAATCTTTTTTTTTTTTTTGTTATCTTTTCTTTTTCTCAATTTGAGTCATTTGTTTTGTTTTTTTTGTTTGATTTGTTGATTATTTTCTTTTAATAAGATATATGATAGGGGTTTTATTTTTGTTTTGTTATTTTATTCATTTATTTATTTATTTTTTAGCATTCACATTCGATTGATATAGTCAAACGTTTTACCATATATTTTTTCTTCTATTTTAGTTTCAGAAATGTAAAAATCTATTTGATAGATATATCACCTGGACAAAATATATTTATATATACAGCTAATAAGACATTAATGACGAATAATAAAAATTGGGTAAAGTAAAAAGAGCAGTCTAATCAATAGTTTCTTGGTTCGATGAACGAGCTAGTGATTCCCAAATCACGAATCAACCTCTGCCATTTCGGGTAGTCTAATTTGAATATATGATGCTCGACTTCGGTATCCTTGATCAACTGGTAATTATTAGTGGTGACGGGAATTTCTCTAATATCCCACGAACCGGTCAGGGGATTTTGATAGATCACCACACGGCCATCACGCACCAAGAAGCTGGTGTAGAACATGTTTTCAGTGGACTGGCCAAACGAATGAGGATTGATAAAGAACCGGAAGACGTCCATTGGTTCGCCGCGTTGTTTTTCTTGCAACGTTTTGAACACTTTCAACACCGCTTGTGAGGTATCGTCGATTTTCTCGGCAAGGTTTTGTAAATCGGGACGATCAGCGGTGGTGACCCCGGATTTTGGAAGGTCATCTTTGGCGCGTTTTTTGAATTGTCGGTGTTTTTTCTCGATGGTCAATGGACCTTTGAGGAAATCTATTGTGGGACAACGATTCCCAGTGATCATGTAAACCGCCCCGAGTTTGAGGAAATTGAATTGATCCCATTGAGTTTTCGAGTCCATGAGATCCTGGGCCTGTTGGCGTCGAGAATCTAATTCTTTGAGGGTATCGTCGGTGAAGAGTCCCTCGGCGTTCTTGGCAGCAGCATCAGCTCCCATGGTATTTGTCGCGACAGCAGTAAGATCATCAATATCAGGATCAGTGTCACGTAGGAGAAACCGTTTAGTATGACGAAGCAATTCATCGAGGTTGATGTGTTGGGCGCTCTTACCGATTTTCAAATTACGAATAGAAATCTCTGCTAAATCAGAGACGTTAGATAACGATTTGGCATCGTAAGTTTGGAGGTTCTTATTGAGGGAAGACGTTTTGCGGGATTGGGCAAACAAGGTATCGATGTTCCGTAAATTTTCGCTCACGACCTCGAGTCCTCCGGGACGGGCCACTTCGGCTCTTTGATCTGTGGAATTTTTGTTAGTTATTGAATATTTTAAACACATTTTGTAGCAGTGATTTATCACTCGGGTGGGATTATCTAATAATGCACATATACTATTCAGGTGGAATAGACACATACACCACCGACTAATCGGGTAGGTATATATATATATTTGTCACAAGATATAACTTCAGAAGCCACAATTTATGACTTAATTCCAACCGTAATGACAACATATATAACTTGGTGGGGTCCCAAGATGAAAACAAATTACTTACTCATCATTCTCGTATTGATATTTCTGTAAGATGAAGAAAGTTTCTTCTCATATTCTTCCCTTTCAGTCTGATTTCTAAATTGTAGCGATTCCCCATCATCTTCTTCATCTTCTTCTTCCTCATCTTCCTCTTCATCATCATCATCATCATTATCATCATCATTATCATCATCATCATCATCATCATCATCATCATCGTCTTCATTGTCCTCATCAAAGTCTTCGTCTTGTTCTTCGATATCAAGCTCTTCCATATCCTCAGACTCTGATTCGTCTATACGTCTATCATTAATGCTTCGTGTCATCTTGAGCGAACAAGGAAAGAAATTTTGATAATAATAATAATAAATAATAATACTGGTATTTTGACAGTAATCTCCTGAACTAAATATTTTGGCGTTTTTTTTTTTATTTATTTTTTCCTCTTTAGAAAAATATGTATATCGTGTCAGTCACGTGTACGAGCCTTAAGTCGCAGCACTTTAAGGAATTCTCAGGTTACTTACTATTCACTGTTATATATTAATATATGTTATTGATTCGATTTACAATCTCGCTTATTTACTTTTTTTATTTGTGTGATGGAATTTGGCCGCTTTGAATGGTAATATCGATTTCTCGGTTGTCCTTATCGGTGTCCGTGTGTTTGGGTTTTTCCATGTAAGGGTGTTTGGGCATCACAATATTTTTTTTTCTTCCAAGGAGGATGACGAAGAAGAATATTATGTCGATCTCTGTTAATCAAAGGAATTTATCATTAGTGGAGATATGAGCGGCATAAAAAGACCATCTTCTGAGGTCACGTTAGACGATACCACCCGCCCAGAATCGGTGGTGAGTTCGGTGTCCCAAAATAACGACCTCGAATGGGTGTTAATGAGCACGTTATCCGATGGGATTATCGAAGTCAGTGAGAAAGAAGTCCAGCGACCAGAATTAGTCAAACTCATGAAAGATGTGGCCAATGGGGTGGCTGAAAGTTTCCAAGACTCTCCTACCCCGGTCAACGTCATTAAGACCTGGGAAGTGCGGGTGAATGATAATATCAACAAACGGGTAAATCAAATCTGCGATCAATTGAACAATAATCGAGATGTCTTGCTTGTTTCTCTGGGGAAAGATAGTCAAAAACTCATTTCCGTGGTGGAAATTGTCAAGCAGTTGATAGTCTCGGGAGATGATGTGGTAGTCTTATCAAAGAAAAAGAATAATGATAATAATAATAATAATACTAATAATAATACTAATAATAATAATCAGACTTCAGAGGAGGAGAAGGACAAGAAAACTTTCAAGTATCGATGTTATAAACAATACAACAAATTGGAGTTTTTGAATGTCGAGGCACAGGTAAATATTGATGGTAAAACCAAGAAACATAAACGAGCAAAACTTGCACAACTCGTCGACCCCACCGCAAAGAAAATGATGAACGTTCCGGTACTTTGTATATTCCTACAAAATGTCGAAACCATTGATAAATCCACCAACGATTATAAAAATTTGAAACTCATAAACAATAATTGGACATTCCAGTCGAATTGAAATATATATATAATCTATGTACAATAATGATATAATGACAACTATAACCAATCCAAAAACTCTGGAGTAAAATACGAAATGATCAATTTGGCCCCGGCTCTCAAAAACCCATTGTGCGATTCAAACGCAATGTCCTTCAAATCAACAATATTCTTTTCAGCAGCAGCGTGCAACATTGCAAATTCCCCACTGACATGGTACGCCACCACCGGGATGTTTTCACAAATCTCAGCCGCACTCTTCATCACGTCCAAATAAAACGTCGATGGTTTAACAATCACCGCATCGGCCCCTTCGTTCAAATCTCTAATCAATGCACGTTTAGCCAACCCTCCTCCGACCGGTGGCAATTGATAAGCTCTTCTATCCCCAAATGATGGACATGATCCCGCAGCGTCTCTGAATGGGCCGTAGAGATTGCCGCTAAATTTCGCAGAGTACGACATCAACATCACTTTATGGGCAAGTTGGGCATCAATCAACGCTTGTTTGATCTCCAAGATTCTACCGTCCATCATATCACTGGGAGCCAAGCAATGGGCCCCAGCACGGGCGTAATTCTCGGCGACTTTAGCAATTCTTTGCACCGAGCGTTCACGATTGAGGGTTCCGTCTTCCAATAACACCCCACAATGGCCATGCGAAGTGTATTCACAAAGACACACGTCACAAACGATGTAAAGCTCCGGGAAGTTTTCTTTAAGAAGTTTGATCGCCTGGATCACCGGTCCATTAGGATCATCGGCCAAAGTCCCCACTTCGTCCTTTGGTTGGGACATCGGCACCCCAAATAAGATCACACTACGCAATCCTTTGGCCACCAAAGTTGCCACAAATGGGATAAGTTTCTTTAACCCCCAACGCTTTTGATTAGGTAACGAATCGATACTGGCTTCTTCGTCTTCGGTGTCACTGACAAAAAGGGGATAAATGAACATATTCTTCAGGAGCTGGCGTTCGGCTTGCCACTCACGGGAAAGTGGGTGGTGGTAAGCTCCTTGAAGGATGCTAGAGACTTGGGTCTCGCGAGGTTTTGTGAATTCTGCAGTATGAACCATTGTTGGAGGGGGATTTCTGGTTTTAACTAATGCAATCAATCACTGCGTACTGATAAGTTGATGAGGTTTGAAAGTGACAAAAAAAATGACCAAAAAAAAAAAATACATGCTCAAGTCCGGGAAACCTTACTTGATGATATGATGACAATTACATCAACAAATCTCAACATAAAACTTATAAAATGTTTATTATCAAAGTAACAGTAATATTATAACCTCTAGTCTCAAAATATCACAGTGTATATGTACACTGACTTGATATGAGTAAAAAAAAAAAAAAAAAAAAAAAAAAAAAAAAAAAATGAAAAAAAAGATTTGAAAAAAAAAAAAAAAAAAGGTCTTTTCTATGGGGAAAAGTTGGTGCTTGGAGAAGGATCAGGAACCACGGTGATTTTGAAATCCGGGATTGGACTATCAATTGGTGAAACCCCTGGTGAACATCCCATCTCCCCTAGATCAGTAGTGTTGATGGCAATTTTCGGTACTCCTTGTTTTTTCTGTCCCTTTTGTAACTGTAATTGACGTTCTTGTTGTTGTTGTAGAATCTGTTGGTAGAAATCATCACCATTGGTAATTTGGCTGGTCTTTTCTTGTTCTGCTTCTATCACCAATGGTCGAATACATTCTTTTCCTGCCTCGGTACGGAAATGACGCCCCAAAGCATCGATTCTCGCAAACTTTTTCCCACATCCCCAATACTCTTTCCCATCTTTAAGAAGCCCACGACACTGGAATCGTTTCTCTCCAGTATGCAAATCCTCGTGCCTCTTCTTGTCGTGTTGTCTAGCAAACGCTTTCCCACATGTCCCACAAATAAATGGTCGTTCATCAGTGTGGGTCCGTTTATGAGACTTGAGATTATACGGCCTGGTGAACTTCTTATCGCATAGATCACACGCATAGATTGACGGATGCTTCTGTTGTCGTTTATTCGAATGATTAGGCGACGCCAATTCAAGGATCTTATCACGATTTTCCGCGAGTGACAAATTTCGTTCGCTAGAACGGGATCGAGATCGAGATCTTGGAGGGTTTTTCGAATTGATCAGACGACGTCGTGGACGGCCTTGGCCAGGATGATTATCATCAGGGTGTAAAAGAGTATCATTATTGTTGTTGGCGGCGGCGGTGGTGGTGGTGGTGGTGGTGGTGCTTATTGGTGACATAAAGTTCAATGACATATTGCTCAATTGCTCATCACTGGTGCTGATATTACGTTCATGACCGGCGAGTATTGGGACCCCTAGAACTTCATTGACGTTGACACTGGGGAGTAAAGAATCACCAAATTTATTATTATTATTGTTGTTGTTGTTGTTGTTGTTGTTGTTGTTCATGATGGCTTGCTGGCCCGGGGAGTTATTATTGCTGGACTCCTCCCCACCAAATAACGATGGGGTTTTCCTTGCTTGGTCCTCGACTTCTTCGTACTTGATCGATGGTTTATGGGTTTTCGAAGATTGGAATGAACTGGTGGTGCTGAAATTATGAAGATTCTCCACTGTCAACCGTGATTCGTTGAAATCGGTGTATCCATCAAGATACATGCTGGGTACCTGAAGTTGTTGTGGGTCGTTATTGATCGACAAATTCTCTGAATAATCATTCAAGTACGGAGATCCCGGAGCAGAAATGTACGGGGATGGTGAAGGAGCGTTGCTAGAGAAATCTGACAAATTAGAGCTGGAAGTGTTTCTGGTGAGGTGGTTATCAAAGGGTATGGAGAGTAAGTTCACGTCTTGTGGTAGTTGGGGTTGAGACGAAGAAATATCAATATTATGAGTGTTACTATTATCATGGAAATTAACATTATTCATGATGTTGTTGTGGTTCTGATTACTAGGATTTCCAAATGGATTGTTGAATGGGGTTACTTCAGTCTTGAGGTTCTGAGCATTATCTGAAAACGGATTGACAAAATCAATATTGGGCATCGGTACAAACTGGCCATTATGGGTACTATTCCCGTATATTGAGCGTTGATTGGAATAGAAATCTGTCGTATTATTATTATTGTTATTATTATTACTATTATTATTATTAAGATGATCATTTCCCACAAAGTTCATCAGTCCAAACGATGGGTCATTCATGCCGGTGGTGGTAGACATCATCATAGGGTTATTATTATTATTGCTACTGTTAGTACTTTGGGGCCTGGTGTTTTCCATGAGCATTTGCTGGAATATTTGGTCCTGGACAAAGATATCTTGGATGGCATTATTAAACTGAGAGTTGTTGGTATTGGTATTGTTACTATTGTGATGGATATTGGCAAGGGTTTGGGGATCAACAGAGTTGAGAAGATCATCCATTTCCTGTTTTATAGCACGGTTGCTACCGTTATTATTGTGATTATTATTATACTCCATGACGATACGCTGGTACTAGTGATTATCTGGGACGACAGTGTGGGTGTGACGTGGTGTAATTTCATGGATTTCCCACCCTAATGTATGCTGGATGATGATCGTTATACTATTTTTTTTTCTTGTTTTTTTTTTTCCCTTTTTTTTTTATACCAGGAAAAAAAAACTTGTGTGTTGAAGTCAAAAGAAGAAAAGAAAAAGAGAAGAATGTTTGAAAAGGAAAAAAAAAGAAAGAAGCAAAGAAAGAAAGAGAGAAAGAATTTATCACAGAACCCAGAGACAAAGACAATGACAAAGACAAGAAATAAAGTGTGGGTAACTCCAGAGTATTGTGATAATAATAGATAGCACACCAACAATAGTGGTGATATCAAGGCTTTCAAGGATGGAACGAATAGCCGGTTGTTTGGGGCTTTTTGTTGCCGGCCGGAGGGGCAGTGCTCCCACACAGCACAGCACAGCACAGCACAGGACAGCACAGGACAGCGCTGTGAGGCCACATGGTATATGCATGTACAGGCATAGCGGTTACACAGCCCCTACCCTGTTGTCGATGGGCATTGCTACCTACTTCTACTACTTCTACGATTACTATGATGATTATCATTAGTTGACTATATATATATATATTTATATGTGTGTGTGTATATCTACCTCCTTTCTAAAGATTACCCTCGGCATACAACTGGCGAATCTCCGCTTGGTAAACCTTTTTGGCAATCGGACGCTTCAACTTCATCGTTGGGGTCATGCAATTATTCTCAATCGTCAATGGATCAACTGAAAAGTACGCGTTCTTGAACTTTTCAAACCCAAACAACCCTGATTTCGCAATGTTCTTTTGCGACTCTTTGAGAAGCCACGTCCGCAACTCAACATCGTTCGACTCAAGCTTTTTCACCACCTCGTCCGCCGATCCAAGCTCTGGAACATCAGCGCCGTTGCACAGTTTGGCATACTTCAACACCGATTCCGGGGTAACCCCAACAATCCCCACAAGATGGTCTTCAAGTGAGTCCCCATAAATGAAAATCTGCTCCATAAATTCACAATTCGAAAGATAAATGTTCTCAATCTTCTCCACCGCAATGTATTCCCCTTGAGACAATTTGAAGAAATTCTTGACACGGTCAATCACCTCCAACTTCCCATCCTTATCAAGACGTCCAACGTCCCCGGTATAGAACCATCCTTCTTCGTCAAAAGCGTCCTTGGTCTTTTGCTCATCCTTAAAGTACTTGGTGAACACTTGAGGCCCTCTAAACATCACTTCCCCACTACGGTTGGCGTCCCAAGTGTAATCAAGATCTGGAACATCACGAAGACGGAGCTCGCAAGTCACTCCGACCGGCCCCACACACCGAAGGTTGGTTTCATACTTGCTTGATAAGCAAACCGCAGCAAACGTCTCACTAAGACCGTACCCAGAATAAAACCCACAACCAAACGCCGAACGAAGGAATTCAATGGCAGAAGCATTGATTGGGGCCCCACCACTGATCAAAAAATCAAGCTGAGCAAAACCAAGTTGCGACCTAATTTTAGAGAGGAAAACTTTGTCGATCACTTTGTTCAACAAACCTTTACCGTTGGCCCCCCACGAGTAATCATACCATCCTTTAAAAGCAATGACATTGCGGACCAACATTCCTTGAATCCCGGTAAGTGAGGCAAAACGTGAACGGAGCCCTTGTTCAATCTTGGAATACACCCGTGGAACGGTACATAAATGCGACGAAATTCCAAGCTCCTTAATATCATCCAAGAAAGTTCTGACATCGCTAGGGTTATGAGGAAGGGCAATTCTCGCACCAACACAGATCTCAAACGCCACTTTGAATCTTTCAAGAACGTGGGCGAGTGGTAAAAAGCAAAAGGAACAAACATTTTCTGGGAAATTAACATGGCAGAAACAGAAAACCACCCCGCTGATGAAAGCTTCGTGGGAGAGTTCCACCCCCTTTGGCATTCCTGAAGTACCAGAAGTAAAAGAAATCGTGAGAAGATCGTCACGGGTTGGTGGACGGTGTTCTGCAGGGTATTTGGCCCCGAGTTCTACGAGCTGCTCAAATGAAAGAAGTTCGATGCCGCGGGCTTCCGCCTGTTGGACTAAAGTAGCTTGCTCTTTATCATCTTTGAATTCGTCCATCGAAATCATCACTTTAAGATGGCTGAGATCTTCAAGTCCAAGAACTTTAGTGATGTTGGCCTTAGAGAGAACAATCACTGGTGATTCAGTGAGTGATAAAATGTACGCCGATGATTCCTTCCCAAGAGAGTCATAAAGGGTGGTGTTGGCGAATTTGAAGGCATGGGAAGCCAAATCAGTAAGCATCCATTCGTAAGTGTTACCGGAATAAAGCGACACGATGAAGTTGTCAGCATCGACTTCTGGATACTTTTCAATACATTTGAGGATCCCCGAACCTACACAATCACGCTTGGCACCAATTTGCTTGTAGGTCTCATACTTGTACCCGCCAAGTTTACCAGACTCAAGCACTTCACGACGACCAAGGAAGTCATTATCTCCTTGATGGGTGAGGACGTGTTGGAATGCTTCATAAATGGTGTTGGCATCCTTGTGGAGACCAGAAAAGAGGCCATCTTTCGAGACGTTGTTTCTGAAGACCGGAGAGAATCCCGGTTTTTGGGAGTTTGGTAATGGAACTGCTTTGTCGAGCTGGTCATCACGGTATGGGAAGTGAGCGACGGTTTGCTCGTAAGTCTCGCCCTCTTTGACAAGAGAGGGATAAACTATTGGATAGCCCATGCTGTGTTGTTATTGTTGACCGGGGAGATAGCTATCTTGTAGATGAGGATTATCTAGCGGATACGTAGGACTTTTTTTTATGGTAATTTTTTTTTCTTTTTTTTCTTTTTTCCTCTCCTCTTTTTTTCCTACAGGCACTTATGTGTTCCTAATTTGGACTTACACTCGGTGATCGACGATTGTTTCAGTGGTAAGTAAGTAAATAATAGTAGCGTTCTATTGTTCTGATGTACATCTATCAATGATAATACTTGACAAACACCCTGGTGACCTTTTCCCCAAAAAACTCGGCAGTTCTCAAATCAGACTTCTCAGTAGCGGTTTCGGGGGTCCCGTCGACGAAAGATTGGGTCGCCAACCCTGAGAAGAAACTGGTTCTGTTCAAAGCGTCCATGTTGTGCACCGTCTTGTTGTTGGTGGCTGGGAGCCCGAGGGGAACGTACACCATTCCTTGTTGACAACAGTAGGTGAAGATCTGGGTCAAAGTACCTTGCTTGTCACCAGATTGTGAAGCAGAGTTGGTGAACCCAGCAGCGATTTTGTCTTGGAGGCTTCTGGTCGCGAAGAATTCGGTAGTAGCTTCAAAGAATTCTTTCATCCCAGCAGACACTGACCCAAAGTAGGTAGGGGATCCAAAGATGAAGGCATCATACTGTTGGATTTTATCGATGTTGGCGATGGCGTCTTTGGCATTGTACAAATCCACGGTGACCCCTTCAACTTTACTGGCGCCCTTGAGAACATGCTCGGCGATTTTCTTGGTGTGGTTCCATTGAGAGTAGTAGACGATCGCCACTGAGATCTCGGACTTGTAAGGAGTTTTAATTTCTGGGACAGGATCGGCCATATTTTTTATTTTTTATTTTTTTTTCAATAAGGGAGTATTTAAGGATATTGAGAGATGATTGTGATAGCACTGGAGAGGTAGTGATATTAAGAAGATGAGAGATTAAAAAGATAAGAAATGGTATTGGTGTCGTCTCTTATATGTGTGGTGTGCGTGCCATTACAAATGCGATGACAAATGAGACCAAAGTGGCCGCGCATCAGGGTAATATGGTGCCAGAAACACAGTTCGTGTTACTAAGGATTAGAAATTGAATGCCGGCAGTGGCGGTGCCGTCGATTAATAAACACAGGGACAACTATTATTAATCAACAACTGGAAGTGTCACACAGCACACGTACTAGTCTAGTTTAGTCTAATGTAGTGTGATAAATACTCACAGGTGTCAGAAAAGAAAAAAAAAATACAGTATCAGTATACCAGTCCCCTGGCACCTTGTACTCTATAAGAACCCTACACTAATCTTATATTTATATGACAACGTTACGTACAATAAGATTACCGTCGAAATAGCATTACAATCATAACAACACAAATATAATATCTTTTAATAATAATGATACAATGTTGACATCCATCAACCGCTAGCAACAAATTTCAACGATCCTTCCTTAAAAATTTGTTTTATTTTACCATATTTACAAAAACGACAACCCTATACCATACTGAATCCCTTTTCTCATGGCATCCGATTCATGTGCTGTCACCGGCAACGTGAAATTCAACTCAAACCTTGCTGCTGGGTGATTGTACAACAACCCACACCCAATGGATACCGATGGCTCCTTCAATAAATCCTTGACACCACCATTATTTTCCCCATTCAAATTCACAAGCTTCCCGGCATTGACAAATGAATGGAACTTCAAATTATGCTCGCTAGTCGGAGCAATTTTAGGAATGGTGGTGAACAAACTCAACCCTGTGGAATAATAGAAATCGCCACCCACTCGGTCACCCATGCTGGTTCCGAAATTCTTATTCAGCAGAGTCGTGGCAGCCCGAGGTCCTAATCCATTATAATTGAACCCTCTAACATCGGTGGGACCACCAATATTAAACTTATCCATGATGTTACAATACCCAAAACTGCTAAGATTCTGAAGCATCCCACCGCGGAATGAGAAATTGCAAAATGTCCGGTTGGTCAACGGCTGGGCAAATACCGATTCAAACGAATATTTCAAGAAATTCGAGTGTTGGTACGCCCGGAAAAACGACGGAGCGTATTCCACTTGGAATTTCCACATCTTCCCCGATTGCGCCAACATTTTGTTTTCTCGATCATCGTACTTGATATTATACAAGAACGATGATTTGAAATCGTCACCACAATTCAATAACACCGCATCAGACGCCGCTTTATCAAGCACCGCCACCGAGCGCCAAACGTTTTCAAACGACCATTCTTGGGTGAATTGCTCGTGGAAATTCTTAGGATCGTTGATATTACCGATCCCGTATTTAATAATTTTGTTAGAAATCCCTTTAAGGATTTGATCATGCGATGCCCATTCGATCTTTCTACTGTTCATGAACGCCAAGTTCTCCGATCTTAAAAACGCATTGTTGTTAATTGGGAAGTTCAAATTGAGCAAATATGAGGTTCTGGTACGGGTCCCGATGGTGGCGTCGAAGATCAAATTTTCTCCCCCTTTCAAGAAATTTCGTAGTTGTAGAGTAATATACCCATTACCTTCACCGTTACCTACCGAAGTCCCGGTTTTTGCGAAAAACCGTTTCACCGGTAATAAATTGAACACTGGTATAAGACTGATTGATTCACGATCGTTGTTGGCCCAAAACGTTTGTTGTTTTGGTAATGCTTCGATATTCACGAGCAAATTCTCGGTATTAGTACAGTTAACGAGATTTTTCGTCACCAAATCGACTTTTTGTAAAAAATCTTCAATAGTGAGCCTATTGCCGTTGGTAAGAAGTGGTGAGAGTTGTTGATTAAGAAAAGTTGTCCGATAATATTCACTATTGTTGACAATCACTTGGGGGATATCCACCAATCTTAGCCGGTTATCGGCAAGCAAACCTTCCACCACGGTTTTTCTTTGTTGGTCAAGTAGTTGGGTTTGGGTGGTCTGTAGCTGTTCGACTTCCGATACTTTTGATTTCTTTTGGTATTCTTTCAATGACCCATGTTGGATTCTCTCTGTGAGCTATGAATGATGTTAGTCAAATGTGGACACACACATAATGAAAAAACAAAAAAAAAAAAAAACAAAAAAAAAAAGTTTTTGAATGAAACTACTTACGGATTCCCCATGAGTGACGTCTTCAATTGACATTTCCGTTAATCTATATTGTCTGAGATCGCCAACTGGTTAAATATTGTTAAATTAAATCGATACCCACTGGAAAAATTATTGTGGAAGAAGAAGAAGAAAAAAAAAAAAAAATGGGCCACCCGAAAACCATTATGCGCACTCCACAAAAGATGAGATCTGACGGTAAGAAAAGAGATCCGTCCTGATCAGTATACTAAACAAATTGGATTCGGGTTTGATGGATAGGTATATATTTATATTGAAGCTGTAAATATGATTGGATTAGTATTAATGGATGATCATTGTTTTTATGTAATGTTTATGAGAAAGCTAGTGATAGAAAAAAAGACTATTTGTGATTGGGTAACCGGAGAAAATGTGAGTATAATATATAATTAAGATGCTTGCCAATAGCCAACATATTGGATGAAATACCTATCAACCAAGTGTTAGAAGAATACTTGATGTTGAAGATATATCAGAATAACTGCGGTACTTGATAATCGACCTCTATAATTTTGCAATTAGGGCATATTCGGTGGTGGCAGAGGGGATTAATACAAGGGCTGCCGCCAAAGATGGGGAAGGCGATGGCGATCTGGCACTGGCAGCAGTATACTCTAAGGGCCATTTGAATGAGGATGGGATCAAGTGTTTGAACAACGAGAAAAGAAATAGTAATTAAAGAGAACAAAGGAGCCCTAATATTTCCTGTGTTGTTAATGAAGGTTGAAACAAGGAAGAACACCAATTATAAAGGGACGGTTTGGCACTTCCGTGGCGGGAGTAAGTAATTAAGTGTGACAAAAAAAAAAACCCCCGTAACGGAACCACTGTCAGGGCACGAAAATTACGTAATAGGAAGCGACGATGGAACAATATTTGTTGTTTGATGATATATTTTGTATACATTTATGTCATCGAAGTATAGTATATGTAATGAAGTTAGCGCGAGAAGTGAATCAGAAATAAATAAATAAGAAAAAACAAGTACCTCCCCAAAAAAAAAATTAAATATTATAAAACACTAGTAAACAAAAGAGAATCGACCTCGATGTATAATATAGCAGCAGAAAGAAATGAAAAAATAAAGCAAACAGTAAACCAAATATTTTTGCTATTAATATAGATAGATATGATATCTACCACCCACCTCCCGGTTTTCTTTCTGGTGTGAACCTTTCACAACAACCACAAATTGTGTGGTTGCAACCAGGGGCACTGAGGCAAGTAGCACCATTTACCAACGGGAATCTGGTCTTGTGGCCACAATGGCAACAGGTAGTGAAGGTTGGTGGCCCATTGATGGAAGGGTCTCCTCGTCTAGGCCTGTAGGATCTTAATGGTGAATATGACATGGTAGTAGTAGTTGCAATGAACGATGTGTGTGGGTTATAATCCATTTAATGAGTAAAGATTGATGCCGGAGTTTAATTAATTAGCGATGGAAAGTAGTGTACCTCAAAGAGAATGTAAAGTAATTAAAAGAAATAAAAAATAAATTTAAAAATTTAAAAGAAAAAAAGAAAACAAGGAAAATAAGTGCTTATTATATATGTATATATGAATAAATGGTGTACCCCCCCAAGTGGTGAGAACTGCTTTAGCCGACCCATGCTGACTCACTCGCCGTTGACTCATCCACACATACACACATTACTCACTATCGTTCTATCTCTTCCACTCTATTTTACCCTATCCCATCATAGCAATGCACAGTATGATAATCCACAAGATAACACATCATCCTACCAATATATAATGTATTCGTGGACAGCACACTCTATTCGGATCATTTGACACGGTGGTGATTGTTTAATTGGCAGGGGTAGGAAAACCTAAGCCGAAAATGCAGCACAGGTAAAATCGGTAGAGATATACGTAGTAAAAGGAAACTTGTTATTATTTCTAGTGCAATCGGATTTATAATTTATTAAAATCCTAAATATTGAACATTAATATGTGATGTTATATATATATATATATATATATATATATCCATAATGCTCTTCAATCATCATTTTATACCAAATCTTCCTACAGTTGTCCGGCGGAAACCGGCGGGGGCTGCTGCCACCTTTATTGTGGGAGGGAGGGGGGTGACTAACATTCACCATCACCACTAATGATTCCTCCATCTTTCCTGCTGTTACGTTAACACAATGATAATTGCACAATGTAGTTATCGGATTGCCCAAATAAATCAAAATAAATTGTAATTCATTAAAATACAAAGAAAAAAAAATATGTCATCCTAGTATTAAAATCACCTACTCCAGATCACTGTCACTGTCATCCTTCTCCTTCTTCAGTTTCTGCGCCCCAGCTTTTGCTCCAAACATATCAAAACAATACACCTTGGCTTTTCTTTCCTTCTGAGGTTTAGTGGTCTCCCACTCATTGTTAGTTTTCCGATGATTGTACCCTTCAAACTGCTGCCAATCAAACCGTCCAGATCTCACAAGCTTCAAACCACAATCACGAGCAAGCGCCTTAATCACCCATGAATCATAAGGTTCTCCTTCAAACAATGTCACCACAACCCTACCAGGCACAAGGTCTTTACGAGAATTCCCATTGGATCGATTATTATTATTGTTGTTGTTGTTGTTGTTGTTGTTGCTGTTATTCTTTGGACCAGTAGAATACCCCGCCATGGTGTCTTGTGGTCCACCACCACCGTTGAACTTGGACGATTTCTTTCTCATTGATGTTTTCCCATTAACGAGTTTTAATAATTCCACCGCGCTATTGAAAAATTCCGATAAAAGTCGCTGGTGTTCCATAATACTCCGCTCAACGTCCTTGATGCCCCGGCCATTATGTGGGAAATTGAAAATTATACAATCCAAGGCATGATTGCTAGTGGGTACTACCGCCATTTCACTATCTGATAAATCCTCTTCACCTATCTGATGATCAGTAGAACCTTCTTCTTTGTTGTTGGCATCACCATCAAGTGGTTTCTGCGGCACCACTACCGGTTTTCCCAACATCCCAATTACTTTCCCGGTTTTCTTCCCTCCCAAGGATTTCACCAACTTTGTAGCGTCGATTTTAAATAAAACTCGGTTTCCTAATCCTAACTGTTCCAATTTCGTAAGATTGGCTTCTGCAGAAGTAGGATACTTCAACGAAACTTCTTTAGCTCCCAGATCGTAACTGGTGATTAACACATTAGACCCTTGGAAAGCTTTCGAGGTAAGACATGATAAAGAGAAGGAAAAATCACCATCACCTAATACCAATACTTTATCACCAGGACCAAATGGCACGTATCCTGGAGCAACAGGCGATGGCTGAGACTTGTTATTGTTGTTGTTGTTGTTGTTGTTTTCTTCGTCTTTTTCCGATACTGCATTTTTCGCATTCTTTGCCGGGGCTTTACTCTTGGGATTAGCCTTAGATTGTGCCAATTGAATCAGCTTAATTTGTTTTTGATGTGCCATCAATTGGGATTTGAGCCCTTTGGCAGGAACTTTCCCTTTCAATTTTCTACCCATGATGTTGTGAACAAAAGCAGTTTCTTAACTTTTTCTCTCGACCTACCAAAAATGGATTTGAAAGGGGATTAGAAAAACTTAGATGTGGATAAGCACTATTCATAAGAACTTCTAAGAGACATCCATAAAAAATGTAGCCTCATTCTCACCTACCAAAATATTTTTTTTTTCATCTCATCACTGTTGGTGTGTGGATGTGTGTGCAAGGATGTTTTTAACATCACTGCGTGTCCAAAATGTTCGGTGCAATAGTAGCACTGTATATAAGCAAGTTTAGCAAATGTCAAGTTTCTTTGGCATTTTATTCTTCTACATCACCTTAGATTGAAAATTTGATTCCTTATTTTTATTTAATTTTTTTCCTTTTTTAAAAAAAAAAATAAAAAATGCATAGAATGATATCATCAGCGATGATCTATATACTCTCTGGTTTCTCTCTTGATGATGAAAAATATAGTAAATGTTAATTAATTATGCTGATTATGTAGTGCTACCACTTGTTTCAAATATTTGATTATGATGAAACCGTCACCAAGAACTTGTTGTCTATTGTTCTTGGTCAAGTTCCTTTTTGAAAATTGCTGGGAAAACTTGAAAGCAGAAACATATTGAAGATCTTATTGCCACTCTTAGAAACCACTGCGAGCCAAGAGTCTTAACAATTTTGAGCATCCATAGAGAAAAGTAAGAAGCTAAATTATTATTAAACATTATAAGAGTTAGGATCACATACTGTTTGGTTTTTATTTAATGGCAGATTATCTAGAATGATAATTAATTAGCTATCTATTTGCTATTATGTACAAGTTGGAAAGAATTATGAAATCCTACTTCCTCTTCCACTACTCAACAATATCTAGATTCAGTAATTATCTATCTACAATACTTCGTGGTAAAAACACCACTGGCATTGTCCTGTAAAAGTAAGACACATTACTATCCATACTGAGCATTATTGGCCAACGTGTTGTGCTACCAGTGGTTTGAACATCCGGTCAGTTATTTATGAATGTAATACATATATACAGTTGGGAAATAAATGGTATATGCGAATAATTTTGTATCCATCAAATCTCTATCATAGTTTATGAAATCTTGCTTCAATTTATCAGATTGGAATTTGTTTGTTTTTTTGTTTTTTTGGAAAAAAATGTGTAATATAATCTCACCTGAGATGGTTATACAGTGTCACTGGGTAAAATAATATTAATAAATACAGGTAAAGAAGAGTGTCTATTCATTGTGGTGTTTTAAGTTATTTTAAATAGTAAACATACAAAAAGAAAGTAGTATCAAATATTTATTGAAGAAACCATCCTGTGATGCAGAATGTAAAAGCTGAATTAGTAAAATTAGGTGAGCAAGGGGAAATATAAGCCAAGGGAAGAATAAAAAGTTGAAAATAGAGACATAGAATAACACATCAAGAATTTTTTTTTGGTAAAAACAGTTAAACAAAAAAAGAATTTCAAATGCAATTAATATTACACACATCAGACAATTTTTAATGATGATGATGATGATGTTCACAAACAACTTTTCTAACCAAATGTTTATCAAAAATGTCATATCCTTTACTGATATCTTCGATATCAATCTTGGTATCGATAAAATCTTTGAATAAATGCTGATTCTTTTGCAAAATTGGCAACGACTCTGGGAACAATGACCAAGCAGGACATCTACCAAACTGGATGGTGACATTCTTCATATAACAATCCAACCCAGAGAACGGTAAAGCATCATGATGGTAGCCAATAGACGATATGTAACCAAATGGACGAACAACGTCGAACGCCATACCAATGGCTTCTTTACTACCAACGATTTCAAATACCACATCGGCCCCACGATTTTCAGTGGCATCCAAAAGAATTTGTTTGATATTATCTTTTCCCAATACTAACGGGATAGCCCCGAATTTCTCTGCCACTTCGAGTCGTGAAGGGATGGAATCGACGGCATAAAGTTTCTTGATCCCCAATTCTTTGGCTGAGGCAAGTGCACATTGTCCTACCGGACCTAATCCAAATTGTACCGCCACCGCTTCTTCCACTCTTTCCTTTGGGAATTTCTTGGTGAAATTCGACACGCAAAAGTACCCAGTAGGGAAAATATCGCACATCAATAAGGCCACATTATCATCGAGTCCCGGGGGTTTGTGGAACAACGTCCCATCAGCCTGGGGAATTCTAAGGTATTGAGCTTGCCCGCCATCAAGGGCAGTGGTGCCAAATACTGCCGTATTGTAACATTTGGAAGAGTAACCCCGGACACAGTACCAACATTTCCCACATTGGGTGGTGAAGCAAGAAATCACTTTATCACCAGGTTTGAAATTGGTGACTTGTGATCCAACATCTATAACTTCCCCAACAGTTTCATGGCCCATGATATGACCGGTAGAAGTGGCCAAATGACCCCGGTAGAAATGAAGTTCGGTGCCACAAATCGACGATTGGGTGACTTTGATAAGTGCGTCTTCTGGGTGGGTGATTTTTGGGATCGGGACCTCTTTGCAAATGATATCCAAGGGACCTTCGTACACCGCAGCTTTCATGGTATCAGGGAGTACCACGCCGTTTGGGGTAGTGTAGTTTCTAATTGTCAGCAGGACATTAATGACATTTGAGAAGTGAGAGGCAGAAGCAGCAATGGCAAGGGTTTTTCCCAAACGGTGGGAGGCAGTAGACCGGAGAAGACTTGATCTAAGCATTGTGAAGGGGCGGGTCAATAACAATAATAATAATAATAACAATAATAATAATAATAACAATAATAATAATAATAATAATAATAATTGATCATCTTTTCAGAATATTAAAGGAAGTTAGAGCTTACTATATATACTCCATGACATTTACTGGCCATTCGTGACTGTTAGTTGTGGAGAAGCACAACGGTACCAAATATTTGGATTTGAAAAAAAAAAACAGTGTAAGTGATGTCCATCCGGGCATTTGGAGTATGGGATTATTTTTTTTTGGCAGTTATTTTTCTTATTTTTCTTACGCTGTAGGGGTCCGATGATTGTCGATAGGACTGGTGGTGGTTAATGAAATGATGAAAAGATTGGTAGTAATTGTAGTGTAATAATCATAATGATAGTAGTAGCAAAAAGAAGGACCCTTGTTGTATTATTTTTCGGTTATAGTTGAACTTTTTGTTGGGTCGGTCGGGATGAATATATAAATAAGACAAGACGAGGGTCCAGTTGCCGTAAAATAAAAATACAAAATGGGAAAATGCCAATGGTATATAAAAGAAGAATGCAGTAACCTCGGGGAAAATGGGAAGCAAAATAAAAAGGGGAGACATAAGAGAAATATTTGTATAACTGGTGACAGACGCACATCACGATACATGCCCACGACCACTGTGATCATGGTGAGCTACTCCGAAGATCTCACAGGAGAGAACAATATGCTCTACAACAGACAAAAATAACGTCACAAGGTGTTTGTTTGTTGGCTGGTGTGCGATCGATGGGTCACCGGAGCAGCGGTGGTCGGGTGATGGCTAAACGCACCTCCAAATACTCGCCCAACCACCATCATCTGAGTGAATGGACAGGCATCCAGCCCGGTGGCCTATTTTGTCATATATATATTGCTATTTTTCTTGTGCAATTTTTTTTTCTTTTGCTTATCCCGTTTTCCTTCAATCATTAGTCCTCCACTAATTATTTACCCACACAAATCAATTAACTAATATAATCATATCCAATATGGCCATCTCCCACGTCTTTGCTCGTTACGTCTACGACTCCAGAGGTAACCCAACCGTCGAAGTCGACTTGACCACCGAAAAAGGTTTGTTCAGAGCAATTGTCCCATCTGGTGCCTCTACTGGTATCCACGAAGCTCTTGAATTGAGAGACGGTGACAAGTCCAAGTGGCTCGGTAAGGGTGTCCTCAAGGCCGTTGCCAACGTCAATGAAATCATTGCCCCAGCCATTGTCAAGGCCGACATCGATGTCAAGAACCAAACCGCCGTCGATGACTTCTTGTTGAAGTTGGACGGTACCCCAAACAAATCTAAGCTCGGTGCTAACGCCATCCTCGGTGTTTCCCTTGCCGCCGCTAAGGCCGGTGCCGCTGAAAAGGGTGTCCCATTGTACGCCCACGTTGCTGACTTGGCTGGTACCAAGAAGCCATACGTTTTGCCAGTCCCATTCCAAAACGTCTTGAACGGTGGTTCCCACGCCGGTGGTCGTCTTGCTTTCCAAGAATTCATGATTGTCCCAACCGAAGCCCCAACCTTCTCTGAAGCCTTGAGAATCGGTTCTGAAGTTTACCACACTTTGAAGTCCGCTGCTAAGAAGCAATACGGTCAATCCGCCGGTAACGTCGGTGACGAAGGTGGTGTTGCTCCAGATATCCAAACCCCAGAAGAAGCTCTTGACTTGGTTGTCGGTGCCATTAAGACCGCTGGTTACGAAGGTAAGGTTGGTATTGCCCTCGATGTCGCCTCCTCCGAATTCTACAAGGACGGTAAGTACGACTTGGACTTCAAGAACCCAGACTCCGACCCATCCAAGTGGTTGTCTGGTGAAGAATTGGCTGCTCTTTACGCTGAGTTGTTGAAGAAGTACCCAATTGTCTCCATCGAAGATCCATTTGCCGAAGATGACTGGGATGCTTGGGTCCACTTCTTCAAGACCGTCGACACCCAAATTGTCGGTGATGACTTGACCGTTACCAACCCAATCAGAATCAAGACTGCCATTGAAAAGAAGGCTGCCAACGCTTTGTTGTTGAAGGTCAACCAAATTGGTACTTTGTCCGAATCCATCCAAGCCGCTAACGACTCTTACAAGGCTGGCTGGGGTGTCATGGTTTCCCACAGATCTGGTGAAACTGAAGACACCACCATTGCTGACTTGTCTGTCGGTTTGAGATCTGGTCAAATCAAGACTGGTGCTCCAGCTAGATCCGAAAGATTGGCCAAGTTGAACCAAATCTTGAGAATCGAAGAAGAATTGGGTGACAAGGCCATCTACGCCGGTAAGCAATTCCACAAGTCTGCTGCCATCTAAACACAAGGTTTACTTTTAACCGAGTAAAGCTGTATCTTTTCTAATGTTTTTTCCATTTTAGTGATAAGTTTTTTACGATTGTATGTTTGTTAAGTTTTTATGTCTTGTTTGTAAGTTTTCATACTTTTTATTATGGGTTCTTTTCCCCATTGACAAGAAAAAATACTGTAAAGGTTGTGCTACAGAATAACATTTTCTCATGTGTTCCCAATGGTTTCTCTGGACACATAGTACCTTCAAAGTGGCTTTTCTCAAAAGATGACAGTTAGGATCCTCTTGTGTGTTGGTAGCATCAGTCCCCTGAGGGGACGTTGGTGCTCTTGTATTTTTATTTGCAATAATCCTGGATGTAGTGCGTATCACTTACATTGAAGGTGATTCTTTCGCCAAACAATCAGAAAACGTAATAAGCTTTGAAGGATTATTGCAACTGATAATGTTCATCATATTTGATAATTACCATCTTCACTAATAATTATTAAGACAATTAATAATGGTCTTTTACTGTTGTCGAAGAAAGACTGTTGCCACTAAATCCAACAAATGTTCACAATTGTTCCTAGTTGTAAAAGAAACACTTTCCTACCGCACAACTCAAAAAAATAATAATATCTCAATACCGATTATAACAAAAATGATGTCTGAATATCTCATAAAGAGTAAATAACTTCTGAATATTCCCCATATAATGAAGGACTTTCCAAGTGTTATTTCTCCGGGGCGGAAATCGCAGGTGTCTCTTTGTTTTTGTTTTTGTTTACCAAAAAAAAAAAATTGATTCGAGAAAAAAAAGATTAGATGATCATCTCACCATTTCCAACAAAGAGACGTTTGGCAAGTTGCTTTAATATTCATAAATCTAATCATATTCGAGAAGAACTTCAATCACCTTAACATTTCGTCTTTATTCTAATATTTTCGTGTTTTGATTTTTTTGAGATCGGTTGATTGGAATTATTTTGTTTTGGGGTTTTTGTTTGTTTTGGTTTCAAAAATAACTAGCATTCCGGACTTTTACTTTCAATATTCTATTTCATTTATCAAAATTTCATCAACTATATTTTATTAAATCTATCGAGAGAAAAAAAAACAGGAGCTGGTAATATAATAATCTTTTGTGGGAAATGTCGTACGTTAGGGCCAAAAAGATTGCTAAACGTTTCAAGCAGGACCGACGTGTCAGTGGGGCGGATATTCTTCGTCAAGAGCTTGATTTGGATGAAAATAGCATGGATGTTAGTTTGCTCCAAGAAAACAGTGAGATTGGCCGTCGAGGAGGCCATGCTCCAACGCATCATTCGACATTGAGCAATAGTGTCCTCGCGGCGGATGATGGTGATGCCTCAAGGGGAAACGCAGCCAATAATGGCCAACAGCAACAAGGAGAAAATGATAATAATGGCGAAGGAGGCCCAGGCACGGGGAAACCGGCAAAGATTTCGAGATTGCAAATGTCGAGTGAGGATTTTGAAGAATGGATCAAATTAGCCACCGATAATAAAATCAATTCGACCAATAGTTGGAACTTTGCGTTAATTGATTATTTCCACGAAATGAGTTTGTTGAAAGAAGGGGATAATATCAATTTCCAAAAAGCTTCGGCGACGCTTGATGGGTGTGTGAAGATTTATTCATCAAGAGTGGATTCGATTGCCACGGAAACTGGGAGATTGTTAACGGGATTGGCCACAAAGAAGAATGGTGAACGAGACCAAGGAGATAATCAAGATGGAGATCATGATGATGATGGAGAAAATTATGGCGATGATACCAATGGAGATGTTAACGAATCCCTGAGAAAGAAAAAAACCAACCGTGCCAGAGTAGTGGATTCCACCCTTGTGCGGTTTGATACAATAAAAATGAAGAAACTAGACCAAGAATTGGAAATCGACCCGTTGTTCAAACGTGCGTTATCGGAGTTCGATGAAGGTGGGGCTAAGAGTTTGTTATTGAATATTTTGAACATTAATGCTGATTCTAGAGTGGTGTTTGATGCCGCTGGAAAGACAAATACCGGTGAACAAGAAGAAGACGAGGTCCTGTTGGAGAGAATCGATGAAGAGGAAGAAGAAGAAGGAGAGGAAGAAGAGGAAAAGGACGAAGAAATGGAAGAAGATGATAAGGTCGACGATCCGGAATTCCCAACTGAACAAAATGATGCTGATGTGGATGATTTGAAGACTTTTGTGGTAGAACAGCCTGAAGAATGGGATTATTTTGAAATTTGTCCATCAATGAAGAGTTTAGATATTGTGCTCAAAGATATAGGCCAGGCAAAAACTATTTTAAGTGATGTTAATAACAATAAAAATTACTATCCATTAGGTCATACTAGTTTAGGATCGCGGATCATGGAAGATGGTGCCGCCGAAGAAGGGTACGATACAGGGATTGCCGACGATAATTTAGGAGTGGATATGGATTTTGGAGATGGTGATTTCCATGGAGCTGATAATAGCTTTGGGAGTGTAAATAATGAAATTGCTGATGTGTTTGCAAATGACGAAGAAGGCAGAGATGATGATGATGATGGTGATGATAATGAGAATAGGGACAAAGAAGGGTTCATGGATAATGATGATAATGATAATGACGACGATGAAAAAGAAGAAATTGGGTTCATGGACCGAGTGATTGATAAAGATCTTATGGCATACTTTGATCAAAATTTGAAAGCCAATTGGGCAGGACCTGATCACTGGAAAGTTTCTGCCCTCAAACGACGGGAACTTAAACCTAATGAACAAGAAGTGAAAGAAAAAGAACTCCAAAAAGCAGCGGCAAAAAAGAAGAAACAAGAATTCAGGATTAATTTCCTTGATATCGAAGATGATGAAGCCAATGATGATCTTGAAGAAATGATTTTCAAAACCGCTCCGAAAAAAATCGATTTACCAAAGAACCAGCACAGTTCAGAAACCCATAATTTGTTACCAAAAGATATTTTCTTCAGTTCCAAAAGACTTTTAAAATTGTTTTGCAAACCAGATAATGTTCGATTACTTCGAAGAACACGGGATGATAACCTCACCAGTTCAGAAGATAAAACCAACAACAACAACAACGTTCCAGCTCTTGATGATCAACCGCAAGATTTGGCGGTCAATGAAGCGGCTGATGAGAACTATTGGGCGAAAAAATATGAGCAAGAACAAACAGATATGGCAAATGATGAAGGGATTGCCGATCCAGACGGAGGAAATGATCTTGGGTTTGACGGTTACGATAATTTCGATCACATTGACGACGATAATGATGATGGTGCTAATGGTGGGACCACTGGTCTAAGTGCGACCCAACAGCTAAATATTGGAGCGAATTTGATTGCTGGGGGTAGAAGAATACGGCCAGAATACGTTAATTTCTCAAGGACCGCCAAAAGGGTCGACGTGAGATTCTTGAAAGATAATCTTTGGAAATCGCTTTCTGCTGAAGAAAAAAAGCAGAAAGCAGAGCAAGGGTCTGCGGAGACCTCTGATTCTACAACCAAGGTGGGTGATAATGATGATGAGGCTAAAAAAGCACATCGGTTCACCAAGGTGGTTAGTAATATTGGTAAAATGTACCCTCAAGAAGAGCGAAGGGATTTGAGTACCAGTTTTTGTTTCATTTGTATGCTACACTTAGCCAATGAGCACGGATTAACCATTAAGAATGGGGATGGTGATAAGTACGAAGATTTGAAAATTTTGTATAATAATGAAGACCAGGAGTTGGCAGCATAAGTTTGGTTTGTTTTACTATTGGGAAATAGACGATATAATATATATATATAAATATCTGGTGTGAATTCTTACGAGCAATATGAAAATAGTAGGATATTGTGGTATTTGATTAATTAGCGAGCTGATACAAAACCATAACGTTAATGTAGGGCAGAAATTAAAGATGTCAAAAAAACAAAAAGCAATAAAACAATAAGAGAAATTAAATAAGTGTATTAAGTAAAAACCAACACTATTGGTGACCAGATTAAACCCAGCAAGTTGCAACCCTCACATGGAAATAACAATAGCACTTTCCCTAGTTGAGGAAGTTACACATGTATTACCAGGGGCCATGCAAAGAATAAAATGATTTGAATATTAATTAGAAAAAGGTCCGATCAGTTGTTCTTCTTGATGTTTCCAGCAGCCTTTTTCATTTTACTTTCACGAGTGGACTTAGCGGTGACCCCAGCTTCGGTATCCAAGACATAATCCCACCATCTGAAAGAAGAGGCATAATTACCAATGAAGTGGTGGTGATGTTCGTCGTGATGGTCGGCGCCGGCCCAAATTGGCAAGACGTGGTGCAATGACCATGGGAATTCGTAACCTGAATGGGCGTCGACAGCTTGGAACAAACGCAAAGAAATCCACAAACAAATGGTGAACAAGTGCAAGTCCCCGGTGAAATGAAGCCACAACAATGGACTACCAACGGTCCCGATACCGAGTAAGGCAACTTCAATTGGATGGGCGTATTCTGCGGCGAATCCGAATGGCGCGGCGTAACGGTGATGTTGTTTATGGATGTACTTGTAGAAAACCCCATGGTGCAACCCACGGTGGAACCAGTAATGCCAAGCGTCTTCCATCACGAAGAAAACGGCGATTTGCATAGCAACGTTTGACCATGATGGGAATGGGACAGAATACGAGATCCCCATACGGGTACAAAGTGGGTGGAAGAGCCAAATTGGGAAGGCTTCGACAAGGAAATGGGAGATCAACACTGACTTAGCACATTCCCATTGTTCTTTGTTCGATGGGATTTTTGTGTCTTGAATCTTCCATCTGTTGAAATATGGGATTCTGTCAATGATGAACCATGGCAAACAACGGCCAAAATACATGATCTCGTGGATCGAGAAGAAAAGAAGCCCGGTAGCGAAAAGATCGTTACCAATGTAGCCATAATAGGCAGCCCAGAGCCTTTCAAGGGGGTTGAGACCGGCAACATCCTTGAGGTTGGCAAAAGTTCCAGTAAAACTGGTGTCGACAAAGTTATCGATACTGAGAGTGGTATTCCCAAAGACGTTACTAATTAGTGATGTTAGCATGTATTATTATTGCTATTTGTTAAGAAATTTTGTAAGAACATACCTTGACATGATGATGATAAGAGAATATTCGTTGAGGAATATATGAGAAGAAACACACCACTTTTGTTCTGTCCTTCAGTCAAAAACAAATAGTTAAAAAACACTTGGAGGAAAAAAATCGAAAGAGAGAAAAAAAAAAAAGTTGGTGTAGTCCGTAGTGCACTTAGTAAACATTGTCGTTTAACTGTACGACGAGGAACGAGATGCAACAGGGATTCTCTCGCATATTTTACTATCTATTATGTATTATACGATTAGCCATTCACTATTATTTAGCGTTTATAATTTCGTAAAAGGACTCCCAGAATATACCAAATTCCGCTTAATGTTAGCAATATCGGTGTCGTCAAACCCAAGAACCGTGGAAAAGTACTGATAAACATCGCCATACTTGTCATGGAACTGACAAAGGGTCATCAACATCGTATCATATCTACTAGACACCAAATTATTAAAACCATGAGTTGAGATATCAAACTTAGGATCACCCCTTCCCAAATACTCGCTGACTTTTGCTGTTAACTCCTGTTCGCTAGCGTACTCGTACCCTTTGTAAGCCGCGAATTTCGTCATAAATTTCTTCATTTGTAATTCAAAGTGCTTTTTAATTTCTGGTAATTGTGGTAGTAATCCGATCGAGGTTAACTCATAATCGCAAGCTATGTCCTCGTCAGACACTCCAGCAACAAGTAACATCAATAACGATACCACCCCGGTACGATCTTTACCAGCCGCACAATGATATACAAAGTTCCCGCGGTTTTCTAGCACATGGGCAAATATTTCTCGTATACAGTGGGCACCACTGTCCAAGAAGTCCATATATACCGCAGGAATTGCAAATGGCGAAGCAAGCAAGTTTTCGTACCTAAAAAAGATTGCCTCTGGTGATAAATCGGTACCTCTAAACATTGGAGTATGATGATACTTCACCGTCCCATTAGTAATTTGCTCACAAGCTCCGATGGGGAAAGGGTTAGCCAGAATTTCTGAATCTGATCGAAGATCGAAAACCTTACCAATTTTAAGACCTTTGTCAAGCGATTCGATCCCCTGTTTGGTAATCTTGGAAGTATCAGCACAGCGAAACACTTTACCAATTTTGAAATAGTAAACATCATTGCTGGTCAAATATCTTGTGTCTACTACACGATATCCACCAATGTCACGGAAATTGTTGATTCCCTCAATATTCTTCCAACGCGATACCTGTACCATTGATCCAGAATTCACCGATTTATGTAATCTTTTACAACGCTCTTTATCGCCTAAAAACTCCGCAATATGCTTGGCTACTGCGTGGTTATAGTTGACAAGTCCTCGAGAATTCACTGGCCAACCATCCGGATTGCTGGGGTGCTCAATTTCGGGTGTCACTGGGAACTTCCCGTAATAGTTATGATCGGCCCCACGAATCAATATTAATTTGTTGATTTTATGTAACGCATTAGTGAAGCGGTACGCATCCTCGATTTCCACTTTATCTTCCTCGACCCCGAATATTGTCAACGTTGAATAATATCCGGACTCATTGAGAGGCTCAAGGTCCCATTCTCCAGAATATTCGTGGTTCCCGGTCAATTCAAGTTCTTCTCTTGGGATAAGTCCCAACTGCCCAAATTGCTTATTCTTGTACATTGAATACCTGATACCATCAACCTTCGGCCAATCATCAATAGCTCTTCCAGCCCATTCGAAAAGTTTGTGGCCTGCAAACCGACCAGAACAATTGATAAGATTTCGGACCAAAATGCATGGCGCCCCAACACAATGAGCTTGCCACTGAACGAGTGACCATTGAAACATTGGGATTACCCCTCGAGAATGGGCGATGATAGAATTGATGTATAATTTTTTCGTTGATGAACCTTCTTGGTATTTGGATTCTCTAGGCCCCAACAAGTGTTGATAATTCATTGGGTCGTTCCAGAATTTCGCCACGATATCCAAATCTTCTCGATCTTGATCGAATTCTCTGGCGGATCTTTCTGGATCATCAAGAGCGATTCCCTTGTCCTCGTCATCGTCAAAAGAATCGCCACAGCCGCGAAAATCAAAGCGGAATGAGTACCAACCGTTGTCATTGGCTAGCTGTTGGGCAGTAAGTTTGAGGTAAGTGTAGTTCTTATGGCCTCCCAGACCATGCATCAAGATTGCGAGATTTAAAGTTTCGTGGGCGCGAATGATAGGCTGTTCTATTTGTTTTGTAGAGATCTCAGTGGGGATGGTAAGAATACCAATTAATCCACGATTCTTTGGGGCATTGGAGATAGGAATTGACACCACCCGTTCATTTGGTTGAATGCGAACAACTGAACCATATTCTTCAGAAACATCCATTGTGGGTGATCTAAATTTAATGACTGTTTGAAGTAACAAAAGAAGGACTGCGGTTGGTTAATGAGACTGTCCTGAATCTCTCTTAATTATTTCAATGAGCATTTATCCTTATGGTGTTTTGAAGCGATGATTGGGCGGGTACCAGCAGAACGGGCCTTTTGGGGAAATCTAATTTTTCTCTGCAAAAAGAAGAAGATTAGTTATTACCATCTTACTCTCCTAATAATCAGTTATACATCAACCAATATTTGGCTTTTTTTTTTCATTTTCATAACCAGAAACAATTTACAATAGAAATATCCATCAATATTCACTGAAAAATGGTTATCAACCAGCCTATGTCCCAGATTCGTTTGACTAATGTCTCGTTGGTCCGTCTTAAGAAAGGTAAAAAGCGGTTTGAAGTGGCTTGTTACCAGAATAAAGTCCAAGATTATCGATCTGGAGTTGAAAAAGACCTTGATGAAGTGCTTCAGATCCCTCGGGTGTTTTTCAATGTCTCAAAGGGACTTGTTGCCCCTAATGAGGATCTTCAAAAAGCGTTTGGCACCACCGACACCGACAAGGTTGTTTTAGAGATTCTTTCCAAAGGGGAAATCCAACTTGGAGAAAAAGAACGTCAACTTAACATTCAAAACATCAACAAAGAAATCTTAACCATTATTTCCACAAAGTGCATCAACCCAAAGTCTCGTAAACGGTACCCACCATCGATCATTAACAAAGTGCTTGCCGAACTAAATTACAACGTATTGCCTAACAAATCGGCGAAATCACAAGCGTTAGAAATCATCAAGTTGTTGATTGCCAAACAAATCATTCCTATTGCCAGAGCAAAGATGAGGGTTCGGATTGTGTGGAATGGCAAGGAAGCCAAAAAGAACATGGAGAAAATCAAGGAGTTGTTCAACGAAACAGAGAGCGAGGATTATGTCGGGAATGAAATGTGGGAGTGCCATGCGGTCATTGATCCTGTCAACTATAAGCCATTGGTGGAATTGGTTGCTGGGGATAAAGTGAGACAAAAGGGTAGTATTGAAGTGTTAGAGATGGCGGTGGTAGGTGAAGGTGATACTAGCTTTTGAGAGAACAAGCCTCCAATGAAGATATATTTTAACTAGATTTGATTTTGTTGTAAGAAACATTATCATTTATTGTAGAGAATAATAGTAATAATTATTAGCACTAATAAAAGCGATCCATCTGACAGGCGCATCGTCCCGCAGCAAACGCGTCGATGTTTTTTTTTTTTTTTTTTTTTGCAACAACAAAAAACACCAAAAAATTCAGTTTCTTCATAACAAAACATTGCGAAATCCTTTGGATCTCTAACAAAAACATCGAACATAATTGAATAAATAATAAAAATAAAAAATGAAATCTAAAGCAAAGCCTGGCAGACCCAGAGGTAGACCTCCAAAGAACAAGGTTTCCAAACCTAGCGATGATGGGGAAGATCCATTGAATATCTTAGGACTCCTTCGTAAAGGAAAGGCTCTCCATACAAAGAAGCCTAGTGAACCACAAGCTTCCGTGAAACCAAAAACAACCCCTAAAAAGGCGACTCCTAAAAATCCAACTCCTAAAAAGCCAACTCCTGCCAAAGCCCCTGCCGTGCCGAAAAGGTCATCAAGAAGAGTCTCAAGAGCAAGTATGGTATCACAATCAGTGACTCCCAAGCGTAAAGCCGCTCCTGAAAAAGATCAACTAAATGTCACAGTTCGCAAAAGACAAAAGAGAACACCTGGGAGAATCCAACTAAAGGAGCGAGTGATAGATGTGTCTGATGCAAGTGATGAAACGAATAATTCGGAACCAGAAAAAGTTGAAGCTTCTATTGGGAACTCATTGAAAGAGGAAGAAGATTTTGATGGTGGGGACATCATCAGTCCAGTACGGGCTCCTAAAATCAATTACACATCGAGTGACAACTCCGATATTGAAGATGAGGTCACTAAAAGATCGCTGATTAGAAAAAGTTTGCAAAAAATCACATTTCTACAAAAACTTTCGCGGAAAAGTTCTCCATTAATAAATACAAAGACTTTGTCTAGCTCAAGACCACCAAGTATGAGTCCACTAAACTCCCCTACTCCAAATCCACACACTCCAAACCAGGTACGGGAAGTCAAGACTACTGACTCACCAACATTCACTGAAACTTTGGAGAAACCCAATACTACAGATGACGCCCAATTTGAAATTCGATCAGAATCGCCGGTTAGTTCGCCATTGAAGGCCTCGCTTGACATTAGTAATATTGAAGATGATGATGAAGATCAAACAAACTTGAGCACAGCTAAGGTAGGCCATCGGACCACAGTAATTGAAGATGACGATGAGGATATTGAAGATAAAGACCAAACAAATTTGAGCATTGCTAAAGTGGGACGTCGGACCACAATAATTGAAGATGACGAGGATGAGGATATTGAAGATAAAGACCAAACAAATTTGAGCATTGCTAAGGTGGGACGTCGGACCACAATAATTGAAGATGATGAGGATGAGGTTAATGATACCGCCGCTAGTCCCGCCTTGAATGCCATCATCAAGTTTGGGGAAACTTTTGAAAGAATCAGTTATGATATACTGGTGAATACTGATGCTGTACCAATAAAGTCGCCAAAAGTATTTGGTGGAAATCTTGATCACAGTAATAAGCTGGAGCAAGATATTTCTGAGAACCTACCTACCCCCAAGAACGACAAGAACTCAGAAAAAGAAGATATTTCTACTGTTGATGATGCAGAAAAACCAGAGTACGACTACTACGATAAAAGCGTAGTGCAGGTTGAAAGAACAGTACCAAACTCTTCTGTAGCAGATGGGCGATTGAGTCCTATAAATTATGGGGATCAAACGCAAGGTTTGGTGATTGATTTTGATGGGAAGGAGCAGCCAATGAAGGATGAAGAAGTTATTCTATCGACAAGTCAAGGGCCTAAGGAAGAGCTTGGCAAGGAAGAGCAGCAGCAACCGGTTCTTCTGCCACAAAAAATCAATGAACATACATTACCCAAGGAAAACGGTGAATTATCAGAAAATTCACCAAGAGAAATAAATCTGGTTGAAAGAGTTGAAGAAAACAAAGACGAAGAAGAAGAAGAATTATTTGAAACGGCTTCTCCGCCAGATGAATCAAGCGAGATTAACAAAGATGCTCAGCTGGATGCTAGTGCGGGCTTGGTGAAAAAAATTGATCTTGAAGAAAAGAAAATTTCTGATATTCCAATTGAAGTTAACATGGAAGAGGAAAAAGTTTACGAAGTGCCAATTGAAGTCGAAACTCGCGATGACGAAGATTATGTGGAAATGAAACCGGTTGAAGAGCCAAATGATGATGGTTTAGAATCAAAGGAGACGGATGGTGGTAACCGGACTTCAATCGAAAATAACGAGAAGAGCGAAAGGGTGGAAAAGGTTCCAGAGTCGGTCCATACCAATAAATCTATTGTGATTGTTGAAGATGAAGAAGAAGAGGAAGAAAATGAAAAGGAAGAAAAAGAGGAAACTGAGGAAGAGAAAAAAGAAGAGGAAGAAAATGAAAAGGAAGAAAAAGAGGAAACTGAGGAAGAGAAAAAAGAAGAGGAAGAAAATGAAAAGGAAGAAAATGAAAAGGAAGAAAAAGAGGAAACTGAGGAAGAGAAAAAAGAAGATGAAGAAGGAAAAGGAGAGAAGGAGAAAGAAACTATTGAAGAGGAGAATAATGAAGTTGACAAGAAAGACAAAGAAAAAGACAATGAAAGAGTTGGCAAGGAAACAATTGCAAAAGAAAATAATAGCGAAGCCGAGGAAAATGAAAATGAAGAAGAAAATATTAAAGCTGAACACGACGAGGTAGAAAAAAAGGAAGAAAAAGAAAAGGAGCAAAATGATGAGAGCAAAAAAGATCAAAAAGTAGAAAGAATAGTAAAGGATCAAAAAGATCAAAAAGATGAGGGCGAAAATGTAGATGATGATGCTTCACTGGTTCCAGAAGAAAATTCAAACGACAAAGAATATGAAAAAGTCAAAATCGAAAATAATGAGGTCCTGAGTCAATCAGCAAATGATGATGATTTGAAAGACGATTCCAAGGTAACTAATATTCCAGATAAGGAAACGACCAAGCTTGATATTTTATCCATAGAAAAGGCAAAGGAACTACAGAAGGGGTCCTATTCTGCTACAATCGTGGTAGAGAACGATATTTTTGAAAAGAAGGCTATTACGGTGGAAGATCAAGATATTGCCATGATCGACGAAGGAGGAGCTGTTGAAGCAGTATCGAAGACTAATGACCAAGAAAAAGAAAAATCTAAGGACGAATATGTGGTTATAGAAAAAACCGAGAGCATTGAGAAAATTTTCCAGGTTGATGACTCTGGGGCTGCAAGTGTGGTGATTGAAAAAGTGGAGAGTATTAAAGGGGTATATCTCAATAATTCTAAAACTGAAATTGATGGAGATGTTGAAATGAAAGACACTTCTCAGGATAGCAAGATCATTGATCAGATAATACAACTGACAGATCAGGTTGAACAAATTTCAAAAACTCTTGGTAAAAATGACAACCTTTCTGTGGAAAATTTAGATGACTTGCCAGTGGAAGAGTCAAATTCTGACAAAGAAAAGCCAAATGGTCAGCCACGCGAGGCAGAATCAATTGAAAAAGTTGAAGATTCCAAAGATAAAGGTAAAGAAAATATCATTGAGCAAGAGCAATCCGCTCCAGATAATAAAAATTTAAAGGACTCCAAGAAAAAAACCACAACACCTCCATTAACTGAGAATACTCTTCAGGGATTTGAGGTACCAAATACTCCGCCATCTTCAGCGCGCTTTACGGTTTCAGAAATCATTACTCCAATCACTTCACCAACACCATCAACCAGATCTGCTAATTCAAGGAAACTCGACAGTATTTCTAGTCAACCTGAAGAGGATACTCATTCTCCTGTGCAACAAAAGAATGACAAGGGGGACATGAATGAGATATCATCGGGTGAGGAAAATAAGGATGAAAAATCCGACCCGGCGATCAACAATGGTGATTCTTTAATAAAGGACAAGAAAATCTTCTTCAGTAGGAACTCATCGAAAGCAATGGGTCAGACATTTTTGAATTTTCCAAAAATGCAACCGAAGAAAATTACGTGCAAGGAATGTTTTATGTCATACATGCCGAGTATCAAGGAAGACACGGTATTACATACACATTATCACAACAGATATATTAATGGTTTGAGTTGGTCTGATTCTTGGGGCAGAAAGGTTAATAGGAAAATTTTTCCTCCTAAACTTCGTGCCGTGATGAAAAATTCGTTAGCTCAACGTGATGGGTACATCAGAGAGGTCAAATTTGACAAGAAAAATGAAGTGAAAATGATACTCACACTCTTAAAAATGATCAATAACGAACTTAACGCCCCAGATGATTGGCTCAGTCGGATATTTGGCGAAAATGCTGATAATTATGATGAGGCACTGGTTAAAAAGGCAGCCAGCTCCGGTAAAGTGTTTGTCTACATTTATAACCGGAAAATCATTGGCTTTGTGAGTTTTGAGAAGCTTGATATTGAACGTACCGGACCCAAATTGATGGACGTGGCTACTCAAGAAGTTATCAGCTTGAACAAAAATCTGGCACTTCTGCAAAAATTGCCAAAAGCTCTCTATGGAATTTCCAGAATTTTTGTGCTAAAGAATTTCAGACGCAATAAAATTGCTCTAATTTTGTTATACACCTCTCTCTGTGAATTAGTATATGGTATGACGTTAAAGAAGTATGAGTTAAGCTGGTCTCAACCGAGCTTTTCTGGTTTGAATTTGGCAAAGAAGTTCAACTTAATCACCGATGTCAGATCAGCAAGACACTTCTTGAACGTTTATATTGAGGGAGAATGATTGAGATGTCTATTTTATCTATCTATATATTTCGCTTTTTTATGTTGTTTTTTTTTCATGTTGTTTTTTTTCGCAATCCCCTAAATAACTGGCTCGCTTTGCTTTATGAATTAATGATTATTATATCTTTCTCACCGACACTCAGTGGTATGAAATTCTCGCGCGTGTGGTGTTGCGCAGCCCTGCTACGGCACTCAAGTAAAATGAGGTCATGACGAATTTGGAAATTCGTGGATTCTTCTCTTTGGGATATCTATATTAGTTCAATAAATATTTCTGGCACAAACTAGACCAAATATCACTCTGTTGTGGTTGTTTTTTCCCAAAGTTTTGCTTCTTGCTTTTTCTTCTCCTGCTGCTGGAAGTTTTTTTTTTTTTTAGCATTTGTTCCACATCATCACTTCCTTTGATTAATGGCTAACGTTTCACGAAATGGTAGTTTTGCCGGTTATAATGGGTTGGCTAGAAACAGTTCGCAGCTGCTGAGGATTTCCAGAGAAGTAGAGTTAGAAAGACATCAATCGATGGCTTCGGTAATGTCCCGGGACACTGTTATGGGGCTGCAAAGATTATTGGATCGGTTGGAGCTTGATGATGATTTACCTTGGGAAAATAGTGTCAACCCATTGCAGCAGCTTCAACAATCAGGCTTACTGACTCCTTTCGAAGATACTGATGTTTCTTCTGAACAAAATACATCTTCCGTTAATAATTTTATCAACGCTGGGGGAAATAACAAATCATCCAGACGTTCTAGAGGGTTTGGAAGCTTGAGAAATTCACTCCGCTTGAAAAAGAATTCCATTCCAGAAGATGATACCTCCGCCATCAAGACAGCTGAGGCTTTAGGTTCAACTGTTTCTCAAGTTCAAAGAACCACCCCTGTCGTAGTTGGTCATACAAATATTGATGAACAAGCGTATGGAAGAGCAACGTTAGAAATCAATGACGAAGATGAAGGAGGAGAAAATCAAGACCAGAGTAATGGTCAAGCAGAAAAGGCTTCTCTAAGTGTCTGCGGTGGTCCAACAGGGCAGCAAAAGGCTAGGCCAGTGTCTGCGGTACCTGTTCCAAGAGAAGATCCGAATGAGCTTCGTGTGAAGAAGGCTATCCAGTTAAGAAAGGATGGTAATCCAAGAGAAGCGTCCTATCAACTCAGTATTGCAGCACACCACGGCAGCAGGAATGCCATGTTGCTATATGGGCTCTCTTTACGTTATGGGTATGGGTTAAGAGTCGATCCGAAGCAATCATTTTTATGGATATCTAGAGCAGCCTCGTACGATTTGATCTTGGACGCCAATCTGAACTTCTCGGTAGATCCTTTTAATCTCAAAGAAGATTCCATTCCTAAGGTTCCGCCTGAACCAGAAGCCAAAGCTTACTTTGAGCTTGCTATATCTTACCTTAATGGTTTTGGTGTCGACAAAAATGAAAATCGGGCGTTACAATTTTTTGAAAAAAGTGCTAGTTTAGGAAATGTTGAGGGTATGTCTCAAGCAGGTCTATTATGGCAAAAAAAGGGGCCTCACGGAAGAAAAAAGGATCTACATAGAAGTGCTGCCTGGTTAAGAGAGGCAGAAAAGAGAGGCTCCGAAAATGTTGGTAATAGTTGGATCCATAAAGAGAAATACTTGCAAAGAAAGGAATAAGCTGCCTTACATGTTTTTTCCCCCTTCTTCTTTTTGCTCTTCTTAGTCCCCATTCTATTCTTATAGCTATATGCTACATGTATTTGCTGATTACATTAGATATTGATTATCAATTCCATTCGCATAAGACACCTTAGGTTGTTTTACGAAACTTGCTATCCTTTTTTGTTCTTTTTCATTTTTTTTTTTTTATTTAGTTATTTTCAGTTCTTTATCTCTACTAATATATATACCATAAAATCAACCATTGACATATATTCATAATGGAGCCGAAGTTATCGGTTTTCTTCTTTGTAGATAACACTTTTTCACTAATTGCATCACAAAAAATAAATTATCAAAATCATTATCGTTGACTTTTTCTCCGTTGAAAAGTCTTGAGCTCACCGATAAAATCACATCCCTCGACTCAGACGCATTAACAGAAAGAAGCAAAACTAGTAGTTGAGTGCATAATATTCTTAATTTATAATTTGAAGAGTCTCCTATCAAGCATATTGGTTCGATATTGGCGGTTTGATCTAGTAAGTCTTTGGTTAGCCCATGTCTTTCATCATAAGCAGCATCTTCTTCTTCATAATCTTCCACACAAGATAGTTCATTTCTTGGGGCCCCAAATTCATTTTCTGTAGTTTGAAGGTTCCCTAGGATAGTGGTGTTTGGAATAGGAATTTTATAAGTTGAATCTTTTTGACCATTGTAAGTGACAGAAATCACTAGTTTATCGACAAATTCCATGATCTGTACCCCTACTTCATCCTGAGAGCCAGGAACATATTCAGACACTGATTTGTAAAAGTTTGAGAAGTCATTAGGATCTTCCATTGTTGATAATTGTGTTTTGTGCCAATTTTATGTGAATGTTGATTATAAAAGATGTAAAAGAGTTTTTCTGTGAGTGTATTCTGTCGGTGTATACCATTACGGTGGTATTTTACTCATTTCTCTGATTAATCCGAAGTATGGTGCCGATACTGGATTGTTCTGACATTGTTACATTCCTGGTTCCAGGCTACATTTGAGTAGTAATTGCAACCGTAACTTAGCAAGTCAGGAACAAGGAGCAATAATCTGGATAATGATGTAAGGAGCTTCTTCTAGTCAGGAAGGAAGAATTATGTATTAAAGGATGTTTACATCCTTAAAAATATCTCACACTAGTAAACTAGATAGATGAGTAAGGAGAATTAATTAACATTGACTTGACAGACCCGAAAGAATATTATTATTGTAATGAGTTCAACTAATGATTCCAATGATCCTGTCAGTGTTAATGCACTGAACACTTCAACTACGCAGGCTGATATGGCTTCTACTGCTAATCAACAAGCGGGTGACTCTAGCTCTGCTAGATACTCCCAACATATTCTTTATGAATATACCCGTACGGTTGGTATGTCTCAGAAACCAACAATATCGAGATATAAGAAAATTATAAGTTCAGTGTTTTTAGCTATTTGCTGCTAATTTTATTTCAATGTTCTGGTATGAAAGCAGAAAAACTATTAAATAATAGATTCGGGTATTAAATTAGATGTGATTATAGGAAAAAGCAAACTACCTCGAATTCAACGAATCAATGCAAACTACAAATCAACAAAAATAGTATAACAAAAGGAAGAAATTGAATTAAAATTAAATGGTACATATACTTTCCAGAAGTAATAAAGAAAAGAAGGTAATAATAGGAAGGGAAGAAAAAAAGATTAAAATTTTATACTGTGAATATAATATAGGTTGAATAATGGCATGAAGGGTTTCCCCAAATTAGAGAAAGCAACAAGTGGTTGAAGAAATGGTAAAATAAAAAAGCATTTGTTTTGTTTTTTTTGTGTTTTTTTAATCCATGGGTGTTATCAAAACAACGACCAATTATTGTTTGATATCCATCTTCGTAAGAGCCATCATGTAAGTTTCAAATATGTCGAAACTCTTTCTCTTGCGATTGAAGGTGATAAATTCTTTGTTGAATTTCTCATCATCAAAAATCAATTCGATGTCTTCATCGGTAAAGAAATTGTATTCAGTCAACATGGTACTTCTCTTCATATCTTTCTTGAATTTGGCCTTCAAACATTCCCTATCGTTAAGAGTTTCAAAATCAAGACTAGAGTGAATTTCAGAGTACTCATCACCAAAATCAGAAGTAATCGTATTAGGACTAGAATCAGCATTGGAGAAAGGAGAGCCCATATCATTTTCGGACTCAGAAGATTCATCAGAAGATTCATTTTCATGTTGAACAATAATTCCCAAAGCACTATTCTTTTGGATGGTAGATCTGGAAGCATTTGAAGCTCTTGAGAATCCGTCAGCACCATCAACTTTAAGGAAATCCTTGTTTTCTATTGTACCAGCAATAGATTCCACTGTCAAAAGGTCAATTAATGCATCATAGGAATTGATATCAGCGTATTCATCATTGTGATGATATGGCGATGGAGGAACTGGAGGAGCTTGTTCTTCAACCTTGAATGCCTTCTTTCCCTTATTTCTCTTGAAGAATGAGAGTTTGGATCTAGAAGCTTTTTGTCCGGCTGAAGCAGATTCAATTCTCTTAGGGGCAGCTGTGATGGTAGAAGAAACAGTTGATTTGGTAGCCTTTGGAATGATGACTGGGGCTTCAGCAAGCTTCTTTGTTGAATCTCCAGTTGAAACTATTTTGTCAGTTGCCTTAATAACCCCTGGTGGAGACAAATTTTTACCCAGTGGCTTGGAATGGTCAACAGCCTTCTTGGTTTCCTTGATGGCTTCAAAAGCATGGATTTCGGATTTTCTTCTAGTAAGCTGAATTTCCCTTGATTTTCTAGCACCATCTATAGATTTCATGGTTGTCTGCAACAATTCAGCTTCAACCCCTCTGATAGTGACCGACTTTCTGCCTTCCATAATAGAGGTGACTTCAATAATTGGTTCCAATTTGCTCAATTCCTTGTTTACATCAGCAGGCTTTTCATCTTCAACCTTGCAAACGGCCATATCTCTATACATGTCATCAGCAGAGATAGAATTGGACAACTTGGATTTGAATTTCTGGTTAGCATTTTTCTTGCTAACAAAGTTTTCTCTTCTTGGAGAGCCTGAACTGGTAGCACCAACAATAGAACCATTAGAGGAAGGTAATGATGTTGCAACAGTAGAAACAGGGGTAGGCAATGTAGTTGCAGCAGAGTTAATAGTGTTTGGAGTCGAAACCGCAGAATTATTTGAGTAGGTGTTGATAGACAAACAAATGTCTGTGTTAATAGCAGGAAGAGTTAATGGATTGGAAGCTTTAAGCATTGGACTACTGCGACGACTACTGGTCATGTCAAGGTTCTTCAATGGGTCAAACCCATTCAAGGAACCTTTGAGGAAAGAAATGTTGCTAGATAAATCGCTAGCACCTTGAGTTGGTTTCTGTTCCTGTGAAAGACATAATTGACTATACCTGATAGCCATTTTATGGTTCATCATACTTCTGTATGAGTACAGACTTTCTGCTCTGCTATTGTTCATCATTTGAACTGGCATATTGTTTCCATACATGGTTCTATATTTATGAGCGGCTCTCATCCACCGAGCTTGGTTCTCAGCGAAGTTATTTCTCATTCCCAAGTTTTGTCTTCTAGTAGATGGATAAAAAGTTTGGCGTTGAGAATCAACACTACCGCCAGTAGTGTTGGACCTAATTTCCTCTGGGCCCTCTTTAATGGTGGAAATGTTGTTGTTATTAGAGGAGATAGTATTATTTGATTCGATTAAGGATTCTCTAGCTGGTCCAATTTTGACTGTGCCACACTTGCTATCATCAATGCATAAACTGGCAGTTCTTGATTTGATATCAACATCATTATCTTTGACAACAGAATTAGTAATCTCAGAATCCTCGGCAATTTGGGTATTGTTTTCCATGTATTTTTGAGCATTCATGTCTAAAGTTTCCTTTGGAGCTTTGTAGTGCTTGTTATAAGGGTGCTTTAATGAAATGTTCAACCCACCAGTGGTCACAGATCCAGAATTATTTGACTTGATCAACTCCAAGTTGCTCTGTTCCATTTCTTGGAACAGACTGTTCTTCATTAGGAATTCTTGATGCTTCTGCTCTAAAAATTTGTTTCTTAAAAATTCTTTCGATAAGGTATGAGCATATTGTAACAAAGCGGTATTGGTTTTGGCCTTTGGGAACTTCTCAATCAAATTCTCAATTCTTTCTTCAACTTCTTTTTCCACTTCGTTGTTCAACACTCTCGGATCATTTCCTGACTTGAAGTATTCTCTCTTCTTAAAATTTAACTTTTTAGATGATGGAATAACTTCAGGGTCCAAGAGTAAATCAATATTCATATCAAGATCTTTAAGGGTTTTGTAATCAGGCTGCTGGTATTGGGCCAATATTCTCTTACTATCGGCAGAAAGTCTTTTATCAAGCTCTTTGAAAACTTTGTTGATTGTATCAGTTTTTTCAAATGAATCATATTCTTGTAATTTTGAATTGTGGTTGGATTGATTTGTTGCTAATTTCTTGGAAAGTTTGATTTTTTCATCGACATCTTCACCCAAAATATCAGAAAATATCTCTTCTTGCTCCGATTTGAACTTATTGTTTTTTGCAGCAATGTAGTACCCGTTACTCTTAGAGACCACTCTTGCCTTTGGTTTAGGAAGAGAAGACATTGTAGTTTTGTTGGACTGGTTTGATTTGTGTGCAAAAAAAAGCTATTATTGATAGATTTGTCCATTTTTGCAAGGAAATTAGGGAATCAAAACAGATTTATACTTGTCCATATATTGTAGGGCACCACCTACAATATAATCCATTAGGCATTCGATTCTAAACATAGAGATCCATATTGCCAGTAAATCCACAATTTGTGTTCATCAAACACCGCAACGCATGAGATGCCTCATGTTTCCCATTATGACTAAAAGGCATAATGTTGTCAGATGGGGGAAATGTACTAGGCTGTGGAATGCCAATACTATGATGTGGTATGCAAATACCAAATTTAGTAATTTAAGCCAAATATAAACGAAATTAAACTTTCGTCTCGCAAATTAAACTGAGAAATGAACCTGTACATTGCCCAAGCAGACGTGAGAAGAATTAGAAGGTTGCATTTGTTGATCACAAAAAGTAAAGAATGTGTTGTTTTTGTGCTTTTTTTTTTCCGAATGTTAAGGGAATGAGTTATGTAGTTGCAATCGCTAAACACCTTTTGGAGGAAATCGGAAATATCATCACCATGAACTATATTGACGGGGCACCAAAAAACATTGTAACTTCTTGATATACAAGATAGAAACAAACAGTATTTCTCTTTGAGTAGATGGTTGCTTTCAAAGGATGTGAAAATCAAGGATTCATTGCCAATGCCATAAAATATCACAAATACCAAAGTCACTGCTCCTAAGTTGTGGGTTCTTGGTGCAACTATAAGAAAAAAGGGGTCTTTCCCAACTAAGCCATGAACGCTCCTAGCGCCTTATATTCATGAAGATTTTATTTCTTTTTCCTCTGTTTTTCATAGTTACATAGCCATATCCATTCATCGGATTGATTAATACATGGCAAACGTGCCAGATGATCAAGATATCGGTTTATCATTAAGGAAAACAAAAACATAAAAAATCACGTGTGTTTTACTGTCTGGGAGCATGAACAACCCCAATGATAATTGCTTAATATTCACATATTCTATTACATGAATACAGTATTATCTTCAAGAACTGATCAGCCATTTTCAATATAAATTGTCATTACAAACCGATTGTAGGGAGTCGCTTCCCCCGGTAGGCACGTGTGCTGTACCCCGTAATGTCAACTCCCACTCTGCAGATCGCCTTTGTTGCCCGGTTCTTGGTGGTGCACCTGTCAGATGATGTGGTTAAACAAGTAATACTGTGTTTATTTAGTTGAACTTCGCTCCTTGTCGTTGACAAGTTTTTCACTCTCTCAAATCATATATAGCATATACATATATCACAATGCCTGACAAAAAGTCATCCAGTGCTGCAAATACAAAAGCCATAATTCTTGTATGTTTGTTATACTTCTACACCCTTGCTATGTTCGAATAATATGCTTTAGTTCTTATCTTTACTAACAATTGGTAGGTTGGTGGTGACCTCAGAGGAACACGTTTCAGACCTCTCAGTTTGAACACTCCCAAAGTCCTTTTCCCCATCGCAGGCAAGCCTTTGCTTTCCCATATCATTGAACCTATTAGTAAGATCCAGTCTATCAAAGACGTGTTGATTATCGGATTTTACGAAAATTCGGTCTTCAAAAACTTTTTGTGTGAGTGCAGGGAGCAATTTCCAAACTTGAACATTAAATATTTGAGAGAGTATAAAGCATTGGGTACTGCCGGTGGTTTATTTCATTTCAGAGATGAAATTAAGAGAAATAACCCTGAAAAGATTTTCGTTATTCATGGAGACATCATTTGTTCATTCCCTTTTAAGGAGATTTTGGAGTTCTTTACTAAGCAACAAGATTACTATGATGATAGTGAAGCTAAAGCTGTTGTGTTTGGTATCGATGTTCCAAAGTATTTGGCCTCTCACCCACATACTTTTGGTGCGATTGTTGCTGACAAAAATAACAAAGTTATCCACTATGTTGAAAAACCGGAGTCAAAATTATCTAATATCATTAACGGGGGAATCTACTTGTTTAATTCAAAGTATATCATCAACAAAATTGCCGAAGTAAAGCATTCCAAAGATGAGCTTGTTGATGATGTCACTAATGTTGACCCGATAGATAGTGATGTTGTGAGCTTGGAAAATGATATTTTGGCCAAATTACCAGATGATGGTGGCTTCTATGTCTTCAAGTCTGGTTCTTATTGGAGACAAATTAAGAGAGCCGCCAGTGCTTTGCCAGCCAATGACTTGGTGTTAGCGAATACCAAGACAGATAACAGTTCCCAAAAATGTGAGATCATTGAGCCTGTTTTCATCCACCCAACTGCTAAAATTGCTGCATCGGCCAAGATTGGTCCAAATGTTTCAATTGGTCCATATTGTGTCATTGATGAAGGTGTTAGAGTTAAGAACTCGATTTTATTAGAAAATGTTGAAATCAATGAAGATTCATTGGTGTTATACTCTATCATTTCCTCCGATACCAAAATTGGTAAATGGGTAAGAATTGAAGGCACAGAAATCAAGGCTAACGATCCAGTTACGTACTTTGAAGTCCATGAAATTAAATTTTCCAAGGCTACGATTTTATCCTCCAACACATTTATTAACGACAACGTTTACGTTAAGAATTGTGTTGTCTTACCAAACAAGGAAATCAAAGTTGACACTAAATTGGAAATTATTATGTGATCTTTCCTATTAGCTCAAAAAGATTGTTTAGCTCAAAAAAAAAACAAAAAAATAAGATATTTTGGGTAGTATTACTACTATCATTTTTTTTTTCTCTTTTTTAATATACGATTAATAAACGATGATTTTTATCATCATTTAGTTAAAGCTAAGTCAGATGGTATCGTGAGACTCGGACGTACGAGGTTAGAAATGATGAGTATCCTTGAAAAGGTTGCAAGTATATAGGCAAGAATCTTTTTATATTATTTCTAAACCTTACATACCAATTAAAAAGAATACACACTAAAATGCTTTGACGAATGAATAAAATGGCAATGTTTAGAAGGCCTTCTTATTAGCCTTCTCAAACATCTAACCGCACCTCACGTAATGAGGCTGATGGTTTTTAGCACTAAAGTGACCAGCAATGCCTTTTGGGATGTCACAAATTGTGATTAAAGCATTTTTTTATTATTACACTTCTATAATTATTATTATTATTATTATTATTATTATTATTATTATTATTATCCGCAAGGCTCGTCCTTCAGTGTTTTGATAACTTCAATCCTTTAACGATTAGCAAAGATCGACTTTCCCCAACTTTAGGTGACGTTGCCCCTTTTTTTTGTGAGCCATCATTTTAAGTAAAACAGCGGTTAAATGGATAAATTCAAAAGATTAGAGCCAGGAAAGAAGCTCAGAGTGGGCTCACATGAATGTTCCATTATCAGTTACTTATCCGAAGGTGGGTTTGCTCATATTTATAAAGTCCAAATCTCTCCTCCCGAAAACAATTCCGATGTAGCATGTTTGAAAAGAGTGCTAGTGAAGGACAAGACTGGCTTGAGTCAGCTAAGAACCGAGGTAAAGGTGATGCAAAAATTGGTAGGATGTCCCAATATTGTACAATACTATGATTCTCATGCCTCAAGACTATCAACTGTTGATTCCAACGAAAAATTAGGGTACGAAGTTTTGGTATTGATGGAACTTTGTCCTAACAAATCATTACTCGATTTTATGAACACTAGGCTCAAGACAAAATTAAAGGAGATTGAAATATTAAAGATCATGTATGATATTTCCATAGCGGTATCACAACTTCACTATTTGCCAAAACCTTTGATTCATAGAGATATTAAGATTGAAAATGTGTTGATTGATGCTCATCGAAATTTTAAATTATGTGATTTTGGATCAACATGTCATATTATACCTCCAGCAAAAACCAAGGAACAATTCGATAATCTATATCAAGATATTCTTCATCAAACAACTCCACAATACAGATGTCCTGAAATGATTGATTTGAATCGTCGCTTGCCAATTGATGAAAAATCAGATATTTGGGCCTTGGGTGTCTTCTTATACAAGTTATGCTTTTATATAACTCCTTTCGAAACGCAAGGCCAAATGGCTATTCTCAATGGTACCTTTCTGTTTCCGCCAGTTCCGAGGTATTCTGACAGTTTAAAGCACTTGATAATTGTCATGTTGCAAGCTAACCCAGACTATAGACCTAATATATATCAAGTGGTGGAGATTGTTTGTGGAATGAGTAATTTGACTGTTCCCATCTTAGATAAATATGAAACAGGGCCTCATCAATATTTCCAAATGCTTAATAATTCCCGGAATAATAATCCTCAGAATGCATACTACCATCCTCCAGTGCAACAACCTCAGCATCCATACCAACATCATGCCCCACAACAACAAACTCTGCCACCACCAGAGAAGTTTCCATATCAACAACTGTCTTCAAATATTTCAGGTATGGTACCGCAACAGCTTCCATCTGCTGGGTCAATACCAAGTCTGTTCCCTCAAATGGATCAAAGTTACTATCCTGCTCAGCAGAATCAACCGCCAGCTGTTCATTCTCAATATAATCAAGGTCCCCCACCAGGGTATAACGTGTATCCACGCAGTAATAATAGTGATCCAGACAAAGACCAAAATAACATAAAATCTTTGACTGAAACTTTATTACAAACCACCAACGAAATGATTGAAGATAACGACATTTTGAAGTCAACTAAACCAGCACAAAAACAAGCTGATAAAAATAACCAAAGTAGGAGTGAAAATTCTGACTTGATAGATAATGCTGAGGTTAGATATCCATCAGTTGATGAATTCAACAATTCTTTCTTTGAGATGGCCGATCCAGGAAAAGCCCTGAGCTTTCAAGGCTCATATCCGGCATATAATTTTGGCAGTACAGTATTCAATGAGGATTCTGAGCTTTTAAAAAAGCCAAATAGTGGATACAACAATAATTCTTCATCAACTACCAATTTCTTGGTACCAAACAAGAGCAACATTTCACAGAGTGGCAACAATATTTTATACAACTCCTCATCATCTATCAATTTAACTCAGACCAACGATAGTAATGATTTCTACGTCTTTGAACATGATAGTTCAAAATCGAAATCACCATCACGGCAACCATCTATGAAGAGCAGGGTTAGTGGTAAAGCCTCAAGGCCTACATCTTATATTGAACTCACTCAGAACCATTTGTATCAGAATGTCCCGCCAAACACAGATAACACTGAATATGAATTTTCATTTGCTGATAACAGTAGATTTGAACTTGATGATGGACAGTCTCAGAAATCACAATACAATACTACATTGAATGAAGGTGATGATATGAACACAGGGGTTTCCATGGTGGACCATTCCTTAATGGTTGACGAAAACAATTTACTTGATTTTGATGATAATAATGAAGATTTTTTCAAGAAAGTTCCGCAGCCTAATCAGATATCACAAATATTACAATCTAATGTCGATGGGGCTGGTAACACTCAAAATCTCTCTGAAATGAGACCAAAGACTCCTTCCAATAATCCATTTCCAATGACTGACAATTACCTGGCCTACAAAGGCTCTCCTGCAACCACCCAAAAGTACCATTCCGGCAGTGACAAGAATCCCTGGGCGAATTCTAATGCCATCAACAAACCTAATAGCAGTCTATTCCCATTAACTTCGGATAATGTTAAGTGCTCAAACATTGAAATCGAAAGAGAAAAACTGACGTCCAAGATACCAGAAAAGCATATTAATGAATTGTTCCTACATACTAAAAGCATGGTCAATGATGTGATTGATCATGACGACTTAGTATCTCCAAACTCTACTCTAAAATTCAAAATTGAAGGGGGGCCAAATGATCAAAAATATCGGAATGATTTGAAAATTAAAAGGAAATCTGAGAACAATATGGAAACATTGGATACTAGGTTGCACAAACTACTGATTAATACTGATTTCGATAGACCGTATATGTTACCATATCCTAAAGACCAAGAGCCATTACTTGATATTGAATCACCAAATGGAGATTCTAAATCTTCCAGCAGGAACCCTCAATACACACTGTTGATGACTGATCATCAGCAATCCGACAATCAATCTTCTAAATTGACTCAGATGCTTGCGCCTTCAAATATCTCGAGCGATGGATATGGAAGTGTTAAATCTGCTCATAAGATTAGAGAGTTGGTTAATGCCACAGAGGAGATTGAGGTTGATTTATCGTCTAATTCATCTATAGGTCAGGACGAGGTTGAAGTGGAAGAAGAGGATCCATTAAAATTCTTGTCAAATATTCAATCAGTCAAAAGTAAAATGGGTTCTACTTCCGCATCACACAAACCTCAGGCTGATAGTCCTGTGGACGAGTTTGGTAATAATGATAATATTCCCACTTTGCCAAGAATGAAGTCATACACTAGTGATCTGGGTAAAAGCTCACCTGTCGGCGTCAGTCCAGTAGATGGTCTATTTGAAAAAAAAGGGCCCAAAAAGTCTAGATTTTCTAACACTTTTTCTAAACCAAGATTCAAAATGCGATCCAATAATGGCAATTTCAGTGATGTGATTTCCCAGTCTCCTCCCAATTCTCTGGAATCTGATAAGAAAGGTTCTATTGGGGCCACGTCTACAACTCTGGTACATGGGATGAATAGTGGTGCGATAAACGCAAATGACTTTACATCACCAATAAGCCTTGATATGCTGACCAAGAAAAAATTCGGAACTATTTTCAGTGACTCAGAGGATGATAACAGCATTATTTCAGACATCAAAGATGACGATATAAAGACTAACGAAGTTGAATTGGAAAAGTCTAGGAAAAACAGCTCCAGTAGTGAAAATAAATATTCCAGGAAGAATAGTTCCAGTAGTGAAAATAAAGGTTCCAGTTTGGAAAATAAAAAGATATCAAGAAGAGAAAAGGTTCGATCGTTCTTAGGGGGGAGCAACCATCATTATATGCACTACGGTAATGCCAATGGTAGTAACACTAAATAAATAGTTTATGGTTTCTTATTTATTTTATCAGAGTTTTGAATATTTCCAATGATCATATTGGTGACTTCGATTCGTTATTATTGTTGATTATTTTTTTCTTCTTGAGTGGTATTACATCCTTTTTAATGATTGATGAATTATAAATAGATATCGGACGATTAAATTTGTTAACTACACATCACTATTGACGATTAATAATATATTGGTGAACGATTAAAGCATAGGTAAGCAAATAAAATAGATGACTTATTAGATAAAAGAGAAGTGAAGAACACAGGAAAGATGGCCATCTTTTGATTAGAAAAAAAAACACAAGAAGACAAATTTCCTTTTATTAATGGTGGCAATGGAAGTAAGAAGAGCAAATAAGACTGAAATATAATAATGGTAATAATAATAATCATAATATTTTATGTTGGCAATACATGAGAATTCTTTAAAATGGGTAGAATGAGAATAGTGTTAGTATAATAGAGCCATAATTTCGTGATATGACCAATAATATGGTCGATTAATTGATTATGTTTTCCAAGTAGTTGGTGACGTTGAACCATGGAAGATCAATATAAGAAAAGTAGTTTTTGGAAATGGTTGGGAAGTGCTGTCTGACAGTTTGCAACAAGTCCTCGCCCGTGATGTAATAGTAAATTCTGCCACAGAGCGAAAAGGTAGAAGCAGGCAAGTAAACCCCAACGGCGTAGACAATAAATGATAAGAATAAAAACATGATCAGATCTGCAATTGTTAGTGTTGCCTTTAATATAAAATCGCATAACAGAAAAAAAAAATTGACACATACGTAGCACAAAAGCCTCTCCAGTAGTCATCAAATAGAAAGGTAAGTGGATATAGTAAGCCCAGTAAATTCGGTCTAACAAAGTTAGACTTTTTTCACTTTTCAGGATTTCAGGGTCAGTTTTAAATAAAGGATTGTCTTTCATATTAATAGCTATTATTGTAATGAATATCCGAATGTATATTATTGTGGTGGTATTGCCGACTTTTTTTCTCAAAAGGAAAAAAAAAAGTGTTAGATGTGGCGGTGCTCATAATTTGTGTGTGCACGCCCGCATAACCAGCGGAATTTCTAGAACTTTTGTGGAGGTTTGTATTTTTGATTTAGATATGTATATATATGTATATATATTGCTGAATAAATATCTTGGTGGGAATACAGCAAATAGATAGAACTATTCTCTATCCAACTGATTAGGTCACAATGCAACAGAAACGTACAAGTAGCGAGGAATTCGCAATCGACGATGAGAATGATGAGGAAGCATTGTTGTATGGGGTTCCGCGAAAGAAAAGAATAACGGAATATTTCAAAGATTTATCCTTAAATAATAAAGACGGAGTTTATAGTAATCACATATCGATACTACTGGCTACAAAAGCCAATGGGAATCGGCAAATAAATTCAACGGATACACCACCAATTGAGAATTGCACACCAGAAGACCGTGAGGAAACCCAAGACGCTGAGTTGATGATACCCAGTGACAACGGCGAAAATCGCAAGTACTACATATCAAAAAAATTCATTGACCCATTGATTATACTCCATGGGAAAGATGAGGCTGATCAATTACAAGCGAAAAAGAGGGAGATTTTTGAGAAGATAGCGCGAGAAAGAAAACAAAACCGGGAAACCCTGGATGGTCACAACAATCACGAGGAGGAAGAAAATGATTTTGACGATGATGGTGATGATTTAATGGTTATTGATGAAGGATTAGAAGTCACAAGACGACATCCCAGAAATTCTTTTGGGGAAAAGATAGACAACGCCGAAATATATTATGGGATCTACCTAGATAAGAACTGGTCAGTGGTCAAATATCATGACCCTCATGAAGTGGTGTGGAATCACTGGGAAAAGGGTTTGGCAAAGCCATCATCCTCTTCACAAGACCTAGAAGACTTCGAGATGATCATCGATCCGTGATGATCCGCACCGCTGCGTAGCTCACGTGGTGTCAGCAGATTATATAATCGACTGCCCGGCAGTCTTCCGAAGCAAGCAGCTGCTCACGTGGATATATAATTTGTAGGGAAAAAAAACCAAGGAAATCCCCACGGTTAATTTAGCGATACCAAATCACCAGAACCGGTAGATAAAAGTCTTACGTTGTCTTTACTATCGTGTCCTATTATATTGTGTTTATTACTACCGCTAATAACCATTGGTGTTCTTTTTCGTTTGTCTTCGTGTGATAGATTACTCATTCGTGCGTACAGTCCCTCAAAAGCAAAGTCTGTCACATTTTCTTTGATTTTGTTTATCTGTCTTTGCCCCCCTTAATGAAAAGACTTTCTTCTCAATATTCACCCATCTGTGGCATATAAAACATTTTATGGAGTCGTTTGCTAATCACAGACTCTCTGTTTTCTCTTTTTGTGACACTACAAACTGATAGACTAAAGTCCAGCAACAAAGTTAGTATCTACTGATTTGACACTTTGCTGGCGGCCACCATACCAAAATACATTGATAACCAAGTGAGTTATCACAAATCAACCACTTGAAATAATAGTTCCAATTCGTGAATAAATACAAATCATAAAACAAACCAGTCTCAATGACAACGACAGTCCCAAAAATATACGCATTCAAGGAATTCGACGACGTCGCTGGTGCTGTGGCAGACCATATCATTGCTGCGCAGAACTCGGTATTGTTCCCAAACTCTGCAATCGCTTTTTCCAAAAGGGAAAGTTGGACTACCAATACATTTGAAAACCTACCTCCGACAGTCATTCTTGATAGCGAAGAAATTCAATCAACTGGTGCTATCCACCAAACCATAAAAGATGATGAATTAACGCCGACTAATGGCTCCACCATAACTCTGTCAGCCGCCACGCCAACACCTGTATCCGGCAAAAAAACCAAAAAGAAAAAAAAAGATAAGAAGGAACAAGAAAGACGATTCAAGATTGCTATATCTGGTGGTTCCTTGATTGCGGTGTTGAATCAAGGTCTATTGAAGAGAACCGATATTGTTTGGAATAAGTGGGATATTTTCTTTGCTGATGAAAGATTGGTTCCATTTGACGATGAAGAATCAAATTATGGATTGGCTAAGCGCAAAATTTTTGACTTGATTGCAGACTCGCCATCGGGGCAGAATCATGGGTTACCAACGGTTTTCCCAATTAATGAAGCACTAATCACAGACCCTGAGGAGTGTGCCGATGATTATGAAAAGCTTTTAATTAAAAAGTTTGCATCCAAGGACTCCGTGAAGATACCAATGTTCGATTTGTTCTTGTTAGGATGTGCTCCAGACGGACATATAGCTTCTCTCTTTCCAGAAAAAGAACAGTTAAGAGAAAACCTTGCTTGGGTCATGGCAGTGAATAATGCCCCTAAAGGACCATCAGATAGAATTACTTTGAGTGTACCGGTTATTTGTCACTCTGTTAGAGTCACATTTGTGGTAGAAGGTAGTACAAAGGCTCCAATTCTCAAAACAGTATTTGAAAGACCAGATAAAGCTTTACCTAGTAGTATTGTCAATGAAGGTGCTGCAGGAAGAGTATGCTGGTTTGTAGATGATGATGCTTTGGATGATGTTATGGTCACTAAGAAGAAATACAAGTACGAAGTCGATACCTACAAGAATAAGTGAGCGTATATATACGCATGCATTTGTGGTTCTGTGGGCTATATAGTTAGTTGCGCCTCTCTCATTCTTTATTGATCTAAAAGGTTTTTCTCTTTATTGTTGTTCTTTTGGTTGTTATTTTGTTAATTCATTGGTTGCCTGTTTCACTCCTAATACAATTTATTATCACTTTTTATTTTACATGGTTATAATCTATTTCATTGATGTTATTATTATTGTTTATTATCAGTATTTACTGTAGCGGACTCTAGGGTTGTATCCAAAATGAGATTTGGCACGTGGAATTTTGAAAGACCCCAGCCCTGCAGTGCAGAAAAATGAAAGAAATCAGAGAAAAAATTGTTGTACGATGAGCAAACAACCTTATTTTTAGCCAAATAATCCTTAAAAAAAGATGCCATCTCAACTTCCTTCTTTGTCCGATGATGTTTTACAACACATTGGTAACACTCCTCTTGTTAAATTGAACAAAATTCCTCAATCTTTGGGTATCAAACCAAGAATCTTAGTTAAATGTGAATATTTTAACGCTGGTGGTTCTGTCAAGGACAGAATTGCTAAAAGAATGGTTGAAGAAGCCGAAAAAGACGGCAAAATCAAGCCAGGTTTCACTTTGATCGAGCCAACTTCTGGTAACACCGGTATTGGTTTGGCTCTTTTGGGTGCCGTTAAAGGTTACAGAACCATTATCACTTTACCAGAGAAGATGTCCAACGAAAAAGTGGCGGTGTTGAAAGCTCTTGGTGCCGAAATTGTTAGAACCCCTACTGAAGCTGCCTGGGACTCTCCAGAATCTCATATTGGTGTAGCAAAGAAATTAAACAAGGAGATCAAGGACTCTATCATTTTGGATCAATACGGAAACCCAAACAATCCTTTAGCTCATTACTACACTACTGGTTACGAAATTTACCAACAAACTGAAGGTAAAATTACTGCTTTGGTTGCCGGTGCCGGTACTGGTGGTACTGTGAGTGGTATTGCTAAATATTTGAAGGAACAAGATAAAAACATTACTGTGGTTGGTGCTGATCCTTTAGGTTCTATTTTGGCCGTTCCGGAATCTTTGAACAAAACTGACGTGACTGTTTACCAAGTTGAAGGTATCGGTTATGATTTCATCCCAGATGCTTTGAGCAGAGAATTAATCGACAAATGGTACAAGACTGAAGACAAAGAATCCTTCTACTATGCCAGAAGATTGATTAAGGAAGAAGGTTTATTAGTTGGTGGCTCATCTGGTTCTGCTTTGGCTGCTGCTGTTAGATATGCTAAAGACCATCCGGATTTGACTGAGAATGATACCATTGTCGTTGTATTGCCAGATTCTATTAGATCTTACTTGACCAAGTTTGCTGATGACGACTGGATGAGATTGAATGGCTTCTTGGATGAAAAAGATGAAAAAGATGAATTTGACAATAAGACCATCAAGGAACTTTCATTGAAGCCAGTTGTTTCCGTTTCTTTGAATGAAAAAGTTTCCAAAGTCATCAAGATTTTGCAAACCAATGGGTTTGATCAATTGCCAGTTTTGGATGCTTCTAACAAGAAACTTTTGGGTTTGATCACTTTGAGTAGTTTGTTGAAAAATCTTTCTAAGAGGACCGTTACTTTGAATGATTCCATTTCTTCCATCTTCCTTGATTTCAGAAGCTTGAAAGACTTTGACAAATCTTATGACATCAATAAGGAATCTAAATTCTCAAAGAGAAAGTTCCAAGCCATCACTCTTGATACTAAATTGTCAAGTTTGAATAAGTTCTTTGAAACTAACTCCGCTGCTATTGTTACTGATGACAAATTAGTTCCAATTCATGTTGTTACTAAGGTTGATTTGTTGTCTTACTTGAGTGGCCTTTGTAGTCTTTGATCTACGAAACTTTTTGTGTCTCTACTCTATTTTATATTTGCTAATAGATGAATGTTATTTGAATCTCTCTGTAAATTATTGATCCAGTATTTTTTGAGACGGCTGCGTGAGATTTACGAGCGCAAACTTCAGACCTAATTTTTTTTGAGTATTCGCCAAATCACAATTTAATGCTTATTAATACAATGTAATTCAGTAACTTTGTATTTCTATTTGCACCACCTGTTAATAGATTGTTCCAATTACTAAATAATAATATAATGTAAAATGTGGGAATTCTTTTCCATGATCTCTTGAAGTTCTCAGAGTAGATAAGAAACTAAAGATACTCTAAGGTTATACGGTTGAAAAGAATACGAAGATGAGAATAGAGATCAGAGTGAAGAGGATAACGATAGATAACAAATAAGTGGTGAATAAAAAGATAACAGTGACAAGGGTCGAAACTTTACGATCATAACCGCATCGTATAAAAAAAACGGATAACAAAAAGATAGCGAAGAAAAATACTAAAAAATTACGATGCTGGCAGGGTTCGAACCTACGCGGGAAATCCCAGCGCCTCACATGAAGTCAGATGACTTCCGATCTGTGGGCGACACCTTAACCACTCGGTCACAGCATCTTGTGTGTTAGTACGCCATTTTACCACCAGCAGATTAAATAAACATTTATTTTTACCCGGCCGTCAATAAATTCTAATCAATTCATACCTGTATTTCAACTAATATTGGAAATATGTGACTTTAACTTAGTTTAATTGAATTTCTTTTCTTTTTTTAAATATATTTTTATAGACTGCTGACGTTTCATTTGTTAAAATCACTAATTTCCCTTCATTTTTGGTAAACTCGTGCAATTACTTACGAGATGTTAGGTGATATCTAGTTTCAAAATATTATTGATAATGGTAACTAATCCTTCCATTCTGAAGTCTGTAATTTCTTTCAAAGATGTATAGTGAATAGCAAAAAAGGATTTTGATCCCCTTACACAAAAAGATCCAAAAATAATAAAGTACGCAATATGTAATTGAACAATACGTGCAATGGTGGTATGGATTAGCTATCAACATCCATTGTCAGCTATATGATATCTTTTCAGATCACTTCTAAATTATTACCTTAAGACGCGTTTATTTCGGGTTCAATTTCCTGTAAATATTGCCTTTAAGTCTTTAGAAACACCTGCTGCCACTAGGTATATGTTTTTTTAAAAAAGCGACAACTCAATACTCTATCAAGCCGCCGCAAGTACTGTAATCATTGAACCTTTGATCTTTATGAATTCGATCGGCAATATTTGCTTATTCATTTTATGCAGTGATCGATTGTTTGATTTGAAGTTGTGGAGGAATGAAACGGAAATCACAAAAACTTTGATATATTAATATAAATTCGCGGATATCAAGAACCACCTCCCCCCCCTCAGTCTTCAAGTTTCACCTAAAATAATCTCAGTTCTTTTGAAAATACAAATAGTATTCTTAACTTCACTTGATTGAACATATGTTTTAATAATCCACGGGAAATGGAAATTGATCTCCCATTAAATTTACCCAATTTACTATATTTTGATTTGTTGCTAACTCGTTTTCAAGCAAATGTAAATTTTATATGGTTTAATTTGCTTATTATATCTCCTCTTATAAGATACCTAAAACTCCGTACGAACTAGTTCGATTTACTTTTACTTTTGTAGCCATTTATAGTTAAAAATCTGCACGACTTAAGATAAGATTTGCACATTTTATTAATTTTACTGGCAGGTAATAGTAAATATGACCCTATATTTGCCATTATCAGCATCAAACAAATTACAATCAATATAAATTTTAAAGAGTTCTTTTTGTGGTCTAACATCGGTAATCAAGTTGAATTTCCTTGTAATAAAAAACTGATAAAAAAGTTAAAAACAAAACCGAGTTTCTTCCTAGAGAGCCAAAAAAACTCATTCATTTCTTTTTTAAACCCTCATTGAAGGTTCCTGGAATAAAAGTAAAATCTGTGTGTACAGAGTAAGAATCCTTTAACCCATCAAAAATTGACATACTATTCACAAAAATGCATGCGCTACTTAAATAGTAACTGGCTACCCATAACAAATATCTAGACATATAGACAGTTCATAGCCACTTGCTTTCCTGTTCGCTACCTCTAGAAGCCCGCGCTATAGCCTGTTCGATTTGCAATCTACCTCTCAACATTCTTTGTTTTGGTTCAACCTTAGCGCCATACCAACCGTATTTGAATCCAATTTCATGAGCGACAATTTCACCAAACCCAAGCATTAATCCGTTTATGAAAGGTAACACTAAGTTTATTGCCGAAGAAGAGATTATATCAAGAATGGAATAACTGTCTTCTTCTTCTTCAATTGATATGAGTGATTCATCGGATTCATTATTATTAGCAGCCTGATTTGCTTCGTACCCTTCGCCCGTGTTGATCATTTCAATATATTCTTGAAGTGAATTTGTCTGCAAATTAGAAGAAATAATGTCTTGGGCGTCACTCATTAGATCGAAAGTACGTGGTTCCAAATACCAAACCTAGCAATTCAAGAAACTTCCTTCTTTATATATCAAAGTCACCGCACAAAAAAAACAGAATCCAATGGATTGGACCTCTAAACGCACTACTATGTTGTGCAAGAATTACTACAGAAGCAATCGTTAAACTTACTTCTTGTATATTTTCCTATTTATTATCAAGAAATGACAAATTTGTTCATATGCCTGCCTTTTGTATAAAATTTCACCCATTAAGGAGATAACATGGATGAATCAATACCTGATTAGTACAACATCGAATAGACCCAGGTTGTAATATACAGAATCCAAAAACATCCAGTTCTCAATCTCAACTTGTAGATATAATAATAATTAAAATACATAAATGTCCGCTAATAATGACAATTATCTCAAAAGAAGAAGACGAAGACAAACAATAAGATAGATAACAACAGTGATATTATTTCTAGTACTACCTATACGGAAAATCACGATTCCGACTCGGAAATCCGCCACCAATAGAAACCGCGGTTACTGAGCCCCGGGGAGCATCATCAACTTTTCGATTAATCGAAGAGTCAGAAACTGAGACCACAGGAAGCTGACAGCATCGAATACTCATATTTGTCTTCTCTTTTTTCAGAATTTTTCCACTACGATTTCGACCTCACCATATTTGGAAGAAGTATTTTGTTATAAAAAATCCCTTCAGGGCCAAAATATCCGTGCGAGTTGGAAATTAGGAGATTTATTTTTGGGAAGAACTTGAAAATTTGTGCGGATTTTAGATTGGAACTAATATATTTGACTCCCGGGACTGATAAAGGAACAGCTGAAACATAAATTGAAATAGACATAGCCAAACAATTATCTTCTTTAATAATTGTCTCATAAATACATTATATAATTTCTTTTATTTTTTTTTTCTTTTCTCTATTTTTCGGTTGGGCAGGAGACATATATTTATAATTTACAATGAGTGCAATTTTATCAGATGATGAGGAATTTTCACAATCGCCTCTTATGATAAAGAATCTCTCCATGAACAATACTTCCGGCCAGAAACATGAAGAAGCTGATATAGTTGGTAAGTCACTAGTAGGGGTTGTGGATTGTGGTTCTAACGGTGTCAGATTTGCCATCACCTCGGTGGCTCCACACCATGCCAGAACTATGCCATGCGTGTTTAAAGATCGTTTGAATGTATCCCTTTTTGATGCCCAATATGAAAATGGTAACTGCAAAATTAACGAGAAGTCTCCCATTCCAAATGAAGTGATCTATGAAATCTGTAAAGCAATGAAGAGGTTTCAAATGATTTGTGATGATTTTGGTGTGGATGATAAATCTGTTAGGGTAGTGGCAACGGAAGCTACTCGTGAGGCTAGCAACTCCAAATATTTCAGAGAATGTATCAAACAGACGACAGGATGGGACGTCGAGTTATTGTCCAAAGAGGCCGAAGGGAGAATTGGAGCCTACGGGGTTGTTTCTTCATTTCATGTTATTCAAGGGTTGTTCTTAGATTTGGGAGGTGGGTCTACGCAATTGAACTGGATTTATTGTGAAGAAAATGGTGATGTTGAGTTTTCTAAAAAACCAATTTCTTTACCTTACGGTGCTGCTGCTTTGACAAGAAGATTGAAAACTGAAAACCAGCGTGACTTGTTTTTTGAAATAAAAGATGCTTACGCCAAAGCAATAAAGATGTTGGATATTCCTCAAAAGTTGATTGAAAAAGCGCATAAGGAGGGTGGGTTTCAACTATTTTGTTCGGGGGGTGGTTTACGTGGTTTAGGAAACTTGTTATTATCACAAAACCCAGAGTACCCAATTACTGCTGTGATTAATGGTTATGCTTGCGAAGATACCGAAATAACTTCATTGGCGAACTTTTTATTTTTGAAAAACAGGGTTCCTGATCCTAAAGCCAATATTTTCAGAGTTAGCGAGAGAAGAAAACAGCAGTTCCCAGCAATTGGTTTATTGGTATCTGCTGCATTTGAATCATTGCCTAAAATTAGGTCTATTCATTTCAGTCAGGGTGGGGTCAGAGAAGGCTCTTTATTCGAGAAATTGCCAAAGAAGATTAGATCCCAGGATCCTTTGATTGTTGCCACAAAACCCTATGCACCATTTTTGGTTGATAAATACTTGAACTTATTGAGATCAGCTATCCCAAGGGAACATGTTCCAAGGGAAGTGTATGAAAGAGTTGCCCCTGCATTGTGTAATTTAGCCTTTGTCCACACCATGTACCCGAAGGAACTTCAACCAACTGCTGCATTACAAGTTGCAACAACAGGTATCATTGCGGGCTCTCATGGTTTGAGTCATCGTATTAGAGCTTTGATTGGGATTGCTTTGTGTGAAAGATGGGGTGCTGAATTACCAGAAAATCAAGCAAAATTCAAAAATAATTTGATTTCTACAGTTTTGAAAGGATCAATTAGTAGCGATAGTGATAAATCTTCCGAAGATGTGTTCTGGACGATCTATATTGGAAAAATAATGTTCTTCATTTGTGGTATTCATCCAGGAGGCAATATCAATGAAGCGAATGCACCATTTGAATTTGAGGTTAAAACTAAAGAAATTAAAGATGATTCGGAAGCTTCTAATAAAGATGAAGAAAAGCAAACTACAGCGGCAAATAAAAAATATAAGTTTGAAACCATTGTGAGAATTGATTCCGATAATCTTAAAATTGGCTCAGGGGCAGGTAATAGAATTAAATCTATCACAAAAAAGATAAAGAAATTGAGCAAGTCATACAATATTAAGATGAAGTTCGATATACAATCGGTAAATCACAGTATTAACATAGAGAAAACTTTAAAGCATGGAGAAAGAGAAGAGGAAGATGACGAAGAATGAAGCGAAATGAATGTGTAACTATACAAAATAATGTACGTTATTATTATTATTATAATTATTACTGGTGATATAATGTATTTTCGAGTTTAATGCCTTCCTTTTTTTCTGCTCATGCTATCCATTTTATGTTATGTTGTGCCATCACTTATATGCTTTTTTTTCCATCATTATTCAGCAATAAATCACGATAAATTCTTTTTGTATACATTATTAATAAGATATGGACAATCAATTTCACGATCCCTCAACCCATGAAATACGTAGGTCATCAATTTTTTCTCGAAGCTTCCCATATTCAACAGAATTTATGGACCTTTTCAAAGGATTTTGCAATAGGAAGAGATGCTCTAATTTAGGCGAGGATTCCACATTCTCAAGCTTAGTAATATAGTTTTTCGACAACAGTAAAACATTCAAGTTGAGCAATCTATCCAAATTTTCAATCTTTTTTATCAGATTGAATCCAAGGTTCAAATTCTCTAAATTTACTAACTTTTCAAGATTTTGAATCTTTTCAATGTTGTTATGACTTAAATTCAATTTTTTCAACTTTCTCAAATCTTCTAATCCCTCAATCTTCGATAAACTATTGTAGCTCAAATCAACAATTTCCAATCTATGTAGGAATCCAAAATTATCAATTCTTAGAGGGTACCAATGCCTGATTGTTATGTCAGTCAAATATTCTAGGCTCCTGAAATCCAAAGATATCCCTCTAGCATTATTTAAATATAATGTATCTAGCGTAAAAATACTAATAGTACCTTTACAAACTCCAATTTCTTTGAAAGAATTACCTTTATGCGGATCTTTGATGCAAATTGAAAGCTTCCTAAGGTTGGGGAATCTCTCTGAATCCATGTTTTGCAAATTGAAAGTAGACGCACAATTAACAATTTCTAGCTCTTCTAGCAATGATGCATCCAAATCATCGCTATTGAGAGAATTCGTACAATAAAAACTTTTTAGAATTCTCAAATTCGGGAACCAGGAATTTTTTGGAATAAAAGTGTTCTCAATTTTTGAAAGAGTAGCTGTGACACCGTCTTGTGGATGATACAATGAATGATAAACATGCAATTCATAGAGATTTTCTTTATTCATCATTAGATTTGATCCATTTTTAATTCTGGTGTCTAGTTTAACAAGCGGTTGTGTAATTGGAGAAATATCTGTGTCACTAGTAATCTGACGTAAAAACGGTAATGAATTCAAGCTAGTTGCAATATTTCGGATCATTTCATCTGTAACGTTGTATCTAATATTGATATTGACTGCTCTTATATAATTCTTGAAAGGCGCAATCTTGTTGATCTGGGACGCATCAACCGCAAGATGGTCATAATATCTGAACTTTCTGATTGGGATATTTTCTAATTGGAATTCCAAAAAATCCCCTTCGAAGTATATTTTTTGATATTCATTGAACGGGTAGATCAACATTTCCTCAAATAGATAGCTATCAGCGCACTCCTTCACCAAAGCTGAATGTGAGTCATTGCGAATTTTTAACAAATCATTTATTTTAAGTAGTCGAAATTTATCCATTAGTTCTCCTCTGGAGAAATTTGAGTAACCGTTCATCTCTTTTATCACTTTTGAGTTTGTCAAACAAAGCGCTCAACTGAAATTTTCAAAATCAGATCTTCCTCTCCAAAGAATCAGTTTATTTTTCAAAATCCAACACACTATGACAATACCACAAAAGGCCAAAAAACAAAAACAAAAACAAACAGTTCAGAATATTTATAAGGTGTCAGTTTTCGTAGCATCTAGTGTTGGTGAAGAGTGGGTGTGTGTGTTTTTGACCTTTGTGGAAAATGCCGCGTGCATGTAGCATCTTCATAACATAGTTACGAGCCCCGACCAATACCGCGTTAGGCAGCCTTGGAAAATCAAAACTGAACAAAAAATTGCCACCACCGTAAATGGCGTTGATATTATTGGCATCCAATCTCTTTTGATAATAGCAATTATTTATCTTAATTGTGTTTAATTGCATATTTTTCTTCCCCTTTTTCCTATCTATTCACATCAAAAAAAATGAATAACTTATCAAGCTTGCAAAGAATGTTAGGCCCGGGTGGCTTTGGAGGCGCCCCAATGACCGATGGCCCAATAAGTGATAATAAAGAAACTATATATATTTCCAGTTTGGCATTGCTCAAAATGTTGAAGCATGGGACTGCTGGTGTGCCAATGGAAGTCATGGGCTTAATGTTGGGTGAGTTTGTTGATGAATATACTGTCCATGTTATAGATGTGTTTGCCATGCCCCAATCGGGTACTGGTGTTTCTGTGGAAGCTGTCGACTCAGTTTTCCAAACAAAGATGATGGATATGTTAAGACAAACTGGCCGTGATGAAAAGGTTGTTGGATGGTACCATTCCCATCCTGGTTTTGGATGTTGGTTATCTTCTGTCGATGTCAATACTCAACAATCATTTGAACAGCTAAATCCAAGATCCGTTGCAGTTGTTATTGATCCAATTCAATCTGTTAGAGGTAAGGTTGTTATCGATGCTTTTAGATTGATTAGTTCTGCCTCAGTGATGATGGGTCAAGAACCAAGACAAACCACTTCCAATATCGGTCATTTAAATAAACCAAGTATCCAAGCATTGATCCATGGTCTTAACAGAAACTACTATTCCTTAAATATTGATTATAAGAAAACAGATTTGGAAGTTAATATGTTGTTGAACTTGCATAAACAAAATTGGTCAAGCGGTTTAATTTTGAATGATTATGAGAAGAAGGATGAAAAGAACTTACAGGATATGGATAATATGGTGAAGATTGCGAAATTGTACTCTGAAAGAATTAAGGAAGAAAAAGAATTAACTGAAGAGCAGTTGAAGACAAGATATGTGGGTAAGCAGGATCCAAAGAAACATTTAGGTCAAACTTCTGATAAAAGAATAGAGGATAATATAGTTAGCATCTTGACAGGTCAAGTTAATCATGCTGTCATTCAATAGATGATTTGTTAAGTATGAAACTCCTATTTTTATGAGATGATATAAATGACAATAAAACAAAAAAAGGAAATCCTTTAGAGATTTTTGTGTATTGAAGCAAAAAAATGAAAACAAAGAAAAAGAAAATTCCGTAGATTCTGAGTAATTAAAACTTTTATATAACTAACTTTATTTTATTAACTAAAGCTTTCTTTTTAAATTGATCCCTAGCCAATGATCTGGTGTGTTTCATAAATGCGTCCAAAGAAAGCTTTCCTTTATCATGAAGCTCTGCCAAACAATAAATTGTATCATCTATGGCTTTGATTTCGGCAACCAACTTATAAAGCTGATTATAAACAGTAGTTTCCGCGCACACGATATCATCAACTTCAGGTTCTTTAAATTCTTCTGCTTCTTCAATAACCTTATTGACTTCTTCAATTTTGGATTTTAAAACATTTTGGTTTTGATTTATATCATTTATGTAGCCACTGAGAGTAGCCTTCTCATACTGTATTATGGATTCAAAGTGATTTATTACCTGGTTTATCTCGTTTAGTCTTGTGTCTTGTGAAATAAAATATGGCTCAATTTCTGATTTTGCAATACTTGATAGGGTGTGATGAATTTTATCCTTTAATTGTTCCGTATGATCATCGCTACCATTTTGAGCTAGGGTGGAATCACTATCCATCAAGTCTATCAGACTTGGCTGAGCTTGACTTTGTACAGTAGCTTGTACTTTAGGATTTGGTGGAATTGTGATTTGTACTTGGGGAATTGGGGGAACTGGACGATAATATTGTTGCCCTTGCTTTTGCCCTTGCTGTTGCTGAGGACCGGCCTCCGGCATATTAGTCAAATATCCCAGATTTTGCGATGGTGTTGCAAGGCTATATGAGGTAGAGTGTAAGTCTAATTTTGACAAGCTTGATGTGATATCTTTGGATATGGTTGGGACTTTTGGCGGTTTAGCTGGTAAAGGAGGGGCACCAATGGAATTCGAAGTGTACTGTGGCGTCAATGGTGTCTGTCGCGCCTGCTGATTTTGGTAATATTCTGGTGAGCTCTGTACTACTGATGGGACTACCTGCTTTGCTTTCCCATATACTGGTAACTCTCTGTTAAAACACTCGGACAACAAATTGCAAGTCTTTATTAAATTATGACTTGGATCTGATCCTTTCCAACCACTCAAGTACGGATTGTAGAATCTTCCATTACTGTCAATGAAGTTTCCCGGGTGAATGACCATGTCATTTGTTGGAATGACGTATATTATTGGGGGAGCATCAGGATATTGTTTTGGAACCCAAATCTCGATGGGGATTCGATAGATTGTACCATTATAAGTGCAAGGAATTGTCCCAAATAACGATAATAGAAGATCCTGTGATCCATTATCATTGATATATATCTTTGTTCTAACTTTCAAAGAGGCAAAGGACTGCAAAGTAATTGCCACATCTTGGTACGTAAATTGTGGATTCTTATATTCCTTCACATGCGTTAGTACCACGAAGGGGCGTAGACGAAGAGAAGAAGAAGAAGAAGAAGAATAGAATAGAGATCAGACTCAATAGCTTACCGGTTGTAATACTTTATATAGCCATTGTAACCATTCTTTGGGTAGTTGATTCACCATCTTTGTCTTCTATTCGACCGTATTCACAGACGGCTGTGTTTTAATTTTGTTTCGATCTCCCTTTATTACTTTTATAGCTTACGGATTATGTAAGCAACACCCTTTTATTATTACTCAACAACAATGTTCAATAAAAACTTGAGCTACACATCCTTTGAAAAGTAATAATCAGAATTGCATAAATACATTATAATATTTAGTGAAAAAAAAAATAAAGCCATAATGGATGATATAAAAAAAATATAACTTGTAAAAAAATGATTTTGAGGTTATAATACCCAAAAGACAGTAAATAAAGAAAAAAAAAAAATGAAAATTAACCATGACAGAAATATGAAAAAAAAATAGTGGTTCAGAAACTATAGATATACAGAGGCATCAGATGGTAGCAAGTAGTCAACGATCAAATATCTACGACTAATACGAAAAGTTACCAATCAAGGGTGAAGTTTAGAACATTGCATAACCAATCAATTAATCAGATTTGCTCTTCTTTTTGTCTTTTTTGTCTTTTTTTTCCTTTTTGTCCTTCTTTTCTTTCTTTTCTTTCTTTTCCTTCTTTTCCTTCTTGTCCTTCTTGTCCTTCTTTTCCTTCTTTTCCTTCTTGTCCTTCTTGTCCTTCTTTTCCTTCTTTTCTTCAGCATCAGAAGCATCACCACTTACGGTAACTTCAGCAGCGGTAGCATCTTCCATTTCAGCATCACTGTCATCACCATCAATGTTAGACAATTTGATAGCTTCGCTCATAGCGTCAACATTCTTTATTGGGGCCTTACCAGTGTCGTAAAATTCTAAACGTTCTTCCACTTGTTTCTTCAAGACTTTACCAAAGTTATTAGTTGGGTTGTCAGAGTAGTTATCAATTCTGGAAGCAATAGAACACTTGTTAGCCAAGTATCTAGAAATTCTACCCTTATTCTTAGCACTAGCCTTACCGATGAAACCAGAGTGGTAGATCAAACCATATTTAGGAGTGTTACCCTTAGTTTTCAAAGCTCTGAACAAGGCCTTTTCAGCACCCAAGATTTGGACAGTAGAAGCAGCTTGCTTGGACAAGTTAGTCAAAGAACCAGCGTGAGAGATCAATCTAGCACCAATAACTTCACCAATCAATTCAGACAAGTTTGGAGCAACAGTGTGCATCTTTTCAGTCAAGTAAGAGTATAATTGTTTACGGTAGTCAGAAATGTTAATCACACGTTCAGCAAAGGTCATAACATTTTCCATATCTTGTTCAGAAATGTCTTGACCCATGGAGATTCTGGCAGCATCAATAACTTGTTGAGCAACACCAGAGTCATCATCAAGAATAGCGGTTATGTCGTGTAATGATTCATCATTGATAGAAGATTTGTCCCTAATGAAAAAAATCAACTTGGCAAATTTGTAGTTTTCTGGGACAATCTTTGCCAATTCTGGGAAGTGCCACCCGTACCATTCCTTAGTTCTCATGGCAAAAGTGTTAATATCTTTGTCTAATTGATCCAAAAGAGCAATAGCTTGGATAATATGATTGTCATTCTTTTGAACAGAGAACTTAACCTTAGCTCTAGAGTAAGCGTGACCCAAACCTAATTGAGCTCTTTCAATATCACCTTCTTGTAAGTTCTTCAACAACTTGAAAGAGTGTAATCTGACACCTCTTAACAAATCTTGAACGAGGTCGTTTGAAATACAGTCAATAAAGCTGAAGTTTTCCTTGATGGATGGACCCAAGTTCTTGTCTGAAATACCCAATGCAACTTGTGTCTTTTTGGAGGCCTTTGGAATGTTTAATTCAATAACGGACTTCAAGTAGTCGGAAACCAAACCTTCAGAGATATCGTTGGCATTTTCCAAAGCTTGAGCAGCACCCTTGAATGGGGCAAAAGAAACCAATTCAACCATCTTGGAGAATTTGCCCAAGTCATTGAATTGTTTTTGGACTTCCTTCAAATCAGAGCTCACATCATCAGGTTGGACCTTAACCTTGAAGATCGCATACCCAGTAGGTTCTTCAAAAAGAAGATAGTCAATCTTAGCCATTTTTTATTTATTGATATAAGAGTGAACAATTCTTCAATATATCCAAACTTTAAGAGATGGGTTGGTGAAATTTTTTTTTTTTTCCGCACACACAGCATTACTGCTCTTCTCAAAAAAAAAATTTTCCTTGCTCAGGGCTCGCAATTACACCCAAACATTATACGCGATGCAATGCATTTTCGGTGTAAGGATGTTATCCCTCCAACATGACTAACGAGATATTGGCTGGGTATCTTTGTTGGAGCCGCCTGTTGTCCAGGACAACTGCAGACTGTTGTACTTCACCGGAAGAATAGAAGGATCAGACTGATTGTCCATTACAGGTAACAGAGGTTGAGGTCAGTAAGTAGTCGTATATGAGATGTTTTAACTTCAATAAATCGTTAAATCCTTCTACAGATTGAGCTAGACTGTAGTATGATACGATCCTTAAATAATAAACTACCTTCCATGATAAGTGGAAGCTCCTTTGATATTCCTATAAGTGAATATTCTATAAATAGGAGTATCATATCCAGAATCAAGGTTATTACTCTTGTAAGAGATTTACAAGTTAGCAGTTCCAGCCTCGCTTCACGTCATTCGTCAATGGGTGGGTGAACAATATCTTAGTAATCCGTCGATGACTAAGCGAACCAACCTACCACAGGTGTGGTGGTGTCAACAATCTTGATAGTCGCCCCAGTAGTAAATAACCCGGTTCTAAAAGGGAATATATATTTATATAAATAAATCATGGCACAACTATTCGCTCTTAACTACTAACTTTTTTCTTCTTATTTCCTTGAATAGTAAGTAATTTTTATGCTATAATAACAACAAAATTTCTTTAATCCTAGCATATTTTTTTAAGTATTTTCAATTAATTTACGAAAATCTATCAAAATCTTTCAAGTTACCTTTCCCATCTTAAAACCAGGGAATTTCTCATACAGAAAATATCCGCACTCTATTTTATCTTCAGAATGTTGATATCAACCTAGTATAAGGAACACAAGCCATGCTTGGCACAATAAAGTCTTATCTTTTTGCATGCAACTCCATCATTTTTTACAATCAGTGTCTCAATTCGCACAATTGAACTGCTATTTCTCTCAATGAACTGAGCGGCTTGATCCAGTACTCCATTTCTTTCTTTATATTGTTTCAATTATGGGCCACTCGACGCCGTGGAAGTTGATGTGCAAGGGGAATTTAACTAAGCTAAGAGCATCTCGGGCTCTAATATTTATCTAGATCAAGGAAAACCAGGCTGCGATTAAATATTCATTTTTTTGAACGTTAGCCAGTCAAGAAATTTTTTTCTTCTTTCCGTTCATGACTTTAAAATGAGATTGCTATAATTTGGACTACTACAAGATCAATAACAACTGATTCTAATATAATTGCATACTTGTAGGATAAACATTAAAACTTAAATTCCTATATATAGTGTTGGGGAACTCCCTTGAATAGTTGGACTGTGATTATATGATGCCGGCTTCTTTCAACGCTCCTTAGAAAACTGGACATTAATACCCCAAAAAAAAAAGAAGAAACACAGCATGAAAACTACACACAAACAACAAGAAAAATAGACACCTGAAAAGCAGAAAATTCTTGGAAAACTTCAAAAATAAAATAGAATTTCTATTAATAGATTTTATAAATATCAATGTGTAAATAGCAAGTACAACATACTAACAGTATGACTATTATTGTTATTATTACTATGAATAGAAACACACGGAATAAGTGTAGTGATTATATCCATCATTCGCGCGCAGTACTTAGCTAATTATAGCGGAGAATTGCATTTCTTTTTAAAAAAGCCCATCATTCTGACGTGACAGGTGAAATCATTGATTGTCGTTGGTCAGAACTTTAGTACTGCTGGCCGGGTCTGATGGGCTGCGTCTATGAAACATGCTATATGCAGATCGCTGAGGAAACCGCATTCTCCTCGTGTTCTGAGCCGCAAAAGGCGCTCCCATAATACTAGAGATTCCATCCCTGATATGCTATCAAAAAATTGATATTGAATATATTATCAAAAGAAAACTATATATATAGGATTTGTGGTATCTTTTTTCGTGGAAAAAAAATATTTTCTGAGAAACATTACAGGGCTTTGATTACAAAGTTCGCATAGTTGCAAAAAAGTGAAACTACCATAAAAAAAGCTGCAGCTGCAACTAATAACATTACCCAAAACTCATTAGTGAACTCTGCATCTTCAGCACGAATCAAATTCTAGGAGAATCTGCAAATTAGCTTTAGCGATTTTCTGAGTTACCATAAGTTTGAAGTTATTTAACTAAGCCAAAAGGCGACTCCTTATCCGTTCTCATAACTGGCACATTCCCCTTACCAAAAAATTAGTGCACATTTCAGATATCCCCCGAATTTCTTTTATATATTTAAAATATTTCCTTTTTCAATAAGCCATTACTTTTTGCTTTCTTCTGATCTTCACATATTATCATATCTCAGCTTTCTCCAAATTACCAGTATTCGTTATTATTATCACAATAACCATACCAAGATGTCCAATAAAGAAGCACTTGACATCTTTATTAGAAAACATGTCACCACTGAAATGGTTGACTACTTGGTCACCACAACTCAATCAATAATAAAGGTGAAAACCCTTGAGGATGATGAGCTGAAATACCCTTCGCCTCCAGCATCCCCTGAATCGGAAAGGAAGAAGACAATATCATTGAAATCATTTATTATCAATTTGATCAGATACTCAAACGTCCAAGTTCCAACATTGATGACCACTTTAGTTTATCTCAACAGATTGAAAGAAATCTTGCCATCAGATCAAATATATGGGATTGCTACTACTCATCATAGAATATTTGTTGGATGTTTGATCCTTACTGCCAAATATGTGAATGATTCTTCACCATTAAACAAACACTGGGCCAGATATTCTAGTGGATTATTATCAGTAAAAGAATTGAATGTCATTGAAGTCGAAGTATTAAGCTACTTGGATTGGGATTTGGCAATCACCCAAGATGATTTATACGATTCTTTTGCACCATTCTTAGCTCCAATAAAGGCCAAATTAAGAATGAAGGAAGAAGAAGAATCATTAAAGAAACAACAAAAACAAGAACAGTTAAAACTCTCCTCTTTGGCTAAACCAAACTTCAAATCTCTCAAGCACAGTGCATCAATTACATCTATCAAAAAAATGTTGTGTCCACCATCTGCTAGCTCCGCTAGCTATTCAGACAGCTCTATTTCTCCAGCTGGATCTAGTCTTTCTCAATCACTTTCTAACAACTCATCACTTTCTTCATTGTCTTCTCCAATCAAGAACAGTACCAATACCAATAAGAATAGCAACTACTCGGTGCCATCCTTGACTAACTCTGCCTCAACATACCAATCTAATTCCAACTCTTCTTCCACTTACTCATTGAATAACTCATCCACAAGCTCGCTTACAAAGAAGATGATCGAGGATGATTTCAGTTTTGTTGAGCCACCAAGCAAGGCCGCTACAGCCTCAGGAGCTTATTCCCCTATGTCTGCTTACTTGAGCTCCGGTAATAACGAAGGAATCAAACCAGCGTCACTTTTTGCCTCCCCAAAGAACTTATTGGCAAGAATTACATCTCGTGGATCACCAAAGGCCAATGGATCGCCACAACTTTACCGTATTTCATCAAACTCATCTTTGCGCAGTAATAGCAGCGCTGCAAATAAAATGATGTCACCTTTGACTAGTTTTAAGTCAAAAATGAAGAAATTCAATGGTGGTTCCAAGTTGACACATGCCGAAACCAATCAAGGAGATTTTGGTTCCATTAAGTGTCTATCGCAACCACCAACCATTCATAAGAAAATCAAAGTATCCGTTAGTTCTGATAACTTGAGACATTTTAACACTGGTAGTCAACATAATCCAACCATTAGATCTAATGCTTGAATCTTAATATTTCTATACCAGCTATTCAACATCAACACACATTAGTGTGACCTCTAATTTTCAATTCTTCGCTCTATCTGAGCTTGTCTATTTCTCATTCTATGTTACGAATCCAAGCTAATCTAGTCTTTTGGCGCTTGTTTATTTATTATTATTATTATTGTTTTCATATGGTTTTTAACTGATTATTTATTGTTATTTTCAACGTTTTCAATTCTTGTCAAGAAAGCCACGCTTTCTATTCTATTTTAACCAATATTATTATTTTCAATGACATTTTGACTTTCTCAAAGGAAGCACATAATCTGTGTTTTCCTTTTATTTAATCCTGCAATGAATCAAAATTTCTGGGTTTATTTATTACTTTGGTTTTCATCACTTTTTCATCATTCTTTTTATTGCATTTTTTTTTGTTTAAAAACACACCTTAATCTCTAACTAGCATAATCATTAAATTTTACATAACTAATTTTCCGATAATTCATGTATTCATTAAAAGTTCAAATAGCTAAGCTCACGAGAGTATCAAGGGGATTAGATGTGTTCATCTCTCTTGCAGTCTCCATTACCAGAGCCCAGCAATTTGGAGTTTATCAAGCTCCCACATGTTTCGCCTGCACAGATTGGGTGATGCTCATCTTTGATGCTGCAGCCTAATGCCAGGTGCATCACCTATACAGTGATGAAAGTCATAATTGCATCATATTTGGTCAGAAAATCTGCTATTAAATAAGTTTCAAAAAAAGATGGTGACAGGCTTTAAGCTTCATGTTGCAACAGGTTTGGCGCACAATTACAATTCCGTTTTGGGATTCATGCATTAGTTCCTAATCTTATCTTTTGGACCGGTTCAGAGACGACGAGTTTTATGTTGTGTGATTGTTAAGAAACAAAACAGTACTTAACCTTTTTCTAGGTTATAAACTTGAGGGCTTTTTTTTTTTCCAAGAAATCTACAGATTTGTCTACAAAGCTCCCGTCCTATTCCCAATATTTGGGATAACATCTAGTCAGTTAACCACAATGATACAATAATTTTCGTCCGATACTTACATATAACAACAATAGCTTCCCGGCCATATATATATATATCATTAATATTTGCGATTGAGCATCACTTGTGCCAAATAGTGGCTACGAATTTATATCTTAGAAGCAGAGATACAATGACTAAATTGAGACAGCTTGTTTTCTATTTTAATTTGAATAAATACTCTGTATCCTTCAAGTACATAATACAATAATAGTCATTATTATGTAATTTTTGATTTCCATAGGTAAAGTGAATAATGAAAACAAAAGAAAGTCGAAAAAAGAAGAGAAAAAAAAAGAAAACTAAAAACAATGCAAAACAAAACAGAGCAAATAATGATAATGATGACAATTATAAGAAATGACGAAAAGTTGATATGAAGTCTTGATAGTACCCCCACTACCTATCGCCGAGTATGATGGTTGAGCAATCACTGATAGGTTGATCTGGAAAACCATTTTTGGGTTGGATAAATTTTATTTATTGAAGTTAAGATCAATTAGCTGGTCTCCATTTATTGATTCAGCTACCCAGTGTATACTGTAGGATTAATAGATCCATAAATAGTACATCGTTTCTTTCACAACTGGAGCTCTGCACGGGGTATATCTAAATATTAGATATTGGTGCTGATATCCGTAAAATAGTGCGTTTTTTGTGGTTCGGTATCCATTCAAGGAATTACTCTTCAGTGAAAGAGTATAATAAGTAGTTTGCTATTGGTTTAATAAGATTATGATATCAAACTAGTGATACACCAGACATTATTAAAAAACAATAAGATTGTAGAAGACCAAAGATGCAACAGAATCAAGAGAAAAATTCAAGAATTCTGTGTCTCCATTTTGGCCACCCTTTCAAATCATCGAGACGTTCGTTCAACTCCAATTCTTCTTCGGTCTCGAAATATCTATCAGTTTCAAAGTCCATCTCGGAACTTTTAACCCAACTGTCTCTTTTGTAAAACCACCAAATCAAGTATAAAAGTGGGAAGACCCCTAATTCAATATAGTTTTGGAAGAAGCTGGAGACATCCCAAGGGGCAAAACTGGACCAACCTTGCACTAAAACAATAAACGTAATGAAAACTACACAAAAGTAGTTACCCCATGGATAGGTCCAATTCTTGAATCTCAAATAATTCACTTTCCCTTGTTCTTTCAACCCACGACGGAATCTGAGAGCAGTGATGTTAATGGTCCACCAAGAGAGTTGATTAGAGACACCGACAATGGATTGTAACCAACTCCATAATGTACCGGCAGAAATAAAAGAAGAGCCAAAGCAAAGGCCACCAACAAACCAAGTAATAATCACAGAAACATACGGAGCCTTGTAACGATTAGTCTTGGTAAGAAATTTTGGCAAGTATCCATCTGTACCCAAAGTATATAGCAAACGGGAGCCAGCGTATAAGGCATGGTTACCAGCAGAGATCACCGATGTCAAAATCACAGCATTCATAAATGAACCAGCGGCTTTAGCACCAACCATTTGAAACACGATAGTGAATGGAGAGGTGATGACTTTTCCGGTACTAAGATTAGGGTAATTGTAAGGAACGTTCATACCGATGAAAAAAACGGTCAACACATAGAAAAAAAGAATTCTCCAGAAGACAGTTTTGATAACTTTTGGAGTATTACGGACAGGATTGACAGCTTCACCAGCGGTCAAAGTCAAAGATTCAGTACCACCATAAGCAAATGAGGCAGTGACGAACACTTTAGCAAAGCCTTTGAATCCATCAACCACAGGGGCCTCCCCAATAGACCAATACTTAAACCCAATATACTCATGAAGGTTGTTATGGCCAGCATTAACAACAATGCTGATGATAAAGAAAATAAGAATGGCGATGATTTTCAATAAAGCAAGCCAGTATTCGGTCTCCCCATAAAATCTCACATGGAAGACATTGAGGCCAAGTAACACGACCCAAACGATCAAGGAGATCACCCAGTAATGGAAATCTGTCCAATAACTAAGGATAAGTTGCAATGCGGTCAAGTCAGATGCAACGGAGACAGCATCATTGAACCAATAATTGGCAAGAATGGTAAATCCAAGAGACTCAGAACCAAAACGACGGGCATATGTACAGAAGGAACCACTAATTGGCATCAATGTTGACATTTCACCGAGAGAAAGTAATGTGATATACACCACAACACCAATGAGAAGATAACATATAAGTAAAGAAACCGGCCCACCATTGGCCAAACTTTTACCAGTACCAAGGAACAATCCACTACCTATAGTTCCACCAATGGCAATCATGTTGATGTGTCTAGTGGACAAGGAACGGTTAAGGTTGTGGACAGTGCCCTTATTGATACTGAGGGATTCAGTATTGCAGAGCTCTTCATCGATATGTGATGATTTGGACCCGGTGTAGACTTCCTCAGTGAAGTTTGAAGGATAGTTTCTCATGGTTGAACAGAATGTGACAGAAATTCTTCAAAGAAGGATATACAATGTAGGAGGCAAGAGTATCAATGTCAGAATTCATGGTGGATATTCTCCAAATTATATATATATATATGTGTATATTCTCTATGATTCATGCAGCATGCTAAAGCTGTCATGCACAAAAAAAGAAAGAAAAAACCAAAATTTTTCCACCGGAAAATTCGTCGCCATATCATGTGATTTGACACTTTTGGCAGTAACATTTTGCAATCGTCTTTATATCGGGTGTGCCATGGATCAGTGACTGACAGGTTTTTGGTCGCAAATGTAATGGATATATCGGTATAATATATTGCTTGGTGGATAATACTCTTCCCATCACAATTATCGCGGGGAAGCTTTCCGTTTTCAAACTGCACGGCATCATATGAATCTCAAGACTACTTCTCCAAACTGTGGTAAAAGTGAAAAAGACTAAAAAATTTTCACGTTATTCACTATATCATTAGTAATAATATGGCTGGTTGTATGAGGGGGCACAAGAAGTGGAAAATCAGGTTATAATCTGTCTCTGTCTCTCTGTCCCTCTCTTCGCCTTTTCATTTTGCAATTCGGCTTTCTATCTGGTTAGAGTGTATTTTCCATATGCCTTCAACAATAAAACGAAACTCAAAAAGAAGACTCTTGACATTAAACATGGATATAAATAGCTATTTATCTTAGGATACTACAAAAAAAGAAAAATGTTGAGTATTTGCATAATCCATTCTATTTGATATATAGCACTGACAAGCCCGCTTGGTTGCCTAACCCTTGCGCAGATTATGCTTATCTCCTTTGACACACATACATATAGCTTCTTCACTGTAGCATCTCTTCAGTATCCATCCATGAACCCATCATGGTGGTACCTAACAATTGTACCCAGTGATGAAATGTAACTATACCCAATCCAGGGCAATTCTTGGATATCACATATCGGTTAACTTAAAATGTGACTGGTATCATAACACCTCTTTTTCTTACAAATTCTAATGACAACCAAAATTCAACTATAGGGAAAGTCATATTGTCATGAATAGCCTTGTCAAACAATCATACAATTCTTTATTCATTGAAAAGAAAGTACTGTTTCTTCAATAAATAAGTCATTCTACGGACCTGTTGCTGAGTGCCATATCAAATAGATGATCAAAAAGAACCCCATAATCCCCAAAATCACCTTTAATCCAGTTGTGATTTTTCTTTTCTTTCCTTCCTTTTCTTATCCCGCTAACTGTTGCCTAAAAACACACTTGTATATCTAAGCATTTGTAATTTGAGCAACGTTTCTACTGGGTCACTGGTGAGGAATGGGAAAGCAGTATCTTGAATCTGTTGCTTCATCCCTCAATTTCACTGATTATTGGTCAATTTTTTTTACCCTCCTTGCTCTATATGTCCTATGCGCTGCATACCAGGGCAGCTTGCTGTATAGCTGTACCGCATGTATACCTCTGCCCACATATTTTTGCAGAAAATGTGAAAAATGTATCTATATCTTATGGTTGCACTCAATATTCTTCTTCTGTTACTAACTTTAAGTGAAGTATCCAATGAACATGCCTATTCTAATCAGAAAAAGAAAGAATGGCCGTAAAACTAGCAACTCAAAATCACCCTAGACAACGTAACACTCAACAATTCCTCTCATAGTCAGAGTATGTTTTAACATAAATATATTTATACAGCAACATTTTCCCCTTATTCTGTTTCCTGTATTTTACTTTTTGTATTTTCCTCTCCTTTAAACAAAAAACAAAAACAACAATTTTAACATTTCTCAATATGAGCCTTCATTATGGACAGTTTTTTGGCTCAGGAAATGATCCCAATATTTATGTTACCTTACGAGGTCACAATTTTGGTGGTCACAACGGCGAAACTGTCCTGATCCCGTACCATTACTTATCGGATTGGCAGGACTTTGTCTTTTGTTTGTCTTCCTATTTTCCTCAGTCGGTGATTTTCCAACTCAACAAGTACCCATGGGAAGCTGTTACTAGTCATGGTCATTACAGGATCACGCCGACAAACTGGCACGCATTTGTTGGCCCTGGCTCAAACGTTGTCATCAGACGTGATAAAGTAAGATTCAATGACAATCAATATCGCCGAAATGAGTTATCCATCATGAATAATCCCATGGGTATATTTTTTTCTCCAGATGGCTACCCAAACATGAGCACTGGAATGAATAGGGGTATGGGAGCCGGCATGTTAATGGGATCTGGTATGCCGATGGGGTATAATCGTTTCCCATTAGAAAGGAGAAGGAGATTGAATGGGTTTGCTAAATGGTTTGTTGGCTGATACTGATATTATTTTTTCCCGTCTATTCTTCAATTCTGTGTTCATTGCTCAAATTATTTTATTTGATCCCTTATTCCTTTGTTTGTTATCTGGTTAGTTCGTCTTTTCTTCTACTTTTTTTTTTTTGTTTGTTTAGTTATCTGAGACTTTTTTCTGATATTTTTTTTCTCATCTTGGACATTTTGATGTCACTGTGGATTTTTTTTTTGCACTGGACTATATTGTTGCCTATTGCCAATAGCCAGGGACTTGTGATTCGATTTTTATTCAATACGGGGAGTCTTTCTATATTCATAGTTTATTTACATATTGGTGGTGTTTATTTAATTGAATATTTGTAAATCTATCAAATAGAAGCCTTTAGCTCATGGCTTTCTAACAGCTTTCAGTCCTAATAAAGAATAATATTAATTATGTTGATATATCAATGATGTGCTCGCTGTAAAAAAAAAAAAAAAAAAAAGAGCTCCAGCACTCTTAGCGCAAGACTTTCACACAAAAGAGCATTAAAAACCGTGAATGGTCCGTGAAACAATAGACATAAGCTAATACAAGGAATTCAATTTCCACAAAAGCTATCTAAACTTCTGAAGAAAAGATCGCCATGTATATATGAATGAAGTGCTGGCGAAAATTCCAGCCAAGACTGCAATAGAACTGTCAAATTCTGCCTGTCTCATGCAGGGTTCCTATTATTACTAAAATTTTAAGTCTTTTTTTTTTTGTTTCCATGGGATATAACTCTACAATCAATGTTTAAAATCGAGGAATTAAGCCTCTAAAACTACAAGAATATTCTGAAACTGGCTCAATAATACACGTAACTTTAAATATAAAAAGTTGATCATATAGTATAAAGGGAAGAAAATATTAACTAATCCATCAAAGGAAATAAGACATATTGATCATAAAATATAAGGCAAAGAAAAAAAAATATAGTATAGTTCAAATAATATAATATACTGTTCGTTATAAAATATAGTATAGAGTCGAGCTAGGCAATAAAAAAACACAAGAGTCAAATCAAAACATCGTCGAAATAGAGAGACTGAAAACAAAATTATCAAAAAAACTAGGAATATCAAGTAAAATCATCAAGTAGTAGAGCTATGGGACCAAGTTAAGAGTTATTCAAAAAGGTTCCAGCCAAATATGATAAAGTGAGAGTTCAATAAAATAGGTAATATGAGCAAGAATTGAAAGGTTTGGAGAGACAAAAAAGAAAAAAGAAAAGAAATCAGCTTAAAAACCAATTTGTTAAACTGCTTCTTCTTCTTCTTCTTCTCGCCATACCAGCAGCTGGATACACTCCATTCATTCCCACACCACCCATTACCATTCCGGAGCGAGGAGTAAGACCATTGAAATAAGGATCAGCACCATAACCGTACAAACCACCAGACATGATGGTTGGCAAATAGGAACCATTGACACCACTTTTCAAAATAAGTCGCATACCAGGTCTAATCATCATAGCCCAGTTTTCTGGAGTAATGAGCATATCATCAATGGCAGTGACCAATTCCCAGCGGCCGGTGCTAAGGTGCTTAGACACAGATGGTGGGAAATAAGCACTAAGGCAGTAAAGGAATTCATGCCAGCTGGTCAATTGTCCAATAGGAATAGCAACAGTTTCACCATTATGGGCAGAGAATATGGAGTTTCTCAAAGTGACGTAGACCGGAGCATTTTCCATGTCGTAATAAGAGTAGGCGTAAGACATTGTAATTTAGTAAGTTGTTGTTGGTGTAGTGTTTGTTGTAATATTATTTGGTAGTAGTAATAAAAAAAAAATAGATGAAATTTACAAATGGGTATACCTGGAGTTTCAGAGTATTTATAATCTTTAGATCCGCCAACTGTAAACATCAGTAATTGTCATCATCGATATAGAAATTAAAGTTTATTTACGCCGATGATGCATCGATCGCTGCATGGACCATTTGGTTGGGAAACAAAATTATCCACGTGTGATGTCATAGATTGCGACGACAAATCTGTCAAGAGGCACCACTCTGGAAGTATCTGCTTTGTGCTGCTAGGTGGCCAATTATTTTATTTTTCGGGATGCTGCCCACCGCAACCAATGTTTTGTTGTTATTATTATTGTTTTTTTTTTTTAAGTCGGCTGAGGTCATCGAAATGATGTCGACAGTGTTGTTTTGCTCATTCTACCAACTTAATAGGGAACGAAACTATTGGTCAAGTCTTCAAGCTGACATCGGCCTCCTCGTGCCGACAGCCGGCTACTGGAGGAAAATCAACATCACCCAGAATGGCCTAATGCGTGCAATAAATACCAACTCGGATTTAATTCGGTGAAGTTTCACTAATTATTGTCGCGTAATCCACCATGGTAACAGGAATAATAATAGTGGCCGTTGGAACCCACCGGCGACAATCAACGGGGAAAGACGAATCCGGTTTTGTTGTTGTTTTCACTTTTGCGGCGTTTTTGATATCTTCTACTGCCTTAATGACTTCACATTTATCAGGAGATGACCACTCTTGACCACATTTTGCACGGAGGAGATTTGTAATCATAATTGCCCCTCCAGCCAATGAATGAAATTCATATTCCTTGACTCAAAAACATTAACCTTCTTTTTTACGATTTTCTGTATAATCATGTTTTTTCTTTTTTTTTTTCTTTTCTTCCCTCTCATTTGACCAACCATAATTCACTGTAGAGGAAAGAAATATGAGATGAGGTGGTATTTTCTGGCAACTGGACAGGTTGCTACGTGTGGTGGTACATAGGTTTCCCAACGAGCTATAGCAATTGTGCTACACACAACGTGATCCCCTTGAATCAAAAACAAGCGTTGCTTCATATAATCATCGACATTGCTTCGCACTGTCCAAGCTTCAATGTTTCTATATATTTCATGTTTTCTTCTCAAACGGTAGTTGCTAGTAGTAATCCCATATCCTAAGTTTAGTCTTTAAGTTACTGTATCTCCATCGAAATGGACGAACCGTATGTACATTATCACCACTAACAGTAGGGTAAAAAGATAGTCATCGCCGCCACGTGCAGTTATCCCCCACTCCAAAGGCGACCGGCGCTTATCTTGGAGATGAGCTAGCGATGTCATCAGTACTCTAAACACATTTGATGACCATATGCTATGATTCATTTCCCAGTAACTAACGTGACTCTTTCCCCAGGGCAAGGAATTGGCTTGTTGAGTATGTATTTCGCCCGATGTGTCTTTGAACGTGGATCTTTTTTCTTGATATGAGAGCTAACTTCTCCTTCTTCTTCCTATTAGAATTGGGTGGATCATTATACGATATAATCAATCATTTCAAGCGTACTGATACAAGCTATCGTTTTATTAAAATTGCCTATTCTGGTAAGGCGTTGTTTGAGACTCCTATTGTTGTTTATCTTAAGAATTTAGGGCTAAGGTTGGTGTTTGATTCGATCACTCAGCGCCTTGTATGGATCGAAGTTGTGGCTTTCCAAAATTCAATCCAATTCGTATATCACGCGGGTGATGCCTCATTAATTGTCAATAAAAATGGTACTGAACCTTTATTTAAAGATATTTATAATAAGATTTTCGGTCCTACCTTACCTGGTAAGGTTTATCCCCAAGAGAAGAAATACGTGTTGAATTATCCAGGTATCGCATTCCTGTTCCCATTATCTGATGAATTATTAGCCGAATTCAATATTGACTCATCAGTTAATACAGATTTATTATCATCGGAAGCCAAAGAAAAGCTAATTGTACTTTTAAGTCAATCGACTCTCAAATGCGATGCCATGATATTGTATAATAACCCAATCACCGGAAATCACTCTTCGGCATCGTGGGACGCTTTCTATAAATCCGTTTCCTTGGCAATGTTTTATGATGGGGCGTCTAGTTTGGCCTTTAAGAAGCTGAGGGCACTCGGGTTAAAATCTATCACTCCTTCAACTTCTCAATACACTACTTTTCCTAAAAAGAAAACTCATGGAATAATATCGGTTGCTGAAATTGATCTTCCCAGGGGTCTAATCCGTCTTAACTTTACTCGCAATAATAGTGGAATTTCCTCCTTTGTGTTAAATTGTGGAGTTTCCAAACAGCAAGATATTCTTTGGGCAATTGGTGAGCCTGACGCCACGTATTTAAAAATTGATTCTCGTTACAAGATCTACAATGGTGACTTTAGTCCCTTTGATAGAATTTCCAAGGCCAAGAATATCAATAATGAAGTGTTTCATAATTATTTTAGTTATGGGTTTGACCTTTTGTACGGTACTGACTCATTGAATGGGGCAATGCTTAAGAAAGTGGTGATGCATAATAACAACCCGAATTCTGTGGAGTTCAACAAATATAATAAGCTAAATTGGGTCATGAGAGGTAACGCTACAAGCGATTCTTCATTGAAAGATGATTTTGATGTGCAAGAACCTAATATATTCTTTCCAGATTTTATTAATCGCACAAATCCTACATATAATGAAAATAATATTGATTGGGCTATTGAAGACTCTTCAAATATTGCAACCTCAGAAATGTACTTTCATGAAATTGATGAAAAGAATTTTAAGACCCTCATAATTTCCGGGTCTGGTACTGACATTCCTCCAACGACGTCTCCGTTTAATTCTTCAAATTTCGTTCTCATTGATAGAAGCAAATTAATGCTGGTGGTGGATGGTAATGATGATAGTGAAGATTTGGTAGAATTTCTTTCTGAAGAAGAAGATGATGATGATTGTGCTTTTCCTAATGGTGAGATTGGCATTGATTCCGTTCATATTTCCAACCCATCTGCGATTTACAGTAACGGAAATATTTTCCCTCGCGGGGAACTGAGTGTCTATGGTACTAAACATGAGAGATCTAAAAGAAAAAGCAGCCTGTCCAAACACATTGATCTAAAATGGGGACAAAGTAAATTGTACGGGTATAACCGGTGTATTTGGGAAGTTCTATCTGACAATGATGCAATAAGTTCTATAACATTGTTTTGATAGTGATCTCTTAATATCTTAGAAAGGAAAACTGATTTAATATCGGAAATACCCGGTGTAGACTAATAATTACTTGGTGTGTCAAACCTGGTAGATATAATATGTATGGTCTTTAAAATGATGACATCAGTTAAGTTTAGTAATATTAATACGGGGAATCAAGGAGCCAACTGGGCAAAAGAGAAAAAAAAAAAGGGAGGGGAGAGGGGGGATCAATAAAGTCCAAGTGAAAATTTCCTTAAAATTATAACTGTAAATATATCAAATGAACGGCTTCAGGCGGTTTGAATTACATGTATACTAGCTACTAGGCTAAAAACGTCACATCAATTAAAACGTTTGATTTTCTTCATGACATCATCGATGGAGAGGGGACGGACCCGATACGAAGTGATGTGCAATGAATGAATAAATGAATGAGCGGCACCTGCCTCAGTTTAGTGTTTGTTATCTTACGGGAAAAAAAATAAAAAATAACAGGGTGTTTCTTGCTCTCAAGAATATAATTTAACGGCCGTATTTTACCACTTTCACCGGTGAAAAGTAATGAAAACGCCGATTAAAAACTCAAAAAATCCCGACAAAAAAAAAAAGGATCAACAACTATGAGACAACTATTGAGGGAGGGGGAGAGACCTTATCTTCATTCGAGATCAAGTCAATTTTAACCAAGAAAAGATATCCTTATCTATTTTCGCTTTTTGTTTGGCTTCTTCTCTTTTTTGTTTTCACTGTGTGATTTTATTTCTTCGTACTGACAATTTTTTATTTTTTTTTTATTTTTTTTTTTTAATGAGAGGTTCAACATTGCAGGAAACGAAGGCTCAGAGGATCAAGCCACTTGAGAGTACAAAGTTCAGTATTGATTCGTTGCTTGGCAATCCTGTTTTTCATTCGAGTTGGTTTATGCTAACTGTGGCCCTCGGGGTCAATTTCCACGATGTGTGGGTTGTTCGATCCATGATGATTTTGTTGATCTTGGTGGTTTTGTCGATCTGGGTGATATATCTAATAAACTCCCAGTACAAGCAGAGAGTGTTCGGAACTTCGCGATTGAAGATCAATGACGATGAAGTGGTGGTAATTCTTGGGGGCTCTAGAGGATTAGGATGGGAAATCGCCTCGCAGTTCCTTGATGCTTCCTTGCTGCTGCCAACGATATGTATTTTGGATATCCTTTCTCCTCCTCCTCCTCCTCTTCCTCCTCCTCCGCCACCATCATCATCATCATCATCATCATCATCATCATCATCATCATCATCATCATCATCATTCCAAGACTCCAAGAAATTGAAATTCTATCGATGCGATATTTCAAAAGAACGAGCATTATTGGAAACCCTCAAAGACATTGAACTTACCATTGGCAAAATTGTGGTACTCGTGAACAACGCGGGAGTGGCCCCCAAATCACCCCTCCTTGATCAACCGATGGGGGAAATTAGGAAAGTGTTCAATATAAATTTCTTTAGTTACTTAGCCGCCACAAAATTCATCACAAGGTTACGTATTACCAATGATGAGAAGTTATTTGTGGTGAATGTCGCATCGGTGTTGGGACTTCTTGCTCCCAGTAATTTGGCGGCGTACGCCGCTTCGAAAGCTGCCATCATTGCCACTCATGAAGCGTTGTTCCATGAGTTTCAGCAGCTCAATAATAATAATAATAATGAGAATGATAAGATTCGACTTCTTTTGGTGAAGTTGGGTCAATTGGATACCCAAATGTTTGCGGATGTCGATCCTCCAAGAACGTTTCTTGCCCCAGTGTTATCACACCGAGAAATTGCCGGGGAAATCGTCGCAAGAATTATGTCGAACCACGGAGGGGAATTGACCCTTCCAATATACGGAAGAATATTACCGATCATGAAAGTATTACCGTTTTTTTTTGTTGAGGGGCTAAGAAAGTTTAGCCGAATGGATCAAGTGGCAACGAAAATGAGCGGTTCGCTGGCCTGCCAAACACAGAAAGTTTCCGTATCATTGGAAGAAGAAGAAGAAGAAGAAGAAGAAAGTGAGTTCGAGGATTTGGCGAAAATGTCGGACTCTAGTCTACTGTATGGTGATGATCATTCAAGAAAGTCTTGGAAGTTGGAGCAAGAAATTCGATTGATTTTGGGAACTGAGGGACTGTCTTAGTTTATTATTTATCCCTACTAGACCCTTCCCCATCATAATATTGGTTTGTCCATGTTCCTCTAACACTTGCACATTAGAGAATTCATTGCATCATTAATATGAAAAAATATCAGCGAAGGGAGAGAAGTAGAAAAAATGGAGTGAAATTGTGAATGAGAAAACCATACGATACAAACATTTTTTTCATTGTTTTTTTTTTTGTTTTCATTATTATTTTCGTCTTCTTGTCAATTAAATTCTCCCTGTTTTGCTCTCTTTCTTCCAGATTATATTTGCGTTCCTCTCCCCTGTTGGTTTGGTTTGGTTTATCGTGATTATTTATATCTTAGTCTGCAAAAGTGATTAATTACAACAATATTTGGTGCCATCTCATCTAAAAAGATTAAAAAAACAGAGAATGATCAATGGAAGGGGGAAATGTCAAATAAGGGAAAGAAAAAAAAAAAAGAGAATGAAGAACTAAAATGATCATTTTCGCTGTTTTTTTTCGCCCGCGCCTGTCTCTCCCAATCTGTCGTTTCACCAAGATGTTCCATAATGACGTTTTTCACCTTGGTAGCGTTGATGAATATGGTAACGATCTTCCTGACAATTATCCTGATCATCTTATTGGTGGCAGTGACGATTATCATCATGGCGGTGATGGTGCTGGTGGGAGTGCACAACCTCTGGCTCATTTTGTTAATTCCCTAAGGCAGGAAGGGGGACACAATAAGCGATCAGTTCATCATACAAAAAAGGGAGATGGATATTGGGGAAACATCTGATCCTCCACATGGGAAGGGAAGGGAAGGTATCATTTAACACCGTGTGATTCCTAAAGTCTTTTCTAAATGGTTATTTTCAATTTCTCGCTGATTATGGAATCTGCTGTGAGATTGGGAAGGTCATCAGATCACATCACACACCTTTTGTTTTCCGTGGAAACATCGGGAGTCGGGGACCACAGCACCAGTCTTCCCAATTAATAGAACAAATAATAAGCAATCATAACAGTTGATGATTCAACCTGTATAGAAAATGTCAATAAAATGAAATATTAAGCTGGCTGAAAAAACATCGAGCCTCAATTACATCAGTTTGGGTGTGAGAAAATTAATTATAATTCTTTGCAAATAAAAGATGCGATAAAAACAAATCAAGAATAAGAGTCATAATATAAAACCTGATAAAATCATTCTAAGATATAGAGGTGGAAAGCAAAAAAATAGACGGATAAATAAACAAGCCGACATGTCAAACTAACCAATTGATTAATCATAAAATTTCAGTACGTAAACCTAAAAGAACAAATATACTTGTACATGAACAAAACTAATAAAACACAATCATGAAAGGCAAAGAAATAAATAAATAAAAAATGAGAAAGGCAACCGAGCCAACAAAAAAAAAAAAAGAAAAATATCTAAATATATAATATATAGATAGATAGATAGATAGATAGATAGATAGATAGATAGATGAACAGATAGATAGATCAAATAAGCTATCACTGAAACAAAATCAAAAAATCAAAATGTATTCGACATGCAAATTGTTGATCGCATACAATTTCATCAAATGACAACCCTAACATAAATAATAATGAAAAGAAGAAAAATAAAATTACCATAATGCTTCAAAGTCAATAATTAAAAGACTCCTGAAACCAGTCCAGATTTTTCAATCAGCTGTACACAATTTGAATGAAAGCTAATCAGCGTTTTGAAGATCCAGGAATGCTAATACCATCTTCATCTTTCGAATTACCGCTACTTTTGATCCAATTCAATATTTTACTGTACCTTTTGGGCCCCCTTTTTGAGTTTGACACTTTACTGTTTGGAGTCACTCTAGAACTGCTGATACTTGAGCCATCAAAATTCAACACACTCAATGAATCGGTTGCGCCAAACAGTTGGCTAACTTTTCTCTTTGGGGTTTTCAATATATTATTGAAGCTTAAACTAAGACTCGAACGAGTATTAATCTTGAATAATCCTGACCTGCGTTCATGACTGCCTGTTTGTGTAGAAGAGGAATTGTTCTTAGAATTATCCGGCTGGGCATGGATAGCATTATAATTTTTAGTAATATCGGCAATAATATTCCCCGAAGAAACAGAAGTGTTCATAAGAGACAACTCTGGTGATGATTTGTGACGGAAAGCTTTTAATGATCCTGTGTCCTTAGGACGGTCAACATGAACTTCTTCCTCAAGTACGGGATATTCGTGGTATGAATCTAATTCACAAGATACCAAAGAGTAAACTGATTGTTTTTTCTGAAGTGAAGGATGAATTATTGTCAAATCAACTTGGGAGCCAGAGGCATTGGTAATCGTTTGAGCAGATAATTGCGACTCATCCATCAAGTTTGTTGGGGAGGACATCAATGGCCCATTGTTTTCTGCCTTCACGGGGGTGCGAATACTGGTATTGCCAATGCTGTAATAACTATCTCTATAATTAGCGCCACTAGACACGATAGCATTACTATTATTGGCATTCCCAAAAATAGTTGAATTTCCACCTGTCTGGCTATACTTGGCGGTGGTAATACTTTCACCAGAAGAATTTAAATAAGCGTTACTGCTTCTTGAAACACTTCTAGAGTGAGAACCAATACGGTGAAGCACAGGGGTGGATATCAAAGAATCAAACTCCATATCTTGGGATAACTGAGAAGTATTAAGCTTTTGATGATCACTATCAGCAGCTCGGCTGTGTTGATGCTGAACATTATGATGATGAGCAAGATTTTGAGACTTCTGAGTTATTGTCCTCATTGACGCAACTGATGAAGTAGACGCAGATGTCGATGAATTCGACAAAAATTGTTGAAGGGAATTCAAAATCGAAGATCTTCTTCTATGATGGTTAGCAACAGGACGATTAGTCTTATTTTTCCCATCAACAGTGGACGTCTTCGAATTGAATGCCAAGTCTCTTGAGCTGTTTTGATTGCTATTTTCATTAGGCTGGTTTAGGTTTCTATTACTTGAACCAAACATTTTATAAAATTTCGATTTATTGGTGGAAATTTTGGCAGATAAATCATCGGCAGCGGAAGCAGAAATACTGCGGGATTTTTTATGATGGAAACTTCTCACTTTTGGTTTCAATTGACCTGAACCTTCAACAATCATAGCATCCATTTCTTTGTTACCTTCTGTTTTCAAGTCATCCAAAGCTATTTGGTTTGAAACCTCTTCATTCGATGATCTGCTTAATTTTCCAACTGCTCCTTCCTCCAGTACACTTCCTTCAATTGAACTCATTGATGTTTCATTTGTGTATGAATTACTAGACTTGAAGTCATCAGACAGTTCCATAAAATCTTCGTGAATCAGTTTGCCATCAATACTGTGATTATTTAGGCCTGGGGGAGGAAGTAACGGGTGTTCGGAGATGATTGAGGTTTTTTCTTGATAAGCTTTCAAAGACTCCAAAGGCATATTGGCAACATCATAAATAATTGGCTCAAAATTAAACCGTGTTGGTGATAAAGATTTCGACGGTTTAACGTTCTTCCCATAATTATTGGACTTTGATGAATTTGCTGATGTCGGAGAAAGAATCGGCAAAGATATTTTATGATTAACATCCTTGGCATTAGAATTATCGGTTTTCCCAATAATATTCAAACTTTCCGTTGATCTCAATGCATCGATTATTAATTTTGAATTATCGTAATGATTCTGGTATCTTGCTGGAGTTCTACCTCTTCTAACACCAATGGGGGTTGGCGGTTGCAAAATTGAATTGAATTTTGGGCTAGTAGAAGAATAAGAAATTTTTTTCAATTCATCAGTGCTATTGGCAAAGGATGATTCGGAATGTATACTGTTAGATTCTTTGGTCAAACTTGCTGAGGAGCTTGTTGAAAATTCGTTGCTGTAAATAGATGGCTTCTTACTCAACGAGTTTTGATACAAGTATTCATTTTCATGGTAATCATTCGCTCTTTGGGTTTCCTCCTGTTCATTCTCTTCCTCATCTTCTTCTTCGACGATTGGTTCATCGGTAGTTGGCGATAATTGTCCAAGGAGAAAACTTTTTCTATTACCTGGAGTATTATACAAACCCAACCCATTAGAAGACGTACTGATGTTCAATTTAGACGTAGGTCCAAGATTTTTGTCTGGCCAAGAAAAATTTAGAGATGAATTACCAAACATATAGTCAAACTCTGGCGCTGATTCAGTTCTTCTGTGGAATCTTTTAGATTTGGCCTTAATGCTTTCATCTACATTGAAATCCAACGCAGCATCAAGATCAATTATTGCTGCTGGCACGCTCTGTTCAACCACTGCAGGACCCGTAGAAAGATAAAACTTAGATTGGCTGAGGCGATTATTAAGTTCATCGGCATCGATCATATCACTGTTGTTGTATGTTGATGGGCCTGAAGATGTATATGAGGAACTGCCATTATTATTATTATTATTATTATTATTATTATTATTATTTGTCGAATTATTACCACTATTGCTATTTTCTGGGGTTGTCTCTGTTGAGGAAACCTCATTTGAGAAAGAATCCACAGAATATTTTGTACTCAAGCTGATGTCGCTCTTTTTTCCATAAACCGACGCATTTTTGGAGTTATTTTCCGGGGCGTTCGGGAAAGAAAACTCCTTATTCGGTACCATAGTTGCCATACCATGTATAAGTTCATTTTCTTTGTTATTCAGGTCAGAAGGGTGATTATCAGAAGAAGAAGAAAACCCGCCAAATTTGAAAGCTGGGGGAGTTAGAGAAGGGGTCATGCTATTGGTATTAGATGAGAAAGTGATTCCCATAGAATCAAAATCGCCAGATATCGCAGCGCTTCTTCTGTGAGCATGGCCGCGCTTCTTTGGGGGTGGAGGAGACAAAGTGGACTTTTCGGGTAGTGATGAAGCGGTGGTGGACATAGAAGACATCATGACAGAGTGTGGAATATGAAATTAAATGAGTTGCAGAGCAAAAAAACAAAAAGGCAGTAAAACAGAAATTTGTAGGATATTGTGAGATATAGAATAGTAGATACTTTGTAAAATCATCAATAACCGCCGGTGTTCTTTTCAATGACGTTTTTTTTTCTCTGTTTTTTCTCTCTCACTCTCACTCTCTCTCTCCCAAATTTAGGAATTAAAAAGTAGAGGAAGAAAATAAAAAGGATAATTTAGAAGAAGCAGCAAATAAAGACGATAGGAAATATGGTCAAATCAATAAACGCTGAAGACGATGTAGTAACGAATGGACGCTGTGATCAAATCAGCACGAAAAAGCAGGTGGGTCAAACAGATTGTCCTATATTGTGAAAGTCGAAAAAGTAAAACACAACAAACGTTGAGGGGGATAATATTAGTTTGATGAATATGATGTTGGGGATGTGCTGCTGACAGTGCAAAGTATCCGAGATATCAGATAGTTTGGTGGTGATTATTGTTTACACGTAGAAAACAAAGCAAAACCACGATGGGTGGATGGGGGGAGGAGGAGGGAGGAGAACGCACAAATGGGGGAAGGAAAGAGATGAAAGATGGCAAACAGATTAACTAGTGGGTGAGTCTAGTTGTTGCTGTTTGTTCTTCAGCAGTAATAAAAAGGGATATCCTTTCTTTGGTGACGATCTTCAGTTTAGTGTCTTGACGTTCAAGAGGTAGGGACAATTCTCTGTCTTTTTTTTTTCTTTCTTTCTTTCTTTCTTTGTCCCGAAGCACAAATTTTTTGGGTGGGCTGGTGCGGTACGGTGCGGTACGGTGCTGGTGCTGGTGCTGGTGCTTTTTGTCCGGTTAGGTCAGGGGGAGCAGGCGGGCGGAATGTACGGTGGGGGGCGCACTGCCGAGAAGGTTTTTAATGGTTACTTACGGAAGGGTTGGAGATCCTGTGGGCTATAAAAAGATTGTTGTTGTTGGTTTTGTGCTGCTTATCTCTGGGCTCATTTGCTATCCGCAATTTGCATTTGCCAATTAAAGCGTGGTCATGCTGGTCATCAGTGGCTATAATATATATATATATATATATATATATATATAAATACCATATTATATACTGGAAGTAGTCACTTGGTAATAATCAGCCAACCACCGAAAACTGCCGTATCCACCATAGTGTTTTTTTGTTATTATTATTACTATTATTATTATGGGTCATATATATATATACAAAAAAGGGCTATAATAAACAGAAAATTGGTGGCCAAAATTAAGAAAAAGAAAAAAAAAAAAACAGTGCAAGCTGACTTGACTTGTTCCCATTTCGCTGTGGTTTTGTTCCTCCCAATAACCGTAGTTCTTACCTTAGCTAATGCCCCTCAGAGTCTCTATTGTGGTGCCACACATTAAACTTTGCATGGTACATGAGCCATTAGGGCTTCTAGAAGGCTGTGTGGTGTCCGGGTGACCACGTCCTGCCGTTATCCCTCACAATTGTACAAACAACAGCAACAACTTCCACCAGGATTAGCTTCTCATCATATCATATAGAAATACCACAGTTTACGGTAGGTGCGGTGCGTTTGTGTTTTATTTATACAAAATGTGCTAGTTCTTATCTTATCTTCAAACCACAGCGCAACTATTCACAATATTATTGTCTACACACTAGCTGGTAATATTTGAAATCGCCTCCCTTTTTCCCATTGCCCTCTCGATGAGATATTATTTTTCATCCCAGTCCTGTGTTCATTCATTGATGAATAGTAAATAATTGTCACTTTTCCAAATGCCTCCCCATTTCTTTTTTTTTTTTTTTTTGACGTATTTTTGGTTGTTTTGTTGTTGTTTTTTTTCTGCAAAATGTATGAAAAAGTCTACCTACATCAACAATAATAAATATTCTTTGGGACATCAGGTTTACTTCCACAAAAATACTCTCCTCCTTTTTGTCTTTAAGCTGTCTTATGATATTACGATCCGTAATTCATGAGAAATGGGCGACCCACTATAAATCAATAAGATCCATGGATTTGGTATTTGTTCAGGGTAACGCGCCACTGGGAGGGAGTGGTTTTTTTTTTTTTCTACATCTTCAAACCACGTAAATAGATGTATGTGCTTGAAATAGTCAAATTGGTTTAATAACTCCAGTTAAAACCCACACACACATAAACGAATAAAGAATGGCGCTCCTCAAAAAGATCAATCTCTAGTGTGTATTGCTTTGTCCAATTTTATTTTTTTTTTTTTAAAAAAAAAAAAAAAAGTGAAAAAAGAATAACTGATTTATTTGATTCTTGCCGATGACATATTCATTCAAATCTACTTTTATTTTTTTATTGAATTAAATTAAACTAACACATCTTTGGTTCGTCGAATGACCTCAAAGCTAACCTTGATGAGAATTTGTTTTTCATTTTTGAAAGTTTGGGTTATGTAGAGAGTTTCAGTCTCATTGATGTGAGATTAGCCCTCGGTATTGGATGCTGTGCCATCAGCGGCGCCACTTTCTATTTGGATAAACATTCCGAGTTCAAAGAATCCATCAATTTGGTGGCTGCTGCCATAGTACTCTACTCAATTCTTGCCTCTGTTTTATGGGGCTGGTCTAAATTCGTGGAAAAAAACATCAAGTTTGTGGGCTACAAGAAATCCCAGAAACTCATATTTAAATCCAGTGCGAACAAGACTGACAATTTGTACAGCTACGAAATCAAAATTGGTGACAACGAACCGATAATTGGGAGCATTGAATACAACAAAGTTTTCAATGAAAATGGATTTTTAGATTTTGAAGAATTCAAAGGGTATCTCACAAAAGAAGTTGAGAAGATTGACAAAAAGAAACAATGAATTGATATTTGAGAACTGTGGTTTTGACTTCCATATTATTATTACTCAAATCTGTTTGTTTGTTTGTTTGTTTGTTTGTTTCTTGCCTCTATTGATCTGGGCTCTAAATATGACTTTTTTGTGCGACGAGAAAATCAATCTTCCTCACTTAAAACTGACATGACATTATTCATGAAATGACGGGCAGGCTATTTTGTAATAAATAAGTATTAAAAATATTAATTACCAAAAAACTTGTCATATTTATTTACAGCCTATTTTTTAATTATGACTTTTTTAATATTAATGCAGAGATGAGAAAAAAAGAAAAAATAATAATAATAATAATAATAATAATAATAATAATAATAATAATAATGTAATTTCAACACATAAACTAATAAACTTCACACACACACACAAAGAAAAGAAAAAAAGAATAGAATGGGGAAAAAAAAAATGACAATCAATATCTTATATTACATAAATACGACAACCACCTCGACCACTGATAATCTACCGGCTTCTAGTTATCATTAGAAACCCACGATAAAACAAAACTCAAGTTGTTTGTTTTGTTTTGTTTTTTTGACTCGAAAACCCCTCACTCTAATAAACAAAAAATATAGATCCACAACAATTATACTTCCGATTAAAAAGCATCAGGCAATCTTTCAATCTCGTATTTCTTTTTCCCAGCATACATGATTGGAATCCCCGGCACTTTTCTAATTCTTCTCTTCAAATCAGCATCATTAGTAGCCACGATATAACACTTGTGCTGCATAACTCGGCTCACCAAACAGTCATCGGCATATGTACCTTTGTGTGAGCAGCTCAATCTTTTAATTCTTGCGTCCTTAGCCAATCTCAAAGCGATTCTGAATTTTGGTCCCAATTTCTCAAGTTCGGCCATCACACAATCAGTAATGATCGGAATACATTTCGCATAAAGACAATCCATCATCCCACGCACAAGATCAATCTTTTTTTGGATCGAAAAGTTGATGAAATTGGTATCGATAAGCACTTGATATGGAGGCTTTATGGCCTCGTTATATTGGAAGAAAAGCGCCGATGACACTTGGGGAACCTCTTTTACGAGTTCTTCATCTTTAGGAGGTTTTGGGCCTTTTGCCTGGTTTTCTTTGAGACGAGCGTCCTTCTTGGATATAAGAATCTTCTTCTGAGCGAACTTTCTGGTCTTTGAATGCTTCCCCATTATTAGCTATTATATTTATCGTCTTAAACACTGCCCTAAGAGAATGGAAAAAAAAATTTTCTGTATGATATGAATTTGGTATTATAAAAAAAAAAAAAAAAAAAAAAATTGAAAAACGTGATATTTTTGAGATGAGGTAGGAGCTATCAGACAAGACTATTGGGCAATTTTTAGGATGATTTCCATTTCTCTAAAATTGTGAAGCGTAAATGACATTCTAATATTCAATGACTGTGTATTGTCTGTTTTTACTGGCTTTCCTGTGATTTTTTTTTTTGCTTAATGATGTAGAAAATCCTATTAAATTATTACGAATCAATCATGGCAGAGGTTTCATGCAATGACTTTTTTTTTTTTCTCACGCGAAAAATTTTTGGATGGTTAACAGTAACAGGCAGGAGAAAACCAACCCCAGATTACCTAATCTTAAGGATAAAACCCCCTCCTCCACAAAGATTTAAAATCATGCCAAAGAGAACTGCTTCTGAAAAAGACCAGGAAGAAAAGCTTTCAAAGAAAGTTATCCAAGATGAAATTGAGTTCAGTGATGATGATGAAGAACTAGATAGCGATGAAGACAATGAGGGTGAAGGCGACGACAATGAAATAATAAATGTCGATTTCGATTTCTTCGACTTAAACCCAGAAATTGATTTCCACGGGTTCAGAACTTTCCTCAAACAACTATTTGGTGATGACTACAAGAAGTTTGACTTATCTGGCTTGGCCAACATCATTTTGGATCCTAAGAATACCAGTATTGGAAGCACAATTAAGACCGATGGTAAAGACGGCGACCCATTAGCCTTGTTGGCCCTTATGAACTTAAAGAATTATAAGAAATCTCTGTCATTGAATACTTTGATCGAATATCTTGTAACCAAAGCCCAAGGAAATCCAGAATTTTATATTATATTGAAGAAAGTGTTAGGAATGAACGGTGGAGAAAAAGTCGGGTTGATTATAAATGAAAGAATCATCAATGTTCCTGTGGAAGTCACTCCTCCTTTGTTCAAGCTTATGATGGAAGAAGTCAACAAGCAAGAGCCAGATTTGAAATATTTCTTGATCATTTCTAAAGTGTACAAGCTTGTGGCTAGTCAACTTAGTGATGATTCCGATTCTGACTCTGATGACAACAGTAACAAAAATAACAAGGCAAAGAAGGTAAAGAAGAACTCGGAGAACCAGGAAGAGTTCGACTATTTCCATTACGAGGACATGATATTCGAAAAAAATGCCATGAAGTTCGACAAGTTCAAATACGATAATAAGTTGCAAGATACCGACTCCAGAAGAGTTTTCTCAGAATATGGTATTGATCCTTATTTGAGTTTGATTTTGATTGAAAAATCAAAACTTGAAAGTAGTATTCCTCAATTAGAAGAAGCTTTCAAGCCATTCTAAGGTAATTATGGTGAGACCTATATATATTTTTAATGTTACAGTCGGTTGATTTTTGCTTTTATGAGTTGGATGTAGTGTAAAATGATTATTCTAATTATTATGTATATCAATCGATATATGGAAGAGAGCTCCCAGATCATGTGCGTTTTTCTGGTGCTTTTTTTGAAAGTGACGGAGTTTTGGAGCACCCATTTATTTAACTTTGCCACAAATAAATGCAAAATACGATTGACCTCAATCATTTTATGTTATAAAAAAAAGACCAGAAAGAACTATCAAAGTATGGCCTCCTCAAATATTGATGTGGACAAAATGTCTGAAAAAGACATGGTTCATTTGTTGAAAGAAATGGGGTTTGCTCAAGAGAAGTTAGTGCAAGAAGCGGCAAAAGTAAGTAGTTAAAGATATCTATCTCTCAGCTTGCTACCAAAATATGGTGGCATTGTCTATTAAGTGATTTCTCTCAAAATTTACTTTATACTAACATTACCTTCTTGAGAGCTCCGGTGGTGATCTTTATCAAGCGTTGGCATATTTAGAAGCATATCAAAGCCCAAAACCCTCGGTGGCGGTAAGCATATTTGTTCTTTTCTTTTGATATATACATATATATGATGATGAATCATATTGTTTTTGGGTTGTCCCATTTTTTTATTTTTTTTTTTTTTTTGACAGGTGTTTTGTGTTTGATTTACTAACATTTTCTTCCAGGACCAAGATCTTATTGATTTAGACGAACCAGAATTATCACATAAAGCATCACATCTTACCTGTTTCGATCAGCCGCAAAATGAGCTAAGGAATGATTTGAGTTATGACGACGTCAAAAATCCGACAATTGAGGAAAACTACGACGAAAGTGATGCGGAATTTACAAACGCTGTTTGGCAATCGAATATTAGAGTAGAACATGCCACTAGTGAACAAGAATATAGGGAAGAAATACCCGTAAGTGTCTTGAATCATGATTCCCTGGGGGATGGCTATAATGCTGATTATAACAACCGGTATTCATACGTTAATGATGGTTACAATTCATATGGAGAGAATTATTCTTCTCAATGCCAACCTGGGAATCTTATAGCCGAAAAGCAAAAGTCTATATTTGAAGACTGTTCCAAGTTTAAATGCGACCAGGTACCTCTGGTGATTACCCCGGTTGATACCCCATTTTTTGAAAATTACTTTGTGTATGTAATTATGATATTTCATGAGATCCCAAGTTTACGAAATATCCTACTATCCAAAGGATTCGAATCATATGGATACCGTGCAAATTGGTGGAAGGATGAGATTATTAGTCTCCCGCCGGATGTCACTAATGGTGGTGGTGATGCTTCATCTAACAATTTGAAATTCTTGATGGAAATTCAAAGACTATTGGGGTTTTTGGATGGAAATTATTCCAAGCGATCTTTTGCGTCTACAAAATCGTACACAAGATCTCTTCCTTCGAATATCACTAGTGATTTGGAAACTGAGCCAATATCTGATGTTTTCCATTCATTTTATGAGACCATCATCGCCCAACTTAGTGAAATGAGACCTGAAATTTCGGAAGTCGTCTCGAATTTATTCAACTCAAAAATTTCTACTGAAGATGATCATACCCTGGTGTTTGTGATCGAGAGTGATGTGGTTAAACCAAACTTTTATGAGACTTTGCATAATTTATTTTGGCAAGAGAGCTTACAAGGGTTGGGGATAATTTATTTTGAAAAATTATCAGACATCATCACGGTGTCGTACCAAGGGTTTGAGCCTTCATATTCTTCTTCTTCGGGGCTTATTATTGAAGCACTATTTTACCCGCAAATCTACACTAAGAAATATGAAGCGTTGATTAGACAAATGGTTCAAAAGCAATTTGAAAAAGCAAGAAAAATTCAGGAATATTCTTCTGTCAATGGTTCATTAGTGGCATTCCAAGGTAAACGAGTGAAGACATTTTTGAAAGGGGCAATTGATCATCTTGTCGAATTGAATGATGGGGAAGTTGATAATGATTTATTTGAAGCAATAGAGGATTTGAACTTATTGGAGGAAAATATCAATGACAAAGGAGTCGAAATCAGTTCGGAAAAGGAAAAACTCGAGAAGGAGTCGTCAACTATTGATATTTCTAACATTGAAAATATTTTGAATTTCATTAAGAATTTGCCTAAACAGGATAAAACAGGAGACCAAGCAGATCAAGGGGAAATCAATAATAATGATTCGAAAGACGGGTGCTTGATGTTCGAAGACTATCAAGAGATTTTGGACAACCCATACTGCTTGACGGGTGTGATAATCAACGAAGTGGAATTTTATTATTTGCTCAATTCGTCACACCCATTGTTTCCTGGTGTTTGGGTACATTTGCATTATGAAGGTGATCCGAAAACTACCAATTTCCACGCCCAAGCTTCGGATTTTCAAACCATCAGAAACCGAGTTGAAGAAATATCTAAACTTGGCACCGAAGATAACTTGGTGTTGATATATGCTAAAAAAGCGTTTGTCTCTGAAGATAAGCAATCCGAAATCCCCCCAGCGTTGAAAGAATTTCTAGAGAAAGATAATCAAAATCTTGATGCTACCGTTCAAGAATGGGAAAAAAGTCAAGAGATCGTTAATTATGAAAAAGGTAGAGCTTCTGATTTAACTGAAGATGATGAGGAAAGTGAGGAGATGGATTATGTTAATGACACCGATGATGTGATTGTCACTTCTAAAAGTTTAATCGTGGAGCCATTGAAGGATCAGAACCATGCTCCTGCTGCAAACTCCAAAGGAAACAATAATATCGATCCCGTTGTATCAGGAACTTCAAATTCATAGGCGGGTCCTCCAAGAAATTTGAACGTTGAAAATGAACATTTGAAACCAACGTGATCGATGCCTGGAATGATCTGATATATTAGTATTTTTTTCAGTATTAAAAAAATACACAAATGAGTATTAAAGGGATGAAAAAGTATGGTATCTGTAGAAATATTTTTTAATATTCAAATTCATTAAAAAAGAGGAAGGGAAAAAAAAAAAATGAAGAATTAATTAAGGTTGGTGCATGGGGAAAAAAAAATATTGAAGGATGCGAGATTCGAACTCGCGCATCTTACGATAATCGATTACTCAACTGCTTAAGCAGAAGAAGAACAAGAACATTCTTGAGTCGATCGCCTTAGACCGCTCGGCCAACCCTCCAATCATATTAGAGTGGTAGTTTTTTACAAATTTCATAGTTGTATTAATATTAATTGCTAACCGCACGCGTTCTTATTTGGTTTATTTGATTTATTTTGTTTATTAGGTTTATTTTTTACTTGGATTTAATCATTCTATTGATTTTTATTATTTTTATCTTTATTATCCCCCCAGAATTCTTATGGTCACTACATTGAAAATACTTAGTATTTGAGATATAGTGCCAAAACCCCTCAACAAAGACCTCCATCTCAGTTCATGAAGCTCCTAGTGATGGGTAATTCACTAGTGACTTCATCTCATATTTTCACATTGCACCTTTTTTCCTTAATAATCTTGATTGTTGAGTTTTTTACCGGTGATGTGATTAATTCTTAAAGCAAGGAGTGTGAGGTTGTGAGAAAGTTATAGTATTATACTTATCTATTAGAAAGACCGGCATGAAATGCCCGGCTTGCAAGTTATTTAGAACCTCTGTGACTCGTTAATATACAATTCATTCATTCATTCATTCATTCCGCACACACCGCTCTCTATGTTGTCTCACTTGTCATCGAATTTTTGATTTTGACCGTATTATCTTTTTATATTTTGGAATATAAATCATGGGAGGGTTGGTTATATTAGATTTTTTATGGATATTTGAAACTCCTCCTTCATTATAGGGCTTGATGGCGGGTATTGGGATCTTTATGCCTATTGAGAATGAATGAAATCAATTGAAGAATGAATGAAATCCATTGAAGAATTTTGATAAATTCATCATATATCAGTAGATATATACAATTCTTGACATCATGAAAAATGATAGGTTACAACCATAATGCATGTTATATATTACTAAATCAAGAAAGAAGAAAGAAAGAAGTATTATAGGTTAAGGTTGGTTGATGAGAAAGAAGAAGAATGCGTATTATTATGCGCATAATGATTAATACCTTTCTGGTTCTATTTATATCTCAAAACAATGAGAATATTTTCTTCTTCTTGGTACTTTTCATGTCTCTCACCAATATTGACCAGTAGGGTAGTTGTCTCTCTTACACAGGTAGATCGAAAATTATTATCAACTGTACGTAGGTCATGTCATAGAATATGTGGGAGCTGAATCTTGATCGTCTCATATATCCACCAGAACTAGAGTTTTAAAATTATCTATCTATCGATACTGGAAAAAAAAAAAAAGAAAAACAAACAAACAATCTATCAGTATTAGGGTAATGCCACCTACACTTCCATCAGAATGTATAATTATCCTAACAATAGACCACATAGCATTATGGCTCCAAAGTAACTACAAGATTGTAGGTATTGTATTCTCCATAGATGCGACTTAAGTGAAGATAAGATCCTGTTATCAAGTTATTGCATTACCGAAAAAAAAAAAAAACACAACAAATACTACACCAATTGAGAGGACTGAAAAAAACAACAACAACAACACAAAGATATCAAAATGAGAAGGACGGCAAAAGAAGCAAACAAATACGAGTGATAACAATAATACGAATGATAACAAATATACGAATAAAGCCAGTGTTTTCATACGTGATTGAAATTTCAAAAAAAAAAAAAAAAAAGAGAGCTCAATAATAACAAAGCCCAGGACATTGTTGTGGAGAGTTCAGGGAAAAAAAAAAGGTTTACAAACGTCAATTTAATTTAAATTAATTCATCAGAACTCATTCAGTTGTTTCTGATGAGGAATCAAATAGTTTTTCGTAATAGTGAATACGCTACTTTTACCACAGGAATGTTAAAATTGTTCGCATTCACCTTTTTTTCTTTTCCAGTGTTCGACTAGTTAGTTGCTTTCTAAATTCCCTGTGTTATTTTGAGTCATTTCACTTACCTTTTTGGATCAACATTGCATGCAGCGTATAAGTACGAAATATGCCCTTTAATTAATTTTGTTTTCGAAGCCACCGCACTAAACGCTATTACAGAGAATGAAGTATAATTATTATAAAATATATATCAGATCTCCAGTCAATGGTTCAATTAAATTAAGTCAAAAAATCAAAAAATCAAAAAATCAAAAAAAAAAAACAAAAAACAATTCAACAGAAAAAGAAAAATCAAAGATAAAAATGGAATAAAAAAAAAGGACTAACAGTCGATACAAAACTGATAAATGGTAACCAACAGAAAATAAAAGAGGGGTCAAAAATTGAAACACAATGATAATAAAAAGAAAAAAATGCAATTCAGTTCCAATAATTTTTTTTTTTCAATTGAAAACAGAACAAAAATAGTACAACCAGACTCCCAAAAACCAAAAACTCATAACAATTAGCTACCAACGGTTTAACATTGGTTATGTTTTTCAACAAGCTCAATTCTTGGAGTAGACCTCGTCCACCTTTTCCTGAACATCGGCCAAAATCTTCTTTCTTTGCAACTTTTGGGCGCTGGTGACATACCCATTTTGTGGGGTCCATTCATAGTCAATCATAATAATTCCTGCTACCAATTCAATACCTGCCAAACCATCTTTCTTAGCTTGATTAATGAGATGTTTGTGCACCAACTTAATCAATTGTTCGTTATCGATAATCTTAGATAAATCGAATTCTGATGACGAAGAAATAACCTTATTCTCGATTGCAAATTTTTCCAAGGCATCAACGTTTGGTGAGATAATAGCAATTGGTTTGACTTTGGTTTGGTCAGCATAACAACAGACATTACCAACAAGGGTGTTGGAACGATAGATACTTTCAATTTTTTCTAAAGCAATATATTCACCATTTAAAGTCTTGACCAAGTTCTTCTTTCTGTCAATGACTCGCAATTGACCAGTGGCAGTCCATTCCCCAATGTCACCTGTTTGAAACCAGCCATCCTCAGTGACGGCTTTCTTAGTTTCCTCAGGGTTTTTGAAATATTCCTTGAGTACTGGAGCCCCCTGGATCCAAATTTCACCTTGATCGTTTTTAGCAAAGTAGCCCAAATCTTCAACATCAACCAATTTCACCTTGATCGCAGCACTCAAACAGCCTGCAACACCGTATTCGAATCTTCTTGGTGATACAACGGTGGTGTTAGCCACGGTTTCAGTTAAACCGTACCCAATCAACATTGGAGCAATCAATACAGAAACGAATTCTTGGGTGTCTTTAGAAATCGGAGAACCCCCGTTCAACACTAATTTTAAGTCACCGCCAGTAGCTGCTTTAACCTTGTTGAATAATAAACGGTCCAAAATAGAAGAACCTGGGATGTGATAGTTGGTCATGAGCAATTTAGATTTATAAGCAGCCCAAAATATTTTTTGCACTGGGCCAGGCATGGCACTGATTTTACCAATGATGGCCTTCTTTATAGTTTCCCAGACTGCAGCAACCGCAACCATGATGGTTGGTTTGAAAGCCTTAAGATCGCCCTCGCTGTTACGCATCGATGTGTCGGTAAGGGTCTTGACACCTGCATAACCGAGAACACCACCCCAGTAAAGGATAATTAATTCAAACACCATTTCGAAAATATGGGCCAATGGCAAAAAGGCAATGACACGATCCTTATCATTGACTAGAGACCTGTCAACAATACCACTAACACCACCGATACCCGCAACAATGTTGGCGTGGGTAAGCACAACACCTTTTGGATCACCAGTAGAGCCAGAAGTGTACATGATACAAGCAGTATCTTCTGGTTTAGGGGCGTGTGTAGGAATAGAAGCTTCAGACTCTTCACCCAAAGCAATAACCTCGGAATAAGAGTAAAATTTGATATCTGGACGATGTTTAAGAATGGCTTCTTTTGCAGCCTTGGCTTCCTCATAAATCTTGCCGCCATTTCTCTTGTCATTTGGATCGATGTTGTCGGAATGGATAATGAATCTAATTTTTTCGGCCTTTTGAAGAGGATTGATCAATTTTGGCAACAAGGCGTTATCGGTGAAAACACCGCTAGTTTCGGTTTGAACAAGCGAGAAAGTCAAACCGGCTTCTCCAAGAGTATCGTAGGCAGTAACGATTGGAATTGCTTGAGTGGTGGTGGCCATAAAGGTTTGCATCCATTTGGCAGAGGTGGAGGCAAAAATGTGTAATTTTTCTTCATTATCTGGTTTCAAGCCAATCTTGACCAACCCTCTACCATACTCGTGGATCAACTTGTGTAATTGTTTTTTGGTCAAGTATTTATATGGCGATAATTCGAAATATTGCCAGGTTTTCTCGACAGGAGTTTCTTTACCGTCAATAATTTTGGTGACGGTTTTTTTTTCTTCGTGGATATCAATTAGATCACGATAACCCATGACGTCTCTTTCTGGTTTTATAGCTAGACATTCGGTGATGTATTCGTACAAAGTGGTACCAGACAAGCCGATTGGTCTGGACAACGGCAAATTGCCGCCTTTAATGACGCCATTAACTCTTGGGGCGGTTTCATTAGGTGAGGCAGCTTCACCGACGGGAATATTAACCAAAGATACCATTTTCTTTTCTGAGAGTTCTTTGGGTTAGTTGAAGATGGCAAAAAAGAAAAGAATAAGAGGAAGTATGGTAAAAAAGTGGGATGAGATGAGATGAAATAAAAATGTACAAACTTCTGTGGCCCAAAAAAAAATAGTTGGAAAGGAAGAAAAAAGTGAAGGAAAAAAAAAACAAAAAAAAGAAAAGACTGGGCGAAAAGTGGGGGGGTGGTTTTCCAAGAGTGTGGGTTAGTGGGTGAGAGTGGTTCACAATATGGAAAGACCAAAGATCAGAGACGCTTGGACTAGATAGTTAGATAGTTAGATAGTTAGATAGTTAGATAGATAGATAGACAGTAGTATGGTGGGTGGGGCAAGCAACAGAATAGATGATCATCGATCAATAAGGTTCGCCAAACAGAAAAAAACGACGGGATTGTCGCCACATCTTTTTTGTCCGCCGTTTTGTTGGTGCCGGGGGTGCTGGGCTTGTTTTGTTGGGGGTTTTTTCCTGCACATGACGACATTTCTGATTTGTTTTGTTTTGTTTGTTGTGCAAAATGGCGCGGGGAAGAGTGGTGGTGGTGATATATATATATATATATATAATACTGGATCGTGGAATATATGTGTGCATTACTAGCACACACCAATGCAATAAACATATATCACCATCGCCTTCTCAGACGTTCACCCACCCCAACTGCGCGTGGTGTAAATTACCCACAACTGCCGGCACAACAAGGATCTATTGTAAAGGCACTCTACCTGCATTACCCACATTCAACGGTACACACCAGTGGATAGTCATAATAATAATAGCTTTCATGCTCAATGTTTAATGTCCCAAGTCTTGTCAGGAAGAAAGAGAAAATAAAGTTGGTTCATTCCCACCTGATCCAATCATCATCCTCAATGAAATAACCCCGGTGCAAAAAAAAAAAAAGAAATAAGAAAAAACAACCGCCCCTCCTCTCCTCTCCTGGTATCACGAGTACGGGATAGTTATTGTTTGTAGAGTTGAACCGCCATACATTGACTTGTACTGGGAATTGGTAATCCTTGTCTACTGGAAAACTCTTTTTCCATTTTGGTATTTGGTATTTTCCCATATTTTATATACTTTTTTTTTTTTTTTTTTTTTCATTTTTTCATTTTTTCCCATTTTCCCATTTTTGCCCCTTTCTCTTTGTGTGTGTTGTTCCCATCTTGTCTTCTTTTTGGCATATGATAGATAAGATAATTGTACTATAAAACTACAATAATGTGCCGCTACCAAATGACTAGGTTGCAATCTCCAGGACAAAGAAGACATAGCCAAAAAGAGGATGGAAGAAGATAAGAGGTTCCACTTCCCACATCATATACAGAAGAACCTCTGGATCTTTTCAATATCAGTTGGCAGTTGGTGGTTGGTGACTGACCAGAAACTCCCTGTAGTGCGCATATCCATTTGTGGAGTTTTTCCCAAGATTTTTTCCCATTGAACGGGGACAAATTTTTTATATCGTAAACTCACTCACTCACGAGCACTTCAACTTACAACCCATCGATCGTCTCATCTCATTTTTTAGTGATTAACAGCAATGGCTTGGTTCGGCAGCTCATCAGAAGACAACGCAAAGGCCCCAACAAGATCAACAAGAAAACAATGCTGGGATAGTAGAGATAAATTCTTTGTTTGCTTAGATGGACTCAAGATCGATAACGCCTTGGATGATTCAAAACAACAAGAGATCAAGAAACACTGTGCTGCCCAGGAAAAATTATTCGAAAGAGATTGCGCCCATAGCTGGGTCAAATACTTCAAAGAACAACGGTTCTATGCCATCAAGAAGGAACGGTTCATAAAGGAAATGGAAGAACAAGATGCCTCGCCACTTCCTCTCTCTGGTAAGAAGTGAAGTGATTAGATTAGGCTCGTTTTTTTTTATTTTTTTTGTTTTGTTTCCCTCTCAACTTTTGGTGGAATTGGCCCCAAAATTTGTACTATATCTAAAATCCCCTTTGTTTATAATCTCTCATCAATTGATAATAAATAACCCTGTATATTCCTATCATCATAACAGTCGTACACGATGATAATTTTCTCACCGCAGAGAATATATAATCTTTGAGATATTAACTGGATAAAAGATACGACAAATGAGACAGCAGTATCATCTAAATCCATGGATGAACGCCACTGACATTACCTATAGTTAATTAACAACGCAAACCGTCGTCCTTTTTTTTTTTTTTTTTTCATTGGCTCTGCCAACAATAATAACAGTTCATTTTCTCTAATTAAACAAGATAATACAAAACCTACAAAGCTTCCTTTCTTCTCATAGCCTTCTTCTCCAACAGCATTATCCTCCGCAATAAAGAGGAATCCCCAAACAGTTAGTTGTTCATGTTGGGGCAGATCGCGTTGACGGGGTCACGTGTTTATTTTTTGTGCATATTTTTGGTAACAGCACAACTTAATGGGAAACCCTCCCCCCCCCTCCCCCAAATTATCTTCCCGACAGCTTTATAAAATACAACACTCTTGACACGAGAACTAAGGTTTAAATAGCATAGAGAGAATCATTCTATAATTATTGCACCAATGGCGGAAAAATCTTCAAGTTACAGCGTTCAAGGGTACAATTTTGTCACTCTTTTGAAGAGGTGAGTTCCTTTTTTTTTTGATGCTTAATGATTTATGGATCATTTTCACAAATGACAGAAAGTTGATCTGCAAAATGCTCTATTTTTTCTTTAGTGAACTTCGATGTTTTATCATTTAAAAGTTTACTGAGTAGTTTCACCTTCTATTCCCCAAATATTCTCTGTTTTGTTTCTCTTCTGAATTTATTCATTCTAACACATGTTTATAGATTGGAAGCTGCCACTTCTAGATTGGAAGATATAACCATCTTCCAAGAACAATCTTCTAAGGCTCCTGAAGGGGAAAACCCTTCAGAAGTAAAAGAAATTGCCGGGGATGCTCCAGCCAATCTCCTTGCAACCACTACCAGTGGCTCACCACCACCACCACCACCACCTCCTCCTCCTGCCCCAGTTGAAGAAGAAGATCCAGTGGTCACTGGTTTCCAAACTTTCATAGACAAGTACCTTACTCCATTTGAAACCACATCGAAAAAAATTGACTCTGAATTGGGTGATATGGTCCATGATTTGGTTGCGGGTTTTGCCGAAGAGAAGGACTTTTTGAAAATAGTTCTGTTATCTAAAATGACCCCACAAGAAAAATTGATCCCATATATCAAACCTACCCAGAAGAAAATCGAGTCGGTCATGTCATTCAAAGAACTGTACCGTGGCAAGCTCTCAAACCATGTCAACACCATCAATGAATACGTCCCAATTTTGGGATGGATCGTGGTTCCATGCATGGGAGGCAACAACAAACCATTGTTGAGCCACATTGATGATTTCACCGACTCTGCCACCTTCTGGTCAAATAGAGTCATGAAGGAATTCAAAGATACTGACAAAACTCACGTGGAATGGGTGAAACAATTGCGTGACATTTCCACCGGGTTGAAAGAGTACATTAACGAATACCATCCTACCGGGTTGGCTTGGAACATCAAGGAAGGTGTGCCAATTGAAGATGCTGCAAAGAAATTATCTGAATTAAAATCTTCTCATCCTGCTGCCTCTGCTGCTGCTGCTGCTGCTGCTGGAGGCCCACCACCGCCACCACCTCCACCACCTCCGGCATCAGTGTTTGAAATTACTAAAGAAGCCGCTCCAGCTAGCGGAATGACTGCAGTTTTCTCTGCATTGAATCAAGGTACAGATATTACCAAGGGTTTAAGAAAAGTCGAAAAATCTGAAATGACCCACAAGAACCCAGAGCTCAGAAGAACCACTTCCAACTCCAGTACCAGTAGTAAAAAGGCTCCTAAACCACCAAAGAAGCCATCATCTTTGTCCGGATCCAAGGTCAAGGCCAAATCACCACCAAAGAAAGAATTGGTCGACTCTAAGTGGTCGGTAGCCAACTTCGAAGATGATCATGAAATCGTTATTGAAGGTGAAATGGACCATCATGTGTTTATTGCTAAATGTACAAATTGTACCATTAAAATCGTTGGGAAGGTTAACGCCATTACGGTTTCTGAATGTTCTAAGGTTGGTATTTTAACCGAGTCGTTAATTTCCGGTATTGATTTTATTAAGACCAGCAAATTCCAGTTACAACCATTAGGGTTTGTTCCATTGATTAGCATCGACCAGAGTGAAGATGGGGAAATTTATTTGGGTAAGAATACCTTAGACTCCCAAATTTTCACCAGTAAGACTACCAGTTTGAACGTTTATTGTGCCGATCCAGAAAATGATGAAGCCGATTTTACTGAAACTCCACTTGCTGAGCAGTTCGTTCATAATTTTGATAGAAAGACGGGAAAATTCGTTAGTTCTGTGGTTGAAGCTTCTGGTTGAAACAAGGTTAATTGGAGGTTAGATATACAGGTTTTATTTATTATTAACAATATTTTATATATTTTATAAACAATAAAAATTATTCTGGAAATTGGATAAGTCTCAAAGATCTTTGATGACGTTTTGTAAGGTTCTGAATCCTCAAGTGGGACATTACTTTTGATTTATTTTGAGTGAAGGTTTCTATTTTTAATAACAAATTAGAGAAATGAGGCTAATAATAACCAATTGATCCCAGCTATTTTAAAATCTTTTTTTTTTTTTAAAAGAAATGTCAATAAATTGGAGAGACATAAGTTGTTATTCCCTTCCCTGCACGCAATCGCGAATGACATGGGCACATTTTTTTTTCATTTATTTTTCTTGAAGGGGGGAGGGGGAAGAAGCGAGCGTCCTAAGAAAAAAAAATAAAAATGAAGATTGTATTCCAGCTGTCACTTTTCACGGCCAATAATTCTTGTTGTGTTTATCTCGTCAATTGAGGAACTCCTACTATTTCGCAAACCTATTAGAAGGCGATTGTTTGTTAGTTATATCAACTGCTTCCCAAAAGTACTCACTTTCACTTTCATTCCTTCTCCCCTTTTCTTTTTCCTGGGGTACGAATTTACGTTATCGCACTTTGAGGACTCGCTGAAAAGGGAAATAAAATGGTTCAAGCCTTTTATTCATCCATAAATCGAGAGAATAGCCATAACCAGCCAGAAGAACATAATAATAACAACCCCGGAATGTCCTCAATACCGTATAGCCGGCTTTCTGAACAATTGGAAATTAGAGACAACGAAGACATCGAAGATGGTGATGATGATGATAACGCAGTCCAAGTGTTCGACCCCCTTGCAGATAACGACGAAGATGATGATGATCTTGTCCCATTGACCGATCCCTTGGAATCCGAAGGGGTTTCTTTGAAATCAAGGAAATCCACTGAGTTTGATCTTAATAATGTCGATACCTTGTTGGAAGACTTGCCCCAAGGACGTAATTACGGTATATACGCCTGCGTGGTGTTTATCATCTCTCGAATTATCGGTAGTGGGATTTTTAGCACTCCTGGCGGGATATACAGAGACGTTGGAGGGTCTCCGTTCTTATTCTTCTTAGCCTGGGTCGTGGCAACCTTGATCTCGTTCTTGTGTATGATTGTTTATTTGGAAATCGGCACGTTGATGCCGAGATCAGGAGGACCGAAGGTATTCTTGGAAATGATTTATAGGAAACCAAAACATTTGGCCACCGTATTGATTTGTTTGCATTCTATCGTATTTGGCTTCACCTGTTCTGGGGCAGTGACTTTTGGCCAATATTTTCTACGAGCTATTGGTATTGAGGTGGATATCTCCCAATCTAATGCTTCAAGATACGTTGGCCTAATCCTAATTGCTATCTGTTTAGTGATTCAATCACTTTCTGTGAAAACCAGTTTGTACGTGCAAAATGTTCTTGGATTCATCAAATTGATTCTTCTTGGGATTTTGACGGTGACAGGACTATACGTTTTATTGTTGCCTCAATCGATAACTCATGTGGAAAACCAATTGCACTGGAATGAATTTTTCGCACCAAAGCGAGAAGTAACCATATCGTCTTTCACCTCAGCGGTATTGCAGGCGATTTTTTCATTTTCTGGCTGGGAAAGTATCTATTTCATCACTTCTGAAATTAAAAATCCCATTAGGACTTTAAAGATCGTGGGCCCGTTGTCGCTTGTGATATCGTTGCTCACCTACACATTTGTCAATATTGCGTATTTGAAAACCATTAATGGTGAGGAAATCTTTGCTAGTGGGCAATTATTGGGATCAATTCTTTTTGAAAAAGTGTTTGGCCCCAAAATCGGCAAAACCTTCTTGTCGATTACCGTGGCCTTATCGGCGGCCGGTAATGTGTATGTGGTCCTCTATGCGATTTCCAGAATGTCTCAAGAAGTTTTCAGAGAAGGGATTTTGCCATGCTCACGCTTCATGGCCTCCAATTGGCCAGGGTTGGGGACTCCTGTGCCAACCTTACTGTTATCATTCTTAATCTCGGCGATTTTCCTTTTAATCCCCCCACCGGGAGATATTTTCAGCTACATTGTTTCCTTGGAGACGTATATGTTAGAAATGATCATGTTGGCGATCATTATTGGGCTTTTCAAATTGCGCAGAGACTATCCCGATATCAAAAGACCGATTAAAGTCCCATTGGTTGCTCCTACCGTGGGTGTGATTGTGGTGAGTTATTTGTTAATCACCCCATTGTTGAAAAAGAATGAGAATACCGCCATTGGTAGTTTGCCAAATTATGGGGTGCTTGGGATCATTTTGTTGTTGTTGGGAGTTTTGTATTGGCTCATGTTGTTTATGGTTTTGCCAAAGATTGGTAATTACAAATTGCGCAAAGAGCAAGAAGTTCTATCCGATGGGTTAGTTATCAAACATTGGAAGAAGTTTTACAATTAATTTTTTTTTTGTTTTTTTTTTCTTTCATTTTTTGTTTTTGTTTTTGTTTTTGTTTGATAGACGCTTATTTTATTAGTTTGATTCGGAAAAAGTTTATAAATAACATATATATATAAAGTTTCTATATAATTATCATATAATTTGGCATAATAATAGGTTATTGGTGATTATTACCCGTACAGCGGTGGGTGCCTAACTGCACTCCGCTCATGATTTTTCTGCTGTGGAAAATTTTTGAAATTACCGTAAACATCGAATAGAGCAAGATAGCCAGGCAATAACCAAATAACACCACAGCATATTTCTTTCTAATAATCATGCTCGGCAAGATATTAGGGCTCAACACCAAAACTTCAGTACCGTCAATAACAAGCCGCTGGTATGCCACCGCGGTCAAGCGTAACACTTTCAAACCACTAGATTCAAGAAAGACCTTTTTGATCGATTCTTATGCCAGTTTGATGAGACACAACCAACTTGTGTTGTTTGCTCATCGTAACAACTTGGTCAAGAACGACGATGACTTATTCAGAAGTCAAATCAAACAGCTTGGGGGTGAACTTGTGGTGATAAACAACAGTCTTATGAAGGTTTACCTTAGATCGGAAAAGGACGAAGATCCAGCAGACGCCCAAACCACTTTGAAGAACAAAAGAAATAAACATCCCTTATTCTCAGTATTGAACGGCCCAACTGCTGCCATTGCCTTCAAAGAAAACGACCCAAGTAAAATCAAGCAATTATACAAAGTGTTGAAGGCCGCCAAGGAGAAGTTATTTGTGGTTGGGGCTAAAGTCGACGACGATTTCTACAGCTTGGACAAATTGGACACTTACAAGGACTTGCCAAGCAAACCAGAGTTGCAGGCCCAATTGGTTGGCTTATTGAACATATTAGGTGGTTACGGCTTGACCAGAACTTTGGAAAGTGCCAGCAATGTGTTGCATTTGACTTTGAAGTCGCACCACGATAACGTTGAAAACCCAAAGACAGAGCAAGAAGAATCCAAATAAAGGGATGAAGGGGGAAGACGATATAAATGATTATTGATGTATATTCCGAATAATTTTATGTTTTGTAAATATTATGTTTGTGTGTGTGTGTGTTGTAGGATGTAATAATAATTGATGAAATCGCCTGCGATGTAATAGAGAGACAGCACCGCACGTGACAATAACGCTTTGCAGCGTTTTTTCCCAAACAGCGCTTAAAAAAAAAAAAGAGAGAAGCGATGCGGTGATATTGTTGATACTGAGCATCTACACTATACACTTCATAAATATATCACCATGGCGTACGTTGATAGTTTATTATGTTTTTTTTTGTTCATTCATTTGCTTTGTTTTCTCTTCAATTTGTGATTTCTCACTAACCTTCATTTTAGTGAACTAGTCAATATCACAAAATCAGAATTGACTGATGAACAGTTACAGAGGTTGGAAGAATACGAGATCTCCAATGGGCCTATGTCGTTATTGAAATCTGCAGTTGAAACACACTCTCCAGTTATAATATCGTTAAGAAACAACCATAAACTCATCGCCAGAATTAAGGCGTTTGATAGACACTCTAACATGGTTTTGGAAAACGTGAAAGAATTGTGGACCGAGACCCCAAGAAACTCGAAGGGTAAAAAGATAAAGCCCGTTAATAAGGAAAGATTCGTCAGTAAGATGTTTTTGAGAGGGGATTCTGTGATAGTTGTCTTTAAGGCTCCAGTGTGATTGTACTTGGATTGGTTATATCACGATTTACATTTTTCTTTTTCCTTTGGTGATGGTGGGCGAGAAATTCTCGGTGCTGTTTGTGCCGGAAATTCTTGAGGCAGCTGCGAATGGTAATCTGATATATTGAAGTTTTTATATTAATTTTTTTTTTCTCTCCCTTCCATTCTAAATATCAGTGTGTATTTTTAGGTATTCTATATTATAATTGTTTTAGCTAAGTGAGAGATTGTAATTCGCTCCCTACACATGATGCAGAAGGGATATAACAGTAGTCAATTTCGCGATCCCATGTGTGGGGGGTTATCCAATAATAATGTAACCAGAGTTACAAACAAAAAAAACGAAAAAAAAAAAACCACCAACTACTACCATTTCTCTTTTTTTGGGAGTTTAATAATCATCGTAGGGGATTCAGATCATATACATATCGATGTTGGGGTCATTTTCATCATGTGACCCGATATGTCAATTTCAATCATGGATGAGTATTCTTTATTACAAAACAAAAAAAGTGACTGAGGCTAGGGTCCCATTAGAAACGCAATTGCCACAACGTCCCACAGAGAAAAACCGAACTTTCTTCAAGTTCGACTTCTTGAATCATGGATGATGATTACTATGAGACGCAGCAGTTGGAGTTGGAGGCCATAAAGTCGATTTATATGGAGGATTTTGAGGATCAAACAAAACCTTCGGCATGGAACCAAAAGCCCTCACCAAGATTCCTTCTAAAACTAAGGTCTGACTCCACGAAAAGCTCATCAGTATCATTGACGCTAGATATAGAAATGACAGCAACGTACCCTAAAACTTTGCCGATAATCAAAATTATGAACCCCAAAAGTATTTTGTCTAGTCAAGTGGAAAATCTACGGAAGTTGATCAATGACATAGGGATGCAGTTGAAAGGATATGAGATGATCTTCGACATTACCAGCGCCATAAAGGATAAATTGAACGAGTTCGAGAAATCAGTGACTAATGACTCTTTAGAGGAGGAAAGATTGAAAAGATTGAACCAAGAACAAGCATTATTAGAAAAAAGACAAGAAGATATGGAAAAAAAAATGAATGAAAAATTACGAAGAGAACAACAGAAACTTGACAAGATGATCAAGTTAGAATTGGAAAACCGAGATGATAGAATCGACCCAGATCATTTTCGTAATGACAGTGAGAGCACCCTTCCAGATGCGTTCTTTTCAAGTATCAATGAAGATCATTTGACGCCACCCCAGGCGCTATTGAAATCTGGAGATGCGGTTTTATTCGACACCATAATTCATGCCAAAGACTCGAGGTACAAGTTCAAGGCCGTGACCGGCTGTTTGCCATTGCAAAGATCAGGATTGCTAAAATATGGGAATCATTTTTTGGTGAAACCGTATTTTGCCAGCTCCATCAAAGTAAATATTGCGTCAGAGATTCAGAATGAACTTTATCAATTGATTGAGATCCCGTTGATTGACAAGTATTGGAAAACTTTGAAAGCTAAAAAGGAATTAAGAGCCTTAGAAGATGAATTTCAAGCATTGACAAAACTAAGACATGAGAACATCTTGACTTTGTACGCTTTTGAAGTGGAGAAAGTCTCCATATCCAATAATAAGAAAAATGACGACGAATATTTCTACAAGATTAAAATATTGATGGATTATTTCCCGTACGGTACTGTTGATGATTTATTATCCTCGGCAAAAGTGGTAAGCTTGTCCACTGCCAGGGCTTGGATTATGAAATTAATCGATGGTATTGAATTTCTACATAAAAACGGGTTTATTCACCGATCTATCGGTACTCATTCTGTGGTGTTTTTCAGAACTAGTGATGGTTTCAACTCAGTGAAACTTGCTTATGCCTCTTTTGGGTATAGACTCAATGATATGTTGGATGTTAATACTCCCGGCGGCAACAATAAGAAGTTCGAAGATGGAAGCGCCAACCAAATATGGATCGCTCCTGAATTAGCAAAGAACACTGGTAGACCTCAACGTAAAACCGATGTTTGGGATATTGGTGCGTTATTTGTTCGGTTAATTATTGGAACAGAAGAGGTTTCTAATTATTCGGACCCCTTTGAGTTTCTTGATATTTTCCCATTAGAGGCCTCAGTTCACGAATTCTTGTCAAAAATGTTCAATGAAAAGGTCACAAAAAGATCATCTCCCTTTGATTTATTGCCTTGTACATTTTTAAGAACTAGCGTTTTGTCAAATAATTTTGTCGATACCACTAGTGATACTTTCTCATCCAGATCGCACGGTGACTTGGCAAATACCAGTGAGCTATCGGGACATAGCACCATACAACGAGGCAAGCTGCCAGGAGCATCGCGAATCGAACTAAGGAAAAGCTTTTCAGCACTCGATCCTTCGCTGGCGATCGGATTGAACCGATATTCGCGTTACGAAGCCGATTTTGAAGTTGATAGAGTGTTAGGAAAAGGTGCGTACGGGGAAGTTGTGAAGGCCAGAAACAGACTCGATGGGAGATTTTATGCCATCAAAAAAATTATACACAGTGTTGCCAAGTTGGACAGTGTGCTAGCGGAAGTCATGTTGCTTTCAAGATTAAACCACCAATATGTCGTTAGGTACTTTGCTGCTTGGGTGGAGTATGATGGTCTATCAAAAAAATCATATAATGCTATTCTTGAGGAAAGCGAAGATGAAGATGAGGAGTCAGAAGATGAGTCCGATTACGATGAAATTGATATGGAAAGTCTTGATAATATGAGCTTAAATTTTGAGTTTGCATCTGCCTCTAAGAGCGAACACATGAAAAGTAATCATTTAGATTTCATTTCGAACTCTATGCCTCATGGATATTATGAGGATCAATCTGATGAATCAAGCGAATCGGAAGATGAATCAGCTCTTATGGGGGAATCTGAGAGTGATGAATCAACGGATGATGAGAATAACCGCATGATACCTGCGAAGAGGAAACATATTGCACCAAAGACAAGAACCAAGGCAACCTTGTTTATCCAAATGGAGTACTGTGAAAATCGTACTTTGCACGATCTTATAACTAAGCAAAGTCTATCTCAAAATAGTGACGAATATTGGAGATTACTCCGCCAAATTTTGGAAGCTCTTGCCTATATCCATTCCCAAGGTACGATTCACAGAGATTTGAAGCCAATGAATATTTTTATAGATGAAAGTAATAATATCAAGATAGGTGACTTTGGTCTTGCCAAAAATGTCCATCAACCGGCAGCAGTTGCAGGTATTGGTGGTTCTTTCAAAGTCTCTGAAGACTTGACTTCAGATATCGGTACTTCGTTCTATATCGCTAATGAAGTTGTCTCTGGAGGAGGGGCTTATAATGAAAAAATTGATATGTTTTCTTTGGGTATCATCTTCTTTGAGATGACCTATTCGTTTGGCACTTCTATGGAAAGATTCAGAGATTTGAAAGCTTTAAGATCTCCAGCGGTGGGGTTTCCACCAGACTACAGACCTGATAAAAACTCCAAAGAAAGAAAGATTATTAAATTATTGTTGGATCATGATCCATCTATGAGACCGAGTGCTAGTGATCTACTTCAATCAGCATTATTGCCGGTGAAACACCAAGATGAGGTTATCAAGGAAGCGTTGAAAAGTTTGGCAGATCCTTCTTCTGCTTGGCAGCAACAGGTGAGAGAAACATTATTTTCCCAACCTTTCAATCCTGCAAAAGATGTATTGTATGATAATCGAACTGTGGCTGATGACTCTGAAATCGTTCAGCTAGTGAAGTCAAAGATGATCGAGAAGATTTTTAACGTATTCAAATTACATGGCGCTGTTGAATACTCGAATTATCCAAGCTTGTTTCCTAAATCGACAAAGTATCACTCAGATGATATTTATGAGGTTTTGAATAAAGATGGTTCGATTTTACAATTGCCATATGATTTGACTTTCCCATTAGCTAGATTGCTTTCAAAGAGAAAAACTTCATTGTTCAAGGTTTTCAGGTATCAGAATGTTTATAGATCAGGTAGAAATAAGGGTGGTGAGCCTGATCACTACGGGGAAATTGATTTTGATATCATCACTGATGGCTGCTCTGACAACGACTTGGCGTTTTATGAAGCGGAATCAATAAAAGCTATTGATGAGATTGTTGATGTTTTCCCATTATTTGACAAGAAGAATATTTCCTATGTGTTGAACCATTGCGATATTATTGATACAATTATGGAGTTTTGTAATATTGACAAAGCAAAAAGACCGTTGATTTTCCTTTTATTGTCTAAAAATGATTTTACTGCGTCGATGAGTGAGATTAAATTCCAGCTTAGATCGACTTTGAATGTTCAATCCACAGCTTTAAATGATTTGGAAGCTTTCAATTTCCGTTTGCCATTAGCCGAGGCGAAAAAAAGATTCCATAAATTGATGATTGATAGCCCATATCTTTCGATCATTGATAGAATTTTGGGACATCTTCAGCACGTCATGGTGTATTTGAAGCAATTTGGTATCGAAAAAAAGATTTACATTTCTCCTTTGAGCAATTATAACATCAAGTTTTATGGAAAAGGTATAATGTTTCAAGCAATCCATGAAGAGAAACAACGCCGAAAAATCATTGCTGCTGGAGGGAGGTATGATGGGTTAATCAGAGATCTTTCTTCGACCAACTTGATGTCTCATAATCAAACCCAAGCAGTGGGATTTAGTTTGGCCTGGGAAGTTATCTTCAATAGAATGTTGAAAAAGGATAAGAGTTTGAAAGGTGCCAAGAAAGTTCCTTCGACGTTAAATGATCTTCATAAGCACATCAATTGGAAAATTGTCAAGTGTGATGTGCTTGTTGGTACATTATCTAACCATCCAGCATCGAAGTTGATGTGTGTTGATATTTTGAAAACTCTTTGGGACTCAGGGATTTCTGCTGATCTTGTGAGAAATTGTGAAACTTTGGAAGATATCCTTAATGCCGCTCAGACGTATGGTACCAATTTGTTAGTATTGGTCAAGCAACAAGCTAGCTCATCACAAACAAAGAAGAACTACAAGCCTTTGAAATTGAAGAACATTGAATTCAATACCGATAAGGATGTTTCCAAAGATGAACTTATTGGCTCGTTGAGATTGGAAATTGAAAGGGCAAATAGCGTGAATGGTCAAAATGTTGACGAAAATGCTAATAATGGCGCTTTCACTGGGTTCGGAAATAACAATAATGATGGCAATGGGGAAGAGGAAAAAGATTTCTTTTCAGTGAACCATAGGTTTGAAATTGTGGTTAACAATACCCCAAAAAGTAGAAAAAGCAACAAGATGCACAAGTTTGATAAAAACGCGAAAAAAGCGGCACAGAAGGCGGTGGTTGATCTTTCTAATGCTCCGGTTTTCACGGTTGATTTAAAGGAGGAAATCATGGATATGATTGTCATTACCTCATTGAAGCAAGGTGATGAATTTATTCGGAAAGTTGGGGGAATGTCGTCTAATACCCCAAAAAGTTATATAACAAATATCTACAAGGCATTGCAGAAAGAGGCAGGCAAGCAGATTAAATGGGCCATTCTCTACAGCACGAAAAGCGACCAGCCTTATATTATAGATTTACAAAGATAGTGTATAGTTAATTGATTAATGATTATTGTGATAATATTTATTTCTATGGTTAAACTTGTATTCTTTTTCATAGTCAGGATTGTTGATAAAAATGATAGGATAACCTCAATTACTTGTTCAATATTTTTTTTGAAGAAATTGCGAACGCTACTGATAAGAATACTATTGTTATCATCCAACCCAATAACAATATCAATGAAATTACTACAATATGAATGCCACAATGTACAACAAATTTTCACCACAAAATTATAGAAACAGGGAGTCGTTTATTAGGAGAATTCCAATAAGCTTTGAAAAAAAAGAAGTTTTTAGTAATAAGACATTAATATGATGAGGAAAAGTCGAATTAAATAATTTATCTTCTTCTTCTGGAAGTGGTCTTGGTGTGTTGACCTCTGACCTTCAAACCCCAGTAGTGTCTGATACCTCTGTGAGCTCTGATCTTCTTCAATCTTTCCAAGTCATCTCTCAATTTGGATTCAACACCGTTGGCCAACAAGTGGGAGTCCTTACCGTCGGTGAAGTCTCTTTGTCTGTTCAAGAACCAGGCTGGGATCTTATATTGAGTTGGGTTTTGCATGATGGTGACGACTCTTTCCAATTCTTCTTGGGTCAATTCACCAGCTCTCTTGTTCAAATCAATATCAGCCTTCTTACAGACCAAGTTGGCGTAACGACGACCGACACCCTTAATGGTGGTCAAGGCGTAAACAATCTTGATTCTACCATCAACGTTGGTGTTAAGCAAACTAAAACATACAGTTAGTAAAAAATGATGCCATTATAACTTCGATAGATTGTGGTATTCATTTCGCCTTGATGAAAAATTTAAAAGAATAATGTACTGAGGAGGGTTTCTTTTTTGTTCCGATGATCCCACAAGTCTTTTCTTTCCAAATCTTGAGTATAATACTAATTACTTTGATCTCTTGTAACTGTAAGCTGATTTGTATTGACATGATTGTGAATTACACATTTATTTCATTTAACTTTGAGGTCCGGTAAAATCACTCCATAAAAATTCATCCACATAAACGGTGATGCAATTGACGACAATTCTTAAACTTTGATGATTACTTGTTTGATATAATTGTGTAACGATTCTGAAATTGTCTTGATGATTTGATGATTATTGCTCTTTAATATTACATTGACCAATCCATTCATATACATTGAAATTGATATCCCATTATCTCAATCCCCAATACCTCATCTTTTCAATTTATCTCTTTGCTAGATATATTATTCGACATACCGCAAAATGTGTTGGAAACTACCTTCTTCTTGAACAACTAAAGACATCTTGTATGGTACTTGGTTATTCTTTCCTATTAGCTGTCTAACCTTCAAGCAGTATTATGGAAGCCTATATTTTTTCTCTGAATACACCATTTGAAATTTTCACGATGTGTGGGTGGGGAAAGAAAAAAAAAACCCTAGTGCTTTTAGGAAAATACAGCGTCACAGAAGAAGCCCTACCAAAGCACATGATATATATTAGGGTAGTGTATATGATTCTTGCGCATGATCGCGTATTTGTGCATATATACGGTGCAGGACTTATCTTCAACATGATACAATCAATATTTTTGAATTACTACTTCTCAAAACACCCGTAATAGATCAAATACAAGACACAATAATGCTTTTTTATTTTTATTGTAAGTTTCTTCTTTTTTTTTTTTAGATATATATATACAAGAAAAAAAAAAACAAGTATTAACCATCTTTATTTTTCAGTTCTCCTTCCCGTAAACATCAGCGAGATATTTTAGAGCATCCATTTCAATGAAAGTATATTGTGATCTCAAGATGTCTCTGACTTCGATAAATTCTTTAGAGATGATGTCGATTCTTTCGTTACTTTCAGTAGCGTCTTGTAAGTTTGGTCTTGGTTCATTGACGATGAAAAGTAAATTTGTTTTAGTTAGCTGATGCTTCAACAAAAATTGGTTTGCAGCGAGTGGGTCATTGGAAATGAATTCTGTTACGTTTGATTCGCATTCTTCGAGAGGAGTTTCACCACCAACGATGAAAAGTCTACCATTTCTGTACTTGTCACTGAGGGCCACCTTAATTGCCGATGAGTATACTTTGACTGGAATTTCTGTTGTGTAATCGTTTGGAGCATGTCTGGCATGGGCTCTACCACCACCAATTCTGATTGGGGAATTGGCATCACCAGCTCTGGCTTTACCGGTACCCTTTTGTGGCAAGACTTTTCTTCTAGAAAGCCCGTTTTCTGAACGGCCTGGAGCATTTGATGACCCGACTCTGGCGGCATTGGCTTCGTGAACCACCGCTTTCCATAATATATCACGACGCAAAGGGGCGTTGATGAATTTTCTACTGACTGGAATGATGGATTTTGGTTCCAATGATGGGAATGATCTCACAGAACTCAACACATATTTTGGTAATTCTAATTTGTCAGTAACAAGAGGACTTTATGATAATCTCCAAATGGAAGAGGAAAAATAAAAGAAAAGTATCATCACTTACCAGTAAAGTTAGGAAGCACTTTCTTTGTCGATTCAGTTGACAACGATCTTATGCTTTGTGATACGGGAGCGCGAAGTATTGGTTTGAACATGGTCAACAGATTGTGATCCGATTATTATTATTAGGACCGATATATGATCGAATAACGTATTTCTATCAAAATTGCAAGATTTTTCCAAATTGTGATTTTTTTTGAAAAAAATATCAAATTATGGGGTCACCCGCTCCTGCATGCTGCTCAACATGAGCGAGAGAAAAATAGAAATGGCAGACAGCAAAAAAAAAAAGCAAGGAAAAATGAGAGCTCCTTCTAAATAATTTATCAAATGAGAGAATATATATTTTTTTTCATAGTACTCTTATCTATATCTATCGGACTTGATAATCGCACAACAAAGTATATCACCAAAGTACTGGATTCAACCATTGCTATTACATGACTATAAATTAGAGTGTACTATTACTGGCGAAGCATCTATTTAATAAGAACTGATATTATCTGAAGTAAATTACAAAGGAAGAAGGAAAAATTTGCTGCTTAAGAAAAAAAAAAGAAAATAAGATAATCAAAAGGAGACTGAATTGAAAAAAAAAAAATTCTGCATATTCTTCGGACTTTACACTTGAAATTTTTCGTCAAGGCAAAAAATGAAAAAGAATTTATTAACAATCAGTGAATTCCTGTTATCATATTCAATTATTTTAATATCATGGAAGCACTAATGAGAATCGAAACGACTGATGTGATCACTCCATGATTTTGCAGTATTTTCTCTTAGGAGAAACTATTCCTCCGAGCTCAAATAACATGTGGTGATATTTTTCTTTTTTTTTGATATAGTATTAGCATATGGGTCAAGCATACAAAGAGAAGCATCTTTTTTGAAGGTAATAGGTGTGTCAAAATATAAAAAAAGTCGAGTAGATCAACTATGCAGCCGCTCATAGGAATAATGTAAATAACATTATGAAGATATAATTATATTTAAGATACTGCAATTTGCAAAACTCCAAATTTATCTGATATTAGGTTTTCTGCACCGGTAAATCTGATTCTCGATTTAACATATATATCAGAGTATGGAAAAATATTAGAGTGTCTGATCAAATGGGAGAAAGAACGGACAGATCAGAATGCCGTTAAATTTAGGAACCCTGCAGCCACATTGACAAAGTCAAAGAAGGTAGAAGTGTGGTGCTTCAATAATAGTCAAAAATAAATGGACCATAGCTATAATAAAAAACTATTTAGTTTATATTCTTCAGAATCTCTCTGTTGAGGAGATATCGATGATGATCACGTGTTAAATCACGCGTAGCTTCCTTCGTAAATTTTTCCAGAACAGAAGGGGATCACCCGGCACTTTTCCTTGGGGTATTTGGGAAAATTGGCAAAAAGCGAAGGAACCCTGGATGGGTGATCATATTGTATTCGTCCTGTCAGTTATTTCATACAGGATTCACCACCAATAGTTATTTTTTTGGTGAAATTCCGTATCTCGAGGACTAAAAACTCTTTGGCCACAAATTTGGAGATTGATTGGCTTATTTGGAGATAGATTGGTCCCCGACTTGTTATTGTCTTATTGTGAGGGTACTGTGCGTGTGTGTTTTTAGAGATCGCGTTTTCGTGCTTTTTTGTTTGTGTTTTTGTCAGGTAAATAAACACAAATCAATATCCACAATTATTATTTTTGGATTGGCAGGCAAAAATAGACCAATTTAAATAATAAAATAAATTAAGGAAGAAAGTATCACAGTATTTTCCTTTTTTTTTTTTTTTTTTAATTTACGGCTAGATCAAGAAAGTTTGATTAGATTAGATAAGAAGAAGCATTCAACGCAAGGCCCAGGTTTTATTTCAAATCTATAAATCTTATTTCAAAAGGAGGAAGGTATTGCCATTGTTAAACCTAAAGGTTCTGGTCTCTTTTTTCTAGTGTCCCAATATTCAATTTACAATTGCTGGCTACGTTAGTCCTTACATAAATCTCATGAGGACAATTGGATTACTTGATCACTAAATCAGATACACAAATTTTGGAAACCACTGAATTTCAAACCAAAGAAAATTAGAACGCGAAGAGAAGTCATCTTGTGTAATCGAGGAATTGATTTATTCTGAAAAGTTTTTCTTGTATTATATATTATCAAGGACGGAATAGTTTACATATTTATCCAGGGAATTTTTTTTTTCAATCGTTAGCCATCGCCTATTATAAGAACTTATAACATAACCTAATATGTTGGCTGCCCAGAATAATACAGCCCCAACACTTCCCAAGAAGCAAATCCCACTCTCAAACTCCAATGCCAATGCTGGGACCAACCCTAAGCCTATCATAGGTACCAATGCAAGTAGCCCCTTGGCTAACGCGACTTTTGCCAATGGGACAACAAAATCAGCCGTGGCAGGTGGCACTGTCATTCGAAGAATTGAACTCGAAGATTTGGTGAAGGAATTCAGGGAATTTTTGGGCGAGAAACGATGGAGTGGATATTATTCTATGCTTTGTAAATTTTTACTAGGAAAAATGTCAAAGGATGAATACCACTCATACATTAAAAACCATTTTTTAGCTGTGAGGTCAGAGGAAAAAGAGAAAGAGTTTAAAGAAGGTAAACCATTAGGGACTTTCAAATCAAGATTCGTTAGGTATCACAATAAATTCCTTTTAGCATCATTAGCAAACTCTTTCCGTGATGCTCCTAATGCAAATAATATCACGGCAGATGGGTTTGGGTATTTGAACACTCTTAGTGGAAAGAGCCAGAAAAAACAAAAAGTTTCGAGTGACGTTACAGAACATGAAAAATTGAAGAAAAATATCATGAGTTTGACAATTAAGGAACGTCGAAGAATTAAAAATATCCCAAAGAATGATGATCCTAAGATTGCTTTGCAAAGAAAAAAACAAACCTTGGGTCAAGTATCGCTGGAAAGATTTGAATTACTTCCAAGAATTCCCGCCGGAAGTAATACTAATAATACGAAAAACAAAAATGCCCAAGCAATTAATGGTTCCACTGGAACAAATAATCAAAACAAGGATTTACCTGATGTGTCAAACAAAAAACTAAAAGGGAAGAATGTTAATCAATTGCAAGTTAAAGTCGATGGAAATAAAGATGGAGCTTCTAACGGAAATGATAAGAATTTGAATCTTATACAGCGTGGGAGTGGTAATGCTCAGAGTACCCCACCTTCAGCAGTACTGTCTACAACCAGTAGCAGCAATCAGCAACCAGCTACCGCAAACACCCCGGCTATGAATGTTGGATTATGGACGCAGGAAGTAATGACGGGACTCCTGACAATGTTGAGCAGTGAAAGTTATGAATTGCCAGATGTCAACTTTTTGAAAAATAGAATGGTTGGGATCATGAGAGAAAATGGGCTAGTGGGGAGTGTCAATGATCAGACGTTAAATATTATGATTGTTGGGTTAGAGAATTATTTGAAGAATATTATCGAAGCGGCGGTGGACACCGTGAGATACCGGAAATTTAGATATGATGAAGATAATGCTGGTCCAACAATTGATGATGACGATAGAATGATGGATGGCAATGAGCCTACCAATGCCGTTGCTTCAAGAAGCGATAAAGAAATGAACCTTGACGTGGCCTCATCTCCTGGCTCAAGCACCTCATCATCTCGAAATGCTAGCAATTCTTCATTGACATCCAATATGACTTCCACCACAAACACCTCGGCTCCAATGTCTCCCGGAAAGATTGATTATGAACAACATCGTAAACGGAAAATCACGTTGACCACAGAAGATATTTATGACACTTTTAAGCTTACTCCTCATATCATTGAGCCATACGGGATATTGGACCGGATCTCTTCAGTATTATTGAGAGATGACGATATAATTAAGTATGATGAAGTAAACAGAAGTGGGATTGTTGATTTATTAAGGATAAATAAAGAGAAATCCACGGATGAGGGATATTTGAAGCACAAAAAATTGAGTTCGGAATTGGTTGATGTGATTGATCATTTCTCTGGTACAGGTGCGGATATTTTCAATAATCAGCAAGAAGGAGAAAAAGAAATAGCAGCGGATGAGTCCAAGGAACCAGCGGCACCAAGTGAAAAGAAGGATTCTGAAGGCGAGAAGGATGAAAACGTGAGTACAAACAAAAGTGATGGTGCTGCCGCTGCTGTTAAAGCTGACAATAATGAAGGTAGTAAAGAGGAGTTACTATGGCTAATTCATGATCTATTGGCATAGTATCGATTATATTTTAACAACCTCATTACGCTTTATTTGTTATTGTTTTTTTTATTTATTTATTTTTAATTTTACATTTTTAATGGTTCGATTCTTTACATTCAATGTTTTATTATGTTCTGTTGTCAGCTCTGCTTTTTGCTGTTATTTTTTTTTCTCTTTTTCTGTTTCTTTTGGTGTTTTAGAATCTATTGCATCTTTTTAGGGGTTTTATTTGCTTTTTTTTTTATATTTTATTTTTGTAGGATAATTTTGTTATGTATTAGTTTTGCGCCTAATAAAAAATTGTATCATTATTTATAATTAAGTAGGCTTTTCAAAGTCTTGTTTCTTACCAGGAGCTATTTTTTTCATTTCATGCCAATTGAGATCCGAAAATCGTAACCAACCTTTAATCGCCAATTGTATCTGAATAATTTGCAAATAACATGAACCTTACAGTTATATTAAAAAATCAAGAGGGAAATCAGAATAGAAAAGTTACAAAATACAAAAAAACAAAAACAAAAAGTCACATAAACCAGGGATAAAGTTCTTTCAAAGGGCAACAATAGCCGCTAATATGCGAAAGATGTTTAGTGGAGTGAGTCAGTTTGATGGAAAAAATAGGAGAGTCATTTCTTCATCACTTTCCTGATCTAACAAAAGCACATTCAAATGAAAAAATCAGTTGCCGTTGGAGTGAGGCAAGTTTAATTTCTCCAATACTTGGGGATAAGTTCTGAAAATTTCTTCAAACTGTTCAGGATAGCTTAATCTGAAGACTTCTGGATCTCTTGCTAAGGCAATAAAAAATGTACTGGTACCACTGGTGATCACTGTAGTGCTGACATTGGCGATCTGACCAGCAATAAGGAATCCAAACGCCACCAAAGGACCATAAAATGAGCCTGAGTCATTGTAAGATGGCTTTGTCAATCTCAAGTACAAGAAAACGAAAAGTGCTGTGACATAGGCAATGAACACACTATAAAAACTGAGAGCGGTGTTGATCAAACAATCATTGATCATAGCATCAAAACCCTTATATCTAAATAATTCGTAAACATCTTTGGAAGCAGAGGTATAATTGGTCCCATAAAGGGCAATGTATGAATATGCATAATGATTGAACCATCTAACTAACCATTCAAGCACCATGACAACCATATCGAGGAAGCACAACAAGAACGCTTGACACATTTCATTGTTGGCAAGGGCATTTTGACGCAAAATGTTAATACCTTGTCTAATTAAGCTAATGATAGCAACGATCAAAGAACCTTCACAAATTGACCCAAAAGAGTAAGTCATTGCTCTCTTAAATGCTCCCCAAGCAGCATTTTTTGGCTCGCCTTGGTCAGATTTAGACAAATAATACCAGACACCATAAACCCCAGAAATGGTTGTATGAATCACATTTCTAATGACTTCAGTAATATAGTAACCGGCAAAGAAAACAAACACCAATACTCCAATCAACGTGGATTGCGAACAGCTACCACCGGAAACCGAGCAGCCAGGGTTCGAAGATGTATCATCGAACTTAACATAAGTTGAAGTGACAACAAACGCAAAGAACACACTGAAAGCACCAGAAATTACAACACCGAGTAAAGAAACCAATAACACACTAGGATGATCTTTCATAACATCAATGACGATCGATAACACAGCACCAGAAAATGGGATTCTATGCCTGCAAGTCCAGTAACACCAGGCACATAAGCAAGTGAACACCAAAAATACAATACCAGCAGACCAATATTTCATAACAAGATAGGCAATTGCGGTACCTAACCCAAAAATAACGTTACAAATCAAACCAATGGTGATGAATTTTCTCGGCCACAATTTCGCAAATGCAATCACCATCGTTGCCAAAACCACTGCGATGGCAATGGCAAACATAAACATGATAATGGTATTAGTATTCAAGGAATCACCAGTGTTGTTATTATAGATCCCACCACCTTGAGATGAATGCGTTAAATGATACGCTCTAATGGTGATGACAGCCACCGCAAGAAAACCAAACACCACAAGATAAAAAAACACTGCAAACGGCCAGTCGTTGAACCTTGGTTTTTCAACTTTGAATGCATCATCAAAGGATTGAGCATCACTTTCTGGTTTACCAGATCCCATATTGTCATTGCCCCAGCTACCTTTTTCAGGGTCGTCATTGCTTTGCTGCTGCTGCTGCTGTTGTTGTTGAGTCCACCCATTCTGTTCTTGGTTGTCATATGGACCCTGTTGTTGTTGGTATTGGGGGTCATTTTGGTTCTGGTATGCCGGTGGAGGGGCGGCCGGACGATTGTAAGACATTGTTTTTCTGGAGTTTTTGGTAAATAAGTTATAGTTATATCAAGTGGTTGGTGATGAAAATTTTGTTGCGAATTTCAGTACCCCAGCAAACTAAACACAAAGGTGAACTACGCTGCCAAAAGAAGAAAAAAGAAGTGTTGTGTAATATATGGCTGAAATGACCAAACGAAAAAAAAAAATAATGCTCAAGAAGAACAGACACAAATACAAAAGAAAGAGAGGATAGCAAGAAAAAAAAAAAAACAATAACCAAAGATACATTTTTTTTTTTTGATCCCAGGATAATTATTGTGTTTACATTTTGCAGCAAGTTGCGTTTGAAATTTACCCAAGGTGGCTGAACCCAGCTTCCATCAACAATTACTTCTAAAACAGAAAAAACCAGGCATAAATGAATAAAACCTGGTAAACTATGACATACTGATTAATATAGAAATGCATCACTCTCAACATCACCCGAGTCTCTTCCAGTTTCCCACGGTTTTGTGTGATTTGACAGGCTGGTTGTGAACCCCGCGCACGGAGCCATTATGGTGGGCGGCAGGGACCCTTTTGCTCACACACATTACTGAATACATTTGGACATTATATTGGATAATCGAATATTTGAATAAAAATTTAGGAAACTAATGAGTATGAATGTTAATGCTATTTCAGATCCATTCCAAAAGATCGCTGATGCACTGCTCAGTCTCCGATGGACTGGCAATCCAGGCGGTGCAGGACACTAATCTGGCCTTGAAGTCGTTGGCCCCTACAGACAAGAACTGGTCCCCAACATGTAAGGTTTCTTGGGGTTTAATGCCTCCCAAAAATCTTTGTAAAGAGTTGACTCCCAAACTTTTGTCCCCAACATCAACCCAGACATCAGATCCTCCATTGAAAGCACAGAATTTGAGTCTTTGAGCTACCTCATCATTCTCCAATTTCTTTTGCACAGATAAAACAATCTCTTCGAGTTGTTCTCTAATCAACTTCGAGCCCAGTTTGGCAACAATACCAATGGCTCTTTCCTTTCTAATTATCTCCGCCGATAATTGAAGCTTTTCGCTTAAATCGCTGAGACACTGTTCGGAAATATCCAAAACTTTCTCCATATCTTCAGCGGTCCAAGATTGCATTTCTGGTAATAACCAGTCTTCATGGCGGATGTATTTCAACCGTTGACTTTCGGTATCATATTTGAAGAGGAAATTAGATTCACCTCCCATGATATACAACATCTCTTTTTGTGCCACGGTCAATCTTTCTGTCTCTCTAACCGCATCAATTAACCCCTTCAATCTGATATAATATTTTTTACCAGATTTTTCAGAATACCCAGCAGCAGTGACAATGCCAACGTGGATATTGTTTTCCAATAACCCTATTAATTTACCAATTAATGGCGAATCAGCAGCAATGCATTCTCCATCATCATACAAAGTAACATCCCCATCGAATGTAACAAGCTTGAGACCACTCTTGGCTAATTCCAACACCTGTGCGGTAACCAAAATACTTCTAACATCGTTAAAACTTGGACTGACATATCTTCTTTCAGAAATACTTCTTCTCTTATCTTCAATGTAGAAAGCTTCTTCAAGTGGCAATGGGGTAAACATTAGTCCCAATTCCGGAACTAGCTGCCTTAGCCTGGATAATTCCAATTTCCCGTCTTTTTGGGCCTGTATATCATCATTGATAAGTCTCTCAATATCACTAAAGATTTCAGCGTACCTTTTCCTAGATTCTTTGCCTGATTCTTCACCAGTGATGGTAGATCCATGAACTGCATGTAAAACAAAAGGAACCTGATCTTGTTAGTGAATTAATTGCTAATTGATACTGTCAAAATATTTACTTACTGCTAATAGTGTCTTGATCCATTCTATGAACGCATCTCTTCTATGTGATTTAAGGGCATCTAAAAAGAAAAACTGTTAGCCATCTATTTACCAGGGATGATTCACATGGTACACGTACATTCAACACGATATCTACATTTGTCAGTAATTTAACCAATATCCAGAGGGTTCCAGCAAAAGGTGTAACTTACCTAGAAGACATTTTAATTTATTTTGGTTTAGTTTATTTCCCTTGAATGTTTCGTTAAGGCCAACGAGGACATACCTGACCCTTTAAGTATTTTTTCGCATTGTGCGCAATTTTAAATCCCACCAACGTGTGGCATTTTAGTGCCTAGTATGGCTCGCTAAAGCAGTGACCTCGGTAACTTTAACCATCCAGGTTTCATCGTGTTTTTTTTTCTTCTTGCTTTCAATCAACTATATCTATAAACTTCAAATATATAAAACTTACAATCAGTAGCAATTTGAAATTTATAGGAAAAATACCATTACATTAGAATGAGAAAATGAACAAAGAAAAAAAACTATTTGTAACATATATATGTTCCTTTCATTTTTCGGGATTTGGAGTGATTAGAGTACATAAACATTGCTGAACTTAAGCTTCCAAACCTTGTTGTCTTCTTCTCTTGTCTCTTTCTTCAGTAATAGACAATTTAAGACCCTTACCCTTTGGCAAAGAGATCCATGGCTTGTTAGATTCACCGATAACGAAAACGTTACCCAATCTGGTGACGAAGGTGTTGTCAAGAGCATCCTTGATGTGAACCAAGTCGAAACCACCTTCGTGCTTTTCACGGTGGGTGATGACACCAATTCTACCCAAGTTACGGCCACCGGTAACGTAAACCAATTTACCAGTGTCGAACTTCAAGAAGTCTTCGATCTTACCAGAAGCCAAGTTGATCTTGACAGTGTCGTTGACCTTGATGGCTGGGTCTGGGTATCTGATGGTTCTACCGTCGTGGGTGACAACGTATGGGATCCCCTTCTTACCCAATTGGACTCTCTTAACCTTACCCAATTTGTAAGAAGCTTCTTCATCAGTGATTCTGTGAACAGCGTATCTACCCTTGACATCGTAAACCAAACGGAAGTTTTCGTTGGTGGCATCGAGGGAGATGACATCCATGAAACCGGCTGGGAAGGTAGCGTCAGTTCTGACCTTACCGTCAACCTTGACGTGTCTTTCCATCAAGATAGCCTTGGTTTCTCTACCGTTCAAAGCATACTTCAATCTGTTTCTCAAGAAGACAATCAATGGCAAAGATTCTCTCAATTTGTGTGGACCTTGGGATGGACGTGGGGCGTAAGTACCAGACAATTTGTCCAACATCCAGTGGGATGGGGCTGCCAATCTCTTAAGGTGCTTCTTTCTATAAAGATAGTTAGTATGGTTTTTCTTTTTTGCTTGTGTGTGAATGAAAAAAAACTTCGAATGATGAAAAATTTTCTGTCGCTTAAAGATTTTCAATTTTCGAGCGGATGGTGCAAACAAAACAAATCGATGATTGTTGAATCCATAAATATCTTGTGTTTATTCATTTGATGAATTGATTATCCAACTTCAATTTGAATAAATTTGATAAAAATATTCTGAAAAATTATTAAGTAGTAGCTTTCCAAATTCCATGAATTCAAATGTGGTTCAATGTCCGTGTGGTCTATATTCATTTCAAATACCCAAACATATAATGCTTTATATATCCATAATCTTGAGAATTTTCATGATGTTGACCATAATTCAAACCCAAAATGAAATCACATAAATTTGCTCGTTGCTTCGGTAGTTCTTTTTTTCTTTGCTTTCTATTCATTCATTCGTTCATTCATAATTCATTATTATCACCACTTACGGTCCTCTAGCCATTTTGAATTATGGTTTATCAATTTATCCTACTATTTCAAGCTCTGTGTATAAGTCTAATATAAAAAAGATTTTTTTTTTCAAAGTATCTTTGAGAGGATTGGATTTTTTCGATTCGCACAGACGGGGCTGCGTAACGCACTTAGAATATTCGTGTGACAAGCCTTTTTCTTGTATAGCGTGCCAAGCACGTGCAGACAGGGCTATATGTGCCCTAAAGTATCCCGTTTCTTTTTTAAGCCCTAACGCTCGTATATTTATCCCGTATATATTTGGCAGAGATATATGATGTATTGATTGATTGGTGCTATCATACAATGTACTATGATACCAATAGCTATAGTGGTGATATATTGCGATATATTACAAGACCAATAGAAAATTGAGGAAATTAAGGAAGCAAAAATAAAGAAATAGTTGCTTTCATTATGATTATTATTATTATACAATTATTTTTTTGTCTTGTAAGACACATTCTTCCCACGATTAAGACTAAAAGCCTTCTTAGCAGGTCTAGGTTCATCTAAAGATTTACCATACGGATCGTAAGCCTTTCTCTTTCTACTGTAATTTTTACTAGAAGGCTTGTCAACCAAGATCTTGTCGGCCTTGGCATAGTCAACCACATCCTTATTTTCATCACTGGCAGTCTTTGGTTTGCTGGCTCTATTTCTCACCACCTTCTTTCTGATGACAATTATTTCATCCTGGTCCTTCTTCGGTGTCTCCACAGGGTGAGTTTCTTTTGTTTCACTGGTTATCTTATCGGTTTGAACCGGAACTTCTGCAGTAATAGTTCTATCCTTATCAGTCTTCAACAATCTGTTGATCAACTTCTGACGTTGTTGCAAATCTTCAGAAGTGAATTCCATGGTTTTCCCTTGGCCATCGTATTTCGTGGACCACACATAGGTTGCTGGATCTTCAACGAACATCTTTGACGGGAACAAGCTACCACTGTCATCAATCAAGTCAGTTTTTGAGGTAATATTATCAAATAATTTCTTGAATTTATTGAATTTGGTGATATTGGAATAAACTCTTCTTTCAGTGAGTTGGTCGTTACCCAAATTTAAGGCTTCAGTATCATGGAAATGAGCTGATTTCAAGAGTTCCATGTCCTCATTCTCCGAATTCTTGAGAGATTTCTGGATGATTTCTGCAATTTCTTTGGCATTCATCCTCACATGCTCGGTCACATAATGATTGGCAGCCAAGACGCCAGCTGAATCAGTTGGAGCATTGACTACGAGAGCCACAAGGATTTGGTTTGGCATGACATACCTCACTGATTCATCGTCTCTTCTTCCAATCTTGTCCCTCCAGTCATATAAATCAATCACTAGTTGCTTTTTCGTCAAGTTTATATTATATTGATTCATAATGTTTCTCCAAGGCTCAATCCTGTCACTTATTGGGGTAACAACCTCACTTGTTGGCTCAGATGGTCTGAAGCTATAATACTCAAATCTTCTTTTCGCGACGTTTCTTGATTCACGCAATACCACATTCATGACATCTTTTTCAATCAACATGTTCTTCAACTGATCAAATATATTCAATAAGAAATGCGTATCGGCTCTCGCATAAAGTTTCATCGATGATGTCAAGGGTCTTATTCTCCAATCTGCCATTTGATATTTCTTATTTGTCTTGAAGTTGGCAAATCTTTCGAGTAGGTATGCTAAACTGTGCTTTGGGAACCCCAATTGCTTCGAAGCATGATAAGTGTCAAATAAACTAACAATATACAACCCCAAGTCTCTTTGCAACCAAATAATATCCATAAACGCACCATGAAAAACCTTAACCACATTCGGGTCAGTAAAAATCTTATTCAAAGGTTGAAGATCATCACGTAACGCCAAAGTATCGACTAACCAATCCTTCTCACGATTACTGATTTGCATCAAGCACACTAGACCGTAATAAGTTCTATAATCATGATGTTCCAAATCAACAGCAATTTCTGGACAGTCTTCGAGGTCTATTATCATGGCATTCAATTTTTCTACCGTGTCAACCCATATTGGTTCTTCAGTTGATGGCCATGGCTGCGATGCGATAGGTTCGGATTTTTCCAAGATTGAGTCAGGATATTTGTGGTTATCTATTTCTGACTCGTATGGCTGTCTATAATGTGCTGGATCCTCTTCTTTTTCAGGTTGGAAGATCTTCAAGCTATCTTCGAAAGATTTTAAGGCATTTGGTTTTGATACCAACTTTGGTTTAAATGGCGAGGTTTCAGTATTGTCTATTGAATTACGGAACTTCAACTGCGGCTTTGGTTGTCTTTTCCTTGATTTCAAATCATTATCATCATTACCAGCTTTGCCATCTTCCATATATATGAGCCCATTACTAGACTCTGGCTTTTTAACTTCCGTGGGTTGACCGGTAGATTTAGCCTTTTGTAATGTATCAAATGCGATATCCGATTTTTCATAAAGGCCATCAAACACATTCCCGATAGCTTTCCAATTGTCATTCAAAGATTCCTTTCCTAACTCTAACTTATCACAATTATCGTCAATAGATTCGATAAATGAGTTAATTAACCCTAAAAGTCTTGAAGAATCATTATCGATCTGCTCGGCAAATTTAGAATCAATAGTTTTGTAGAATGGAATATCGTTATCAGCTAGCTGTTTGCTAATATCTTTCAATTGATCAACATTTTTGACAATTTGTTTGAGCTGAACATTATTATTGTCAACACTCATATTGAAATTATATCGTTTTTCCAATGTACAAGTTCAGCCTTAGAATGTTCGTTAAAACTGAATTTTTTTTTTTTTTTTTTTTGCAAATTTGAGATGAGATATCACAGGGCTCATAAGCCGACATAAATTCAATTCAATAAGCTTACAATCAGGTATATTGCTTCAATATTGGATTTAAAAGGTACGAAATAGGAGGCATTATATATTTTTTTTTATTATTATTCAAACATATTTCTTTTCATGAGACTTGCGATATTTTTTAATAAATACAAAAGTCGTATATCGCGGCACTTGAGAGAAAAAAATTGCAACGATTTAAACAACAGCATCCGAAAAATCGAAATCATCGTCTTGCTTCTTCTTTCTTGACTCATTCACTACCTTTGATAACGACTCACCAGTGATAACTTTAACCCAATCAACATGAAGGCTGTAAGAACCAAACTGTCTATCCAATAATCCAATACCAAAAGTTTTAACCTTACCTTTATCCAACCCACCTTCATCCTGAATAATACCCCAGTTCGTTAGCACAAAGTCATCTAAAGAGACAAGAACAGTTTCCCATTCCCCTGGTGTGTTTAAAAATAATCTGTGTTGGTATATATCTGTTTTCAATGAGCTGTCAGCCTGGATGTTCAAAAAGTACTTTCTGTGATCACCCTTCACCCTCATTGCCAATTGGTTAAAATTTGTCCAATCCCACGACTTCTCCCCGAAAAGAGCGTTCTGAGGTTGATCTTTTGTTCTGAACATGGCATAACCGGATTGTAAGATATCTGGGCGGTCAGCAGGGGGATCCAAATTCAAATATCCATGAAAATGAGCAGCCTGTTCTTGAGGATCAATTTCAAAGTTAACGGTGGAGTAGCCTCCTAATTCTTCATCTGACCTCATTAGACATTTTGATAGTTCATTCGGTCTTTTGAAATCTAATATTGTTTGGAAGTCCTTTGCTTGGGGTGTCTTGAAGACTGGTCATTTTCTTGTTAGTATTAAAATCTCAGAGGCAAAAATATTTAAGATAAAATTTTCACCATAGAAAATTGGAATTAGACTTACCATTGACTTTAGATAACGATCTGAACATAATAATGGCAATTAATTTCTCATTAATGTGAATAGTTGATCGATGGGTGTACCCAGCTGTTGGATTAATTGATATTTTCTCGCGATCATTGAGAGGGGGGAGAAGAGCGACTCTCCGGGTTACACTTTTTGTCAACATACAGATGACCATTTATTGTTGTATATTAAAAAAAATATAGAAAAGTCTCCAAGCAGAATATTTGAGATTTAATATTTTGTAATTCTTCTGGAAAAGGAATCATACCCTCATACTCTCGGGTGGTAGGCGCTAGGTGCCCTAACATCGATGCTATTAGCTTGAAAATAGAATATTCGCCTAATACTACCCAAAAACTACAAAGACCATCATATTATCAACAAGAAAATTCAGTATATTGAGAATAAGGTATTTGAAAAAAAAAGTTTTTGGAAAGCACAGAGAAAATTAAAATGAGCAAATAACGAAACAAAACAAAAGGTTCTCAGAGCATAACCACACCAACTCCACTTCCAGCTTCTGGGTCTAGTTGCTTAGTAGCTTCATTGATACCCCCGGTAATCTGCGAGGTTCTCCAGTTGAATAAATAGTAATTCAAATAACCATCACCAAGACCAAACTTCAAGTCTTCTAAAAATAGGGTATTATCCTGGGATGTCAAAGCATTGAAAACGTCAATATCCAAACCTTTACAAATGATCAATGCGTCGTTTACCAATTGCTGAAGTCTTTCCTTCAACAATGACTGGTTTTCCTTGTCCTTTCTTGATTTGCCAACCCCTACACTGGAGGCATAATAGAATAAATAAGCAACATTCAAGCTCTCGTGCTTTGGGTTCTTCAAAATACTAAATGGCAACAAATAGAATGAAAAGAAGTCAGTGATTTTGCCGGTGGAATCTTCAACAACATATGTATGTATGACTTGTTGGTTCTTCTTAGCTTCTTCAGGATCAACAGCACCAAGCAACCAATGAGCAATTTCGTCTTTACTAAATCTTTGCACCATCTCGTATCTATTATGGAACACATCGTACAATTCATAGATTTGTTCAAGATCCTTGAATTCAGCTTTGCGCAATCCCGGAGTTTGTGTTTTAGTTGGCACTTCGTATAACTTAGTCATACTTTCAATAGTCTCATTTGGTTGCAAAGCAGAAAAACCAACATCATACAACTTTTCCCAATTCAAAGGCCTGTGAGTATAACGACAGACAGAGACTGGACTTGGCAACACCACCCCTGCAGTGTAGAATGCTTGCCATATGTCCTCGCGGTTCACTCTTCTTGTGATTTCTTTGATCAAAACTGGTGCTAGTCTCTTGTTTCTTAACTTTTTGTGTACGCAAATGAAATTGATTTCCACTGACCTAATTCCTTTACCACGCAACTCCAAATCAAGCGGAATGCCAGCAATAAATGCCACTAATCTATTAGTTTCCTTTACTCTAACACCAACATGCCACTGTTTCTTCCATCCAGGAGGCTTGAGACCCCAGTTGAAGAATTCCTTGGTATACTTGAATCTAAATATCTCACTAGAGTCTTCCACGTAGTTTTCATGAAGCAATTCATAAACGTCTTTGATTTCATCTGCATCATCGAGATCCATGGTCACCCATTCAAAGTCTTTCAACAATGGATAAGGATTCTCTGGAATATCAGCCGGAGTTTTCAAAGCATCGATTGGCCCTTCTTCAGTAATTTCTTCGTCGAAATTTGGGACTGGTTGAGTCTTCCAAAACTTGTAGTCTTTCATTGGTTTGGCTTGAGGTTCTGATTCCGCTGTTTCGGACACTCCAAGAAGTTTCAATAAGTCTTCAATGGTCTTGGAACTTGGGGCATTGTTTTTGGTACCATTGCTCCCAGCCATCTCCTTGGATTTCTCTGAGCTATTTTCGGACATTTTGACTGTTTATCTATTTAGTGTTATCAAGCCCTGAATAATAGTTAGGAGGAAACAGTAACGACAAACTGAAGGGACGATTTTTTTTCAATAATAATTTGTCTCTATGGTCACGTGAATATAACACCGAGAAGTGCAGGCCTTATTTATCTCTAAGAGGAGATGAGTTGAACCAAAGGTATAGTTGTTTGGAGTGAAACTGTTATAATTCCTGGTACACCAAGATACTCTCTATGGATAAAGGTGACACTATTCTGTGTCCAGGAGCAGATAATAATCCAAGCAAAGCTACGGAGGGCCAAGGCCAGAATTCTACTCCTACACCCGTGGGTGTGCCATCGCCGAGTGATGGCTCCTTACTCACCCCAACTCTGATTCAACAGCCTCCTAAAGCTAAAAGAAAATATAGGAGAAAGGTCCATCCAAGTTATATCAATACTAGTGTGCCTACACAATTTAATTTTACACTCAACAATTTTGAAAATGATTCAGAGAGCAAAAGAAAAAGAAAGAAAATTATATCGCGAAACCTCGAAGGTAGAAAAGATATTGTCTTCTACAATGACAGGGTCGAGCATTACAAGGGTAAAAAAAATTGTGTTTTCATCAAACTAGAGAACTATAAGAATGAATTCAAGGACTACAGCTATTGTACTGATGTTTTTTTGGAGATATTTGGAAGCATAAGCACCCTTTTTGAAAGTGGTATCATCGTCTTCCTCAAAAATAGAAATATAAAATTTCAAATAGTGTTCCACACAGCAAGAATTAACAAGCCAGATTTGACAAGTATTACCAAGCGATTAGTGGGACTTTCTCATATGACCAACTTGATTTTGCCAGAGTTGGAATCTCTAGATTTGGATGAAAGATATATCGACCCAGGAGTACTCATTTGCCCAAATGTGAAAGAACTATGTCCCGAAAGTCGTTATCGTGGTGCTGGAAATTTTACAAGCGAATCTTTTCCTCAATTAAGCCGTCTTATTTTACATGATTCAACAGTCAATAATCTTTCATTGTCGTTTAAAAACTTGAAGGTATTGGATATGAAGGGTTGTTCTTTGGTGGGTAATTTTTTATGCTCCACTTGTCCTATGCTAGAACAAATTAATCTCTCTGATACTGGAATCAAGTCATTTGAATCTTTTTCTTATTTCCCAGCCCTAAAGGTATTAAATTTGGAAAATGCGAGTTTTATGGACAGTTTATCCCTTGGGTTTGTACCTAAGCTTCAAAATTTGAATATTAAACATTGTAAAAGTTTGAATAAAATTGGTTTTTTCAATGCACCTGAATTGTTGGAACTTGAAATGTCGGGTGCCGGTTCTAATAAAGAATCATGTTTGCGGTTGGACCATTTGGATGTTCCGAAGTTGCAAATGCTCAAGGCTCGTGGGGCAGGTATTAAATCTCTACCAGCAACTTTATCGTCAGCAAAACTTATAGATTTAAGATCCACCGCCAAACTTGAAAGTATTCTGAATTTTGATCTTTCGAGTTTGGTTATCCTTGATCTACTGTATAGTTGGTTGGCATCTCTTGATATAAAAGTTTCCCATAGATTGAAGGTACTAGGATTAGAGAGCAACAATAATTTGAAAGAACTAGCTATTGATTCCTTTGATATGCCATATTATATTGAGTGCACCTTAAGAGAGCTTTTTGAAAAGCAAGGCATAGAATATAGCGCTTATGATGTTAAAAGAATTCTCAAGTCTGTTCCACATAGTGCAGTGCTAGAAGATGAGCAACTTATATCAGTGAGTGAAGAGTTGTGTACCACGCCCTATATTGACAAAACAATGAGAGAATTAGGGGTATCTTCTCCATCGCTGGGAGAAAATTGCCACATTAATTGTCTTTTGGGGCTCAAAACATTCGTGTTAAATTGTCCAGCGTTGTTGAGAATCAAGCACTTTAGCTTGCCTCATATTAAATCTTTGCGAGTTATTACTGAAGACTTAACAGAAATAATAGGTCTTAGGTGCCCAAATCTTTATTTTTTAGAGGTTTACCAAAACAATTTAGCAAAAGTCGAGAAGCTTTTTGTGCCGAGGCTTGAAGAATTGGCATTATTTGACTCGCCTATTAATTCAATCCAGTTTTTCAACACCGCGAGAAACAACAGTTCAAACAATCCCCGAAATGACACATACAATAACCCATTGGCTAGTTTGCGTTCTTTAGAAATCAGCAGCTTGAGTAAGTTGGAATCTATCAATCTTAATAATGTACCCAACTTGAGGAAGATGAGAGTTGATGGCTGCCATAGGTTGAAGAAAATTACCGGATGTTCTATTTTGAAGCGAATTTCGGTCATTCGATGTGATATTTTAGAGACCATTGATGTTGATTTGCCTCATGCTTTTACTATTGATCTCTCTTCCTTGCCGTCTTTGAAAATTCTAGATGAAAAACTACAAGTTCCGGGCCTTAAAAGTCTACAAATTAAAGATTGTGATTCTTTGAAGTATGTGGTTTTGCCCAAAGCTGACCATTTAGTCGAACTTGACTTGTCATGGTGCAGGTCTTTGTCTTATTGGTCGTTTGGTACCTCTGTAATCTCAGATGCCAACTTTGGCTATTTGGATTCCTTGGTAAACCTCCCAAAAGACTTTAGCTTAGCAGGAACCGTAATGATCACCAAATGCAAAAAACTTGAAAAAATTCAAAGCAACACAGATAAGGTAATTAATCTCGTTATCAAATCATGTTCTCTGTTCTCTGCAAACGGATTGATATTAAATGATATTAAATCGATTCTGATAGAAAACTGTACTTTTCTAGAAAAAATTCATCTGTCTAAAGTTTTAAAGAACTTATCCTCTTTAGCTTTCCGATCATGTCCCAAGCTAATGTCTGTTTCATTGAATGCTCCACAGCTTATGTTGTTGAGTTTGATTGACTGTGAGACTTTATCTTCGTTCACTCTTCAGAGTGATGGCTCTAATAGTATACAGCTGATCAAAATTACCAACAGTCCAATAGGGCAATTAATTTTACCTAAAACTCCTGAGTCACTAATTCCAGAACTAATTCTCGGTGATACTGAAATAGGTGTCTTGAATGTGATTTCTGTTTGGAAAATAGGCTATTTACTTCTTGGGAACATATCTCTGTGTAAAAAAGTCGTTGCATCTCAATTTAGGAACGTCGAAAATCTAAGACTCATGGGCGATGGAATTGAGGAAATTTGTGAAGACTTGGAAAATTTGAAATCTTTAACCACGATCAATGTGTCTTCGTTGAAGAAATTGATGATTAACCAGGAAACTTCCAAGAATTTCCGGATCTTAGATGTGGAAGGTGGTCAACTTGAATCGGTTAATATCAAAGGGCAGTTTAAAAGCCATTTCAAGAAAGTCTGCTTCACAGGAGAGCTTCAACTTGACCAGAGAGCACCTTGTGTGATTCGCTCTAGTGTATTTGCATCAAGGCTTTTTGATATTAAGAAGATGTTGATGGAGAGAAACTATGTATTTTGGCCAGTTCTTGTCAAGATTCTTTGCACACAGTTAAAGTCAGTTACAAATGTTTATTTCCGAAGAAATATTTTCGATCACTCTGGATTTCCTGAACCAAACGTAACTTTTGGCAGTGATGGCTATTTAAAGTTCCCTTCAAATCAGGATGATCTAGCCGATATTAAGATGGTTGAATTCACCACAAGTGGCAGCGCCCCTTTCGATGATTCAAACCGTGAAAGAAGCAATGTCTTTCTAAATAGGGACGGTGGTAATTCCTATTTTGAAACTGAGGAAGACATGAAGGAGCTCACCCCTATTTTAATTCTACTTTTAGACAAGTATAAATCTTCCATTGATAATGGAACATATTCTATCTATCGTGAGGTCCTTTTAGTATTATATTTGTCTCTTAATATCCCGCCATTGAAAAAACAGATCCTCAAAGAGGTGTTTTACCAGAAATTTCTAGATAGTTCCGTATTGAAGACATTCAAAAGATCTGCCATAACAACAAATAACAGCCACTATTGCATAAAGTTTTTCCATAATTTCCAAAAGGTTGTCATACATGAATTAGAAGCGAAGGGTGCCGAAGTTATTAGGACGAGAGTTATACGTGAAAATGGAAATGTATCGGAAGCTGATTTGGCAAATGTCTTTTTCTATCTATCAAGAAAAGCATTGAATTTCTTGAGTGAAAATTTGGAGAACTTGAATCACCCGCGATGCCCCATTTGCTTTGATAACGAAGAAACTAATTCTTTCGCATACTATAGAGAGTGTGGACATAGTTGCTGTGAAGAGTGCTTTCAGAATGTTTCTCGTAAGAAGTGCTTTCTCTGTAGAAGCAAAGTTTCCAGTGGTACTCAGGACAAACTTCGTACCAATTCTGAAGTTGATTTATTCATAAAAGTGAAAAAAAATTTCAAATACTGGACCGAATTTAAGGATATGTCGCGGTCGGTGCTTTCAGCTGCGCATTTCAATTCCAGATAGCCAAACACACGGAATCATATTTCTAGTTTTCACTACACTAGAGAAAGATGTATATTTTTCAGTAAATCAGAAGTTTATTTTTTTTTCTTTATTTTTTTTTTTGTATGGCTGTTCTCTTTGCATATTCTTGTGTCAGTTATAATATCTATCCCGATCTACAATATCGCGATATATTGTTTTGAATACATTGCCATTTCATTCTAATATATTGCTATTTCACACGATAACAACATTCTATTCATGTTGGGGAATCATGCGACATGTGCCTGAGAATGGAGCCCTGGTGAGCGCGAGGGACGAATCAATCCCAGAATGATCGGCCATGAGATTTTACTCTTTTTCCCCTTATCACTCTGTTGGTTTTCTGTCTATTATATCTACGGTTTCCAAAAATATATTGGCTCTAATAGCATAAAACATTTTTCTAAAAACTCCGAAATTGGGCAAAGTTAGCCAGCTTTTTTCTTGTTTTTCGTTTTGTTTTGTACGCATTTGCTCGATCCCATTCAGACATCACAGGTCATCTCATCTCATCTCATCGCTGCTGTCACACACACACACCTAAAAAAAAAAAAAAGACAAACATCATAATAAATAATAACAGCCACAGAAAAAAGAGAATAAGGAAGAGTGAGGATAATAAGCCATAAAATCAAATCTCTTTCTGACAATATCCAATCATAACACAAGAAAAAAAAAGCATAAGAAAAAAAAACATTACATATCAAGGGAGGCAAATTTAAATCAATTTTTTAGAGTTGATTATGTTTGGGTTATTATTCAACATATCCAGGTAAGTCGCCATTTACATATATCTAAACAAGATGTCTGATTAAGTCTTATTCTATGTTTAGCACTTACTAACGCCCACTCCTTCGCAGCTTCGTCATTTCAATTCTTTTTCCGATTTATCTATCATTTAAGTCCTTGCAAGCTAACGACTCCAATCTTTTGAAATCATGGCTCATCTATTGGATAGTGTTTGTAGCCATTAATTTCATGGAGACTTTCTTTGCTTTTGTGCTCAACTTTATCCCCTTTTATCCCTTCTTGAGATTGTATTTCCAATTATGGCTTGTGCTCCCTCAGACCAAAGGGGCTGTTTTTCTATATTATAATTACCTATCCCCATTCTTGAAAAAACATGAGTCCGAAATCGAAGGGTTTGTCGATAATGTCTATGGAAATTTTTGGACATTCCTTTCTGACTGCAAGCAATTTTTAGTTAGCCTTATTAAGCGCAATTTGTTTGGTACGAAGGACTCAGATTCCGTTCACAAGCCTCGGAATAAATACTTCAATTTCGTCACTAGTTATTTTGGCATGCCGGGGAATCTAATGAGTAGTGATGAGGCTGCAGACGAAAAATTGTCAATGTCTTATATGGAATCATTACTTAACCAATTCAAGGAACAAAAAACTGATGAATTTGCCGTGGATAGCAATTCAATGTCATTTTTCGAAAGCTTTTTATTGACTATCCCAAAGAGTGGGTATGCATTGAAGAATACTTTTTCAACTCTGAATGAAGCTAAACCACGCCTGGGGGAAACAAGTGTTAGTCGGCCTAGCTCTCCGAAAAAAGAACAAGCTGACGTCAGTGCTGAATTTGAAGAGGAAGTGTTTGATTTTGTCAACAAAGATGAAACCCCGGCTGCTTCAGAAGGTATCTTTTCTAGTTTTGGGTGGGTCAAAGTCAGCAAAGAAAAGACTGAGTAAATAATTGGCTTTTAACATTTCGTATTATATTCCTAGGACACATGACAGTTTTATTAAGAGTCCTATTGTCGTATTTATGGTTTTGTTTCGTTTTTCTCCTTTCTCTCTTAAATTGTTATTTCCCACATATGGTTATCCCCTCCTATTTGGTCTTGTTATTGTTGTTGTTTTTTCATCATGCTTTGGATGAATGTTCTCATTTCTCTATTTATTATCATTGTTGTTATTATTTCTTCTTCTGTCTCCCCATCACTGTTTTGCAGTTAACAGTACACTATTTCCCTTTTTCCGGCAGATTTTCTGGTGGTACCTGGCGCAAACTAAGAGAATCCTGGAGAAGCTTCTTCTTTGTGTTTGATTCTCTGTTATGCTTGACTCGTCGTCCTAATTTCTAGTTGATATTTTTTCCTATATACTTAACTTGTTTGAATTCTTTCATCTTTTTTTTTTCTTTTATTCTTCAGTAGATTGTGACCACCAGCTACGAGTTCAAGAAAGTAAAAAGTAGGCACAGTGAAATTTGTATTTGAAAAGAAAATACCAATATCTATATATACAAGGAACAGGATTCATTATGTGTTATATATCAACTATTTCTGTTTTTCCTTCAAGAATTGCTCCATTAAAATATTATCCGTGGCCCTGCTGTCTGCTTTAATGGCCTTATTCTTCTCATTCTTCAAACGTTTTCCGAGGAATTTTGGTATGAAACTCTCGACACTGTGGTCCACACCTTCGAATTTATAAAGACCTTCAAAGGCTTTGGATGGCTTGAATTTATCAGACCCAGTACTACTACTCATTTCGTATGTGTACTGGTACGCTTCATTAGTAGTTTCCAAGGCATTCTTCGATGCAGCAGACATAGTTTGTTCACCTGGCCAAATAAAAGGCTCTTCCATATCGATGGTCATCTTCTTGATCTGACCACTTCTGTATCTTGGGGTGGTACCTGTTCTAATGAATCTTCCTGGTAAAAGCTGGGTAGTGATATTAAGAGCTCTAAGCCCGTATATGTGGAATAAGTAATCTCTAAGGTCCAATTTGTTGAATGATTTAGGAACAATGAATTTGGCTTGGTAAGGGGTATGTTTTGCATTTGGTCTCAAGAGAATAACTCTGGCTTTTGGGAAATATCTTTTGTCGCTACCAACTCTGAAATGTGGAGCTTCAGAATTAAGACTTTCTTCTGTTCGACTGACAAGGCTGTCAGAGAATTTCAAATTATTGTTACGTGTAGAAGCGGCAGTCACAGTCTCACTGGCAATTGCTGGTGGCGCTTCTGTGACAGTGGCAAGTGATCTTTTGAACACCGACAAGGCACCGGTATTAAATCTAGGCATCTTTATGTTGTTTTTCCCCAATATATATATATATCTGTGGTGTTCTATCACTGTATTGTACCTTTGGTGATTTTGTTATCATCCAACCAATTTTTCACGCAGCTCATAAATTTTTTTAATTATGTTACCCGCAGAAAAACCCTGGATCTCGAGCCGGGTGATAGAAAAAGCCAGTGGAAAAATCGAATTGGTGATAGAAATTAATAACAAATTGAAGGTTGGCGGCTGCTTTACCGACAGAGTTATCGTCTGCAATCCCATACTCATCAATCTATCATGACGGACAGTAAGTGTTCTATTTAATTGTTAAGAAACAAGGTTACTGTTTCTGGTTTACTTTAATTTATTGTGTTTGATAATGAGTGGTTGATAGTTGAAAATCTTTTTTTTTTTTGCCGCTCGATTAATTGAAAGTTGAAGAATTTCTAACAAATGATCTTTAGTTTATCAAGACGAGTCTATGTATGACCAAGGGGAAGATTATGGTGACTCATACGGCTACGATGATTATGGTGATCAGCAAATCCAACCTGAAGATTGTTGGGCAGTTATTTCTTCATTCTTCCAGGAAAAGGGTTTAGTGTCGCAACAGATTGATTCGTTTGATGAATTTGTGAACACAACTATCCAAGAGTTGATTTGGGAAGATCCTTCATTGGTTCTTGACCAGCCAGCCCAACATATGACTGAGACTGATAATAAAAATAAAAGATACGAAATCACGTTTGGGAAGATTTTCATTACAAAACCAAATATCACCGAACCTGATGGGGATGTGAGACAAGTGTTTCCTCAAGAAGCAAGATTGAGAAATTTGACATATTCATCGTATTTGCAAGTGGAAATTAGTAAAAGAGTATTGGTTTCTATTGATGATCCAAATAATATTGTGCCAGCCTCAGAAGTTGAATGGATTGTGGAAGAGGAAGATGTGATTAACGAAGATACCGCGGCTCCATTGGCTCCTATTGGTAAGGTTCCAATCATGGTCAGATCTAAGTTCTGTATGTTACAGGATTTCTCCATGCAAGAATGTTACGAATTGAAAGAATGTCCTTACGATATGGGTGGTTATTTCATCATTAACGGTTCTGAAAAGGTTTTAATCGCCCAAGAAAGAGCTGCTGCGAATATTGTTCAAGTTTTCAAGAAGTCTGCACCTTCTCCTATTCAATTTCTTTCTGAAGTTAGATCGGCTATTGATAATGGTTCTAGATTGATCAGTAATTTGGAAATTAAATTGATGAGAAACAAAACCATCAAGGCCACTTTGCCGTACATTAAGGCTGATATACCATTATTGGTTGTCTTTAGAGCGCTCGGTGTTGTCCCAGATGGTGATATTATTGAACATATCTGTTATGATGAAAACGATTGGCAAATGTTGGAGTTGTTGAAACCATCAATTGAAGAAGCATTCGTCATTCAAGAAAGGGAAGTCGCTTTGGATTTCATTGGTAGAAGAGGTAATGTCCTTGGTATTAGAAGAGAAAAACGTATCCAATATGCTAAAGATATCTTGCAGAAGGAATTGTTACCACACATTACTAGAGAAGAAGGTTTCGAATCTCGTAAAGCATTCTTTTTGGGTTACATGGTGAATAAATTGTTGTTATGTGCATTGGAAAGAAAGGAACCAGATGATAGAGATCATTTTGGTAAAAAAAGATTGGACTTGGCTGGTCCATTGTTGGCTAAATTGTTCAGACTTTTGTTTAGAAAGTTATCTAGGGATATTTTCAGATATATGCAAAGATGTGTGGAAACAAACAGAGATTTCAACTTGTCATTGGCAATTAGACCATCTACTATCACTGATGGTTTGAGATATTCGTTGGCCACTGGTAACTGGGGTGAACAAAAGAAAGCCATGTCCGCTAAGGCTGGTGTGTCTCAAGTGTTGAATAGATATACTTACTCATCCACATTATCACATTTAAGAAGAACTAATACCCCTATTGGTAGAGATGGTAAGATTGCCAAGCCTAGACAATTGCATAACTCGCACTGGGGTCTTGTGTGTCCTGCAGAAACTCCTGAAGGTCAGGCTTGTGGTTTGGTGAAAAACTTGTCTTTAATGACTTGTATTTCTGTCGGTACTCCTTCAGAAGCCATCGTTGAATATTTGGAAGAATGGGGTATGGATCCTCTTGAAGATTATGTTCCTCACAAAGACACCAAGTCGACTAGAATTTTCGTTAATGGTGTGTGGGTTGGTGTTCAAAAAGATGCTTCTATTATTGATGAAGCTTTGAGAGGCTTGAGAAGAAAAGGTGATATCAATCCTGAAGTGTCGATTGTCAGAAACGTTAGAGAAAAAGAATTCAAGATTTTCACTGATGCTGGTAGAGTTTACAGACCATTATTTGTGGTAGAGGAGGGTCGTCTTAAGTTGGAGAAGAAGCATGTGCTTGACTTGCTAGATACTCAAGCAAAGGCAGACGAAGAAGTGGAAGGTGAAGTTGCAGATGATGAGGACTTTGAAAAATTCACCTGGTCTTCATTGGTCAACGAAGGTATCATTGAATATATTGATGCCGAAGAAGAAGAAACCACCATGATTGCCATGACTCCGGAAGATTTGGAAGGCGCAAAGGATAATTCTGAAGATCCATCTGGTAGAATTAAGATCAAGCATAATACAAGTAACCAAACATGGACTCATTGTGAAATTCATCCTTCTATGATTTTGGGGGTTGCGGCGTCAGTTATTCCATTCCCTGATCACAATCAATCTCCAAGAAATACGTATCAATCCGCTATGGGTAAGCAAGCTATGGGGGTTTTCTTAACAAACTATGGTTTCAGAATGGATACCATGGCAAACATTTTGTATTACCCTCAAAAGCCTTTGGCCACCACCAGATCTATGGAATATCTTAAATTCAGAGAATTGCCGGCTGGTCAAAATGCTATTGTTGCAATTTTGTGTTACTCTGGTTATAACCAAGAAGATTCCGTCATTATGAATCAATCATCCATTGATAGAGGGTTATTCAGATCTTTGTTCTTCAGATCTTATATGGATCAGGAAAGAAGAGAAGGTATGAATTTTGTTGAAGAGTTTGAAAAGCCACAACGTAGTAATACTTTGAGATTGAAACAAGGTACATATGAAAAATTGGATCCGGGCGATGGGTTGATTGCCCCGGGTGTCAGAGTTTCTGGTGGTGATGTCATCATTGGTAAGACTGCGCCAATTCCTGCTAATAACGAAGAATTAGGTCAACGGACGCAGTTCCACACAAAGAGAGATGCTTCCACAACCTTGAGAATCACAGAAAATGGTATTGTTGACCAAGTTCTCTTGACTACCAACCAAGAAGGTTTGAAGTTCTCTAAAGTTAGAATCAGAACCACCAAAGTTCCTCAAGTCGGTGACAAGTTTGCTTCCAGACACGGTCAAAAGGGTACTATTGGTATTACTTATAGACATGAAGATATGCCATTTACTGCCGAAGGTATCGTTCCAGATTTGGTTATCAATCCCCACGCTATTCCATCTCGTATGACGGTGGCGCATTTAATTGAATGTTTGTTGTCGAAAGTCTCATCATTGTCTGGGTTGGAAGGTGATGCTTCTCCATTTACTGAAGTCACTGTCGAAGCGATTTCTGAACTTTTGAGAAAGCACGGTTATCACTCCAGAGGGTTCGAAGTGTTGTTCCACGGTCATACTGGTAAGAAGTTGATGGCCCAATGTTTCTTTGGTCCAACTTATTATCAAAGATTGAGACATATGGTTGATGATAAGATCCACGCCAGAGCCAGAGGTCCACTTCAAGTTTTGACTAGACAACCTGTGGAAGGTAGATCTAGGGATGGTGGTTTAAGATTCGGGGAGATGGAGCGTGATTGTATGATTGCCCATGGTACGTCGGCGTTCTTGCGTGAAAGATTGATGGAAGCATCTGATGCTTTTAGAGTCCATATTTGTGGTCTTTGTGGGTTGATGAGTGTTATTGCCAACTTGAAGAAGAATCAATTTGAATGCAGAGCCTGTAAAAACAAGACCAACATTTATCAAATTGAAATTCCTTATGCTGCCAAATTGTTGTTCCAAGAATTGATGGCTATGAATATTACCCCAAGAATGTATACGGATCATTCGACCTTGAGTGTTCGTTAACCAATGTCATACATAATATTTGATTTAATTTTTTTGGCGATTACTTTTTCTTTTTTGTTCTGTTTTATCTACATGATTTCACATTCTTTCTTTTGTTTCTGTTTTCCTGGGCTTGTTGAGACAGCCAAGAAACAATGATCAATTTCCAGCTTTTACTTCTTGCCGTTTTTATTTTTATTTTTTTTCTTCTTTTTTCTCTCTTTCCATCGATATTGATATTTTAAGTTGTATAATATTTAAAAGCATTCAAATTTTTTTTTTTATATTTTTTTTTTTTTTCATTTTTAGTTATAACTAATAGTAATTACCATCTAATATAAAAAGTTGTCAAGAAAAAAAAGAAAAACTCGCAAGTGATTGTTATTATTAGTATTACATCGATAAAAATGGTTAGTTATGTATATATTTACATGCAAAATGAACCTGACTGATATTACTAGTACAAAAAAAAAACAAAACAGTATCTTCTCCCCCTCGCCCAAATTCCCCTCTCACGATGATAATATAATCATTTATTTAGCATTATCTTTCTTTTGTTGCTGGAGGATTTTTTGAACTTGAGCTTGTTGATCCCAGTGGGCGATGAAATTCTGTTTGTATGGATGCTCGCTATCGTCGAATAGTTTCAATCTTTCCAATCTGACTTTTCTTAATTTATTCTTTGGCAACATCCCACTCACGGCTTTTCTCAACAATTCGCCAAACCCTTTATCGGCAGCCATTTTTTCCATGGTGACCAATTTCAAATTACCGGGTTTTGTACTATGTGACCAGTATTCCTTTTCTTGCATCTTGTTCCCAGAGACTTTCAATCTGTTGCAGTTGGTGACCACCACGTAGTCGCCGCAGTCGATGGTAGGATGGTACACTGGTTTATGTTTCCCCATTAAGGTGGTGGCTATTGACGAGGCTAATCTACCCAAAGTACGTTCATCTTTGGCGACGTCGACGCTGTGCCAGAGTCTGGCAAATGCTATACCGGTCTAAAATGAAAAATGGTTAGTTAAAAAATGGAAAACAGTAGTAAAAGAAGAGGTTTTTTTTTTGTTTTTTTTTTCAAAAAACCAACCAGCCAACCAACTAACTAACTAACTAAATACTCACTCTTCCAATCTTTTGGGACATGTTTTATATCTTATCTATAATGTTAATGATTTCGCTTATTTTTTCTATTAGCAGCAGCATCTTTGAGCTTCAATTTTTTGGTGGGAAATTTTTATTTTTTGTTTATTCTGGACATCCGTGCACCACTGGAAGAAAGAAAGAAAAAAAACTACCCATAAAAAATTAAAGGTATGTGAGAAAATACCACTAACTGCCATAATAATAATAACAATAATAATAATAATAATAATAATAATAATCCTAATAATTGACAAGCAAAAAAACACACATACACACACACACACACACACACACATAAATACATACCCACAAATAATTATACCATCCTGTTTGCTTGCTCTCTATCTCTCTCTCTCTCTCTCTCTCTCTCTGTGTGTCTTTCATTCCCATCTTGATTAATTGATCTGAAAATTACAATTCCTCGTCCTCGTCCTCCCCCTCCAGATATATTGATATTGTTATTTTATTTATATATATATATATATATATATAAAGAAGTACCATCATGTTTTTCATAAAGGATCTTTCCCTCAATTTGCAATTACACCCATCGTACTTTGGTCCGCAAATGAACCAGTACTTGAGAAACAAATTGCTCACTGATGTCGAAGGTACGTGTACTGGTCAATTCGGGTATATTGTTTGTGTGTTGGACTCGATGAAGATCGACGTTGGCAAAGGACGAGTATTGCCACAAAACGGGGCGGCGGAATTTGAAGTGAAATATCGTGCGGTGGTATGGAAACCTTTCAAAGGAGAAGTCATGGATGCCGTGGTGAGTAGTGTCACCAAGATGGGGGTGATTGCCGACGCTGGGCCTTTGTCGGTGTTCATCTCCAAACACTTGGTCCCCAGCGATATGCACTTCAATCCGAATTCTAACCCTCCAGCCTACGAATCCGAAGACCAGATCATTGAAAAAGGTAGTAGAATAAGATTGAAGCTCGTGGGTACCAGAACTGACGTCAATGAGATTTATGCCATTGGTAGTATCAAGGAAGATTATTTGGGAGCATTATAAGTTAGTTTTTTCTTGGATATTGTTGTTGATGGAAGAAGAAGAAGAAGAATAGGAAAAGAAAAAAACACTTTGAGAAGTGACATTACTGTATTATTATTATTATTATTGTTTTTGTTGAAGTCTTGAAAAAAAAAAGTAATAAAATGAACTTGAAAAAAGGTTAAGTGTATATTATGATGGTTATGTTTGTTTTTCTTTTTTTTTTTTGTTCCTCTCTCCTTTCTATTTGGAATATGTTTTTGTTTTGTTTTTTATTATTCAGTTATATAAGGAGGGTCTTCAAAGGAAGTGAAAAACCTTTTGTATTGTCACACAAGATTGGTATTGCCCTCAACATGGATGGAAGTTTGAATGCTTGAAAACTCAAAAACCAAAAAACAGGAGAGAAGGAAAAGTATTACGAGTATGTACAATCTAGAATACAATCTATAGAATATTTCTATATAATACTGGTTTTTGTTTCATTTATTCTATTTTTTATTTTATTTTTTTCTATTGTACATTATATCATCTTAATATGAAAGTCTTCCCCAATTCTCATAAATTTTTTCAGATACTTTGGGCCCGACTGATTTCGCACCAACTTCATGGATCGTCCGATCCCTGATTAGCATTTTCTTCGCTAGTTCATCAACGTCTAGCATGCTATTATACGTATCTATAAGTTTTTTTGGGGTAACAAAATGTTTTTGAATCACCAATGCTTTTTCTAAACTCACCCCTTTGATGGTCATCAACATTTTAACAAAAACCTCTTTTACCGTCATTAAACTGCTCTTGTTCAACGTTGTTTGGAAAGCTTCAAACGTCAAACAAGGTTCCAAACTTTGGTGCTTTTCTCTATATTTCTCTAACGTCGACTTATAATCCAGCTGGGTGTTTAATGATCTAGACTTCACCACCATTAAATCTTTGGTTGCATAATACTCTTCGATTGTTTTTGTCAAATTGTAAAAAAACGCCGTGGTTTGATCGGAATCTCTCGATCGTTTAAGATAAAATTTGCTGCCCACTATGGTGAGACAAATTGCGGTTTTAATTGATTCAGAAAACTTTGCAAGATCAGAAGAGGTTTGTTCTTCAACAAGATAATAAATATTTCTCATGCCGGTTTTCGCCAACCGTGATTTTTGCTCGAAAAATCTCCCATCGGTAATTGATTCTGCCAAATCGTCTAATCTCTTTCTTTCCAAAATGAAGTCCAACACCACCCTTTCTTTTGTTTCTTTATGTTTTGCTACCCATAATGAATCACCCACCGCTAAAGGCTCGGTTTCCGATTTGATCCCTAAAGAATTCAATTTCTCAAAAAAGAAATTCCGCTCATTTTTCGATCTGATTTCTCTGGTATCTAACACCATCATTACTTCAAAAGTACCTGCCTTCCAAATACTATGGGGTGCTGATGTCTCGGGGGCTGGATTGGTTCGTTGAACATCATTACGGGTTTTTGTATGGCGTTTGTGTATACTCATTTCTTCTTTATCCTTTTGGTATAATTCTCCAAGACTTCTTTTATTTGCTGTTGGTAGAATATCATCGATATCAATACTGTCATCACTATTGTCCATATCATCATCATCATCATCATTATTATTATTATTATTATTATTATTTGCTCCACCACCCTCTGATCGAAACAAGAGTTTTGCCAAACTTGATCCTTCATCGGTTAGATAATAGTGCATTGGCCTGCCAGATCCTAATATCAAACCTTGGTTGATTAATGTTTTCGAGGAGTTCCAAGCAGAATAAAATTGTTTTGTTGCCGGATTACTGGTGAAACTCCTATCACAATACGGGGCGGCCTGTTGGACAATCTCATCTTTCGTGAGGCCCCGTCTTTCTTTATCATATTTGAACAAAACAATTAAAATCGCGTATCCTCCAGATCTTTTAGCAGGAACATACTTCTTTTTTCCCTTGGCTTTTGCGGCAGTTGATGATGATGATGATGATTTGGTCAAGCGAGCCGGGGAATCTTGGCTGCTATGGAAACTGGTATTGGCGGCAACGGCGGTCGTTCTTGTATTAGTTGTCTGTAGAGCTTTGAACGATGCAGGGAAAGTATACCCTTCAACGCTACAGTATTGTTTGAGTTTGTCAAGGAGGAAATCCACCCTTTTTTCGCCAAAATACGGGATGCTCGCAAGATCTTTACGGTTTGTCAATGGCAGTTTATGTTTTTTCAATTTGTCCAACGCATGGTTGATTCCGATAGCTGATCTGGAGTTTTTATTGGCGGCATCGATCGCTGCTTTTTCCATCCATGTCACAAATAGATGTTTCAAATCGCTGGAATATAATTCCATCATCTAACGATGATGATTGTTGTGTATGTGTGTGTGTGTGTGTGTACTATAAATGGTGTTACGCGTTTGTTTGTTTTTTTATTTGTTTTTTTTTCTGTTAACGGCAATTTTTTTTTTTTTTAAAAAAAAAAAAAAAAACTTTTGCCGCGGGAAAATTTCTGGTGTCACAGATTCAACATTGAAGCTGATACCTTATTATCTAAAATAGACTGTTTATCGGTTATTATTGAAGATGTTTAATGCTAGGCGGTGGCGATGACCAGTAAAAATAATAATTTTCTATTCTGGTTCGTTCTGGATAGTGGATATCCTGTGATTATTTATTGGGAGAGTAGATAAATCATTAATTGACGTGCCAATATACTGTAAAAAGAATAAATTGACTGCCGTGGATTCACAGTATATTTTCACATCATATATATGATTTAAATGCCCTGAATCTTAGTTTTGTTCTAATGGTTATTGTTGTTATTTATTGAGATCTGAGCGTCTGGGGAGAGGAGGGGGGGTTCGCATTAGCTAAATAGTAATGCTGGTAGACTACAGTAGCCTAATGGGGAAAGAGGGAGAGAAGTTGGGAAAGATCGAATTGATTATTAGACATGCAGAAACTGGAAAACAAAAAAAAAAAAACCTGGGGAAGGAGGTGGGAGGGAAATATTTCTGGCTCTCGCTGCTGCCCAGTGGAATGGCGGTGATTTGGAAGGAAGGAAGGAAAGGGTACGGCAACGCTCAATGCGTTGTGGTGTCTTGTTTGGGCATGCTCTCTATCATTATGTGTCCATGCACCACTGCTACTATCTACACACACTGGGTTGGAGAGATCAACAACAACAACAACAATGGGCACTAATTAACTGCCGCTAGCACGTGCCCACAGGCAGTTGCTGCTGCCGTTGCTTTTGACACCCGCAAAATACCTCACCCACCCACAAAAGCGCCGACCAATCGCCACCCGCACAAGTCCGGGTTATGTAATCGGACCAGCGGCTGTACCGGGTGTGCCGCCCTGTGTTGCCTGTTTGGGGTGCCCCGGAGGATCCGCGCGAATACAACCGTCGGTCGGTCTCCGGCCAGGGCTGCTTAATTTTATCCTTGGGGGGATTACCCGAGTGCTTGTAGCAGCTCTTCTGTCAAAAAAAAAAAAAATTATCGATTTATATACCCTTTTGTTGTACCAGACATAGTGTGTGTGTGTGTGTGTGTGTGTGTGGTGTGTTCTGTTGCGTATCCATTATCATTAGTGGTTCTTACCATTCTATCCACTATCCAGCCTTGGAGATTAGATTATCTTGACCACTGGTTGTCACTTCCTCGCCCCCCCTTTCATCATATTCATAATCACTACTGTTTGTTTGTTTAATGTTGCCCATTCAGTGTTTTCACCAATAAAATTTGAACAAAAGAAAATTCCACAATGGTTCCTTTACTCCCCAAATTAGATAGTAATCACAAAAACCAAATCACCAATAAGAAGCAGCCTCCTCTACCCTCAGCTGCCCAAATCAAGCAAGCCCTGCCAAGAATTAGATTATCTTCCAAACTTCCTATTGGATCAGCACATCCTCCTCCTCCTTCACCCTCTTCAGCAAGAATGCAACCTTCTACGTCCCTACAATCCTCTTGTTCATCTTCATCCACAATAACCTCAGCATCTCCTCCTCCTCCTCCTGCTTCTCAAACAGATGTAGACACAGAATCACTACTAAACAACTTCTTGGTGAAAAATGACTTGAAAATATTGGAAAATTATTTATCGCTTCTGGAAAACAATAATAGCATTCATCAAAACCTTTCTTGTTCTGCAGGGCTCAGTGACATGAATATTCCTCCTAAGAATACTTCAACCCTTCCCAGCGGCTCTTCTAATATCGTCGGTAATTCTTTTAGGCAATCGGGATTCGAGTCCGATGATTCGTTGGTAAATTTTAAAGACTTGATCAAGTTCAATAATACCCATCAAACCAAAAAATTCTCCCCTTCAACCTCCCCTGTTAATCTTTTAGCATCCAACGTTTCATCTCATGAAGAACTAATAAATCAGTTGCAACAAAAAATAAAATTCTATAAAAGCTCAGTGGTGGCAGATAATAATAATTATGATACTAATAATATTAATGACGATGATGACGAAGAATTGAATGTCGAGACTTTTGTCAAATCGAACGACTTATTAATTTATTACAAGATTTTCAACTATTTAATCCAATTAAACGACACCAACAGTAATAGCAGTATCAACAATCCAAGCAACCCGATCTGGAAACTCGGCAAAGAATTGGAACCTTTTTTCGATCAATTGATCAATTTCTCGAATTCCACCATTGGCAAAGTGAATATCGACAACGACGGTAATAACCTTGATCAATTCGATTATGACTTGCTAATGAAGAATCCAAACCATTTGAAATTCCTCGAACAATTTCATAATGACATTGGCTCGATGGTCACCAATGAGTTTTTATTGATTCACTGGGTCATCAAAAATTATGAATCGTTATCATTTAAAAACTTGAATTATATGATGTTTCTAATGGGCGGATTCAAGCCAGTTAACGTTTATGCTGACAAAAATATCACCGCTGGCGGTGAGTATAATGATTCGTTAAAAAAATTGAAATCTTGCTCAAGGTGTCGTAAAAACAAAATCAAGTGTGATTCAACGTTGAAATTCCCTTATAGTTGTTCTAATTGTTTCAAGAAAAACGTCAACTATATTAAAGTCCATGTGAAAAAATTGGAAAATACCAGTGTTTCAAATCCTGTCATGGATAATAATAATAATAATAATAATCATAATAATAATAATAATATCACCAATGATGAAGATAGTGATGATAATAAAACCCTTGTCAATCAAGAAACCACCACGTCCAATAACTTCTTTGAGAATGTTGCTATCGTTGGCGGCGCTATTAAACCCCTGTCACAATATATGGATCGATTTCGTCAACCAGATTCCTATTCAAATGATGATTTACCCCCTTCATCACGCGACCATATCAAGATGACAAGAACTTCTTCCAACTTGACCACTTCCTCTACCTTGACCGCCGCCTCATTGTTGTCATATTCCCCAGCTTCCTCAGCATCATCCACCTCCAATGATGATAATAGAAAACCATGCGATTGTGGCTCCAAGCATTGCTTAAGCGGGTACCAAAGAAATATCAATAATATCAGGTACAATCGCAGAAATTCTAGCTTGAGACTATTTTTAGATTTGTTCAACATTAGCATTTCGAAAAATCAGCTTGATAATGATGATTCGTATGTTGCTGTGGATATGGGAGATGATGAAGAAGGAAACTCAAGCAATCTGGTGGTGACTTGCAAAGTTCAATTAATTTCCTCCGATTTGCTATTGAAGAAAAAGTCGTTGAAAAAAAATACCTTGATCAAATCGCTAACCAGTGATATAATAGCATTGAAGGCCAGGGTTGATGAAATGGTGTTAAAAGAACAGGAAATGCTTGAGTTGTTGATGTCACAAGAACCAATTGATGATGGCACAGAAGATGAGGCAGCGGAAATCTCTGACTTATATGGGTCTAACGAAAGCTTAAAACTCATATATGATTTGAAAAAAGAGTATCATAATAAACACATGAAGGAGATGCCAAACAAGCCTAAGCTCGCCACCAAGAAAAGATCACTGGACGTGGTGGAATCAGCTGCCCCGGTTTCCAAAAAGCAAAAACCATCATTCCTTTCAACCAATGAATTGCTCGTTTTGAATGGATTCGATCCGGTTTTGTCTCGTGGTGGGGCTAAGAAATCAGAAGACTCGATATTTGACAACCACCAGTATTTCAAATTTTTAAAGGATCGATTGCACCGTAATAACTTTTCCAATTACCGTGTGATCAATAGTGATGAAAGCTGTATCATTGAAAAACTTACCGTTCCAAGGATTTGAAGGTATCTCTAGATCAATGTTTCCTTTATTATCCACATTTTTTTTTTCAATGGAATTTATTCATTTATTTATCCCAAGTTGGTGTTTTTAATTGAATTTCATGTTTTTTTTTTGTTTTTTTTTTTTTTCTATTTATTATACTTTTTAGCTTTGGGTATGGCATGATTCTTTCTCTCTTTCACTTCTCTTTAATTTAATTTTATTCTTTTCCGCTTTTATATTTCATTACCTTTGGAACTTGAATAACATGTTGTATTTTTTGGGATACTTTTTAGTGGTTTTAGTGGATTGCTGTATTGAGTTTTTATGGTGGTAGCATTGAAAATTATTGGAGATATATATATCCGATGTAATTTGAAAAACAATTGAAAATGGGGAAATCAAGTGTAATTAAATAAAGACCTTGTCCTGAAAAAAAAAAAAAAAGAGAAAAGGAATAAATTAATAAAAAAGAAATGTACATGAATCAATAATATTTCGGAGCTATCGAAAATTATTGACACCCACTGGGGGTACAATTTACAGGTTTCCATACCGGTTTTTTCGCTTGATATTAAGGGGGCGGACTTTCATAACGATAACGCACGTCATTCATGGGAATCCTTGAGAAAAAAAAAAAAAATTGCCAAATTGAACAAATAAATTATTATTATTATTACTTCATATACATGGCTTATTTTATATGAAACAAAGCAAAAATACAACCACACGAACTGTAATGAGGTAATATCCGTCGGTGCCATGGAAAGGCATCGTTACAACCATAGAAGACACAAGGGAAGAGGCCGGCTATATCCGCAGCATACTGGTGGCTTCCGTAGAAGTATATAAAGAGGACTCTGGTCCACTACAAGTAAGTAGTATATTATGAATAGAAAGCATCCATTCTTAGTACCAGACTCACTAGTAGCCATTGCAAGGGGTGCAGTTATGTGTATATATATATATATATATACATGTGATGCTTTTCCGAGAAAACAAAAGTCCGAGAGTTTGCTCATTAATCGTGATACTTAGCCATATTCCTTGGATTTTCATTGATGATTTCTTTCTTTACTTGGTTGACTGGTTGGATCACTAGCTAGCTCTACACTTGTTGAATATATAATTGAGACGGTATGTGCTGATGTATACCATTCCCATGGATACAACCACAGCATGCACCCCCTTAACATGGGGGTGTGTGTGTCTCTCTCTCTCTCTGCGCCAATGTGTCAAAAAAGAGGCGAAAGATGAAGAGAGAAAAAAAAGAAGAAAAAAAAAAAAAAACAGGACGTAATCATTGATCCACGAAGAGCCCAAATAAACCCTAAATTTAAAATACAATGAAAAAAGAGAGGACATGCCAATCTTCAGACTGTCCCCAATAAATCAATATGCACCACTAGACTCATCCGAGGAGAGTGCCTCGTCGACAAAATATAACCTGCCAGCCAATGATGGCGATGAGTCCAGTGCGGCATTATTTGCCGAAGACAATAATAATCTGAGCGTTTCCAGTGTATCAACAACGCTTGCAAGAGATTTGGATACCATCGAAACCACCAAACTTGGGATTTATTCGATCGTTGTCGTGAGTGCCTCTGCAGTTGGAGGGGTTTTATTTGGGTTCGACACCGCAATCATTTCTAGTTGTCTTTTATTCATAAAAGATGATTTGGGACACTCGTTGAGCTCTTTTGAAAAAGAGATCGTGACGTCCATCACTTCCATGACCGCCCTCCTCGGATCAATAATTGCTGGGTACTTGTCCGACAAATTAGGTAGGAGAAACGTGTTGGCAATATGTTGCGGGGTGTTCATCGCCTCGGCAATTGTTATGGGGTTTGCAAGATCGGTAATTGAATTAGCATTAGGCCGTGCCATTGTCGGGTTGGCAGTGGGTGGTGCCAGCATGGTAGTGCCGGTGTTTATTTCTGAAGTTAGTCCTGCAAGTATTAGAGGCATGTTGTTAACGTTGAACTCCATTTCCACTACGGGAGGTCAGGTCATCGCTTACGTGTTGGCGAATTTCCTTAAAGAATCCAAAAATAATTGGCGGATTTCTTTCTTGGTGAGCGGTGTACCGCCATTTTTATTCCTAATGGTGGCAAGATTCATGCCTGAGTCTCCGAGATTTAGTATCATCAAGGGACGAATCGACGATGCAGAAGTCGCCCTTAGCAAAATCTTCCCTTATGCCACCCCATCTCAAGTACAGGATAAAGTCATGTTGATTCAAGCAGATGTCAATAATTCTAAGAGATTATACAATAAACCGTTTTGGGAAGTTATTCGCGGTAAGAAGAGTACCCAGAATGCTTTGATAATTGGCTCGATATTGATGGCGATCCAACAAGCGGTGGGGTTCAATAATTTAATGTACTACTCGGCGATCATTTTCGAAGATTTGGGGTTTGAAGATCCGATATTTGCCTCGATCTCCATTGCCCTGACGAATTTCATTTTCACATTCGTGCCGTTCTTTCTCTTGGATAGAATCGGTAGACGGAAAACTTTGTTAAGAACCACATGGGTTCTAGGGGTTGCCATGCTCGTGGTGTCGATATTATATCTATATAAATCACATATCAACACTGACTCTTCTATACTAAACATTTCCATCCTCATTACAATGATTGTTTATGTTGCTGGCTATGCCTCAGGTTTGGGCACGGTTCCGTGGCTATCGGTAGAACTTCTACCTTTGGAAGCCAGGGCAATTGGGGGCACGGTGATCACTTGTTGTAATTGGTCGACCAACTTCTTTATTTCCTTGTCTTTTTTAAGTCTTATGGATACTCTTTCTCCGGGCCTCACGTTTGGGTTTTTTGGGGTAATTTGTGTGCTTAGTTGGGTGTGGATTTTCAAAATGTATCCTGATGTCACTGGTATACCATTGGAACAAGTTAGCAAGATCTTTGAAAACGGTGTAGATATGTATTTGGCCGATGAGTTGAGAAGGAAAAACAAGGCAAGTTATCTGCTCACTTGAAAGATAATCGGCTTATCATTTTGATTTGAGAGACAAGAGAAGAAAGAAAAAAAAAAAAATGATTGGTTTATTATAAGGAGACTTATACATATACAAATTAGAATTACTATGCTTCCTGTCACACTTTTTGATGAACTTAATATACTACTTTGAATTATTATTGATATTTCTATTATAGGCTGTTGAATATTTATACAAAATTATATTCTAGTCACTATCATCTGCTATTATTTCCAAGAGGGCTGTTCATGTCTTTTAGAAAATTTTGGTTTTGTGTTTTTCCGTCATGCATCCAGCTTCCCAACATGCGATAAAATAAATCACAAATCCCATTTCCTTAAAAAAAAAAAAAAAAAAAAAATTATCAGTAAGGCTTCAGATGGCGGCAAATCAACTGAGATATTTAATCATCCTCATTAATAATACCAAGCTAATAGTTTTGTGTCAATAATATTTCTGACCCCACAATAATCCTGTTACAACCACACAATAATACAGTCATGCCCTTGCTAAGGATCATTTTTGAGAACCTGAGGTTCTGGCTCAACCTCATCAGATCAGTGATTCGTGTCACTTTAATCCCTTTAACTTTACTATTGATGTTTTATGACTGGTTTCTTGAAGATATCATATATTTTAGACAACTCACCGGCGCTGTAATAAAAGAAATCCTCCATATTTCTCCCTGTGTATTTGGACTATTCCGATCCCTGGAAATTGAAGATCCCAAATATCCTACCCCCAATCGAATGGGCCCATTGAAACGAGAATCTGATTTTTTTTTGAAAAAGTGTACGAAGATTTTCATGAAATGTAATGTTGGGCTTCAGAATCTTGTTAATGGTAGTTTGGGAGAATTGAAAAAAAGAGTTGAAGTGTGTGGAAAGCGGTACAGGCAGGGTCTTAGATTTTGGTATTTGACCAAAGACACTGAAGACTGGATATTCCATTACCCCAAATGTTTTATTAAACTCATAATAGCCAAGCTCCAGAGTGAACCAGTGGGAAAAAAAGGGGGTGGTGGTTTCGATGATGCACCAAAACTAAGAACTTATAATCTGCAAAATATGAGCCACGGAACGAAAAGAGGGAGTTTGGAGATTGGAAACTCTATAAAAAGAGTCTCTGGTGTTAGAACTTTACCACCTACTACTGTTGAATTCGATAATGAGCTCATACTTCCGACCCTGGCGCCACGATCAAAAGACAAGGAGGTTTCTGCTTCTATGTCCTTACCCTTGGGGACAAAAAGTATAGAGAATTGCTACTCCATATCAGAAGACATTACTGGAAATTATAATGGGAAAACATTCAGGAGTAAATTAAGGTTTCCGGTATTGCGATCCGCCAGAAAAGAGCCAGGCCCGTTAATAATCTCCCATAATAAAATCGGTGACTATAGTGAAGTCAAAAAATCGATTATTTCTGTTATTGATAACAATGCCTTTGATGATGGCTCTTTGGGGCCTGTTGTTGTTAGGTTGGCCTGGCATTGTTGTGCGACTTATGACAAAGACACTGGCACTGGTGGTTCCAACGGTGGAACCATTAGACTTCCTCCAGAATTAACAGATGATGGTAATATAGGTCTTCAGCCAGCAATGCTAGTCTTAGAAATAGTCAAACAACAATTCCCTTGGATAACGTACGCTGATCTTTATACTTTAGCTGGAGCTACGGCGATTGAAGCCTTGGGTGGTCCCAAAATTGAGTGGAAATCTGGACGAACTGATGTTTTAGATACAAAATATGTTCCAGAAAATGGTAGGTTGCCTATTGGCAGTAAAAATTCCGACCATATTAGGAATGTTTTTGGTAGAATGGGATTTAATGATCAAGAAATTGTATGCTTAATTGGTGCGCATACTTTGGGAAGAACTCATAAAAAATATTCCGGGTGGGAAGGTAAATGGACTGATGATCCAATTAAGTTTGATAATGAATTCTACAAAGTGTTGTTGGATAATAACTGGGAATGGAGAACTGTTCCTGAGACTGGCAAGTATCAATATTTCCAACAAGGAAATAATGATATTATGATGTTACAAACGGATATGGAAATGATTAAAGATTCAGAATTTCATCAATGGGTTGAAGTGTATGCAAAAGATCAAGATAAATACTTTGAAGACTTTGCAAAAGTATTTTCTAAGTTATTAGAGTTGGGGGTTCAAAGAAATGAGCAAGGGATTGCAATCAAGGCAAGGTAAAAATTTTCTGAGAAAACTGTTTGCTTATATATAAATAAATCCATGATTTATATCTTAAAAATGTATAAAGATAAATAACTAGAGATTTAAAACTCTTTATTAAGTAAGGTAAGGTAAGGTAAGAATATAGTGTTTTTGACAGTATTAGTAAGTAATGAAGGGTAAAACATGAATAGGAATAAAACAATATATAACAAAAATGTGACGATCATACTGGAGACAAGACATGGAGCCAAGATCCAGTGAGTTTGTCTGTGGTGGTTACTGTTCTTCAAGATAGTAAATTTCATCAAATTCATATTATGTTTCAACAATTATACTACTTCATTTACCGAGAGAGACAGAAAAAAAAAAGGTCAATAAGAGGTTAACATAGCCCCCAAAAAAAAAAATGGAAAAAAAATAATATAGAAAGACAATATTGGATAATTTAAACGCAAAAATATGGCGGTATAAGGGATTTAATGGTGATTTCAGGACCGGATTGAATTGAATTTGAATTGAGTTGAATTGTATATTAACGAGTCACAGAGGTTCTAAATAACATACAAGCCGGGAATTTTGTGCAGGTCTTTCTAATAGGGAAAGTAAAGAAAATACTATAACTTTCTCACAACATCACACTCCTTGCTTTAAGGATTGATCATATCACCGGTGAAAAACTCAAAAATCAAGATTATTAAGGGAAAAAAGGTGCAATGTGGAAAATATGATATGAAGTTGCTAGTGGATCACCCATCACTAGGAGCTTCATGAACTGCGATGGAGGTCTTTGTTAATGGGTTTTGGCACTATATCTCAAGTACTAAGTATTTTCAAAGTAGTGAACATCAGAGTTCTGGGGAGAATAATAAAATCAATAAAATAATGAAAACCAATTAAACCGAGTAAACCAATTGAATCAAACCAAAAAAAAAAAAAAATAAGATCCAGTACCATGGGTCTGTCTCAAGTGTCACCACACACTTTCTAAGTCCAGACACCTATCCTGATTCTATAAATCAATGTACCAATTGAACACTTTAACTCACGCTCCATTTATTTACCACAAATATTAGTGAGAGATAACAATGTGAAGCCTTTGTGAAATAATATTAAAATCAAAATCAAATAGACCAGTGCTATGGTTCGATCTCTGATTTTGATGGGCCGGGTAACATTATGTAAAGCAAACATGGTTATATGCAGAAAGAAATTATATGTACATGTTATATTACGATGCGACTATACTAGATGTAGTTAGTCACGGGTTAGGATTGATTTAGTATTACTCTCTGAAGAACCAGAGATCATATATATTGAAAACTTTTCATAATCGACGACTATAATTATATACTAATGGTTATGAGCTTATGGTTATGAGCACGTGTATCATTGCCTATAACCAATAGCTCAAACCATACTACAACAGTACATCTGACTTCGTGGCCAAGCTGGTTAAGGCGTGCGACTGTTAATCGCAAGATCGTGAGTTCGATCCTCACCGAGGTCGCTTATTTTTTTCAACTTAATCCTTTTTTTTATTTGAAAAATATATAACAAATGCTACGAACGTTTGTTACAGGTATTGGTGATTCCAGGGAAGTTTGATGAGTAATATTAACGCCGAAGCCAACACTAGAGGCTTCATTTAGTGATGATGGAGTTTCAACAAAAACCAGGTCGCACCCCATATACGTTATATGTCAAAAATACTCGCATCTTCATGTGATTTATCACATGATACATTTTACTAGTGTATGGGTGTAAAACTGCCCAACATCCAATAACATATTAATCCATACACCTATCCTTGTACATGCATACATACATAATGTATGTATTAAATATTTCATGTAGAGATATAGTTAATCCTATGAGCTGTAAAGGTAATACATGATAAATACCCTCAATTGAACACTGCAATTAGAAATTGCATCTGTATAGCCAAAATATACTTCTTGGAAACACCTTCAAGATCCCCAATAACTCCACGGAAACTCATACCACTGCACGAGCTGTGAGTTTCCTTTAATATATTAGATCAAGTTTTTCCAAAAATCCCCTTTTTCATCTCATTGAATCATTTATTGTATTGAAGAGCATCTTCTTTGGTAATTTCTGTTTCAATTTTGACGTTCTCATATAACTAGCTTTAGCTGAATAAATGTGTAATTATCTTCTTAATAAACCTTTGTCATTTAAAAGTGTAGTGTCTTCACTAGCGATAACCTCATTTTCTCAGTAATAACCTTCCATAATAACCTTAGCTTAGTAACTACTCTTGAACCTCATGGGAACTATTACAATTGTTCTAGTGATAGTTGTCTTGTTCCTCTTAAGTGGTGACAAGGAAGGCGCCTTCAGCCGCACACTGCTACTGTAATGTGACGGATCAATTTGATTTCTGGATTTGGTAAACCATATTGTATCATATGTTTGAAGTTGACGTGATCAATAGCCCCATTTTTCCTCTTCTTTTAAATTAACTATTCTCAATTTAAACAACAGCAAAAGGTAATGTAAGGTTGAGCACACACGTCATTCTGCACCATACACGTGATCAGACAAGGTGCTAACTTGCCCCCAATTTTTAAAAAAAACCAACGAGATTTTGCTTGCCACACGGGGGGCCATCACTTGAACCGTTCTAGTTGACGAGGTGATTCACATAGAAATAAGCAGCTGATTCAGTAATTCTTCTAATTAGAATTAATTTATCGAAATTTTCTGATAACAGTAACATATTTCAATACATTGAACTTTGAGATTGATTTTTTTTTCTCTTTCTTTTGTTTTGTTTATCTTGATTTGATTTTGATACATTAGCAACAATGAGTATTAAGGGGTTTACCAAAGGAATTGCGAGAGCACCTACTATGGTGAAACGGAAGTTCAACATAGGTACTCAAGCAGAAGAGGATCCAGTGTTTGTTGATGCAGAAAGAAGATTCAAAGAATTCGAAGTGGAAACCAAGAAATTATCCGAAGAATCTAACAAATATTTCAAAGCTGTCAATGGGTTGCTCGACCATCAGATCGAATTCTCAAAGGGGATTGAAGAGATTTACAAACCTATATCTGGTAAAGTGTCTGATCCAAATCACACAATTCCTGAAGATTGCCCAGAAGGTTTAGAAGCGTGCGAGGCTTATAGAGCATTGGTCACCGAGATGAAGTCCAGTCTTGCTCCTGATCTCTCATTAATTGAAGAGAGAATCATCAACCCTGCCAAGGAATTGTTGAAAGTGATTGAGACCGTTAGAAAGATGTTGACCAAGAGAAACCACAAGAAGGTTGATTTGGATAGACACACCGACTCTATGACAAAGATCGAAAATAAAAAGGAGAAGTCCGTCAAAGACGAGGAAAGATTATACAAAGCCCAAGCAAATGTGGAAATTGCTCAACAAGAATATGATTATTACAATGAGATTTGCAAAACTGAACTACCACAGCTATTCCACTTGGAAGCAGAATTTATCAAACCGTTGTTTGTATCATTTTATTACATGCAATTGAACATCTTCTACACATTATATACCAGAATGGAAGAGCTCAAAATTCCTTACTTTGATTTAAACTCCGATATTGTGCAAAGATTCATCGAAAAGAGAGGTAATGTTGAAGAATTGACCGATGCTATTGGTATTTGCCATTTCAAGACTAATTTCGCTAAGACTAAATTGGAAATGACTAGAAGAAAATACGGGAAGGCAGACGAGGCTGCAGAAGAAGCCGCTGGATCCGCATCGCCTTCTTATCTACCAGCATACTCTCCACAAGGCCAATCACCAGCGCCAACTGGATCTGGGCAACCAGCAGCCACTCCAACTTATGGCACTGCTCCACCAGCTTATACAGCATCACCGACCTCCACTGCATATTCTAGTGCTGGAAGTGCTTATGCTGCCCCAACCACAGCTGGCACAGCATATAGCTCCCCTGTCGCTACTCCTCTAGCTGCTGCTATCCCAGCTGTCCCAGTCCCAGCTGCTCCTCGTGCACCAGCCCTCGAATATTGTACCGCATTATATGATTACACTGCCCAAGCCGAAGGAGATTTATCCTTTGTTGCAGGATCCGTTATCCAGATTGTGCAAAGAACCGAGGATCAAAATGGTTGGTGGACTGGGGTCGTTAATGGCCAACAAGGTGTTTTCCCTGGTAACTACGTGCAATTGAACCAATAGAAGGTTTTACCTTAATTTTTTTTTTTTTTCGTTTTCCCAATGCATTCTTGATTTTTTTTTGTTTAATCTTGACCCACTTTAGACAGACTTCTGTTCATAATTTTTCTTTACCATTCGTCATCATTAATATTGAAGTATCTTTATTTTTTTTTTTTTGCCAAATGTGATGTTGTACATTTACTATTATCATTATTTTTTCATTATCTTTTTTTGTGAATTCATGAGTTTATTATTCAGGGTGTGACGTGATAGAAGTGGCTAAGTTTCCTTTTTTCTTTTCTTTTCTTTTCTCTTTTTTTTTGCTAATGTTCTTCTTTTGCTTAAAAAAAAATAATTGGGGCTTTTTTTAAAGGAAAATTCCAGTGAATGGTCACTTTCTCGATCCATAATAAAAATATATCAACTTGGAGATTATGACATATTTCGCGCCCTAATAAAATGCAGACACATATGAGCCCTAAATACATGTGCAAGTCAAATAATGTTAGATCATATGACCTGCACATGACCCAAAATCGGCTTTTCCATCGATCGAAATAAAACAGAATTTTTTCAGATTAATGTCCATACTTACATGGTTCCTTCTTCTGCAAATATTTCAGGTTTGTTCTCTGATAGTTTCGTTACAACATCATCAAAAATGGCTCCAATCGTATGTATTGAACGATCAGCATCTTAATTGTGAAAAAAAATAGAAAACGTGAAACAGGAGTTCTACGAACGGATGTTTTATTAGGAATGATAGATAATGTACTATTGCACAGAAAGTGGCAGCAAGGATATCTACCAGTGTTACATTGCAAATTCTTATGAGAATGAGGAATACGTATTTGGATCATCATTTTGGAAAGAGAAAAAGACTGAAACTCTACAGAGTGGGTGTTTATTACTCACCCTCAATTTTGAGTAATTTTTTTTCTTTTCATCTCTAACTTGTATTTCTCTAGTAGTAAATGAACAAGACCAACTTGGTGGAACCTGAATGCTTTGCTGTTTGAATATTTTCTGCCATTAAGTAAGAAGATCTGCAATTTTTTTTTTTGCAATATCAAACTATTTAATGGCAAAATTTTCACAATTAGAATTTTTATATTTCACATTTCTGTTTGAAGACAGTAGGCTAACAGGTTATATAGACTACCAAAAAGTCCAAGCAAGTTAAGAAGTTCGTCGTTGACGTTTCTGCTCCAACTGAAAACCAAGTTTTCGACCCATCTGCTTACGCCAAGTACTTGATCGAACACATCAAGGTTGAAGACCGTCTCGGTAACTTGGGTAACAACATCACCATTGAAGAAGATGAAGAAAAGGTTATAATCCTTGCTTCTAACGGTACCTTCTCTGGTAAGTACTTGAAGTACTTGACCAAGCGTTACTTGAAGAAGAACCAAATCAGAGACTGGATTAGATTCGTTTCTGTTAAGCAAAACTCTTACAAGTTGCAATTCTACTCCATCAACGCTGATGAAGAAGAAGAAGAAGACGATGAAGAATAGATTATTTGACCCGTTATGTGTATATTTTAATAATTTCTACCGTTACGAATTAATATAATTAATTTTTCTATTTAAACATATTTATGATCTGTAGAAATTGATTAATCATTCAACTAAGATGAATGAAGATACGGCAATTCCTCATCATCCAAAACGTGATCGATCACGTGTTAACTCAAGATAATTTTCCTTTTTTCTTTTGAATCTTCCAGTTTTTGGATGAGTAAAAAAAAAGAAAGCGAATTTTCAAGGGAGATAGATTCCATTCGAAGGAACCAAGTAGGCACATAACCAAACAAGAACCATGTCTATTCAAGCTGAAACTGTCCTTAAAGCCCTTGATAAAGAAGGCGTTATCCAAAATACCGATGCCACCTTCCCAGGTGTCACTTTCCAGGCAATTCAAGGTATGTATATGTGTTGTTGTAAAGAAGGTGTTGTTCAAGAGAACCTCTTGGTTCCTAATATCATTTAGAGGGCCAAAATTAACAATGTAAATAGCCGTGCTTAACTCTTTGAGCGCGTTTGAAATGGTCAAATATAAGCCTATTGAAAAGGATCAATGGGTCTTAACCAAAGAAGGTGAAGAAATTGTGGAACAAGGTTCTCACGAATACAGATTGTTAACCGAAGTTATAAGTAGCTTAGAAGGGATGAAAATTTCTGACGTTTCAAAAAAATTGGGTAAAGCTGGTGCTTTGGGTCAAGGTAAAGCCTTCAAGAACGGGTGGATCAAGAAGGATGGTGACACCTTGAAGCCAAGTGACAAAGTCTCTAAAGATAACTTACCAAGTGATACCACTGCTTTACAATTGAAGGCCATTGCTGAAGGTGGAGACTTGCCAGACAAGAAAGTGTTGACCGATTTGAAGAAGAGAAAGTTGGCCTCTGTTTCAAAGGCTATCTCTTTCAGCATTGAAAAAGGTCCACAATTTGCTCTTAAGATTGTCAAGATGGAAACTGATATCACCAACGAAATGGTTTCTAGTGGCAGCTGGTCCAATTTGAAATTCAAAGACTATAACTTCAACTCCGAAGGTATTTACCCAAATTCAGGTGCTTTACACCCATTGAACAAAGTTCGTGAAGAATTTAGACAAATTTTTTTCTCTTTGGGTTTCACCGAAATGCCTTCTAACCAATATGTGGATACCGGTTTCTGGAATTTCGACACTTTATATGTTCCACAACAACATCCAGCTAGAGATTTACAAGATACTTTCTACTTGAAGGACCCAGTCAAGGGCTCCCCACCAGCTGATGAAAAATTGTGGGAAAATGTCAAGGCTGCCCATGAAGGTAATGCCTTTGACTCTGTTGGTTACAGATACCCTTGGAAAGGTGAAGAATCTTTGAGAATGGTTTTGCGTACCCACACTACTGCCATTTCCTCTCAAATGTTATACCACTTAGCCAAAGACCCAAAACCTTCTAGATTATTCTCTATTGACAGAGTTTTCCGTAACGAAGCTGTCGACGCTACTCACTTGGCTGAATTCCACCAAGTTGAAGGTGTTATTGCCGATTACAATATTAGATTGGGTGATTTGATTGGTTTCATGCAAGATTTCTTTGACCAAATGGGTGTCCATCAATTGAGATTCAAGCCAGCCTACAACCCATACACTGAACCATCCTTGGAAATCTTTTCCTGGCACTCAGGTTTGAAGAAATGGGTTGAAATCGGTAACTCTGGTATGTTCAGACCTGAAATGTTGGAAGGTTTGGGCTTGCCAAAGGACATGAGAGTTTTGGGTTGGGGTTTGTCCTTAGAAAGACCAACTATGATCAAATACGGTGTTAACAATATTAGAGAATTGTTAGGTCATAAAGTCAACCTTAACTTTATTGAAACTAACGCCGCTGCTCGTCTTGATGAAGAGTTGTATTAAAGTAGTCTATGCGAATAGAATTTGTCTCGTTATTTCTGAAGTTATTTCCTTATTTTTGCTACATTTTTCTCCCTGGTTGTCATGCTAGACTGTCGTCTTTCTATTGCAATTATCTACATATAATATAATATCCTTCTCTCTCGTATATTGATTAAAGATGATTCTGTAATGAGTCCTTTTATCTATGCCCTTAAGGATAATGCCTCCACCGTGCGCGTAACCGTTTTTTTTTTTTTTTTTTTTTTTTAATTTTTTTTCTCGATACAAAACCAAAGATACCTGGAACCGTTAATCGTTATGTAAGACAGTAATCACAAGCCATAAAAGTAATGGATCAACAACTCCTGACTCTTTTACAGGCATTGGGTACTATGTACTCCAATGCAGAGTACTCTACGAAGCAAAAGGCTAACGACTACTTGCAACAATTTCGTCAGTCTCAAGAAGCTTGGACGATCTCCCATTTGATCTTGGATGACGAAACCAACCAATTTGACCTTCAAACCAAGCTTTTTGCCGCCCAAACTTTGCGAGCCAAAATCAGTTTCAATTTATCACAAGTGCCAAGCGATGGGTTGGATCAAATTAAAGATTCTTTAATCAAATTGATCATCAGTTACACCACCAAAAACATCAAAGTTATTAGAACTCAACTCAATATCGCGCTAGTGAGTTTGTCTTTACAACATTTATCATGGGAAAATCCAGTAGCTGATATAATAGCCGTCTTCGAGGCTCAATCACAACAAAACTCTAGCTACACCAATGCTTACTTGGCCTCGTTGTTCGAATTTTTGAAGATTTTGCCAGAAGAATGTTCAGATATCAATAAGACACCATTATCTGACAGCGATTTTGCTGCAAGGACTAGTGTTTTGATTTCTAAAAACAAGGCCAACGTCTTGCAATTACTTATCCAATTATCTACCTCGGAGGACAAGCAAACTAGTGCTGCCGTTTTGGACTGTCTTAACTCTTGGATTACCGAAATTCCAATCACCAAAATTTTGTCCACCGCTTCGCTTTACCAATTGATTTTCAATAACCTTTTACACGAGCAGAATTTTGACTTATCTATCGAAGCGTTGATTTCAATTATCAAAGAAACCCAGGATATTGAAAACTTGGATCTCATTTCTGACTTGTACCAAGAATTGATTAAATTAAAACCTTTGTTGTTTGAAAACTTTGAGAGTTTTGAGATTGTTAAAGGGTTAACCAGATTGTTTGTGGAGATCGGAGAATGTTGGAATGCTTCAATTATTAAAAACCCAGAATATTTTAAAGACTTGATCGAAATCTTATTGAAATGTTGTGAATTCAAAGATGATTTAGATGTCATTAGATTAACTTTTAATTTCTGGGATCTGTCGGCTATAATGTTGGAAGCCCCAGCACATGCAGACAGCAAAAAAGCGTTTGCTCCTGTTTTCCTTAGATTGATAGAAATCATTATTGACCAGTTGGAGTACCCAGAATCCGACGATGATGACAATAATGCTGAACAATCGACCAAAGATTTATTTGACGGGGACTTAGAAGCCAAGGAAAAGTTTGTCGAGTTCAGATACGACATGGGTGATGTTTTGAAAGCTTGTTGTTTGATCGTCGGTTCTAGCGATTCGTTGGCTGTTCCATATAACAAATTGCAGAACTTGGCTCAAAATGAGGGAGCCATGAAATTCAGCTGGCAAAAAATAGAGGCACCATTATTCTCAATGAGATCAATGGCCAACAAAGTGGACTCTCAAGCCAGTAATGATATGTTAAACAACATCTTCCAGCTTTTATTGCACTTGATTCAATCGAACTCTCCACTTATACAATATAACAGAATCAAATATGCAGTTACCCTTGTATTTGGGAGATACACAGAATATACTAGTAACCATCCAAGTTTATTAGAACCTCAATTGGATTTTATTTTTAATAATTTGAATACTGCGGCAAATAAGGCACAAACCACTGAACAAGAAAAGGATCTTTTGGTGGCTTCTTCAAATTCTCTCATGTACTTCTGCCAAGATTGTGCGTCATTATTGGTGCCGCTTTTGGATAAATTCTATGAGTTTTATACCTCTATTAAAAACAATAGCAATGTTGATTCTTCGGTGATTTATGAAATCACCGATGGTATCTCTCATGTCATCAACGCTCAACCTTCAGAAGAAGAAACCTACAATACTGCCAAGATCTTCCTTCAACCAACTTTGGAGGAGTTGAACGTATTCAACCAAAACGCCCCACAAATATTACAATCAAAGAATGATGATGATATCGCGTACAAAACTATTGCTGACAAGATTGAGTTGGTGACGATCTTATTAACTTTCCTTGAACCAATGGATTACCAATCGAACGTCAACAGAATTGCTGATCTAGTGATTGAAGTTTTCCCATTAATGGAATCCCTTTTCACTAATTTCAAAAATAGCTTCAAAATTTCTGAAAGAATTGTGAAGTTTTTAAAAGTGCAGATTGAAGTACATACAACTTACTTGGTTTCTATTTTGCCAAGAGTTATCGACTTGGTTAGTAAAGGTTACGAAACTACTAAATATGGTTGCTATTTATGGTTAACTGGTATTATCATCAAACAATTCAACGATGATTACGTGAGTGATGATATTAAACAAGGGGTTTTCAATTTCGGGATTTTGCAAGGTAAATTATTTTCTAGTTGGTTGATTGAACAACTTCCAGGAACCAATATTCCTCTTCTAGCCTCCAATGACAGATCGTCGACAAGTTATGAAAGTTTAGAAAATGAAAGATCGAAACTTTTCGACCAATTGATCAATGTTGAAGATAAGGTTGAAGACTTTTTCAGAATGCTTGATGATTTGATTCTTCAATTCCCATTCAAGGTTATTGGTGATTTACATAATAGTGACTCGATGGTCCAACAAAGTTTCCAAATCGGTATATTGGCATTGAATCTAGATAAATATGATCCAGTGATCAACACTATCAGATTCTTAATCGACTTTGTTTCTTGGGGTAATGAAGTGCCACCGATTTCCATGGTGAAGAGTAACCCAATTGAGGTCAGAGAAACGGTTTGTAAATTCTTACTCAGCTCGCCAGCGGGAGGTTTCAATGGCGAATCACAAGATACCAATGGTTTATTGTTATTCAATATGTGCTTCAAAGGATTGCTTTTCAAATTCCCCCGCGATGCCGAGTTTGAAACCTATGATTTGGTTAACAGATTGGTGAAATTGGTGTTTGTGCTTTCCAACAATAATGTGGCATTGATCAGATCCTGGGTAGAGTTTGCAATCGAGGACTTACCACTAAACTCTGTTAGCGATCAAGAAAAGATCAAAACACTAGGCGAAGTGGAAGCTGCCTTGAGTAAAAATGATTTTAGAAAATTCAAAGCATGTCTTAAACTCTTCATCAATTACTATTGGAGAAAGCATGCTCATGATTAGGTCTTTATGTATGATTGCTACATATATACAACGGTTGTTACAATATATTTTCTTTTTCAACTAAAAAAAAAATGGTAGGATTTCTACAATGCAAGTATAAGAATATTAAAAAACTGATGCAGTTTGTAGTAAGTGTATTCATTTCAAAATAAATTAATAAAATAAAAAATATATCCAAATGATGTCACATAATAACTATACAAGTGAGGGAGGTGGCTACGTTATATACATGATGTTCAGTAACAGTAGCAACGACCAAAAATCATAAAATGTATTTAAAAAATATTATTTTCTGATAATATGGCAATATCTACACCGTCTATCATCCCATTACAATTTCCAAAGCCCCCCCTTTTTTTTTGTTTTTGTTTTTGTTTTAATTTATGCTTTATTGCTCATTTCTTGGTTAAAAAGTTCTTAATCTTGTCAAATGTACTTTGGTGTTTTGGAGCTTCGTTGTGAACAGGACCATCTTCAACATGGATATCTTTCAATGGATGGGTTCTGGTAGCGGTAGAGTCACCAAAACTGTCAGCTAATGCCTCCAAAATGGCGACTTGTGTATCATTTTGGGCCTTTGGTATAGAGACATCGAAATGAACTTGCATGTCACCACGTCTGTTAACATCGCCTGATCTAGGAATACCTTTACTTGGAACGGTGATCACTTTGTTGTTGTTGGTACCGGCAGGAACCTTCAATCTCAAGACTGCCCCATCAACAGTAGGAACTTCGACGGTACCACCGAGAATGGCGGTGGTGAACGGTATCTTGATCTTGTGAATGAGGTCTTTCCCAGCAACGGTGAACGCAGGATCTTGCTGGATTCTGATTCTAATGATCAAATCCCCTTTGTATGTCCGTACGTTCGCCGACTTGGTAACCGCTGGGGCATCACCTTCACCACTAATCTTCACTCTCACGCCATCAGAAATCCCCGGTGGCAAATCGACCTCGGTAGATTTATTCACCTGCTTGACCCCTTCACCATGACAGGTGCCACACGCCGCGTCGCGAGAAATCACTGTTCCGGTACCCCCACACTTGTTACAAGTCAGGGCCATTTGGAACCCTCCTTGCATGTACTGAACTCTCTGACCAGTTCCGTGACAAGTCCCACAGGTCGATTTCTCCTTGCCTTGCTTCAACCCACTCCCACTACACGTCCCACAGTTGTCCAACGCCGAGTAGGTCACGTTGAGGTGCTTCCCAAACACCGCGTCCTTCAACGACACAGTCTTCGCCACCTCGATGTTGTTACCCACGTACTCAGTAACATAGCTTCTGCCACCGTTAGCGCCGCCTCTGCCATTGCCACCACGGAACGCCGCACCAAACAAATCTTCAAAGTTGAAATCTCCAAATGGGTTGCCGCCTTGAGCACCACCAGCACCACCAGCACCAGCACCACCGCCAAACCCTCCAAACCCTGCAAATGGATTACCGGCGTGTGGGTTGAAGTTACCGTTCTGGTCGAATGTGGACGAGCCAAATTGGTCGTATTGGGCTTTCTTGTCAGAGTCACTCAAGATTTCATAAGCGTCCTGAACATCGTGAAATTTGCCTTCAGCACCTTCTTCTTTATTGACGTCTGGGTGATACTTTTTAGCTAATTTATAATACGCCTTTTTTATTTGACTAGTAGAAGCACCCTTGTCGACCCCTAAAGTCTTATAAGGATCAGTTACCTTTAATTGCGAGGAAGATGAGTGGAACTGGCGACATGACGATGGTGATAATCTATGTGGTTTATAAGATTGGTAGCGAGCTACTCTGGAAGAAGTAGCCAAAAAACGTCTAACGAGAACTGGTTTAATCATCACAGATCAGTGATTTCGAAAATAGTAATAATAATAGCAGTGAAAGCAATTCTATGGTTGACTTTCTATTATTATGTCACTTTTCCATCGCAGTTCCAATTTTTTTTTTCTCTCTTTGCCCTTGGAACATCAAAGAAAAAAATGGAAACCGAGGGCAACACACGTGACTCAGAAAACGGTACAGAATATTATTCCACGTTATTATTCTATCAAGCAATACTTGTTGGAATGATTCCACATGATTTTTGAGATACGAAGCAGAATATATGAAGCTCATCGATTGAAATATTTCTTTTCAATCGGTTTTTATCATTTTCCAGAAGAATCAATATTCCCTCGGAAACGCACGTGACCATAATGAAAAAAGTCCTGAGTGCTCATCACCTAAAACAGGTCGGACGATATAATGGGGAAAAACTTAAAAGCCACCGTTTTATCCGTTTACCATTGATTAAATCTATAGAACTACAACAAAAGCCCGAAATCAAGTGGCCCAACTCTTACATTGTCCAATAGATTCTAAATAAATTTACAATGTGGGGTCGTCCAAGTGGTCCACCACCAAATTTCCGTGAAAACACCGATCAACAAGGAGGTCGCCACCATCACCAACAACAACAGCAACCCCATAATGGCGGTTATGGCTACCCAGGTCAATCCCAAACCACCTACAATGGTCAACTGACAAATAATGCTTATGGCGGCAATACATATGGGGAACCACCATCTAATTATGGTCAACCACCATCTAATTATGGTCAACCACCATCTAATTATGGTCAACCACCATCTAATTATGGTCAACCACCATCCCATTATAACGAGCCATCATCTTCAAGTTATAATGCAGGCAACGATTACTCTCGTCCTCCTGCTCAAAATTATGGCTCTAGTTCTTATGGCTCTGATTCTTATCAAAGACCTAATGGTCCACCACCAGGTTGGTCCCAACAACAAGTTCAAGAACAGGCTAATTCCGTGTCGGTTTTCCAAGAAAACGACCATGATATCAACATTCAAGAAGCTTACAATGTCCACGCCCCATCTCAAGCCCCTCAAAGATTCTCTTCTCAGGTCGATGGTTATAATTACCAATACTCTAACTGTACTGGGAGAAGAAAGGCTTTACTTGTTGGTATCAACTATATTGGTACCAAGAACCAATTGAGAGGGTGTATCAATGATGTTCATAACGTTTCCAAGTTTTTGCAAAAGCACGGGTACAAGGAATCGGATATTGTCGTTTTAACCGATGATCAAACCAACAGCAGAGCTTTGCCAAAGAAACAAAACATTCTCGATGGGATGAAATGGTTAGTGAAAGGTGCTCAAGCTAATGATTCTTTGTTTTTCCATTACTCTGGACATGGTGGCCAAGTTGAAGATAAAGATGGCGATGAATACGATGGGTATGACGAATGTATTTACCCAATGGATTTCGACAGTGCTGGAGAGATCATTGATGATATCATGCATGACATCTTGGTGAAATCTTTGCCTGCTGGTTGTAGATTGACTGCACTTTTTGATTGTTGTCACTCTGGTTCAGCATTGGATTTGCCATACACTTACTCGACCAAGGGGATCGAGAAAGAACCAAATGTGGCTGCCGAAGCCGGCCAAGGTTTGCTTAGTGCCGTCACCTCCTATATGTCTGGTGACACTGTCAGCGCCATCACCAAAGCGTTTGGTGCAGTGGGGACTTTTATGCAAGGTGATAACAATAGTGCTATTGAAAAGACCAAGAAAACTAAAACTAGTCCTGCCGATGTCATCATGTTATCTGGTTGTAAAGATGATCAAACCAGTGCCGATGCCAGTGAAGGTGGTCAAGCTACCGGGGCGATGTCTTATGCGTTTATCAAAGTGATGGACACCGGGAAACAACAATCTTATTTGAGTTTATTGCAAAACACCAGATCGGTGTTGTCTGGTAAATACTCCCAGAAACCTCAATTGTGTAGTTCCCATCCAATTGATGTTAATCTTCAATTCATCTTTTAAGGATGGATGATTGCTGTTCAAAAAATGTTGTGAGACTTGGTACACGTTGTTTAATAATCAAATAGTCTATGACAATCAAGTCGCATATTATTTCATAATCAAATAATCTATGATAATGTTGCAAAGGATTTTTTTTTTTTTTTTTTTTTTTTTTGTCATCATTCATGGCGGGGGCCATTTTTGAAAGATCCAATATGAAGCAATTTTAATTGAATATATGTAGATACATCACCCCGTAAATAAATGAATGTAAATAGAAGTGTCCAGATATCATTGCTTTCATAGTCTTGAAATCCTTTAAGATATCTTTCAATGTGTAGGCCCATCTACTAGTTGGTTTTGACTTGAGACTTAACCGATAAGGTTAAGACATTCTTCTGATTTGTGCAAAAGTGTAAGCGCCTAATTTGAACTTAAAATAATGTAATAATGAAATTAACAATAAGATATGTATTTTGATAAACTGATATTACAAAGAGCAATGCTATTGACAAGAATTGAAGAGAAAATACCCGAAAAAAAATAATAATAATAAACGAACCCAGAAGAAAAACAATGAAAGTGATAAAAAGTCAAAAAAACAAGAAAAAAAGTTGAACAAAGCTAAGGATTTTTTCTATCCACTCATCTTTTTCCTTTTGTTTGTTGTTGTTTGTTGTTGTTTGTTGTTGTTGTTCTTTTTTTCCAGTTTAGAAAACCCCATTACTTTCTTCCAAAATCTTTAAAAAGAATTTGTTAATTTCGTACCATTTTCTGGTTGACAATAGAACTAAACAAATGATAAAGAACAAGAAACTAACGATCAAATATTCTGAGACCGAAACGCAATATAACCCATAGAGCAAGATGGTCACGACTTTTAATATCTGGGGGTACCTGAAAAAAATCGGGAAGTTGGAGAGGATCGAGTTGGAGAACTTGAGTAGCAAATTATTCAAAATCACGTACTCATGTCCATTGAACTCCTTGATAATAGATATGGTGTTCATTTCATGAGGATGGGATGCCGCCCTTGTTGAGGATGATGCAGTGGTAGTGGAGGTGGCAAGAATATGGGACACCATGCCAGTGGTAGTTGGCGTTTTGTTGATGATTGTCGATATCGGGGAATTTTTAACGGCGCTAACGACTGGTTTGATTAGTTTCCCATGAATATCCAACTTGGAATACTCTAGAATATCAATGTCATTATAGAGCAATATTTCCGTAGGGGTTTCCATGTAATTGAACACATCGGCAACGTAATCGTTAGAAAATGTCACCAAATTGATCAAGTTCTTGAATATCCGTAGGAAAAACACCAGAACAATTACCAATGCCAAACCATCAATGAAATGCGAGAGTAATGTGGCAAAACTACGTTGTAGCGCCGCCCTTATCCTGGCTCTGTATGATAGTACCGTATAATTATCGGTGGTGTCTGAAGCATCAGGGGGTTCTTCTTGTTCTTCGGATGTTGAAGTGTCAAAGGAATCTCCATCATCATTTTGCTCATACCCCCTTGAGGCATGGGTCCTGAAAGTTCGAACAAACTCTCTTTGGAACGCTAATTGTCGCTGGGTTCTTAAATAAACTTCGGTTTCTTCCTGAACATCTTGCACCAATTCATCATTGGTAACTTCGGCTTCCTGAGCATCCGTAGTCTCATTGTCCACGCTTCTACTTTCTTGGCGGCGGTAGAACCTTGACCACAATCTGAAGTTGAATCTCAATGGCATTGTAAGTGTCCTTTTCTTTATTCTTGCTTTTTTAGTATTTATTTTTCTTTTTCCAATTTTTTGGACAAAAGATACGCTTCAAAATGGTCTGATCTGATAAGATTGGGGAGTATAGAAAGACACAGCTTTTAAGGAAACAATTCACCAGTGATCACCACTCTTTTTTTTTTTTTCCAATAAGTTGAGGGGGCTTCAATCGAGAAAATCGCGAGAAGGTGCCATCAGATGAGGTGTCTATATGTATCTATGAACTCCTGTCAATTCTCCAGATATCAATAATAATACCACGACTATCTGCTAGAGTTGCAAACCGGATGTCTCAAGCAATTTGGTCATCTATTAGTTGATAATAAAGATTGCATACTATGTGCACTCTAAAATCCCCGTGACACATCACCTGACAAAATGGCAAGGCTGCCCTCATCATTTGGATTCCCCCTCCTACAACTACATCAATATATATATATATATATATATTAATGGATTAATGGATTATCATTATTGCGTGCCGACTCGGGTCCTCAGATAAAAGACATACATTTAAATATGTCTGGAGGTAAAAGAGGCGTGTTTTGTATTTTTCCCTAGCCTGGATACTGTGCTGGGATTAGAGACCCCCCAAAGCTAATTAGATCACAATACAATTCCAGCATTGGACGTCTGTGTTAAACTTTGTCATTGGTAGTGAAGGAGCACCACAAAAAATTGGTTTGTTTCTTGATGATCCATACTATTCTTGCACAGATATTTTCATAAGAGTTGTCTTTTACTAATCCATACTCTATTGTAAGAGTCTATAAAGATGCTCAGCATATCTTCGACAATCTATCTATCTGAAATAAATAATAACAAAATACATAAATAAACAAATAATTAGATAAAAATCATGCCAGAAATCCTTTATTGTATATTGCCCAGTTACACTTTGTGGACATTATAACATATCGTCCAGTTAATTAATAGTATGGTGGCTGCATGTCCCAACCATTTTTTTTTCTTGCTTACTTACTTCGGTCTGGACTTTTCCACGCGTACTTTTTTTTTTTTCCTTTCCCTTCTCTTCTTTCCACCTGGTAACTTTTTTTTTTTTTTTTTCCTTACTGACTGACTTTGCAGAGAGTAAAAGTAGTCAGCGGTGGCAGTGGTACTAAGCACACCTTACAACAACTATCCATCCAAACAAAAACATCCTCATTCGTTACAAGGAGCCAAATTTCCAGCTCTTAGCTCATCATATCTCTTATTCTATCGGCTACACGTCTTTTTTCATACTGGCCATACCTGATCTGCCTTTTTTTTTTTTCTTAAGTCTGGAAATCAGATCTCATCTCATCACAACACTAAAACTGAAATTATCCTATATATGGCCACAAAACACAAAATCCAAGACTCAAATTACCAAAAGTCAGTGGAATCACCACAACTAAACAACATCAAAAATAAAATAAACACTGCCAAGTCCTTGTTTTCCTATTTTACCCCAGGTATTATTTGTATATAGGGGTCCAGTTCATACCAATTTTTGGAGAATCAAGAAAGAAAGAAAAAGCACCATATACTATTTCTCTTCAGCAAATCACAAATAATTAGGCTAATAGTCTTGGTATTTGGTTTATCTTTTTCTACATCTTTTTGCTGACGTTTGCTCAATTAGGCTCTCTTTTTGGTGAAATTTTTTAGTGATAATTATTATATTCCGGCCAGAGTCATATTGAAGATCATTCAATACATCGTTTAGACTGGTTTTCTTATCACTATTTAGAAAAAAAAAAAGTTTTTTTACTATTAAATCCTGCTTATTGATAAACATCAGTATGAGCTCATTTCTATACTTACCTTCTGATCCATCATCATCAACCTCCACCAACCAAAGCTCTTTTTCAAAACCTAACATTTTTGGGCCTTCTGGTACACTGACTCTCACTCCAAACTCAAATAAATCAAATTCATCCGTGTCATTGACCAATGTTACCGTGTCTACTTCGGTTAATTCGAAAACCAAAGTGATTGAAAACCAAACCATCACGTTGAAACGTCATGCCTCAAGCTCATTTACCAACGATCAATACCGGGGAAACGGTAATGGTGACGGAGTTAAAAAGAATCATTACTCCAAGAATTTTCCCAACCTTGCCAAATCTTCTCCTGGTCTTGCCCACACAAATACATCACGAAGACTGCCAAAGAAATATGGCGCGCTTGGTAATTTAAATAATGGTTCAAATCATCGAAACATTAAAATCAATTTCAATACCACCAGAAACAGTTCATTCAAATTAAACGCCATAGAAATAGGATCGTTGGCCACCAATAACTCTCGATTCGATGGGAAATTCCACGATAATTTGTCGAATTGGGATTATGCAAATCAAGTCACAAAACACCAGATTTTGCCGTCTAATGGATCATCTAATTTTAGTAATTATTCTAATGAAAAAGATGATCCTTGTGAGTCCCCATCAAATGAAAGGTTTTCATTATCTTCTTTCCCACCAATTCCACCCCCTTCAACCACCACTTCAACTACAATTACCAATGTTGACGGAAGAAAGAATACTGAAAAAAATAAAAAAGGCTATTTGATGAACCCATTCTTTGGTGGCAAAATCATGAATAATAACCTGAATTCAGGTAGTATTAATAGTAATAACAATAACGGTGAAAAAATGACCACTTCTGATCTAAAATATTCCAACAGTCTTCGAGTCAATAATCATTTCAATAATGATAACATGAGCATCATTTCTGATACTGATTCTTTTATATTTGATAGCAATCGAAATGATATTTCCCCAGTAAAGAAATACGGGGCTGGCATGAAAAATGATTATGGCAATGAGGAAAATATTGATCCTAATCATCTATCAAAATTCCAAGTTCCTAATGGCAAATTTGAATTTCAATACCTGATTCATCAAAAGATTGTCAATAATATCAAAAAATTCAGTAGTGACTACTGTTCCAATATTATTGGCGGAACCCTTCCTTTTAAAGCTTCCAATGATAACCAACAAGCGCCTCAACAACCTACTATCACAGTAAATGAGGACTCGCCATCAACAGAGCTATTTTCCAATGGTAATACTTTACCGGAACGAAGGGATGACCAATGCAAACCCACGAATAATAATAATAATAATAATAATAATAATAATAATAATAATAATAATAGTGAGGATGGAATCCGTTTTAACCCAAATGATAGCTTCGATGGCCATGGTGAAGACACCGATTCAGAAGGAGAATCGGTGGAAAATAATGTATCAAATTTTGATGAGAAATCAGAGTATTTCCATTTCAAGCCGTTTGAAGAGTTTGATAATGGTTTTGCTGGAACTGGTAATGTGAAAAACTGCATTTCCAGTAATGATGTGAATAATAATAATAATAACAATAATAATAAAAATAAAAATAATAATGATGATGATGATGACATCAACATTAATAATACTATTCCCAATGAAAATCATGACATCAACTCTGATGAAAGTAACGATAGGCCAGCCTCAGGATTGGATAGCAATAACAACAGTATGGCGTCCGCCTCAGCCATCGCCATGGCAAATAATGAAGCGGTCATCAGGGAATCTGTGAGCTCATCATTATTTGATAGGCAGTCTGGTAACTTAGATGCAACCGCCCAACTTGAAAACGATGGAGACACCATAATTTTCGGGGAAGATGGGGGTGCCTTATCTTGAAGCTGTTGTTGTGTGTATAGATGGATATTTTGTCTTTTATTATCATATTATATTATATTTTGTATTATATTTATTTATTGGTCGAATTTCATATGTGTATATTTGTAGCCATCCATCTTATGTAGCCATATTCTACAGCACAGCCGTTCGTCCCTGGTTGCTTTTTTCTATTGTCCTAAAATTACCTAATTTTTGGAGGAATCCGGGGCGTTACGGGTTGGCTTTCCTTTTCCATTTGATCTTTGCTTTTTTGTGATGGGATTACTATTATTACTATGGAGTGCGGGCCATGCCAACGGCAAACGAGACCATTTCTTTTTTTTGCTGTTTGTTGGAAGGGTCTTTCCTTTTTGAGGGAGTTTCCTATCATTTTTGTTGTTGTTGTTGTTGTTGTTGTTGTTTGTTTGTTTGTTTTTTATCTCAAATGGTTTGCAAATTTGGTGGCAACAAGAGAAAATAGTGTGTGTTGATAGTGTATTATCAATCTGGTCGCGTATATACTAATATAATACTTGATGGTGTAGTATGCTATACTATAATAATAAGAGGACTTCCGGTACTCCCTCGATCAATCGGATGCCGACGGCAGCACCCGGGCAGCTGTCATTATTTTGATTGTTCTCCCCACATTTTGTTTACCGCACAGAAGAAAAAAAGTAAGAAAAAAAAAAAATAAAAAATTTTAATTGAGTGATGATGGTTAAGTTTCCCTTATAACTGCTATAATTAGCCGCCCTCATCGCGCTTCCCAGGAGACTTTTTGTGTGTTATTTAATTCGCCACCCTGATATTAAAGTGCTTTTTTTGAAGTCTTCTCTCTTCTTATTGTTGTATAACACCATCCTCTAGTATGTGCTGTTATTTCTAGATTGTTGTCGATCCATCAAGACCTTTTTTTTTTGTCCTACACTACTACATCATCATCATCATCATCATCCATCGTCAGTTTTTGTTTGATTTTTGTATTTCCCAATAGTACAATCACCTCCCAAAAGTTTTTGTTTTCCCTGTTATTTGTTTATTCAACCAGAGATCATAAACCTTTTTAAAGTAATTCTTATATTTAATTTTATTATTTCTATGTCCCTTTAGCCAATAGGGAAGGACGTCTTGGTCATCCAAAGGAAAAAAAAAAAAAAAAAAAAAATTATCCACAAAACAACAACAGCAGGAACATTAGTCATCATGGACGACTCTGCGATTTACAAGGACTCCCACGTACTTTCCCTTTTCAAAAGATTCTCAAATGGTACTCAGTCGTTGGGCTATTATGAGTTCATCAACATGTTTGATTCGTTCACGGGGTCCGCATCGCCCTCCGAAAAGCAAAATTACGGGATTTTCTTCTTGCTTGCCGACGATGATTTGAAAGGTTATTTGACCGAATCAGACTGGATCAAGTTTGTCAAGTTGTTTAATGAGGATAACTCTCAATTCAAAATGGTTTGGAAGTTCTTCAGCAAGTTCAAGCTTCAATCAGACTCTGCATCCAACTGGAATTTTAATTGGTTCAAGAATAATGAGCCAATAGCCGACGAGGAATCGAATCGTATTTCCTTCAATCAAATTTCCTCTGTCTTGCGAAATTTGGAACTGTTTATTCAGAATAAACCTCTATCTTTGACACCAACGAACAACACCCAAGAGTATATCAATTGGTCAAAAATTAATGATTTGATCCACACACAAATATCTCAGAGAACCAATACACAATATATCAATTATAATGATCTAAATAATTTAATCATCAATGAGTTGAATAATGAAAAAATTTTGAAGTTTTATGAGCTAAACAAGAACCATGATGGTAATATCAGCAATGCGAAAGTGGGCAAGCTATTGGATGGGTTGTTTTCCCATAAAATCAATGACCAGTTTATCAAATTTGTGTTGCCTAAAAATAGACATGACAATTACTCGTATAACGATATCAAATTGATAACCAACTTGTTGAAGAAGTATTACTTGTTAGACAAATTGGTTTGGAGTTTTAAAGTTCAGGATTCAAATACATCGTTTAATGATTATTTGATTGAACACAACAAGGGCAATATGCTTACGGACTACGAAATCAATTTGTTGAACGATTATATTTCGGCGTTTAACTCACCGACAATTTTGACCCCCTTTGCATCACCAATGACTGTGGTTGCTCCTGTACCAGTGGTTGCTGGCCAAATCGGTCAACAATCGGTTGAAAAAATTCATGGTTTGTTTTCCCTCTTCCATTCAATGTACAATTTTAGTCTTGGAGCAGTTTCTGGGGCAATTGGTGCCACCATTGTTTATCCTATTGATATGGTGAAAACGAGAATGCAAGCCCAATGCAGCACTGCTTATGTTAATGCTAAACAATTATATACTAGCTCTTTTGATTGTCTTGGCAAAATTTTTGCCAGAGAAGGTCCACTGAAGCTTTATTCTGGCTTGTTGCCCCAACTAGTTGGTGTGGCCCCAGAAAAGGCTATCAAATTATTCATGAATGATTTGGTTCGTGGAATATATAAGGACGAGAAAACTGGGGAAATTGGCTTGCCATATGAGATTTTGGCTGGTATGAGTGCCGGGTGCTCTCAGGTTGTGTGCACTAATCCTTTGGAAATTGTGAAGATCAGATTACAAATACAGGGACAAATGATTGGGAAATTGAATTCTCAAGGCGCAATAATTGTTCGCAAGAGTGCCCTTGAAATCGTGAGGGAATTAGGAGTTGGTGGTTTGTATAAAGGTGCCAGTGCTTGTTTACTCCGTGATGTTCCATTTTCGGCGATCTATTTTCCAACTTATGCTCATTTAAAGAAATATTTTATCGAATCTAATAACTCTAGAGGAGTTGTTGCTGATGGTAACCATGAAAATATCAATACTTGGCAACTTCTTTCTGCCGGCGCGATTGCTGGGATGCCTGCAGCATTCTTGACCACTCCTTGCGATGTGATAAAGACCCGACTTCAAATGGAGAGAAATCAGGGAGATATTCAGTATCGTAACATCCTTGATGCCACAAGAAAAATATATTCTCGTGAAGGTGCCAGGGCATTCTTTAAAGGCGGACCAGCAAGAGTATTCCGTTCTTCTCCTCAGTTTGGGTTCACATTAGCGTCGTATGAGTTGCTTAAACGTGCTTTACCATTTGAGTGGACTAGTGGGTCTGTTTTAAGTCTTATGAGCGGGTCTAGGGTGAGCAACGAAGGAAATATGGTGAATGGATATAGTTCGAACACCATTAATTCCAACTTCAAATCCGTGGAAAACTGTGACATTGATGAAGTTAGAAAGTATCGTGCAAAGAGCTCGCAAGCCCTAGGTTTGTTCAAGGATGTCAGTCCAAGTTTCAATCAATTTGATCATGATGTTTACCAACAATTTAGAGGAGCTTATGGGAAGAAGTTAAATTAACGTTTTTCTTTCTTTCTTTTTCTTTTTTTTCTTTCCCTTCTGATTCCGTTTCAAGATGTGTGTGTTTTTGCTATTTTGTTTTATTTTAAAATCTGTTCAATTCCTTTCAAATGATATTTTTCTTGAAAAATTGTTTGCTCTCCACCTTTGCCTGAAATTCTGTGAATTTTTTTTGTTTTTTTCTTTTTCTTTTCACTTTTGCTAATACTGGATATGTCAAAAAATTTATACATGATATAAACGTCATAGTAAAAGCCACCCAAAATGTAATAACAGTCATTTAGTCACTGAGTGTAATTAACGGTGGCTCTACACCCTACATATTTGTACATATATATATATTTGCAGAAATAACCACTTTTCTTCAAATATATTGTTGGAAATCTACAGTAATATCAAACAACTACTTTATATTGTATATGTAAAAGTATTCATCATGGCTAGAGTTTGGTTTATCACAGGTTCCTCAAGAGGACTTGGTTTTGCAATTACTGAAGCAGCACTTAAGGCTGGAGACAAAGTTATTGCTACTGCAAGAAACGCTTCTGTGCTTGTTTGCTTTCAAAAGGAATTCGGTGATAACATTTATCCAATTTCTTTAGATGTTACCAACAAAGATCAAGTTTCAAAAGCTGTTGCTGAAGGGCACAAAAAATTTGGTCGTCTTGATGTTGTGGTCAATAATGCTGGATATGCGAATACTGTTGGTGTTGAAGATATCGAGATAGAGGACTTCGAAAATCAAGTGAATACTAATTTCTTGGGTGTTGTTTATGTTACCAAAGCTGTTCTCCCAATCCTTAGGGAACAAGCTTCTGGGTACATTTTTCAAGTTTCATCACTTGGTGATAGATTGGGTGCCCCAGGCCTCTCTGCCTACCAATCTGTTAAGTGGGCCGTCTCTGGGTTTTCTACTGTTCTTTCTCAGGAAATTGCCCCATTTGGTATTAAACTCACTGTACTTGAACCAGGTGGAATTAAGACTGACTGGGCTGGCTCCTCAATGAAAGTGCCACCAGTCAGCGAGCCATACAAGCAGACTGTGGGAGCATTTGCAGAGTTTCTCAAAAGTTCAGACGGTGGGCCTTCTAGACCAGAGAAAATTGCCGAGATAATTTTTAAACTTTTGAATGAGAAGGAGCTGCCATTGCGTCTTTTGATCGGAAGTGATGCGGCCAGTTACGGTGCCCAAGTTGCAAAGGAATTGGCAGAAAGGGATGCTAAATGGAACTACCTCACCCTTCAGTCTAGTTGAAAAATTATTAAACAAAATTTTTTGCTGATTATTCTTTTTACTGATCTTTTTTAAGTAGATTAATAAATTAACTGGTGAAATTACTTGTAAGCACAATAAGCACTTACAATAGTATCAAGAGAGTCCAAAAGCATTCTAGCTACTCTCAAGTGATCCTCTACTTACTTTTAATATCGATTATGACGTTCATATTTGTCAGGGCATGAACGTGGTAGTATGCCGTCTTGTAGTGATTCTTCAGGAACACTAGCCAGATATTGGTGGAGGAGTTGGCAGACATCACGTCAAGATATTTTTTGTGTGGGTTCAAAGCTGTTTTTCTTTGGTTTTCTATACATTCTATGTAATGGTATGAAGTATTTTTGTCACACGTATGAATATTTCCGGTGGTTAGTAAGAATTAATCTTTGTGTGAGCATTACCGGTGGTTAATAGATTTTAGAATAAAACAAAAAAGCAAAAACACACATCTTGAAACAGAATCAGAAGGGAAAGAAAAAAAAGAAAAAGAAAGAAAGAAAAACGTTAATTTAACTTCTTCCCATAAACTTCTCTAAATTGTTGGTAAACATCATGATCAAATTGATGAAAACTTGGACTGACATCCTTGAATAAACCTAGGGCTTGTGAGCTCTTTGCACGATACCTTCTAACTTCATCAATGTCACAGCTTTCCATAGACTTGAAGTTGGGAAATAGATCGCCGAAAATGGAACGACACGGAGTAAACAATCACTTGCGCCTTGAGAATTCAATTTCCTAATCATCTGCCCCTGTATTTGTAATGGTTTTGGTTACGTCTTTTTAGAACGGAATGTGATAGTTAATGTATATTAAAGTAGAATAAAATAAAAGACTATGTGAAATAAACCCTATTTATAGGTGAGAAAAGGAAATGGGACAACAAGATGAAAAGAAGTAAGAAGTAAATGAAGATGTCGGAGATAAGAAATAATAGAGAGAAAAGGATTGGTGGAATAATGGAATGGAATTAATAAGAAGAGAAAAAAGTAGATCAATACATAGATCATTACAATTATCTAGATTGTTTCTCCTTGTTGCTCCTTGTTCCTGACTTGCTAAATTACGACTGCTATTACTAATTAAATATAGTCTGGAACCAGCAACGTAGCAACGTCAGTGCAATCCAGTATTGGTACCATACTTAGAATTGATCAGAGACATGACTTAAATACCACCGTCGTGGTATGCTCTCACAATATTTCATACCATTACACTGTAATTACTATTCGTACCCATAGGAAGAAAATTCATACTACAGTTATAAATTATTTTATGCCTTTAGTTTAAAGAAATTTATTTGATCTTCATATAAACACCTAACAGGAATTTGATATATCTAATGGCCCCTTTGGGGCTCGTAACCAAGTTTTTGGTCAATATGGGCTTCTCCTGTGTAGTTTATTTTACTTTTTTGTTTTTTTCATTACAGTTTTATACAGTTTTTTTTTTCTTAATTTCATTTTCTAAAATTTTTTGTCTTTTTGTATTTCTTTTCAAAATAGCTGATGCTGTAAACAGAGATCAATATGACAAAATCCCTTGTAACTGTTAAGAGCAATATTTTCCGTAGCTTCTCTCACTCTTGGTGTCAATTGCTCTTTCTAACCCACTCTCAGTGCAACTAATAAATGAACATCACGATGTTTATGAATAGCAGCATTTTTTTTGATTCAAGCTTTCTCTTCTTATTGGATGGAGCCACAGGTGCCCTTGCCTTTAATTCAATACAGCCTTTGGCAGAGTTCGCACCAATGAATGAAACATTAAGTCCTCTTGTAATAGTAACCGTTAGGAAAGCTTTTTCACCTACAGTAGAACATACATACACACGCCTCACACTGATGTTCAAACCGGCTTCATCGATGAAAATACAGTTTTCGTTAAAGTCGAGTTTATCCTTATATTACTATGCCCATTCTAGTCTTTGGTGGGACAGAGATGCGGTTTAGCTCATCAAAAAGTGCTTTGTTCCAATTGTATATAAGCTGAAGCGCCTTCTTCCATAACTAGCTGCCAAAATCTTTGTTTCACAGCCTGTTTATAGTATCTGTAGGGACCTCTGTATTTTTTTGTCTCCTCCATTTCTTCAGTTTTCATGTCTTCATCTTTTTCGAAGATCACTTCATGTAGTTCCATAGTCGGTGATTTTACTACACTTCTATAATCACTGTAGCTAAAGCAAGCTTCCACGGGTGCTGTTTCAGACTCCGAGTTCTTTAAAATTGAGTATTGTTTGATCAAGTCAAGTAACAAAAAGACTATTGAAATCATTAGTTGAAAAAGCATTGATACGAATAATTGAAATAAAATGGTGGGAATAATTAAAGTATAATGGTATGAAATATTTTTTTTTAGTTTGGTATATCTATTCAGATGATACTTCCTTATCGTAGTTGATACATTAAAATCACACTGTACTCAATATAATTTTATTTTCTTCTAGCGTCATCGCATGTTGAGATGCCTCAATAAGGGTGTTGCACCCGCTTTGTTTTTTCTTTATTTTTATTTTGGGTGAAAAAACTGATTTTGCGATACGTTAATACAGAAATAAAAACTATACTCACAAACATACACTGAAGTAAAGTGTTGTATTATTATCCTCCTTATTTATTTTTTCTTGCGCTTCATTTATAGTTGTACAAAAAGGTCAATATCCCCCATATTTTAAACATAATAGGATAAAGAAACAAAGCAATGGTACGTTAGTTTTTGGAGTTCTATTGTTATGATCATACATATGAGATGGATATTTCATTTGATTCCAGCAGATATTCTCGTATGATGCAAACTTTTTTTTTTTTTTCAAATTAAATTACATTTATTAACCTTATTGTTTTTCTCAGCCTCCAAAGAAGTCAATATCCCTAGAAATACGCCTAACGCTAAAACGTGGTAAACAAGTGCTAATTATCCTTGTCCCATCTACTGCAACGGTTCTAGATCTCAAGTTAGAAATCCAGGAAATGGTAAATGCCACTGGGGGACTCAAACCAATAGACGATATCGACGAGCCAAAATATGACAATGATGATGAAGAAGAAGGTTATGATGATGGGATAGATATCCCAATTCCCTCTATTGACCAAGCCAGCGATGATGATGGAGATTACCAAGCGGTTTCCAGTACCAACTTTCGCCAAAATAATATCAAAAAGGATGATGATGAGGAAATATCACCAATGTCGCGATACCTTCAGATAGACTCGCCGTCGAGCCTCAAGATTGGTAGGCCGGTAGATAAGCTTCATCCTGTAGGAACGAATTTCTCAGAATTGCAAGCTTTTGCCGGTGAGAAGTCTGTGGATACCCTTTCACTCCATGGTGATTTATCACTTGGAGATGGCGACGTGCTTGCATTTGCAACTATGGATGAGGACTTTTTAGTGGTGGAACCAGTGGAAGCAGAGGATGAATGAAATGATTCAAAGTACTCAGTCGGTATTTGATAATGATGATAATAATAATAATGAAAATGAAACCGTCAAACTTCACGTCTCACCATTTTTTTTACCCCCGAGAAAAAATTGAATTGAAGAAAAAAAAAAATTGTTTCATCTATTTTATATAATTGAATAAATGTGGGGTTGAACGGCTATTTAGAATCGTAATGAAGTTTGTAAAGGAAACTGGTAAAATAAAAAAGACTGTACGATAACCCCCAAAGACCAGAAAGAGAGCGAGGAACTTGGGATGTAAATAATCCCATATTGTATATTGTTTATGATTATTAGCTTCCTCTATTAGTGAGGGGTGTTATTCTTCTTCGGTTGAAATAGGCGTTATTCTTCATCCTCAATATTTGTGGTTAGGAAAATCTTTCGCTTCTAGAAACTCATCGAATCTGTAGACCGTATCACACAAAACCTTTGATATCAACCACCAGCTAAAAAATTATTCTCTTTCTTGGATGATGCGATCATCATCATAGACTAAAAGAAAAGATATCGCCATTCATCCTAGAGATTTAAATGAGCCAACGCTAGAATAATAGAGAAACAGAAAAAGAAAAGAAAAAAATGGGTGTACCATCGATATAGAACACGCTAAGAGTATGTCTTTTCAACGCGTTTATCTGCACATATCCTAACATCCTGACAACCGAACTGGGTTGGCAGCGAAGAAGTACCCCAAAGTTCAGTATATGTAATTTGCAAAAATATCCTTATCTTGGGTATGATGATTTTTTAGCAAAAACCTATTACATGATTGCAACTGAAGAACAACAATACAATTATTTATCTCCGCAAGTCTTTTTTTTTTTTCTCTCTCTGAGAAACTCTATAATATATATCGGATATATGGATAATGTGGTTATATCAATATATATGTATATACTATACATTTTGATATTGTTATCTTGAAATAATCCTCAAGGGTAATTCTTCGATAGAAAATTAAGGCTACAAAACTTTGAAGGTTGCTCCCAGAGCTTCTGATATAATTCTTGTAGACTACATAATAGGTCACTAATACACATTGCAGGATATTTTTATATCTTAAATGCATGCTTATTAATATTTAATAAACTTCGTAATGTTTACACTACACCACTCTTAAATCACCAAGTGGTGGCAACTGATAGTGTGTGCCCTATTACAATGTGTCTGGTGTGTCATTTTATTTCGATACATCCATCTGCTGGAAACAACTTGATTATTCAACAAAACTTTCAGTTTCACACACTTACATGAAGCGATTTTAATTTTTTAATAGTTATTATTAAAATATATTCAAGTACCTATGTCAAATATCGCTCTCGTCAAATAATGATGATTGTCAAAATACACCACTACATCACCATTCATTCATCCAGCAACTTTGATTGCATCAGCCGCATCCCTAGCAACCCCACCACCAACTGGAACTTTGATACTGTCTGCTGCTGCTGCGGCAGCAGCAGCCAATATTTTTTCAGATCCTACATCTTTTGTAACTTTCTTCACTATCGAATCGGTAGTTGACACCGATCCACCACCGAAAAACAATTTGAGCAAAAATAACACCAATACTGAGTGAATGGCGGTAAAATAAATCAAGAAAAAAGTTCTGGAGGTTTGATTTGTCAAGATGATCTTCAAGAAATTATAAAAATATTTCTCAGTACCATTCAACTTCTTATCGAGTTTTTTGGTGTTTTCATTTCCTAAAGTTTTCTGAAGCCAATGCAAACTCTTACTATTGGTAATGAAGCTAAATGATTCATAATCATCAAACAACACATCATAAGTGGTTGAAGAAAATTGATCACTATAAGGGTTGGCAGCCGCCGGTTTACCAGAACCTATGGCGGTAGGACCCGACCCTCTTGCAGATTTGCTCTGCAAAAACTTTACCTCGGTGGTCAAATTATTCACTTTAGTTTGCAAGACGGTGTTCTGTTTCTTTAAATCACCAATGGTTTTGGTGGTTTCTCTTAATTTGGTTTCCAATTCGGTGTTTTTTGAACGGAACCGGTCTCTTTGTTGAGTAATCAATGGCAAAAGCGAGTTGTTCCCACCGTTATCAGCGCCACCACCACCAATCATAGAGGAACTATCGTCAAAACCAGCAATCGATGCAGCCGGTGATATTTTACCGTTCCCATGAGAAGAAAACCTAGTAGATGGAGCAATGCTTCTGGCCGGCGGAAATCTTGAAACCCCGCTTATCATGCTCATGGCTTCCCAATTGTCATTATTTCCTCTAACATTAGATATGTCAGATTCTAACTTTTCATTGATTGACTGCAAGCTGGAAATTTGCGACTCTCTTCTCTTCAGATTATCTGTCAATTGACGGATTTGTTGTTCAAGCTTGGAGCATTTGTTACGAAGTTCGACTAAATCGTTATTCAATTTGCGATTTCTCACCATCAAAGTATGATCAATGGAGGAGTCTCCAGCGGATTTTTCATTATCAAGATCAACATCGAATTCAAACGATCTTAATATACTCAACTCATTCTTAATTTCATCATAATCACTATGCTCATCAAGTTTTTGTTTAAGTTTAGAAAGTTTTTGAGAATATTCGGATTCTTTAGCTATTAAGTCTTTGGTGGCTTTAGAAAGTTCGGTATTGAGCTTTATAATTGTTCTTTTATCAGAGTTTGACTTTTGCAATAAAATTGAATTATTCTTTTCCAACATTAGATTGGATTCTCTCAACTTATTAAGTTTTTCATCTTGTTCATAGGACTCTTCTAATTTACTCAAACTTTCTTTCAATTCTTGGTTTCTTTTCTCCAATTCTAATACCTTAGTCTTTGAATACTCTAAATCTCTTGTTGCTAAGTCAAGCTCCACTCTCAACGCGGATTTAGGCTCGACATCATTTAGATTCTCTGTGTGTTTCCCTGCATCAGTGTCATCTTCATCACCATCATCCTCCTCCCCATCTTCATCATCATCATCACCTTGCAAAAGCTTGCTTTGCGATTTTAATTTGTTTTTAGAGATTTCATTAAGAGCCTTTAATTCTGATACCTGTTTGGTCAACAATGCTATTTTCCGCTCGTATTTATTTTCGGTAACTTTGAATTTTCTTTCAGTCTCATCAATCCTGGACTTGTATTCATCATCTTTTAATAATAACTTGACTTTCAAACTCTCTGCGTGCTTTTGCTCCCCTTCAATGAGCTTGGCCTTCACGGTCTCATAATCTTTATACTTTAAGAGCTTCTCTTGAAGTTTAGCATTTTCGTCTTTTAATGCATCAATTTCTGAGGAAGTTTTAAAGGACTTCAAAGAGCTGGATAGCAAAGGTTTTGGATCGGGAGCTTCACTAATATCTTTATAAACATTGAAAAACGCAGTCTCAACAAATTTTCCTTTTTTAGTCAAGTTATCAATTTCGTTTTGGTAAGCTTTAAGCAAAGGTTTAATTTCATTGAGTTTCGCATCATCTTCTAGTTTCTTGAACTGCTTAGTCTTCGTGGCAAGATCTTTTCTGGAAATCAATAAACTCTTTTGATTTTCTTTGATTTCCAACGCCTCATCGTCCAACTTCTTCTGGACCTCCGGCAAAGAAATCTCCTCCCACATTTTCAATGCCTTCTGGAAATTGAGGTATTCTTCATTTGGCTGATCCCCCATGATGCAAAATAATAATAATAATAATAGTGATAAAACTAACTATTAATACTCGTCTTCTTTCCTCATCACTGTAATTTGACAAGTTACTGCCTTTTTTTGATAGTGTCCTCAGAGTGCGCGTAGCGTTGTCGTCGGTGCTTGAAAATACCCGCCCGCCTCCAGAAACTTTTCAAAAACCTCTTTTAGTCAGACGGGAAGTTACCAATCGTCGTAGAGTTATCAAGAGATACCACCAAATATCACAATGGACTTTCTAGATCTTGAAAATGGCAATGAATTGGACTTGAACTTGGAACAGTTGGGCAGGCCAAATATGGGATCTTCTGTCGATCCTTTCAGCCTATTGGACCAACCGCCCCAGCTCAAACAGCTACCTCAACAACAACAACAACCTCCACCACCACCTCCTCAACAACAACAAGTGGGGCCTCCGCTATTAAAACAAAACCTAGTTGGAGCACCTGAGATGCCAATAATGTCGCCCCAGCAAACCCAACATCAGCTGCCCCAGTTCACTAATCGCCAAATGATGCCAAATACAATGGGCGTTAACATCGGTCTTAACATGAACCCTATGGGCATGGGAATGGCCGGTACAAATGGTGCTAGTGCCCATCTGAACCCTCACATGGCCCAGCCAAATAGAATGAATAACACACCAAATGCCAATCCAGTGTCGGTTATGAATGCTGCCACCGCAGCGATAACCAACTCTAATCTCGCCAAGCCAAATAATGGAATGGTCAATGTCGCTAACTTATCACCCCAACAATTGAATTCTTTGAAGGCTCGCCAAACATATTCCAATCTTCATAGACAACAGGAACAACAGTTGGCAATGATGCAGCAACAGCAGTATCAACAGCAGTTTCAGCAGATGCAACAACAACAGATGCAACAACAGATGCAACAACAACAACACCAATCTCTACAACATCAAAACCATGCTCATCCTCAGCACCCGCAACATTATCAGCATCCACAACAGTTACAACATCCACAGCAATTGCAACAGCAGCTTCCACAGCAATTGCAACAACTGCATCCGCAACAACTACAGGACCCTCAACAACTTCAACAGCAACAATTGCAACAACAACAGCTTCAACAACAACAGCTTCAACAGCAACAACTACAGCAGCAGCAGCAGCAGCTCCAACAACATCCACAACAGCTTCAACAACAACATTCACAACAGTTACAACAGCTACAACATACACAGCAAAATAGACAATCTCAGCAACAAATTGGATTAGGCCAAATGAATCCAAACCTCACCCTTCAAAGTCAAGCTATGTATCGTCAATTGATGAGTAGACAGCAACAACAACAGCAACAACAGCAGCAGCAACAACAACAACAACAACAACAACAACCAAATATGATACAACGTCAAATGATACCTCAAAACCTGCCACAAATGCAAAAGTTTCAACAACTTCAACAACAGCAGCAGCAACATCAACAACATCAACATCAACAAAAACAGCAGCAGCAGCAACAACAACAATCTCAACAAGCGCAACAACAACAACAACAAAAACAGCAACAATCTCAACAAGCGCAACAATCGCCACAGCTTCAGCAAGCCCCCCAACTCCAGCAGGCACAAAAAACTCAATCTGTGAAAAATAAAGCACAGCAGGTAATGCAACAGCTGCCAACAATTCAGTCACCTCAGTCGTTAATACCCGATCAACAAACACAAGTGGCCTTCTTACCAAAACAAAAACAAGCATTTGGCAATAAAATAGGTAATCAACAACAGCATCAGGTCATGCAGCAGCTTAAAGCTCAATCGCCTGTGGTACAACAACCACAATCACAGCAGCAGGCCCCAATGCCCCACCCACATTCAGTTCTTCAACCAGGTCAATTACCAACTCTGATTTCGCAGTCGGATCAAAATAATCAGCTAGGCATAGCCCAGTCATATGTTGGATCAGGTCTGCCTGCAGTCAATAATAATCGTAGTCCAGTTTTTACTCCCCCAATGTCTACTAAGTCTAATAATGAAAGTCCAATGAATTCAGCGCACACCCCGAAACGCGTTTCAATAAGTGTGCACAATACTCCGAGAAATCCACTGGCCCAATTGAAAAATGATACAAAAGATATGCCAGGAACCTCTACCGCAGCAAGAGTAGCAAAGATTAAGTCCAAGGATACCAAGAGAAATCTGAATGTCATGAATACTAATCTTAATGCTAAAATTGATGTGGATGACACTATCGTTAAGAATAATCTTAAGAATATTACTAATTTGCGGGTCAAAAGTAATGACGATAAATCAATTCCTATGGGGTTATCGGGACCTCCATCATCATCAAGTCAAACAAATTCTTATCCGCTCACTAATCTGATGAATAGTATTAGTAGTGTTGAAAGGTTGATGCTTTTTAGGAAATTATTTGCGCAGTCTGCAAAGGCGAGGTTATTGAGCTTTGTTAATCTGATGACTAGTCAAAAATTACCATTCAATAATAATGCCTCCAACGCTGGTAGTCCTACATTGACTTTCAGACATTTACAATATTGGGAAGCGGTAGTGGGGAAGTATTTCAATCCTAGGGGGTCGATCTTGAAATACGCCGATGTTCTGGAGCCCATGAAGAATAATTACAATAATGAAGCCAACCCACTTGAGTTTCAGTATCCGGTCATCTCAAAGTTCTTTCACACATTGATCAAAGATGGGGTTCAAAAAATTGATGCAACTTTCAAGAATGTTCAAACGCATTTTGCTAATAATCTGGGCAATCAACGGATTGATGATAATCCCCAACAGGTGTTCTTGCAATGTAATGGAGAAATTTTGAGAAAGTATATTGATGGTTCAAACATTTCTTTCAATTGTGTAATGAGGGTCAGAATTAGTTGTCCACCAATTGGCAGTTTAGATGGTAATCCTATTATGAATGCTTTGAATTCGGCAAATGAGGAAAACTTGAAGATTGATATCATGGACTTACAGAATTTGGGGTGTACTAGATCGATCGATTACGATCAAATAGAACAGTTTGTTAAGAATAACAATCAAGAAGATATTGCCAAAGGGATGGCAGAAAACTTTCTCTGTGCACGGGCTGTGGGTCCATTTGGATTACTGTCATCGGCGATGGCGGCGTTGCAAACTATGGACGTAATGACCCTGTTGAAGCCATTGATGGATTTTCAAGTAAATACAAAAGTTGCCTCCCCTATTCAAGCATTTGATTCTCTTTTACAACAATACCAAAATGTCAATAGGTCACAGATGCCACAAAAAGGACCGCCACAAAAAACAAGGAAATTTTCCATGCAGATGACGCCTGCAGATGCGTTTGGAAGTTCCAGTGGGATTGGTAATGATGATAATGATAGTAACGATAATGATAATAATGATAGTAATGATAATGATAATGATGATGACGATAATAATAATAATAATGATAATGATAGTAATAGCAACTATGAGAATTATGCTAACTATAATAATAGTGTTTACAAACGTGGTTACGATCGCATGGGAAAGAATGATGGAGGCATCAGTCCTAAGTCAATGAATGTGGGGACAGTGCGGCCGCCATTGAAGCCTAACAAGAAGTCTAAACATTAGCGAATGGTTGATAGATCTTTCATATTTTTTGTGTGCGTGTGTGTGTGTGTGTGTTATTTTATTAGTTAATTTCCAGTTATTTTGCTTGTACTCAGTTTATTTTGCATTTGTTTCACGCATATTTAGTTATTATTTAGTTTTATATTTGACCTTTTCTGTGCTATATTTTAATTGTTGGTTCATTAGATAATAAATAATAATATGATATGTGGATGTGTATGACAACAGTAGTGCTGAAAGGGTGTGAAGATGTCTGGATGTCCGTCCTCATCACGTGAAAAGAGGTTTCCGCATCCGGAAGAATTCCCCCCCCCCCCTCAAGCAAATTTTATTAATAATAATAAATTCCCAGCAGCGTTGGGTGGATGTTTTTCCTTCTGCTAAGTACTATTATTATTATCATCATCAACAGCCCCGTATATTTGATAGAGTGCGGAATATATTATCCCCTTGCTGTCCAGTTATTTCCCCCCGGTTATCATTATTATTAGCTTTGTTCTCTGCCTGATTGTTCCAGAGGCAACAAGTCGCACCGCAGGAAAAATCATCAACCCCCAACTGTACAATTAGGTCATAGCTATCAAACCTCTTTTCCACTTCATCATCATCACAAAAAAGTAAATAAATAAATAAGATCACCATGCAAAAGCCCCCTAGTTCTCTTAACCTCGAACCAAATCCTTTTGAACAATCGTTCGCCTCAAAGCCAGCATCGATCACCGGAGATTCCCCCCTTCACGATGGCCCAAACAACCAAAACAACAACATTATCAATAACAAGGAAAGCATTATTATCAACAACCATCACAATCATCATAGAAAAACCAAACTGACAACCTCAATCGGTAGTAATAACACTAATTCCTTCATCGATAAAACCAACCCTCCAGCTATCCATCTCTCTTCTAACAATTTGACTCCAGGAGGCACCAGGAAATTACCACTTCCCCAACTCTCTCCCAATGGACAATTCACTCCAGGGTTCATGAGCAATTATTTCAAAACGGGATTCACTCCCAATGAATCAGGTCTTCGTACCGGTTTGACTCCCGGAGGAATTCTTTCTGGACTAAGCGTGTTCACTCCTAGTGGGAACCTCTTCACTCCAAACTTTGTGAGTTTTTTGAATTCAAATCCGGAAAATAAGACTAATGGCGAAACCACAACACATTCTACACATCATACATCAACAGCAATGCCTCCAATAGCAGCAGCAACAGCCCCGCCGATAACAACAACAACGACAACAACAACAACAACGACAACAACGGGTATACCGACGATTCCGGAACTCAAGGGAGAAATGCCAGAGCCAAAAATTGAGGAGAAAGAAGAAAGTGCAAAGGAGACATTAGAGAAAGCAAGAGTTGGTCCACAACTACCACAATTACCACCAGCACCACCACCAATGGATAATATCACCAAAAAGGAAAAAGTATCGCCAAAGAATGGGATGGAAAAACCAGCGGGAGAAAAAAAACCTGCAAGAAAAAGAAAGGCGGCTGATAAAGAGTCTAAGATTGCGGAACCCCAAGCATCAGCTAAGAAATCAAAGAAAGAAACGAAAAAGACTGCAAATAATAATAACAATTATGATAATTCGCCAGCCATGGATAACTCCGGGGAAAATGATGGAGTTTCTGATGATGATAATATTAATCTTACCAAGGCTACTGTGTTTAGAAGATCGAAGAAAGAACTCAGCGAGGAAGATAAACGAAAGCTGTTTTTAGAACGTAATAGATTGGCAGCGTCCAAATGTCGTCAACGGAAGAAGCAAAATATCGAGAAAATGAAAACCGATCTACAATATTATCAAGGGGAACACGCCAGTTTACAAGGGGAAATCGGATCACTCAGGAAACAAATGGCGAGTATTAGAAATATTCTATCGAATAATAAGCAACAGTTGATTGATTCGGTAGGGTTCGATTGCTTGAACCAACTTTTGATCTTGAGTTCTTCAGGAGCTAACGCTGCTCCATTGAGCACCGTGATCCCAGGTCAAGGCCCCCACCTTGATCAGCCAATCCATCCCAATACTGCTGCCGCAGCGGTAGTTGCAGCAATGGGGGGACCAGGCACAGCTCCACCAGCCCCTGTTGCGGTCCCTCAACCTAAGGTTACTCAATTGGCTAATCCTGTGGTGGCGGTGGGGCCAACTTTACTACGCCAGCCAATCTCCTCCAATGACCCAACCGTCGTTATTGTACCATCAGGACGAGCCTCGTCGCAACAACCACCACAACAATATATCACTTCACCTCCACAGCCGGCCGCGGTGTTAATCGCTGACACTGATGCTAATGCAGGTAATGATACTAGAATAATCCAATCGCAAAACTTGATCAATGGCATGTTACCATTGAATTCCAAGTGGTAAAGAAGAGCCTAATGTTTTGCAAAAAGCATTTAATTCATTTGTTGGAGGAGGAGGAGGAGGAGGAGGAGGAGGAGGGGCACATTAGTTATAATGCCCAGAAAAGTATTGAATCCCTCGAGTGGATCACAATCGGTTCTCAGCGTCTTTTATTTTACTAGTACAATGTCAATGTCTTTGGATATTATTATTGTTATCACTAGCCACAAATTGCCAGGCAGAAAAAAAATAATAGCTATTCATGTTAATTATTATTTTATATTTTTAGTTATTCATTGCTTCATAATGCTTCATATTTTTTTCATAATTTTGCCCAACCCTCATCTTCGGTATCATTCTTATATTTATCCTTCTTTTCTTTTCTTTTTTAGTTGTTTCCTTCATTATGGTAGATTGCTTTTTTGGCTCTTTCTTTAGATTTTTATTAGCTTCGTTGCTTGATTATGTTCGACATAATATGTCTTTTTTTTTGCGCTATTTAATCGTTTCGGGTTAATAAGTTATTATAGAATTATCAAGTATCTCTTTTTTTTTTTTGTATATTAGTGGTGTGTGTGTGTATGTATGTAAATCGGGAAGATCAAGAATGTAGACTTCCTGGAAAACGTAAAAACAGTTTTTGATAAAATAATAATTGATGAAAGAAAAGTGGCTGCTGTTACACGTTGAAACTATTAGAAATGATGGAATTACAGTTAGGTGATAATAGAACATCTACCAGTGAAGAAAGTTTTATAAGATTTTTTTTATTCTTTAAAAATGCAACTAATAATTATGAGAAAATGCAGGAAAATATACTAAAAATACAGAGCAGATAAAATGAAAAAGTCCAGTCAATGACCGAGAATAATGGTGATGAAGAATGCAAATGGAAAAAAAGCAAAGCTAATGCAGTAATAAATTTGATGCAACAAGATGATGAAGTTGAGGTGTAAAAGAGATTAAAAAATGCAGGTCATTATTGGAAGATAGAAGAAAGAAAAAGATTAAAATTGAAAAAGAGATTATTTTTTCTTTTAACAATCGACCAAAGAAGTGACTTCCAAGTAAACTGGTTTACATTGAGCACCCAAAGATTCATCATACAAGTTGTAGAAAGTACCGGACAAACATTGGTAGAAAGTGGTGGTTTCACCAATGGCCAAGTTACCGTCGTAGATAGACCAACCGGCAGCGTAGATAGCACCGGCTTGTGGTGGTGGACCATCGAATTGGAATTGTCTGTTAGCGACAATAGAACCGATTCTACCTTTACCATCCTTCAAGATAGATTTTTCCAAAGTCATTTGCAAAGTACCATCGACTTTACAAGCAACGGCAGTAATACCATCTTTAGTGTTTTCGGCGGCAACAGTAGCGTTGACAGAAGCGGTAGAAGTGGCTTGGATTTGACCATCAGTAATTTGAGAAGCAACATTAGTGGTAAGAGTAGTGGCTTGGATTTGACCGTCACCAATTTGAGAAATAGCTTGAGCGTGAGTGGTGGTAGTAGCTTGAATTTGACCATCACCGATTTGAGAGATTGGTTGGACAGTAGTAACTGGAGCAGTAGAAGTAGAAGCTTGAATTTGACCATCACCGATTTGAGAAATGGCTTGGGCGTGAGTGGTAGTGGTGGCGGTGGTAGCTTGGATTTGACCATCACCAATTTGGGAGACAACATCTCTCTTAGCAACAGAAGAGGAAGCGGCAGTGATTGGAACAACAGCAATACCGAAAGTACCGTCGTAATCGGTAGTACCACCAGAGACCATAGCACTTGGAGTCAAAGTAGACCATGGTTCAGAAGGAACGTAGGCAGCGATGGCAGAACCAACGATAGCAGCAGTAGCGAGAGTGTACTTCATTTTTTATTAGATATTGTTATTAGAGATATGAGAGTGAGTGAAACAGTAGAATGTTTTCGTTTGTTGATTGATGATAGAATAGAGAACTAACAAGGAATTGGTGAAGCAGAGGGTCGAAGGAGAGTTATATACTGGTGCTTCACAGGGCTGGCTGCATGTTGACAGATTCTCTCGTCTAGCTGTGCAATGTGCGATGTGCGGGGCCCGTAACCACAGAGAAATTTTCCCCCTCCGTCTGTGTGAACATTGCGGCTAAAATTAGCAGACGACTGTTTGTTTGTTTTTTTATTTGTGTTAGTTTGCATGTGTGTAATTATTTCTTTATCTGTCTGTTTTGGAGAAGCAAAGATCAATATTACTACTGTATATGGAAATAGCTTCTCTATTAGGTGCCGTGAGTACAGTACAGTCTGTTCAACACAACCTGTCGGTGATATTGGGCTGAGTGGGCGCCCAAGGCTAACAACGTCATCTGTCAAAAGGGCAATACCAAAACAACAACAATATGATTTCTATTAATAGTAGGGTTAGTACAGCACACCACAGTACACGCGGGACGGACAAGGCCTGGTTCCATTGACACTGCCCTGATTGGCTGCTGGCGGTTATAATAAATAATAGCATACTATGATTAATAGTAGTATCAATCCTAATATATCACAACCACACTAGATCGTTATCCACTATCCTCCCATAACAGTATTATTGTGGTGGTGAGCACATTACATCACATCGCTGGCGTCCTCAGTCGTCGCCATCCACCGTCATCATCCGCCTGGACCGGGTGAGTATGTATGCACAACGCTGCATGCATGATTTTCCACCAAGGGGGGGTCGGCGCTAATTTTAGAAAAAATGGGACGAAAAAAAAACAAACAAAGGGATGCTGCAGCAGAGAACCCCCCGTCTACAAAGTATATAAACATCCAGGTATTCCATCTTCTGGCCATCAATCCAGCCATCTTATTTTGTTATACTCATCATCCTTGTTCTACACTTTCGTTTCTCTAATAATCCTTATCATGTTGTCCAGATCTATTGTTTCCCTCGCTACCATCTCTTCCGTGTTGGCCGCCTACGTTCCTTCTGAACCATGGTCTACCTTGACCCCATCCGCTACCCTTAGTGGCGGTACTACTGACTACGACGGTACTTTCGGTATTGCCGTTGTCCCAATCACCGCTTCCTCCTCTGCTTCATCTTCCGTCGCTAAGAGAGACGTTGTCTCCCAAATTGGTGACGGTCAAATCCAAGCTACTACCGCCACCACTACTAGCCACGCCCAAGCCATTTCTCAAATCGGCGATGGTCAAATCCAAGCTTCTACTTCTACCGTGACTCCAAAGACTACCGCTCAAGCCATCTCTCAAATCGGTGACGGTCAAATCCAAGCATCTACCTCTACTGCTGCTCCAAAGAGTACCGCTCAAGCCATCTCTCAAATCGGTGACGGTCAAATCCAAGCCTCTACTTCTACTGCTGCTCCAAAGAGCACTGCCCAAGCCATTTCTCAAATCGGCGATGGCCAAATCCAAGCCTCTACTGCCACCGCTTCTACTGCTCAAGCCATTTCTCAAATCAGTGACGGTCAAATCCAAGCCACTACTCTTACCACTAATGTTGCTTCTCAAATTACCGATGGCCAAATTCAAGCTACTACTTCCACTGCCTCTGGTGCCTCTCAAATCACTGATGGCCAAGTCCAAGCTTCTTCCACTGCCTCTGCCTCTGCCACTGCCTCATCTGATTCAGATGTTGTCGCTTGTAAGTCTGATGGTACTTTGCAATTGACTTTGGAAAAATCCATCTTGAAGGATGGTAATGGAAGAATCGGTTCTATTGTCGCTAACAGACAATTCCAATTCGATGGTCCACCACCACAAGCCGGTGCTATCTACGCTGCCGGTTGGTCTATCTACGACGGTAACTTGGCCATTGGTGAAACCACCACTTTCTACCAATGTTTGTCCGGTACTTTCTACAACTTGTATGATGAATCTTTGGGTGCTCAATGTAAACCAGTCAACTTGCAAGTCACCGCTTTGGTTGATTGCTAAACCAAAAACATTCAAAAAATAAAACGTTGATCATTGCAGAATATTCTTACGAGTATTTTTTCTTTTCTTTCTTAATTCAAGGTCATTGGGCTGGTTGTTTCTTTCCTCATATCATTTAACGGTTTTTTTTTCATATTATATATCATTGCATTTTTAACGAATTAATTATTTATCTGTCATTTGTTGCCTTTGTAGTTTCATATCTACTGGTCATATTTTTGCCTTCTTAGATTTCAATCTACCTGTCAGTTTTGACTTTGAAATATTATAGGGGGTGAGATTTTTCAAAGGAATGAAAATAAAAAAAAAATTAGCTCCGACGCACAGTGCCTGCAGAGGGTTGCATAGTTTGATAGAAGGAGCTGATCCCTTTTTTTTTTTTTTTTTGCGGTTCTGGGCAAAGCTTTTATTTTTAGGATATCCTACAGTTGATGTGAAAATATTATGGGAACGATAAGGACAGAATATTGGCTGTGTGTTTATGATAGAGTAAATGATCCTATTTTTTTTTTTTTTATTTTTTTAAGTTTTTTGATACCTTGGGCTCTCGTTGACTATGTTTGGGCATGATGTGATGTGATTTGTTTATGGTTCACAATATTTTTAGAAGAAAGGATAATTGAGTGGTGGAGTGACAATTATTATTGTGATTAAGTTTAGCAATTTCCGATTGGGTGATTATTTCAAAAATACACTTTTTTTTTTTGCGGTTGATTTGCCATGGCACAACTATTGTGGCAATGCTTTTTTGACTTGCCCCGTCCAATGATAAATAACGGTGGCAATGTGTTTATGCATTTTACCATTAGTCAAATGACTTTTTTTTTTTTTTCTCATGGCGATGTTTGTGAATTTCACCCGATTCTTAGCATAACTTATTATAGCAATGTTTCTGGGAAATAATCGGTAGTGGGAGCGAGCGATCAAGTATAAGTAAGCATTATTACCATAGCCTGTTACTGGATAAGGCTTATTAATCAATGTATGTATCATTAAAGTGGATTGGCTTTTTAATATCACCTTCAAAATAACTTTGGCGCCGAGAAATATGTCCTTAAGCAGCAGGCACACGTTTCCCTCCCTCTCTCTCTCTCTCTCTCTCTCTCCCAATGAATGATAAAAACGGGAGTCACGCACCCCGATAATAATAATATCTAGGGAAATAAAGATCAGGATCTGAAATTCGGGTGGCAAAGGATTCACATCCCTTTGTCTTGCCTTGTTAGGCGACACGGAAGCTTTAAAAAAAGATGCGGTTTATTTAGAGTTGGTAAGCAAGCAAAGCACCTATAACTATTTATGCCATACTGACGGTGTATTTATTATTTATTGTTGTCTTTGTAAGTTTTGTTTTGTTGTAAGTGAAGTGAAGGAAGCATGGCACCATTGCAATGGTATGTGAAACTGTATCGTTCCCTTTGTGATGTTTACGATCGTATACATTATTGATAAACTACAGGGTGGAACCTTACAAACAAACAAAATAATGATGGTCCACATCTCTGCAATAAAGGATTACTCCCCTCCCTCTAATCCACCACGGGGTATACACGATTAGCACATTGTTGTTTTCCTCTCTCCTAAACATCCTCCACAGATATTGATATTCCGAATGCTTTTTATTCCAGTTCACGTGATAAAAAGACAGCGGCGGGGTTGATCACACATCCCCCTTTCGTTCTTTGTTGATTATCCTTCCCAACTAACTTTCTTCTCTTCTTAAAAAAAAAAATATATTATCAAATAAAATAATTAAACGCAACAAAATACACTAAGTTAACAACGAAAAAAAAAAAAAAATCTCATTTCTTGCTCTTCTTGGTCTTCTTATCCTTCTTTTCTTTACCAGTTTCCTCGATTCTGTCATTTCTGATGGCATCCTGGACAAAGTAGTTCTTAGAAGTGTTTCTGATGAACCAGTCACTGAACTTTCTGGCAACCTTCATTTCGATGATTTGGATCAAGTTGTCGTTGATGGTGATGTCAAAGTCGTAAACGTTAGATGATTCACCATTGAGCAACCCGCTGGTAGCCCCAGGAAGTTGTTCTTCATCCTCACCGTTGGTGGCGGTCTTGACAGCGGCAGTTTCGGTCCATTTGATTTGGGTGTTGGTCAATTTGAAAGCCAACAACACTTCCTTCAATTCATCAAGGTTGTTGATCTTGGTGTCGTCACTTTCAAGGAAATTGAGGAGTTTTTGCAATTCCATACTACTGTACAAGTTCAAGTAAGTCTTCAACAAGTTGTTGTACACTGTGTTTTTAACGGTGACCATGAAGACTGATGAGTGCAAATGGATGGCGTCAATGTTCAATTCTGGTGAGTCGAAGCTTGGCAAAGAAATCGAGATGAATTTTGGTGACCCAAAGGCAAACAATTCCTCAATGGTTTTCAATGAGGCTTCACCACCTTTGACAATCTTGGACAATTGTTCGGAGAATTTTTCCTTGAGGTTGTTGTGTAACACATCATCGATTCTGGTTGGGCACAATCCAATCAAGATGGTGAGTAACGCGTACATTTGTTCGGATTTCTTGGTGATCGCGTCATACTGACCAGACTTGCTGATGTTCTTGATTCTGGTGATGTAGAGCAAGATATGGGAGAAAGTCTTGATAGCGTCGGCGTAACGATGCATCATCAAGTAACAGAACCCTGCGTAGTAGTAGGTGGTGAAATGGGCGCCAGGAACTCTGGTCAAGAAATTGGATTTCTTACTTAGTTCGATTTCTTCCATGGTTTTAAGGGCCAAGGTAAAGTCCCCCAACAAGGTATGGATTCTCAATAACCCGATTATCGAGAAGTACCCCAAGTTTTTGTAAAGGGTCAATGATCCGTATGGACCAGCAATTTCTGAAATTTTTGATGGTGGCAAGTTGTTTCTTTGGGCGGTCAATTGTTCGTAGATCTTAGAGCGGCCAATCAACGAGTACAAAGCGTTCAACACCGAGTAAGAGCTCCAGATTTCCACGTGTTGTTGGAGGAAACTGAGTTCTGCGCTATCTTGTTCGGATAAGTTCTTCTTGTTGATCAATTTGGAACGGAACACTGAAAATTGGTTGAATTGGTAAATAAACTCGTCGACAATATCCCAAAGCCACTTGGCTGGCAATTCAAAAGTCACTGGCCCACCTTCATGGTTCAAGATCAAGTTGAATAAGTTACAATAGTTGTTGTAAGAGTTGGTACGGTGTTCCAAAGTAGGGCCCAATTTGGCGTAGATGTGACGGTAGTACACTTCGGAATACAACACCAAAAAGATCTGATCATTGTCGACCAATGGAGCCACCTCAGTGAGTGGGTCGGGCCATGCAGATTTGGTGTAGTATTTGTCGGTTAATTTGTTGAAGGTGTTTTCGTAGCATCCGTGCAACTCGTAGACATTGTTCTCGAGGAAGTGCTTGTAGAAAGTACGGATGAAGTCCTTGACTTGGTCAGGAATGGCTTGCTGGACAGAAGAAGCAGACCCAATGTCGCCAGATGGTTTGATGACGTCGGTCATGATGGGCGATTTATAGTCGAATTTATTAGATTTGATATAAATAACATAGATAAAATAGATGGAAGAATTTTTGGCAGCGACTGAAATTTTTTTGGGGGAATTTTTTTTTAACGTGGGTGTTTGGGTGTTGATCCCATACAAAAACAAAGGTTATGTTATATGTATTGATATCTCTGTCAGATAGCAGCACACTATTTGTCACAATAATATTGAAGATTATTTATTATTATTTTGTGTATTATATCAATGAATTGCCAGCTACCCCCAGAAGATATCCTCAAAAACCCCCAATTGACAGCGATCCTTCACTCGAATTTGGCAAAGGAAATCCACAAATACTCCGCTGTGGTATACACCACCACAGGTCAATTATTGTACGGTTGGGGAATTTCCGTTGAGAACTCTTCGGGGATCACAAATATCACCGTAGAAAATGCTGAAATATTGGTGAAGGGGAGTTTGAAAGTGTTGAATGCCAATCACCATCTCATGGCACTGATTGACAATGAAGAAAATGACGATTTACGAATGGTAAGGACCAGTTATGGTAAGGGTAAAGAAATCATCATCATTCCCGGTGATGAGTTGGTAATTTCGGTGTTTGTTCTGAGAATTTGAGAAATTCCGATTTTGGATAGCGGTTTTGTAATGGCTTTGACAATTTATATTTGCGGTAAAACATATTGGTATCCTGTCTCAATTAGTACCACCTCTATGTCAAGTCAACCAATGCATATCATATTATATCAGTTGAATGAATATCAAGCTAATTAATATGAAACAAATCAATTGGCAAATCAATTGGCAGCCTGATGATACAAGGTTATTCTTTTTGCTATGATAAGGTAAAAACAATAATAAAGCAATCTGGTGATATTTTTTTTTTTTTTTTTGTTTTTTGATAAATGGTTGAACTTATTATGTTAGATGGCCTCAGTTGCATGACAATAATATATTGACCTACACATAATGTTCGGGTCACAAAATAACAATAATTATAGACATTACATTACCCATCAGAAACAATGTTCTGTTATTCCAAAATATAAATTAGATTTGTGTTTTCCAGAAGAATCCCCACCAAGGCTCATTGAATTCATGAATGATTTTTGGAAGGGTCTCCAAGAATGGAATTATAAGATAGAATATTCGACCATCATCAACCTCAGAGAGAGATCTTCAGCACATACATTTTCAACAATCGATGATGCCAGAAGGAGATCCCTGATTGCTCTAACAATCGGTGTCAAAAAGGAGATCTTTGATTTCTCTAACAATTGGTGTCAAAAAAAGAGATCTTCAATGGTGTCAACAAATGATTCTCTAAGAGGAATATTCAAGATATACGGTTTTAACAATCGATCTGGTCAAAGCTATTCGATGCAGACGGTTTTCGCACTTTTGTGGACTTTTCTAGGCTTCACGCGTACTATTTTGTATTGATGTTGATTCGTATACTTTTCTTTATTAAAATTTTTTTTTGCCGCGTATTCTTTTATTCCTGAAAGAATCAACTTAAATGAACAAAAAGCAATTGACTTGGCATACACGAGCTAATGAGCTGCCTGATGATCCAATAACCAAGCGATGTATAATGCTAATCGATCGAACAATTAGATGATGCATAATTTCGATTGATCGAAGGATTAGCAAATGTATATAATTATGAGCCTGATCGAAAGATTAACGGATCTAATAATTACCTGATACGGTAATTATATACTCTAATTTAGATGATGGGATAAAAATATATTTACCATTTGGTAGACGATCATCCTATTTTCTGTATCATAAATACGCTTTGCAAATATGAAGGGAGATAGATACTGTTCATTTTCTTTCTTACTTACTTATTCTATTGATTCTTTCTTCACGCATTCGCTGTTGTTGATGAGCTTTTTGCTCCCGTTATCTTTATTGCCGAGTCCTCAATGTAGAATGACATTCCAAAATTGCAAAAAAGTTCGATGTTGTCTCATAATGTCTGAGACCATGTATGTCATCGAAGTTGTCAAAATGCCTGTACAGTCGTCTAATTAAACCCGAAATATTCCTCAAGGGAACATTCGATGAGTGATGATGTTTTTGTTTTTGTTTGCTCGGTGTTTTTATGTACACAGATTTGACGTTGACGGGGTACGCAACGGTTTTTTTTTTTTTTTTTTGCAAGGAAATATCAATTTTTTTTTTTGAATACAATTACTTGCGAGATCATGGATTGTACTGTGAGGCGAATTTTTGTCTGAATAACCATTGGTAATTAGTAGTTTTTACAGTTCAAAGCCTTCAATCGTCAACGGTCAAAAAAAAAAAAAAATGTAAAAACAGTTCTTCACTAATGATCAATAATATCCTGTTGTTGTTGTTTTTTCACAAAATCTCAGGTTTGTTTGCTTGTTTTGTTGTTTTTTTTGGAAGGGGCTTATTATTATAAGTATTCTTCTTTCGCTATTGTTTCGTATTAGTTCCTATTATTTCCCAGCGTCCCATCTTCGCTATTCCCCAGTATTGGTGCCAATTTCGCGTAATTAGTTTTGTTTGTTTTGGTCGCTGGCACCGAGTATGCATGCAGCCCACTACACGACGCACCGGCATGTCAACATGTCAACATCGGGAAACCTCCAAAAGACTCATGGCAAGTACGATGCCTGCAAACCATCGATAATATATATAATACCCATCATGTCTCAGATTGTGAAACATTTATTTAAATCCTCATCTTATCATTCCTCCAGATAGCTCATCAATCAATCATCAATCACATATTAATTTGCTAATTAAGCCTCAAAGACATTAAATAACTAATCAATCATACTTCTAATTAGCTAAATTACAATTCTCAATCATGAAATTCAATAATTACTTGCTAGCCTCGGTCCTTTCTGGATTGGTCCAATCTGCCGCAGTTTTCCCCACCCTTGAAGTCAGATCAAACCTCACCACAGACTCAACAACCACATCGTCGACATCTCTCCTGACCTTTGCTTACGGTAATTCCACCCTCGATTCGACATCATCAGCAGCAGCATCCTCATCCTCATCCTCATCATCTAGTAGTACTATCACTTCTTCCTCTGCTATTGAATTGGCTATTAATAACAATGTGACTACAAATAGCACTACAGCCACCACTTCTTTCTCCGCCGTTGAATTGGCGGTTAATAATGCGATCACCAATAGTACCACGGCTGTCAGTTCAACCACTTCTTCTGCAGCTACTGTTAGTAATGTGATCACAAACAGTACTACATCCGCTACCACTTCTTCCCCAATTGCTGCTGCTTATTACAATGTGATCTCCAATAGTACTGCAGCCGCCAGTACCACCACCACTTCTTCTGCAGTTACTTCCAATAACAATGTGATCGCCAATAGTACTACTGTCGCTAGTACCACCGCCACTTCTTCTGCAGTTACTTCTGATAGCAATTTGATCGCCAATAGTACCGCAGCTTCCAGCAACATCACTTACTCTTACAATCTTAGAGCGGCTTCTACTACCCAGTACACCACCTTCACCTCCAGTGATTGCTCCAATGACCTTTGTACCACCGAAGTCAGCACCGCAATGTTGACCACCATGTTAGTCACTGAATCTGACGGAGATGAATATATTACTACCTGGGTTCCAATCTCTACTAGTTCTCCAAGTTACACTACCACTTCCCCAAGTGACGCCACAGAGTACACTACCTTCACTTCCAGCGAATGTTCCAATGGCATTTGTACCACTGAAGTCAGTACCGCGATGTTGACCACCATGGTAGTCACCGAATCTGATGGAGATGAATACATTACTACCTGGGTTCCAATTTCTACCAGCTCTCCAAGTGACACCACCGGTATCGCTATCCCAGTAACCACCACCGCCTCCAACGGCTCAGCTCTTGTCTCCACCTCCATTGCTCCATTAATCACTGCTGCTCCTAATGTCACCGCTTCAATCAATGCCGACGACGTTGTTTCATCTCTCGTCACTTTGGTGGAATGTAATAATGGAGTTTGCTCGACCACCACCTCGGCCATCTGGTACTCTACCACTTTAATCACCGATTCCGACGGTGAAGTCGATGCTACTGTTTACTTGCCATGGCCAACTAACACTTCTTCATCATCATCTTCTTCTTCTTCTTCTTCTTCTTTCCATGTTGTTGGTAATTATTGGAACTCGACCACCGAAGCATACACCACCATTCCTGTCAATCAAACCACTATGGTCACTGCCTCCGCCACTACTTGGGTCGCCTTTACCACCTGTGATCTTGAAGGGTGTGTTACTGGTTCTAGTGCTACCGCTTCTGCCGTTTCCACTTTCCAAACCATTACACCATCCATCACCACTGCCGGTGCCAACAGTCCATTCACAGTAGTCAACCCCGTCAAATCAACCCTCAATGCCACCACTTACGCCACTACCGAGGTCGTCGGTGCCTACATTAGTGGTAATTACACCAGTGCTTTCTACACCACTTACAGCACCACCCAGGCCGATAATATCACTTATGTTCCAGTGTCTACCATTATCACACCATCGTCAATGGCCACTACCACTGTTCCAGGTGCTATTGGCGTCACAAATGCCAGTGCTGTTGCTGCCATCACTTCTCCAGCCAAGTCTACTATCGAAACCTCTTTCCTCCAACAGAGTTATACTCCACAAGCCACCCCAACTGCTCACCAATCGAGCTCGGCAAGCGTTTTCGCGGTCGCTAACTCCGGGGCCACTTTGAAGAATATCTTCAATGGTGGAATGATGACAAGATGGATTTTGAGCATCTTGTGTATCACACTCACAATCTTCTTGCTCTTGTAAGAAAACTATGTATATATACACACTTTGCTTTTTTTTTCAATTCTTGATTCTTTAGTTTACTTTATTATTTTCTATTGATTGATGTGTTGGATATCCTTCCATCTATTTTAATTTTCCATCTTTCCCTTTTTGCCGGCTATTAATATAAATTTTTGTCTCTCCGTATTAAATGTTTATTGTATTAATAATTGTAATGTCCTCTATTAAATATTGATTGATACTTGTCATTATTATTGTGTCCTATTATTAGAATCTGGCTTCAGTTTTGCTTAGTTAGTTATTAACACTTGCGGTACGATATTTTTAGAAATTCCGGTGTACAGGCTAGCTATTAAAATTTATAATTCATGTGAACCTTTAGTAGACTTCTCCAAAAAGCTCTTCAATCTGTTTTCTGGTTTCTGATAACAGTGATCTCCTTTCTGAGCTCATCCATCAGTTCGGTAACTTCTTTCATATGTTTATTTAACGTTTCCATAAAACTTTTATGCTGCTTTTCCAAATTTTCTAATCTTTCTCCAATCTGGAGAGTGGCGTCACCAAGAAGACAAGCGCACTTTTGAACGGTTTGTATGCCTGACTCATGCTCTTTGAGCCGCTGCATAAATAGTTTTATTGTGTCATTGGTCTTGTTGCAAAAATCCTGCCAAGGCGTATCTTGAGAAGTATCAGCAACATTATCGATTAACGGTACACCCACAACGCGAGGTCGAGGAGGTATGTCAAGTCCATCAATAAAACTATCAAAGGTCGAAGATGAAAGAGCTCTTACTCGGGTATTTGGAAGTGTCATCTTTGGAAGGTTGTCTGCTATCAACTCCTCTGTGGGCTTTCCTCGTTTCTTCGTTTTCTGTTTGACCATCGGCTCTTCATGAAGACCATTATCGGTGGACTTTCTTCGTTTCTTCGTTGTTTGTTCAATCACCGGCTCTTCATCAAGATCACTGATTGGATGTCCATTTTCGGCGTATTTTGCCTTGATACGCTTATACATTTTCAAACTATAAGGATGCATCACCTCGGGCACCCCAACATCTTGCAAGTGGGGCTCAAATTCTTCTTGCATTACCCTCCACCTACGCTTCAACGGGGCAATGGTCTTGAACTTTTGAGTAGTGGTGCTCAAGTTCCATATTTCGAGGGCAGTATCCCAGTTATATGTATGATGTTTTTTAACAGCCCTGGTTAATGAGAAATGCGGGGCGTAGCAGTAGATGATATCTAGCAACAAGAGCTCGGAATAGAATTCTAAACCTTTGGTATCCTCGAGGGGAGACCTTGGTATGTGTCTGACCCCTATAGGCAGATCGGGAAAGTCTATTATAAAGCGGTGAGTGCCTGTTTGTTCTATCATGATGGCTGTAAAAATACGGGAAGGGAAGAGCGATAATGGTGATAATGGTGATAAATTTACACAAAAGGGGGACTGTGATGATTCAATGGCTTACCCTGTCGTGATCATTACCATCAGTGGATTATTATTATTGATGATGATGATGATGATGATGATGATGATGGCAGGAAATTACTGTTTATGAAGCCGGCCATTTGGTGTTTTAATATAATATTCGTGCTGACAAACAATCACAACTTTCTGGGTGATACCACTAGTGGTTGTTGACATAAGCAAAAAAGCCGTTATTTTGGATCAAAAACTATTACCGTTTTCAGCCAACCACGGGAAATAAAAAAAATAGAAATTATCAAAATAACACACCTTCTGCATCATATATATATATAAACAGAAATCACACATCAATCGCAATATATTCCAACATTATCGAAACATGGGCCTCAGGTTTTCGGTAGATACACCCACAGAGAGTGATACATAAGGAAAGGCAACAGATAGTCTGTCAGCAAAACGTGCTAGGCTCGAATACCCTCAGAAAAAATTGCTTCTTGAAATTCTCTCCCCTTACTTTGATCCTTCCGTGCGTCCTATAGACTGGAAACAGTTGAGGAGAAAATGGAACTCCAAATCAAACTATCTTAATTATTGCATTAATGGCGAAGAGTTTCGAAGAGTTTCGCCTTCATTTTTTTGCTCTCAAACTGGAAGTACATCGGTCTATAAGGATCCAACGGTCTCAAAGGAAGCATGGTTGCACTGGCAAGGGAATTGCTTATCCTGATAGTGAATTGTTCAGCACTTACCTAAAATTCCTTGGGATCGATGAAGATTGGAAGTCAGTGGTGAAGTCTCGATCGGTAGAAGACGATGGTGAAAGAAATGATAATAAAAGAAGAAAGATTGATGATCTATCAATGGATAATGAAAATATAGCAAGTGTATCGCTAGAGACAAAGAATGATAATTATCATAAGAAACTCAAGTATTCATCAACCAGTCTTATAAGTGACAAGGAAAACACAAAACATGATAAAAGCCTAGCCAAGGAGGGGCAATTATCAGACGAAGCGATCCGCACCCTTATTCATAAAATCCAAGAGTTACGAGAAGAGTCGATCGCCTTTCGTACTCAACTTGCCGAATTGAAAGAACAATGTTCAAAAATTTCAGTTGTTGAAAACGAGATCCGGCTCAAATTTTCAAAAATCTCAGATACTGTGGAACGAGTTGCTTCTCTGAAGAGAGAATCACCACCTTGGTAAATTTCGTTTGTGCTTCTTCTCTTTTATTTTTATGGTGATTCTGTTTATCTCTGAGGATGTATGTGTTTCACTTTATATTGTAAGGTTCGTGCAATATTTTAGAATTTTAAAATAGAATTGTATTGTATTGTATTGTATTCTTTTCAATTAGTATCATCACCGATGTTTTATTTATAGAGGCTAGACAATAATTTGGCATAAAATTCATCTGTTCTTTACTTTCTATCAATACAATCAAAAAATTGGTTTCTTGAAACAGAGTGCTGAATGAAAATTAAAAAAAAAGGACATGAGACTTAATTATATTTCGGAATTATTATTTTTTTTCTTTTTAGGATATATTTTATGCTCTATATTGTATAAATGAATTGTTTTTTTGTTCTGTTTTTTGATAGTCCGGAAGTATTCCAAACTATTGGTTCATCGAAACTTTGTAATAATGAAGCGGTTACACATACTGGTCTGGTATTTGTGGCTAGGATGATAATTTCAGTTGCTAGAATCAGCAGTGAGCATGGAAACATTCGAGTTGTTATGTTTGTTATTTTTGTTATTTATCCTACTGCAGGCCTGTTTTTTTGTTGTTTTTTTTTGTTCATTAATCTATTCATTTATTTCTATTTTATCTTGTTTTTTATCTTGTTTTTTATCTATTATTTCAACTAGTTGTTGCAAAGTATACCAAAGCAATGCTAACGAACTACATCGCCAATTTATACTCCAAAGGTCCTGAGGTGAATGATCAATTGTGCCTTGTGAATATATCAAGTCTCTGATTTAGTGAAAATTGCTCATCTGAAGTTATTCGAGGGATGAATAAAATTTTACTGAATAGTGCTAGGACAGAAGAACCTTGCTTGTAGTATCTTCTTCTTTCAACACTCTTCATCAGGAATACTAGGCAAAAGAATAGTGAAAAATTATGCTAAGAGATAATATGTTTGAGTTTGGTATAACTAATATAAATAAATATAGACATAATAAAGTTAGATAGACAAGTAATTAATTTCTCTGTTTGTTGCATTGTCTTTTTTTTTTTTTTTTTTCCGAAGTTAGTCTGCTAGTTATCTAACAGTTTATTTCTAATATACCTCTTTCTGAGATAATTTTTTTCTCATCTAACTATATTTTTTTTTTTTTTTTAACTAGTTAGTACAGAATCACAAGATCCCTAACAAGTTACGAGAATCTTTGTGACACCGAACCTTCGCAATACTCAAAGACATCATTAGAAAAATATAGAGAGAGCGGGCATGGAATAGAGCAATCAGCACTTACCAATTCAACTCTCCGCTCATATCTTGAGATAACTAAATTTTGATATTACTCTTCTCCAATTGGGAGATCTGCTGTGCTTGATAAGGATCTGCGCATATTTGACATTACAGATCAGGGTCCACTAAAGTCTCGAAAAAAAAAAAAAATGCGCCATACACGTTGCCAACATGCATTGCAAAATTGATGCTTCCTGGACATCTCCAATTCTTTCCTATGCAGTTTGCTATATACTAGCAAGCCTTTCATGGGATATATTTGGCATACACTTTGCAAAAAAAAAAAAAAAAGAAAGAAAAAAGAAAAAAGAAAAAAAGCAAGGGTTTTGGCACATCATATTGCTAATTCTACGTCATCAAGGCTATTTATTCGTTTCCAGCAACCCGTGCAAAAAACACAGTGCCGTTGGATCAAAAAATTAGTTAGGGTATATACAAAACAAACTCCGGTCCCAGCAGTGGTGGATTCCTGTGGTAGTGTTTTGCTGTCAATGTCAGTTGGGTGGTTATTGCTGGAACGTCAACACAACACGGGGATTACTGTGGCCGTTCCTGTCAAAGCGCGTTTAGAAGCTCAAGCGGCGAGCTACAATACACTACTACCCTCTGGCTACTTACTGACAATAGATATCAGACCATTGCTTATCTTTGATGGAGAGACATGGCCCCACGTGTCTATATATCTGCTATAGCGTAGCATTCATTCATTCATTCATTGACTGCAGTGGTTGCGAGTATGTATCCACCGGGTAACAGCACATGTCGTAATGTTTGTGTTTTTTTTTCCAGCAAGCGCATTTATTACCCGTCTGGCAAACAACCCAACCTTTTTTTTTTTTTTTTCCATAATAAAAGTGGTGATCTTTGCTGTCTTCATTGAGTTTTGCCCTTTTGCCATCTTTTACCAAGGATTTTATCAAACATCAAAAAAATGACTTCTGTTTTCTTCGACATTGCTATCAACGGTATGTGATAATATCCCATTCTCTTTTGCAATTGCTATTGCTATTGTTTGCCAGTATTGTCAGTATTGTTTTACTAACTGCTGTTATATAGGTCAACCAGCCGGTAAGATTGTTTTCAAATTGGCCACCGACGTTGTCCCAAAGACTGCTGAAAACTTCAGAGCTTTGTGTACCGGTGAAAAGGGTTTCGGTTACGAAGGTTCTGGATTCCACAGAGTCATCCCACAATTCATGTTGCAAGGTGGTGACTTCACTCGTCACAACGGTACCGGTGGTAAGTCCATCTACGGTGAAAAATTTGCCGATGAAAACTTCACCTTGAAGCACACCAAGCCAGGTTTGTTGTCCATGGCTAACGCTGGTCCAAACACCAACGGTTCCCAATTCTTCATCACCACTGTTCCATGCCCATGGTTGGACGGTAAGCACACCGTCTTTGGTGAAGTCACCAGTGGTTACGACGTTGTCAAGAAGATTGAAAGTTACGGTTCTGGTAGCGGTTCTACCAATGCTAGAATCACCATTGCCAAGAGTGGTGAATTGTAAACAAGTTTTTGATAATTATTATTAAGTGACTTTTGTGGACATTATTCTGTGTTTATGTTTTTTTAATGAAGCAGGAGAAAATTTAGAAAACCAAAAAAAAACAGGAAGCTGACTGAAATTAATAAACGTTGGTGTGTTTTTTATTAATAAAGTGAGTGAAGTTGTAGAAATTGTAGGTAGAAAGGCCGATTGGAATTATCTTCGCCATCTCAAATATGCGGGGGAGAAAATCAATCACTTTGAGGCAAATTGCAAGATCTAAGAGAAACAAAGTGATTAAACTGGGCTGGCATACGCAAAGATGGTGGATGAAAAGACTCAATGGTTTAAATATCAATAAGAATGTTGAAGCAATTCCTCATCCCCTCCCACCAATTTGATGATTTTTGTGGAGAATTACAGGCGATCTGTTTTTTCGGATTCGAACTTCCCAAAACAACGAGTCGCATACACTATTTAAATAACGTCGTGGATCTCGCTGTACTTTTATATTTCCAATCACTTACTTACCATCATAATAATTCGCTAGTTCTTCTTTAATATATATATATATAAATATATTCCATCTTGGTTAATGGACAACCTCTCTCTTCAAGTGACCCCTGACCACCGGTTGGTGCTCGAAAATGCCCCTTTCCCGACCCTCCTGGCGCATTGTGTGGTGATCCACCCCCGGTGCACCGGGGTGTGTGGTACCGACTTACACTGGTACAAAAATGGGGCTATTGGGGAAATGGTGGTCCACGACAACATGATCATTGGTCATGAGGCTGCTGGAGATATTGTTGCGGTAGGACTGGCGGTCCAAGGGTTCAAAGTTGGCGATCGGGTAGCGATCGAGCCCCAGATGCCTTGTATGAAGTGCCATTACTGCCGTGACGGGAAATTGAACTTATGTCTCGAAGTGGCGTTTATGGGATGTGTTGACCGACAAGGACCCACTCCGGGACTGTTGCAACGCTTTGTGAGCCATGATGCCCGGTTTGTCCATAAGATTCCCGACTCGATGACTTATTCACAAGCCGCCCTTGTTGAACCAGTCTCGGTGGGGTACCGAGGAGTCCAGCGGTCAACAATCGAGTTGGGCAAAGGCGTGGTGGTATTGGGAGCCGGCCCCATTGGATTGTCTACCCTCATACTTGCCAGAGCCAAGGGAGCCACGCCATTAGTGGTCACCGATATCGATGATCGAAAGCTCGAGTTTGCCAAACAACTTGTTCCCGAAGTGCAAATCTATAAAGTCGACCCGAAGTTGGACGAGGTCGCCAACGCCACCCGGTGCCGGAATCTATTCTTTGGAAACACCGAGTACCAGGCCCCGCCGGCGGTACTCGAGTGCACCGGAATAGCCAGCTCGATCATCACCGGGGCGTATCTTGTGCGACGTGGGGGATGTTTGACGGTGATCGGGGTGGGCAAGTCGACCGTCGATAAGTTCCCGTTCATGCACTTATCGTTTGCGGAAATCGACGTGAAGTTTGTCAACCGGTACTACGATACCTGGCCGGCTGTGATTAACTTGATTGCCAACAAAATCATTAACGTTGACCCAATGGTCACCCATACCTTCCCTTTGGAACAAGCAAAGAAGGCGTTGGACACATGCGCTGACCCTAATACCCTTACCGTAAAGGTACAAATCGAAGACAATACCAAGGTTGTTTTGCCGGATTGTTACAAGAATGTTCATCATTTGTAACAAGCGATGAATGTTAATATTGTTTGTTTGTTCTAGAGAAAATTGCTATTGAATAGACGTTTTTTAGATCTATTTACAATTGTAAGCTTTACAACTAATGAACCTTTAATGAAAAACCAAAAAATATTAACAAACAAAATAATAATAAATGAAATAACATACATATATATATATAGGTATCTTGTATTAATCTAAAAAAGCCAATAATAAAAATACAACAGTAAAAGAAAACACAAAACACAAAACTTTTTTTTTTAAGCATTAAAAATAATTCAAAAGAAAGTGGGCTCGCTATTGACATTTGGTGTGGCAAACGGATTGGTCACTATTGGACTAGTCATTCCATGTTGGGCGAAACTTCCTCCCGTACTATTTGCTTCGAATCCCTGGGAATTGATGATTGGACTACCAAAATTCGAAGTGGAGGCCTGAGATTCCATTAACGGGCTCAAGAATGGATTGTTTGGGTTGGCCACACGATTAAACCCTATGGTGGTAGGCCCATTATGATAAGGATTCCTGGTATGTATTTCTCTAAAATCGGTGGTATGGGACCTCATTGGTGATGGCGGGGCTGGCGGTTTCGGAGATCCAGGGGAAAAAGGGACCGTGAAGTTGATAGGGATAGTCTGGGTTTGGAGCTGGGAAACTATTGGTTGCAAATCATCAGACATGACTGAGTTATTACTATTGTTGTTATTTTGCTTGTGAAGCTGATTGAAAGTGACGATTTTCGTGGGCAGGGAGTTCGATCTGAATTTTCTAGTTATCATCCCTGGAGGAGGGGTAAGTTTCTTGAGCGAATTGGTGGCAGAAAAATGTAATGAGCCAGAAGCAGTCTTACGATGTGGAGAAGAGGACGAGCCAAATGAAGTGACGCTTTCATTCTTTGAAAATCCTGGTTCCCAAGCATCATTATCATCGTCGTCGTCATCATCATCATCATCATCATCATCATCATCATCATCATTATCGCTCTCGTCGTTCTCATCAAAGTCGACATCGTGTAATTTCTTCAGGCGACGACCACTGGATAAATGAAGTTTGGAACTAAAACTACTGCTCAATGACGAAAGCGACCGTGATCGGGACTTTGTTCCTTCTATAGTGTGATCATTGTTAGAGTGTGGAGCTTTCTCATGGTCGCCGTAATCATAATCATCATCTAACAAACGATCCTCCAGGACCCTTCGATTACCATGGTTTAATTTGGGGCTCGCGGAATGCTTTCGCCATATCTTCAGTGACGCCGACAATGCATGATTCGATGCTTTTTTTCTTAACCCAAGATATTTAGACTTTGATGATATTCCTGGAGGTTCAATATAATCGTCAGTGGTGGATATTCCTCCTGATAAACTTCTATAATTGTCGGGCAGCTGGTCGTCTTCGGTGACTATTGATGACGGATGTGCATGGTTGGCATTAATCAAATCATTGCCTAATATCATAGAGATATCATATTTACTATCGTCGTCGTGCCTACCATCCCGGCAGTCCCTTCTCATTTCCTGTAACAACTCATGGTTGCCAACCAACTCCAACAAATCTGAAGATTTCTTCTTGATCACTTGACTTGCCTTAAATTCCAACTTTGGCAAATGATAACTCTCGTTGATCCGGTGCAAAATATCATCGTAGTGCGAATTATATGACTGATAACTGTGTGAGATCTTATCGTCGTCGGCTGCATGCACCAACAAATAATCCAAGGTGATCAAGCACTTGAGGACCACTCGGTACTCAACATCCACATTCCTTTTTGATGTCGAGGTCACATTATTAGGAGTCACAATATTATTCTTATGGTTACTGAATCCCGCAAAACTGCTCTTGATGCCACTGATCGGGTTCTTTCCCTTGTCGTAACACTCGACCAATTTTTCAAAAATTGCCGTCAATATCGTGAGTTGATTATGGAACGAATCATTGGAATGCTTTGAAAGTGACGAAAGTTGAATTACTGATGGTCCCCATGCTTCATTACTTAACGTATGGTCGACGAGGGTTTCGATTTCTTGATAGATATCTTAAAAAGTTGACATTTCTGGTTAGTAATGCTGTTGGGATATCACGAAGAAATAGCAAAGAAGTAAAAGCAAAGTAAGAACTTACTGCTATTTGAAAGGGTTCTTCTTCGGCCAGGAATGCTGACAGAAAACCTTCCCATGGTTAATTTTTCTTGGTTACTAGGGTAGTTGGTGGTGGTGTTTTAGCCAAGGGGGGCACAATAACAGGGCCGTTTTCGATCATTTGTTTTTTTCTCGTTTAATTCAGCAGGTGCCATCAACTTGGAACCATGCGAATTCACCAACACACACCACTTTATCAACAGGATATTAATTATGGTGAAATATATATTCCTGGTAGTGGTTATTGTAACGTCGAAAATAAGTAATTTAATCTACCCTACCACAAAAAAAAATAAAAAAATTTACAAGGAAATTCCTGTAAATTTCCATCCTCTAAAAAAAGAACAACACAATTAAAACAATTAAAACAAAATGCTATAATATAATATATATATATATATTCCAATCTCGAAACAATCATTCTTGGATCTCGTCTTCCCAATTATCCTCATTAATAGTGGCTCCTTCATTTTTGTTGAGCTTCTCCACTCTTTTCAACGCAGCTTTTCCTCCCAATTCCTCAACCAAAAACCCAATTTGTTCTCTCAATTCATCTTCACTGTCAGAAGAAGCGTACATGATTCTTGATCCATTGGACAATGCCACAAGCGCAGAATTGATATACTCAGTGATCTCTTCGGTGGCACCGTTACCTTCAGAGTCCATCGACAACTTTACGTTATTAATCGCTTCAAGACGGCTTCCATCCCCCTCATCAACGGCATTAGGGTTCTTGAGTTGGTATTCTAATGTCTTGGCCGCCAAGTAGTTACTGAATGCCTCGACATAAAATGGCTCGAGCAAATCGTCAGTAATATCGTGAATATTTGCAGCTACCGTTGCCGCAACGTCAAAGAGTCCTACTTCGGTGGCGTACTTCGCAAGAGTCAATAACGGTTGGATCATTTCAATATACTCTAAATTGACATCACCATCGTTGTTATCATTATTGTTGTTGTTATCACTGGCAGCGGTATCGGCACTATCTTCCAACCCTTGTTTCTTCACTTGGAATAGTTCCCAAGACTTCCTTATATGTTCTTGAGCTTCCTGTGGTTGCTGTTGGGAGATTCTGATAGATGCGAGCAAAGTCCAAGTTTCAGGGTTAGAAGGATCAAGCTCAATGGCTTTGGCGATGAGGTCCTGGCATTGGGTTTCTGCCTGAGGTTCCATACACAAATCGGTCATCCAGATCTCGATCTGGGCAAACAACCCTTGGACAATTTTTTTCAACCAATGAGGTCTGTCTTGCGCTGGTCTTTCTTGCAATTGGGTCTCGGTGATTGTACACCCTTTAATAATATACTGTAATCCATCAAACCCCCCGACAATTTGCCCCAAGTTGAAGAACCCGTCAACTGAGACCTGACCATTGGGGTCCAACTCGATGCTTCTGGAATAAATCTTGAATGCCTCTTCGACTTCACTATTTTCCAACAAAGTCTCCCCCAAGATATTAAGGTATTTCACATCATTTATATACGATTCGTCCTGGCCGTATTGGGATAATAGTTGCAACGCGTCTTCAGGGTTAGAGTTTGCCAAAAGTTCTTTGGCCTTCTGTATCACCGAATCTATTTCCGACATTATCTATGAAAATTCTATGATTGTTGTGATCAATATAACCTCGATTGATTCCAGTACAAATATCCCGATGATTTACCTAAAAGTAAAAAAAAAAAAAAAAAAAAAATTTTATCGGTATACTCTTTTTGGTCACGTGCTGATCGAGAAACGATTTTTTTTTTTTTTTTTTCCTTCTTCAAATTGCCAGTTTTTCAATGAGAGGAGGAAGATCGAGTATTTCTATCGTTAAATAGCTATTGTATTATCTATATATCCTGTCAACCACAATGGACCCTATAGAAGAACAGGAACAGGAACTCGAAGTTCTTGAGTCGATTTATCCAGACGAGTTACACAAGATCTCCAACACCCAATTTCACATCATTCTATTACTCGACACCGACAGTGATAGAAAGCACAGGTTAAAATTAGAGGTTAAGTACCCTAAACAATATCCAGAAGAATTGCCAGATCTCGGAGTGACAATACCATCACCTGAAGAGTACGCTGAACAAGATCAAGACTATGAAGAATATGAAGAAGATAGTGATTATGACGATGACGACGATGACAACGCCGACGATGATGATGATGATGAAGGCAAAGCTCCAGTGATTTTCTCCGAGGTGGTAGAATTCGAATCAGAAGACCTTAAGAAGCTTCTTGATAGACTATACGACGAGGCCAATGAGAATTTGGGAATGCCTTCGATTTTCACGATCGCCAGTACTTTGAAAGACGAAGGGGAGGAGTTATTCAAAACAAAAGTCGAGGCGGCTCAGAAACAGTACGATGATGAATTGTTAGCCAAAGAAATGGAAGAACAAAAGAAGTTCCACGGGACCAAGGTCACGACAGAGAGTTTCAATGGCTGGAGAGCCAGGTTCAGAAAAGAAATGGGCTGGGATACGAGAGAATCAGAGCGGTTAAAGAAGTTGCATGCTGGAAGAATGACCGGTAAAGAATTGTTTGAGAAGGGTCTTGGAGAAGACGGTGATGAAGATGAAGGAGATGAAGATCCACAACAGAATTTGAAAGCGGCAGTGGAGAAGTTAAACGTATAATAGATTCAAAAACTGGCTATTCTGCCGCAATACCGATCACACAAAGTGACAGTTCAATTCTTAATATTAGGGTCTGTTTATTTATATGATGCTTTATCATTTTTGGGTTGTTTTTTTTTTCATTTTCTTTTTTTTTTTTGCCAGAACTTCCATATTAAATTCTTTTTCGCACTTAATCTGGATTACTTGTAAGGAAATATGAAAAAGAATAATTCAAATCATATTGTAACTGCTTTGGGAGTTGAAAAAAAAAATATCAAGCTACACAGAGCTTTTTAAAATTGTTCAGGATATTTACCAAATCAACTTGAAAAAGCACTGTCAATATTCAGTGCAACAAAAAGGTAGAAGCATTTAACTTCTTAGAATTTAAGAAGTTATAACAATTGCTGGACGAGTTGGGAATTGAACCCAAGACCTCTCCCATGCTAAGGGAGCGCGCTACCAACTGCGCCACACGCCCGATATTTTTCTTCATTTGAGGTTTTTGACAGACAGAGTTCTCCAATAATACTGTCACGTGATTTTGGGGGAGAATAATAAATCTGACACAGCTAGGAATACGCAATAATACCCATAAACATCTGCGCGAATGGTGTAGTGGCTAGCATTGCTGCCTTCCAAGCAGCAGAGCCGGGTTCGATTCCCGGTTCGCGCATTTTTTATCTCAATGGGTTTTAGAGAGAAATTTTTTGAAGAGTGATTCTCCCCCTTTTTTTTTGCTTCTGTTTTCAAAAGACCTATTGCTCTGAACCGAACTCAATATTTCAAGAAGAGTTTCTGTAAACCCCCTTATTGTAACCTTCAGGAACAATGGTTTCCGTAGTTTTTTCACGCTCAGTGTAAATTTATCCTTCTTAGTCTTTTGTCTGTACTTTTACATGCTACACGGAATTCTTTTATACCATTTAACCCAGGATAATAAGGAGGTAAAAATACAAGTTCTGAACCACTTAATGTCACTAGTAATTGAAGACCACGACATTTATGAATATAAGCATCATCCATGATGGAATATTTTTAGGCCTGTATTGTTTTTCATTTACAGGATGAGTGGCTGACTTTACAAAAACCATAGAAGATGATTAGCTGTAGTACGTTTGCTCGCTTTCTTCAGATTATTCGCGTCTGATTCAAGTTTTCTCTTGTTGCTGGGCGAAGGCAATCTTTAATTCAATGCATTTACACTTATCAATTTTTTGTAGGAACTTCTCATTTCCACTGATGAGAACAAAGCTTAAGACTTCTTTACCTTGTCGTCTTAATGATGCAATCCGATCCATCCATATTCACACCAGTTGATTTGGAAATGTACTCATAAAGCTTGTTTTTTTGTTGTTGTTGTTTGTTTTTTTTTCTCTGTGATTTGATCCATTAATCACATACAAACACTTTAAGGTACAATGTGCGTGAAAAAACATTGTATTGTATGGAACACACCTTCACAAATGATATAATAAAAAGAAATCATCGGTACTTCACCATAAAACACTACAGTGACAGAGAAAAATGATAAATAGTAAATATAATGTATACATTAAGAAATTCAGAAATTCTTATTAGCACAAAAATTCAAGGAAAAATGATCAACGTTCTTATGGGAGTTGATTCTTTTGATCAATTCTTCCGTGAAGGTGGCTCAGCTTTTGCAAAGAGGCTGGGGCAAGCAAGTCTGAATCATGGCTCTTTACAGAGTTTGAATTGTTAATGGTAATTTCATATTGAGGATCGTATAAAATTACTGAATGAACAATACTGGTGGTGTATGTTACAAGCACATTTTGGTATAACAGCATTGTTATTTCGCTTTTGTTTGTTTCAGCTTGAAATAAGCGGGGACGGCTTTTGCCTTTGGATGAGGGGTTTTTTTCCTCCTTGGATACTACGCTGGGATATCCTAGCTGTAAATATAGCCATTTGAATCCATTTCTGGACATAATCACAATTTACTCTTGTGGCATAATAGACAGGAAGTTATACCGTAGTGCATATAGTAACCATCAGTATGCATATGGGAAGGATACAATTATAAAAAGCTCACAGTATTTGTGTGATGATATTTTATCGAAGCCTCAAAGAGAAGGAAATGAATAAGCATTTACGATTTACACTGTGTTTATTGCTTATCATTGCGTATATACTGGCGACATGATATATGCTTATTCATTTAATCCCTTTGTCATCACAGTCAATTATTCAAGAACAAATTTCTTTTTATGGATATTTTCAAAGATGATTTTCTTGTTCTTTTTTTTTTTTTTGATTTTTCATTGCGGCAACCAACAATACGTTAATATTTATTAGCAGAGGACTTAGTTCCTTCTGACTATTGTGTATTCAATATAACGATGTTATAGCCAAAAATCACTGACGGGTGTGGTACGAGAGGGTTATGCGCGTTAATGGCCAATCACCTTCCGGCGTTTGTTTTTCCCTCAGAAAAATTCAAACAGAAGAAAAAAAAAAGTGATTATTACCTAATAGGCCTCGCTATTGTACCATAGAAATCTATCAAATAACAAAATAGAAAATGAGCACTGTTAATGTATGTGATGGGGTATTGGATGTTATTATATATTGTCAAAAATTATAATCACAGAAATTGTATGGACTTTAAATTATCATCGTTGTGCATATGTCTTTACTAACATTTTACAAAAAGGTCTTCAGATACTCTGCTTTGGGATTAGGTGTTGTTTATGGCTTCACCCACCGTTATAGCCTTAAGTCAGCTGCTTTGAAGAAAGAAGCCGATGACAAGCTCAAGAACACTGAAAAATTGATTGCTGAAGCTAAGGAAGAGTACGCCAAGTTGAACAACAAGGGCAAAGACTCTAGCTCCACCGATTTGTCAAAGATCAACTTGGATGACAAGAACTTGGATTTTGCTAAGGTTATTTTGGGTAGTCTCGAAACTTTGAAATAAGTTAATCCTTTATCAATAAAGTAGACCATCAAAAATACAAAAAAAAGCATCTTAAAAAAACCACCAAGAAACGACAAACAATATTCCAACAATATATCATGACAAAAGAAAAGAAATAGAAAAAAAAAAAATTGAGGAGGTTTTTTTTTTATTTTCTTTTTCCCATTTTCCTCTAAAGGTATAATAGTATTGATCACAATCATAGTTTTCTTTCAAATTGCATAATTGCTTGTAGAAGTTTGTAGATATTTCTTTCTTTCTTACATTTCAAGCTTAAAATAAAGATCACATCTATTTACAAAACAATATGTATAAGCTCATCTTTCCTTTTTTTACCCATTTGACTCAAAAATCAACGACGGACTCTGTGGAACACTCTCCCATTTGGTAAACCGTACATCTCCCTAACATTCTTGACATTTCCATCCCATTTCAGTCTCCAAACATTAATACCAACAGGCACCAATTTATTTTCTGTCAAAAAGTCTGCCAAGGCAAAATCTTTTCTATTAAAGTTCAATTTTTCAGTGGCCAATGGACCTTCTTCTTGCTTCAACAACAAGGTGACAAATCTGCTGGTTGGCGAGTTCTTTTCCGGAACTGGTGGTAAGTATTCAGCAAATTCTCCTTGGCTCAACTCGTCAAATGACAAAACTTGGTTGTTGTGTTGGAAACTCACGTCCTTAACCCCATAGTTCAAGGTGATGTCGTAGGAGTTAGTCTTAGTGTTTGGATGATCCAAATTAACCACCAATAATGTGAATTTGTCAGATGGTTTCAACGCTTCGTCAATGTTCAAATAATTGACTTGGAAGATTGGAGGTTTCGAGGTGGCTCTAGATGATAAGATGTCCCCTGGGGTGATATACTTATTGACACCGGACTCGTTAATGAATTTCACCTTCAATTCAACGCTTGGGTTGATGGTTGGGATCGCATCTGGCAAGACGTGCAATTGTTCAATTCTTTGCATTAAAAGCATTTTGTTGAACCCTTCAAAGTTCTTGGTCTTGTAGTAGTATTGGTACACCAATTCGTCCAAGTTCAAGTTTTCTGGGTTGGAAAATTGGGCTTTATAAGCCACTTCTGGGTTGAATTTTTCCGCATCGATGATCAACTGGTTCTTCTTTTTCAACAACTGTGTCTTGACGGCTTCATCTGTTTCAGCAGCGATTTGCGATTCGATTTCGGTGACTTGGGAATATTTTTCTTTAGCTGTCTCTTGCAAAAAGTTGTAAGCTAATGGGAAAACTTCATCTAATCCAGTTGGGGAAGTGTACTTCATCTTACTCAACCCTTTCTTCAAAGTCAAAGGCCCTTTAGCTGGGTCGATTCCGTGTAAAAGCTCATTTCTTAATATTGGGTTTTTGATTTTCAATGATTCAGAACGTTTGTCAAACTGGGACCATACTCCTTCCTCATTAATTGTTGATGATGCTGTTGATGATTGGGAGGCTTCTTGTGATCTGACACCACCCACGACGGTGCTGAAAAAGGCTCTGCTGCCAGGAATTACCACATTTGGTATGCTACGTGATTTAGCAACACTTGTGATCATATTTGTAACAACCGGGGGTATTGATATATATATATATTGTGTTCCACAGAGTGAAAAAATTGTCTTACCGTTTGCAATTTCTTCATCTTCTTCTTTTCGGTCGTTTTTTTTTTCTTTCTGCGCACCGGCGTTACCCGGTACTATATTGAGATAGGATTCCAACATGAGAGTGATCAAATTGACGTATATCTCGACCTTGTCGTTATGGTAAAATGAACATGAAAATCGATGGCTATTATGAGAGCATTTTTTGGTGAGATAGAAAAGTCTCTTTAATGTGCTCAAAATGCCATATTTCAAGAAAAAATAAAAATAAATTGATAGAACAAAAAATTCCATAGGATTTCCACTAGATTGTGAAGCATGAACCTTGTGAAATATTCTCTTTATTTTTTTGTGTTTTTCTGAATCGCAACCACAGGAAGGCAAAAAATTTATAGCAAAATTTTATGGGTTTTTTCTGAAATTATAGTAGTAAAGCTTTTCATATGGAGTGAGAATTCCAGTAAGTATTCAAATGAGGTTAATTTTGAGTTTCAAACTACGTAAAGTTGAATACATGAGACTTTTGTTCCTTAAAAACCTACTATACAAGGATGAGAAACCGAAGGTTCTTTGTTATCACAAACTGTGAATATCCATAAATTTTAAAAAAAGTTTTGATGAATGGATAACCGATACATATTATCATCCTTCAGTTTTCTCTCCAGTTCATTAAGAAAAATACCTTTTCTTTTTTTGTTGTTGTTCAGTATTTACTAGATAACTTAAATCCAAGACTTACTACATCTATTTATCAGAAAATGACTCAATACATCCTCAAAGTTTTTTGGGATACCCAGAATCGTTCACCGAACCCGGCGAAACGTGGTAATATTTTTTAAGGTTGGGGCCGCGACATGGCGCAATTTTTTTTTTTTTTCTAATCTTGAGACTTTAATTAGTTGTTAGCCCAATCAACCATGTTATTATACTAGTAAAAAACCTACAATTAAAAGAAAAAAAAGCAAAAAAAAGAAAGGCAAAATAACAACGTTAATTCGTACAGTCTATATGATAAAATAGTAATAATATTATGGTGCCGTTGTGCTCCATTGATGACCAGCACGGAGAGAATGAATTGAAGCAAGATGATATTGTAGTAGTATGATATGGTTAATATAATGATGCGATTTGATATAATGATGTGATTGGATGTAATAAAGTGAGAAGATGGTAGATTAAAATTTTTTGTAAACTGATTTTTGAGCAGTTGATATGATGAAGAAAGCAATAATGATAATAATAATGATAATAATAACAATAATGATAATAATAATAATGATAATAATAATAATAATAATAATAATAATGTACAATAATAAAGGGAAACGATGATGAATAATGATGATGAAAAAAATAGTCTATAAGTGAAAGGTTGTTTTGGGGAAATCGAAATATCGTCAATGCTTTCTTTTTGATTTCTTCAGGCCCGTTGGTGGTATTGATGGCGCCAAAGGAACATAATTGTTAGATAAAGGATCGAACTGTGAGGTGTTGATCTCGGGAAACAACGAGCTTCCAGCACTATTTAACTGGATCTCCTTAGTACTATTGTAAGAGTTCTTCAAACAACTGGTGTTGATTTTAGGCAACCCAAACATCATGTTTTGGCCACTATTGTTGTTGTTGTTGTTGTTGGTGCTATTGTTATTGTTAGGGAAATTTGATGTGGTCATATTGAAGTCATAGTTCACCACGAGCATATTGATTGTTATATTAAACAGGTATATATGTAATATATATGTCCACCAAAAAAAAAAAAAAAGAACAGGGCTTGACAGTTATATATAATTACACATATATATATGGTAAGAACGGCAGAAAAGGCACCAAATGACGTGTGGCTCATGGAAAATAAAGTGTGGGCCCAATATGCATTGTCACCTTTGTGATAATCCTTAGAGAAATCACCAGTGATACAACCTTAAAATTTCTTATAACCAACACCCACAATGCCGTGCAGGTTATAAACGGCGTCAATTTTTGCGCGGGAAAATGAGGCAGGTGCCACAGCGGTGGGAGGGTGTGTTTGTGTATCTATTACCCAAAACTATCATTTCCAAAACGCAAAATTGCTTTATCATAAGGCAACACAGGATTTCGCCAATTACAATAATGACTCATATTACTACATTAAGCAATGGAAAAAATAAAGCTCATCATTTATTAAAATAATTTAATTCATTCTCAATTTAAGTGGTTTTTGTTGTGTGTCGTGTGCATCCCGTACTGGTCCATTTATTTTCTGGACTTGACTGGGTAGGACTTTCTAGCGGTCTTACCTCTGGAGTATTGGGAAGCGGTCTTGACGGCAACAACTCTCAAGTCATCTCTGTAACCCTTGGTGGTGTTGGAAACAGCAAGAGCCAACTTTCTGGCAGCCTTGTATTCGTTGAACTTTTGAACGTGGACGGCCTTAGATGGCTTGTTAGCGTTCTTAGCAACCTTGGTGCTGACAACAACCTTACCGTCAACTTCAGTGACACCAACGGCTTTGTCGTTAGCCAAACCAGAAGAGTTCTTGGAGTTCTTGTGGGTGACGTTCAATGGGTCCTTGGAGAAGACAGTACCTTGGAACTTAACGAGGTACTTGGAGTTACCCTTGGTCAATTCCCAGATGAGATCGTTAGAGACGTTAGACATTGTGATTGTTATTGATATGGTTGTTGATGGTAGATATTACAAACAGCTAGTATTACTACGTGGGGGAACTAATTCCACCATTATCAACGAAAAAAAACACCAAAAAAAAAATAATCCGGTACCCTAAAAAATAGGGCAAGTTTTGCCCAAACTTGGAAATCACAGTCACATTTTAGTCACGGGATGAAGTACGTAATTGATTATGCAATACACACTTTTGATTATGTAATATATATACCCACTCAATACCCAAGTTATCACTGAGGTTAGATATATTTATCATATTCGTAGCATCTGATATTCATTAGACATTCTTCTTGTAATGATATGCGTATTGGGCCCACACTTTATTTTCCTTGACGTCTCAGCACCTCGTAGCGGATTGTAAAATTCATGAGAAAGTGACCTTTTCAATTGATGTTTTTCATATTTGAAGATAGTATATGGAGCTATATTACTCAGTATTGGGTTGTAACTTTTCTTTTTACCTACTTATAATCACCTAGTGAAAACTACATAGAATATCTTCATTCCATTATTTTTGATAGCCGATAACGGTTCTGTCCATATAGTTATTTAACGTAACACTCGCAATAATTCAACAGACACTGGGTTCTATCAGAAGTTAACTTGTGTATTTATCGCCTCCTCATTGAATCCATACATCTTGGTTGCACGATACCACATGATTAAAATTTACTGTGGTCACCACTTATGTGAAATGCAGAGAAATTCTATCTCAAGGTGAAACTACATACCCAATATGTATTGTGATAATGGCTGAATAATCCAAAATTATATACTTGAATATCTAAGAAGTTCGCGTCCAAAAAAGAAAGAGAATGTAGCACACTAGTATTGCCCCTATCCTGCTGAAACAAAGGCGATCAACAAAAATTTGGTCAAGAAAAAATAGATAAGTTTTTTAAATGTACAAGCAACAAAGAAGACCCGACCAAATAAATAATTCAACTAAGTCATATTTCAAATAAAAGAGAGAGAGAGAGAGAGAAAAAAAAAAAAAAGAAATACAGAAAGCGAAATTGGGAGACTGGTGAAAAAGTATTTTGGCTTCTAAAGTATCGCCGATGTTGACATAAATGCTAGTCGCACCATGCATGAAGCAGGACCACGTAAAGCATCTCGATGTATCCAATATGACAATCAGTAGTATTTAAGGTAGAGAGGCAACACACAAGAAAGCTCAACACAAAATATCAATTAAACAAGATAATAGTATAATGAATAATAATTTTTTTAAATTAGCAGGAAAAATATTTCCCAAAAATGTATAACTAGCAAGAAAAAAACAAATGTAACAACAACAATAATAATAAAGAAAGAAAGAAAGAAAGAAAGAAAGAAAGAAAGAAAAAAGGAGTAATATGCACAATATGTTAGAATATGTTTATTCAATTTTCACAAATAATTATGCCCAATGTAATAATTCTCCGCACCAACCATGGTCACTTCACTATCCATGGTAATTTCACTACCAACATCGTCGTCATCAGAATCATTAAATGGCTCTTGTTCTAAAGAAGCTTCCTCATCAATTTCCAACTCATTGATCTTCATGTTTAATTCAACAAAATGATGGATCATGCTGGTTCTCGTACCGAAATCAATCTTTGATCCATCAGGGGACCCAAGCCAAATTCTTCCCGCCCCGATGAACTTTTCCAAATGATAAAGAATGGAGGACTTGACAAATGGGATTTCGTAAGTTGATCCCTTAGAAGAGTTCACAAAGTTATGGATTTGAAATGTAAGCATCATGAGGAAGGTTATACCCAAATGGTCCAAGTTCAAAGCACTGATGGCGGCGGCGGCTGGGTTATGATTCCCATTGTTGGTCTTATTATTAGCATTGTCAATATTGACTGATTCTGGATCGATTTCTCCAAGCTTTGACACCACTTGCGATATTTGTTCAAGTTTCAGGCCAGTGGACAAGTTCTTCTTTTGCAAAATATGTTGCACCATGATACATGATACGAACAATGAATAGTTCACGTTAATCAATTCCTCAGATTTCATAACCACTTCATTATCATCATCATATCCACCAAACAATTCTAACATTTCCAAAGATTTACGTATCGAGGCCTCAGTAGGGTTGAACAACGCAGTCATCATTTGCAAAGTCAATGATTCAATTGCTTGATCAGCACAAATATTGGTAGCATTAGAAATCAATTCTTGACATTCTGAGGCAATGGTTGGCAAATCAAACAAAGAGTCCACCATGATGTAAAGGATTTCTGAAAGATAATTCTGGACTTTCCACGAACCAATAAGTTCCAGAATCGCCAAATCTTGCGAAGGGCGGGCTTTAACAATCCGAGAGATCAATGATGGTTGGAAAATCTCTTCGTAGTCACAAGACTTCAACAAATTAACAAATTTATCATTATCATCCTTGTGTTCATCAATCAAGTCTTTGGCAGAGTTGTAAAAATTATTAGCTAACCAATCGCCGATTCTCATCACCACGAAATTGCAATCATTTGTCAAAATTTTCACGAGCAACGACTTGTTGAATTGCATCTTAGAATTCTGCAAAGGTGTCAAATTTCTATTAGGGAAATACATCATTGATTCCGCCAATAATCTCAATCTTTCAACACTTTGGTGATTAGTATGGCCCTCGATATTACCATCACCATTATTAACATTCTCATTAATGTTATCGTAATGATGCATCAAATGCTTATTGATTTGACCATATAGATCGTTGGCAATTACATGGGTGGAAGGAGCCACTATCGAAGCAAAGAATCTTTTAAACATTTGCAAATAAGATCTCACTCCATTATTGCGAGCCCCTTGCTTGTCACTGGAGTGGGTCAATACCCCTTCAAACCCATTACCAACATTGATCAAATTAATGTTCAAAATGTAACAAGCACACCATAATACAAGTGCAAATTTTCCAAGCAAACTGAATAATTTCCCAGGGAAATCTAATCCATTAGTTTGGGAACCAGAGTTATACATCAACATAGGAACGGACATCAAAGATCGCGAATTACCTTCACCGCCAGCTCTGAAATCTTCTAAGGCGCCAGACCCCACCACACAAGCGAGAGATCCCATCAAGATCTTTGAGCCAAGGCTTTTAGGTTGTTGCTGATAGTTGTTGGTATAATACCCAGCATCATGAGATGATGAAGAGGTGCTGGTAGCAGGACTACTAAGGCTGGAGGAATGATGATGATGAGACATGATATCATCATTAGAAATACTAATGGTCGAACTTTTTCTGGAGTCCAGGTTCAGCAAAGCACAATTCAAGGTCTTATTTTCCTCCATCAATTGATAATTCTTCATTTCCAAATGTTTGATATACTCTGTTGCTTTTAACAAAATCGTCGCCTTGTTCAACTTTTTGGCAGGTTGTAAACCATCGAGTTCCACAGATTCATCACCACTATCAACGGTAAGGACTTTCAACGAAGGAACGCAATCTCTAAGCAATTTGATCTTATCATTAATATTGGTACGATATTTTTTCTCAATCATATTATGAGACGATTTTTCCTTCTTTGGCTTGGTGACCTTGCTGTTGACTTTGGTCTTACTATTAACATTCACAGTCGAAGCAATTGGTTTTGACGAGCTCAAAGGTTTGATCTTTATATTGGAAGCGCGTTTTGGCTGGATCGATTTAGGAATCGTTTGCAGTTCCAATTTGATGTTTTCTGGGTTGAATTTCAGATCATCATTGGACAATAACTTGCTTATGACTTCCAATTCATCTGCCCGATTATTGTTACTTATATGGTCCTGGTGGTCATGTATAACGTCAGGACTACTACTCTGAGTTTCATTGGAAGAGGTGAAACTATCTGGTGACAAATGATCAGAAAATGATTGGTCATTGGACATCATGGTGTTAGATAGCGACATTGGTTGCTGAATGTTTGATGACATTTGTTGTTGTTGTTGTTGTTGCTGCTGCTGTAATTGCAATGGCTGACCAAAATTCAAAGTAGAGAAATCATTGAGATCAGAAGCATTTGGGTTGAAGCTAGAAAACAATAACTCATTTGGTTCAGCATTAACATTGACATTGTTATATATATAAAACATGTCTGGAGGTTGTTGCATCATCATTGGCTGCTGGATAGGCTTACCATTCTGATGCTTTTGATCATTGAACGACGCCAAAAAGGCATCACAATCGTCAAATGTAAGGGACATTTTCACAAAATTCTTTTGCTGAGTATTAAAGGAAGATGGGATATTGATGACTCTTTAGTTCCCAAACCACTATATCTATCTATCGTTCCGTTTTTTCCGTAGGTCACAAAATATAACTCAGATCAAATCAATATCACACAAAATGATTGGAGCATCAAGTGGAACATAAAGATGGGTTATTATAACGGTCCAAAAAAAAAGGAAAAGATTGGTTCATGGCAAGAGAGTAGAAGCAACCACCGCATTTTTTTTTTTTTTAGTTCTCCCTAAACATCTTGTTTCAAAATTTTCATGAAATGTCTTGCCTAATTGGAAATATCGTACGATTTATCGCGGTGTATATGCTCTTACACAAAAATTGCTTTTTTTTTCAAGTGTCTTTTTGGGGTTGCCCGGCGAGTAAATGTGACACATTACCAACCAAGTGGTGCATACACCTATGTTTTGGATATTATTCCTCGAGAGAAAATACGGGTAACACTATTATTTGGAAGAACACCCACACATATGGTACATACACCACTGTGTTGGAATTTATGTTGTGACAACAGCCCGGGTAACGTTGCATAATTATATAAGATATTACATAATACAGATTAACATTACCCGCACAAAGCATTATGAGCCCTGTCTATATTTGACAATAATCCACCATAATGGTATATGATTACATACAATAATAATAATCCATAATGTTTAAATCTATAGCACCCAAACTCTAATTAAATAATAATAAATAAACAACAAACAAAAATTTAATCGATAAAACAAGAACTTTCCATCAGTTGCTTGTTGGCACTGATATGGCGACCCCAAAAGCCGACTCCAAACATTCCTTGTAAGTTGGGATTTTCACCATTTGTGCTGCCAAATCACTAGTTGTGGAGAATCTCACGGTATTAACCACCTCATCGACACTTTTCCCCAACTTCACTGCCCCAAAGATACTGAATACCGCCGAACCAATGGTAAAGATAATATCTTCCGGCAGGAGTGTCCCAGTGATTGACCAAGTCACCAACGCTTGGACCCCTGCTAATATCCCATCAATGGCAATCGCAGCAAAACCGTCCAAGAAAATTGCTGCTACCCCGATGACTGCGAAAACTATTCTAAGAATCTTCAATTTCCGTTCCTCTTTTTCGATTTTGATATCCTTGGCCCCTTCTTCATCGATTTGCATGGCGCTGATGGCCATCTGCACGTAAGTCGGCACGGGAATCAAGAAATCAATCAAGTCAATAGGACTGACTTTACCAAATGAAGCGTTGGCGGTGGCCAACAAGTCAGCGAAACTCGTCAAGTTGTCCCAAGTGAAATTGGCAAGGGGATCAGGGACTAATTGTACAGCACTAGGCAAGGTCATATTGTGGGTCTTGAACTTGCACTTTTTCTTGGAGATATTGAACGTAGCAGCCCCTTCCAGTAATATCAAATCCTCAGCCTTAATTGATAAGTTATAATACAGGGCCAAACTTTTAGCGGCGGCATCTTTTTTGGAATCTTCAATGTACAAATTCTTGAAACTTCCACCTTTACAATTGACTTCCTCTTTAGCAGTATTCACTTTATGAATACACTGGTCATTGTTCCATATATCGTTTGCTGCTGCGTTACAACGATAGTATTGCATATTATTCATTTGGTCATTGTTCAACCAAGAACCAAACTCCGACATGATACTCAGCTGAATCGATTTGATATAGGCCTGATAATTCTTTTGGTAAGTGGAGTTTTCATTGATGAGGTAGGTCAAGTTTCTCACGGCAATTGCTCCCTGGTTCAAATAAAAGCCTACCCAAGCAGAATAACGGCATCCATATTTTGCGGTACTAATATCGGCACCGGTGGTGATATGTGAATAATCAGTACCACATTCATAGACATCAACATAATCTGAATCAGGAACGATTTCTGATTGATCCACCACCGGGATGACACTTCTGGTGACTTTCTTTTCCATCGATTTCAACACCTTGGATTGATAAGCAATGTTTTTAGCTAATGATTTGCTGGCTTTGGCCTTTGATTTTGCGGCCGCTTTTGATGCTTTGGCTTCTGACTTGGCTTCAGCTTTGGACGACGCTGCTACTGCTTTAGATGCAGATTTCGATGCTGCGGCTAGCGATTTGGATTCAGCTTTTGAAGCATTAGCCTCTGATTTGGACTCTGCTTTGGCGGACTTTGAAGCAGCATCAGCCCTAGATTTTGACACCTTGGAAGCGGATATTGATGCCGATTTGGCAGCATTGGAAGCTGCTTGGAACGCTTTAGATGCGGCGGCAGCAGCAGACTTAGAAGCATTTTTAGAAGACTTGGAAGCATTTGCAGCAGCTTTGGCAGCCGATTTTGATGCACTTTCAGCAGCTTTGGCCGCGGATTTGGAAGCTGCGGCAGCAGCTTTAGATGCTGACTTTTCAGACTTCTCTTCAGCAGATTCACGCTTGACAAAAGAAGTTGGTGCTGGTGCTTCAGTTATGGGAACATAACTGATTGCTGAAATGATTGGAAAAAGCCAAAGACATATGATCAACAAAATGGATCTTTTCATGGCGAAGAGATGAGAACTAAGTGTATCTATTTTGAAAATATAGCAATAATAATAACAGAAAATTCTTATTAGACTGCCACAGCAGCTTCTCTTATATTTATTGCCCGCATAACACCCAAACGTTTGGAAACTACTTCATTTGTCGAAAGTACGGATAATCGACAATGTTTCAAACAGAACAAGAGTCTGGTAACAAGAAATATTGTTAGTGGCAGCTAATCCATTAGTACCAATTTGCACGTGGTTGGGGTACAATGTGACACACCCTAAAGCAAAGGATCGGCGACTTACATTTTCTGACACATTTTTTTGGCGTCTTGGGGAATCATTATTGTTTCATGTTTCTGTGGGAGTTGAGAATTCCTAATTTCTTCCACCATTATAGTTTCGGCTAAAGTTTATTCCGTTAAAGTTCTTTTTTTTTTTTTTTGTGACGTTGATGGGCTGCCAAATTTACACCATATATATTAAAAATCCTATGGGTATTTACGTGGACAGCACATGTATTATTTTTCTCCTTTTCTCTGTGTCTCCAAGAGAAATCAAGCCCTAGGAGGTAAATGAATCATCCAATTTCCGTACCGCTTCTTGTATAATTCACTTGTCAATCTTGGCGATCGGTGCAGAAACTTCAACGTAGAGTCGAATAGAAAAAGGCAAAACCCAGAGGGCCACTATATCTAACAAAACTTTAGATGGCGCAGATTCTATATTAATATTGTATTCCTAACATTCTCAGACCCTCATTCTAAAAAAAACTCTCCAATTTCATATTTCCAAGAAATAGAAGAGTTCCCAATGTATAATATAACATTATAAAATACTACTTACAGTGGCAATTTGTTATGGAAAATGAAGAATGAAACACATCAAGGTTACATCTTTAATTGTGTTACAAAACATCGCTATCATCTAATTCATCCATTATTAACATTTAAATCACAAAGACGTAGATATTTAGATGAAAAAAAAACTTTTCACTTTTTACCAAACCGTGCCTCTGCCGCCCTTGCCCTTCTTTCTCTTTCCAATTTTCTTCGGTCGTCTTCACTCAAACTTTGGACAATTTGCTTATCTATTTTGGCCATACTACCCCCATCCAATACTTTTCCGTCGCTACCGAATTTTCGGGTGACACTTTCTTGTCGAAGTTTACTTTTCTCTTCCGCCACCATCTGTTCCCTTGCTTTCCGTTCGCGTTCCAATTCTTTGGCTTCCAAAGCAATTATATCTTCTTCACTTAACCCTGGGAAGTTCACCATATGTGCCCCAGAATTACCATCCCAATCACAATAACTCTCTCCTAATTTGAATCTTGCCTTTTGGAACGATCTTTGACACTTGATATCGTCGCCGCTGCAACGATCGTCACCACCACTGGCAAGCAAATCAAACGCAGTTTTCCCCGAATTGCTCTTGATAGTGGCATCGGCTTTGAGGGTCACCAAAAGTACGTAGATCATATGAGATTGACGTTGCTCAGCAGCCCAGTGGAGTAAAGTCGGGGCTTTATGGTGTTTTACTAATGGTTCAAGTGAGGAGTTCACGTCGATTTTATTACGACGTAAATACGCAATTAATGCCGGAGCTTTGGATTTCTTTAACAATCCTATCAATTCGTTGGTGTGTTTAATCTCCGGGGTTTCTGGTGATGCTTGGCTAGTAGTGGTGACAGTGGAACTCGTTGATGACGATGATAATGATTTGGAGGATTGCAATTGTTGTTGTTTCTGTTTGGCAAGTCGTGAACGATCATCAATTTTTGGAAGGTTAACCGGGGTAAGATACGTCAATGCCACCCAAGCATGACGTAATTCTTGGATAGTTGGTCTTTTGGTGGTGAATGGGAATTTCTTGATTCTTGGATCATTCTTATACAATTCGAATTCTTTATTTTTTTTAGTGTTGTCAGTAATATCGTCGCCACTGACAATCAATCTGAAGTTCCGGACATTATTAGCCTTGATAAAGATCGATTTGCATTTGCTTAAATATGGTGCCCAGCCTTTGATAGCTTCTCTCACGTCGTTGGCAAGGGCTTGTTCATTATATCTTCTCAAACTCGAACCGGCAGAATTCGCCTTCCCTTTAGCATTATCCATTGCCGATTGTGACCCCCCTTGCTTTCTACGTGTGGTATAACGATGGAAGGATTTATGGTCAATGAAAGAAACGGTTTGTGAGAGGTATTGTCCTGCTTCATGGGGGCTGATTTGCTTCTTGATGACTCGTGGTTTATGCGAGACGATTGCGGCGACAAAATGCCCACCACTAATCATGAAAAGCGCAGAGATTTCTTCATCATTATATTGGTGTTTCCATTGTTTCAACGCCTCAAGAGGATTTGTAATTTCAGTAGGATCAAAGATTGATTTATAAATCCCCATCTTTTGTAAATCGTGTTGGTGATGATGACCGGAGGAATTTTTGATGGTGATATCTGAATTGAAAAACATGTATGGGGATCGGGTATTCAAATAATCCACTCGAGTATCTGTATCATCATAAGCAATGATTTGTGAATTGGTATGAGCAGGCCTTTCAAGATAAATATCCTCTTCTTCTTCTTCTTCTTCTTCTTCTTCATCATCGTCACCATTTTCTGAGCCGCTTGACAAATCTTCATCTTCATTTATCGATTCTTTTAAAATAGGTAGTTCAGTCGAACGAGGTTTTGGATAAACAATTTTCGGTAAACTTTCTTGTAAGCTTGACACATCCATTATTGCTGATGATGATGGTGATCTGGATGGCAAAGTTGGCCATTGGAAACCATCGGGTTTTGGCACCATTTTTGCTTCGAAGTCGAAGAACACCGGGCGCAAGCCTGTCAAGATTTCTTCACGAAGGTTGTAGATGTACAAATCATTACAATTAAGGTCCTCATATGCAACCAGCATTGTAAAAATCACTGATGATTCCTATTTAACGAGAAAGAAATTAGTAAAGAGAAGTTTGGGAAATTTTCAGAAAATTAACAAGAAAAATCGCCATTTTGTATCACGTGCGAAACATGCTAATGGTAGATGATAACGCTAACATTTGGTTCAATCTAGGATATACTCTTTGCGGGATGTATGTTAGACCACTAATGATGGCGAGAACAAACAGATAATGACACTATTCGATCTGATAACTGAGAATAATCATGAAGGTGCCATTATTCTACTGTTTTTCAGTTCTTTGTACCAGTCCCACGGACAGATCCCCATAGATATACAGTCCCACGGCCCAGTGGTGAAACTGTTTTGGTTCCGACAACATTTCTGTTTACAAATTCCCAAGAACATGGTGCCGCAACTCAGCAGCAGGGCGATCAGGGTCCATCCTTACCCTGGTTTTTTGTGGAGTGGCAATGCCCAGAAAATAACCATCTTATCTGTGCTGTCGTCGTGTGTTATCAGTTATCGTGGATGCTCATTGCTGTAAATCACAGATAAATCACAGAGGTGAGACACCAACAAAGTCCTTTCTTCTATGATATATTATACATAGCACCTAGATGAATTTCCAACCGAATTCTCCTCCATTGCTAATCGGAGATGCCACTAGAAGGAAAACAAACAAACCCTATTATTCATTTCCGTGTGCTTTTTGATCGTCCTAGTGGCTACCGTTTTTAGCCAATAATTGGCCTAACCTCTACGCCGCACGACCTTTAGTGATCTTTCCAGCATGCCTGATTGTCAACGCCTCACAATCTTATCAGACAACTTCGATAAGATATATATATATATATAACCACCACTATCATTTCAGAAACTTTTCATTTGGATCTTCTCTTATCCATCTTTATATACACGCACATCATTCATCATGGAAAAGAAATTTGATGACACTAAACTGTTTGCTAGCTCCAATATCGTGGCTACCGAAGTGCCATACGACTATGGATCAATAAAATCAGAAAAACTCACTGGCTGGGAAGGTTTCAAAGACGGTTTCCGCAGAAAAGACGGATCAGAAGTCCAGCAAGAATTGAAGAAAACATTGTCGACCAGACACATCATCATGATCGCCCTTTCTACAGGGGTTGGTACTGGGCTTTGGGTGGGGTCTGGTAAATCGTTAGCTGCTGCTGGGCCTGCTGGGGTTCTTTTAGGATACGCGATTATCTCTTTTATGGTGTTCTTTGTCATTGACGCTGCTGGGGAATTGGCAGTGGCCTACGGTAGTTTATCTGGAGGGTTCAACGCTTATCCTAGAAAGTTCATTGACGAATCGGTAGGGTTTGCGGTTGGTTGGAACTACGCTATCCAATGGTTGACAGTGTTCTCGTTGGAATTGGTCACTGCTACCATGACTTTGAAGTACTGGACCCAAGTGAACTCCGATATCTTCGTCGCTCCATTTTACCTTCTAATTTTGGCGATCAACTTCTTTGGGGCTAAAGGGTACGGGGAAGCCGAATTCTTCTTTAATACCACCAAATTGATCACCATCACCGGGTTCATTATTCTTGCCATCATCACCGATTTAGGAGGATCCGGTAATAAAGAATTCATTGGAGGTAAGTATTGGAACAACCCTGGAGCTTTTGAAAATGGATTTAAAGGGCTCTGTAACGTGTTTGTTTCGGCAGCGTTTGCCTTTGGAGGTACGGAATTCGTGGCGTTGACGGCTGCTGAACAGGCGAATCCTAAAAAAGCCATTCCTCAAGCCATCAAGATTGTGGGGTATCGTATCATCTTTATCTTTATGGCAGCACTTCTCATGATTGGGTTACTCGTGCCATTCAATTCTGACGAGCTCATGGGTTCCGGAGGCTCTGCCACTCATGCCTCGCCATTTGTCATTGCCATGTCGTCGCATGGTGTCAGAGTGGTTCCTCATATCATTAACGCTGTGATTCTTCTTTCGGTACTTTCTGTATCCAACTCTGCGGTGTATTCTTCCAGTAGAACAGTGCAATCGATGGCTGAACAAGGGTTTGCTCCAAAATGGATGGATTATGTCGACAAGAACGGTCGTCCGTTGGTCGGGTTGATCATCGCGTCGATTTGTGGGCTCTTGTCGTTTGTGGCCGCTTATAAGAACGAAGAAACCATCTTCAACTGGCTCTTGTCGGTTTCTGGGTTATCGACAATTTTCACCTGGACCACGATTTGTATTTGTCATGTTCGTTTCCGCCGTGCTATGAAGGTGCAAGGACGGTCGCTTTCTGAATTGGGATACCAATCGAAAACTGGGGTCATTGGGTCTTATATTGCCATTGGATTGAACATCTTTATTTTGATTGTGCAATTCTGGATCTCTTTGTTCCCAATTGGATCTAAGGGGAAAGCCAATGCCGTGAACTTCTTCCAAAACTACTTGGGAGTGATGTTCTTGTTGGTGTTTTATGTTGGTCACAAAGTTTATAAAAAGGATTGGAAGTTATATTTCAAGGCCAATGAAATTGATTTGGTTTCTGATAGAAAGATCTTTGATAGTGATTTGATGGAGCAAGAAGCAGCTGAACATGAAGCGTTCATGAAAACTGCTCCATTTGTGGTGAAGTTGCAACATATTTTATGTTAACCTTTTTTTTTACTTTATGTTTTTTATTAGTAGTTTCTGGCAAAACCTATTGATTAGGTGTTAGCCATTTCAATTCTTGTGAATTTCACTTCTTTTCTTGTTTCTTTTCTTTTTCTTTTCCTTTGTTGTGTTTGCTGGTTTTCCTCTTTTGTGGTTTGTATAATATTATTTGCTAATTGCTTATAAAATCATTTAATCTTTGATTAAACTGTAGATAAAATAAAGAACCCAAAACTGTATTAAAAAATGACCCGAAATAAAATAATAATAACAATAATAATACTAATAATAATAATAATAAAAAGAGAAAGATAAATGACGATTGCCACTATACAAAATTTATAAACCAATCACTTTGTCAGTCTTGAAGATGGATATTTTATACGTGATCCGGTTGGTCTAGCGGATTTTGACCCGATTCTTGGACCATTAGCTAAAGTTGGAATACGGCTTTGGCGACGAGTTCCTTTGGAGATCTTAGCAACAGGGTCGCCTGGTTTATCGTTATGAGGTTTTTTAAACCCGCGATTCTTGGCGGCTATTGTTGTTGTAGCTACTGGATCCATGACAAAGGAATCCTCGCTCAATATTGTCAAATTCGTACTATCGTCAGTTCCCAGCTGTTGTTGTTGATGATGATGACGACCTTCCAATCTCGCGATTTTCTCCTCGACTTGCCGGATCTTCAAATTCAATTGGTCCACTTTATACTTATTGGCGAAATTCTCATCGTTGGGAGCCTCGCTGAATTCGGTACACCAGGCATTTAGATTGAGACCGTAGATTAAAGCACCCACGCTTTCGTTGAACTGGGTGAAGTTATCGTGGAGTTTTTGAAGACCGATGAGATGTGAGTTCAAGTGCTGGAGGTCGGAGTTCAATGATTGGAAGGTGGCGATGTCTTGTATTAGCGAGTAGTTTGCCGGAGGAGCGGGTCCCAATGATTTTCTGTTCATGATGGAGGATAAAGAGTGTGAGATAATATAAAGAAAATAATCAATAGATAGTATAAAGAATAATTGGCCAAAAATATGGATAATAAAATGGTAAAAAATAGTAAACGCACTCCGCACAGTCTTTTTTTTTTTATATCAATTTTATTTTGGCGGCAAATTAAAAAAAAAATATTGCTGTTTTTTGGAACACTTTACCATTAATAATCGCGGTATTCTCTCCAATTGGTAGTGGTTTGCTTGCCAGTGGTTGCTATTTACTGTTATAATAGTGGAATTGTTGTTTTTTAATCACGGGAAAAGTGCCACAAATACCCAAACGTTGACTTGGGTAGCAGGAAACCACCAATTAAATCTTATACTGCATTACATTATATTATATATATATATATATATATCTATACTATATATAATTGCCACCCTACTATCACCATCTCCATTAAAAGTGAGTTTTCAGTCTATTTGACTCGGTCTACCGTCATCTCCTCTGCAGATCTTGCACCTTACCAATTGTCTGACTCGGTTAGTTATTATTAGTAATTAAGAAGGACCCTCATAATCATCACCCATTCAGTAGCAGTGGCCTGCCCATCCAAATCCTTTTTGATAATTCATAAAGCATGCATCATTGGCCCATATAACATTAGAAGATGAGCAGCGGAAAGACCTCGAAATTCAAAATCAAATCGTTTTCCAATTCAGATATCTCCAACCCAGGACCTGACTCGTTTCCACGCCATGATCTGAACGTCCATACTTTGCCATCGTCAGACCGCCAATTTTCTTCTTCTTCTGGAGATAATGATGGCAACTATTGCGATGCTGCGTATTTCAGTGACGCTGCCCCAGACTCAAAAAACGTCAGGAATATTCGCGCCAACAGTGGTAAATTATCTAAAGGGTCGGTGAAATCAACCGCCTCCAAAGGTAGTAGTGACGATGTCGAAGAAGTTGTCGGAATCCATTCCCTCAGCTCCAAATTTAAAACCTTGCTATTCAAATCATCGTCGTTGGAAAGTAATCCTCCTCCTACATCGACGACCCATTCTTCGAACCCTAATTCCGCGGGATCTGTTAATAACCGCTCAGGGTCATCGGTCGTCAATGGTAGTACAAGATTAGCTCCGGCAAAAATAGACGAAGAAGACCATGAAGATGAGAAAGAGCATCCTCATAATAAATCCCCAATTGCCCAGTACGGTCATTTATTGATTTACCCAAACAATGAGCACGAACATCGGCTTAAGAAACCTAAATTGGATAAATCTGGAGTGAATATCTTACCAGGAGCCCAATTATTGTCAGGATTACTCAAAGTGGAAACAAAAAAAGCCGATGATGGGTCAGTTAGCATTTTTTCAGAAACTAAAGGATTGAAATTGTTGCAAGAATTGAAGAGCCAAAAAATGCAAACCCCGGCCCTGTTTATTCCTAAAAAGAATCATAGACTACGAAATGACGATGACGATGATGACGAATCTGATGAAGATTCGGAGCCAGAAGTTACTGACCCAGCAATCGATAAACCCCAACTAGAATTGATCAACAAGTTGGTGGAACTCACCAAAGAATCGAAATTTCTCAAACATAGTGCTCCAAAAAAGGACGATATCACCATGAGCTCGGCATATGGGATACCCCAAGGAATTTGTGGCAAAGGATCGTACGGGATTGTGAAAATTGTTTCGAAGATCGACCAGAAAACCAAAACCGAGAAATTCTACGCCGTCAAAGAACTAAAGAAGAAATCTGGAGAAGATGCCGACCATTTTTCTCGAAGATTGATTTCCGAATTCATCATTTCTTTATCATTGAACCACGTGAATATCGTGAGAATTTACGATTTAATGAGAAATTCTAAAGGAGTTTATTCTGAAGTGTTAGAGTTTTGTGATGCTGGAGATCTTTATTCGATCATTTCGGAAACCAAAGGTGAAGGATTACACTATACGGAGGCCGATTGTTTATTTAGCCAAATTCTTTGCGGGGTGATCTTCATGCATTCCAAAGGTATTGCTCACTGTGATTTAAAACCAGAAAATGTTTTACTTACCAGGAATGGCGGTTGTAAAATCACCGATTTTGGTACCAGCTCAGTGTTCAAGACCGCATGGGAAGATGATATTCATTTGAACCATGGGGTATGTGGGTCCGAACCGTACGTTGCTCCTGAAGAATTCACCCAAAAGTACTATGATCCTCGTCTTGCTGATGTGTGGGCCCTTGGGGTGATTTATATGGTGATGCGAGTGGGGACATATGTTTGGCAAGTAGCCAAAAAGGACCAAGACGAATTATATGATAAATACCTCAAACGCCGGCCGTACGAAGATGAAGATGGATACTTGACCAAGGGGAAATTCGATGCCATTGAACGGTTGAAGAATGATGGGGTGTCCAAAAGTATTGCCAAGTGTAAACGGGATACCATTTATGATATCCTTGAGCCGGACCCTGAAGAAAGAATGACGACACTTGATATTTATGAGACCAAATGGATTAAAAGTTTGAAAGGGTGTCGTCGTCTTCGGGCTTGAACCCATAATTAATAAATGCCTCTCTCCCCGGCACACCCCTGGGGGGCAGGGGTCTATTGAGGGGTTTTGTGTGTTGTGATCTGTATTATTTCTATTAGAGAATTTCCTATTTGTATTCCTATTTTTAATGTTCCTAATGCTTTTTTTTTTGTGTTATTCATTTTTGTACTGTGAATCCTGTCGATCATAACAAATTAATAGGTGATTATCAACCATAATATACATAAATAATATTGTCAAACAACAACTTTACTTGTTTTTTGTTATTCTTATAAAAAATAGAAGATAAAGTAATTAAATAAAACATAAATTAAACCAACAAAGTGAAAAAGATACAATCGTCATACAATTTTTTTTTTTTTTTTTTTTTCATTACTATTATTATCATTCTTTTTTTTCCTTCTTCTTTCTCTTCATTCAGTCGCAGGAAATGGTGCTTGTGGTGTTGCTTCCTCTTCTTATGGTTCTTTAACCTCTTCCATGGCAGTATCCTTTTGATTTCTATAATTATCTAGCTCGGCGTCCAAATCCTCCAAAGTTGGTTTCGGTGGCTTTGGTTCTCTTCTTTCTCTGTCACCTCTTCTACTTCCTCTACCTCTATTTCCACCGACTCCTAATCCTATTCTATCGGCCAATGGTATCCCATTGGTCACGCTTATGATGTTGCCCACTGCTTTTTTACCATCAAATTGCTCAATGGCACTGGCACAATCACTTGGATTGACATACCCAACATATCCTACCCCTTGACTGCGGCCACGGGTGTCGAATTCAATTCTACAGAAATTCACCTCGCCAATCCTCGAGAAAAGGTCGGAGATGTCGTGTTCCGTCAACGCGTCGCTCAAATTCTCAATCTTCACAAACGGTTGACCATTCGCCAACCTGATGATTTCTGGACTCACCGGGGATGATCGGGAATGCGACGAATACCGATTTGATCTATCGGATGACGAACGATAACGAGGTGGTGGTGATCTAGATGATGATGATGATGGACGATAATAATCGCCGCTGCCATCTCTGCGGAACCTGATGGTCAGTGTTTGTCTGGAGTCGGAAAATCGACGGCCACGGCGAGCCTCTGATCTGCCACCACTGCGTCTTGGGCCTCTTTTAGGGCTTCTGTTTCTGTTTGATGATGACTGCGGTGGTTAGTTAGAATTCACTTAAAAATCAATTGGAACAAACAATGCCCACGAATTGCAGCACTTACTTTTGCCGAGATAATCTCGTCAAGAGACTTTTCAAGGAGGTCTGACATTGTTATTTTATTTTATTATATTTTATTATATTATATTATAATATATTATATTATATTATATTATATTACACTGTTGGTTTGTTTGTTTATTCCCCAGTGAAGAATTGGCGTTGTGTTGTTTGTAAATTATTTATCGACCTCCACCACATAAACACACCCGGACATCGACGATGGGGGAGAAAAACGAAAATTGCTTCCATCACCACCACCATCGACGAATGTGTGAGCCACTATTGTTGATCGATTTGTCCTTGAATCGTCGATTGTCTGCTGGATAAAAGAAAGCGCTCGTGGTTGGAACTGTCCATTGCAGAGATATCGCGGCTGGCTATAATTTCCATCTCCATCTCCCAAACATTGCTAGTTGTATGACCAATATCATACCCAATATCATACCCATTAATCAATAATACCCAATTTCTATCTTACTCTCATCATGGCTGATCAACAGATTCATAATATAGCTCAGGATTCTTATAATGTACCTCAAGATAGTTACCATGTGCCACAACAACAACAACAACAAAAATACCATACATCAATAGTAGAACATCCCATTAGCAAACTCCCCCAAGTATCCTCGAAAACTAAAGGGAAATATACCCTAAATGACTTCCACATCTTACGAACCCTTGGAACTGGGTCGTTTGGCAGAGTCCATCTTGTGCGATCGGTGCATAACGGACGGTTCTACGCCATGAAGACATTGAAGAAAAGTCTTGTGGTGCGGATGAAACAAGTTGAACACACCAATGACGAACGTCGAATGTTGAAAATCGTCGAGCATCCTTTCATCACCAGGATGTGGGGCACGTTCCAAGACGTCAAATACATTTATATGATCATGGATTATATCGAGGCCGGGGAATTGTTCTCGTTATTGAGGAAGTCTAACAAATTCCCTAACCCCGTGGCGAAATTCTACGCCGCTGAGGTCTGTCTTGCGTTGGAATACCTCCATGATCATAATATCATTTATCGAGATTTGAAACCTGAAAACTTGTTGCTTGATAAGAATGGACATATCAAGATCACCGATTTCGGGTTTGCCAAAGAGGTTCCGGATGTGACTTATACCCTTTGTGGGACCCCCGATTACATTGCTCCCGAAGTGGTGGCCACCAAACCTTACAATAAATCGGTCGATTGGTGGTCGTTTGGGATTTTGGTATTTGAAATGCTTGCCGGGTATACCCCATTCTGCGACCCTTCGCCGATGAAGACTTATGAAAACATCCTTGCCGGAAACGTACGGTACCCGAACTATTTCCACGAAGACGCGTTGGATTTATTGCAAAGCTTGATCACCGCGGATTTGAGTAAGCGGCTAGGGAATTTGCAAGGGGGTACCCAAGACGTCAAGAACCATCCGTGGTTCAGCGAAGTAATTTGGGAACGGTTGTACAATCGAGATATCGAAACTCCATACGAGCCACCGATCCAGAGTGGGGTCGGGGATACCAGTTTATTCGATAAATACCCGGAAGATGAACAGGATTATGGTAATATGGAAGGGGAAGATCCTTACGCGAAGTATTTCCAAGAGTTTTGATGATTTTGGAAAGAAAATATGTATACATTGTTCGATTGCGAGTGATTTGTTTGTCTTTTTCTCTTAATTATTATTATGGTTGTCATAGTTGAACTGCCACCTTAAGTTGACGAGAAATTGAAGGCATTCATTTTTTTTGTTTTCTTTCTTTTTCATTTGTTTATTGTTTCTTTTTCTATTTTTCAGACTTGTTATTTTTTGAATTAAACCTATCTTTTTCTATCCTTTTATGATTTTTATTTTTTGCTATTTTCTTTTTCTTTTCCTTTTTGCTCTCATCGCTCCTTGCTATTTCGTTCTTTTAACTCGGACCCCGGGAGCTTATTTATTGATTTATTAACTGACCTTCTATCATCGCTGTTTTGCTTTTTTTTTTTTTTTTTTTTTCTAGTATTAAAAAAGAAGAAGAATTTCGAAAAGACATTCAGTTTTTTTTTTGTTTTTTTTTGTTTTTGTTTTTGTTTTTGTTTTGCTTTTTATGACCTTTGGATTCCACCATTGATGAAACGATTTATGATAATACTCTTTTGTTTTTCTTCTCTTTCTCTCTTTTCAGAATGGTAATTTTGTTGCCGTATCTTGTTTTGTTTTGTTTTTTGTTGTTTTTTTTTTTACCTCAAAATACAATTAATTGATGTTTAAATTACTAAGAAATAAGAAATATTTTTTTCTCACCATCAGTTTCTAAATTCAAAATAATGAGGTGCTAGTGATAATGACACTTAGATTGTATTAAATGGGCAGCAGATTGGAAGAAAATAAATTATTTTTTTGGCAAGATTAGAAGTTTCCATTACAGTGGGCATGAGAATAAATCAACAAATTAAAGAGGGTTGGACATGATATAATACACAGATATTAGAAATATCAATAAAGAACAATGGAAGCAGGAAAGTGAAAGCAGTAAAATGAAAGCAGTAAAGTAAAATGAAAAAAAGTGAATGCAGTAAATTGGAATCAAGAAATCAGAAACAATAAAATCAATAAAATTATGAGGCAATATAGATACAGACTCTCATATTCTCAGAATATACGTATTCCATTTACCGTAGTTTTACCATATCTTTTTCCCTTTTGTAGCAGTTTTTATCGTTGGCTTCTATAGTGGGACCCTCCACTATTGCCTCTTGGTCTCATGATTTGCCTTAAAGACTCAGGACTCAACTTTGGGGTCATTCTCATTGGCGAACATCTTGATAAGATCCCCATGAACGTAGAATTGTTGCCGTCCGATTTATATGGAGTGATATTATTATTTCCCTGGTTAGTTCTTGGAACACTGGAGAAAATTGTCGATTTTGTCGGAGAAACGTACCTTCTACCAGAATGTTGAGGGGTCGAGAACATCTCCACCCGCTTTTGTTGTTGCAAAGGTTTGGGTTTCTTATTTTGTGAAGGGGTAATGGCGTCATTTCCACGATCATTATTATTATTATTATTCTCCTCTTCCTCTGCTTCGTCCTCTTGTTGTTCCTCATCATGACATATAGAATTGGTAACGTATCGCATTTGGGTGGTGACTTGATGTTGCTGGAATGGATCAGGTTCGTAACGATGGCTGGTGTAACTGACAAAGAAATAATTGTTCACGATAAACGACCCCACAAGCCCAAAAGATACAAACACTAAAGTCTTCCAACTGATTGGTTTGATAAACCCATTAAGAATCTCTGCCAAGGTCTCTGCACCAATTTTCGCCTTGCTCACCACTTGAGGATCACGACTCATACATTTTTCCCAAGCCGAGCACGCGATTTCTAATGCTGGCACTCTCTGAGATGGTGCACAATGGTTGCGCTCATATTCTCTCACACAAAGCAGGATCTCTTGGGTGATCTCCAATAACTCTGTGGTGACTTTGTTGTTAATATCCGTCCACACCGTCCACACTAGCGCGTAAATGAACCCAAATACCACGGTAAAGAGGGCAAAGTTCACGGCAACTTGAAGATACAATGACAAAGTCAAGGGAATCTGGGGGTCCAGGTACATTCTTTGCCAAAGATTAGGGGTATCAAGATCTGTTTCTTCTTGTTGATGTTGCTGTTCTGCTTGGATTTCTTCGGCAATTAGTTGGGTGGTGCTCTGGATCTTTTTGGAATTCCTCGTGGGACTAGGAGTGGGACTGGGATCGCTATCAGATTCGTCGGTCATGTCGGTGGAATAGTTGTACTTTTTGGTATTTTCTTTAGTATTTTTCTTTAAAATCAAATCAGTAGTATTGTTTGATGGCGACAGGTCCAGTGATGGAACCATAACGTGTTTTCTATGGGAAAAGTGCACTGAATAGTTGGGGGTTGTAGTTGTTGTTGTTGTTGCTGTTGCTGTTACTGCTGCTGCTGCTGCTGGGGTCGACGTTTTATCTAAGAGAGCATCGGCCAACGCCGTGGGGTTTATACTTTTATGATTGCGGAGATCAGTAAAATCAAGCAGATCATGATCATCGTAGATTGGGGGTAATATTGTGCCTTCGGAAATCGTAGAGCTCCTTTTTTTCTTTTTAGAAATAATAGTTGATTTAGGGTCTTCTGAGGATTTTTTAAGGATCGATGACGAGAATGATAATGATGATGAAGAAGAAGGTTTCAATGGTGAAGAATGGATTAAATGGGGTTTAGCGATTTCTACAAGCCCCTGTCGTTCCTTTTCTTGTTGGATTTTCATCAATAGCACCTGTTTGTGTAGAGTGGGCAGCAATGGTTTATTATGATGTTTTGAAGGTTCTTCATTATTGATCTGCAACTCGTGGAGGAGGTTTCTGGTGTCTTTGGCAGTGAAATTAGTTCCGCGGATCACCTGGTTCATGCTGTTATCGTCATCATCATCCTCGATGTACTGATACGTGATGTTTTCTGCATTTCTTAGAAGATCGTCGTGTTGATGGTTGTTACTTAGAATATCGACTTTCAGCAACTCGTCAGACACGCTAGAGTCTTCTAGATCGACTTTCGACAACTGCTCTGCCGACACAAAGCTCATGGTTGGGTTATCTATTGTTCTCTTGTGACCTTCCCCTTTGGTGATTGACTCCTTCCATGTGTTATCGCTGTTATTAATAGTGCCTGTTTTTTTTTCATTTTGAGGTAAAAAGAAAAAAAAAAACCATCAGGGTTGTTGGCGGGCGCGTAGCAGCTGGTGATGCTATAAAACGGCGATGATCTTCGTCGTCAAACACAATTGATCTTGACGATTGTTCAGCGTCCATCACCATAGTTGTTGTTAGCACCACAGTACAACCGCTATGTCCTTCCTACAAGATAACCAGGGATGGGTCCTCACCCTCGCCTCGTCAGCAATGTGTCTTCTTGGCTGCTCGATCATCTACGTCGATGTCTTGTACGCCGCCATCTTCCCCAAGATCGCTGCCACCCACAAATTCGAGATCAGTACCAACGGGAGGTTCTTGATCGCCTGTCTCAGCTTGTCTTCTGGCTCGTTGCTTCTAACAGCGTTGGCAAAACTATTGCCCCACGCCTCAGACTACTTAAACCAACACTCGTACCTTTCCAACCATCATAAAGAGTTGAACTTCATCTTGATGTCATGTTTCTTCTCAGGGATTGTGGTATTCATGGTGTTGGATACCGTAATCCACAAATATACCAGTGAAAGCATCATTCATTGCGCGCATGGCGACGATGATGGCCATTCGCATGATGGCCACCACCATCATGATCATGATCATGATCTCGACTTGGAACAGGGAATCGACAATCAGTACGCCGATTCTCATCTTGATGATTCTGACAGTGAAAATGAGGGATCTTTGAAGGTTAGCAGTATTATCGAAGATTCTTACCACCACCATCATCATGGGGAAGAAATTCAGGAAGATGACGTCCAATCTCACCAAAGTAGTCCATGCCAACTACAAGCACCAACTCCCCTGGAATCAACCCCGCTCCTAATGTCCACAAATAAATCAATGGGGGATCTAACCAAAGGTGACACCATCAAATACAATCAATTACAATCTTTGAAAGCCCTCAAGTTTTTGAAGCACCCATTCTCCAAAAAAAAATCAAATTTATCGTTGGTGGCCTATTCTCCTACTGACAAAAAATGTTTCCCAATACCTGTCCCTGCCGACAATGATCTGTTATCACGAAGCCCCTCTATTGGAAACTTAATGTTGGTCGACCGCTCGATTGCCCAAGAACATATCAAACATTCCAGTGACCATCGTCATATCAATGTCCAAACTTCGGTATCCAAACTTTTCTCCATTGGGGTGCAAACCACGTTGGCCATGACGTTGCACAAATTCCCTGAAGGATTCATTTACTATACCACTTCAAAAATCGACGAATCGTTGAGCTTGAACATTTTCTTATCGCTTGCCATCCATAATATCGCCGAAGGGTTATGCATGGCCATCCCATTATACCTCTCGTTGAACTCACGAATGAAGGCCATTGCCATTGCCGGGATTCTTGGTGGATTTTCCCAGCCATTTGGTGCGTTGCTTGGTCAATTAGTGTTGCCTACTGACCCTAACGAAATCGATGCCAACGATATCAATTTGGCATTCGGGTGTCTCATGAGTTTGACTAGTGGGTTCTTGGTAATAATAGGATTGAAGATGTTGTTGAGTAGTGTCGGGTTTGGGGGTAATGGAAGCCATACATTCATCACTTTTTGGTTTATCATGGGAATGTTTGCGATTAGTTGTACTAATATTTTGACCGGAAGTTTGTTGTGAATTGGATTATAAATGAAAGCTAAAATGGGTCATTATATGATCTAAAGTTTCAAATTTATTTTTTATTTTATTTTATTCTTTTTCATTCTTTTTCATTCTTTTTCATTCTTTTTCATTCTTTTTCATTCTTTTTCATTCTTTTTATTCTTCTTTCACTTTTGGAATTGAATTGAAATATTTTGCTTAATTATTCTCTTTTTTTTTATGAGAAACATTGATTTTATTTCGTTTTGGCTTTATAGGAAAATATACTGAATTGATTATCAATCTGTTTGGACTCAGTAAGATAAAGGTTATTGATTATTTTTGGGTAATTTAGTTTCACATATTCTCATCATATTTTTCATAAATCTTCATCTTGCATTCAGTTTATATAGTTCAAGGTCATTTATTGTTCTACATTTTATACAATACACCAAATAACAATAAGTCTCATCGTTGATTTCTACAATATACTGAATAATAATAGGTAATTCTCATCGCTGATTCTTTTTCGCACTAAGGGGAGCGGATGTTTTCAACAATTTGAGCACTGGTTTCTGGTATAACCCCTCCTTCATTTGAATATTATCCAACCATGGAATCTTGATATCTGGTATACTTTCCAACATCGCCACTAATTTTTCCAGAGATTCCATCCCCGTTTGCATCGATATGATTCCTGAAAAGTCCTTAGACTTATTCAATTGATTTCCAATAAAATCTTTCGAATTTTTTGACAACGCCACAAGCTTCACTCGTCTACTATCACCATCACCATCCTGTTGGTCACTGTCGTAGAACCCCGGGGACGAGGTGTAACATAGCATTGGAAAATGATCAAGTAGCATTCTAGGTTGGATGTCGTATCGACAAATTATAATATATTTCGTTATTATTGAATTATCTTCCTTCTTCTTATTCTTTTTCTTCGTCTTCTTCTGGTGTCGAAGGATTCTAGCTTGATCTTCTAATGCTTTGGTGGTGGAATTGAAGCCAGCAGTAATTCTTGCATCTTTGGCGTCCTCAATACATTTTTTAACGCTATCTTTCTGGAGAAAACTCGCCAATTCTTTCAAAATCCCCGCATTTTGCGATGGTTCAACGGTAGGCCAAATGATCTCTTCGTCGTTGTACGGACTATCCAATACGGGCTTGAAAACCTGTCTTCTTTTGGTGGCAAGCGCTTTGAGAGAGTTGCTTGCAGGCCTCTTATTGTTATTGTTATTTTTAACCTTCTTGTCGCTCATATTTTCCAGGGTGATTTATTTATTTCGCTATAATTATTATTCAGTCTTCGTCTCCTTCTTCTTCTTCTTCTTCTTCCTCTTCTTTCTGCAAATCTTTTTTTTTCCTCTCAACATGCAGCAGTAACCCGCAATTTGGGTGTTTGTGTAATTCACTTCTTCTTCTTCTTCTTCTTCTTCTTCTTCTTCTTCTTCTTCTCCTTCTTCTTCTCCTTCTTCTCTTTCTTCTACTTCTTCTCATTCCTCCCCTCAATAATATCCCCTTCGATTACTTAGAAATGCCAAAAACTCCAAGCTCAGCGGACCATATCTCAGTGTTGCTCTTCACCATCCCATTGTCAATCATCGTCAACATCGTTTCTTATTTAGTGATTGGTTGTCATCGTTTAGTTGCTCCGCAAATTGAGAATATATATAATATATTCTGTTACACTGGGTGCCTTTTAATTGGTATCCTTTATTGAGGTTGTCGCTTCTTCTTCTTTTTTTTTTTTGGCCTTCGTCAAATGCTTCGAGCAACAGCAGTTTCTTCGGCGGCGGGTGGAGGTTCTTCCAGTGATGGCCAATCTTACACTCAAGAATCAATGGATGATATTGGTTTCCAAAGCATGGTGCCAAATAATTTGAAGAAAATCCATCCGGTGGCCTCAGAACCATTGTTGAATGGCCATCGATTGAAAAGAAGTACCACAGAATTATTCGCTAAGGTGGAATCCGCTCACAATCGTGGCGATGATTCATCACTTTGTGATATCACTGAAAATGTCCTCAACAGCGACCCGTTTCATGGTAAGCTCTTGCCATCAACTAACAAGAGTTCTAGAAGATCTAGCACCATTGGACTCTTTGGAAAAGAAAATGCCAATAAAGAAGTAAGATTTTCCGCTAGTGAAGGTTTCCCTATAAGCCACAATTCCTCAACAACAATACCATCGTTAAATAAAATAACTGATGCTGCTGTTGATATTTCTTCTGAATCTTCTCCCCGAAATTTTGCTAAAATATCCAGAAGTCTGAGAATTCCTGTTAATGCCAGGTTAGTATTAGTCGACTTTTTTTTTTTTTTTTGAAAAAATGTTTCAAATTGATTTTATACTAATACTTTTTTCTTAATTGTTTTATTTTGTTAGAAACTTTTCAGATAAACAATACACTAATGTATCAAATGATTTCGTGGTGAGGAAAAATACCCCAGATAATATCCCCTGGCACCCTTTGTCCACTAGAAGACAACAGAATTCTATAACTATGTTGGAGCCACAAGCAACTTTGCAACCACTGAAGAATAAGGAGCCACAAAAAGAGTTGAAATATCAACTCGAGCATGAAATATTGAATAACTTGGATACGCTATTTCTCATATTTTCAAGCGTTCGGAAATCTGTGAATGAAGATGAGCTTCGGGAAATTGAACATTGTATTGATAGGATTCGGGATCAAATAAATAATTTGGTGGCCAGTTTAGATAGTAAATTTGTTGAGAAAGTAATGGATATTGAGCAAACTAATGTCAAATTAAAAAAAGAAAATTCTCTTTTACAAGATTTGTGCAATGTTTTAAAATCTGAATACACAAAAGCATCAGCTGAGATTACTAGATTAAAAGACCAGACTCAAAAGTTCCATAATCAAATTGATTGTCTTACAGCAGAAAAAAATAAAATGCTGGAGAAATTTTACTTGAATGCAGAAGATTTTCAAGAAGCAATGACACTAATGTTTGAAAATCCAGATGAAAAAATTGAATCCAAGAAGTTTATGGGGAAATTGAGACGTCTAATCGATAGTTTTAACTTTGCAAATAAGAAGAATGAGATCATGCAACAAGAAAATAATAAATTACAGACAAAGCTTGATACTTTTGGAAATGAAAGTTCGGAAAACCTCAAAACCATTGATTTTATGGAAAATCACATAAAGAAGCAAGAGGAAACTATTAAGCAATTGACTGATAAATATGGGCTTTTAGAGAATGAAAAAAACGAAACCGAGGGCACCTTGAAAGTTAAAGAGGAAGAGCTTGGTAAATTAATCAATCGGATGGAAAATGATAGAAAAACTTTTCATGATAATGCTTCTGATATGAAGGAAAGCCTAAGAAAAAAAGATGTACAAGTAGCAGAGGCGTGGAAAATGCTATCAACTTTCGCCAGTTCAAATACGACCAATGCAGCTAAGCTTGTGAGCCTTGAAGAGGAGAACAGAAAGCATCATGAGACTGAGGATTTTTGGAAAGAAAAAGTACGAGAATATAAGCACATAAATCAGGCTTTGGAAAAAGATGGAATGTTGAAACAGGAAAGGATTACTGAAGAACAAAAACTTTGTCAAAGCTTGAAACTCAAAATTTTAGAACTTGAGTCGAATGAGAAGGAGACTCAAGCGACCAATGAAAAGTTAATTGATGAAGTGAGAGTTACTCAAATGAGGGTTGAAGAATTGAAATCAGAAAACATCAGTTTATTAAATAAATTTAAAAAGATGACTGAAAAAAGTGGTCGAATTGAGACTGCTTGCGGAGTTGGAAAATTTTATTTTGAAGATCTCTCAAACTCTGCCATTATTAAACTTGAAAAAATTATCGATGAGCGGTCTTTTGCACGAGTAAAAAGAAAACTCCAAGATATTTCCCAAATCAAACTTTATGATGATTCTATTATGCCAAAGTTGGAACATATAACAAGATTCGTTCTCCAATCTATCGATTGTATCATTCAGGAAGTGCAAAAAATGAGAAATAGAAACTCACGATTAGAAGCAGACATCAGATCTCTTGAACTGGGACCACAAGAGCAGAATCTGAAAATTAAGAATAATTAGATATCAAAACTCCCAAAAGTATCAAAAAGTGAAATTGAAGGCCCACACAAGTCAATTTAATATTGATAGAGGTGATATAAGGGGCCATGTTGAATGCAACTTAATTGCTGTGACCAAAAAAGAGTCGTTATATTTGCTGTTGCTTTTTTTTTTCTATATTATTTCGAATTATTAGCAAGATCAAGTTACATGGAAAATTTCGTAAAATTCCACTCATTTAGTAAATATAATATATTAAGGACCTTCGATGTAGAGCACCCATCTAACCAAGAACTTCATAAATTTATAACATTCATCAGATGCATCACTTTGCAATACCACATATTGGTCAGCCAGATGGAAATTTTCCTTGAGTAGGTCCTCAAACTCTTGACAGGCGTTGATGATCTTTTTGGATAATGCATGATCGCTCACTTCTGGTGAGGTATAGGTTTCGTAAATCTTATCCAACGCTTTCCGCACATTAAACACCTGCAACGTATATTTTCCCTTGTCATCCTCACAGTCTAATTGATCAATAAAGTTTTTAGGAGGTGCTTGTAGGATTTTTGCCAACACTCTCTTACCCAGAGGCCATTTTTGGTTCATCAATTCGGGAGAAGTGGCCTCAACGGGAGTAAATGCCAAAACTATCAGCGATCGACGAACATGGGATTCCAATGGAGTTTGTGTATCGTTGATATTCGATGGCAGCTTCCAGCTTTTCGTTGTTTCGTTTTTTTTCTTGTCAATGATCCAGTGCTTGAAGAACTGGGAAGTATATTCGCAAAGCTTGAACATTACCAAATGTTGAATGTCTTCCATCCACACCAAGTCTTGATCACCCAACAGTTCTCGGTTTTCTTGATTCAACAACACCAGGCCTAACTTGCGACGACTCTTGCCGCGGGACCGGTTTTTCACCAGACTGATGAGCTCCAAGTACCCAGGAGATAATGGCAAGTAACTCCGATATAGGCTGGGGATGGGGAGATCAATAAAGTCGGGGTCAAGGTCTATCGGATACATATAAAGCTTTGGTTTTTCCTGAGATACCTGCTCAAGATCATTATTGTTGTTGGTACCATTTACTTCAGTCCCTCGTTTCACCATCGTAAACCCTAGCAATAAATCTTTTGGAATACGGCGTCTGGAAGTCATGTCCAACTTTGATTTGCTCGACAAGATCTTATGAAACCAATCGCTGTCAAATGGGGGAATTACAAAACCTCCACTGATATCTTCTGAGGAGGAATTCACTTTACCAAGGACAGCCACCAGCGATGATGATGCTGGTGGCTCAATTGATTGTAAACTCGATGAGTTGATTCCGTTATTGATGGCATTCAAATGCTTGAATGATAGAAGAAACGGTTTGTTACTCCATTTATGAGGAGCCACAAGCAACGGAGACTTGGGTAGGATCTTCATGGTCGGTTTCCCCTTCGTTAAGTATTTTCTGTGCTTCTTTTAGGAGCTTGATTATACGGTTAATTGTGGGTAGAAGCTCCCAGACCATTTCTTTCTCAAAAGAAAAAAAAAAAAAAAAATGTGAAATTATGCATTAATATGCATGTTCCACACGCACACGCACAACAAATACAACAAAACCTGGGGCAAACATCCCAGCAATAATACAAAAAAACGATATTATTTAAAAAGAAGATTAACTAAATTAGAAAATGATAATAAAAATAATAGTAAGAGTAAAAAAAGAACAACTAGCACAAAGAAAATAAAAATTAAAAGAACGAAATCGGAGACAGATAATGAAATAAGTAACAATAATAATTATTAAGAACGTAGACACGTATCCGATGAAGGAGAATGTGTTTTCCCCAGTATAGCGTAAGGAAAGGGGATAGGACAGGACAGGATATTTGTAATATGTTTTGGTTCGTTTTTGTTTTTTGTTTTTTGTTTTTTGTTTTTTGTTTTTTGTTTTTTGTTTTTTTTTTGTTTCAGTTATTCCTTTTATGAGTACTTCTAATTCTAAGTTTGACCTTTAAAAATAATAAACTTGTTCATAACAAGTGGCAATGTACTAAAAATCGAAGGAAACAAACAGGAGCAACAGGAGCTGGGTGAAAAAAATTGTAAAGACATGCATAGGAAAGTTAGAATAATCAGCATAGTTTCTCAGTAGTTCAATAGTGATGGATGCGGAATGTTTAGTAATCTTCGGTTGGGGCGGCGCTAAGAGCTGGTGATTGTAATCTTTCCTTTGTCAATCTTTCTTCCATCTCTCTCAATTCCTTTTCTCTATCCAACAATTCTTGTCTCTTCTTCAACAATTCTTGTTCGACCTTTTCTTCATATTCTCTCAATCTTTCTTCTTCCAACTTAATTTGTTCTTCTCTGGCCAAGTAACCCTCGCTACCTTTACCAACGGATGCTGATCTGCTCTTGATGATTTCCTTGGCTTGTGCTACTTGTAACACACTGTCGTCGGCTTCATCGGCTTCGTCGTTCTTACCAGAAAGCGCTTCGGTTCTAAACTTTTCATAAAGAACTTCGTGGGTGTATTCCTTCAAATCTTGCAAATGACTGATCAACAATGCATTTCGCAAGATGATGAAATCACTTTGTTCTGGATCTTCTATGTCCACCAAACCCCAAGGATATTTTCTGGCCCTGATTAGTGACCCGTCGTCGGCTTCAAAAGTATCGTTTGAGCCAACAACAGCGAATGGAATCAATGTCTTCAAATAAGTGTTAGCATCGATGGTTTCTTCATCATCATAATCCAAATCGAATGGGAAGCCGTAGATTGGAATACCGTAATGCTTCATATCTTCATTGATCAATTTCTTGTTCAATTCCAACTCTTCGCGGGTCAAAGAGTCACTTTTGGAAATCACTGGAATAACATTGACCAAGCTACTAAGTTTGGACATTATTGTCACGTCGATTTCTCTTAATCCATGCCCAGTTGGGACAATGAAATATAAAAGCGCGTGGACACGCCCGTCTTTGAATCTTGGGTTTCTTCTAACACGACTTTCTTCAAGCAAGATTTCATCATACTGATGTCTAATATAATCAATGATTTTTTCAAATGTCATCTCATTATCAATAGAATCCCCAAACCCTGGAGTATCAATGATGGTGAGAGAAATCTTGACCCCTTCTGCATCTTCCAATTCGACATTTTCGGTACGCATAGTCATCTCTTTCTTCAAAGAGTCGTCTTTTGGGTCAGGAATGGTAGAAGATGGGACCACCACTTCTTGGCCACATAAACTGTTGATGAAGGTCGATCTACCAGTACCAGATTGACCAACCACCATCAAAGTGAATTGAATCCCTTTCTTCAAAGATTTCTTCTTTCTCAATGCTGAGGACTGAATCACGGCAACCATCTTTTGTAGGTTATGTTTCTTGTGTATATGTGTGTTTGTATAATACTATTTATTTATTTTCTCAAGAATTGGATGCTGATATTGCTTCTTATTATTATTATTATTATTATTATTATTATTATTATTATTATTATTATTATTATTATTATTATTATTATTTGTTGATATTTGTCTTCATTTATGTTTTTGCAACGTTGTTAAAGTCGCTTTTTTTGTTGTTGTCAAGAAATTGAAAAATTTTTGGTTACGTGGCGATGGCAGCTTTTTTTTTGTTTTGTTTTGTTTTGTTTTTGTTTGTTTTTTTTTGACGGCAATTGCATTAATGAAAAATGCTTTCCATCACTATACTTACGATTATTATCACTATCATCATCATTGAACATGCTATCCACGATATTGCAATCATTATTATAACATTACCACTACTATCATTCATAACCGTTATTTCCGGGTTTTCCATGATGCCGCTCGGCAGATTGAGTGTTTTGAAGCCAAATAGCGAATTAGAAGACGCGAATTTCGATGATTGATTCATCAATTCGACACTAAAGGGGTATTAAAGGATTGCTGTCACTTACAAGGTCTGAATGGCACTGCTATTTTCAGGCAGTAGAGAATATTCATATAATGAAGAATATTTGATTTCTTTTTGTATCACAAACTTATGCCGAAGACTACTAGCTTCTATCAAGTTACCAAGAAGTTACCATCCCAGAATTTGAAATAATGGAGGAACATGAAATGGCAAATAGTGTAACTTAATGAAAACTACACTTCCAAGAGCTGGTAGCTTCTGTTTCCGTTTTGCACTATAGGCATTACAGCCCAGCAGTTAGATAAGCACTACTACAAAGCGATGATAGCCTCAAAAAATCATCGTAATTGGAATCAATACTTGGAGTTTCTGTTAGCGCGCCTATTGGTATTAATTTGATTTTCATGAAGGATAAGATGGTACTTTGAGCCTCCTTTTAAAGTGTTGAAGAAATATTAGATGTAGGCAATAAATGCCATTTGGGGAAAAACTTCGTGACATTGACAATAAGAGAGGCAAATATGTATAATGTTATCAGTTTAAACAGGCAATAAGCGTCTCTGTTTTTGTTTTTTCTCTTCCAAAAGGACTCATTAATGAGCAGGTATTGTTTTCGATGACTGTGCCCATATTAAACAATAGGGATGGAAGATCTTGCAATAATAAGAACAACCCCCTATATTAAATCAAAAGGGAAATAATGGGATATTTATTTTTGTATGACCAACAGAATATAATGATGATGAGAAAATGATGAGGACCTCCGGCAAAAAGTGATGTTGACGATCGTGTTAACGTTCCTTCAATGTATTTCAGCAAGATGCGCTTATGGTGCGTAGATAGTTGTCGAATCACTGACTAAAGAATCTATAATTTTGAATTGCAAGACAAATTTTCTTATTCTCGGTGACTTTTTCACTCCATTCACGGAGTTCTAGAGTGTCTTTCGAATAAACTGAAGATAAATATGAAGAATACATCTACAAAATAGAGAATTTAGATCAACATAAGTCATTTCTAGACTTTCTATTGCTTAGTGATGATCATGAGGGTCCCGGAAATCTGGATCTCTAGCTTAACTGAATACTTAAAAGAAAGGTTTTTACCTGCAATTCATATTTATATATATAAGCAGATATTGGCATCGGTGGTTTAGCCTTCCCTTTTTTTTTTCGTCCATTCGCTCGCAACAAGATAACCAATTGTTTTTCCTTTTAACGCAAATTTGTTGTGAAGAACTCTCCCGTGATGATAACATGTTGCTGACAATATGTGTAAAGAGATCATATTATTGAATAACTTCTAAGAATGGTGATCTCAGTTTTTTTTAACCAGTTTCAGGGAAAAAAGTGTCTATTATCAGAGCACGCTTATATAAACTGCTTAATGTTGGAACACCGGTAGTCCTGTATTGTTACGATCTATAATAAATCGGGTACCAGATGTCATAAGGTGAGGTCCGACAGCGGGGCAGGAAGCTACAATGGAAGCTTCGTGTGGTAGTAAACCGTAAATCCCAGAGAACTATATAAAAAGGACTCCGGTCCACTACAGGTGAGTAGCAAAGAATGAATAAAAAAGCATATGTTGTTAACTTTATCAAGTTATTGTTTGTATTGTCGGGATGTACTGGCTGTACCGGAACTATCCGGTAGTTGAGCATGGTTAGATGCTGAAGCGGAAGGATTAGATGAAGTATACATTACAAAGTTGGTTATTAGTTTGGGTCGGTGATTGGTTTATTCATTTGTTAGTCTACTTCTAGTGGATAGTTTTTCGGATAAGACCAAGTTATCCGTCTTCTATACTCTAAGTAATTAATTATTCCTTTCATGACAAATGAAAGCCCTCTTATATCTAGATTCAGAAGAATCTAAACATAGTAATATCCATATACATTACTCAGTGGTTGCAACCCACTGGCATTGTATTGGGGCAATGTACAGAGTTAGTTAACTATGGTCATGCATCATTCGTCAATGAGCTGTGATCACATAGTCTAAAGATCCACCATAGTGGTCCACTCCGACAGAGTATTATTCATGAAAAAGATTGACAAGAATGTTACGCGTACTTTTATAGACATCACTCATAACACAAGGAGAGTGTAACTTCTTGCTAGAGTTCACTGGAGCGGAAGTATGACCGTCGGTAAGTGCCGCATTGGAAGTAACGGATAAGTTGTATTTAGAGTTATCTTGGGAAATTATGAAGTAATAATAATGAGTTGTTGCAAGTTAGATTGGGGGCTGGCTGGTCTGTGTGTCGTTTATTCCAGCTTGGGATTGAATAATATCAGAGTTTGTGATAAGACAAGTTTGGTCAAAATCGGATCCTCTCAACCGCGGCTCCCCCTCCCACCAGTGGTAGGATATTATGCTTCAATATATAATTATTTAAATCTCTGAAGATCAATATTCTGCGGTATCAGGATAACTCTGATTGGCTTACTAGTCGTGTTTATCAATCCTTAGACTCGGATCTTCGTGCGCAACTACCATTCTCAGGTAGTGCAGTTGGTAATGGTATTTCTCTAGAACTGACAGAGAGCCAGTAAAAAGAGAATAAAATATGTATCCTGTGATCTGTTATTGTCGACTTCGCGCGATTGTGGCTTGTAGGGTAAGATCTATCCGGTCGGTGGTAGCGGCGGATAGAGTCTAAGAATATCGGATTTAAGATAATTCTGGATTAATACAAACAATAACTTAATAAAGTTAACAACGTAGTAAAATATAATAATCGAATAATGTCTTATCTCTCTAGAAATAGTAGAGAGATAATAAAAGTAGAATAAGAAAAATAAATAGAAAGTACGATTGGGTTAGAAGTAATGGTGTTATGGCTATTAACACTGTAGGGTGTCGTTAGCAAAAAATGTACCAGTACGACTAGTACATTTCTCACAAACCAACGGGCACCTGCTAACGAGAAAAAATAGTACATTCTGGGACTTTTCCCGATACAGTGCTTTCATTTTCTATTCGTACCAACCACCGGAAATGTTCATAGCAGTGGCAAAAATTAATTCATACCGACCCCCGGTATTTTTCGTACCACCGCAGCGGGATTTATTCAGACCATCTAAGAAAAATAGTTCATACTATTGCACTTTAATTATTCATACCAACAGAATACAAAATTCATACTAAATGCATAAAATTCTTATGCTTTCATTAATATTTTATCTTTGATATTATTAAACATGTTACAGGGGACCCGCACACCCAATAAAGCCCCTTTGCAATACTCATTTACCATTTCAAAGGCTCATAACCAAATTTTGGAGTGGTTTCGTCCTTCCTTAAAATTTTAAATTTTCATTAATTTGTTTTGGAGCTTTGTTGCGTCTTTATGTAATTTTTTTTATAGTTTTTACTTTTTTTTTTTTGGTTTGTTTTCTGTATTTTGTTTTCTAATTTTTTTTCTTCATCTTTGGTATTTGTTTTCAAAAGAGCTGCTGTTGTAAACAGAGATCAATATGTCTAGAAGCATGTCTGCAGAATCCCTTGTAACTATCAAGGGAAATATTTTCTGTGGCTTCTTTCACCCTTGGAGTTAATTGGTAAAAACACAAGTTCCAACCCACTCAGTGCCACTAGTAACTGAAGATCACGTCGTTTATGATTGGCAGCATTATCAAGGATCAAATATTTCATACCTTTGAGCTCCTCGTTATTTTCTATTTGCTGGATCACTGACTTTACAAAACTGTAGAAGTGATTAGCTGTAGTACCTTTACTCACTTTGTCAATGGTCGTTTCTGAATCAAGTTTTCTCTTCTTATTGGATGTAGCCACTGGAGTTCTGACCTTTAATTCAATACAACCTTTGACAGAAATTGCCCCAATGAACGAAATATTAAGCCCTCTGGTTACGGGAACAGTAAGAACTGCTTTTTCACCCACAGCAGACCATCCATACTCACGCCGCATACTGATATTGAAACCTGCTTCGTCGATGAAAATACAGTTTTGACTAAAGTCGAGCTTTTCTTTATACTTCTCTGCCCACTCGAGTCTCTGTTTCTTCAATTCCTCCAGACTTCTTCTCAAAGCCCATTTAGAAATACGTTTGAGACTTAGCTTACAGACCTTGGTTACAAAGTTATAGATTGTTGTAGCCTTGGCTCTTACATTGGTGAAGGCTTTCTTGAGTCTCTCCAACATAAAATCGAGAGTCACTGTAGCATCTTCCTTTATCAATTTTTGAAGGAATTCCTTATGTTCATCAGTGAGAAGGGGTTTACGACCTCTTTTCTTTATTGGCTTCGAGATACCATTTAATTCATTGACAAGTATTTTGTTCCACTTTCTTTTCCATGTGTAAGCAGTTTGCAAAGGTATATCTTCTAATTTTGCAGCCTTGTAAGCTGATACACCTTCTTCCATGACCAAGTGCCAAAATCTTTGTTTGACAGCTTGATTATAATACCGGTACGAACCTCTATATCTTCGTTCTTTCATTTCAATTTCCATCTCGGCATTTTCTTCTTCTTCGAAAATAGGATCAATTTCCATGATATCCATGATACCTGGTTTTTCAAAATGCTTATAGTCACTGTAACTAAAGCAAGCTTCAACTGGTGCTATTTCAGACTCTAAAGTCATTTCACTGGGTTCAGCATAGAATCTATTACCTAGGCCATCAACATACCCATCAGTTAGTAGCTTGGCTTTCAAGTCCATACTTAGTTTTGATGGTAAAATCTTATGCTTTTTTTTGTAAGTAATCTGGTGATCATATAAAGACCGAATTGAATGTCAAAAGTGGGAATTCATCATCTTAAATGGAGAACAGCTCCTACCATACATTCGTTCCCATTTCTTGAAAACCGTAATCACGTGATATTATTGATATTATTATAGATATCCGGTTTTATAGAAAGTAGCACAGAATTATGGAAAAAATGAGTATAATTTGTTTAAACTGAGTAGCTTAGAGGCTTATAGAGCCAGTCACATAAAAAAAAGAAAGGAATTAATATGAATTTTA